CTCAGTCTCTCACTCAGTCTCTCACTCAGTCTCTCACTCAGTCTCTCACTCAGTCTCTCACTCAGTCTCTCACTCAGTCTCTCACTCAGTCTCTCTCGAAGCATCCACACCACCACAAGCTCGTCCACTTATTGACTGCCACATCCTGATCGTCACTTGCAGACGGAAACCACATCAAAGACCTTCGAGGAGAACTTAACCTGAGTCCTGCAGCTGAGCACCCATCACCTCGTCAGAGGTCTTGATTTGACTGTGTCCCTCTAAAGTGGTGGAGCTTTGATGAGGCCATTTCTTAGCTGCTGGTCAAACTGCTGTCGTTCCTCGGTTTGGGCAAGAGCAAGTTTACCCTTGACGTTGCTGAGCCCACCCAGGGTGTCCCGTAACAAGGACAGCAATGGGTTCAGCCCAGCATGGTCAGATAGTCCAAAGGATACTTGAAGTGTCGTCTTGGCGCTCTGTACGTTCATTCGATGGCGGTCGAGCCGTATTTTGGAGTCCGCAAGCAGCGCAAGAATGTCGTCAGTTGGAAGCTGCATAGTGGCCAAGAGCTGCTGATTGATCCTGGAAAGTGACTCGTCCGGTTTGCTCCACAGCCCTCGCTTCTCCTGGATCTGGTCTCGAACATCTTTCTGGCCCTTTATGGTCAGAGCTTGGAATTGTTCACCATGCCGACCTGTCTCGACGAGTAGGTCTACTGTCGCCTGGATCTCTCTGATCAAGAGAAGAAGTTCTTCATCAATCACCAGCAGAAGCTCGCTGAGGATGCCTCTAACACGTCGAACCTTCTTCTTTGGGGCTTTCCACCATCCGAAGTCCGTGTCCTGGGCAACCTGCAAGGCTGCCACGACATCCTGAAGGCTGTAGATCATCACCTTGAGCAACCGATCCGATGCAAGGGTAACATTGTAGATACTGCTGCCCGTGTCATAGAGGCCTTCACTATAATGCCTAATCTCGTCAACAAGGCGTCCTTTGGCCTTGAAAGTAACCTCGTTCATCTCAATCACCTTTCGATGCCTATCGAGCGGAATAGTCGCCAGGTGGAAGGCGTTGACATGGGGAATAAGCACCTCCGATACACCAGCCCAGTGTCCAAGCTCGACTGCTGTACTGTTGAGCGCGTCGAACACGAATGTCCCAGCTGCGGCTGTCGCTGGCGCGCACGAGATTCGCAACCAGGATGCTAGCCACCACGTCAGAGAGCTCGCGCAGAGTATGCTTCCATGTGCGGACGAGGCTATCGTGTGATTCCCCGCTATAGAGCTGTTGTTGCAATTGACCATAGACTCCTTGACATGAGTGAAGCACTGATAAGCAAATCCACCAAGGTGCCTGGTTGATTTGAGCATGGAATCCAGACCATCAAAAGCGCTGCTCCAGATATCGCCGAGGGAAGCCAGCGCCGGCTCCACAAAGCTCCCAACCTGTGAGACTGTAATATTTGGAAAGAGCCGGCGCGCAATTTCTCCGAGCTTCCCAACAGATCTCAGCGTGTAATGGAGCCCATCCCCCATATTGTCAAAGATATGGTCGAGAGGATCTAGGATCGGGTGGAAAAAGCTCTTTAATTGCCAGAGAAGGACCCAGACCACGACCATCATCCCTACCATCATCACGACGTGCTTGTTCTGGACAACATTTTCAAGGAAAGTCAAGAGAATGTTGATCATTCGGCCAAGAACAGTGAGAAAAGGTCTCAAATGGGACACTCCATTTCCTCATGCTGTTGCTCTGACTTCAGGGGTAATGGGCGTTGCTATTGAATGATCGGAGTTGACGGAGTCGGTACATGACTCTGTGGTCCAGCCTGGCTCGGATAGACTCGAAATGGGCTCAATTTCCAAGGAAGAGGCACCGACTGACTCTCCTGATTTTGGTTCGGCGGGTGTGTCGTTGTTGATCGGACTACTCGTGATGGGAGTTATCTTAAGGGCTCGCTTCCCGCGAGCGCTGGCGATGCCTGTCTCTGCGGATCCGTCTGGGAGAAGAGGTCGCGGTTTGGAGGGCGTCTTTTGGTCGCTACGGAGGACGGCTTTCTGCTGCTCTGACTTTGACTTTGACTTTGGATGAATTGATGGCTTGGTCAGATTTGTATACCTAGTGACTTTGCCATTGGTGGTAGCTAATTCTGGCGTTTCGACTCCATAAATCTCATGGAAAGAGGGATTGCAAGGTGAAGGGATAGTTTCAGGATCAGCTTGCGTGGACTTGGAAGGCCTAGACTTGGTGGCATAGGAGGGGGCATCATCTTGCCCGCCATCTGAATCGGTGGAAGCTAGTTCGTCTTGTTGTTCCTCATCAGGACAATACTGCTGCTTAAATTTTCCTAACTGACCGTGCTTGGTCATGGTTCAAGTCTGTCGAAGATGATGAAGATGGGGGAAAGAGAGACAGAGACAGATATATGCAGACGGACAAATGCAAAGAGAGCGGCTATCGAAGCAGGTTGTTGGCAGGGTATTCTGGAATGTGTGAGACTTATTGCCGTGGAACTGGTCCCGTCTGTAATACAGACCAGGATAATCTCGGCCTTCATTGCTTCCTACGACTGTGAGCGTCTACGATCACTTCCAAGTTAGCGGGGAGCATCGCGTGGTGCGATCCTACCTAGGTACGCTCTCGACCTTAGGACGAAGAGTCCAAGACTGTTTTGATTACACCAAGGGATGAGAAGCGTACGGAACGGTTGTCGAGGTTGGAGGAAACATTCCTCCCCAACGAACATAACAACATCACCTGATCGACTAGGTGATCGGGTTATCCCCGAAGGCTTGTCTTAAGATGACCATCGCAACTGAACACCTTTCCATTAGTAGACGGCATTGAGCACAAGTAGTCAGAAACCGCTTGCGACCGTGTCGCGCTGCAAAGGCCAAAGGACATCTGTGCTGAAATTGAAGCTTCCAGATACGGCTCCCCCATTTTGATCTCGGGAGCCACAATGACACCGCGCGACCAGCGTTCTTCGGCTGGTCTTGGTCATAGTTACAGATGCCTGCTCAAGAGGAATGCGTACTATACCAAGACATGACTATCGCAGGCCACGATTTCAAGAAACCAATCAATGAGTTGACTCTGGGACACCCAGTCAAAGACTCGGCCGTGCTGTGATCTTGTCTAGATTGCTCGTTCGGAGAAGAACTCTGCCATTGGTGCGGGCAGTGACTAGTCTGGTCTGGACGTTTCAGAAAGTGAGACGTGGCCAGCATGGTCAAGAAGCTGACGAGTATGCAGATTGACTTCCCTGATGACTACAGGTCAAGGGTTCTCTACCCTGTGCTTTCCCTTGTTGACTGATTGTCTGAACCGGCTTGGCAATACCTCTATCACCAGCATGTTTGGGGACGTGAACGTGGTTCGCTAAGGGGATGTAACGTCTCTGCGGAATGTGGTATCCTTGCGGAATGTGCCGGCTTGGTCAGAGGAATTCCAACGAGACTGAAAGCTCGCACAGGTGGGACATGACAGCCTCTGAGATCCTTTCCTCGAATGGCGAAGCATTTAATTTGGCCCGCCTTTAAGAGCACTCAGAGGAGCAAGTTGACAGCAATAGGGCAAACTTTGGTATGATGGGTTCCGGAGCCGGAAATACTCTAAGAAAATGAGGACACAGAAGATGGCCTTGATGAGGAGATTGGAGACCTCTTTGACGAAGAGACACAAGATGAAGACGACGAGCGAGCCCCCAGTGGCCCTCAGATTGAATAGATGACAGGCAACGGATGAATATAGAAAAGACGGCGTCATCGGCCGAAATGAGCAGCAACCGAAGAACATTGGACTTGAGCCGAGAATTCTGGCACATGAGGGGATGCAGTCGCTTCCAAGGCTCGCTTTCATCAAGAAAGTGCCCGCTGCCAGGTCGCTGGCCAGGACCGAAATGAGGCCCTCGATCTACGTACTCATGCTGTCGAAGGGCTCTAGGAGGGACCACCGCGAGTCCGACCAGTCAAAGACCGAAGAGGTAAGTGATAGTTGACTGGGCGTGGGCTCTCTGCACCGTCTTCCAGTCTCGCAATCTAGACATCATCATGAGACTTAGAGGGCTGTGCGGCAGCTGGCGACACGGTGCTGAACACTGGCTGTGCTGTAAAGAACCCGTCCTTTGCCTGCTTCTCATATTGTTCTCTTTCTCGTGCCTTGCCCAAAATCATGCTTCCTCGTGCCGTGGTCAAGGCCCTCAAGCAGTCATCGAAGATGTTCAGTAGCTGAGTTAGACCGTTGACGATAGAAAGATCATATGAGACAGCAAGGACTGACTTGACACCTTGCAGGTCCTCCTGGTGCGGTTCCAAACGTCGCGAAACGTAGGATAATTCTTTAACAATGGCGCCAGTGGGCAGTTTGGCGAAGCCTGTGAGGTGGCTCTTCACCTGTATGAGGGACATGTCAGGGCTGCGGAACCATGAGTATTGCTCCTTTATCGTTCGCATGACTGCAATCTGACAGTCTACAGCACACTGTCTGCTCTCGACGCCGGCTGTTGTAGTTCCGATCAGATCATTGATGCATGAAGCGGCGGCGATCAGCAGCTTCGCGATCTCGACGTCGATGACTTCGAGCCAACGAGTCAGGATTTCACTGACACTGCGGTATTGCTCTCGATAAGTCTTAGGCCACCAGGAGTTCTTGGTACCAATGGTGATTGCGTGGACGCGTATGTGGACCTCCTCCAAATTGTAGATGAGGATCATCAGGAGGTGGTCAATGGCCAGTGTAACGGCGGCCATGCAACGGGCACTTCTAAAAAGACCTCTAATATAGTCGTCCGAAATGTCGAGCAGCTCCTTCTTCTCCATTACCTGAGCTTTGTTGTGCTTAAGATGTGCTTGTTTCTCCGTCAAGGGGATCGTGGCTAGCTGAAAGGAGGTGACGTGCGGGACCAGGACCTCAGAGATGTCTCCCCAGTAGCCCAGCCCATGAGCGGTTTGTCGGAGCGTCTTGTACACGATCTCGTCCTCCGGGAATGGTTTACAGGACATATCCAGCCATGAAGCAAGCCCTAAAGTCACCGAAACTGAGCTTGTGCAAAATATGTCTTTTCCCATGGTGGAGATTGTGACACGTCCAAGCGCGCTTCGTGCGCTGTCGATGTCGACAGTCCAGTGGTACATGGAAAGAACGGTTTGAAGGCTTCCTCGATCGTGTCTACCCACCCTTGAGTGGCAGTGTACCAAAGGCGGACTCCCATATCGACCAAGGCAACAGTCCAGGCGCCCAGCTTCCCAAACACAAACCAAACAACGAAAAGCCCGAGGACCACAACAAGGAGCTTGGGACTGGAAGCGACGGTTTTGGTGGCGTTGAGGATGATATCAATCATGCGATCTGCCTCTGGGATGGCACTCTGCTGTTTCTCCTGGCCTTCCTTCTTGTCTGTGCCAGACTGCTTTTTCTCCTGTGACATAGCTTTTATTGCGGGGCCGGCTCGTGAAGCGTTTGAGCTGGCCAACGAACAATATTTATCCTTCATAACTTCGAGCTCTTCAGCAGATTAAGCCATTCTCTCTTGAATTCAGTCTGTGAAGCTGCTTCACAATACAGCACCACCCATCTTGCAGCGTGGGAGAGGTCTGCAAATCGAGAGGGAAGCCGGCCATGCTGACTGCTTTCGGCGTATCAAACAGCACACTATCCAGACCGACTTTTGATGTCATTCCGCGACGAGGACTCACTTCAGACAAAGAAAGCTGGTCCTTACAGTATGCGCCCAGGATAGGGTGAATGGCTTTTGACGCCGCATTTGAAATGGTCCTGTTCGCGTCCAAGTAGGAATGCCATTCTCGAATCGGTTAGTCCGTTCGGGCATGGACCCGTCCAGACTAGAAATACTAACCCTAACCCTAGAGAGCAGGTTTCGCTGACTCAGCCACTTTAAAAATGCTTCGTCACGAACCTCCCATTTTTCGATAGCAAAAAAAAGACCTCCCAACTTTTAGGGATATTGGCTTCCTCGACCGGGAGTCGAACCCGGGGCTGCTGGGTGGTATTTCACACTTGGGATTTTCTTATTATGAAAACCAGCGATGTTAACCGTTACACCATCGGGGACTCAACTCATCTCAATGTTGTTTGATGAATGAGGCTTGATTGTTGAGAAATTTTTGGGGTTATTGGAATATGAATAGTGGATTTTAGTGGGCTGTGGTTTCGCATGGCTGACCGGTGGCACGGGTGGATAGAAGGTTCGGGGGCGCATCGGTTCAAGCTTCTTCAATTATTGGAGACGCGTTCCTTGGGTGCCTTTCCTGCGCTCCTTTCAATCAAGTAAACGATTCCCATCCATCACATCTCTTCATATCAAGTCTTCCCTCCTCACCAAGTCCACGAATCAGTAATATCCTCTGTTCTCCTCTTCGACCGCTCGAATTCCGAACCTCTCGATCCCTAAGTCGACCAGGCATCCCGCCAGCTGCAACCATGATCGGCCCGGGAAAGGGCATGCTAGGTGAGGATGGCATCCACGTCGACATGAATCACCTTAAGTCGGGAGAAGTCAACTTGGGCACATCGATTATGGCAATCAACTTCAAAGACGGTGTGATTCTAGGAGCAGACAGCCGGACAACCACAGGCGCATACATCGCAAACCGAGTAACGGACAAACTCACACAAGTCCATGACACCATCTGGTGCTGTCGGTCAGGATCAGCTGCCGACACTCAGGCCGTCGCAGATATTGTGTCATACCATCTGGGTATGTATGGTATCATGAACAACGAGCCACCTACCACCCAGACTGCTGCTGCGCTGTTTCAAGAGCTCTGCTATGAGAACAAGGATCAATTAAGGTAATACCACAGTACGAGCTTGGCTGGAACAAGGCTGACTATATCCAGTGCTGGCATGATTATTGCAGGCTATGACAAACGCAATGGTGGCCAAGTTTACTCGATACCGCTCGGAGGCTCGCTGCACAAGGGCCCTTACGCTATTGGAGGATCAGGATCAACCTACATCTACGGATTCTGTGACGCACACTGGAAGGAAGACATGACTGAAGAAGAAGGAGTACAATTCGTCAAGGAGGCTTTGAGAGAGGCTATCAAATGGGATGGCAGCTCTGGAGGTGTGATTCGAATGGTGGTCTTGACGGCAAAGGGAGCCCAGCGGCACCTATACCTTCCAGACCAGGACTACAGAGGGCCTGGGACGAAATAAACGGACAAGCAACAGGCGTTGAGGATCAGGATGGTTTCTCAGGCGAGACTCTGGCCTTCAGGCCGGTTGAGATACAATTAGCATCGCAGCCCCAAAATTCATTAGAGCTGAACAAAGGGATCCAGGGCCTCTTTTTCAGGACCTATCTTCAGACGATCACACATCGTAGCAACTCCCCCGTTTTTCCTTTGTAGCATACCGATGACGGTTCTTTTGGCGTTGCGATATTGTTTGATTTGACTTGCAGTGAGTGGATTGTCCCAATCTCAGCTTTTATGGATTTATGCAAAATGACGCCAATAGGTGCGGCAAAGGTCCAGTGGGCACTTGCACCAAAAGCAGAGCCTGGTGCGCCTGGTGAGCCATAGGCCCATAGCCCATCGAACCATCGACAGACCACCCACTGCTGCCGGCGATTATTCGTTCGCCCTTGCAAGTTCCAATCAGCCCCGTCTTCACTCATTCTCTCACATCACTTTCACGCTCTCTCACCATTTAATTCCCCCTCGTTCACGACATCATTCCGCCGTGTTCGGAGTCATAGTCTCGTCTTGGAGGATCACACGCGCAAGGGGACTCTCCAGACCTTAGACGACCTCCGGAATGTCTCTGGTAAGTCGCCAATAACTTCATCCCCCACCGCTCAATCAGCACATGCTAGCTCCCAGCGCACCCAGCGACTCCTTCCACGCTGGCCTGCACCAACACCAGAATCACCACAGCCCTGAGTCTCATCGAAGTCACCGCAATGGCAGAGCGCTTTCATCCCCTTCGTGCATGCGAAATCCCATCAACCCTCCCATGTGGGCCCCAGCGGCCTGCCTCTGGACCGCACTGCCACTACAGCAGAAACTCTCTTGGTCGGGCTGTGGTTGATTGGGGCTGGTCAAATCATATTGTTTTGCACATCATTTGGCAGAACGCATTGCTGACATACTCTGTGATAGACACTCAACGCCACAGGTTGAGATGGGCTCGTTGGTGATAAGCCAAGTGGCGCCGGCACTCGGTCAGCATCCCTATCACCACATGATGGTCGATAGCAATTCTCAGCCAGATGAGGCTTCACAGTCTTCAAGAGCTAGGAGCGCGTCAGCTTCCGCGACCATAAGGCAGCGGGGCAATACCGATGCAGCCAGCGGATACACCACACCTACCGTTCAGGAGCCTTCAGAAAACACATCAACACCAGTATCTCACCCCGTAGAACACGAATCCTCTCCCTCATCTCGTCACTCCTCTTACCACCCGCAAAATGTCAATCAACACAGTCGAGGCTTCGACCAGTCCGGCTTTCCTTTATCGAACGACCCACGAGTCGTGGTCGCAGCTTCACCTCCCTCTCCACGACTGCAGCCGACATACCGATCTACGAGATCCTTAGGAGGATCTGAAGCTACCTCACCGAGTCGCATCAAAGTCAGGGATCTGTCACATATCCGCAGTTTTGCCAGTGAGGAATACCTGGCGCGACCAAGGTTGGGGGGTCGATCCTCAAGCGCGTTTTCGGACTCGGGCAGACAATACGAGATCAGTTCCATGCCAGTCACAGACATTATCGAGATGGTCGCTGGACTTCTTACCAAGATTACAACCACAAATGACAGACAACACGAGCATCATCGTCCAATTCCGCTCACCGAGGAACAGAGTCACCTCAACCCCCATGCTTCCTGCGTACTGGCATTTCACGGCAAGAACGTGCCCGGGATAACTATCCTGAGCTATCTAAGTCGGATACATAAGTACTGTCCAACGACTTACGAGGTCTTCCTGAGCCTTCTAGTGTACTTTGATCGAATGACGGAGATGGTGAATCGAGGTCTATTAGGACAAGGACAACGACGACCTAATGAATCACCTGCAACAGCACCAGAATCTTCTACTCCAACAGGACGCTCACCAGTGCCGATGAACGTCGACAGTCCTCTGGACCAGCATGATATCAGCGAGCCACAGTCATCAAGCGCTGCCACAGCACAGGCACCTGGCTCGCCGACAGTTTCGGGTGGCAGTACTGATCTCTCGCAATTCTTCGTTGTTGACAGCTACAACATTCATCGCCTTGTGATCGCGGGAGTCACTTGCGCTAGCAAGTTCTTCTCGGATGTCTTTTACACAAATTCGAGATATGCCAAGGTATGTCTATTGAGGCTCCACAAGCCTCTCCCATTCAGCTGACTGGTATTCCTTTTGCAGGTCGGAGGTCTTCCGCTGGCAGAGCTTAACAATCTCGAATTGCAATTCTTGCTTCTCAACGACTTCCGGCTCTCGGTTCCGGTGGAGGAACTCGAAGCCTATGGCACCATGCTCGTGGAATTCTACGCCAGGGAACTAGTCGCACAGCAGCAGGTCCCTCAGGCTGCAGCGTCACAACCGCATGCAGGTGACGGCATGTACATGCGTGCACATGCTGGATCGCGAGCCCCCACCACACCTACCTCGTAAAAGGAGGATCACGAAGTTGCACGAGGGTACAGTTCCAACAATTCGTTGACTTGTACCCAATCTGCGCCATGTCAGATTTGTGTAGAATCATCTCAAGTCCGAGCTGCTCCGAGCTGGGACGAGAAGGAGCTTTTCGCCTTGGTTCAGAGCTTTCGATGGAACAGCGACGTCGATATCAATTGTTCACGGCGGACTCGAGTCTATACGACTTGCCTGGCCGATGAGATTACTGGAAATGACCAATTCAGAATTCCAACCTCGGTCCTCCTCTTCATCTCCGAAGCGGTAGTTTCCACGCTGCCGCCCAGTCTATTATGGTCTAATTTGGCGTACCTTCTCGACTTTCCAGACGGCATTTGTCCATTTCTTTATAGCGGCGTTTACGGTAACACTAGGGTCTCGGCTGTTTTCGCAATATATGCTGCTTCACGGTGCGCGGCGTACGATCATGCCCTATTTTCTTTTCGAGTTGGGAGTGGCCGACGTCAGTCGTTGAGGCTACGGCTGGTATAGATCGCGAATGGTTTTCGTTCTTGATGAGCGCACCCTGCTTGTTCTGATTGTCGACTTCACGGGTGGGGGCCTCGTGGCCGGGCCTGGCGGTCGATATATATGCGACTCGAAGAGGTCGGAAGAGTGGTTGTGAGACGATAATGACTGCGCCTAGAGTGGCTCAAGCTCCTACAGCGAGCTTGAATTGGGACGAATGGAAAGTGACAGTGACTGGACAGGAAATGGACGACCGACACGACACGAAACACAACCACGATGTGGAGTACCCTATGTTGATATAGACAATTGACGCAAATTGAAGCCCGTACTGTTGTTATTTTGGATGGCCACATTGCACTCGTCACGTTCATTCCGACCAACCGAACCTTTTTCCGTCTTTCCTTCCCATTCATGCAAAGACCTCAGACACCTGCCTCGCCCGACAGCGCCAGGTGAATGAAGATTATAAATGGTGACAAGACGCAGTTGCACGGACAGGAGCGACTGGAGCCCTGCGAACTCTTCTTGAAGGATGAAGTGGTGAGAGGACTGGCGTTCTGGGCGATGGGATGAGAAAGACAGGCATGGGTTTCCAAGGCCGAGGACAAGATACTGCGATATTCTGCTGCTCACCAGCTATCTTCCCTCGTCTTGTATCTAGGTATCTAAGCATGCTGTTCTGTCTAAGCTCTATCATAGCACAATGCGCCGTCCCTTTTGTGCCACTAGGCCAGCACGACTTCGAACGCTGCTGAACCGAAAGCTGCTCTCTGTCCGTCTGAAGCGTCCTGGTTTTCATAGAAATACTAATGTCGTTTGAATCATCAAGCATAAACATATCCCTTCTTATTATCTGACGATGCAGTCTGCAAGTGAACGTCAGGCTTCATCTGTTGACGTCTTCTTGGTCGTGGCGGCTCAACTTCCACGGAACAAGAATTGCATATCCTCTGGCGTCAGCTTGTCGAGGGCAACTTGATCATTGTTCACTGTGCCATTGATCATGTTGGCCTTCTTCTCCTGGAGCAAGACCATTCTCGATTCGACCGAGTCTTCAATAACGAGACGAGTGATGACACATGGACGACGCTGGCCGATTCGGTGACAGCGATCGGCGGACTGCCATTCTGCAGCTGGATTCCACCATCTGTTGAACATGTTGTTAGCAAACGGACAAGCTTCCAGAAAGAAAAATAAGTGCAACTTACGGATCCACAATGTAGACTCGACTAGCCTCAGTCAAGTTGAGAGCAACACCACCGGCCTTGAGCGAGACCAGAAAGACCTCAACATCCACGTTGTTCATGAAGTGATCAATGGACTTCTGCCTCTGAGCCGGACTCATACTTCCGTCAAGCAAGACAGTGCTGAAGCCGGATTTCTGAAGGCGCCATTGAACAAGCTGCAACATTGAGGTGAACTGCGAGAAGACGATACTCTTATGAGTCTGTTTCTTGCTTCGGAGTTTGTATAGATCATAGACGAGCATTTCGATCTTGGTGGAAGAAGTCCAGTCCTCCATCTTGATACGATTGATGATGGATGACTTCTTGACATTCTCCTCGTCTTGTTCGATTTCGGGTTGCTCCCAGTCGATCTGTAGAGGGATGTGACATCGAGGACAATCAGCGTCGCCGCCGCCACCCGCAAAAGACTGAACGTATGATTTGGCGCATTGACGACAGAACTCATGGTGACACTTTGAACGGATTGCTTCTTCCGCAGGTTCATCACATATGCAGCACACCAAGATATTCTGTCCACCTTCACCATTTCGGCGAAGGATCAGATCTGGATGGTTCGCTACTTGTCTCATCTGCATGATAAGACCGAAGATGTTGGCATAATTGTTCAACATGACACCTTGATTGACGTATGTGTCAAACTTGCGAGTGGAATTTGACATGATACTCTGTGAAAAATCCCGCTCAATCTCACCAAAGAATTCATTGTGCACAATGACATCCTTCGGCGGCAGCTCCATTGACGAGGTGTGGTCACGCTTCATCCGACGCAACATGATCCGATCGGTAATGAAGCGTAGCTTTTCGAGGCCCTTCTTTCTCAGGTCGGTGTCTTCGCCTTGGGTGATTGGATTGAGGATTTCCTGGTTGAACACAGAGACGTGGTTAAAGCCGCTGTGTTTGCACCCGGTACACATTTTCTGTTTATCCTGGCTCCAATGAAGTTGTCGACACTTGCATGACTTGCAGAAATAACAAGCGAAAGGCATGACCTCGAGGAAGCGCAGCAGAGAGAAGAACTCTCCGATACGATTCTGAACTGGAGTGCCGGAGAGACACCACTTGTAATCGGATTTCAGGGCAAAACATGCTTTGGCGACACCAGTGGTTCTCGACTTGATGCTGTGCGCTTCATCAAGAATGAGTCGATGGAACTTGATGGCATGCAGGATGCTGTCCTCTTTGACGATGCCGTCGTTGCGGCTCCAGCCTTTGTGTTGCTTGCGATACATTGACTCAAGCCCAGAATAAGAGACCATGATGACATCGTACTTCTTCAGGTCTTTGACCGTAAGTAGTTTGCATTTGGGGTTCGCGGAAATGTGGTAGACGAGGACTTTGAGCTTTCCACTTGTGTAGTCGTTTATCTCAGCCTGCCATTGCATCAGTGCAACGGGCGGAACCACAACAAGTGAAGGGGCTTTGGCTGGCCAATCCGACATGATCAAGCTGACGGCTTGGATTGTTTTGCCCATGCCCATTTCGTCTCCAAGCAGGCCACCTTTCCACATGGACTTTTCTTGCTTGACCATCCAGTCTAGCCCCTCGAGCTGGAAGCGTTTCAGCTTGCGATTGATAGATTCTGGTTGCTGCGCGGGGACGGGTTTGATTGGTTCAATGGTCTGCAACTCATCCCACATGGTCTTGATTTCTGGATGGGCTTTCTCAAGTCTCTGACGCTCGCGCTTAGCTCGTCGTTTTTGAGGGTCCCATAGAAAAGGAGATGGAATACGTCTTCTTCTCGAGGATGCGAGCCCCGAGGGGCCTGCATCATCGTCATCGTCCAGATCCTCACTAGCTTCTGACGGTGCAGCCCCGACAGAGAAAGTGTCGAACTCAGACAAGTCGGTGTCACCGAACGACACAACAGACGAAAGTTCCGATTCGTCTAGAGATGCACCTGCACGAACGCCAGAATCTTTGAGGGCAGGCATAGCCAATTTCGTGCGTGGTCGAATTGCGAGAGGTACATCGTCGTCACTATCGTCGGTGTCCAGCACTTCAGTCGCCGTACGACGGCGTTTGAACAATGGCTGAGTGTCAGAGTCGTCGCTGTCATTGCCCATATCATACTCTTGTGCTTGCAACAGGCGGGCAAGCTTCTCATCCGCATCCTCCTCCGGGTCTTCCATGGTGGCATCAGCAGTTCGCTTTCGTGAAGAACGTGGCTTCAAAGCAAACTCGGATGACTGCAGTTCTAGGGCGCGAGCAGTAGCTGTAACTTTGGTCTTGGTTATAGGGTAGTCCGTGGCATTTGGGGTAGGAACAGTACTCGTAGCAGGGGTCTCGTAATTAGATGAGTCCATGGAGTCGGCAATCGAGGAGGGCGCGGTAGAGGCAAGGCGTGTAGCAGGGTTCTTAGTCGAGTCAGAGCCATTTCTGGGAAGGAACACTCCTCTAAAGGTGCCTTTCGAGATGGGATCTGAGGACAAGATTTCTTCAACTCCGTCAGAGTCGGGGATCTCAGCAACTTTTGGGGTTCGAACGCTGCGTCTCATGGGTTGTCTGGTTGTGGGCAGGGATGGTTCTGGAGTGGCGATTTTTGAGGCTGCGACAATGGTTAGCAATGAAGAATATACTGGACTTGTCTTCAAACCACTTACAGGAGGTTCTCTTTGAGGCTGACGACCTCGCAGGACGGCGTCTGGGTCCCATCTTGCCTGGCGGAGTGAGAGAAGATTGAGATGGTACAACTGGGAAAAAGGGAGAAATCTCATTGATATCGCGGAAGAGGGATCGAGTTCAGGGTCCAATCAAGGGAAGTTGCATGATTGGCTCTGGGCGCGCTGGCTGCCTGCGACACGGTCCAGGCACAAAGACCAAAGGGCTTGAAGTTCGCCGAAGGGTTAGAGTTGCTAGAACCAATCAATTACCACTGCCGGCAATTCGGGCAGGAAGAATGGGTAGAGCGAGGGCAGTGAATCACGTGATAGCGCGTATCGCGTAAAGTGCCTGCATTCACTTTTATCAGCGTATCTTGGGGGCCCTGTTGGGTGCCTATCACAATTTCTGAGTGACCCCTCGACGAAAGAGAGTGACTGCCTGCAACGTCTTCATTCACGGCTAACGTTCCTTTGCTGCTTGTGACTTTGTCTTCTGTGCTCGATCCGTCTTACAACAACCTCCTGGCAGTGCTCAGAAGATCTTGACTCGGTTCGCCACCCATAATAGCATCTACAATGTAAGTTGGCCGCTCCTTGACAAAATGAGTCTCGCACTGAACTTGGATCCAGGGCGAATCGACGGGCTGCCGCCGCCAATCGCATCCGTGGGCCTCAATCAGCGCTCACGGACTTCCTCGCCTCCCACAACATCTCCGCTCAGCAGATCCACCAAGACTACCAACGCCGTGTAGAAGAGGCAGAACGTCAAGCACAGGCGGCCGCGCAGGGTGCAGACAACGACAAAGAGAACGAGGATGAATATGAAGATGCCGAGGATGATCCAGTCGAGCGGCAGAAAAGAAAGAGAAAGGAAGAAAAGGCCCTACTGAAGATCAAGCAGAGCAAGGAGTTCAAGCGCCGCAAGCACGAACAAGGCAGTGACTACGAGCAAGATGCCGATGAGCTTGCACGTAGCATGCTTGCCAAATCAAAGCCTCTTCCAGGCCAGCTCGACAATTGCGAGATTTGCGAGAAGAGGTTCACCGTGACACCCTACAGCGGGACTGGCCCTGACGGCGGTCTCCTCTGTACGAAGTGTACCAAAGAGCTGAAGGATGAAGAGAAAAAGGAGGCCAAAGCTAGAAAAAAGAAAACTGCTGCTCCTCGTGGACGACGCCGACAGACTGAGAGTGACCGAATGATGGGTAATGTCAAGCCTGGTGCGAAAAGCCTCGTGGAAATCTGTGTTCGGCGTGTCGCCAATGTCGTTCATGACATTGACGAATTCGGCGATATGCCACAAAACCTCCTTGACCGACTGAGTCAGATTCTCTCCAAGCAGAGAGTAGTTACGCCTCGAGTTTTTGAGCTGTTCCTACGTCAAGATGTTGACCGGATCAATGTTTACGACTGTGGGAAGCTAGAGAAAGAAGACTTTCAGAAGATGTTTGCCTACATGCCCAACCTCAAGATTGTCAATCTACGATTTGCTGGCCAAATGAAGGACGATGTTGTACTCTACATGGCTGACAAGTGCAAGAAGATCCGTCATCTCCAACTCGGCGCTACCAATCTGGTCTCTGACAGTGTCTGGGTACAGCTGTTTCGCTCACTTGGGCCTCAACTGGAGAGCTTGAAATTGTCAGAACTCAATGATTCCATGGGAGATGACACTGTCAAAGAACTGGTGAAAAATTGCCAGACACTGAGACGTCTCAAGCTCAGATCATGTTCACACATGAGCCCCGATTCACTCGAAGCGTTGTGCAATCTCAGCAAGCTCGAGCACTTGACTCTGGCTGTCGCCCAGGACGCCCCAGCTGATACGCTGGTCAAGTTAGTCTCGTCCCTCGGTCCCAATCTTCGAACACTTTGCCTGGAAGACTTCATCGAGCTCGACGATACAGTCTTGGACGCGATAAAGAACCACTGCCACAAATTGAGCAAACTCCGCATCCGGGGAAGCAGTCTGTGCTCTGATGCTGCCTTCGCCGGTCTTTTTGACAACAATTCCCCCTTCCCACCACTCGTCTACGCCGATTTTGCCGAAAATCGGGACATTGACAACATGAACCCCGAAGGCCCACAAGATAATCCGATAGGCTTTGGCTCGTTAGCTCTGACGGCTCTGATGAATCACTCCGGCTCACGGCTCAAGAGTCTGGATCTCAAGTCGTGCCGGCACATTTCTCACATGGCGTTGTTGGGTGCCTTCGATGGTCTCAAGAAGTACCCGGCTATCACAGACATGGACCTTTCGTTCGTGACGCAGGTGGACGAGGTGGTCTTGGTGGGCATCTTCAAGAGTTGTCCGGCTCTAGCAAAATTGGTGGTCTTTGCTTGCTTCAATGCCAGACGAGCGGTCATTCCAACTGGTATTGCTGTCATTGGCTTGCCGAACGCGCAAGATAATATCGTACGGGAGGGTGATGTGCAGATGGAGTTGTAGATGGAACGACTTGTGCAGTTCTGGCTCATGAGGTCTTCAAAGGCCATGTGGATAAGTCGAGACCTGGATTATATTATGAGGAGTGGGCAAGCGAGGATCCCAGTTGCAATGATGGAGATGTCGATATGCATTACATGAGAAGCATGCGTTTAAAAGTGTCGTTGCCATCAAGGTGGCTTTATCCGGGCTACAGATACTCTGAAATACACATGCCTTCGGTACTCATGTCATGCCGTCTCATGATCAATTACAGAGGCCATACTCTAACTACAGCCATACAGCCATACATCTATGATCAATGCGTAACAGCAAATGATCTACTGGTGCCCGACGGGATCTCGTCGTCAGTCGACTAATGGCGATCTCTCCCCGCGGTCCTCTCAGGCCGATATCTCATCGCACGTCCTCCACCAGGTCAGAGCATCTCAATCCCCTCCACCAACCAATCCAGCCTATCCTCACCCAATGTATCATTCTCTGTCCCATTGACAAGCTTCCTCGCCAGACTCCTAACCTGCCTACCCCTGGTCGTCTCTTCCAGCTCCCTACTCTTCCCCTTCGCGACCTCAATCACACCCTCGCCCAGATTCGCCAATCTCGCCACATTCAACCCATAACTTCTATGCGCCACGCCCTCGCCGACCTCGTACAAAAACGTCACATTCTCATTACCCTCCTCCGTAAAACGCATATGTACGTTTCTCAATTCCCCTTCCTCGAACGCCTCGGCCATCTTCGCGAGCATCTGGTAATGCGTAATAAACAGCGTCAGACACTTCTTCTCTCGGACCAAATAATCCAGCACACTCCTCGCAATCGCCACACCATCATGCGTGCTCGTCCCGCGTCCGAGCTCGTCCAGCACTACCAGACTCCGCTCGGTCGCAAGTTTCAAGATATCGCTAGTCTCACTCAATTCCACCATAAACGTGCTTTCTCCACTCATCATATTGTCAAACGCCCCCATGCGCGTGAACACGGCATCGAGTAATCCCAGCCTCGCTCTCGTTGCGGGCACGAAACTCCCGATCTGGGCCATGATGCTCACCAACGCAACGGACCGCACGTACGAGCTCTTGCCGCCCATATTCGGGCCCGTCACGAGCAGCGCGCGTGTCCCTTCATGCGCGATGGCAATATCATTCGGCACGTACGCGTCGATTAGGAGCTGTTCAACCATCGGATGTCGCGCCCCCACGACATCGATCTTGATCTCGCTTGTGAAACTGGGCCTTACGTAGCCTGGTTGACTGGCCACGTTGGCCAACGACAAGAGACAGTCCAGCGTCGCTAGGCTCTGGATCGTGTCGCGGAAAAGTTGGTACTTGGTACTAATATCCGCAAGGAGGTCTTTATACGCCTTGTCGCACTCCGCTGCGAGGGACTCTTTATGTTGATCCCGCTCGCGCAAGAGCTTTACAATTTCAGGCGGATGAAAGCGAGAGACTTTCTTCGTACCAGAGACCTTAATCCAGGACGCAGGGACCTTTTTGATCGTGCCGGAATTGTTCTCGACTTCGATGAGGTAGTCTATCCCGGCAACGGTGGCGTAGTCAACCGATCTTTTCTTGCCCAGTTTCTCTGCAACCGTGGTGCGAAATTCATCGAGGTCGTGCTCCACGCTAGCGATACCGAGTTTGTGCTCTGTAATTGCGTCCGTTTCCGCATCGTCCGTGAAGAAGTCGTACTTGTCGTCCGACTTAGCAGCTTGAAGGTTAATTTTCTCCAGATAACCGACCACCTCAGTCAAAATGAGGGGCAGGGACGTAATGGCTGACGAGATGAGAAGAGAACCGAACCCAGTGGATCCTGCATCAGTGACTTGGGCGAACTCTGTGGCCAGGAATTGCAACGATTGCATGACGTTCGTGAGCTCAGGTCGTGTGCACTTGCCGTAATAAATCCTGATAAGGCTCTTTTCCAGGTCTGTCCTCATTTTCGACAGCACATGCCTCAATTTCTCTACGTTGATGGCTCTGTCAGGATCGAGAAGTTCCTCAACGGCGTTGAGTCGTTCCTCGATCAGATGCTGGTCTAGTAGCGGGCGACCGACCCATTTGCGCAGCAGTCTTCCACCAAATTTCGTTTGCGTCCTGTCCATCATCCAATATAGACTGCCCTTGGTGGAGTGGTCTGTCTGGTTCTGATAGATCTCAAGGCTTGTCAACGTAGTGCCGTTCAGCAGCATATGAGATCGGGCCGAGAAAGGTTGGAAGTACTTCGTAAGTTGGAAAACGTGCTCGAGTCCGTAGTCGGACAGATGCTTGATCATGGCTGACAGGCAGACCAGGACGTTCTCCGGAAGACCTAGGATCTTATCAAAGATCTTGATGGCCTTGTCCTGATCTGACTGGGCATCCTTCGATTTTCCAGCATAGAATGTCGAGATATGGCTGTGTGCTTGTGCGGCCATCGTCTTCTCCTTGTCCACACGTTCCACCCGGATCTTGTCCCCGAAGACATTGGTTTTGCTGCCAGACAAATGCAGAACGAGCTTCTCGGTCGCTTTCGAAAGCTCACCAACGATCAGAAACTCACAAGGGGCGATATGTAGTAGTCGGGTCTCAATCTCACTTCGCATGAAACCATCCTCAAAGTCGTCATACACAATATCTCCGGTTCCAGGCTGGACAGCAACAAGTCCAACATGCACTTTCTCATCGTTGCCATAACCTTTCACGTTCACCTCGGTCATGCATAGTAGAAAGCCAGTAGAGGGCGACTGGGGCGCAGGACTCGCCCTAGTATCCTCCTCAATCCCTTCTGTATCGTCAACGTAAGTGCCTTTGGTGTATAGGTTCGTGAGCTTTCGTACAAATGGTGCATTTCTGTTGTCACCAACGGCCTTGAGGGCGGCCGTTTCAAGTTGACGCACCACGCCAACTTTGTGACCAGCGGCGACTAAACGCTTGACATGGACGTGCAGACGGTGCACGGGGATACTGGCCGATGCAAATCGATCCAGGTGTGCTTCGGATAAATGTTCGTCGTATCGGTATTTGCCAGGTATACACACGATGCCCAGTTCCTTTGCAGCAATTCTGGCATCTTCACCAAAGAAGCGAAACTTGTAGCCGACTTCCACCACTAGTAGAGTGTCCATGTGAGCCTGTTTGATTTCAATGACCTGCTTTTCCATTGGCGTGAGCTTGCTTCCAGCTTTTTTCGTGCCTTTGGTCCGTGTCGCCGGCTTCGACGGCTCTTCAGCAGCCTCCTCTTCTGCATCATCGTTCTCTTCTCCGACAGCTTCCTCTTCTAGTGCACGATTCCGCCTCTTGATCTCAGCAATACTATCAGGTCTGCCCAGCTTCTTCACAAACTTCCGATGTAGCTCATCTTTTCGTCGTTTCTCGGCGCTATCATCTTGTTCAACATTCTGGTTCTCTTGTAATGGCGACGACGAGAAGAGGTATTTCGAGGTTCGGCCTGTTAAAACGGAGTCGGCTGAGATCGTGGCGATATTCTGCCCATTTGCTGAGAGGGGTCTCAGAGTCCGTGTATCCTGTTCTGTCTCTCCATCTGCGACGTTGGAGGGGTCTCCTTCGCTGGGAGTGATTCGTCGTCTTTTGGCGGATGGCAATTGGATGTGATCCTCTTCTTCATCAGGGACAGGAGATTTCGCAACCAGTGGACTAGACGAAGGCTTTTTGAAGAAAGAAGACAAGGTCTGCTGCTTCTTCTGTAATGGCGCCATAGCAGACCCTCCTCATGGTCAACCTACTATGGTATCGAATGCGCTGCACAGGCCTTCAGTGACAAGAGGGTAGAAGATATCGTCACTTGAAGGGCAGTCTTTCCTGAACCAATAAAACCGCGCCAATTGCGGGACGCGTCGGGCGTCGCGTCGACCGCGTTAATCTGTGCGCCCCCCTGCCTTTCGAGATGTGCAGGTAGCCAAAGCTCAACTCCCAAAGCTCGCAACCAGGACATCCTGCTACCCTTCTACCCTTCTACACCGGCGCAGCACTATGGCGCTTTTACAACACAAAGCCCTCGCTGACTATGCGAAGCAGCTGGAAGCGTTTCAGTCCTTCCTAGAAAAGTTCGAGACCTCAAAAACTTCCTCAGACGCTGCCGCCGAAGCCATTGACGGCCTCCACCTCGATGGCGATCACACCAGTGATGAGTACGACTTCATGGACGATGTCGCAGACGGAGATGACACCAATGCAAGGCGACGACCGAAGAGAAAATATATGGATATGCTACAAGAAGTCGCGGATCGAGAGCGGCAGAATATCTTGATAGATCTCGATGATCTGCAGCAGGTGCGCGCAACGACGACTCATAAAGCGCTTTGGTTGACGCTTTCTACAGTTCGAAGACTCTCTGCCGGCCGATCTGAATTTGAGACTAGTCGAGTCGGTTACCAACAACACAAAACACTATGTTGACCTCTTCTCAGACGCCGTGGACAAGGTGCTGCCGAAAGAAAGCAAAGACATCTCGTACGTAATCGTGGATTGAAAGCGACAAATGAGATTTAACAGTCAGCTAGATTCAAGGACGATGTGTTGGACATCATAATGGCACAACGAGCAAAACGAAATGAGACGGTTGCCGCGGCCAACGAAGCAGATTCGGACGCCGCTCTCCCTGTATCAACATTCCCTCCCGAGTTGACAAGAAGATATACCTTGAATTTCAAGCCAATCACTTCCACAGGCTCCGACAAGGCGAAAAAGACACTTGCTGTACGACAGGTCCGAGGAGAACATTTGGGCCACCTCATCACAGTGCGCGGCATCACCACAAGAGTTTCGGACGTCAAGCCCAGCATCCGGATACAAGCATATACGTGCGACCGCTGTGGCTGCGAAATCTTCCAACCTATCACCTCCAAGAACTTCACACCTTTACAACTTTGCCCGTCTGAAGAATGCAAGGCCAACGATTCCAAGGGTCAATTATTCCCTTCCACCAGAGCATCCAAGTTTTTGCCTTTCCAGGAAGTCAAGATTCAGGAGATGGCAGACCAGGTTCCAGTCGGCCATATTCCGAGAACATTGACCATTCATTGCAATGGCAGCCTCGCACGACAATTGAACCCAGGCGATGTCGTTGACATTGACGGCATATTCCTGCCAACTCCATACACCGGTTTCCGCGCCATTCGTGCCGGTCTGCTGACAGACACATACTTGGAAGCACAGAACATCACACAGCACAAGAAGGCTTACCAGGACCTGACAATGGACCCTCGGGTTATCCGACGAATCGAGTCTTTCAAGGCTACCGGGCACATGTACGAGTACCTAGCTCGATCGATCGCGCCCGAAATCTATGGCCATCTGGACGTCAAGAAAGCCCTGCTTCTCCTGCTTATCGGAGGTGTAACCAAAACAATGGGCGATGGCATGCGTATCCGTGGAGACATCAACATCTGCTTGATGGGTGATCCTGGTGTGGCTAAATCGCAGCTGCTCAAATACATCACCAAAGTTGCTCCTCGCGGCATCTACACAACCGGTCGGGGATCGAGCGGTGTCGGTTTGACAGCTGCCGTGATGCGAGATCCTGTGACAGACGAAATGGTGCTGGAAGGCGGTGCTCTCGTCCTCGCAGATAATGGAATATGCTGTATCGACGAGTTCGACAAAATGGACGACGGTGACCGAACAGCCATCCACGAAGTCATGGAACAACAGACCATTTCCATCAGCAAAGCTGGCATAAGCACGACTCTAAATGCGCGAACTTCGATCCTGGCAGCTGCGAACCCGCTTTATGGCCGGTACAACCCTCGCATTTCACCTGTGGACAACATCAACTTGCCTGCCGCCTTGCTCTCGCGTTTCGACGTGCTCTTTTTGATTCTCGACACACCTTCGCGCGAAGCCGACGAAGAACTCGCCAACCACGTCTGCCATGTCCACATGCACAACGCGCATCCCGAGCGCGAGGGTGAAGGCGTAGTCTTCTCTCCCAACGAAGTGCGCCAGTACATCGCGCAGGCCCGTACTTTTCGGCCAAACGTCCCGAAATCCGTGTCAGAATACATGGTCGGCGCGTACGTGCGGATGCGTCAGCAACAGAAGCGCGACGAGGGCTCGAAAAAGCAATTCACGCACACGTCGCCACGTACGCTGCTCGGTGTGCTCCGTCTCTCACAGGCTCTTGCTCGACTGAGATTCAGCAACGAAGTGGTCAACGAAGACGTCGACGAAGCGCTGCGGTTGACTGAAGTCTCCAAGGCCAGTTTATACCACGACCAACGCGCCCAGGGAGATCAAACGGTCAGCTCACGGGTCTACGACCTCATTCGTGGGATGAGAGAGTCTGGAGCCGCGAGTGTGGGCCGCGGTGCGAGAGGAGAGTTGAACATGCGTCGGGTGACGGAGTTGATCCTTGCAAAAGGTTTCACCCAGGATCAACTTACCAGGACTGTGGAGGAGTATGAGCTTCTGGATGTGAGTATCTATCTTCTTTCAAGAAGACGCTTTTGTCATAGTTACTGATGATTGAACAGGTCTGGCAACTTGCCAACAACGGCTCGAGACTTGTCTGGATCGAGGCGGGAGATAGTGATGAGGATGACGAGCACATGGCTGATGGTGACGAGTCGGAGTAAGAGGTCATGCAGGATCGTTTCATTTTATATGTGAAGATGGAAATCCGACTCAACATGGCCCAAGGACAAGCGACGACTTGACGACTGCCTGTTCGACTCGCAGGGTCTACAGCTGCGATTATGGCCATTGTTGGGAGCATTTCCCCTCAAGCTCGCACTCCGCTGCGCCCGATGGTGGATTTACAGCAATGATGAGGGCGTTCTAATAGGCACAAAGATCGGGAGAGGGAGGAATACGTCCATCTTCTGGATATGCCCGGCGGTTTTAAATCTCGCAAGGCGTTTCGAGGCCCGCCGAGGAAGGGCAAGAACGATGTTAACGTTAGTGCCGATGTTTGCAATACTGCTTTCTCGTCCTTTAAATGTCTTTGGGGTTACCATTGCATGATAGAGCACCAATGACATGTTATACCTGATCAGATTGCCGCGTGAGCGATTCGAGTGCCTCCAACCTCCCATTTTGGGTTTTCCATATCCTGCACAAACACATTCTACGCTCTTTCCCGGAGAAACCATTCCGACGCTATGCTTCCTGAAGATCAAGACCAACCAAACATGCTATGCAATAACTCGGGAACTCGGTAATGCACAATATCATACGAGTCTCACGAACGCATGGTCGCCGACTGCAGTGGCCTTCTCGAGGCGATATCGTCTTCAACATCGGAGCCGTTTCCACGCTCAGGGCTGGGTTCTGCATATCCTGCCCTCGCCCGCCGGTTCTGCTCTATCTGTTCACGGAACGCGTTGCCAGTACTTTGAGAGCGGAGAGGTGCATGAACTTCAGCAGCTTGAGATCCAACATAGCCTGTCTCGACGTCCATGTCAACCGACGGATTGATGAGGTGAGATCCGTAGGCCGGGTTTGAGAGTTGCGAACCTGGAGTTCTCTCCTTCAGTTGGTACCCGGAGCTATCGTCGCCGTCGTCAGCTGGGACTCTATCATCAAGAACCTCCATCGTGTCGCCGTCAATCAAGACTTTGCCTGGGACGGGACGTTTGACGGGTGTGCCCCATGTCCTCATAGCATATGCCCGACCTTTCTCCCAGACATGGCTGACAGGCGGGAAATATTGACGGTATGAGGCCCAGGCACAAAGGATGCCGAGAGCTGAGCCAAAGAGGACATCGAAAGGATGGTGTCGCGCGTCCATGATTCGGGACATTGCAATACATGCTGCGGCCAATGTAGGGATAAGGACAATGACGGTACGCCAAACCTCGCCCTTTTGGTCGAGAACGTGGAGCTTAGCGGCAAGATACAAGGACAGAAAGAAAAGCCCAGCAAACGATGATGAAGAATGGCCCGAGGGGAATGATCGAAAGCCTGGAAAACTCAAGTCAGGACTTTGCGTTAAACGACATGAAGGGAGTAACCGCCATACCGTCTTGCATGATGGCAGAATCCGTCTGAGTGCAAATCGACTTGGTGACAAGGCCATAAGGCACCCCATCTGCCGAGCCTGCACGGGGTTGACATCGATCAACCAGGTCTGGACGAGGCTTCCCACAAAGGTTCTTCAAACTCCCAGTAATGACGAATGCTGCGCCCTGGCTTAGAAGGAGGCCTAACCATCCACAGTTGAGCTCCCAAAGGCGGTCTGCGAAGGTGTACTTGGACCTGGTATGGGTCGTGCGACGGTGATACGAGAACAAGCCGTCGATGAAAAGCGTGTAGACAGCAATGACCCCGGCCGGAAAGAGACCCGAAATGACAAGTGCAAGAGCGATAGGCACTCGTTCTTTGACGGCGTATGGATATTGGATCGAAATGTTGTTGAGTGAGAAGTGCTGGGCAAAAGGAGTGACAACCTTGTCGAGAGTGGCATATATTATGGCGAGGACACTGGTCAAGCGTTAGAATAGTCCAGTCCTCAGTATGATCTTTTGTTAATTACATGATTATTAAATAGTCAACTGCATAGGATATGAGGGCCCGAGCAGGAATTCGACGGTTCCAAGGTGCATTGAGCTGCCTTTTGAGTCGATCCATACTCGGGGAATGGTCATCAAAGATCGAATGTACCTAGGTAGGCAACGACTGGATGGCCATGAAGGATGTGAACGAGATGAAGTCTGAAGAGAAAATTTCCGAAAGTGACAGCTTGCAGGAAGGACGTGTAAGATGCCCAGACTCGTTGTCGCGTGCCCAAGAAAACAGTGAGGCGAGCTGAGAGAATGCGGTATGTCACGGAAGGGGGCTGATTGGATGATGAAGTGTGAAACATGCAGGCGATGAAACGATCTCTGGCTAACTAAAGAGCCTCATCGATGAGGCTGTGCAAGCAGTGTACTACGTAGTACTAAATTACGGTATGTCTATGTACCGCCTTGTACCTTACATGGTAGCTTAGTAAGAACAAAAGGAGACGTTGCTTGGGGACTACCCAGGTGGTTACCGGTATCAACTCCTGCGACGAGTAGCTCAAGCACATCAAGTCACCCTCGAGATTCTGACTAAGCGACAAGGAAAGAACACTGCTCGACTCGTCTGTTTTATTGTCCTATCTCAATGTTTGCTGTTTAATCTGCCCTCCAGATTCCAGCTGAGGCAGAGACTCTTACCTCCTAGCCACGACCTTACCGATGCATCTGTCTACAAAGACCTGTTCCAGCATAGCCTATCTGGCTTTCTTCGCTACTCAGCAACTCAGTTCGTGCTATCCTTCCAAAGCCTCGTGTCTGACTCGAGTCATTGGATCGGTTGACTCCATCCCCAAGGCACCTCTGGCCCCGGCCTCCATGTGCTAGGACATGTTGGATCCTAACTACCTGGTACTAACCAAACACCATCAATTACCCGAGGCTTTTCTGTACCCAAGACTCCATCCTTGAGGGGGGATTGATGGGGGCATACAGGCTTCTCCAAACCGAGAAACCGAGACCGATGAATACCCCGCGTGCCCGCCTCGGGTTGGTCGACGTCGTGCCCAAGATTACGAGCAGGCATCCCACAATGGATGCTAAACCTAGGTAGTAGACGGAGCTCAGAAGCCACGAGAACCTCCTATATAGGGTGAGCAAGGTGTTTTCTCTTCTGACTTTTCTCTGCGCCTATCCTCCCCTTGCAGCCGTATCTTCCCCAACCATCCACCCCAGATTCTCACTACATAGCTCACGAGGTACACATCCAATCATGAGTGATTACAAGAACCTCCCCGACTTCGACAGCCTTCCCACCATCGATGGCGTGCCACACCGCGCCTGGGGCCTGTTCGACAAGGACGGCAAGAAGGACCATCTAGGCTGTATCAATCTCCTGACCCCCGATGTCGTCAAAGAGGCATACAAAGAAGCCCGCGACGGCGTCTCCATCTCTTTAAACTGGCCCATTGGTGCTCTCGCGAAGCCCGGCTTTGCTCGCAAAGGCCTCGTACACAAGCCCTTCGCATTCGAGGATCCTAGTCTTAAGATTCACTGCTTCGATGACGAAGTCGAGTTCAACACTCAATGCTCCTCACAATGGGACAGTTTGGTCCACTTTGCGCACCAAGCCACGGCCACCAACTACAACGGCGTGAAACCCACGGCCGAGGCCTTGGTCCAGGACTTTGGGTCGTTCGACACCGAGAAAGCCCTGCCCACATTGAACCACTGGCACGAGCGGGGCGGCTTGGTAGGCCGCGCCGTCCTCCTCGACTACAAGGAGTATGCTCGAGCAAAAGGCATCAAGTACTCCTGCTTCGACAGACACCCCATCACGGTCCAAGATCTGGAAAATGTCGCTAAGCACCAGGGTACCACGTTCAAGCACGGCGACATCTTGATCGTCCGGTCTGGATTCACCGATGAACTGACAAATGTGTCTGCCGAGGAACAAGCGCAATTACTCGGGAGCCATAAGTGCATCGGTGTGCAAGGGAACAAGGAGATGGCCAGATGGACATGGAACCACCATTTTGCAGCAGTCGCGGGTGACGCGATCGGTTATGAAGTCATTCCGCCCACCATCGAGGAGGATAACAACAGGGTTGGAACAATTGCGGAATTGGGTAAGTCATATCATATCATCATATCTCGTCTAACACGGTCTCTCCTATCATGGATGAATGAGTGAGTGAAAGGCTGACGCTTTAATTTCCTTGGTGTCTAGTTCTCCATCAATACTTCTTGTCGAATTTCGGTCTCAATATCGGCGAGCTGTGGGATCTGAAAGCCCTGGGTGAGCACTGCAAGAAAGTCGGCCGCTATGAATTCTTGCTCACCAGCTGTCCACTGAACGTGCCGGGCTCCGTGGGAAGTCCACCGAATGCGCTCGCCATATTTTAAGCGGTCAGTGAAACCTGATAAGCAGGAGAAATACTAGTAGTGTAGCAGGACGTAGGGTGGTGTCACTTGAGATTTGATGACTTTGTTACGTGTACCTTAGGTATTCAATGAGCATCTTTCTTGAACCTAGCAACCGCTGGGGAATGGCAGGCTCTTAGATAGCATGTTCTCAATCACATTGTCGAACTATGTCACTAGCCACTGCCCTGTTCCGTTCTATGCTACATGACATGACGCAGATATGCAGGTACGCGCGGGTTCATGCATGGCTTGACGCTCATACAAGGGTCAAGGTTCCATGTGTCCATGCTAACATGCAACTTGTCTTGTTTGTACATGATCGAATCAATCGTGCCCATTCTTTCAGACTTACTCCAGGAAGAGGTATAGTACTAAGGTAGTAGTTGACGAGTGAACGCTGGAGGTACTCCGCTACAGTAAGGCAACCGAGCAGCTGGTTGTCAGACAGCTGTGTGATCAAACCCACGCAATTTTTAGATTCGGCCGGCTTTTTAAGCTGTCGCAAATAATCCCCGGACAACGTTCCCACGGATTCAGCACCTGATCCTACTGCCCAACTTCGCCAACTCACCCACAATGCCTCCAGCGCTGAGACTTCTGAGCTCGGCAATCTTCCCCTCATTGAGCTGGGTCGGCAACAAGCCGCTGTTCGCGAAGTACTCGAGGTATCCCCTTGATTCTGGCACACTCAGGCCGTTCAAGTCCAACAACTTGACATTTTCCGACCCAGAGGTGAGCTCCAAAACGTGCGGGTCAGGTTTGCTGAAAGGTGCGGGAAGCGGAAAATCAGCGGACGTCGGCGAAATTCCTCGAGTTCTAGCACGAATCTGGTCGATGAGGAGCTTTAGCGTGGGATAGGCTGGTGTATTTGAGCCGGTAGTGCAGAACATGATGATGCCGCCATTTGCAAACGGTGACCCTTGCTTGGCAAACATCAGATTGGTAAAGTGTCGGACAAGGGTGAACTGTTGGGAGTGAATGATCTTATGTTCGGCGTTGTGATATCTAGAAGGGCCCATCCAGTGATCGATGCTATCGGCAGCAAAGAGAACTCGTGGTCGAGGGTTCGCGCCGGGTTCGCTCAGCTCGCGCCAGAAAGCTTTCCATACAAGCCATGCTAATGTATGATCATCTGCGGCCAGCTGGAGGAGATCTTTCAGACTTGCTTGTGCTTTCAGTGGCAGAGACTTGGGCATTTCGTGGTTGATCTTGAGACTCTTGAGGACGGACTCGTTAGAGTATAGCGCGCGTGTGAGGAGGGCTTGGGTCAGATGTGGCTGGATATAGAGTTGCTCGCCCTCTGATGGTTTGCCGTCCTGTTGTCGCAGAGGAGCATAAGAGGATGTATTGTTCACAAATTCTTGTGCTGGAAGGAGTCAGTTCAATGTTCTTTTCAAACTCAAAACCTTTTAGCATACCTTCTGGAACATTGAGGACAAGCCAGTTGTTCATATACGCCATGCACATGGTCTGAAGCATGAGAATGCTCTTTCCTGTATGTCTTTCTCCAACGACCAGATGTTTGATCGTTGTCCGGTCGTTCACTGACTCCACGTCATTTCCAATGGCAATTGTTTCGTTTCGGATCAGAGTTGCTGGTCTTCGGAACAAGCTCCAGTTCTGCGTCCGCTTGAAAGCTTTGGCATCTCTGAGCTGATCAAGCAGGGCACCATCCAAACCCGCCACTTGCCCAATCAATTGAGGATCCGTCATGTTCTCCGTGCTCCAATTTTCCATGCCATCAACCGCCAGAGCGTTCGTATTACTCAACACAATGCGGCGGCGTTGAGCTCTGCGTTCTCCCACTGGTGGCAGCTTAGGACGTTCTCTGGGTTTCTTCTTCAGCCTCGTAGATTGAGAGCTACGGACTGAATTTAGAACACGCTTCTGGATCTCTGACTTGGGCTTCATGAGGGGTTTGGCGTTCCGAATCGCGGAAGAGTGGAAGGAAGAGGTTTGTGGAAGCTGTATTGGTTTGGCAGATAATCTGCTAAAGGCATTATTGGAGATATGAAGCCTTGATAGGCAATCGGTGCACATAGACAGAGACATCGCGCCTCAAATCGGCGGCACGCCCGATGCAAGGGTCGCTGAAGGTTGCTTAAGGTGGAAGATTTCTGGTCAATGGACGATTCTAACATTGAAGTACCTCAGGCGTTGCAGCGAACAAAAATCTGTAAAGACGGCAAGAGACATATTCCTGAAAAAGAACAAATAGCATGCCGCTTCCTCCGACGAGGCTGAACACGAAAGCGGCAGGATCTGACGAGGCTGGTAGCTGCATTTCAGCCTGGACCTAATCGCTTATCTAAAAGCAGCCACACAAAAAGTTTCCAGGATTGCGGAGAGAAGCCTCGCAACTTTTTCTGTCGGGTACGGGAGGAGACCAGAGTACTCGTTCATTATCACGACGATACTCTTCCGAATGACCACGAGAACGACAACAGGCACCGCCATGGCTGAATTTACTCACCCAAACGCCTCCAACTCAAAACCGGAAAGACCGTAAGTCATCCCTCCCACCTGACACTTTACTCTCCTTCCACGGCCTCACCTCGTCTTTCCATCCCACTGTGAAACTGACACTGTACTTCTCAGCTCGACGACCGTCGAGAAACCCACACCGTACACCTACGATCTCGGCTACTTAACCGCGACGGACCCGAATCCTCTGCCTTCTACATCGACGCTGCTCTCCCAGTCCTATACGGAGCGCAACACAACATTACAAACGATCGCCCGCGATGGCGCCCAATCCCTACTCAACACCCTCCTCACAACCTGCACAATAACATCCACACCAGATGGGCTCTTAATGTCGCTCCCACCCGCATCGGCCCCGTTACCGCGCTGGAAACCGCTCCCCAAGCCCAAAGCCCCCACGAAATGGGAATTGTTCGCCCGCAAGAAGGGTATAGGCAAGTACGCGGGCAACCTGAAGGGGGGTGCGGCCCTGGAAGACCGGCGGAAGAACCTAGTCTACGACGAGGAGAGTGGCGAATGGGTCAAGAAATGGGGTTACAAAGGGAAGAACAAGGCCGCCGAAAATGAGTGGCTTGTCGAAGTCGATGATGACAAGGCGCAGAAGGAAAGCGAGGGCACGAGCGTCAGAGCGGAGGGTAGGCGCGAAAGAATGGAACGGATAAAGAGGCAGGACCGGCGGCAGAGGAATAACGAGAAGCGGAACAAGAAGGGTAAGGCTGGCTAGCGGGCCAGGACGGGGAAATGGCTTTGTTGATGGAGGCGACTTGATCTGATGGTCGTCGTCATGATAAAAGCTAAGCACACGCAAGAGATGCATGGTTCTGTGTCCGAGTCTGATGCAGTCCTTGTACCGACTACCGTCGTGATTGGACTTGAGGATACTGCGGTTTCGGAACGAGCAGTGCTACACAGCACGATTTGCACAGGACTAGGACACGCGGCATTTCAGAGAACGCAATGGACGAGTGAAGATCTATCCCTTCAGAGGCACAAAGGTCAGAACGAACGTACCTATTCTCTCCGAAATTCAAGTCCATCTATTCGATCTCGAAAGGCTCGTCTGCCTCATCCACCTAATCATACACATGGGGCTTATGGCCTCGGTTTTCTCCCACTCTCTCTGCATCCTCTTTTCTCCAACGCATAATAGTCCAAAGACCAAGGTGAAAAAGCAATGCAAAGCGTAAAAAAGACGTCAATGCTAGTCTCCAACCAGCTAGATAATACAGCCAAATTTTCAAGAGCTCCATGAGCTCCATCCAGCAATCGCTCAGCAACATGCAGACAGCAATCAAAATCACTGATGAATTCTTTCAAGCTCCTCTCCATTCCACTGATGCGTCGTAAAAAGGGGTATCTGGTGAATAGTGTAATAAACCAATCTACATCCTGATCGGCGAAAGACCCGTCAACTCGGGCAACTTCTGGTCGAGCGACACTTTAGGGGGTTCAGGTGTGACCATTCTTGGTACTGCGGGCACGCTCTGAGTCGTCGCATGGCCGCTGTTGGATCTATCCCTAGACCCCGCGCCTGAAGACAAACTCCTTTGTTTTGTCTTTGGTGCCATTGACTTTCGTTGAGCAGCGGCATCCGCGCTGCGAGGTGGCACAGGAGCCGCTTGTGGCTGACTACTGCCACTTGATGAGATGGCTCTGTCGTCCACAGCGAGATCTTCACTCTCGCCCACGGAACCTTCGCGCTGAAAGCGATACTCCTCGTCGAGGTATTCTTTCTCTGTCCAGCATCCCTGCCAACAATTCTTCCAGTCCATGACGAGAAACTGAAAGCAAAACGCATCGATTTTAAGACAGGGTTGGAAGCAAATGCACAGATTTCGGTAGTCCATTTTGTTTTTGTCGGCATAGCTATGAAGTAGACTCAGGTGGCAGGTGATAGCAAAGAGCAGATAGTAATTGAAGGGCGGCAGAGAGGAGAGTTCATCCTTCAGAAGTTGAGGTGCTGATGTTGCGCCAGCGCATTGAGTAGCCACTTTGTTTTGTATGGACTTTGGCAGGATCTCGTCCGGGAGTTCTCGTAACCACGACTTAAACATGGAGCCGATAGTGTTGATATCGTATAATTCCGGCTCGTCGAAGAGATTGATATCATATTCGGTGTCGAAACGGCGTTGCCAATGTTTGACTTCTTTACCGCTTCCCGGAATTCGATACAGGCCTTCTTCTTCAGAGCCGTTCATGTTCAAATAACTGTCCACAGTCAGTGCCTGGAACAGCAGAAGTAGTTAACTATAACTTACTCAATGCAGCGCCATGGCAGCGCAGGCATCCAGAACTCCGTCTTGTCCTTCGACAATTCAAGTCGACGAGCTATTCTGGTTTTGCGAGTTTGCTTGACCAGGGGCAGATTGATGGTAGTACAGATATAATTGTCATCCGTGACAATTTCACGTTCATTGCTGCTCCCGCTTCGTGTGATCTTGCCGAAGAAGCCTTTACCAGCCTTGCCCAGACGATCACTCATGCCTTTACCAGTTTGCCCAATGTTTGACAATATCTGAAGGGTGGAACCCTCTCTGAAGGATTGTGAGAGTGGAACATTGCCTGTTTGACGTTCCCTCCTGCTCAAATTGGATTCCTCGCGGACATAACGATCCGCTGAGTGATTTCTCGTGTTAGGGGCTCTTTCATGTCCAAATGCTCTTTCTCTATGATCAATCTTGAGGGGAGCGGTCTTAGGGGACGGTTCCAGCTTGTCGTTGTTGTGGTGTGCCGTGTCAACATGAATTTGACTCGGGATTGTGCCTTTCGGTCTTGGTAGGGGGTCCTCCAGCTTCAGGGTCTTTGTCCTTGTTAGTATGCCTCCAAGCTTCGACTTGCCCTTCTTGTGACCTTGTGCGGGCTCTGTGGAGGTTTGTTGACTAGAGGTCTGCTGACTAGAGGTTTGCTGACTTGAGTATTCTGAAGGAGCAGCATCATTGCCAGTCAAAGGACCACTGGTCGAACCCATCTGGGGTAAATCTGGAGTCGAGCCTTGTTTCTTCACAGAATGCAACGACCTGTCTTTCGAACTCGCTCGGCTTCTCCCTGCCGGTTTTTCACCGGCTTCTGGAATGCTTGCCTCTGAAGATTGTAATTTGTGGGAGGATTTGGAGGCCATCAAATTTGAGAAGAACCCTTTGGATGCCTCGCGTCCATGTTTCGGTGAATGCGGTACTGGACCGGGGGAGGGAGGGAATTCGGGCATAGCCGTAATTCTAGGGGAATTTGGCCCCGATCGATATCCACCATTGACATTATGGGACGACGCAGAAAGAGGGTTCATTAGCGACGGCGTCGGTGGCTCCTGCAAAAAAGGTGAACCTGGCGCGGAACCTGGAGTGTGCGGAGAGCCCGTTGAGCGAGGGCTCAATGTCGCAGGCGTCAGGCCGTTTAATTCTTCATTGTTTTTCGGAGACAAATTGAGGAAGGGCAAGCCCGAAGCCCTAGGCATATTTGTGTCTCCTGAGATGTCATTCACAGGGCCGACTGCAGGTAGCCGGCCGCCCTTCCTGTCGGACAACAACCTCCTTGCCCCAGGTCAATGGAACCTCGATATTCTCCGACGGATGTAGTTTATGTCTGTACAGCCTCTTCCTGACGAGCGCAGAAAGTATCCAAGATTTGAATGTAAGAAGGAGGCAGATACGTAGCACAGGTGTATTTTGCTCTCGAACGGACAGAGGGCACAGTTTGCCGATGCCCCTTTAATCCAAGGCGTAGCTGTCGATACCCTGATGTCTCCGCAAGCTGCGCGCACAGGTGTGCTCTTTCTATTAACGATTCGGTCCAAGAAATATTATAATCTTTGGTGCTGACCAAATAAGGCTGATCCAGGTGCAGTGAGACGGGCTGCGAGAGTCGAAGAGAATATCGTCAACGGTTCGTGGACATTCGAGTCTCATTCAAAGGTGTGGACGCGTGACAGGCTGGGTGTCAATGTCATGAGGTGGCTTACGCGGAGAGCGGCTAAGTTCTAACAAAGGAGGAACCGTGGTGGGTTGAAAGAGTGACAGAAACGAAGGATCGCTGACCAGGCCCGGGCGGCCAAAGCTCCTCACAACAAGGCCAGGGACGACAGAAAGATCGAAAGCGCGGGCTCCCGAGCCTAAAGAGTTTGTGGTTATAGGGATATAGTAAGATTTGAGATGACTGGAGAGTTTGGTGTGTTGGCAGGATGCTGTGGGAGGGAGAAGGGCGCAGCCAAAAGATGAGGTGTGCGGTTGTCGTATCAGGTCAGGCGGTGAGGATAGAATGAGGAGTTGTTGGCGCCAGAGGCGCTACTGCTGCATGTTTTCTCTTTCTTCTTAGTTGCGGCGCAGATACTGAGAACGGACCCTCAGCGGAGAGAGAAACAAAAGAGCAGACCGTGCACTTGGGCTTGTGCGATGATATGCTTGCAAGGGAGGGTTGGTACGGAGTACGAATATGCCTTTCGGGTCAAGATGCTTAGTGAGTACCTGCAGGCAGGGTGTCCGCAGCAAGACGCAGACGCAGGAGGGTGGGGAGTTCTGCAAAGGCATGCCCTGATCTTCTTGCCTCTGTCATCGATGATTTCTTGCACTCTAACTACTGCCTCGTTCCAAAACACATGTCTTGTTTGGCGAGCTGGGGGCTATCATAATTACCTTAGGTAGCTGACAATCGTCTTGCTGCGAGGAATCTTGAGACTCTTACGCCTTCAGTTGGTTCATATGGTGAAGCAATCCCCGCTTTAGCATGTTTGGCGCTGTCAAGTTCGGGTCCGGCCACGATGCAATGTGGCTTTTTGCATGCAAGGATCTCTAGGGACGGCACTAGGAAATAGTCACAGAAAAGCTAATGAAGACCACCATGGGACCGCAGCCAGGGGCACCACCTTTCAGAGCCAGTCTGGGTGCCAGTAGCGCCTAGCATCGTAGACACAAAAACTACCGGAATCCGAGTATATGGGGAGCACGGAGAACAAGATTGGGCGTGCCGCAGCAGTAACAGTAAAACGATTTCTTCGCAGGAGATACTACTGTACGATTCACAACCTCGCGATCGAGCTAGCCATGATCGCGAAGAGGCTGTGATTCACATCTGCCAGGGCCAAAGGGACCTTGCGAAATCGCGGCACTACTGCCCGTAATCCTCTTGATCCATGCCTTTCCCTTGCGTCCTCCAAACCATTGCGCCAGGGCGGCCCGGGTGGTGCCTGGAGGGGGAGGAGGGCAAGCCACGCTTATTATTGCCAACCTGAAACCTCAAAGATCTGCCTGCGAGTGGAACTGGGGTTAGGCAAGCGTGGGCAAGGAATATAATGGAGCCTGATGGTGTGATGACCCATGCTACGTGCCTGCGGAATTGCGTCCTCACCACTCGGCATCAATTTTGCCAAGCACTGAAAGTTGTCCTCACACGGCGACGGGTTGCACCCATTATCCGCAAATGTTAGACGCCTCCATCGCCTGAACAATACACTTTTGGGCGTGTCCATCTCCGCCGGCTTCATTCTGTCGGCCGGGATCGTCCTTCGTATGTCTCTTGTAGCTGGACCTGGGGTCGGAGGGAATCATGCGTCAAAAGATGGCTCGCCAACAGAGCTTAGCCTGGTCGTTGAAAAGCATGTCAAATATATCCAAAGCTTGGACACTGTGCGTCTATGTGAGTGACTTTGAGCCGCCAGGAATCTGATATCTCGCCAGCGAAAAGATGAGCTCGACTATTGGTTGACTGAGCACTTGAGACTCAATGGAGTTTATTGGGGTCTAACGGCCCTTCACCTTCTTCGCCATCCAGATGCACTTCCTCGTGACAAGACCGTCGAATTTGTTTTCGCTTGTCAAAATGACGACGGAGGGTTCGGTGCTGCTCCTGGTCACGACTCGCATATGTTGTACACTGTGAGCGCCGTCCAGATCCTTGCTACGATTAATGCGTTATCGGAGCTGGACAAGACAGAAAGGGGAGGCAGGGAGCGTGTTGCGAATTGTAAGTGATAGCCCTCCTTTCATGTATGGTTTCCAGGCTCGTACTCATCAACAGATATTGCAAACCTCCAAAATCCGAAGACTGGTACATTTGCCGGAGACGAATGGGGCGAAACCGACACCCGTTTCCTTTTCACAGCTTTCCTCGGTCTTTCCATCCTCAATATGATGCACCTGGTCGACGTCGAAAAGGCCATATCGCACATTCAGGCTTGTGCGAACTTTGACGGCGGCTTTGGAGTCTCTCCCGGAGCCGAATCTCATGCTGGGCAGATATACACCTGTGTTGGTGCTCTCACCATTGCCCGGCGACTCGATTTGGTTGACGTTGACCGATTGGCTGCATGGTTGAGTGAAAGGCAACTGCCACATGGTGGGCTGAACGGTCGACCTGAGAAACTGGAAGATGTCTGTTACAGCTGGTGGGTTCTCAGTAGTCTCGCTATGCTGGGAAAGTTACATTGGGTTGATGCGTCTGCACTGATCAAATTCATCTTGAGGTGTCAAGACCCTCAAGAAGGCGGGTTCTCTGACCGACCAGGCGACATGGTCGATGTCTTTCATACTCTGTTCGGAATTGCAGGTTTGAGTCTGCTCAAGTATCCTGGCTTGGTGCAGGTTGATCCCACCTAGTATGTGACAAGTCCCCATTTTGCCTAGTCCATGCTCACAAGACTGTTTAGTTGCATGCCTAGAGATGTGGTGAAAGCGTTACCATATTACCGACCTTGAATGCAAAAGTATACCTCTTGCAGTCTAATAACCCACTTGAAGTAATGCTTGAGAGATGGGATACAAGGCAAGAGAAGAAAGAAGAACCACCATGAACTATATCTGCTTCATCACTCTGCACTCCTCGCCCTTGGGGAACATAGGCATGGTGGTACACCACGAAAATCAACCAAGGTTTATGCTGCAATTTTGGCCTCTAGACCTGTTATCTTGTAAGATCTTACGCAGTAATTCTCAACGTCTGTTTTCAGCATGCTAAGACAATAGCTGCTGACAATTGAGGGGCTCCTTCCTGGTAAGACGTCAGGTCGTCACTTCAGCTGTGCTTCCCTTTTATGAGCATGTTGATTATTTTCTTTCTTCTCTCTCAGCCTTCCATCCCTGCTCTACACCTCCACACTTCACCTCTGCAGTAGCTACTACTCAATCACTGAGGCCCGGCTACTTACACTGTCCCTTCTCTCTGTCCGCTTCACCCTGTTTGTGCTGCAGGAAGAGGACCATCCGCCTTGTGTCTTGCTTGTTCTTGAGCATTCGTACTTTCTCTGCAATAACCGTTTTGATTTTGCTTTGCTATTTCCTCGCGTCCTTCTGCTTCCTTGGTCCATCGCCATGGACTTGGATCTGCTTAAGTGCAGCATCTGTCCCAAACAACCCTCCTTTAGCGATGTCTCCCACCTGCTCACACACGTCAGTTCTAAAGGTCATTTGTCCCATCTACACAAACTTCAGGTTCGAAGCCACCAGGAATTCGAAGCTGGTATCCTACTAGCAAACTACAATCAATGGTACGAACAGCACGGGCTTGCTCAATTGCTCTCGGAACGCATGGTCACGAAACAGGTCAAAAAGGCCGGAAGAAGAAAAGCAGCTATCGATCAAGGTGCATACGTGACAGAGACCGGAACAAGGGTTCGGGCACCTTTAGACCAGCCACCATTGCAACCTCAACGAAGTGCCAGAGGCCGAGCCCAAGGCCAAAAGAAGACAACACGGGGTCGTCGAAGCAAGCAAACACTTGAGGATGACAGTGACTTTGAGTACAGTCCAGTCAAACGGCCGAGGTCCGACCCCTCGATAAGTGGACTCGTGCATAAGCTGACAATTCGTGAACAGGTACCGGCCACGACGATCTCAAATAGCTTCTCCCGTCAAAGAATCACCAGACAATGACGACTACTTCGTAGCTCCTGGGGCACCGCAGTCCTTTACTACCCCCGAGCACAGCAAGCTGAAAGGAACCATATGGCCAGGAATGGATCTGTTTGATGCAGCCACCGAAGAGATGAAGAGAAAGAGGAATCAGAAGAAAGACGGGTCTGTGGTCAGACGAATGCAACGGTTGGCAGCGTTGGTTGAGCCAACCGAGGTCGTCTACTCTCCTGGTGGAAACATCATGAAGGCAAGACACATCGACGACCTCGAGGATGCGAGCAGCGTCATCCACGGAGAATCTCCTCTTCCCAAGGTGAAGAAAAGTCAAGCTCGCAAGAGGCGGCCACTTGCGGAGCAAGATGTCAACGCCCCACGCCTTGTCAAACGCAAGGCCAGGATTAGTCCTCCAAAGAAACGAGCTCGTCAAGCATTGGATCAAAGTATACCACCACTGCCGTATCTGCCGAGCTCTTCGACTGGCGAGTCGTACACGATTGGTTCACGGTTCCTGGCCCCAGAAGATGACGACGAGGACTTGAAGCCTGTGATTGAAACCGGATCACCTAGAAAACGCTCTTCTCACTTCACAATCTTCGACGACGGAAGCCCGGGCTACGGTCCGATCACCCCTGTGGATCAACTCCGTAATCCTTTCCATGCTGCACCGCCATCGTACTTGAACACTGTTCGTCCCCAACTGCCAGCTATCTCTGCACCATGGCTTCAGCCACAGCACCAAGCCGCCTTGCAATACACGAACCTCTATACAGCCTTCAGACCGGTGTCCCGTGACTCTCAGTTTCTCTACAATAATGACACTGGCAAGGAAAATGCTCCACCAATGGCTGGACTGCAGTCAGAGTACAGGGGTGTGAACACAAACCCTTTGTCCTGGCGGTCGCCTGTACGAGATGGTATGACCTTGGCACATCATTCGGAGTCGCCTTTTGGCAGCTTTTTGGGACTCTTCTCAGTTGGACCTCCTCATGACGATCCTTTCGTGACGACCAGAAATCCTTTAGCCGAAGCATTGGAGCACTTTGAAGAGGAAATGTCTGACACAGACGTCAAGATTGCTCCGACCTCACTTCAAAGCTCGATGGCAGACGAGGACTCCAAGGCACAGCTTCCGACTGTTGGGGCTACCACCCACTGAGAAAACTGGTACATACTCGAAGCAGTTGATGTGCAGAGGAAATGTTGGCGTCTTGCACAATACCTAGCATGCAGAAATCACAGGCATACATATGATGAAATGGCCCACGCTCTCTTGGAAGATATGCAGATCTTGATGTATTGATTGGTGAGCATGTCCATCAAAGATGAGACGATGGTGAATCGACACATAGCGAGATATCACTTATTGTAAAATAGCACTTTTTGCAGCATTGTTTTGACATTGGCCAGAAGAGCATAGATAGTAACTAGATGCAGCAATCTGCGATGCATAACATAAATCGCTCCAAAGTACAAGGCAGAAAGTAACTGCCAACTTGACGACCAGCTGTTCCAGCTGATTACTGAATCATAGAATCACAGGGGTTTGCTTCGAAGCCCGCCGTGGGACTGAGGTATTGTAAGGTGCTTTGTTTGGATAAAGGAGGGTACCTTTCACGACAAGTGATATTGTCTACTGTGTCGGAGTGACATCAAGAAGTAGTTATCACGGAGAGCTCAGAGTCCTCCAGCTTCCATGATATTGTTGTATCGACGTATAGGCGTTCAGCGTGACAGTGCGCCCAAAGCCAGCCTGGTGAGGCTTAAGACGAGGCCTAGTTGAGCAGGGCACACAGACCTTCTAATGGGCCATTCGAAGACTATGCTCCGCAGTAAGGTAGACGTAGGCCAATACTTTGAAGCATAGCAGCTTTGGGATGCTGTTCCTCGCCTTATCACGTGGCACGCCGAGCTTCACGGGGTGCTGGGCCGAGGTCCCTGATACCTGATCAACGGAGGTGGGTGGTGGAGCTACTGTAGCACCTGGGTTCCTCAAGATGTTCAGCATATACTCATATCCTCTTTTATTAGTATGTTAGCAAAGAGTCGGGTCTGCCTTACAGGGACCGGTGGTGGCCTAGTGTCTTTAATTGCTTGCCCCGATTTGCAACATCCCAATCTGCCCGTTTAAAAGCTTCATTGCGCCTTTTGCCCTTAAGGGCGCAACATCTCTTTAGCCAACCGGCATCAATTCGCATCATGGCGCCCCCTGTTCGAGCTGAAGTGGTCCTTGTATCACTTAAGAACTGCTTGGTCAACCTGCCGCCGGGCCTGATTGCCTTGATCAGCAATACCAATATTGTAAGATCCCTCTCAAAACTTCTGAGATTGGTGCTTACTCTCGGTTAGCCGGCCCAAAATGTCGTTGTCGAGCTACAATATCGGTCCCAGACGTTGTCTTCCAGTGCCATATCCAGTGGGAACAGTGCAGGCTTCCAACGCTCTGCCTATGTGGGATGGACCGGCATGCCTAGTCGGACCCGACCGGCCTCTGTCATCAACACGGATCGAGCGCGTTCAGGCAGAGAACAAGAAACCCAAACGGTCGAGATAGACGCAACATTCGGCAAAGTACTTGGTCTTTCGGAAGGCCAGAAAATCGGCATCCTAATACATCTGGACCCACCCCTCGCCCATAGTATCAACATCGAGCCTCTTACGCCGGCTGACTGGGAGGTCATTGAATTGCATGCCACTTTCTTGGAGCTGAATCTTCTATCTCAGATTCGTGCGGTACCCAATCCCTCCTTCAACATCAAAGGAGCTGTTCAATCCGAGCACACCCACCCACTCACTCTGCACCTGTCACCAACCTCAACAGCGAATATCATCGTCACGTCTCTGGTTCCTCCCCTCAGAAGTACGACACCTTTTGCCAAAATCGCTCCGGATGCTGAAGTCATTGTTGCCCCTAAAACTCGGCCAAAATCTAGTCGAAGTACTAGAGAAGACTCAAGGAGTGTTGCAAGCAGACGCAGTGGCAAAAGTGGCGTCAGTACCGCTCGGACTTCGGGTTCCAAGAGAGGTCCTGCTAGATCCGCAGTCTTCATGCGTTCAATCGATCGAGCTTGCGCAAATGTATATTTTGACGAGGCGTCGGAATCCTCGCCCAACGACAGACTCTGCATCTGGCTTGCGAATGATGTGCTTAATTCCGACGCTCTGAAGGCTACGGCTTGGGCAAATATCACGATCGTGAAACCTGCGGGCCTACGTGCACAGCTGGACTCAGCCCAGGTCAATCAATTGAAGGAAGAGGAAAATAGCGAAGTTGGACGACCGGCATCCAAGATCGTGGCCCAGGTGCTCCCGTGGCCTAGTCCTCTTGACGACCAGCACGTCGTCTTGTCAACATCTCTATGCAAAATGCTCGGAGCAGAAGGCCTTGTCGGACTAATTGTCCGCATCGAAGCGGCTGGAATGCCACTTCCACGCTATTCTATCCCGAAATTCCAGTTCTATCCATTCCTGCCGCTGAACTCGACGAAGAAAGATGGACTCAAATTTGGTGGTGACACCAAAGCCGCAAAACAAGCGATAGCTGAAAAGCTGCGATTAACGTTCAACGGCGATGAGGGCCTCCTGTCCGGTCCGATCACGGATGGCATGATCCTACCATCGACTGGGGAGCCTTCTTCCGCATCATCATTCGATGGTGGGATCCTAAGATTTCGTGCTCCCTCTGGTCATGACGATGACCGAGGCAATTCCAGCTTATGGGTACTCGGACAGGAACAAGACCAAGAATTTGACGTCAAAGACGAAGTCCCTCGACCTATGGAATTGGCAACCATGTTCCCGAGCTTTGCTCACAGAATACCGGCGGACATTCCCAACCTAGTTGGCGTCGACGGGATCCTCAGGCAATCCATGTCTAATCTGACATTATGCTCATCAGTCCTTCTAACGGGTGGGATCGGATCAGGGAAGACTTCACTTGCTCAATCTATCGGCCAGCGACTACGAGAAGACTACGTGTTTAACGTAACGTACTTCCCATGTCAAAAGCTGGTCACGGATGAAACGAGAGTATCAACAGTCAAGGAAACCTTGACTCGACTCTTTATGTCGGCCTCATGGTGCGCAAGGCTAGGCGGACAATCAGTGGTCATCCTGGACGACTTGGACAAGATTTGTCCCGTGGAAACAGAATTGCAAGTCGGCAATGACAATGGTCGCAGTCGTCAGATCACCGAGATCCTTTGCGCCGTGGTCCGCGAGTATTGCAGTATCCACTCTGGGGTCGCCCTTCTGGCAACGGCACAGTCCAAGGACGCCCTGAACAACATCATCATTGGAGGTCATATTGTGGGGGATATTATCTCCATCAAGGCTCCCACGAAAGAAGTCCGGCGCGACATATTATACTCTCTAACTGGCGACGAATCCCAATCCAAGAACGGTCACGCACGAAATCAAAGCGACACCAGCATGTCGGAAAGTTCGTGGATGGACCCGTCAGGTTCTTCTTCTCGCCCTGCCTCCTCATCTTCATCTCGACTCGAGGCCTTCCGTGTCGCCCCGAACCTAGATCTTCTCGATGTCGCCGGCAAGACCGATGGCTACATGCCGGCCGATCTTGCATTACTCGTGTCGAGAGCAAGGACGGAATCGCTGACACGTATAATCACACAGAACGACAACTCCGATGGCCCTCCGACGTTGACGAAGGCCGACTTCGATGCCGCCTTGAAGAATTTCACGCCATCCTCTCTCCGCAATGTCACCCTGACCCACTCGAGCACCACGTTCTCCTCCATTGGAGGCCTACATTCCACGCGAAACACCCTCCTCGAAACACTCCTCTACCCCACCAAATACGCACCCATCTTCACCCGCTCTCCGCTTCGCCTCCGATCCGGCCTGCTCCTCTACGGCTATCCGGGCTGCGGCAAGACGCTCCTTGCGTCCGCAGTCGCGGGCGAGTGCAACTTGAACTTCATATCCGTTAAGGGCCCCGAGATTCTCAACAAGTACATCGGCGCGTCCGAGAAATCTGTCCGTGACCTCTTCGAGCGGGCCCAAGCTGCCAAACCTTGCGTCCTGTTCTTCGACGAGTTCGACAGCATCGCGCCCAAGCGTGGCCACGACAGCACTGGCGTGACGGACCGCGTGGTCAACCAGATGCTCACGCAGATGGACGGCGCCGAGGGTCTAGAAGGCGTGTACGTCCTCGCTGCCACGTCGCGACCTGATTTGATCGACCCGGCGCTCCTCCGCCCAGGCCGTCTCGATAAGAGTCTGCTGTGCGACATGCCGGACATGAACGACCGTCTGGACATTCTCGGCGCGGTCAGTACGAACCTCCACCTCACGCCCGAGGTGGAGAACCGCCTGCTCAGCGTCGCGCAACGCACAGAGGGATTCAGCGGCGCCGATCTGCAGGCGTTGATGTACAACGCACATCTCGAAGCGATCCACGATTTACTTGGCGACACAAAGTCCGCGGACAAAGAGAAAGGCAAAGGCCTCGCGAACGGCACGAAAGAAAGCGCGAGCGGACGTCGTCGCAAGCGCCCTGGAACCGAGAAGCACGACTTCATTGAGTTCCTCTTCGACCCCGAGGAAGATGCGCGCGCGAAGAAACTTCTCACGTCGTCGTCCATGGACTCCAAGGCCGCGATTGCCGCAAAGTTGGATGAACTGAAGCTCACGAGGAAGCGGGAGAAGGCGGCGTTGAGGAATAGTTATGCCCGAAGTACAAGTACTCATGGCTCGTCGTTTTATGCCCACACCGAGAACGGCGCTGGCGAGAGCAAGGACGAAGACAACCACGGCAAAGTGGAAGTCGTCATCGAGTGGAGACATATGGAGAAGTCGCTGGCCACGACGAGGAGTTCGATATCGCCCGACGAGAGGAGGCGGCTCTCTGCGATTTATCGTGAATTTGTGGTGGGAAGGAATGGCGAGATGCCGAATGGTCAGGGTGGGAGTGAGATCGGAGGGAGGACGAGTTTGATGTAGGTTTGTAGATAGGTCGAAGATCAGAGTGGAATATATTGGTGGCAATGCTCTGTTCGCTGTTAGGTTAAGAGCGCCGGGTCTGACACAAAGTATCTGTGGACGAGGAGGCATAGTACGCGATTACAGCGTTGGACAGAGAAGCACGTCTGTTCCTCAAGCAGCATTTTGCTCTGTCATACTGCGCGAGTTGCTAAGAAAGCGACGGCAGACAGAATAGTATGATATAAATTTTGCGAGTTAAGATTCTTTAGGTTCTATAGTTCACATCCCCTGACGGGCTGTCCTTGTGCCTGAACTGAAATTGAATAGTACAGTGAATGATCCATTAAAACCATCTGTACTTGTCGTCGAATTAAGACCGGGTAAAGCAATGCTGGAAAATCAATTGTTCAACAAAACACTTCATGCCATGGGTATCGTTATTTGGATGTGGCGCGACTGATGGCAAAAACCCCAACAATCACAACAGCAAGGGTCACAATAGCACCAGGTAACAACAAATCATTCGGCACGCCGGCAATGTATGGTTGTTCCTCTTTCTGGTGCATGGATGTTGCCGGTGATCTCTTGGACCTCAGCGTTCTGACCGGAGCAGTTTCTTCCTCTTCGCTGTCTGCACCATCCATAGCCGCAATCTCCTTCATGACAGACTCGGGAGGGGTCGGAGGCTTCGAAAGTTGTGGTCGAGGCTCGATTGTTGCGACAATTGGCGCTTGGGTGGGGTCATGCACGAATAGATCGACCTTGTCTCGCTTGCTTTGCCGTGCCAGTAGGATGGCGTCCAGCAGATCCTGATCGGTAGTGATGGAGACTGTGTCTCCTTCGTTGTCCATATAACTTAGGGCGTATCCGGACTTTCCCAATGCACCGTCCTCGACAGTTGCTTCACCTCCAACAGCTTCGATTTCGCCGCCCAGTTTAGCAGTCACAGAGGAGACAAGCTCAGCGATTCCGTTTCTCGCCACAATTTGTATTCGGTGTACTCGTCCACTCGGGGCTTTGAACTTGAACGGGAACGGTGTGTCTTCGGGAGCTTCAATAGAGGGAATGACCTCAGATTGCATATCGTCTCCACGATGCGAAGCCGAGTCTTGAGGCATCACGCTGTCACCTCTTTCGAAGCCAGGACGAGTAACCTCGGATTCCATCACGGAGCGATGACCGGGTGTCGTCGGCCGGTGGCTGCCTTCACCAGACATAACTGACTCTGTGTCATTGTCCATAGACAACCAAAATTTGTTCCACGCAGGGCCTTCAGATTCTCCAGTATTCATAGTGTTGATCTGTTCGAGTGTAGCGTAGGTCAATTTCAGAACATCAACCATGCCGACAATCTCGCCCGTCTCGTTCATGACTGGTAAATTTAGATAATGGCCGTCTGCTCCCGTTAGCATTGAGGGGTGTCAGATGGCTTTGCGATCACCTACCATGCATCTTTCTTAGCGCTGCTTGGATGCTCATATCCGATGGTGCGAAATCAGGATGAGGAGTCATGACTCTAACCACACTGCAGTTCGCAGGATCAAGCCCGGGTGCAATGACACGAAGGACAACATCTTTGCTTGTGAAAATGCCAGTAATTGAGCCTTGATCCTGCACCAAAACGGCTGTTGTATGGTTCTCCTTCATCAGCTGTGCAGCCTCTTTCACCGACGTTCTAACAGAGACGGTAGTGGGAGGCAGGCCATTGAGAACGGATTCCAGGGTCGGTCCAGACATCTTCAAGCGCAGGGCTTCGACATATTGGATGATCTGTTGAGGTTGACTCGAACCAAGCTCAGACTGCACGCCCTCCAGAGCATCGTACAGCTTGCGGGATGAGCTGTAGGCTCGTTCCAACTTTTCCATGGCCTCGTAGAAGCATTTTGTAATGTCAAGAATACCAGATATGTCTTGATTCTCATCCATAACGGGCAAATGCCTAAACCCTTTCCTCACCATCAGATCCAAGGCATCCGTGGCAGATGTATCCGTTCTTGCGCACAGAGGGTTCTTGGTCATGATTTGGTCAATTGTGACCTGGCTGGCCTTGATGCCGGCTCCGACGACGCGGAAGGCAAGATCCTTGGCTGTGAAGATACCTGCGATTCTATCGTCGTCGTCTGTCACCAGAACGCAATCTTCCCTTTTGGCAGCCATCAATTGAGCGGCTTCGGATACGGTCGTGCTGGGTTTGATCTGCAGGGCCTGGCTAGGCTTCAGGGCGAGGACGGTACCGGGAGGTGCTTTGCGAGTATGTCGGGCGCGGGCAGGGACTTGTCGCTTCTTGCTGAGATCTGCTTCCATCTTGCGACGAATGGCCTGATGAAGAGCCACGGTTAGGCAACACACCTATTCAGTTGGCAACTTCTGCAACGTACCTCGTCTCTCTTGCTCTGCTTCTGCCGACTGGCAGACATTGTCGAAGTGCCAGACATCTCGCTTGGCGTTGTAGTGTTCGTAGACTCCAACTTCGGCCGGGGTATATTCGAAGGACTGTCTGTAAAGGGGAGCTGACCGCGCCTGTTTGGCGTACCTCGAAAAGTACCGTTGACCCCAGACATAGATGCGAACTGGAAAACTGTGTGTGCAGATGATCAGGATGGTCTGTGTGAAAGGAGTCGCAAAGAGGCAGTTTGTTTAGCAGATGATTGGGTTGAGACTTCTAGAGCCAAATCCGAAGATTGTACACTGATTGCCCACCCGGTTGCCAGGGCCTTGGAAAAGAGCGAATCGTCGCGGCTGAAGGGCAGGAGAGTAAACACAGTCCCATGAGTCCACAAACTCGCCAAGCAAAAAGCCCCGCTATATTATGTCAGCATTGGCCCGGCGTACCTGCCTCTTTCAAGTACTTGCCGCACACATTCGATTTTGTAGCCAACTTCTCAAGGGAAGCGCCATACACAACGGTCAGCCTACGTCTCAACTAGAATTGTCAATTGAAGATTACAGACTTCTGTGTCGCATACCACAGAAGTCACCAGTCTTCCAGCAACCGCAACCATGGTCAAGAAGCGAGCGTCCAAGTAAGTCCAGTGGCGCAGGCGTTGCGCCTTCAATATCCTACTCCTACAACGGCAGCTCTCTGACTTGAGCTTTACAGCGGACGAAACAAGAAGGGTCGTGGACATGTCAAGCCCATCCGATGCTCCAACTGCTCTCGCTGCACACCAAAAGACAAGGCGATAAAGAGATTCACAATCCGCAACATGGTCGAGTCCGCTGCTATCCGTACGTCAACCCCCGAAATCTCAGTTTTCAATGCACCGCCTGGAAGGAAAGAACAGATCTGACAAAGTTGTTGTTATACAGGTGATATCTCCGATGCCTCAGTCTTCGCCGATTACGCCGTCCCAAAAATGTATTTGAAGTTGCAATACTGTGTCTCTTGCGCCATTCACGGCAAGATCGTCCGAGTCCGCTCAAGAGAAGGTCGACGAAACCGTGCTCCTCCTCCAAGAATCCGATACAACAAGGATGGCAAGAAGGTCAACCCTCAACAGGCTGCTAAGACTCCTCAGGCATAAGATTTTTGCAATGGGAACGTATGATGAACAGCGGTCACGATGCGGCGATGGACTATTGCAGCTGGAAGACTCGCATGGATGAGGCGAGGCCAGTATTGTTCTCGACTGGGTGCAGATAATGCACGGCAAGTGAACCGCGTCATTTTGAGCGAGGAGAGTGTACTGTTAAGATGGAGAACATTGCAGACACAATAAACAATGAGAAATAGCCAGACAGTCAAAACGAGTCTATTCCGTGGATAAGTGATGAGCACTTGGCCAAGTACCTCGAAGGTCATGGGCATCCTCCTTCTCACCTCATCCAGCTGCAGTTTCGCGCAACAACCGTTATTTCAAAATAACCTTCGAATCCTCGTTCACTTTCGCAACAGAGTCCACAAGGTTGACAGAGTTTGCCCAGCGCTCCTTCGGATGCGGCAATCGTTGGGTTGGAAGTTCATGATCGAGGAGTGAGGTGTAATGGCCAGCGAGTCTTTGGAGTCCGGTCCGCCTTCGATAAAAGTATATAGGAAGGTACTAACTTCTAGGACTCTCGCCCTCATATTCTACTCTTGATAGCCGGACCTGGCCATGAGTCTCTGACATCCCTGAGAACCCATTCAGCAATCCCAGCATTGACTTCCTCCGGACATTCCAGCGCACCCCAGTGCCCTGCCTTGACCACAAACTCAGATAGTTTCTCACACTTCTCTCGCATCTCGGCCATGAGCTTCGGATTGTGCGCCGTCTGACAAACAGCATCGTACTCGGTGTGAATGAACAGCACGGGTACCCTCAGCACGGCATTATTCACAGTCTTGTCGAGCGCGTACTTTTCGTTTGCCGCGTGATTGAGATACCATGCCGACGCGCCATGCCAGCCATTCTTTTTGGCGCTGATGACCAATTCATTCAGAAGATCCTGATCCAGCACGGTCCGTGGGAGCGGCAGATCAGGGGTTGGCGCGTCTGGGCCGCCGAACCAGCCTTTATCCTTCGTGACCCGTGAGGTTCGTGCAGGAGCGCGCACACTATCGGGATTCCCCCTTGAGTAGACCAATTTGATGTTCTTCTCGAGGTCGGATTCGAATTGGCGATCGACCGCTTCCGGATCCTGCTCGTAGAAGACCTGGTAGTCCCATTGGCCCCAAGGGTACTCGCTCTCTGGGTACAGGTCCCGATCGATGAGCTTGAGCGCAGTTGGTAGACCGACTTCGAGGGTGCGATACGGCACGGATATGCCGACTATCGCCTTGCACACTTCAGGGTGGTGAGCGGCGAGGCCGTACAGCGGGCCGCAACCCCAGTCGTGGCCGACCCAAATCGCATCTGTGCGGCCGACATGGTGGAGTAGCTCGATGAATTGAGGGACAAGTTTCTCGAGTGCAAATTCAGACGAGTCTTTGGATGTCCATGTCCCGCCGTAGCCGGGCATGTCTGGGGCTACGACGTAGAAGCCTAGGCTGCTGAAGGCTTGGAGTTGAGGCTTCCAGGTCAGTGCTATGCCAGGCCAGCCGTGGTTGAAGAATATCAATGGGCCGTCGACAGGGCCAGCAGTGAGGTAGGACCATGGTCTGCCCGTTGTTGGGGATGTGTAGGTGTTGGACTTGAGTGCAGACATTGTTGGCCGGGGTATTCAGCCTTGGAATAATCCTGGTTGATGCTGACGCAGGAGGAGGCAAGGCTCTTGTATTTACGTCTCGGACTTTTGCATGTGGTTGGATCATCCCTCGACTGCTCGCGTAATACGGCCGTGTCTCGCAATGATGAACAGCTAATATACGCCGGGTCGGGCGGAAGAGGTGCTTGATTACTTACCTTGGAATGATTACTGATCATAAGAACAGATGGTCCTCTCCGAAGTTCTATATACCTCTCTATACAATTTTGTGGACTCGGATCGTCTGGGGAGAATACGAACTTTTACCATGACCTTCGCACGCTATGCAAACGCTCCGACAATAGCCATGAGAAGCGCACCTAATCCAACAGCAAGACAGGCTTCAATCCTCCGACGGCCTTTCAAAGTGACATAGCTTTTCTCACTGAGAAAGTCTTCGGCAATAAGCTGGACAAGTCCAGCAAACAACAACAATCCACTGCTGATGGCATTCGTGATTCCCACCATCAGCAATCCTACCTTCGAAGCAGGGTCGTATAGTTCTCGCATCCAAATTCCAATTGCCTGACCAATTGGTGTGGTAGCTCCATAGGCCAACGCCATCAACCACGGCTTTGGACTGCTCGCATCAAACAATTTGGGTATTAGTGCTGCGATCCGGGCTCCCAATGCAAACCCTTCGAAGGTTTGATGAAAACATATCGCGATCAATAGCACCACAAATTGGGTTCCCGTGGCGACAGAAACGGCCATGCCAATAAAGATGCTGTGGAATAAAATGCCTGCCTCGAGAAGCAAACACTGAAGAAACAGTCTCTGAGGATTTTCGTCTGAGGGAGCTGCATGTCGATGCAGTGCGCTGTCGTCGTACTCTGACAGTTTCCTTTTGTGAGGGTGGTTGAGAGTCGCAGATTCGTCTGCTATCGGATCCAGGGCATCGAGATCATCCTCTGAATCCGAGTCACTAGATGTAGAGTTCTGGGGCTTTGGGGTGCCATCGCTATATGGCGTGAGGGGTGTGTCCAACTGATTGAGTGATATATGGCCATTACCCTGGGACGACTCGCCTCTCCGCGACGGTGCGCTTCGGGGTGCCTCTGGTACCCCGTCCCATTCACTGCCATGACTATGTCCTGCTCCTTTGCCCGCGAAGAACATTTCTATTGAAACCACCACGAACATTGCAAGCATGGCAATAAAACCAGGCATGGGCCGGTAGTGCCTGCTCCAGAAGTCGGGCAGACATGGATCGGTCATCGAAATGAATGCTGTAGGTAGTAGGTGAATGAAGGCGGTCGCAATCAGGACACCTGTGCCGAAGTGTCTGGACAGGAACAAGAATCGGTGAGGGATAGGCAGGTCAGGGAAACGTCGAGCAATGACGGGGAAGGAGCATGCTAGATAGGGTCAATGTTGATCTCCTTTGAGAGTCGCTGCCGGCTTACCGAGTGTGCTCAGAACAAGGATAAGAAATAGGGCGAATACATGGAGGCCGACATTATAAGTACCACGGTCTCCGGTCGAGCCGCATGATGGTTTGGCATCCTGTCGTTTTGCGAGTTCAGCGTGTAGGAGTTCAATTGGCAACCGAGAGATGTCGAGATCTACAGGACTTGTTAGGGCGGTAGAGCAGAGATCGCGCAGGACATACCCCTAGCAAGTAGGTCGGGTTCTGGATACATCGCTTGCGCGCCTGCCTTGTCTCCTTGGCCAGTTGAGCAGGCTGTCCATAGACGCTATATAGATCTCGACATATCGTAGGATTAGACCAGACGAGACGTGTACACGGCTGACGCCGACTTTCGGTCTCGCAGTTGGAGAAGTTAAAATGCCAAGGCGACTCACCCTGTTTGGGAAATAGAGTGATGCCGCCCTTGCTCATCATCCCTGTCTCCCCTGGTGTACCTAGATCGACTGTTCAGTTCTAGCTGGGCGAGACGGCTGCCTCTCTACAGTATTTTTCCACCTATACATTGTCTCCAGAGGAGATTTTTTCATCGACAGGCATATGAGCCCGTGATTTCCTGGGTGCCCTCGTAGATACCTACGTGGCTCCGCCATCATGCCGAATCCGAGTCCTTCGACTCCCTTACCCGCGGTAGACGGCGGCGGACGCAGGCCAATCAAACGCCCGAGACCAAGCTTGAAGTGTGCAGGTACATGATCCGCTGGCTTTTTCCAGCAGCTGCTTGACCTCTATCAGAATGTCGCAGGTTGAAGATCAAGTGTGGCCGTCAAGGTTAGGCCGCCTCTCGCCTCCGGCCTCGCCAGGGATTCACCTACCGGTGCAGTACCTTGTTCCAATTGCGTAAAGCGAGGATGCGCTCACATCTGCCCTCACCAAACGCTCGGCAGCGTCAAAAGCATTCGTTCCCGTGTGGCACAGCTTGAGCAACCCCAGCCTTTCCCGTACCCGGCATTTGGTCAAACCCTCGCGAATGGGGGCCAAACTCGTCCTTGTACCCGAGGTGCCATTTGCCGGCCATGGCGGTAAAGTATCCTTCATCCTGAAGCAGCTCAGGAAGGGCTGCTATATCATGATTCATGTAGCCCTCATGACCGGGGATGTTATAGGGCTCGGGATCCACTGTCTAGGCAAGAGAAGCTGGTCAGCGGGCGTGCCGGACAGAACCACAATACCAAAGCTGGCTAAAGGACGGAGAGACGACTCACACGAAATTCAGACATGAGCGACGTTTCTCGAACAATCCACAGTTCAGCCAAACTCAAACGCCTCAACGCCACAAGAGCCACCTTCGAAAGACATGGCAAGTTGCACAGGACAGGTCAGCCCGTCGCGAGCTTTAGGCTAGTCGTACGGTAGCATTCGTCACCAATGGTGAAAGCCCAACAGATGGACGTTCTACAGTAAGTAAAGTCACGGAGTACACCTTGTTTCCAGTGTTCCAGCATGCACTGAGTGCTGACGATTAAATAGGCTATTGCGAAGTAATTGCATCACTATCTATGCAGGAGGAGGTACAGCAGACTAGAAAACAATGCATGAAGAAAGGGGAAATTTAACCCCACGACGGCAAGTTACCTACGCCCAGCGATCAGGACAGGTCAGCGCAATACGCCACGCACATGTGATCCAGCCCTGAGGGCAACCTATCCCTCGCTGTGTCGATTGTCGCCATGCACGTTTCGGCCGCATACCAACACTGTCGGCATACCAGCTGTTTGCAGCCTGGTTGCGCTTTCAGAACCGTACCTCTTCCTCTAGCAGACCATGACTCAAACGTCTACAGTACCACGTTGGAGCATCCAGTACTAGCGATGGCTTGACACCGTGGAATGACAGTCCACGAGAGAAACATATATTTTTAGCGGTCTCATCATGAGTCATATCCTTAGCCTATAGACTGTGCTTGAGGCGAATCCTCCATGTTGAGAGTCTGCAGTATGAAGGCGTGGTGTCGTTTCCCTCGACGATTGATCTTGCAATTCTTCGCGAAGCCATGAGTTGAGGTTGCCACGTTCACCATGTTCCCTTTCCGTCGGCGCGAACCGATAAGGTGGATATCTGCTTCCGACGTTGACGTTTGATGTTGACCAATCATCAAGGACCCAGTGGATGCTTCTCATGGCCGTTAGCGACGATCAGAACCCTGAATGATTGTTGTAGACTAACCCACCCCTCCCGTGCCCTCCTTGACCAACGTAGTCTATGGTCTCGCGGACACTGACGACCGCTGTGGTAGCCATGAAACGGACCTATAAGGCTCACCAGGATTGGACTTGCGTCCTCCATGTCGCCAACCGCTCATGCACTGGTATCCCTCAGTCGCTGGCCCCTCTGTTCCATATTCCCTGCAGCTTAGGAGTCGTTACCGTCGTCCGCCGCAAGAAGTGGCAGCAATCTTGTCCTGGGAAGAGCCTATCGGCACTTGATATCCATGCTCGTGCTGGGGGATGGGTATCGGCAACACATACGCCCATATTGCTCGGCAATGGAGTCTTATATCTCATGCACTCGCCTCTGGAGCTCGGCTCACCTGGCAGGAATTCTCTTCAACTGCATCTTCAGGCTATTGATTAAGACTTACCTCTCGACGCTTTTGGAATGTTTGACAGAGCCAACCTCGGGCTCATTGATTCGAACCTCCGTCACTGTCGACAAGAGAATGGCACAAGTTGTCACAGACATTCCCTACAGAGCGGATGAGAGCCATCCGGATCAGGAATCCCGCGTTGCTCCAATCCCTCGACCTGGTTATCACGGGAGATATCCTCGGTGGATTGGCCACAAATTCGAACCCGATGGCAGCGTGCGCAGCTTCCCTGGCCATGGAATTATGTGTCACTTACCACCGCACGATGCAATGTATCATGCACTCCAACAATTCCGCGATGACTTGCAGCAGCAAGACTTTGCATCGTCATTGGTCCTGCTGCCACCTTCGGTTTGGCATATGACGGTATATGAGGGTGTGTCTGACCAGATTCGCAAACGTAACGGGCGGCCAGGGGAATTGGACCTTGACTGCTCGCTAGAACAATGCCATAAGTTTGTCACTTCCAAGTTGGCGAGCTTCGATCTCGGCTGCGAGCCATGGTTTCGCATGAGACCTGTGGGTTGGGAACCGATTGAGGACGGTATCGCCCTGAAGATCGCAGGGGCGAATGCTGTTGAGGAGGAGAAAATTCGCGGTCTGCGCGACAGGCTTGCCAACGTGTTGGAGTTGCGACACCCTGGCTTTGACAATTATCCCTTTCACTTTGCGTGGCTTACCAGCTGCATACCGTGGAGCAGCATGACAAAGAGGATCTTGCAAGATATCTGCAAATGGCGCTCGAAAAACTGCCCAAGGAATTCGAGCTTGGGGCACCTGGTTTCTGCACTTACGAAAACATGGTTGCAATCAATCGAAAATTCGACCTCATCAATCAGGCAGATGGTGTGTAGGCAGAATAAAGGACCACAATAAGGGTTACTTGACACAACCTTCAATCTTTTAAAACGCAGAAGCTCGTCGTAGAATTCAGGCTACCTTATTTGCGTTTAAGCCTGTGGACAAGATGAGCGGCAGAACTCAACGTGATCTCATCCAATGCAGTGGGTGTTCAAAGCTAGAGGCCTGGATGATTGCAAGCCTCGCCATTAGACGCCCGGAAGGTATCGCCTGGAATATCTAGAAGTCCGCCTATCAAACAATGTCAGCCACCTACCAGTAAGGCTACTAGGCTGGTGGGCTCACTACTTTAGGCTTGCTAACTTAGGCTCACTAGGCACCTATACCTGGTAATAGGTACCTAGGTAAGGTAGGCATCTCGCTGACGTCGAGGGTTCTCAAATGACCAACAATAACCATTCAAATCCGCGTATCGTTTTCACTTCCTTCCACATGCGTCTTTCTTCCCTCTTTCCCTCTTCCTTCCTGGACGACGAATTCTGCTCAACATGACCGAATCATTGGACCGTGTATGGGCTTCTCTTCACCAATTCTATATGTCGCTTCCGACAAAGCTCCAAATGGCATCTTGGAAGTGAATCGCAGACATTCCTCGCCGCTGGTCTGCAGAGGTGTGACAGGAAATGGAAGCCCAGCTGAGGACCAGCACTTCATCCGTCAACCTGAATCCTCCAGATCATGCATGCCGCTGCGAGAAGAGGTGGGAATCAAGGGATAATGTCAGCAAAGGTACATGAGCTTCTCTTAGACCAGTATGAGATCTCCCCAGTCTTTCAACTCTTGCGCCAAACCATAGTGATCCCGCAGCACACGAGTCTGTCAGCCCAATAATCTTCAGGTTTTACCTTTCTCTGCAATGTCTGTCACTACAAAGCGCCAATATGAGTTATTATAATCGCTCCAGGACAACAGCAGCGGACCAAGAAGAAGTCGTTAAGCTTATGGGTTGCCTCAAAGCTGAATTGCATTCCCTATGGCTAACGCGGCCAGCCATACTGAGATGCGATCCCGACCAAATCCGCGACCGATTTGCCACTGAGATCGCAGAACTTCTGATCAATCAGGCCGCCATATCTACAGCATCATATCATGCAGAACATGTGGACATCGATCGCAGTCTGGGTGATCCCGTGTCGCTGACACCCGAAGCGGAAGAAGGGCTGCATTGGATGGAAAACCTTGTCGAAGCAAACCGAAATGTCCGTGAGAAGCTCAGTCCCGGGCTTCTTCGCCCACTGTTCATGTACGCCATCGAGCACGAGGATTCTGCCAACGCACAATGGGCAATTGATTGTATGAGGGAGATCAAGGCTCCCATAGCTCGAAGCGACTTCTTTTCATCCTACGCACAGACTCTCGTTGAAGAACAGAGAAACAAGAAGAGACGGGTCACCACGCGATGGTTCTGCTATGAGAGATACGGCGTCAGACCTCCATTTCTGTAGCTATCCACAACTGGACACTGTCTAAGTTACCTTTTCTTCCTTCCTATGCTTTTGGTTGTGTAGGTCTTAGCATCGATACCCGGTCCGGTAGAAGAGGTGTTGGATGTGTTGGACACAATCAGAACCACTCACACCACTCGAGGACTAGGTGCCACTCACGGTGATTGTGACGCTTTTCCTGTCTACAGACTTGACGTCACACCTCTTACACTTATATTACTCAGGCATGACCTTGACATTCAAAAGGCGCAGTGTGATCGTCGTGTTCACAGTAGTCCAACCTGCGCCCTACAAGATCTCCGACGATCGCCTTACTCTAGTAGACTCGCACTACTATTTATGCGAGGTTTCCCTCAAGACAGGACAGGTAAGGCACTCTAGATAGACACCGATTTGATAGTACTGGACAACCTCATCATTGCTAGTGAAGACCTACGCATCACTTACAATGAGTCTTCAAATGAACGGCCAGTTGTCGATGTTAGCACGCAGAGCCCAAGCCTGTGCAGCTCCAGACGCGATTGGAAGTTCCCTTTGGGATGTCATCAATGATTTATGGGACTCTGAAAACAATCCAAACAGTTATGTCAGTCTGGGGATCGCAGAGAACTCGCTCATGCACCATGAACTGGCACAGCACATTGCCAACAATCTCAAACTGCCACTGCGAGCACTCACCTATGGAGATGGTCCGCTAGGGTCGAAGCGGCTGAGGGATGCCATTGCTCGATTCCTGAATCGACGGCTGAAGCCTGTGTCGAATTTGAGGCCAGAACACATCATCATCACCAATGGTGTCTCTCACGCCATCGAGCATACTTCATGGGCCTTCTGCAATCCGGGTGATGGTTTCTTATTCGGTCGGCCTTACTATGGAGCTTTCCATCCCGATATATCCCTGCGGCCGGGTGTAGAGACAGTCACGGTGCCATTTTAACGGCATCGATCCTATGAGCGTCGAAGCCGTTCAAGAGTATGATTCAGCGATATTTGCCGCCAAGGAACGTGGTGTTACTGTACGAGCTTTGATGCTTTGCTCACCACATAATCCCCTAGGAAGGTGCTATTCGCGCGAAGCTATTCTAGCCTACATGCGCCTGTGCCAGAAACACCAGATTCATCTTGTCAATGATGAGATATATGCCTTTTCTGTGTGGAAGAACAACAACGACAGGAGTCCTCCTCCAGTTGATTTCATGAGACCTGCCAGCCTGTACTCCGTAGTGTTTCTATCTTAGATATTGTGTGCATCATGTACTGTAGTAATATTGTCTTGGCACCACCGAAAACACTTTTTATCAGCCTAGGTAAAGGTCTTTTCACAGCCAAAACCACGTACCCACAGTTCATATATCTCAGCCATATGAACCTGTATCTTCTCACCTGTGCACTCAACTCCCCTCGTCATACAAGGCCAACTTTGCAGTGCACGATTCGAGTCTCAGTCGGAGAACCCCAGCAGCCTAGAGCGAGGTTTTAGCGGCGCCCAAAGACCCGGAGAAGAAACCCGGACAGAGCAACACCCTCACTACAGTATCGCATAGTGTCGTGCATGACCACGAATTTGCGCTTCTTTGCGCCATCTTGATACACGCGGTATCAACTCTGCGCCATGGCGGAGTTGGACTCGCTCATTGACTCGTTGATTCAACAACGCAAAGCTCCAGAAGTATCCTACATCGACGACAAATATGCCGAAAAACTCAAGATCGAAGAACTACCCTCGAAAGGTCAAGGCGCATTTGCCAAACAGACTCTGTCCGTGAACAATCCGATATGCTCACTCGGATGCCCGCCCATGATGGCGCTTGACTCAGACTATCTTCCAACAACCTGCTACCACTGCCTCGTTGTCACCGCGACGCAATTACCCCTCGTGCAACATGGACTCTCACCCATCGGGCTCAAGGACTGCGGTGGCTGTCGCTCTGCTCGATTCTGCAGCAGGGAATGCCAAGTCGAGGCCTGGCACGCTTACCACAAATTCGAGTGCAAGATCTTCAAGAAATTGCGCAGTGAACAACTACCACCTGCCATTCTCCGGGCCGTGCTACGAATAGTGCTCCTCAAAGATCGGGATAACCTGCCCGACGACGAATGGAACCGCATAACATCATTGATTTCCCACGAACAGATCCTCGCCGGACGAGGGCGGTCCAACCTCACCGAAATGGCCGAGGGCATCAAACATCTCGCCGAGTCGAGCATGAGCGTCGAAGCGATCCAGAGGCTCATTTTCATCATGAAGTCCAACGCGATTGAACTGCCTTCGACGATCCACGGAGGCATAGGCGTCATGGTCGATCCTCTCGTGGCCAAGATCAACCATAGCTGCACACCGAACCTGTCCATCCACAGACCCCAACATACCATGACCAGCAGGTGGATGAAATCCGCGCAGCTCTCGGAGGACGAAAGAGGCACGTTCATGCAACTCATCCCACTGCGGGACATCCAGGAAGGCGAGGAGCTGTTGCTCTGCTACGTTGCGCCCACCTTGTCCGCGAGCGCCAGAAGAGCGAAATTGATGGATGACTATCTCTTCAAATGCGAGTGCCCGCGATGTCTCTCGGATATGAAAGCCGCCACAGATCTGGCAAACGAACAGCCCGCTCTACCGGCCCAGTTCGAGCAATGGACGAAAGATGTTGGGCGCAATCTCTCGCGTGTGGAGCGTGATCCCTCTGCCCTGGCAAGAGCTGCGGCTAGTATGGACAAGTCGGAGCGTTTCCTCGAGTATCCCACCCTCTACACGACAGGTGATTTCCCCGAGATGGCAATGGCGATCATTCTACTTGGCCTGAAGAATCAAGCCTTCGACGAAGCTCTGGTCAATGTGCTTCGGTTATACTTCCTTGTCAACCCAGCGCGCTTTGCCGGTCGACATAATCCGACAAACATCTACACCATTTCACTCATGCTCGACATATTCGATGCACTCCTGGGACTTTCGACGCCGCCAGGTGTCACCGACGACAAGAGGGAAAAGTGGTTGCGCAACCTTTCGGACCGCGGCCTGAGCAGGAGCGGTTTAATCTACTGGAGAGCCAGAATTTGCGCGGATCTGAGGAGACGACTGGAACAAAGCGCAATGAAGGATCTGGTTGTCCTAGTAGAGGAGCGAGAAGCCCGGGCAAACAGCCTCACTGCCCGGGATCAGAATACGAAAGGAGTGGAGTCAAGGCAAAGTGCGGAACAGGAGATGAGAACGGTCTTGAAGCTGAAAGAGCCAAGATGGAATACTGTCCTGCAAGAGAATGGGTGCTGATATTCCTCGCTGTCAAGAGTCGACGTCTCGTTCCAATATCCGCAGAGTCCAGCTCCATAGGAGACAAACAGATCTCAGATCCAGATGCCTGTAGCAGCACACTCAAACAGCAGCCCCTCTCCTCCAGTCTGCAAACCGTTATCTGCAAAATCATCAGGTGGGGTTCACCATTGTTCTCATGAGCAGGAAATGATCTGTAACGTGGGGTAACATGTCGTCGTAGGCTCTCTGCGTGAGCCTCTGTTCTCTTTTGAGGGTGTTCTCTTCTTTGTCGACGTCCTTCATCAGACATTTGTAGATGTCTTTGCCCTTTCGAGCCGCGTCGCGAAGCTGTTTGGCTTCTTTAGTGACCTCCCATGACTCGGGCTGATCCTTCCACTCTTACGCGAATCGTGGGCAAGAGATTATCCACAATAAGCAACCGATGACAGTTGTCGAACTGTGGTCTAAACTGATCTGTTCCTGAGAGGTCAATTTTTCGAATACCAGAGCGATTTATACCTAACTTGATCGAATTTCTTTGACCACGAGCATCAACGATTGTCGGAACAACCAGCTGTCATCTATTGATGACCGGTTTGTCTTCTTAATGGTTCCCGTCTTCGTTTTAGTCTCGAGGCCGTTCTTTGGTAAGCTTCAAGTTGTTTGGTGGCATGCTTCTCTTGGTTCTGGACATTTGGCCACCATGTGCTTCTCTGCTCTTTGCGCGGCACAGTGACCCCATGAATGGATCAGTAGCAATGCTGTCGGTGCCCATGCCTTGGAAGCATAGTTGCGAGGAAATCAAGGGTTCCTAGTATCTGAGGATTTTCTTTGGCTGAATATGCTTACTGTTCGCTGCTTTTTCTCGAAGAGCGCCGGGCACGGCTAGGCCTAGTCCTGTGAGTACCGCACAAACCAACACAGGCTCGATGCGGGCGATGCTTCCAAGGCCCAGAAAAAGTTGAAAGGCCAGTCTGCATTGTAGGTTCGACGTCGTTTCTGATCTCCCATATTTGGGGCCGGACCGGGAATTTCGGATAGCCATCTTCGTCGTTGTGGGAGAGAGCTGTATGACCAACAATCATTCTTTGTATTTCATTTTCCTGGTAGCGATTTGTGATTGGATCTGTTGATTCGAGCTGAAAGATGAGAAGATGGAGGGGGGATTTGGGAGAGGATATAAGGCAAGAGGATAGCTGCCAAATGCGTATCAAATCTCGTAATAGAATCTTCGATGTTGTGCGAAGTACCACATGGGCAGGCGTCTCTTCAGGTAAAGGTTTGTGTTCAGAAAGTGTAGAAATTGTTGACTTGAACGATTTTGGGGGCTTCCGGACACGTTGTACAGTCCCTCAGGACGCCAAACATGGCCTCTCTATAGGAGGCCGAAGCTTGTTCGAACTCCATTCCGATATATGGAAGGCCGCTTTCTGGTATGGAGATTGGATGGCGACCTACCCACTTAGCGAATTACGCGTTAGGATCGCTAACATCTGTCAGCAAACCACCACAACTTGTCAACGACACGTGGCACTGGCTTCAGACTGTGGACTGATATGTTGTCGAAGAACTGTATAGTGGATGGAGAGTTTGAACTGATATGGCCCCTCCCACTGGCACCAAGGCTCCTGCTGAATTCTCTTGGTGGTGTTGCATGAGCCTCAACAGAACAGCGTCTGAATAGCTCTGAATTTGGGTTCCCCAAAGTGGCTTCAAAACCCCGTTGCAGGCGACGGGGAAAAGAGCAGCATAAAACCAAAGAAGGACTGCCAGACGTTGAACCAACTCCACGATGGTGGACGAGAGAACAGCGACTTGAGCGATGAAGGTTGTTCGTCTGTTGTCTGGTCTGTTTTGCCGGATTTATTGACTGGCCAATCTCCTTTCTTGTCTCATGACCTTGTGGCCAGCTTCGACGACAAACCGTTTCTCGGTCAGGAAGAAGGAGTTCGATGACATGATGTAAAATGATGCAGAACATGCGGAGGACAATACCATTAGCACCAGCACGCCTCGAAAACGATCGGACGTGTCGTGCGGGAAATAGTCCCGGATGCTCCGGTGTTCGCACACCACGACAGCTCGGATGGTCCCGGTAGGCTGTCTTACCAGCAGCTTGTAGGTCAGGCGAGGGACCAGGTTGTCAACGCCGCTGGTGAGAAGTCTCGGAAATCGTCCAGAGGCATTTCAAGAGTCGCAGGCACTCCTCGCTTCTTGCACGACAATCTCAACGTCTGAGGAATCGATGTCGACGTCCTCATGATAGACGTTGAAGATGGATATATATACCAGAAGCATCCAACAAAAGAACATCGGATGGATTCCGACCTCACCCGACCACCATAGCGTGGGCTGGCCGCACACAGCACATGTTTCGATGTGGCTTCACTAACTCCCCGATGTGTTGCCTTGACGGCTAACAGCACCACCGCAAGCGGATGCTGTAAAAGGGTGTTTCTGCACCAAGCACTTGCCAGTCAATCCATCAGCGGCCCATCCTATGTCCGGTGTCAAGTAGCGTATGCCGGAACCGGACATCGTAGAATGCTGGCTCGGGACTGTATGCGGACTCCGAGGCATGCTGTATTGGAACACGTATGGCATATTGGCGTTCATCGTACGGAGGTATCCAGAAGTCGAGACGTGGTCAGCGGCCAAATTCAAGGATGCTGTAGTTCCAGTACGTCAAGGTCGAAGAGGTCCCAAAATTATCGAGCAAGCCACGGTTGAGGAGATGTGAGAGGGTAATAGTGTGATTAAGAAGTGGTGGAAGCTAGTCGTTGTAACTCCGGACGTAAGGCTTGGTCGTTAGGGATGTTGGCGGAAACTACGTACACCCACGGCAGTGTCGTTGGACAAGCTTGGAGACCCGTCAAGCCGAATCCTGGAGCCTGACGGGCGAGGACGGATATTCTGTCCGGCTCCGATTATTGTCTGCCACATATCTTACATCCTAGTCCTCTCAGGCTAGTAGATGTCAGGGCATGCCCAAGCCTCAAGAATGGACGTACAGGAAATATCTCAAAAACACGCCCCATAACAGCATGCATATGCTGCAAAACCAGCCAGCGTAGAGCGATGACCACGAACGAGACAGGTGAGGTGCAAGGCAGCAATAGCCCTAATGGGCGAGCAAAGCCTTCGCATCTGCTACTGGCACTGTCGTTATTGTTTCGTATATACATATGAAATAGCATGGTTGGTGGCGGATGGTCACTTCGCCACGAACCCAAGGAGAAGCAAGGTCTAACGAAAGGAATGAAAGGGATGGAGGGAGAGACGAGGAGAGGAAGAGGAAGAGGAAGTCGAGGTACTTGTACTTGTGCAGGCGGATGATATGAGAATTGTTGAGGCTTCCAAGGCCCTTGCAGAGTGTATTGTTTCAGTCATTTATGACCAATGCTTCCGCAATGGCCACTGGGCACAGCGAACATATGCGGCACGGTTGACGGTCCCATTGAATTTGGCGTGTAGATGACTAGGAAGATCGCTGTCAGCGTTAATTCATTCGCACCCGAGGTCTTCATCTTATCCTCGGTGGAAGGCGAACTCCAATGATGTGATCTAACAGGAGAAAGGAGCAAGCTGTAAATGAAAGACAGTCTTGACGTGGAAGGGTGGATGGGAAATGGGATTGACGCCCGGTAGCCATTCGCGAGGTGAGACCACAGAAGAAACAGAGGTGGCGATCGATTATTAGCATTTGTGAAGGAGAAACAATATGCTCATGTCTCATTCTTGCGCAAGCCTTATCCGAACAGCAGAGCTGCGTCGAAGAAGCATTCCTGTTGTGCGGACAGGCATGGTATGAAAGATTGAAGTCGTCCCAAAACTCATGCTGATGAACTAAAAGGCTGGAAACACCGCCGGCCCGCGCACAAAAGCACCTTCACAACAGCAGAGGGAAGGGGTAATGTCACAGGCCCGATACCCCTTCACATCGAATGGTCTGGGGATTGAACCGACACCCACGTCACTTCTTTGACGTCTTCGGAGGTGGAGGGAAATACAGCTGAGGTGCCGCCGAATTCGGACTTCGACTGGTTCCGATTTCAGGAGATTTCCCTGCTTGGACGTCACTGCCCACTCGATCCACGAAGCCGGGACTCATTGGACTTCTCGGCAAGTCGGGGCTCCTGATTGCGAATGGAGGGGAGGTAGGAGCATTCGGAGTGCTAAAATGATTTCGCAGAGGCAAATCTTTCGTACCTCCCAGCCTGTTGAAGGCCATAGTCCTAGGAGTCAATGGGTTTAGGCCGCCTTGAGCCCCAGGTGTTTCTGGCATCGGATATGCCATAGTTTCTCCTGTATTTGGATCTTCAAGTGTTTCGAATCTCGCCCACTTTTCAGCCTTGAGCCGTTTCTGCTCAGCATATTCTTCGCGCTGCTGCCTGGATGGGAAGCAAGACCACGCAGCAAAGCCAAAATATATGACAAACACTCCTAACATTGCGCATGTGCAGGCGAAACTCGCTTTGCCTTGTTTACAGTACCCTACCAGGCTCTTGTTCCTTGTGACACTGCAGGATTTGGTGATGTACCAGGGTGGTCCATTCTGCGGATGATCGGGATCTGTAGTATCGCTGCTGGCTTGGTAGTCGACAGAGACCGTGTAGAGAGCGATGAGGAGGGCGTGGACAAGGATGGAAAGGATGGGTGGAAAGACGTGCAGCATGTACATGATGGATTTGACCAGCATGATGAACATGGAGAGGACGGCAATAACGACGTTGTAATTTGTTATACTGTTGCCAGAGTTAGCAGAGGCTAAAGACCATGGTAGCTAGGGAATTCCGTACAATTGCGACCAGACTTTAGGAGTAGTATAGGGTCTGTAGTTTGCAGCTGCGTACAATCCGGTGAGAGGACTGGAGTTGAAGCCATTGTCTGCACCATCCTGCCACAGTTTGGTGCGATATGTGTTTGGCGAAGCAATACCGAATAAAGCCAGTAGGGCAACTGTCAATGGGAATTCGAAGCCGATCAGGACGTAGAAGGGCCATTTATTCGGCTTCCACCGTCTCGAAAGGAAGAACTTCATGATGCCGCGAGGATTTGTCTTTGTCAGCTGTGTTCAGTGATACAGTCTCATGTTCATCCTCGAGTGTCTCGGGACGCAGCGTCTGCTTTGAAGCCCAGCAGAGCACTTCGGAACTCTTCAGCTTGGGGGAGGGACATGAGAGAGGAAGTGAAGTTCAGTAGTTTGCCCTACCGAGCCAGACATCTTGAGGAGAACAGTTGGCTGCATTTGTGCTTACCTTGCAGCAGGCGCTTACAGGATGAAGAGGACGAATGAGCAGTCGATGGTGGTTGTGAGAAAAGGCCAATGAGCAGGGTATGAAGAATCAAGCACCTTTTGGAAGAGGGACGAAGGTGCTGATGATTGGATGGAGGCGCCTGTGATGGACTTGATAACCATCGAATCGCCCAGCGAAGCGTTAAAGAAGATCCCCGCAGGTGTCGCCCACCACCGCCTAACACATTATCACTAGTTACCTATCTGCGGGCGACAACACCCGTGACCAGCCTCCGGTGACTTCTCTTGTCACCATCTAGTCCAATCGCAGGCACCAGAATTTGGAAGCTCTCTGGGCACTGCTGGCACATTTTGATGGTGGTTAAGAATTCAAATTTCTACTAAGTGGCAGCAGGAGCTTGTCACTTTCCAACAATACTGTGCTACAGAGTAAGTACCTCGTACTTGCTATCAGGTATTTTCATGAAGGTCATATTGGCGGAAGATTTATATCCCGATGCCGACCCTAGTGCGGATCTAGTCGGCTATAGGCGGAACTAGGCTTATACAGGTTAGCCTGCCATCAACTGTGAACCCCTTTTCTTTTTGCAATATTCAGCAACAGGAGCATCGTGTCGCCTTCGCTATTCAGTGCCGGCATGCTTGCTTCTCCGTTGATCATATGCTACTTTTGCTGAGGATGGACTGCATGATGATGCGTATCACAGACTCGCCTCCAACCACCTCTGACGACCGGTACTACGGCATGCGAGTCATCACGTCAAATCATGACAAGCGACAGGTCTTTATTTGATCGGCAGCCGGCTCCTCTCTCTACAGGTTTGTGAGACGCCAGCACCAAAGTCTGAGCTCCAGACTGGCACCAATGCCAGGGATGAAGCCCCAGAGCCCGTTGAGGACCAGTGAGGACCCTATCAAAGCCACGGAAAGCCTAGACACCAGACCCCAGCTGTGTCGGACCATGCACGCGTCTTTCCCTTTTTCGGACATCCGAAACACCTCCCCTTCTTCGTGCCACATCCAACGCGCCAGCGAGCCTTCTCCATCCTCACAGCCTCACCACAGGCACACACAGGCTTCGCTCCACTGCCCTGAGTCTTCCTCACCAGACGCTGTCCAGTATCACCTTTTCTCGGGTCTTGTGCTGGTCACAGATCCTCGGAAACACCCTCAGAAATTTTTCAATCCTTCATCTCTATTCCAAAAGCTAGCCTGCTGATGTCGCTGTCGTCGAATCTTCCTACTTCTTTACTAGGCATTTCATCCAATTTCCCCGTCAGCCCGATGGCCCTCGCGCTAGCCTCCTTCATGCGATGATCACTCCTTCACATACGAGGCCACCCATGCTACAGTAATTGCATAGTGCCGCGCGCAACAGCATCTATCACAAACACCCGCCTGCGAAGCAGACACCTTGTCGACTCCATCTTCCTCTTCATCTTGACACCAGCCAGGTCGTTTCCTGCTTGTCAGGATGCAACCCAGCAGGATGTTTCGACACGCTCTCCTCCTACATAAACGAGACCCTCAGAGATCCGATCTCAGCGACCTTCCTTCAAGCATTGGAAATCCTACAGCGACCCTCCCTCAGTCGATAGGACCCAGTGGCGTGACCGCAGACCCTTCAGCAACAGCACAAATCGTCACTGCCGAAGCACCATCAGGATTCACCACCGTCACAGAGACTGAATCTCTCGTCGAGTCCATAACGAGCCTCAATACTGTCTCGACAGTGGCCACAACAAAAACAAGAATCATTACAGACCAGTCCGAATATGCATCCCTCACATCAGCGGCGGCTCTCTCCGCATCAACGAGTACCCGAGCTACTACCTCCAAAACCTCAGCGGCTGCAACCAGCAGCGCAGCTTCCGAGAAATCCTCCTCCACAAACACTTCGACCCTTATTCCGGCTATCGTTGTACCTGTGGTCGTAGTGCTACTCGCTTCCCTAGGTATATTTTGGTTTCTTATGCGGCGCAGACACAAGAGGGAGTTGGACAGTCAACCGGAGTTTGTCATGGCCGGAAAAGGAGAAAAGCTGAGCAGCAGGTCCAACAGCGGCAGATCTACCTCATCCCTAGCCGAGTCAGAGAAGAAATTGACGGCAATCCAGTCGACGGAAATCCCATCTGTCAAGTCCCCTCCGAGCACTACCTCTGAGTGGCCATCATCACAAATCGGCCTTGCTCGACCCCTGACTCCGCAAGGAACAAAGCCTGTCGTTGCAAGTAGACCAATGGAACAATCTAGACCAGGCACCGCACCTGCAGAACGCCAGTATCGAAACTTCAGCGGTCCTGCACCAAGACCGACGACCTCTGGCCGGCCTGGACCACCGACTTCGACGAGAGAGCCTCCGCAACACCAACAGCAACAACGCAACAGAGGCTACAGTAACCCTGCTCAAAGGGGACCGCCGCCGCCGTCGAAATCTGGGCCTAGTCCAACTCCCAGGGCTGTACGCACCCCCGATCCGGTACGAGGTGGTCCCAGCCCTGTATCACAACGTCCCAGTCCGACAATGTCTTCTTCCCAGGGCGTTCGAAGCGAATCGAAGGCAAATGCAGCACCTCCTCCTTCTGCATTCCGCTTGCGCGATCCTTCTCCAAGCATGAACCACAACGGACGCGCTCAAGCACCTCCACGGCTTGCGGCTCCCCCACCAGGGGCTTACAACGGTGCATCTTCGATCTCTCGATACTCACCGATCGTGAAGGAGACGCCTGGCATTCCTGTATCGAAAGCATCCTCCGTGAAACGAGGACCTCCTCCACCTCTTCAGACTTCCAATCTTGCCCGTCGTCAAGGGTCGAAGTCACCTCACTCCGCCAGTCCCGGGCTGACCGAAGAAAACATGCGGATCGCCCGGTTGGCAAACTCTTCGCGTTTGGGTGGTTACACTCCAGCCGAGCCCAGCCCGTCACCCAAGCTGCCTCCACCAGCCACTCGATCACAACTAATACCCCGTGAGAGTCCCAAAGGCAAGCCGGAGAACTACTTTGGCGGAAGCACAACCTCGGAGCCCCAGAGCCCAGCAGCAGTGTCAATGTCACTGGACCCCCGTGCTGCTTCAGATCGAGCCAGCATCGTGTCCGACCCAGATGAGTACGAAGACATCGACGCCAAATCAGATATCAGCAGTCTGAACGAGTTTGAGCGGTTTGACTTTGGCGCTGCAGCTGCTGGTGCCGGTAGTCGAGGCGGCAGTGCCGCAGGTCAATCCTTGAACTATTTTGCGTCTCATAACAGTCCTGCCGGTGGTCGAGGAAGCCCCTTCGGCAACGATGCGACCTACGAGCGTTGGTGATGCCGGGGCTCGACCCTTTGCAACGCAGGCACCTCATTAATTTTTTAGCTGTGCTACAACCCGACTGCTGCCACCGGACATCCCCCCGCGATGCAACGACTAGCTAGCCTCACCGTCGTTACCCTGTTTCGAATTTTTTTGTTTGGCAGTGAAATGCATTTTAGCATGAAAAGGCAGAATCGGTTGGTTCTATGATACCCCCATATTAAAGCCATGCTCCTGATTAGCTGGTTGGAAGCGAGTAATGTCAACAATGTCCACAATGTCAAAAAGATGTCAAAGCGAGGAATATCCACGTATCGATATCGCCGGCAAGCGAGGAATGATTTCTATAGAAATTTAATGATATGAGATACCTCGACCCCCTCGGCCTTTAGTTTCAGTTTCAATTTGTAAGATGGGCAACTTTGGCCGTCGGAACGAAGACGCACGATAAATGTCTTGCTCATGGCATTCTTCAGTATGAAAGTAGGATGAAGTACTCCGTACAAGACATGGCTCTCTGGCTCAGGTTAATGAGGCCGAGTGTACGGAGACCACGGTAGGTTACAGTATTCTTGGTAGGTTATCAAAGAATAACATTCAATCGCTTCTATCTATACTCCGTATATCAAGACGATCGAGACCAAAGACAATATGCCGCCCATGTCGCTAAATTCAGAGATCCTTTTGCTCATATTCTCGTCCCAGTCCATAAAAACATTGCTTCCTTCGTTTCATGAGATAGCCTCATCATGCCTTTTACCCTCCAACCATTTTTGCTTGCCAAGGGACGACCAAGAATCCAGCCCTCGTCCATCCATATCCAAGCAGAGTCCAGCATACCATGTAAAAAAGCTTTTTGCCCTAACTAGTGGCCCTAGCATTCCCGCTTCTCCCGAGGAGCGTGTGTCGTTCAACCCTCTGTAGAGACTGTGTGGGCTGGGCACGCATGAAGCAAGACTGTTGAGGCCTCTATGAGGGCTTCAGCCACCAATGGAAGTGGAACCAACTTCACAGGCGGAAGCAAAGCACAGACCATCGCGCGGGCTTCGCGCGTAACCTGAAGCCTTGACAGCAGTCATACCCATTCCCATCATCGACGGTCCGGCGCCGACTTGGCCTGGTGCCAAGTTCCAGGCAAAACCGCGGGCAGCCATTCGGTGGTACAGTACTGTACGCCCGCGCCTGGCACGTTCATTCTTCGACCGAGCCGACGACGATGCCGTGCTTGAGCAGATGCCGATGCACATGTCTATGCGCTTGCATATGCCTCTTGACTCTGGTGAGGTCGTCCTCGGGGACAACATCGCGCTTCTTGACGCCGCCGCCGCCGGGGAAATCAAAATCATCGTATCTCAACGCCGTGACGGTGACGTACTCGACGTTTCCGTTGGGGTCGTCCGCAAACGCCTCCGTCGTCACAGCGGCGGCCGAAGTGATTTCCGGCTGAGAAAAGTCCGCAACGGTAGCGGAAGCGGATGCTTCGACGACAGAGCCGTCAGATTCGACTGCCGGCACCATTGCAGACGGCGACGAAGCAATAGCGGCAGCAGAAGTCGAGGCTGCGGCAACAGCAAAATCTGCAGCATTGCCGAACGTCTTCGTAAAGCGGCCATTGCCGCCGCGGCTGAATCCGGCCGTTGGGACGTCGCTGACCGTTGGGGTAGGCCAGCTCTGTGAGACGCCGCTGCCGCTGTTCCAAGGCACGCCCGCGGAGACAGACGCCGTAGGACCATGTGGCAAGGCCGACGAAGTGGCATTGCTCGTTTCGCCGCCAGTGCTCTGATACACCTTGAGCGACTTGACCGACCAATACGCGTCCTGGAACTCGGCCGGATTATTCTGCACAAAGTCCTGACACGTCGACGCCTTGGAGCTGCACGTCGCGTCGGTACTCCAGACGTTGCCCGCCCAGTCGCCGCAGAATGTCGTGTCGAACACGATCTGGTGGTTGCTGAAGAACTCGTCGATCTGGCAGCCGCCTTCGAACGCGGATATCGGGCTCCCCCAGGTACTCGGGTCGGGACTGCCGGAGGAAATGTCTGAGGGAATCCCGGACCGCGGGAAGAACCATATACTGATGGCGCTGCTGGTCCATTCGGTGGCGTACACGCCCCCCTGGCCCTGGTTAAATTGTGTGCCGTAGCTGGCGCCGTCGTTGGCCGCCAGGATCTGGCAGCCTGCGTTCATGGCTTGGCCGGGCGCGTTGACGAAGCAGTTGGAAGTGGAGATGCTGCCGGAGAACAGGCCGTTGTTGGTGATGCTGCATCCCGACGCGGTGTGTAGGGCCATTGAATTTCCAACCTGGGAATTTACGCCCTCGATGATGTCTATTTCGCCCGCATTCGGCCAGTTCGCTCCGACGGTCCAGAAAGCGGGCCAGGTGCCGCAGACGCCGCCGGGCATGTGGTTCAGGTCGAGGATGATAAGGCCGTGCGTGTAGGTTTTCGTGCTCGTCAGGCGGACGCTGTTTCGGCCTAAGCCCGTGGCAACGTTGGTGTGGTCGACACCCATGTATATCGAGCCGTTGGTCGTGCTGATTAGGCCACTGCTCTGGGCTGTCGTCTGGTCGACGTAGGTCACGTAGCCGTTTGTTGGATCGGCATCCTGGCTGATATCAGTACCCATTTCAGGTTAGGACCAATAATTGTTCATACTGTGAAAAAGTCGAACATCGAGAAGAATTGGTCTTCGGTGTAGTCATCTTCGAGCACGTAGCCTGCCGTGCAGAGAGACACAAGCCCTCCAAGGGCGAAAAGTAGAGTGTGAAGCATATTTGCAGTGGTTGCTGGAAGTCAAAGGAGTGACGGCAAAAGAACGACAACTGGAATAAAAGGGAATGGACGCAAGTATGCTGGATATCAGGTTAAGGAATGACCGGCCGCCCAAGAGAAGAGTACAAACCAGATTCTCACGGCCGGAGTCAGGTATAAAAGAGGTCAGCAGGTACATAGATAGGGGTGGATATGGATGCGGGCCAGACGCAGTGGTGGCAGTTTCGAAGCGAAGACGTCTCTTACGAGACCAACGCGTCTTGCATACTGCACGGATATGAGCAGGCGAATGAGAAAGGCCTCGAACGATGTCAAAGACTCCATATGACGCGTGGGAGGCCAGCCTCGCGCCTTGATGGCTTCTGGATGCGTTGGAGAGGAGTAAAGGGGGAGGAATTTCTTGGGATGGGTACGTGGCGGGCCGAGGCTGCGGTCCATCTTGACTTGGTGATGCCTCCCTAAAATGTTGTCACCAGGAACGTAGGTTGTCCTCGCTCTCTGAATGGTCCCAGATGCGCTGATTAAGGACGTGGAAGAACGGCTAGACCTTCGGGTATATCCCATCTCAGACTCTCCGCTGGCATGTTGAAAAGGTAGACTCTGTCGAGCTTGGCTTGAAACGTGGCTGGGGTGGTCATTGCAGAATTCCTCCACAGACTTGAAACGCGGACAAGAATGGATAACGTTGATAGGCGGGTTCAGGGACTGCACTGCAAGATTCAGCATTGGCCAACGGGGTGTGATGGACACTGGACAGATGGATAAAAAGGAGGAGGCGAAAAGGTAGGGGTGGCGCCCAAGTGGTAGGCGAGGTACCTAGCTCTTAGGGTTGGGCTGAAGGGGCTTCAAGGCGTGTCTATCAAACGTTGGCATTCAGCCAATCAGGTGGGTTATGGGCCTGATCACGTGTCAGGCTAGGGATCTGGTCGGCCCCGGATCGTTTCAGGATCTTTAAAGCATGCAATGAGGATGCAACTACATAGCGAGATAGTATGTACATACCGTGACATACCTGAGTACGGAGTACTCCGTACGGCTGCAGGCATTGTCCATCATCATTCCTACTATTACCAGCTATACACAACTCGGACAGACTAACCCAGGCCCTCCGTTCTCCAGATGCCCTCGCATTGGTCCTTGCTCTTGACTCAGACATTTCTGGTGATACAAATGCCGGCACGAAAAGACCACAATAGGTCCCGGTCCGACGCTTTCTCCTCCCATTATTGCGCCACTCCTCGTATTCTCATCATGACCGACCCTGGCCCGCGAGGTAGCCTTCCCCTTTCCCCTTGCGCCATCATCCTCATCCGCACTGCTTTCCGACCGTCTCCATCGTCTATCTCGTCTGGCTTCCTCTTTGCGCGTCCACTCCTCCCACACTCTCGTCCCAAGCCCTGGGCCCCACACCCGCCGTCGACACACTTCACAGACTTGTCCTCTGGGCCTCCACCCGCGCTGTCGCAGTTTGCCAACCTCATCCAACTGCACAAAGACATCCTTATCCAGCATACTATTCGATAGAGCAAGGAGCGCTTCTTCGTATGCGTAGGCCGAAAATATACTCCCAATCACACTCCTCAGCTCCGTCAGACTCGGACTCGCCTGTGCCGCATGCGTCAGAAACGCGCGCAGGATGCGCAGGAAAGTCATATCCGGGTGGCTTCCCGACCCAGACCGATCGCGCGTGTACGTCGTCGTGCTAGTCAACAACGCCGTGAAGACGGCCTGAATCGTGCTCCGCAGCGACATCGTCGTTTCGAATTGGTCCTGATTACCGTCTGCAGACTTAGGGAAGGACGTGATTGAAACATCCCTTGCAATCGCAACGACGGCGAGAATGAGGTCCAGCCACAACGTTTCCTCGAACGAGAGAGCCCTCGTCGCACTGGCAGACCGGCCAGGCGATTTCGGCACGGTCGAGCGGGGTGCGTTCTTCATTTGCCCCTGGCACAGCCAGACCCCAACAAGCGCGTACTTGTGAATCGACTCCAGCACGCTTGTTCCAGAACGCCTAATGCTCGCATCATCCGGCTGGTCCGCTGAGTCCAAGTCTGCATTTGAACTGGCTGTGATCGCCTTGAGTGTGGACTCTAGAAAAGACAGTTGCCTAACCAACCGGTCCATCGCTTCTCTGGCGTGGCCTTGTCGCACTTGCAGAATGACGACGGCGTCGATGATTCCGCTATCTTCAATCGTCGGCAGAACCTCATCGAGCCGCAGGTCTCCTTCTTTCACGTGCTCGACATAGTCTCGTACGTGCTCAGGGTCGAATTGGCAAAGTAGCCGAACGTACAGTTCTAGCATGTGATTATCACGTTGGCGCTTGCTTGTCTGTATCTGCGTTCGCTCTTCCGGTTCAAGCAAGGTCCTAAGATACTCGTACTGCCCGTAAGTATCCTCCGTCAGCGCGCGCAGGAACAAACCATGCATATCGTGCGCAATATCGTCGATCGTTGCCGCAGTCTTTGGGATATCAATACCCACAAGATCCGATACATGCTGCTCGATCGTGTTTCTGACTTCACTTCTCTGCTGCTCGCTCAAGCTCGATCCGACCCGAAGACAGTCCCTGATAGCGGAGAACACGCCATCCTGACCCTCCTCATCGAGGAAGAACGTGTGAATCATGTCCGCGTACCGTCCCTCTTGCTTGAACACGGCTTTCAACACGCGATAGAACTTTGCCTCCTGCAGTAAGGATACTAAGTCGTGGAGATTCGGCGGCTGGAAGATAGACAGGAGATACTCGACACTTAGTTGTGCATCTTCGCGCATATCGTCTTCCGGATACTGGCATAAGCGGTCGAACACTTCGTGGAGTATTGTGCCCGAAAGGACCATGTACTGCGGGTACTTGGCCAGATTTCGCGCAATGAACATGTCGAGATAAATTGTGTCCTCGGGGTCAAAGCCAGAAGACATGGCTTCGAGCATGATTCGCACGATGTACTGTCGTGTATATGTTCGTGAATTGGAAGCTTGTCGTTGATTGAGGCTGGTAAGGGCATCGTCGTCGCCAGTATTGAGGAAACTGTCCTCGAACGCTTCGTTCAGAGCTGCGATGAAGCTTGCGGCGTCGAAGTGGAGGATACGAGAGAGGTTCTCGAACGAACTTGTGCTCCGTTTCGGGGTAAGTGAGCCGTTAGGCTTACCCCTACCCGAGAAAAAGTAGTCGTATATCTGACTCTTTGCCAGCGTAGACTCGTCATGATGCATAGCAGCCCCGGTAGGATAGACACGGCTTGTCAGGATGAATGAGATGTAGGGGAAGACCTTCTGCGCAGCGCTGTAACGCTCAGCCACATTGCCATCTTGTCGAGTTCCATTGTCTTGGGCGTCAGCATAGTCCAATAGTAGAGTAACTGGCGTCTCAAAATCATGCAATGCCATTGTCCACACGTAGATGTAGGCGTCGTAGAGATTATATCGCTTACAAAGGCTTGTTACCTGGTCGATGTCCATAGTCGAAGTGTCAAGCATGCAGATGATTTCCTCCAGTGTTGATGGAGTATGTGTTATGACGAAGTGGTCAATCAGCGTCTTCAGTGCCGGCGGAGGAATAGACAGTATCCTCTGCTCCAGGATGTACGGTTCCAATATGTCCACGAACAGTGGGCCGTGGTCATTGTCTTCGTACCATGCAAAAACCTCCTCGAAGAGAAAGTCTTGATTCTCCATGACCAAGCAAGCTTTGATACAAGCGTCAGCAAGCTCGATCATTTGTGGCTTCTCGATAGGCTCATTGCCCGCTTGTTGATTCTTCCCAAAAGCATATTTGAGAGAGGCGGTCATCATTTCAAGAAGCTTTTCCTGAACCATACTGGCACGCAGGCTATCTTCCTCGGGCAACCCTATTGTCGCCTTCTCCCCTTGGCCTTGATAATATTTGGTTGCTAACCGAATGGCTCCAATGAAATCACCTATGTTCATCAATGCCAACAGTCGATCTGCCCAGTTGGTCAAGGCACCGGTCCAGATATCGTTGAAGCCAAGCAAGAACAGCCTTCCTTTGTAGGCTCGAAAGCTCATGTGGAAGGCATCTGCCACCACTCCATGCATTGAATCATCTTCTTCGTCAAGGGACTCGATGATTGCCCGCAATTGTTGGGAATAAAGATCTGCATGATAGATGTTCTTCTTCAAGAGATCAAAAGACTCAGTCACATGCATCGTGAGGTCTTCGATTATGAGCAACTGTTGCGTGATGGTCATGACGGCCATGACAGACCTGTTCAACCACTGTACGGCAACAATTGCTTCGTCGGCCTGATATCGACTCCGGGCAAGAAATTGTAACTCTGGCGGCTTGTCTTTGCTATCGCCTTCATCCGGCGGTGCTTCGTGAACCTCTAAGATAGTGAGGATATTTGACCAGGCATAAACAAGCTTCGTCCTGGTAACCTGCGACTCTTCCGACTTCAACTTGATGGCTGGAAACCATGCCAGAGCGGCAGTCATGGCACTATGAGCAGCCACCTCCTTAGGACGAGCTGCTTTGTGCTGTGTCTGTGCCACAGGGGTTGTGGAGACGATGACTAGTAGGTATGGAGTCAACATAGCCACTATTCCTTGACTATCGGTCCTTTGCTCTATATTGCCCAGAGGCAATGGAGAGAATGCTAGAACGGAGCTTTTCTTTAAAGGCTTTGCTGTGCGCGCCACAACTTCAGGATATCTTCCCAAGATGCGAGCAGTGCGGACCACTCGACCAACAGCTCCCATACCTCGCGTCGCTAGATGGGAAAATGCCATGCCTTTATCATCAGCCGAGACCAGGGCAGTATGTCGGTAGCCCAGAAAGCCGACATGTAGTACGACACTGCCGGCAATATGCCCATCTCCACGTCTCGCTTGAGGCTGCGAATTGTCAATGGGTTGAATGTGCAGGAACGGCCGTGATGACCTGGCCAACTCCCAGGTGAAAATGTGGCCGGTGGCATGTCCCACTGCGATGGTCGTGTGGTCGGCAGATATTGCAAGCGATGTGACAGCACCACTTTCGGCCGCCTTGGTGCCGCTGCCAATGATAGCTTTGTGGTTCTGCTGGTGATCGAAGATCAAGACGAAGCCCTTGGATGTCCCTATGACGACTTGATCTCCTACAGCCAGACATGTTGGACTTCCAAAATTTCTTCTCCCAACCTCTGAGAAGGCTTGCCCTGTTATCCGCTTGTACTTGTTCCAGCGTATGACATCCCAAGGACTAGTGGACTCGTCGGGTTCGGAAGGGGTTTGGAGCCCGCCGAAGCTCACGAGGGAGGATTGGCGTGAATGACCTCCGAGGAAAGCGGGCGAGCTCGATCGAAGAGGAGAGAACTGGGCGCTTGATAGGCGGGACTGGAATCTGGCGTCAAACGGTCGATGCGCAAGTGAAGGGCTGCCTCTTCGGGCTGGGCTGCGGAAGGATGGAGTTCCGCTACGAGGGGAGGACAGTACTGAATCCGGGATAGATTGCGTGTCATCTGGTATAGGGACGGTGCCGTTTGTGCCTGGGACATTGTCTTCGCTGGGGGAGGGTACGACGGCGTCTACACCGTTTGGTCCCAGTAGACTAGAATCGGCTTCATCTCCAATGTTGTTTCCGTCTGCCTGCTCTTGATGTTCTTCTTCTGCAGGCAGGTTGGCTTCATTGTCTGCATTTTCATGCACTATTTCCGGAACATCAGGGTCGATCTCCTTCACAGCTGCGGCCTCCGAGTGCTCGCTTCTCTCATCTTGACCAACACTGGGGAAGTACTCGCCCTCATCCGGGATCGAGCTCATCGATGTATCCTTGGCGGGATCATTGCATCATCCGCTTCGCCCGGGCTCAACAATTCGGCGCCTCCGGCTAGGCGAGCTTCGATTGTATATGAAGGACGTGAAATACTTAGGCGGAGACACACGGGAAGTGTTGATCTTAATGCGACAGGCGTTTCCGTACAGCGCAGACAGGCTAGCGTTATGGAAAGTAAAGACTCGAGAGGGAAAAAGAATGCGAATGTCGGCAAGAGTGAGGATAAGATTCTATCGTCGAAGCACACAATGTATGAACCCAGTTTCCGTGTGCTACATTAATTGCGCAGCCTACGCATTCAGTTCGCATGTGGAGGAACGGGACACGGCAAGGCCGGGTTTGTAACCTGCCGTACAATTACTACGTAGTACGTGGTACTGCGGAGCATTTCTAGCAGGTTGGAGTGGACGGCAAGACGACAAGGCTGGAGAAGGCTGGACAAACAATAAGTGTGGTCTTTGAGGAATTGTGCCAGTAACAACTCCTTTATCGTTAATATTATTTTTCATTGTAGGTTGTGTCTGCCATTACACATTGCACACTCGTGCTATAGCCGCGGCTATGTATGGGAGTAGGTTGATATCACGGTAGGGCGCTGTGTACATCGCCATCTCCGTACTTGGCGGGCATTCTCCTTGCTTCCCCCACCGCATCCTCGGCATCTTTTTTCGCCTTCAGTTCGACTCCAGCCACTTACAACTTCTGCACTTCTATCATATGTCAGCCAAACAATTTGCCTTCCACCATCCCATCACTTCTCCACAACTTCGAGCTCCTCCTCACCCAGGGCCCGACGAAGACACCAGCTCCTTTTCCTCCAGCGCGCTTCAAGCCTGCGGTGTTGCGACGATTGCCGCGGTCGGCCATCTCAATCCACAACAGATAATGTCAAGATAATATGACGACAGTCTCGCCGCCTAAGCCCTGGGAGCGTGCTGGTTCAGCAGGTATACCAGCTTCACATTGACGTGGATGACATGATACTGACAACTTCTCAGCCGCTTCTGGCACAACTACACCTGTGAGCTCTACGGCTATGAGTGCACCCTCTAATCTTCCTTCCACCGATCCCTCCGCGTCTGCGCCAGCTCTTCCCGACCGGCCCTCCACACTCAACAATGTAGTCAACCAGACTGCTTCTAATTACACGAACCAAAACCGCTTCGGCACTGGCATCGGCACTGGAATTGGCACTGGAATGGGCGCGAATCCATATTCATCGCCCTACTCGTCGTACTCGTCGCCCTACAATCGCTTCGGCGGAGGCATGTATGGTGGAGGCATGTACGGAGGCGCCGGCGGTATGTATGGTGGAGGAATGTATGGCAGCGGCATGTATGGAGGAGGCTATGGAAACTATCCTGGAATGCCTGGCGATCCGAATAATAACCAGAGCCTGACGCAAACATGGAACCAGAGCACGGCAGCAACGTTTCAAATAATGGAGAGTATTGTAGGCGCCTTTGGTGGATTTGCGCAGATGTTGGAGAGTGCTTATATGACGACTCATTCTTCGTTCTTTGGTGAGACATCCAAGCATATCGACAGTTGAAACCGAGGCTAACTCCATTGAAGCGATGGTCTCGATGGCCGAACAATTAGGTAATCTCCGCCATACACTCGGCTCAGTGCTAGGAATTTTCACCTTGATGCGCTGGATGCGGACACTACTGGCCAAAATCACAGGCCGACCACCCCCAGCCGATGCGACGGCACTCACGCCCGCCAACTTCTCGAATTTCCTGTCTGGCGGGCGCGCTCCAGCGACCCTTCCGGATGGCAGCCCTGCCCCTGCTCGACCTTCCAAGAAACCATTCATAATGTTCGCCATTGCCGTCTTCGGCTTGCCATACCTGATGGGCAAACTCATCCGCGCTATGGCCCGATCCCAAGAAGAAGAGCAACGCCGTCAACAAGAACAAATGTCTTTGACATACACCAACCCCAATGGCGAACAAGTTCCCATTGACCCTCGAAAACTCGACTTCTGCCGTGTCCTCTACGATTATACACCCACGCCTAACTCCGGTGGCATGGATCTAGGCGTCAAGAAAGGTGACCTGGTTGCTGTCTTGTCCAAGACTGACCCCATGGGGAACGCCTCGGAATGGTGGCGATGCCGCGCACGAGACGGCCAAATGGGATACTTGCCCAGCCCGTATCTCGAACCTATACAACGACCTGCACCAAGGCCGGCCGCTCAGATCACAGAAGGTGCGGCAACTCCGCGACCGACCGCCCAGATTACAGAAGGTGCAGCATCTCCGGCCCCTGGCAGTCGAAATCTCACAATGAACGAATTTCTCGACGCAGCAAAGAAACCCCGCGCGGAGGACCCCAGCATTCAAAATCTGGAGTCAATGCACGCGGTGAGCAATCCGGTGAAGAATATGCAGACTTCTGTACCTGCTGGTGTGAAAGGACCGCAGATGAAGACGAAGCCGGGCGATATTTCGGCGGAGAGTTTCCAGAAGAGCGCTTTCTATTCCTGAAAAAAATGATTACTTCGACATGCAACGTTTTTGGATTGATGAATGTGAGATGTTGATGTCGCAATTTGCCATTGAGCCATTGAGCCAATGTACTACGTAGTATCGTGTTTGTGTCAGCAGTCTCAATTCAGTAATCTACTCGTTGGAGGGAAATTTGTTCTCGTCTGTAATTTCTTTATTCATCTTTTGGTCGATATCTGTCTATGTATTTCCAGGTGACTGACCACGAGAAAAGCGATGACAACAATATAATTTGGTATCAGCCGTTATAGAATATCATTCCAGAATTGTCGAAACCTTTCATCCAACCCGTTTACGCCGGCATTCAATTGCCTTGCATTGGTTGACGAAAGCTCTCAACAGATCATGACTGCTCAAAAGCCATGATGAGCGCCACACGCCGGTTTCTATTTCCAACGCAGTCCCTTCTATCAATTCCGAAAAGCAATCCAGCGTCTTTTCGGGTGAGAATCTCAAGGGGGACTAGTTCCCCCGAGTGCATTACAGACTTCCTCTCCTAGGGAAAGCCACACCTTCGACAGCTGCAGTGTCTGTGAACCAACTGACCTTCTCACCACCACCTTCATTGACAAGGCCGCAGGGCAGATTGCGGCCCTCGTCATCTGCCTCGAGGATCTTCTTCAGTATTTCTTTCTTTCCTCCGCCCGTCGCGACGAATGCGATCTTATGCGCATGCGTCACCACCGGCAGCGTCAAGGTAATTCGCCGCGCTGGCGGTTTAGGGCTGTCTTCAATTGCCGCGACCCAAGCATCAGCCTCGCGCAGGAGTTCATGGCCGGGGAATAAACTGCAGGTGTGTCCGTCGGGGCCACAGCCCAGCAGGATCAGGTCAAAAATGGGTATCTTGACGGAATCCTTGCTGGCGAAACTCGACATGAGCACCTCCTGGTACTGGTCCGCCAGCTCTTGTGTGTCGTCGAGATGTTTGACATTGATCGGGTGGACCGTTGGGGTACCTTGTTCGCTTGGGATTTTGTCAAGCAGGTCTTTCTTGAGCAGACCGTAGTTGCTGTCTTCGTGACCGAGGGGCACTGCGCGCTCGTCGGCGAAGAAGATTTCCCATTTCGAGAACTGTGGGGCGGAGGCAGGGTCTTCGTTTGCGCCAGGAACGAGTAGAGCTTTGGCCAGAGTCGCGGGAAGACTGCCACCGGACACAGCGACCTTGAAGGCGTCGTGTCGTAGGAAAGCAGCTTTCTGGCAGGCGAGGATGTAAGTCCGAAGGTGAGCTGCGACTTCGCCGACGGTGGGGAAACTGTAGAGGTTGGGTTGTTTGCCCATCTTGTTTTCGAGTGCCTGCGCTTCTTTGTCTTGTGACTTTTATCTTTTAGATGTCCTGGTTGCGGTCTCGAGGCGGAGTAGGGGAGAAGCGAAGGGAGGAGATTTCGGAGAGAGGGTGTCGGTTGGGCTGCAGATGGAGGATTGATTGCCGTTTCGTTCCTGTTACGAGATAAATCTCGTATCTTGGGTACCGGTAATGGTGGGGCGCTATCTTTCGGGCCGGGCGGTTGGTGACGTGGTTTCAGGTACGGCTAGTAGACAATGGTGTTTGCGGTGAAGATAGATCTGGCATGGAGGCTGTAGGATGGTGAAGGAGCGTGTAGGTAAGTAGTGTGAAGTACAACGAAGGATGGCCTGAGGAATAGTGCTGAAGAACTTGGAACGGACCTCAGATAGAAGCACGTGGGACGGAAAACATGGGCCGGATGGGAGTGATCTTCACAAAAACTCTTGACGTCAAGGTGGTATTGCGTCTGACAGCAATTTTCCTCCAGGTTTATTTGGATTTTGGTGAAGGAATGCTTGTCAGACTGTCTTGCTTGTTTCTTCGGGGCGAACTGGGACAAAGTGCACAGGGTTTCTGACAGGCTGCTCTGCTGGTGACTAAGCACAGTAGTGGGTTATGGCTTACACAGTACCACACAGGGCCTAAGGTTGGTAAGTTGTCGACAACACCAGAGTTTGATATCACAGTACACGGTCTGCAAGCCACATAGCCTTGATGGCAGAATGTGAATAGGCTCACCCTGTAGTCCGTAGTCAGCCGTGACTCGTGTCTCTTCTGGCAACCTCATCTCATGTGCCATTCAGACATCGACTTTGACCTACTTCGAGACCCCAACGAACTATTCCAAAGGTCCAAACATTTCGAACCCGTTCCACGTCGATGCCGGAGCGTCTCGTCTACGGCTCAGAAAGGTATGGATGAACGGCATACCACAACCAGGCAGAACAATGAGAATGATCCTCGAGACAGCTGGAGATATACAGTAGAAGAGTCTCGAACTATCGCTCGGGAAAAACGGCAAGGTGGAGTAGGAAGTAGTATCAGGATCACATATCCGTATAGCTGCCATCCGACATCCTCGCAGTCAAGCGGACGTTGATCCTACAGGCGAAACGACGGTGGTTCACGTGGTCTTGTCCTTCCTGGGAGTCTTCTCCGATACGCTAACCACAGCTAATATCCAACTGTCGCCTAAAGCCCGTGGGAAAGCCGACGCGGATATATCACCGTACTCTCCACGCAGTCTAGAACTTTCCGTGGAGTTTCGGAAACAGCGAAAGCACAGTGGATAGCTGCAAACCGTGAAGAGCCATGTCGTTGATGCCGGCATTGACCCCTTGTGTCGAGCTACTATGTTTCGTATTGTAAGCACATCTTTGGCCGCGTGTCTGGGATGGAGTTGGTATATGGCTACTTCTTACCCCGTCACGTGCCCGGACTCAACATCCCCTGCCCGGTTGATGCCGGCAAGGCACGCAAGGTGAAAGTTCTGAGCCACAGAAGCTGCCACACGATGCACGATGACGGCCGTTGAATCGACGATGACGGAAGACAACTGTGCCAATATCAAGGAACAAGGCCTTGCAACAGTGAACTAGCTGTGGCGCAGACCAATGATAAGGCAAGGAACGTACAGCCGGCGAGCGATCAAGCAAACGGGACACTAAATCATAAGAAGAAAAGCGTGTGGAAGAAGGGCTTCCCATTGGGAGATACGGCTACGGAGCTAAGTAGATTGGGCACAATTGGGCAAAAGCGGAGGCCCGGAACTTGGCTGCGGACGCCGCGCGTAGGATGAGACGATCAGTGGACGATGAAGATCGAGCATCTGGCCCTTCATCGACGCCCAACTAGGCAGTGATTGGAGCAACAGCCAAGATGCGATTCTTTTCAAGCATAGATGCCTTTTCACTTCTTCATGGCGGACGAGTGTGCCGGTCATTCACAGCCCATGCCTGTTCCTGCTGAAACCCGAACACTTCTTTTTCGCCGTCATGCGATTCCCTGTTTTCGGTGAGCGCTATGGCAACATTCCACCCGTTTAACCCGTTTCTTCCATCCCATTGATTGTGTCCAGCGCTACCAAGTCGTGGCAGTTGGTACTAGGTCGTACCAGAGACTGGGAAAGAATCGATCGATATTCCATATCCGATTTGCCTGTCATCCTTCATCCCTACCTACTATCCCTCATGCCTCCCCCTTCTCCGTCACGGTTCGTCCTTCCTCTGTGTCGACATTCTTGACCAAATCGCGTCGGTTCCTTGCTCCGCGAGCAACGCCAGTCTCCTACTTCCGCGTCCCTCCCTACTATATACTCCGACTGCCTTTCCACATTTCCACCAACTATCCTTCCACACACTTACAGTCCTACTCATTTCCACATCCCTTTCCCCTCTACAAACGCAATGTCTTCAAGACCTTCGATACTCCAGCTACAAACTCAGGCTGCCAACGGCGCCAGACCCATACAGAACCCGTTACCTAAGGCCAATAGGAGCGATGAAAGCATCAGCACCGTGTCTTCGAGTGGTTCCTCTTCTCCCAAATCCTCCCTAGATATCGTCCGCTGTTCACGGTGTCAACGATCCCTGAGCATTGACACGTCCCTCCCTGCAAACCACAGTGGAGCGGTCAGATTCGGCCTCAATTCCTATTACTGCACGAGATGCGCCAATGTCGTCGGATTCGTCAAATGAGTTTCGCCCGCACGCCCGTTCTCATTCGCAGACCAAGCAGATCGAGCAAGATGCGCCCTTGGTCCAAACTACAATCAATCTTCAGACCCGAGACTTTTGAATCTCGGGCATTGCAGACGATCACACATGCACGATAAGGTGGATGGGAAGAATACGAGTCAGCACAAAGTACATGAGCAGTACGACGCAGAATCACCACATGGATTCTGTTTCCATTGGCCAGGATTCAGAAGCGGCGTGGAACCGCGAGCGTGGTGTTGTCGATAACAGAAGCTATTCGGTACGAGTAGTGTAACCGGGTACCAGGACGATGGAAAAGAGATTACGAGGACAATGGCCTGATCCGAAAAAAGACATTCTCCGACCAAGGTTCCGCAAAGCGTACCAGATTTCACTTGATGTGGTGCGACATGATATGATTTCTTCCGGCTGGCAGGACACCAGCGCATGGTTACGACGAGATGATCTGCAGTATATGTGACATGGTGCCGAGCTGATGGGAGCAATGCAGGCACATTGTGCACCAGGAATCAGCATGGTCTTTCTTTTGCTCTGTGATACCTTGGATAGCGGTTTTGTGACGAATGGAGCAAGGGACTTTCTAGGATATTTCTCAACAGATTTTCTCAATCCATCCACATCCATTGTCCTCAATCTCTGGTGCCGAGTTACCGAGTTGTCCTTCTATATTGTGTAAACCTCCGTTTTGGTCCAAGGTCGGAACCAATAATATGTCCCCCAAGCATTTGCGTTTCGTGGAAATGTTCGCGTCACCGAATGAGTGATCGTCGCCCTACTACACAAAGGGCTATGATGGGCTGTTTTAGGCAAAGATAGATGTTAGGGATCGAAGATCTCCCGGACGTGACGGCAGCTCATGGAAAGCCCTGGTAGGTGCTGGCCGTGCTGGTGCGAGTACCGTGGAGAACATACAGGAGGGCTGCACCGGGATTCGGAGCAAGAGAACTCGGACTGAATGACTCGTATCCATCACTTTCCTTCAACCTCACGACTCTTGTCGTGCTTGTGTTGCTACATGAACCAATCGACGAAAAGATCCGTGTGTCCTGATCTTGGGTCGACGTACCCAGTTCTGCTTGCTACTCTTTGCATCTGGACCGATCTTCCCATCCTTCTGGACCAGATCGAATCCCTGTGTCATGGGCTATACCGAGATTCGGCTTGGTAACGAGTCGTGGGAATGGTTCTCATGCGAGCACCCGGCGGGGAGCTACGGGTGTCACCATACACTACACAGCTCTGCATCGACCAGGGCCCTTGTCCTCGACAGGTCTATGCGGCGCTAACAGCTCTGCCATGCTCTCAACCTCTACTCCATACAAGCACGTCAAACAAATATGTGGGCTTCTCCTCATCCTCCTTCTCAATTCGAGACATCGCTCGCCCGTTCCCGCGAGCTGCTTCCAGGTAGGCTATCGCAGAGCTTACGCATGGGTTGCCTCTCCTTCATTCCCGGATGTCAGCCTTTGGTACCGAACTTCGTCGTGCGACAAGGGGCACCATAGACAGGCGCAACCGCTTCAGCTTCCGCTTCAGCTGTCCCAGGACCCTGCGCACGCCACAACTGTGAGCCCGTTTGCGATTGAACGTTGACTGCATAGACTGTTACTCCCAAGCACGAAAAGCCTAGCCGATACGCTGGCCCCGTCTTCACGTCCCGAAGCTTTCTGCTATTGCTCGGTGTGGCATTAGCCACGAGGTGTCACGATTTGATCAGGGCATGTACAAGGTCAAAAATGACATCGTCGGTGTGTTCCTTCCCCCGCCATTGTCGTGAGAATGATGAGAACACACGTTTACGAGGAGCGTGAGAGAGATCTCGGATTCACGAGGAGGCCCAAAATCCATTGGAGCTGCTGATCACCCCATTGTCTTCCAGAATACGAGAGATCAAAGTTCCGCTCCCAGCATTACCCCGACTTCCAATCAGTGGCAGTGAAATGCTATTGCTCCAAGAAGTCCTCTGCTCATGGCCAATCTGACCGACGAAATCGGACTTGCAGCCTCAAGCATCAAGGTCACGTCACAACTGGATCAGTGACATGGCCGTACATGTGTGTGCTTTCCAGTCTGAAGTTCCAACCTCGTTCTTTCCAGCATCTAGCAGCGGCTCAGTGCGCCTACCTCCGGGACAACACACCCAGATCTGCGGCTTCCGTGACTCTCGCTTCAGATCGATCCATTCATCTCCCATCATGGACATCATTCACACTATTCCAGCATTAGCCCGACTGCACTGCAGTCGACAGGAGCGTTGAACAGGCCAATGTCTCCGAACAACACCCGACCAGAACCGGCCTGCCACCTACTCAGGCTCCCACTAGAGCTGCCTTTAACGGTCTAGCTTCGACTTCTTCTTGCAATTGATACTCATTACGTCTGGATCTGATATATCACATTTCGGATTCCAAAGCCGATGGCCCTAATGCGAGCTGAGACCCTTCCGCTGCTTGAGGCCAAGGGGTCTATTGGCCCTCATGAAGCTGTCCAAGATCTCCACTACTTCAGATTGGCGAACTCGGATGGACGTGAAGATGTAATCTACTCCTTGATGAGGTACGGCATCACAACTTGAAAGCTACTGTGTACCATTGTCACGGAAGAATGAGTCGGGGCAAGGCTATAAAGAATGTCCAGACACTCCGGTGTCTTCTGCTTCTTCAGCAAGCAACATTCTCTCGAAGAGCCGTTCAACGATCTAGAGAGCCGGCCCTCGCATATCTGGAGCTCGACTTACTTGGCCCTCCTTAAGCCCCGGCCCACGGATCCAGCAATCTGAAACCTTGTACCTTGTCATGCTTGATTATATGCAGGCTACACTCTCAGAGCCTTGCCCTTTTGTGAACGCCACAATATCCCAATACGTGGGTCGCTTCCCGTCTCCGTGTGCGTGCAAACGATATCGGATGTACGATTGGCAACACTCCTTATGCATCAGGTCAAAGCTATAAAGGAAGATTTTCACATCTTGTTCCCACACAGTTGCGGTGAAGGAATCTGTCAGCAAGACTGTGAAATCCACTTCCCTCTTCCGCATCATCCGCTCGATCGGACGCGCAGGGACAGTACTGGTAGCTGTACGGATTAGTGGTCTCCCTCAAGCTGTCACATTTGGCACCTTTCCCATCGAAGATGCCTCGGGAACGTCATCGGACCGGGGACTCGAGCAAAGACGAGGACCAATACATCATTCTAGTACAAGATGTGAGGAACCCAGAAACTGACGCAACCTTTTGCCAGCTAACTCCATCCACAGATACCTCGTCATTGCCGATGGCAAGAACTCAAAGACATGACCCGAAGCTTAGGAGGTGAACAAAGCTTGAAAGCCGAAGTTTTTGAGACCAGCGATGGAAGTCAACTCGGACATTGCACTATTAAGGGAAGAACCGCTGCCAACCAGGTCTATGGTAAGCTCGACGAGCAAAGTAAGCATCAAAATCTCACAAGAGGCAGAAAACTTCTGCGTCCAAGGGTGGAATGGGCAATGTGTTCGTGTTTCGCTGGCCGTCCTTGAGAAGCCAGGTGTCCTAAAGACTCTCGAAGGGCCGAAGAAGAGTCGTGGCGCCTTCATGGAGACCAGGATTCCTCCTAGTCTCACCTATCCTGGTCCTCAGGCCGTGGTTACCGGAATTCAACCTGTCTCATCGCGGTGCGACTCACTTTCTGACGGGAAGGTCCTTTTACTGACTCGAACAAGTCAAATTAGCTATCCAGGAAGCTTGAGGTCTGCGACAATGACCTATAATCAGCAATATGACAGAATGGCTCCTTGTACAGCTCGTCCCAGCGTGATCTACACTCACCCTGCCGTGAATGCGCCCCAAATGTCGCCCGTCCACGTTGGGCAGATCCCGTACACTTATTCCACAACGACCGCATATGCAGTGCCGCGTGCCGGCCCAGTCTACCCACCATCTGTGACAGCTGCACGACCGAGTCGAATCAACACACAGAAGCCCTCGGGATCAGCCGGTGCAGCATCTGGCCGGATCAACAATGGTAGCACCATTTTCATGTCCGGTCTTCCACCCAATCAGTCCGAGAAACAACTCAGAAGCCTTCTGAAACAATACGGACCGCTTGTCTATCTTGAAATCCACCCCGATGGTCGCAATCCGGCCAAGGCCAAAGGTACAGCCAGAGCACGGTATGCCTCTTCTGCTGAAGCCCTCAGCGCTGTACGCGGGCTGGATGGCGCCTATTTGTCAAAGAGTAAAATCTGTGTCCAGCAAGAGAGGGCAGATAAAATAGCGTCCCTGCGACCAGAGAGCAAGACAACAACTTTGGACTCTGTCGCTATTCAGAAAAAGACGGATCAAATCAAGCCTATCCAGGCTACTAGCAACTTGTCGCAGCAAGTCCATCCACCAAGAACCAGCACTGACAAGGGCAGTACTGGATCTACATCACCGACGACAGGTCCTCTCATCGTGAATGGCGCTAGGGGCTCCAGGATTCGACGATCAAGCCGTGATGCAAAGTCGTCGGGCGATGACAGCAGCGAGGGTGAGACGGAGGCGAGCGACAATTCTGATGACGATAGCAGTGAGGACGAAACTGGTACGTACCATTTGCGTGCAACCCTTTTCACCCCAAGGTCTCTGTCACTGGGCAGATATTGCACCAAATTTTGTTTCAACGTCCGTTGCTGGCGTGGGTAACCAATCAGTCCGCTCTTCTGCTGGCATACTTCATGCTCTTCATCGACGCCAGGTTGTTGTATTCTGTGACTAATGCATCGGCCGGAGTACAGTGACTCGGACATCAGCAAGAATGAAAGGTATGAGACTTTCGACAACATCCTCCTCATATCCATAGGGAGAAGATTATCTTTGACATTGCGTCAATGTCAACGGCCTGAATGTTGTTTGATCGATACATGAACTACAGCAAATATCAAGGCTTTTACACATGGGCAAAGTTTGCTACTCTTTAGGACCACAGAACAACTATTATCGGACAAAAACAAGTCCAGCACGAAAAGAAGGATCGGATGATACCGACATCTACTCTTTGCATGCTTTGCTCTACAGAGTGCTTGAATAGTGGGTCAGCTTGCAGCGTCGATGCCACTGGTAGTATCCTGGTTTAGGTTGAGCTTTGTGTTCTTCATTTTGCTTTTTCGCTATGCTTGTCGCAAAACCGAGGAGGATAATGTTATTCGATCCGGCCCGGTCATTCCTTGAGGGGCCTACAAGAGTTTACGACTTATGAATGCTTTGATGATGATGATGATTGACGGTTGCTGCTTACATTGTTACTTGGCAGATGACTTGCTTATTGACTTGCTTCGAGTTATTTGCTTGCCTGCTTGCTTTGCTAGATAGGCACCAGGTCCGTTGGCTAGTAGGAGCGAACGGGTAATAAAAGTCCACTGCTTTTACACTGGGCTAACTTTGTGATAGTAGTATCTGCGTAGTTGAAAGCTTTAGGGCATGATGAGTGGTTAGGTTTCGTTTTCTTGTAAGAATCTATATACAATATATATCCAATGTCCGATTCAAAAGTTCCACCCGAGTCAATTCAAAGCCCATGAAACTCCCTCGCTAATGATACTCCCGTAACGTACTTTTGGTATCTCATACTCCGTAAGGTACTCAATGATGGTGATGTCCTTCGTGTCCGTTCCGTCAATCCGCTCGCTCGTTTCGCTAACCAAGGTTCACAAAATCAAAACCAAACCAAAACCCAAACCAGAAACCAGGACCGCGTCGAGCAGCCCACTGGCTCAGAGAAACGACAGCACCAGTGCTGCAGCAGCAGCAGTGATGGGACTGGCAGTGACGGCGAGCGAGGGCGCTGCGCTCTTCTGACCATCCACGCTCCCGATCTTGATATCCAACTCTGCAAATCCCGCTCCGCAGCCGGTGTCGATTTGACTTGCGCACATCAGATATGTATTCGACAAGGGCTGATTCGTGTCCTGCGCATAGCCGGCGAAAATCTTCATGGTATCGCGCAGACACTGGCTGCAGGTGGGTCGGGCGCCGGTCGGCATGCTCAGACCGAGGGCCGAGTAGTACGGGTAACTGTCGGCCTGGTTGGTGGAGTTTGTGATGGCCTGGCTGAAGCAGTATGCCCCTGTGTCCGCGCCTGCGTCGGCCCCGGTGGTCGAACCGTTGTCACGCAGGCACGTGGCGCGGTAGAGCGGCTCGTAGGCGGTCAGACCGGCGTAGGCCTGTGCGACGAGGGCGTTTTCGGCCTTGAAGTCTTGACCGCAGTTGTCGTCGTCGATGAGCTGGGAGGCCAGGTTGGTCATGAGAGGCATGCAGATGGCCAGGGGGGCGTTGCATGCGGAGTCGAGGGTCTGGGTGAGGAGGGTTGCGGAGCGCATGGCGCGGAAGAATGAGTTTGAGTTTTGAAGCAAGAGCGAGATGGGCACGCAGGATTGGAAGGTCGAGTTGGCCAGGAACGTCGAGAAGAAGGACGGACAGGAGGATTGCGTGAAGTTGCTGCCCAGAGAGGTGTCGAATGGCGAGGGGAGCGGTGTGGTGACAACGGTGATGGAGGGAGATATCGAGGTTGACACGACGGTTGGGGAGAGGTTGGTGTCGGTGTCGGTGGCGATCGCTGGCGCTGAGGTGGTTCCGGCGGCAGCGGAGACGGTCGTGGGCACGACGTCGTCGTCCTGCCGTTTTTGCATGTATACGTCTCGCCTTGAGGGCGGTTCTGAGAGATCGATGTGGATTTCCCCTCTTGCTTCTAGGTCCTTGAAGAATGATGATTCCTGGACAAGAGGGTCGATTTGCATGTCGTATGCTGATGAGGGTGCCAGCATTGACATGAGTATTATCAATAACGAGAGTAGTATGGGTGATGATTTGTTGTAAGCGAGTGTACTCCGCCGCCTGGCCGGCCGGCGTCTGTTTGCTGTTGTGGGAGACATTATGCTGGACTGTTGAGATCTTGGGGTGACAAGTTGGACTTTCTTGTTGAAGAAGAACCAGGGTGAATTTCAGTAACGAACGGACGCCCTGAGCTTTTTGCTCAGGGCAAGCATCGACGCAGGTATTCTCGATCTGTTGGTCTTCCTTTACATCGATGACGATGCTGCTATGCAGCCAGACTGCTTGCCAAAGTTCTCAATATCCAAGCGTTGTCAACTGTCAAAGTGTATTCCGGCAAGTGCCCAAGAAGTCTTTTCTTGAATGATTCGCAGTCGATCACACCCGATGTGGTTCCCTGGGGAAGATATAGCACGTGTCGAATCCTGGTGTTGATCCTGCTGATCTTTGCTGATCTTCCCTCCGGGCGAGGTGGTCTCGCTTGCAGGGCTAGTAGCCTCGGGTTTCAGGGTGAAAAGCCGACAACACTCCAGGTCACTCTGCTGCTGATTCTGCTGTATTCTGTCTCACCTGCGAGGAAATGTGTGCATCCAAAGATCTTGACATTATGAATTGAGTGCGAGAAGGACAAAGACAAAGGAAATGATGTACAGACTCAATCCGGCGAGGGAAAAGGCGTTAGCAACGCTTTGAATTGTTTGTCCCAAAACGTTTGTATTTGCAGAGTCAACACTTGCACTACCGAAAGCATCTGGCGGCATCTTTACCAGTCAGCGTTAGCAATGAGCCGGCCAAAGGAATGTGGGCGGCTCTTAGTCTTGGTGATACTCCACAAGGCTCTGATGGTATGAAGGAGCGGAGCTCAAATTCCTGTTGGATGGTTCAAACTCGTGGACGCCGTGGCGCTTTGGTGGCGCTCCATTCCTTCAAGTCAATAGCTCGACAGGAACAGGTTGCGTAAGCCCTTCGAACCATCGTCGGTCCAATATGTTGCTGCTGTAGGCCAATGCATTTCTCCGAGATTACAAGCTCAATTTCGGGCTTCATCAATTTGACATTAAGCTGTCAGAAGAATTCTCCGACTCAGGCTCCTTCGAGCGAGAATGAAAAGGCGAGGTAGCTCAGTGCTGCCTGAACGCATTTTCGATGGCCAGGCAAAGGGACAGCTTCAGAAGCGAGGTTGTTTCGTTGAGCCAGGCAATTCTACTGATCTCGCCTAGGAGTACGGAGTATCGAGACTCGAATGGACGATGAACCTGGACAAGGACAAGTAGCAAACGACCGTTGGTGGAACTGGGGATGGTGATAATTTTACTTGGACAATTTCACAGGCGAGACTCGTTTACCACCTAAGGTCAGGACTTAGGTAGGAGAGTCAGGTAGATAGCTGTGCGTGAGGTGTGATAGGCACGGCTACAGGTAAGGTAGGTAAACTAGAGCCAAGCGGGCCAAGGAAGCTGCCAAGATTCAATAGTGGCCGGGCCCGACTGGCCGTTCCGAGTCAGGGGGGGGGAATGGATCTATCCACAGACTACCACAGTGCTACCACGGTAAAGTACTACCACAGTGCTCCGTATGAGGAGGCGAACACATGCTCATGGATCTATGGATCTACTTGTGCCATAGTACTCTGTAGTGTGTCTAGACCTCTGATGGACATTTTCTACCGACACTGCTGCGCCTCATAACATCTTACATACTGTACAGAGTAACAGCATACAGAGTAACAGCCAAAATGCTAACTGCGTCGGCTCTCTGCTTGGATCGTCAGAGGAGCCATCATGTCCTCGGCCTCCTGTTGGTGCCGACGGATTTTGGCCTCCTTCTCCTGCAAGCACCTGTTGAAGCCCGTGTTGGCCCATCCACCCAGCCGTCCAAAGAATACTCGCCCGGCCGGGTGTTTCCTGATCCGGTCTAGAAGAGTGACGACGGCACTTCTGACTCTCTGGTCTTCATGCCAAAGTCCGAGGCCGACGTAAAAAAGCCCGGCTTCTGACATTGGAGCCATCTCTAGTAGTTCGAGAATACTCTCGTAGTCGGTACAATACGCTTCGAGGGCAAGATAGATCGCACCCGCTTCTGTCGGCGTGAGGCGTAGCATTCGAAGCTTGGAGAGCGAGTGATAAAGATCCACATAGGGTCTGAGTGGTTCTCGCGCAAGCATCTTGCTCATGCTGACAGGAGAGGAAGGAGATGCGGCGTCCTGTGAATGAGACGCCAGATCAAGGATGAAAGAATGATATGACCGCGTGTTTCTCCACCCTTCAATCCTTGCTGCCGAAGCTGCAAGCTCCCGCATCTTGGCCTCCTCGCTAGACCAGACATAGCCGTGGCCTTTCAAATTCTGGCTTGAAGTCCTCAGCGACATCGGCCGGGGAGGAGCGGTGGCTGAAGAAGGCGTCACGACCTTGTCCACCTCCGTCAGAGGAAGCACGTTGAGACTGCTCGCCCCATACACGGTCTCTTCGAATGCCGCCGCTATGCGAGTGAATTTGGTGATGTAGGCTCGGAACTTTGCGCGAATGATGGATTCTCCAGCTCTCGATGCTATGCTTCGCGTTATGTCTTCAATGAAATGATTGTCTCCAGTGGCATCAGCGTGGGCTGCGTCTTTCTGGTTTAGCATTATATGCCCGTGCTGCTGGAAGTACGTGGTGCCTTCAGTGACTGGGGCAGCTTCGATGCAGGAGGAGATCTTGATCCTCCCTGACGGCAGATCGCACAGCACATCCCACCATTCAGGATGATATGAAAACGCAGGATTGGTGACTCCCGCTATGAAGCCCGGTACCTTCAGCAATTCATCAATTTTGGTCAGATCGGTGTATGGAAATGCGTGTCGGGTAAATCCACGCAGAATGCCTCCGGATGCAAGAGCACACGCTGCGAGTACTGCTTCCGCAACCTCGCCTGAAGGACGATTGTGACCAAGAAAGATGACTCGTTTCTGAGTGAGCATGGCGTTGATCAGAACGATGACCGGGTGGGTGTATGCTCCAGAGGTGGTGAGGTGAGGGTGTAGTGCAAGGGGCTGCGGTTGTGAAAGATGTGGGGTGCCGAAGACCTGAACAAGCTTGATCAGGGAGAAGTCTCCTACCGTCTCAGGAGACAGTGCAGTTGGGATCTTGACAGGGATTGGAATACCATTGTAGACTATCTTCGACTCGAACTCATGAGTGTCACGGGGAACAGTATAGTTTGATTCGGCCCTTGTTGGAGAGTCTGGAGCTTCAAGTGCCTTGCTGAAAGCCTCGTCGGCCACTCGTTGTGAAATCATCTGTTCGAATTTTTCCACAAACATATCCTTGGTGTCGCTTGCTTGGAGGATGTGTCGCTCGAGCATTGAGAGCCGAGGCATCAACGACAGGTCCATGGCGTTGAGCGCGTTGTACAGCAGCTCCAACGTATCTGGTGTTGGCGACTTGAAATAGTCCTCGAGAGCCAGCAACAGCAACGGCTTGTATATGTGCAAAAACGAGTGCCTCGTGCATATAGCCATGGCCTTCACCACGGCACCTCTCTTGACAGTGCTGTCTTGCTTGGTATTGACCAAGTTTAAGACATACATCAATGGAGGATTGTCGGTTCCACCAGCATCACTCTCGTCGCTGCTCGATTCGTCGTCATATTCATCTGTAACGCCTACTGCTGCCATCTCCTCCCGGAGCCGACTTCTGGAAGCTCTCTGCTGTCGTCTGGCTTCTTTTTCGGCTTCCTCTTCTTCACTTGTGCCAGCATCTTTGTGAAGGAAAAACATCGTCCAATCCTGCTGGCGAACATGCGTCTGGTCTGGAAGCATCAATTCTGCCAGCATATTCTCATCTGGACTGATGGCACCAGGAAACTGGTGTTCCATGATCGGGCCTCGGTCAATGTCGAATGATGCGACCAGAATGTACTCAACATGAGGCTCGCTCGAATGTAGTGGATATTGTGACTTGAGTCGCTTCTTTGGCCGGTAGGGGCCATCTTCAGGAACAGTAGATACTCTTTGCGACGACCGGCGCGAACCTCGAGGCGAGGGAGGGGCTAGAGAGCTTTGCGACGAGACTTTGTAGTGCGAAGCGGCGTGGGAGATGGAGGACTTGTGGGAACCCGAAGTGGAAGAGGCCGATCTGCGCCTGTCCGAGGGGCCATGTGTGGGATTAGATCGATATGCGACCGTGTCAGCCATTGGCTTTGTGAAGAGTGTCGTCGTTTCAATCATGAGGAGGTATGCTTGCGACGCAGGTGTTCGAGGCGGCGAGTTTGGAAGGGGTGTGGTCTCGGCCCAGGTGGGAAAAATGAGGTGAGGGGAGGCTCGTCGTCGCCGAGGCGTGGTGGTGGTCTTAGGAAAAGGACATTCTCAGTGAGACGTCCTGACGCCTCGGATGTCACAGTCGTTATCTGGAATTGTCAATATATGGTAATGTCCAGTGTCTGCCTGCGACCTCAGGATGGAACATTTGTTGAACGGAACGAGACAAGACGAGACCCTTGCCAAATGCCAATTGATGCCCATTGCCCGCCCCTGAGATCGCCATGAGGGGCCGTTTTAGCGCCCGCGTTGATTGGAGCCTGTGCCCATTAAGCTTAGTCCTCGCCAGACCTTCCCGGCTGCGAAGAGGCAAGAATTAAGCGATGTGAACGATGCTATGACAACCGTCCGGTAAACAAAGGCATGCGCCAACACCAAGAGTGTGAAGAAGACACAAGGGAAAGCACAACGCCAACTCTAAGACAATTATCACTGAACTTGTCCAGACTGCTACAGAATCCTTCGTTCAGTGTGCTCTTGAGGAAATAACAGCTCGGTAGATGGAAGAGGACTTGTCTTCTCTTGCTCGTCCAGCTGTTGATTGAAACCAAGGCACAGATCATCCACCGTTGATCAAACAACAATCATGGTAAGTACTGACCATAAATCGGCTCATGGTCTGTGTCCTGACAATACAACCCAGGCTTCATACAAGTCGACCTTCAATTCCCCTCGATCCTCTCCATTTCGCCGTCCTGCCTCTCCAGGATCTCCGACTGTCGCAAGCCGAACACCAAACACACCTCCCACAAACAAAAGCGGTGCCTCTCCAATGACTTCCCCTTCCAAACTCAAACACACCTACACCGTGTCAGAGGAAGAGGAGGAGGACGAGATGATTTCCACACCCTCCAAGATAAACAACGGACCCATGTCCTACAGACGAGCGCAGACAGAACCTCCTCCGTCACCAACTGCCCACAGACTATCTTCTCCCCAAAAGCATGACAACAGCAGAGTATCAGCTTCTTTCAACACGTCTCGAGAACCTCGCAGACTCGTCTCAAACGGTCTGTCGCAGAATGACAACCTCTCCAAACTCCCACCCCAACTCCTCCACAACATGCGCGAGTCATTCTCCGTACTCGACTCTAACTCGAACGGCACAATCGATGCTGCCTCCGTCGCAGAAACCCTACAGTCTTTGGGTCTTCATGAGAGCAACCTGGCTCAATTCTTCCCATCAGCTCAGCCGCAAAATCTGTCTCTGCCTCAATACCTCAGCCAACTGGCCAACATCCTTGTCGGTCTATCCCCTCAACAAGAACTGCTTAACGCCTTCTCCGCCTTCGACGACGACGACAGTGGCCAGATTGACATAGCAGAATTGCGATCCGCCCTACTCAACACGGCTCCAGATCCAGGTGAGCGACCGCTCAGTGAAAAAGACATTGACCGAGCTATGGAAGGGTTCACCGGCAGAAGGATCCTGGGCAAAAATGTGATCGGCATAGCCGGTGTACGAGGTCTGAACACGCCCGCTCCCAAGAAAGGAGGTGATGTCTTTCGATATCAAGAGTTTGTAGCGAATTTGGCGGGCGGTCCTGCTACAGAACAAGCTCAAGGCGTTCAGGCGCGATAGATCGATGGATTTTGGGACGATTGGACCATCTGTACAAATGGGCTCGTCCCACCTGGCGTTGCGCTCTCCTACGATGATGCGTTCGAAGTCAGGGAGAAGTGTCAAGTTGATGGGTAATAAATGACTATGATTATGATGGCGAGTGTCCACAAGAAAATGACACAAATGCAAGTAAACTCTTGAATGTATCTCCAGTCTTCCCTGGTTCCCTGATACTGAACACGCCCCTTTCTGCCGCTTTTTGCTCCAAATCGGCAAGACCCAGCTTGGGTAGCTGTGTAAATTCGCACGCAAGCAGAGCTCAAGAGCACGGCGAGCGTCGTATATACAAAGTGTGGCGCCCTTTCGCCATCTCATCTCATCTCCTCTCTCCTCTCTCCTCTCTCTCTCACCAAAATGCCTATATTGCCCTGTCGCACTCACCCCTCCAACACAAACCCAAGCTCATCCCTCTTATCGTCCGTCAAGCGCCCCCACTCGAGCAACAAGCGAAAGAAATAGACCTCCATGTCCTCCTTTCTGAGCACCTTGCCAGCCCACTCCCGTCCCGTTTCCGCGAGCAATTCCGCCTCCTTTTCATGTGGCTTCCACCTGATCCTTGTTCCACGCATGGTCCCATTCACGCCTGCAAAGTACGCCAGACTGCTCCACACGCCATGCAATCTGATGTCCTGAGGCACGAAATGCAACCACGCCGTCAACCGACTGTCATACCACTCGCGGAACAGCGCCGTCTTGAACGGCAGACTGCGACTCTGCAAAAACGGGAGGAATCGACCTGAAAAGCCAGCCCCGTCGAGGTCAAACAGAAACTTATACCGCCAGTGCGCCTGGAAATCAGACGGTCCCACGAGTCCGAACTCAGCCTCCTGATCTGTACAATCATGCAATCCGATCCCACCGCAGCGGGCGATCCGGTCGACGATCGCAATGTCCGTGTTCAGTCCTAGTTCCTTGGCCGCCGGGCCAGGCAGGATCTGATACTTGTACTTCTCGTGGTTCGCTGGGTTGGGCAGCAGAATCGCAAATTTGTCATGAGAAGAAGTGGTGACATTGTTCGCCATATGCACGAGTCGTTGGCGCGTCATTCCGCGCCAGGCATGGTCCCCCGAACTCACGCCCTCCGAAGTCGCGCCGCGCCAGAACAAGGTGTTTTCCTTCTCTGCAAACGGCGGGTCGGGATGTCCGGGATCGTATTCATCCTGGCCCGGCCTACCCTTTGGCTCGGATGGATCATAGCGCACTTTGTCCATGTAATTCCACGCACTCGGGTATAAGATGTCATTGTACCTGTGCGGTTTTGACTGCGAGAAGACGGGCCTGAGGTTGTAACTGGTCTTGAACGCCGCAGGCGAGAGGTAGAAGCCATGCAAATACGCCATGTCAGGCTGGTGGCATATATCCGCGGCCTCGGTCCAGTTTGATATGAATTGACCAAGAGAGTGAGGCGCGACGCAGGCACCGCAGATGTTGGATTGGGATGAGATGTGGGGATACTTCTGGACGAGGGAAGACGGCGGGCAGCCGATGGAGCCGAATGCACGGAATGTATTACGGAAGGACATGTCGCGGAAGACGGTGGTGGTTACCTCATTCTCGGGGATGGGGAGCCAGCCTGATGCGCGATCAGGGGAGAAGCCGGAGCTGCCACTTTTGTCTCCCAAGCGTCCTTTATCGCGGAGTGATTTGAGATCCGCGTAGGGCACGGCTACGCGTGACTCGTCGTTAAGGTTGAATGCTAGATCCATGTCTGGTAGGTAGCGGGCAAAACTGTTGATCAGAACTGCGACGCCTTCGAGCATCCAGCGATGGGTTGGGATGACATTCTCCTGAACTGCGGCATTGCCGTTGCGGATTGTGATCCCGGAGATCTCGTTCCAGGGGTTGGAGACCATTTCCCAGGTTTGTTGCCGAAGTGAGGCTGGTGGTATTGCGCGAAAAGGGAGCAGGTCTTCGTGGATCTGGTCAAACTCGTCCACGATCAACACCGACTTGTTCTTTGCGAACTCGAACCAGACATCAAATCCAGGAGGAGGATTGCGGTTATATCTTTGCTTGTACCGCTCGACAGTGTCGGTAAGCGAGGCAGTGCTTCCTACCGTCTTCAGGTAGCTATCGTGATGAACCTTGGCGTCGTACATGAGCATGTCAATTGGATGGTAATGGACATAGTCGCTCTTTCGCCAGGCTGGGAAGATGAGGATGCAGAGTGAAATGAAGAGTAGTGTTTGCCGAAAGACGGACAATGGATTCCTTTCACCCAAGGATTGTTGAATGCGCCTGTACGCCCACCAGCCGAAGAACAGGAACAAGAAGGAGAACGTCGTCGTAGATAAGGGGGTAGGAGGAAAGGGATTTTTATGGGACCAGATGAACTCCAAGCCAGGTACCATAGTCATTAAGACCGTGAAATAAGTCGACACGTCTAAGGCGCCGTAAGTCATGATCTGGGTCTGTTAGCATGACAGGACGTCATGTAGAGCAAGCCAGACTCACACAATGTAATGTCGATATGCACAAAACACAGAAAAGGAAAACATGGCCAATGATAGCGAAGAGGGTGCCGATATCCAGGGACGGCTGAAGGAAGAGCAGCCAATTCCTATACTCAGGTTTAAAAAAGTACACGATCATAGCCACTCCTGACCAGATCACTGAGGTGGCAATCATGGTTGAGCTCCAAAGTACAACACATCTTCGGCCTGAGAGGCCTCTACCGTCGCCCTTTGGAGACGTCTCGTAGACAACCATGGCAAGGCACAGGTCCAGAAACAGTGAGCCAATCTGCATTGCTGGTATAGTTCTCGGCTCGCCAGTGACAATGGGGCAGATATAGGTCGAATTCGAGGAGTCCCAGAGGCCTTGAGCTAGATACGCTCCATAAGACACCAAGAACATTGGGAGTAAGTATCTGGTGCGTGGCCTGAGGATGAACGTTCCAATCGCCGAACGGATCCCATCATATATATTGCTGTCTGGCCGCTCCTCGTGTGCTAGTGCCAGTGATCGTTGCGACCTAATAGCGTCGTAGAGTGCTAGCAAGAAGGGCAAGAATACCTCAACACTGGGGATCGTGCATTCTGTTGCATTCGATATCCGACGATATAGCTCGATGCGCACCGACAACGCAGATATGGCTGCAGCCAGGACAGATATTCGGACTTTGCCATCATGTCGGGTGTTTGTTTTTGCAGGCTCTAGCCTTTCAATCGCATTACCTAACTCTTCCAGAGGTAAAGCCTCATATTGACCTTTCTCTGATCCTGGTCGTTGGAAAAGTCTCGGTAGTGCTTTACTTGCGCTGGGTAAGGCGAACGAGGAAGCTAGGAGGGCAAGAACGATCAGGTGGATCGGCCGATCTAGACATAGTCAGTGCCAGACATAGCCAGATATTGGCGTAGCTTACCATGTGCTGCGGATATTGGAAATAGGTGGGTGAGACATCCTGCAGTCAGAATGGAAATACTAGGACGGTCAGTAAGCATACACAAGCACTGGGAAAGGCACACACCATAAGCACACATGATCAAGTGTAGCCATGGTCTTGTCCTCAGCTTGTTCGTGCCGATAATGGATTGTTAGCTGGAGTAAGGAGTGGGAGCGGGAATTGAGTGCCGCAAATATCCTCTCCTTCTATCTGGCGGCATTACGAGCACGATCTTGCGCATAGCCGCATATCGCAACAATCGATAGAATGCGGCAGTTATGCGCAGCGGTCGGCCACCCTGATATGGTAGCACAATACCGTGACAGTCGAGACTGCGACCTTGTACAGTTGCGTGTGGAGAGACGAGACGAGGCTGGGGAAATCACAAGTACTTGGATAAAGTTGATAGACGAGGCCCCGCTGGTTAAAGGCTTAGTGCACCCTTAGGCTTGGTGGTTAGTGCTTCTGCAGGGAAGGTCTCCCGAAGAAGATTTGGAGAAATATTTCAGTCAAAGACAAATTTATTGAGACAGTCGCAGACAGTCCGCGCAGTCGTGGTTCAACACAATTTCTCAATCGCCAGCTGTAGTTTGAGGCGGAGGGAGGCCGGCGCACTGTACCAATGCCTCGCAAGGCCATCGACTCGCGCATACCAGCGCTCATACGCAATGGAATCCAGGAAAAGAAGCGCAGTTTCATTGTCGTCGTTGGTGACCGAGCCAAGGATGTTATCGTACATCTACACTACATTATGTCCTCGGTGGACGTCAAGCAGAACAAGTCTGTGCTGTGGGCTTACAAGAAAGATCTCCTAGGGTTCACTAGTCACCGAAAAAAGCGAGAGGCAAAGATCAAGAAGGAAGTCAAGCGAGGCATTCGAGACGCCAACACAGAAGATCCCTTTGAACTCTTCGTCACCCTGCACAACATCCGATATGTCTATTACAAAGAGACGGACAAGATTCTGGGAAATACATATGGCATGTGTATCTTGCAGGATTTCGAGGCCATCACACCAAACCTCCTTGCCCGCACGATCGAGACCGTCGAAGGCGGAGGGCTGGTGCTGCTCCTCCTCAAGGGTATGAAGAGCTTGAAACAACTCTACACAATGTCTATGGATGTCCACTCCAGATACCGGACCGAAGCCCACGACGATGTCGTTGCAAGATTTAATGAGCGGTTCATTCTTTCACTAGGTGCATGCGATTCCTGCTTGGTGGTTGACGATGAGCTGAATGTACTACCCATTTCTGGTGGGAAGAACGTCCAAGCTCTGCCACCGCCAGCCTCTGCAGACGAAAGCACTCTGCCAAACAAGAAAGAGTTGAAGGAAATCAAGGATAGCTTGGCTGACAGCCAGCCGGTTGGCTCTCTCGTCACTCTAGCAAAGACTGTTGATCAGGCCAAAGCACTTCTCACCTTTGTGGATGCCATATCAGAGAAGACGCTGCGCAGCACGGTAACTCTGACGGCTGCTCGAGGAAGAGGTAAATCCGCGGCACTGGGCGTTGCTGTAGCTGCAGCAATCGCTCACGGTTACAGTAACATCTTCATCACATCGCCCAGCCCCGAAAACCTGAAAACTCTTTTCGAATTCGTGATCAAAGGGTTTGACGCTCTCGAATACATGGACCATGTCGACTACACTATTTTGCAGTCGACAAATCCAGAGTACAACAAGGCGATTGTCCGGATCAATGTCCACAGACAGCACCGGCAAACAATACAGTACATCCAACCGCAAGACGCGCACGTCCTCGGACAGGCTGAGCTAGTTGTTATCGATGAGGCAGCTGCCATACCACTTCCTCTCGTGAGAAAGCTGATGGGACCTTACCTTGTATTCATGGCTTCAACGATAAATGGCTACGAAGGGACCGGCCGCTCACTTTCGCTTAAACTCATCCAGCAACTCCGTGAACAATCCAGAGGCGGCGTGGTCAACGGTGGCGACCTCGAAGTCGCCGACAAATCCACGGGAAAAGCGTCCAAAGACGGACAAAAGGTCTACACGGGCGGTCGATCATTGAGAGAAATCACTCTCTCTGAACCCATCCGATATGCCCCAGGCGACGGTGTCGAAAAATGGCTCAACCGCCTCCTTTGTCTCGACGCAACCCTCCCCAAATCCAAAATGAATACCCAGGGCACACCACACCCTTCAACGTGCGAGCTCGTCCACGTCAACCGCGACACCCTCTTCTCCTTCCACCCGGTCTCCGAAAAGTTCCTCCAACAGATGATGGCACTGTACGTCGCCTCACATTATAAAAACTCCCCCAACGATTTACAACTCATGTCCGACGCCCCGGCGCACCAACTCTTCGTCCTCATACCTCCTATCCCCGAAGACGCCAACAAACTCCCCGAACCCCTGTGCGTCTTGCAAGTCGCGCTCGAAGGCCGGATCAGCAAGAGCTCCGTCCTCAACTCCCTGTCCCGCGGTCAACGTGCCGGAGGCGACCTGATACCTTGGCTGGTGAGCCAACAATTTCAAGACTCCGAATTTGCCGGGCTCTCAGGGAGCCGCGTGGTCCGCATCGCCACGAACCCCGAGTATCTGAGCATGGGCTACGGCTCACGCGCCCTGGAGCTCCTGGCAGATTTCTACGAGGGCAAGATCACTTCACTCTCCGAAAATGACTCGATCCAAGACGCAGAACAGGTGCCTCGCGTCACCGACGCCGAACTCGAATCCTCCAACCTTCTCGACGACAACATCCGCGTCCGCGACATCCATCAGATGCCCCCTCTGTTCTCCAAACTCTCTGAACGCCGCCCCGATGCACTGGACTACCTCGGCGTCTCATTTGGATTGACCCAGCCGCTCCACAAATTCTGGAAACGCGCCTCCTTCGCACCCGTATACCTGCGCCAAACACCCAACGACCTGACCGGCGAGCACTCGTGCGTCATGTTGCGGCCGCTCTCGACGGCGACGAGCACAGACTCTTCCTGGCTAGCCGCCTACGCCCAGGACTTCCACAAACGCTTCCTCACGCTGTTGTCGTACCAGTTCCGCACTTTCGCGTCTGTTCAGGCTCTCAGCATATCGGAATCCGCGTCGCGGGCGACGACGAGCTCCTCATCCCAGGCCAGTGGAATAACGCCGTTGACCAAGTCCGACCTCGACTCTCTATTTTCACCCTTCGATCTTGCCCGCCTCGAATCCTACGCGAACAATATGCTCGACTACCACGTCATTCTAGACATGATGCCGGCCATCGCAATGCTTTTCTTCACGGGCCGGCTGAAACTACCGCCCTGCAATGTCTCCCTGTCCGGCGTGCAGCAGAGCATCCTCCTCGCCATAGGCCTGCAGCGCAAGGATCTAAGTGATGTCGAGAAGGAGCTCAATCTGCCGAGTAATCAGCTTCTGGCCATGTTCGTCAAGGTGGTCCGGAAAGTCAGCACGGCATTTAGAGGGGTGATCTCGGGTGCAGTCGAGGCCGAGTTGCCGGAGAAAAAGGACGATGAAATCAATGTCGGTGCCGGTATTGGTGCCAGTGTCAACGGCACGGCTACGGCGGCGTTGCCCAGGATAAGCAGTCGTGTGCAAGTCCCCATTAATGCCAATGTGGATGAAGACGATCCGGAGGAGGAGGAAGTCGATCCGGCGATCAAGGAGAAGCAGCGCGCTCTTATTGATGCGTTGCCTTTGGATAAGTAAGTCTTTTTCTTCTCCAATTCCTCTCTCTTGCTTTTCTAGTGTCCAGTCTGCGGGACGTTATCGGATGGTCCGGGACTAGACACATCAGGCAAGACAGAACAAAAGGCGACTAATAACTAATCAAGCCTCTCCCACATATAGGTACGAGATCGCAAATTCCACCTCCGCCAACGCCGACGACGACGACAAAGCATGGGAAGAAGCCGAGCGCCAAGTCCGTGAAGCCGGCGCCGATCCTGGCAAAAGCACAATCGTCAGTGTCAAGAGTCAAAAGAAGAAGAAGAGGAAAGCCGAAGAGGTCAATAGCGATGAGCATGAGCACGAGCATGGTGATCGAGATGGTGGTGTGAGTGAAAAGAAAAAGAAGAAAAGGGACAAGGACAACAGGGATGGCGAGAAAAAGTACAGAAGTAGTAAACAAGGGGCACACGGGGACAGAGATGCAAAGATGCACAAGAGCAAGAAGGATAGATGAAGTCTAGCAACAAACAGCAAGGCTACTTTATGTACGAGAAATTCATGAATCAAGAGAAAGGCCCAAGGTCATTTACCCAGTCTTGTCCCGTTCATTTTACTTGTGCCCTGCCTTAGATATGCACTGGTATGTCCCTGTGCCTCGTGGGTGCTTTGAGCCCGTGTTCAGACCTCACAAATATGGCATCGTCCAACCTGGCAGCAATGGGAGCAAAGAAGAACAGCTACATCTTCGATTTCTCAAAATCTAGTCTGTTGAGCACTGCCCACGTCCACCCCATGGTGTGACCACATGCCGTTGTCGCCCATTTCATCCTTCATGATCATCTCATGGAGCCTTTGCTAACTACAGCCAAATACGGGCCTCTGTCGCAAATTCTCCCTTCGATGTCATAAGCACACTTCGCTTCGACTCTCCATCAGCTCAACAAGTCTCCATCTTGGCTTCAAATTGTAGCGCCCTGCTACCTCATCCCACCGCTGCAGCAGCGTCGATTAGTTCATGATGATCTATCGACTCCGCATGACAAGCAGCAATACAGCGATGGATGGTCCGTGTCAAGGTACAAACTCATCGTCACTGCCACCGTCACCATCATATCCATACGTAGTCCGCTTGGCCGTCTGTCGTTTTGGTCTAGGTTTATTTGTAGAGGCAGATCTGGTTGCCCTCGTGCTAGAGACAGAGACAGACTGAGACAATGGTGACGTTGGTAAGGCACTTGTTCGTGCTCGCCGCTTGGGCTGCTCTTTGCGTCTTTTGCCAATATTGGCATTGTTTCTCTTGCTGATTGTGAGCTTTAGCACGTTCTTGTGGTGCTTGTTCACAATGATAGGCTCATGCCCCTGATGACCCGGATCGGGTGGTTCCTCGTCGTCTACACCTTCGATCACACGTCGTCCAACGTGTTCAATCAGTGGCGGTCGGCAGTCTCCATTGCCGTCGTGAAACCACTCCGAGCCTTCCGCCCTAGTGCCGTCCTTATTGTCCCAAATACCGTGGATGATTGTGGTTCGCTCTGGGTCTTTGGGATCGCAAAGTGCTTCATACCTGCCAAAACGCCAGTTGCCATCCAGCCGCTTGCCTCGGACGAAGCTATCAAGTGCTTCGTCCATTGCTCGACGTTGAGCTATGGTTGACGAACGTGTGTATCGGTACCGGAAGCCCTTCTGGAAGAACACCTTTTCACTGGTAAGCTCCGTTGGATCGAAGCTGTTCGGTACACGAAGCTTAACAACCAGCGATCGCTTCCCAATCTCTTCCTTTCGTTCTGCTAAGTTAGCACCGGGTGTCTCAAGAGGCCGTGGGGACGCAGGCCGCTCCGCGGGTGCAGTAGGGGTGTTAATATCTCCCACCTCGGAAGCGACAAGGGACATTTGGGGTTGTGCTTCGTTCTGAGCCTGAGCCTCAATCTTCTGCTTCTTGTGCGCAGGCACTTCTGAAGTATCATCATCAGCTTCTTCTGGGCTATGGGCACGTTTGAGAGCATTGTCGGAGTGTGTGGGCTCGCACATCTGTCCGGAGCTATGGCCCCCTGATGTGAGGTTTTCGTTTGTCGGAACAGCCAGGATTGGGTCGAGTTGTGAATCACCCGTGCCGATGTCAGTACCATGACCCTCCACGTCCGACCGGCCGGGCTGACTTTTCAACGACGACAGTAGATTGGCCAGTATGTTCTTACTTTCTTCGACTTTCTTTGCAAGGTCTTCCGCTTGGGCGCATACCTGTAAGTTTGCATGCAAGTCATCACCCTGACCAGCATCAGTAGACAGAGAATCAATTTGGCGAGCATGTACCATGAGATCTCTCAGTGCTTGCTTGGTTTTATCCAGATTGCTTGATGCGTCCTGGAGCGATTGGTCCGTAGCAAAGAGGTCTTCTGAGAAACCGGAGGAATCCAACAGGCTGACTATAGTCCCCACATTCGGCTCATTAACGACCTTTTCCACAGTGTTGACAAGGGCATCGGCGAGTGAAGCACTTTCGTGTTGATCGCCACTTTCAGGATCATCGCCTCTTCCTTCTTGGTAGTTATTATCGGAGGGTTGAGGAGACTTTGAACCACCCCGTCCATTGATCTCCAAAGCCAGTGCCAAAAAGTGGTTGTGACGCTCTTTTTCGGCATCGATTCGTTTCTGGGTATTCACCTTCTGTTGTCGACCGCTGAAGCCATCATAGAGAGCCTGAAGCTCTGCGAGGCTTCGCCGCGACATCTGTACCTCGAAGAGAGAGTAGAGGAACAAGTCTCTTTCGCATGAATTCGCTTCAGGGGTGCGGAACCAGTCCTCCTTGTATAGGATCCCACCGACTTCCTCTAGAACCTCTTCTAACAACTCGTCGCCATCATCCAGGTCTCCTTCTGCCCTCCGTCGAATGCGAGCTTCGGAGACCCCAGCTTCCTCGAGCTCTCCCGCAGTGACTGCCCATAAATGGGAGCCTCTGTAGCTTTGAGAAACGAAGATTGGCACTTTCGCAGGATCAACATCCTTCTTCTGACGAGATCTTAGAGGAGTGGGAGGCTGGCCGGGTATGAGTTGTTTTTTCACCGCTTCGGCAGCTGCCGGTGCTCGCTGGCGACGTTTCGGGCTGCCATCTGTTGGTACACCTGGATCATAGCCAAGACGCAATGCCTCAAACCAGGCGTTCTGCAGGGTGACGAATACGCGATCCAGAACCTCCTTTCGTCTCGAGTCGTCTTCAATCCTGGAGCCCAGCTCCGCCCAATCCTTGACATGCTCCATAATCTGTATGTTGAAGGGGAGATTTCTGTCCGGTAGTAGGTATGACCGATCGAATTGCTGTCGAAATCGCGATCGATAAGGAGGCAGCCAAGGCGGAGGGAATTGGTATGTTCCTGGCGGCGGCGCTGTGAGATCAAAGTGCTTCTGCCCCTTGAACACAGGAATATCGATTTTGCCCGCGTGCAGATCTTGTCTTATCGCAAGGCGTATGTCGCTGCCGGCTTTCATAGTCCCCTCTCTCGTAAGTTGTGATTCAACATCTCCTAGCGAAGTTTTATATGTGCCCTGCTCACTGGCCACATCAGCCGTTGAAGGATCGGACGCCGCAGCCATCGTGCTGTCCGCAGGGGCTCGTTCTTGCAAGGCCTCAGAGCTCTGATTCGTTTCCGTTTGCGCCGGGCCTTTGTTCTGGGCCACCTGAGGCTGCAAAGCGACATTCTTATCTTGATCGTCTTCCCGGCTAGTTAGTTCAGAGATGTTGATGGCTTCATTTTCAGAACTGGCCGAAATGATCCTAGCTGTGTCTGTGGGCATGTTTGCGAGATCCAGCCCATCCGCATCAAGGGACTGGTTCGAACCCAAGGAAAAAATTTGGTAAACAACAAGAGACAAAATCAAGCGTCGAAAAGAGTGCAATTGAGATCGGTAATATCACAGAAAGTGAGAGGATCGGCCCCGCCTGCACTGCTTGACCCGCTTCGGAGAGTGAAGGCTAGATCGATGGGCTGTTTTGGCCAGGCATTATAGCTGAGTAGGCCGAAGCTGAAGATGTGGTATATTTTCAGGTTAGAGAGCAGCGGAAAGTAGGCAGAATCAGTCGAAGAGTAGTGATCAGATGAGCAAGATGGAGGGGAGGGAAAAGTGTGAGTAAGCGTCGAGTGAAGTTGAGACAGAATGAGAAGGCAAGTGTAGGTAGTAAACAGGCTTCTGAGGTTTAATATTATGGCAGAGCAGGCTCAAGAGCCCTGACTTCGAACCAAGTGACCTCCTTCTGAGAAGACACCGCTGCGGCTGTCACGTAACAAAGAAAGAGTCGCCGCGAAGTCGTCATAGCTCATCATGCTCCGTAGTGGGAGTCTGTTCAGGTTCTGGCTCCGCAGTATCCTCAACATGGTCGGTTGACTCGGGCTCGGGTGACTCCTGTTTCGTTCGTCCAAAAGCCTCAGGCAGATTCAATTTGGGGCCTTCTCCAAGCTTGATGGCGTCGACAAAATTTTCCAGGTCAAGCACATCGTAGGTTTCAGTCGAGTATCTTCTCCACCAGCCTCTTTTCATATTCATTGCAATGATTTCCAGGCTGGTATCCGAATTGAGACCCAAGTCCAGTCTGATTCGACTCGAAGCTGGATTACCGGCTGGGATGGCGTATGTTGGCATCATGCTAGCTCTTCGTTTGTCGTACTTGTGTGCGATTTCAGCCAGTCCAGCCAATGCGGAGGTGGCAACTGGGGAAACTTGTTCTGAATCAGATGTGGTGGGAACCAAGACCAGAAGACAGTTGCCGCTCTTTGGCGTGAGACAGGCAGATTCTAGCTCGGCAGCAGTAGTGAGTGTCGGGATCGGGGGGAGCGCGTCAGGGACGGCCATGGGTTTCTCATTGTGCTCAACGATTGGGAGTGGTGACTCGGTGGGTGTGTCGTCGTCAAGGACGATAGTCCCGGAACTGCCCAAGAAGTCTTCGAAGTCGGAAGACTTGTGAGCTTCAGAAGCTTTTGAAAAGGCAGCGGAGGCTGATGACGATGACTTTGGTTTCTTGGACGAAGACTTAGCCGGTTTTGCGTTCTTGGGTGCTGGATCTGGATTGGGCGGTGCCACCTGAGAGAAGAAGCTCACTAAGGAATCTCGACTAATCTCGCCGTTGTATGGGATTAGAGTCTCGCCAACACCTTTAACCAGTTGGACCGTCGGGAAAGTGGTGACACCATATTTCTCTGCAGTGGCCTTGTCTCTGACTTGAGCAAAAGCGATGCTGCCGAGGAAGTCGACAGCCAGACTCTTGACCAAGGGGCTAGTAGTGCCTTTGTCCGTGAAGATGACAGCCTTCGCTGGTAAGGCCGGATCACTGAGCCATTTTTCGAATTCATCACCTTGCAGTCTCTTGACATGATTGGGAATCTTATCTTTTACAGCGTCCACAATGCCTTTCGCTGATCTGGGCCCATTGTAATCTTCCACTATCGGTCTACCAGGCTTATTACCCGGTTTGATGATCTTGAGAGTTGGGAAGCCCTGGATCCCCATCTGTCCACAGAGAGGTTTGTTTGCATCATCGTCACAATCGACAGCAGCTACCTTGGCGAATCCGGCCAAGTTCTTTGCAGCTTTCTCGTAGGCAGGCTTGAGGTTTTGGCAGTGGCCGCACCATGGGGCATAGAACTCGATAATCTGGACCAGGTCTTAGTCTCGGTTTTCTGCAAGGAGGGACGTCAACATACAGATGTGTGGTTAGATTGTGCAATGAGCGAGTCGTACGTTTTTGCAGTGGCCTGGAGGACCGGCGAGTTCTTGCTGTACATGGCGTTGACACTGAAGCAAGCTAGGGCAAGTACGGCCCAGGTCACTAGGAATGAGCGAGCCATATTGACGGCGAGAGGACGGCAACAGGCAGTCTAGAAATCGTCAAGGTACAAGATGATGGTGTAGGGAAGGATGTTCCCGAGATATGATCATCGCCAGCGTGGTGTTGTAGTACAGTGAAGGTCTTTTCGAACACGCTGGCTTGAAGCAGTTTCGAGCGCAGGGATGCATCTTGAGTGAATGGGAATCCGGGGAACCTTTGGATGACGCAAGTGGAATGACTGTCTCGCCGTACAGTAATAGCCGTGAATGACCTGTCTGACAGGCTCAAGGCCACTCAAGAGGTGCGCTCTTTAGCACCCATTAGTTCCATTCTACACCTGCAGTCAACTTGGAAGGTATCACATATCTACATAGTACCTGATCTCAACGCTTGTGACAGCTTTGGACCATCAATGTCATCTTTAGAGCTCTTCAGTATTGTCTGATCGAGCATTTCGATTCCGTTTGGGCTTCTCCCTGCGTACTACGGGAGATGCGCGAACCAAAGACATATGTCGCGAGACTGAGCTATTTCATGATGTTGTGTTCTCACAGTGTACAGGTCAAAATTTCGCTTCCCCCCATGACACGATGTCGCACTTGGCTTCCGGAGTGATATGCTCAGCTTTGGGGCTATGAAGGCCTTTTGCGGCTGCTGCTGCCTGCCTGTATTTGGAGCCTCTGCTGCTGCCATCGCTGAGGACTACTAGTATTGGTACAGTATGCGCAGACTTCCTACATCCACATCGTTCAAGGATTAAGACAGGAAGAAGGAGACGTCCCTAGGCATGTGCAACTCAAGGGCACCTCACCCGAAGACATTAACTGCACAGTAGTTAACATTGTACACTTCAAAAGTACCTTCCCCAAAGCCTTTCGACAGGACATGATGGGCTTCACTAGCCTTACTAGCCTTACTAGCCCGTGATGGCCCCCTGATGACCCCCCCTCCGGGTGCCTCTCGCGAAATACCCGTTGGCCTAGTAAGCCTAGAGCCTACTACAGTAGCCCCCAATAGGCAGGTGCCGGACGGAGAAGATCACCTTATTCCAGGGAATTGTACTGTGGTTCACCGCAGGTCACAGGCCTCACTCAGGGTCAACGCCCAAGGTTGATGATTACAGAATACTCCGTACAGCCGGAAGAGAATGATCAATTGCAGCAAATCACTGCTACGCCACTGCTTACATGTCAGTGCATGTCCAAACTACCTACAGGAGTCAAGTATGAACTTCGTATGGTGGGCTTAGTGGCTCCCAACCTTGGGCTTAGGCGGATTCCCGACCGCCTGTTGTGCCTCGTGTTGCCTAAAGCCTCATACCTGGACACTCCTCAATCGGCGGTGTCGATCAGCAACAACTGGACAATTAATCCTGACAAAAGAAAGGCATGAAACCAATCATTGACATGCTCATCCTTGCATTGGGTCACAGGCAATATGATGCGTAAGCAATACGCCCAAATTGCTCACCTCTAAAGCTACTGCTCCTGGTTTAGTGAAATGCCCGCAAGCAATGACAATTCCGATGTTGTAAAGGAGAGCAGGGATCCTTCACGCCTTCTTTGCCCTCGATAGGGCTACTACTTTCATCCCTGCTAGCGAGTTTGCGGTCTAGTCTGGTAGGCTATGGGACTGGGCCAAACACCTCAAGTCGGACTCATTCATTTTCTACTGTTACCTTCTAGATTCCTACATTGGTCGCTTCCATGTTTTCAAGGTACTTCTCTTTTGGTGGTGGCTTATGATTACTATGGCACAATGGCACAAGGTCGAGCTAAACGCCCTCATAAGAAGACAAAGACCGGGTGCATGACCTGCAGGTATGTATTCAATCCTACTCTACCCGGGAACCCTCGAATCGCATAGCCTGCTCATTCTTGCCATCCAGAAACCGGCGCATAAAATGCGATGAAGCGAAGCCCAAATGTCGGCAGTGCACAGAATCTCTACGAACGTGCGAGTATCAAGCACCTCAAACATGGCTCTTCAAGCCTCGAAAACCCCAGGAAAAGTCCCAAGGCAACGGCAATCTCATCCAGTCCGTCTCTCCCCTGACTCCTATGGGTGATGCCAGCGACAAACGCTCTTTGCAATTCTGGGTCGAACAAGCAGCTCCTATCTTCTCCTGCTACTTTGGTAAAGTCATTGTTTCTCCTTCCGAGTTCTTCACTCATTCCTTTCAACCAGGGCACTCCTTCTGGACTCAATTGCTTCCTCAAATCGGGTTTGTTCGCCCTCCAATCAAACACATGTTGCTTGCCACCTCATCGGCAGTCGAGACTGCGGCTCTGCACGGTGTTCCACTCGATCAAAATATGGCCTACCAATCTCACTACACCCAGGCCATTCAAGCAACTTGCTCCTCTCCCCAGGTAGAGAACGTGCTGATGGCGTGTCTCCTGTTCGCCTGCTGCGAGTTCATGAAGGGTTCAATCGGTACGGGTCTACACCACATCCGGTCGGGCTTGAGTATCATCGATGAGTGGTACAGCTCCATTCAAGAACCGGAAGTGAAGGCTTCTGACACTGCACGCCTGATTATAAACGCAATAGGCCCTATCTTCCTTTCCTACATTGACAAGTCCCCGACTTACGGCTTCGGCGAGATCACTCTCGACAAGTGTTCCTGCGCCAACATGATCGTTCCGAGTATCGAACTGCCCTATATCGCCCCTTTCCATCACATCCACGGAGCTCACCATGCCCTCGATGGCGTGGCTCATCATGTGGCGCGAATGATGGATTGGAAACAGAAGGCTTGGACAGTGTCACGACCAGCACAAATTCAAATGCTGTTGGACACCTGGCGTATGACCTTTGACCGGTTTGAGTCCAGTTTGTCCCTGGCAAAAAGAGAACTCTACGCGGCGGCATTACCATTCCTACGGGTCCAACACACAATGTTAAGTGTGATGCTTCGAGCTGCTACCAACAAGTCCGAAAGCACATACGAACAATTCGAGGAAGAATTCCAGTGGGTCGTGGATCGTTATGATGATTTTGCAGTTTTATGGGCCCGGGATGAGACTCCCAACTCCTTCGACGGCGCCCTGGGAGATCTCGACTACCATATGGGCTTTATTCCTCCTCTATTCTTGACAGCGACGAAGTGTCGCGACCCTGCGATAAGAATGGCAGCTCTCAAGCACATGGGTTCCCTCAGAGTGGAGGAGAACAACTGGACCAGTTGCACGGCATATATAATTGCGAGAAAAATCATACAGACCGAAACAAAAATGTCCATCATCAACAACCGTGTCGGTCGCAAAGACGAACGCGACCTCATCAGACCCATCGAGGCGTATATCACAGACAAACGCATGACTCAAGCAGGTCTTGACTATGCGGTATTCCCCTTTGACAGGGAATCTCCCGTTGTTATGCACGAGACGATTGATCTGCTCGACTGCGCATCTCTATCATCTCCATCCGTACGCTGGGTAAGTATCACGAAACTACCAATTGTCGTGGCATTGCTGACTTATGAAAGCCTTTGACTAGAATCCTCCGCATCGGAGGCTACCAGGGAGGAAGTGTAACTCCAGTCCCCACGGACTGCTGCTGCCGCTTCCACTTGTCAAACAAACCATTACTATATCGACCAAAGACATGAGCACGTCTAGCATTTCAATGATCGCTACTAATGGTCCAGCTACAAACGGGGAAGAAGACCGGAAGTGAACATGGCGCGCCTCTCTGAAGGTTCAGCGTCCTCACGGCAGATATGACCCGCCCATGACTGAAGGAGGAAATGTTATCCAGTGGCAAGCGGCCGCCGAAGTTGAGACTGCCCTGCCTTCGATTGCCCGAAATCCACGTCTGCCGGCAGGACACGTCGGTCGCTGCTGTTGTGTCACCAGAACCATCACCAGCTGTCGGGGATCAGAAACCCTTAACAAAAGCTGGCTCATGATCGCGCAGGAGCACTGACTCTTGTGCTCCCCTTTCAGGCAAACCCACAGTCATTACCGCCTCGGATCTCAATTTTACAAACGTTGGATGACGAACTAATTCTGATGTTCTCCACAAAAGCAGAGCGCTCCACGAGTACCTCCAAGGCAATGCCCTCATGGAACATGCTTAGTTTACTCGGCTACTCGCAAGCTGCGACGGCCTCAGGATGCCTAGCCTATCTAGTCGGGCATCAACTTCTCGAGATCGTCATTGAACACGAGCCCGTACGGCATACCTGTTGGACCGGTCTGTCTACCTAGTGGAAGAATCATGGGTCGGAGCCGATCAAGACAAGACCGGCCGCTCCGTCCACGGCCCCGAAATGCTTTTGCTCAGCTCTGAAAAGGGATTACTGTACGCAATAACGCATGGTCATGATCAAAAAGACTTTCATTTCTCTCAGTCGATCTTGTTTCTCAGACCACTGCTACTGGACCGTCCTCAACCATCAGAGTGGGGCACGAAGCCTTGTCTTTGGGCCGTGAGATGACGTCCGACAGGGCTGACCTTTAAATGGCCCCCAATCTTCAGCCGCAGCTTTTTTGCTTACACCCTGACGAGGCTATGTGATACATGAAACAGAGATTGGCGCATGACGCATCCCAGCAAGAAGCGCCGAGGGAGATGAGAGAATCATCCGGACGGGGCGCAGAAGCAAATTATCGGGTGACGACGGTAGAGCAGGGGTGTGAAGCTCGTAGTATTCCAAAGCCTTGCTCCGGAATCATCTCATACCGTCGTGGCTTGCGCCACCCACTATGTAGTACGTAGTCAATCCGAACCAGTCAGTCCTCGATCCTGTCCAGTGTGTTCGCCCAGTTTCCAAGCACAATGCAAGGGCAATCATTCCGTACAGAGCGTCGCTTGTGGGCTTGGGAAGACGCCAGGGCTCCGTCCGCCAGGGGGTGACTGTAGTACTCGTATACTACAGTACTATGGTACTCGTACGTAGGCGACACGGGCCCCTAGCTGGATTGAGTAGGAGGGCAAGGAATGCTGGTAGGTTGTCGAGGTTGTGGTGGTCGTGCGTAGCGGAAGTCCGGAGCGGACGACCCAACGACAAGCCCCGTCACCTTGACCTCGAAAGGGGATTGATCCGGAGTGTGTCCGGTGGTTAGTCCATCAACTTTTGCGGCTCCGAGGAACCACAGTACCATAGTAAGTAGATCGGTAGATACCCAGACATGTGCAAAGTAGGGGCGGCAGGGGCGGATATACAACCAACCGAGCTAGCTGAGCCCGGGATGTTCGTGTTTTAGACGATGCTTGAATGCGCGAGTTCAGAGCTAAGGTAGGTAAGGTAGTTGACAAATCGTCGCGGGCCATTACCCTGTAGGATATACTGGTACGAGGACCGGGTGACTGGGTGAGCACAACCATCAGATATGAGTATGCGAGATGCTGACATATTTACGGGGTATTTGTATCCCCGGATGTTCCGCAGTCATCCGTTGACACGAGTACTCCGTACATATCACCGTGGATGATAATGGAATACTATGTCAGCGACTCCGTGTTGGCTTTGGAAAATCCGCTTCGGCGCTGCAGCATGAATGAACTTTGGGGCCCATCATGGCCTGTTTCCGTGGCGCAAGCCGCACAAAGGCACATGATGAGAGACTCCCTAGTCTTTTCCTGGCCTTTGTTGTCCCCTTCGCGACAAAACAATGCATACCTCAGCCACTGTGCGCTGGTTTGCTGGTTCGTATGTGGTCTTCAGTGGAATCTCGCTCAGAGGATGAGGGATATCGGCTGCCATTGCGCTCGCTGTGTGGTTTGCCTCCTGGAAAAGACGAAGGCCACGGTTTACATGGTCTGACCGTTGGCAAAGATACTGGGTCACCGGCTGCCGTATGCGACTCGCCGTCAGTCACTGTGCATGTTTTTACTGCTCCAGTTTCATAGCAGCGTCCTGCCCAGGTGGTGCTCCGCCACAGCATGCCTGATCGTTGTCTCCGAAAATTCCGCCAGATATGTAGTCATGTTATGGCGAAACCTCGACCAAGGTGCCAGGTTCAGTGATCTGGCTGTAAATTCTTGGAATCACGCGGTTTGATCTCATGAAGCAGTGCTTCGCTGGCTACCCTGATTGACGTCTCCTTATGGCTCTCCACTGCTAGCCCTTCATCGCAAGCGCACGCTTATGGCGGGAGGCCATTTCAACCATGTTGCAAACGTCAAGATGCTCGGAGGTGACCATCACTCCGAGCAGATTATGGCTGATATCGATGTCGACACATTCAATACTCCATCCACAGGCGACATTATAGATACCTCGCCTCGCTGAACCTCGATGAAAAGTCGCCTGCCTTCTTGACCATTTCTCTGCGCTTCGTGGCATTAATGGTAGCGCCACCAGCAATGTCTTTCTCGCGATCGAATGCCCGCGCGCTGGGGTCGTCCTCTTCGATCGGCTTGGTAGAAGAGTTGTGAGAGGAGTACAGAGAGGGGCCTCTTTGCTTTTCCTGGTCAATGTCAGTTTCCGGGCTTGGAGTTATAGAAGTGATGGAGACATTGGTTGAGCAAGATTAGAGATGGAAGAAACTTACACTGTACTCTCTCAGCCTCTTCGCCGTCGCCTCCTCGTGCGCATCAGAAACGTTCTTGGTCTTCACGTCAGAGGGTCCAGTCGGATCTGTGATGCCCATGACTTCCCTTCTCAGTCGGGCTTGTTTCTGCTCAGGAGTCTCATGCCATGACTCTCCTCCTGCGCCGCTCTTTTGAGGTGGTCCTTTTGCGCCTCTTCCGGTGTTGAACTTGCGGTTCTTGAGCTTTGTCGGGTCAACCCGCGAAGACCAGTCGCCATTCGTGGGCGCAATCGTCATCCATTCGTCGCGCTGAAGACGCGCTGGAGGGGCGGAAGGTGTAGGTATCTGTGGCCCTATAGAACCAGAGGATTTTACGGGAGGGCCATCGTTTGCAGAGGGAAGGCTCGGACCAAAATCATCATCGTCGCTGCTCTCACTTCCGTTGTCGCTTTCAGGCTGCGGAGGACTTGATGGGCGCTCATCTAGAGGTGCGGGAGGAAGGGTTGGACCCAACACTCGACTTCTTTTGGCTGACGATGGTGACTGTGCACCTGAGCCTGGCCGCTGAGGTAAAGGGCCGGTAGATGAGTCTGAGGAGCTGCCTTCTTCATCGTCTTCGTCGGTGCTGCGTTTGCGCTTCTGTAATTCGGGTGGAAGTTGAGGGCCAACGGAGGGCATCTTTGTAGGTCGGGGTCTCGCCTCTAGGGAGGTATCACGGGGCATTCAACGACATATAGTATCTGGCGCAAATTCCGAATACGCGAGATATGTATCGCCAGGTTCGAAGCGTGGCAAACAGAGGATTGGTATCTCCTTCCTGTTTACCCGATTTTCTGGCGATGTGGGGGAGTTCGTTGATGCCTGTGGCACCTGTCGGAAAAGCGAAGATAGGGAAGGTTGAACGACGACCTGTTTCTTTTTCGACCTGTCCTTTGCGCCCCTCTGGTTCGATACAATTTTCCCTTTTCCGGAGTTGAGGACTGACAATGGCTGGATCGAGCAGTATCTAACGAGACGGCAACGCCCGGCTAGATGCATGTCTCTCGTTCCTGGATTCCTCCACTCCGCCTATTCGACAGATCACTCCTCCGCAAGCGCCTGGAACACGGGCCCCGGACGCGTACCCGCAGCTTGTTGATATCTTCTACCAGTCATGTAGCAGGACTTCTCTCATCGTTGCGGACTACCCTCTCAAATAAGTGCCAATGCCCGCCGTGGACGATTCACGGGCTGAAACGTCCTGCAATCGCCATTCGAAGCTTTAGGCAAGCACATGCAGGGTACAAACTAGCAGGTATAACTACTGACTACCCTAGGAGGCTTTGAAGGCCGCCTTCCTCACTTTCAATCGTCCTCACGGTAGGACGAGGGTGCTGCTGTTTGCCTCCTTAAGCTCTAGCTTCACTTTCCTGCAGACTGACACACCAGCTTGATACTTTTCAAAGTCAACACAAATATGTGATCAACTTTCTGGGAGGCCTTCCCAGAGAGTCGTCAACTTTGTCATAATGGGCGGAGTGGACGTTGCTTCAGTTGTGGCTTCAATAGTCTCGGCCTTTGGGAGTGGCCTTGATATTTTTCATCGTCTGCGTGGGAAGAAAAGAAAATCGAACGCGCGACTGCCACGGCCATCTGAAGAAGAAGAATGGCTGAAACAGTCATTGGAGAACAGGCCAATGGAGATTAAGAATGAATACGATCAGAGTGTAGCAAAGTTTGGTCACCGATTCGAGGTCGGAGACGACCTTGCTCACGCCAGCCTCGCACATACCCTTCTTGTCCTGAACACTGGATTGATCAATCTGATCAACCATGCGCTGTCCGGAGACTCGAAAACAAAGGTCGTTTCCGGAAAGACCTTGTACAATCTTTCAGAGACTGCTGCCACAGACACTCTGATGGCACTCGGACAGCTCAATTCACGGCTCAGCCTTGCTCGACAGCTGAGACTGGCAGGTGAAGCTCACCCAAATTGGAGCGACGAACTCACGGGTCATCCCAAAGGCCACAAGCCAAGCTCTTCATCATCATCATCGAGAGCTCTCAGTCGACCCCCGCCTGCACCATTATTAGTGCGTGGCGGCTGGGTCAGAAGTAAGAGTGGTTCTTCAGTAGTGTCGGGCGCCGCGGCACGAAAATTAAAGGAAGAACAATCTCAGAGGCATCATAGAAGCAAGTCGGATCCGAACGCGCCGAGGACTTCGAAAGTCAAGGCTCGTAAAGATGGTGAAAGTGATAGCGACGCTGGAAGTCGTTCCTCCAAGCGCAGAGGCTTTCCGGACGAAAAACCACACCGGCACTCTCAACGTCAGGCAAGTGATCAGCTGAGACCACAGAGGCAACCTGGCATGTTGATAGTACCCTCGGATCTGTTCGATCAGTATCAGACGCTCAACCTAGAGCGGCCTCCTCCTCGTCCCCCGAAAATTCCACTAGACCCGCAGCCTCGCACCCGACAGCGGCGCAAAGAGGTTCGCCCTGTGTCGACAATGACATTTATGACAGCCAGTACAAAGATTGGCGAGATCCCCGAGACTCATTTGCAAAGCCAGTCACTCCCAGCCGAGGAGTTGGGGTCGAGGAGGGTGGCATATCCCGTACCTTCGCCCCTAGAGGACGACCAGCCTAGGAAGAGGAAAGGCTTCAAATTTTGGAAGAGGGAAGACAAAGGCCGAGATACCGCTGTCCACTAAGCAGTCGAAAACGATAAATGATATGGGGTGAACGAGCAATGGCGTTGGTGGTCAGTGAAATTTCAAGATAGTACAGCTGTGACGAAGTGATGACGACCTTTCGTAATGATACTCATCTATAAGTTGTCGACGGCATTCGACTATTTGCATTCCAAGTTTCATCATTCTCCGCGATTGCAAAGATTAATTATCCTTGAATGAGAAGAGACGTGGAGTTTGTAGCGATTTTCTCGGGTCTTGTAGTGGAAGCTCAAGCCTCAGCCTCGTCACAAAACCCGCCCAAATTTTATTCCCGGCCTTCAACGAGGCTACCACTACAATACGACAACATCAACAACACGAACATCAACCTGCTCCATACTCGCTTTGGCTTGCGACATGGCGGCGAATCCGATCCCCGTTCCCAAGCCCGGCGAGGGTGAGCCCATCGTCTTTTTCGACATTACACTGGGTGGTAGGTCCTCTCCGCCTTCTTCCCATCCATGATGATTGGATAGTTTGCACACTTCGAAATCTACAATCACTTTTGAAAAGCACAATGGGACATACGAAGCTGCTGAAGCACCATTGCCCGGTAGATTCCACGTTCTCAACTACAGCACCTCTTGCAAGTTGCCAAAAGAGTTGCATAGAGTCTTCGAGCAATTCCATTGTTCTCCCCCAAAATCCCGTCAGCCTGGACTTTGTTTTCCATCAAGACTCCTTTATGCTTTCTGGACGTTACAGTTTACTGATCGTACCGTCAATTCCACAGGAGAATCATTGGGCCGGATCAAAATGCACCTCTTTGCCAACACCGTCCCAAAAACTGCAGAGAACTTCCGCCAATATTGCACAGGCGAACATCATGTCAACGGCCGACCGCAGGGGTACAAGGGGAGTAAATTTCATCGCGTGGTACGTATGAGATGACCAAAGACCTTCAGTATGGCCTTGCCTCCCGATTTCTTCCTCTTCGTCCTGTCTAATGACCAGTGAACATTGTGGCCGCGACGCATGGCAGTTCCGACACCTGGGTTGCAGTTTCCTTTCATTTTACCCTTCTGCATCCTGACGCTCCTTGTTTCACAACCTCAGATTGAAAGCCCTGTTCATCATGTCGATTCCCTACACTGTGCCACGCGGTGCCTGTCTAACGTCCAACCTTGCTGACCTTCTCGGCCAGATCAAAAACTTCATGATTCAGGGCGGCGACTTCCTGCACTCCGACGGCACCGGCTCTACTTCGATCTACCACAACAGCTCTTTCCCGGACGAGAACTTCACGCACAAACACACTCGTCCGGGCCTGTTGAGCATGGCCAACTCCGGGCCCGACACGAACGGGTGCCAGTTCTTTATCACGTGTGCGCCGACGCCGTTCCTGGATAACAAGCACGTCGTGTTCGGCCAGGTCGCGGACGAAGAGAGTATGAACGTTGTCAGGATGATTGAGAATACGAGGACCGCTGGGCCAGGAGGCCGGGGGCAAGGGGAACGGCCGGTGTTGGATGTCAGGGTCAGTGAGTGTGGGGAGATGTAGCTGGATCTACGCTGCTAGATTAAGAGGGTACGCACGCGGACCATTGAAGGAGAGGAAGCACGTTGGGAAATGAAGCCTTGTGGCACGAGTGAGAAGCATGCGGGGTGGGTTTAGAAGGGCACTGGTTGACATGGTGTGCTGATGTTCAAAAAGGTGATATGCTGGAGCGTCCTGTGTATTATGTAACAGCGCGTCACGTGATAAGGACTTTCCGATCCCGGTTTCTCCCTAGTCTTTCTTGTCGCTGCTCCTTCTCCGCAAATGGCAGAGCGTCATCGTCAAAGACGAACCCGACTATCACTTTCCACCGTCATGGTCCTCGTTTTGCTCGATCCCACGGGCCAGGCCACGGCAAAATGGACAGATTCAAATACCAGACCATGGCCCCGCTGTCCGTCACTGAGAACTCGGCAAGTTTCTTACTCGTGCCGCTGTTTCCCATTCCATTGTCTTGTTTCATTTCAAGTCTCTCTTTCAACGGCTAATAGTCCTTGTGACTCTTCCTGGTCTTAAGGCGTTTCTCTGCTCCTCTTGTCCTTGAGTTGCAGCCGATCGGCATTGCATCATGAGATATCAAACCCTCCGGTTTACCATGTTTTACCAAGAGCCGAAGAATGAAAGTAGGACCTTACAAAATGCGCAACCGTTAGGAACTTCATCCTCGGCATCCAGCCTGCGCTCTTCCAACTCAAGTGCCTCTTTGTTGTCACGACATCCCACTTCCCTCGCGAATTCGCAGAGCAGGGACATTGCAGATTCCAGGAAAACTCCATGATAAGAGCAAGGAGATCTTGGAAACAGAAGGAAGACACACCACCAAAACACATACCTCGTTCCGCTTCACCAGGATATCTGCTGGTATGACTACCGGGGTGCAAACGGTCTCATGGAGCGATACATCTTGATCCTCGCAAGTCAACCAGACTGGATTCCTGCCGTCTCAAGGCTGTTGCTGCGATCCGTGCCGACCATGGGCTCTTGCGCCTCATCACTGGCTATGGATGTGACTGGTTACCTCAGACAGAGTGTACCAGTATAACGCAGAAGCCATCCCTCCACCCGACCTGGAACTTCAGAGGATATGCAACGATCAAGGGGTTTCGTGTTGGCAACGATTGTTGATGAGAAGAGATGAGGACAATGCGACAGGTAAAATCGCTAAATGCAGCGATACTTGAATGTAATATGCAGCGAAGGGCGCCAAGAGCAAATGACGGATGAAATTTAGTGATACCTTTTTGACGGGCTTTGATTGGATTTTTGGGAATGATTATGTACATACTCGACAGGACTTGTGTCAATGAACAGAAGCAACAACACAATTAAAAGTCAAACGGTCTCGTGAGCCGCAAAGCCATGATCATTTTGATCTATTATCACATGCCCCGGATTCTAGCCCCAGGGTGACCACTGACCACTGACCTGGTCACCATAGGCGTTCAAGGACGACCAACCCGGGCACGCCCAAGTCAGACAGTCAAGGTGGACCGAGCAGATGACAGCCGGCAAAATCGAAGCATGTGAATTTTGTGAAGTGCGAGTCGGAATGAGCTGCGTGGGGGAGTGACCCTCATCACCCTCTCAGATTTGGGGTAACCTGGGCACCTCTCAGGCTTGACCCTCCAGGCTCTGTGGTGGCGGAGCGAACAGCGAGCCTTTTGACTTGCCCTGGGCTCTCGGAAGTCTGAAGTAGGAAATTTGGCCCGAAGAGTGAGAGTGCGGCAATTGAAGCATCGGCAACATTGACGAAGTAGCTGGACTGGTATGGCGTTATATAGAATAAAAGTTCTCTCCCTCCAAGTGTGAAAGATTCACCCTTACTTCGATCTACTTACAGGTGTGGTTTTCTAGGAAGAGACCGGACCAGGAATCTGTTTATAGGCTACTCGGACGAGTCGGTTCTGGGCACCAGTCAGACAGAAGATATTGCACATTCTCTCTTTGAAAAGAGCCGAGGTCCGTGGGGATCACTGCACACTGTCACAGTGGTTGCCATCGTGTCGTCTAGGATATCCATCTATTGTCCATCCAATCGTTCAGGTGATCCTTCATTACCTCAAATACCCAATTCCCTTCCTCTTCACCTTCGAAGCCTCTTACACCTGTTCTCGCCTCTCCGATCACCTTTCTTCATCCTTTCACAATGACTCCTCCACGTGTGATTGTTGTCGGCGGTGGCTGTAAGCATCCTGCCCCCTCCACTACCCTTGTCCTACAGTTAGCTGATCATGAAATCTAGTGTCCGGTCTCAGCGCAGCTCATACTGTCTATCTAAATGGTGGCAGCGTCCTTCTCCTCGACAAGAACAGTAAGCTTTTCCTGACACTCCGCATCCGCACACCGCAAGACTAATGCCATCCGCAGACTTCTTTGGCGGCAACTCGACCAAAGCCACCTCCGGTATCAATGGTGCTCTCACACGATCGCAAGTCGACCTGGGAATCCAGGACAGTGTCAAGCAGTTCTACGAAGATACTCTGAAGTCAGCTCGTGACAAGGCAAGACCAGACCTGATCCGAGTCCTTACATATCAATCCGCAGCTGCCGTCGAATGGCTGCAAGATGTTTTCAACCTCGACCTTACACTCGTTTCTCGGCTTGGGTATGTCGGATCTGAATTTGTATAACAAGAGGCTAATAAGTCAATCAGTGGCCACTCCTTTCCCCGAACGCATCGTGGTCACGATGCCAAATTCCCGGGTATGGCCATCACCTACGCCTTGATGCAGAGACTCGAAGAGCTGTGCGAGTCGGATCCCGAGCGAGTCCAGGTCATCAAGAAGGCCAAAGTGACGTCTCTGAACAAAGAGGGCAACCTAATCACCGGCGTGAAATACGAGTTCGGCGGCGAGACGCACTCGGTTGACGGCGTTGTCATTCTTGCGACTGGCGGGTACGCGGCCGACTTTTCCGAGACATCACTCTTGAAGAAACACAGACCCGATACGTTTGACTTGGCCTCAACCAACGGCACACATGCCACCGGTGATGGCCACAAGATGCTGATGGCGATTGGCGCAAACGACATCGACATGGACAAGGTCCAAGTTCATCCCACTGGTCTCGTCGATCCCAAAGATCCCGGCTCCAAGTGGAAGTTCTTGGCTGCTGAAGCCCTCCGGGGCGAGGGTGGTGTTCTCTTGAACAGTGATGGCAAGCGCTTCTGTGACGATTTGGGTCACCGTGATTACGTTTCGGGCAAGATGTGGGAAGAGAAAGAGAAGGGCAAGTGGCCCATTCGACTGGTCCTCAACTCCAAGGCATCCAACGTGCTTGATTTCCACACTCGACACTATTCTGGCCGTGGCTTGATGAAGAAGATGACCGGTAAAGAGCTGGCCAAGGAAATTGGCTGCGGCGAAGCCGCCCTTGACGAGGAGTTCAAGTCTTACAATGACATTGCCGAAGGCAAGAAGAAGGACACTTGGGGCAAGAAGTATTTCCACAATTTGCCATTGGATATCAACGATACTTTCCACGTGGCCATCATGGAACCCGTCTTGCACTTTACCATGGGTGGTATGGAGATCAACGACAAGGCTCAAGTGCTGAACAAGGAGCAGAAGCCGTTCGATGCTCTTTTCGCATGCGGTGAGCTTGCTGGCGGTGTCCACGGTGCAAATCGACTCGGTGGTTCGTCACTTCTTGGCTGTGTGGTTTATGGTCGCGTTGCCGGTGCTTCTGCATCACAATACTTGTTCCAGAAACTCACAGCTGGTGGTGCTACTGGCGCTTCTCAGCGTCTGGGTCAGATATCGCTGCACATCGACCCCAACACTCCTGGAAAGGTCTCTGTTGAATGGGGTAGCGGGGCTTCGGGTGCTTCGGCTTCGGCTGGCACCCCAGCGATCGCACAGCAGTCTCAAAAGAGCGCTGCCCCGGTGATGGACGGCAATAAGAGCCAAGATCCTGGCAAGAAGAAGGACACCAACGACATCAGCAACTTCAAGGTTCCAGAGAAGGAGTACACTTTGGAAGAGGTTGCCAAACACAACAAGAAGGACGATCTATGGATTGCCGTCAAGGGGGTGGTGATGGATGTTACCAACTGGCTAGATGAGCATCCAGGTGGCCCTCAAGCATTGTTCAGCCATATGGGCAAAGATGCCTCAGAAGGTAAGTCTAGGTCTGTTATCGAGCCGACTATCAGCTAACGTTGTGGCAGAATTCGAAATGCTTCACGATGATGAAGTCATCCCGAAGTACGCTGCCGACATTGTCATCGGACGCGTAAAGGGTCAAGAAGTGCGGCTAGAATACTAGACGATGTGTCGCATGCTTCACATAGCGTTTTGGATAGTTCTGGGAAGGAAAGGAGCATCATGAGCACGTAGGCCTTTTGTGAGGCTTGTTGAAAATATAATCCGTCCTTTAACCACCTGTTTCTCTACATGGCATTTCTCCTAGAGTACTGTGAATACATGTCGCATGCCTCCTCATGCAGGGAACCAGCGAGCCAGTCCACTTTTTCAGTCGGGGAATTGATCTTGAAAATGACGCTAATCACGCCGCTTTGCCTCTCCACGATTCACATCCAAACCACCACCACAGAGACTGATGCGCCTACCTTCTGTCTTGTCTTCCGCGCGGCTTCATTTTCACGTAGACATTGAGCAAGTCCATATCCACACGAGGCACTTAGACATACTGGAGTCACTTACTGTCACAGGTAAGGAGCGCCTGAATGCCATCCCTCATTGATCTGTGCGTTGTGCATGCGACCTCGTTCACGATCAAAGCCACGCACATCCACGCCGCAGTCACAATCATCTCACGCCCTCTTTGGCAACTATCGTGTTGATGGAGAGTTCTTGTTGGGTGTTGGCGCCGAGTCGTGGCCATGGACCTCTGACCTTTCTGGTTCCTGCGCGCATTTTGTTCGAAGGATTAGGCTGATATGCTAATCATGCTTTCATTGTTCAGACACAAGTTTGCCTTCACTTTTCACGCGCCTCATATCGACCACAGCACAATAATCTCGGCGTCTCCAAGAGTCGGGCGTTTCTGTTTTCTCCTAGTTAACCCTCTTCAAGATGGACCGACGAGAAGTCCTATCGAAAGGCTCTGCGCTGCAGAAGGCCATTGCCGCGAAAGAGCCCTCAGAAAACATCATGACCGTATTACGCGACCTCAAAGCGAATGTCAGGCCCACGGAAGAATTGTTAAGAGCTACGGGAATTGGCAAGATCGTGAATAAAGTCAAAGGCGTTCCCAACCTGGACCCGCAAGTCGCACAACTGGCCTCCGAGATAATAAGCAGATGGAGACATGTGGTTAACGAGCAAAAGCTGGCAAGCGGCACTTCCACACCAACCGGCGTCCGAACAAATGGCACAAGTTCTCCAGCTCCCAAGGCAGCGACACCCACCCCGAAAGCGGCCAGCCCAGGTGTTGCACCGGACAAGCGGAATTGGAAGGCCGACAAGATCCGTCGCGACGAGATTACGAGCGATCCTGCACGGAACAACTGCATTTGCCTCATCTACGACGGTCTCTGTCTAGGTTCCGAGCTGCCGGTGAAGCAAATCCTCGAGCTAGCCCAGCAAGTCGAATCTGCCGCGCTCAACCTGCCCGAGGCCAAGGGCTCGTCTAGTTCGCCTGTGTACAAGGACAAGGTCCGCTCGCTGTACCAGAATCTCAAGAACAAATCGAATCCGGGCCTCAGGAAGCGCATTTTGATCGGCGAGGTCACAGCAGCCCGATTCGTCACCATGACCCACGAGGAGATGAAGTCAAAGCAGCAGCGGGAGGAGGATATGAAGATTGCGAAGGAAAACATGGACAAGGCGATGGTCGCGCAGGAGGAGAAGAGCGTCAGTACGAGTCTAGAGTGCGGCAAGTGTCACCAGAAGAAGGTCAGTTACTCGCAGGCGCAGACGAGGAGTGCCGATGAACCGATGACAACGTTTTGCGAGTGTATGAACTGTGGCAATAGGTGGAAGTTCTCTTAGGAGATCGAACTTGGCTCGCGCTTGCTCTGATATTCGCTGGGATACCTCGGCCTGCTTCGCTGCTTGTGACGGAATGGTACTTGGTTCTCCGGCTGGGCTGGGCTGGCTTCACTCGACTTGTGGGAATGCGCGAAACAGACAAGATGTACACAGCACTCTCCTTGGGCCACTTCGGCAGGCTCGTTGCGTTGGAGGGCATGGTATGGCTTGATATCGTGCTGAAATAACAGGCTTGGCCTTGATGTCGCATGTGCGTTTTGGAGGCACAGTTCCTTGGCCCGTCGCTACTCACCTTCCAATGGCGTGGACATTTAAGTACGCTGAAATGTCTGTTATGGAGCTGTGGACCGCCCCTACTACTGGGGTTGAGGTCGGAAAAGGGTCAAAGTCAGAGAGATTCCTACGAGAGTAGATGGAGCTGCTATGGGGGTTATTGTTACCTTGGAACTATCGGGTGGCATTACAGGTTAGCTCTCGTGGTTGAGGAGTTGTTCTGCTGTCACGTACCTAGATAAGATGGGCAGAAAGCTAAGAGGACGTCCTCAACAGCTTTACCCATCAACAGCGGGAAGGCAGCAACCACCACGTCTACTAGCAACACTACTACGTATGGCACTCTCGCCTCGGACGAACTGGCACGGTCAGCCTTGGGCGGCTTGTCCCCATTATATAATGCCCCCATACCTTCACCGGCCTTTCCGTAGATGCTACCATTCCCCATAGTCGGTGCGCCTATCAACGTTGCAACCCTACGATGAAATGACTCACGAGCTTTGAATACTTAGGTAGGTAGGTGAGGCTGCTGAGGCTAGTCCGAACTAACCTTGGGAGTCTTAAGCCTGTATGAAGATCGATCTCATCGACAGTCGTAACCCTTTCCATGTCGGAGGAATCTGAGCATATGTTGCGCAAATACAAGCGGACGATTTACCACGAAGAGGAATACTCTCTGGGCAATACCAACTACGTAACAATCAGAGCCACACCTACTTACCGCTACTCCGACCAACATGACTCTGAAGCTTCGCGAGCTTTCACCGTCTGTCTCAGCAGTCTCGGCTCTCATCCCTACAATCGCACGGGTTCATCTCGCAGCATGGCTGACCAACACACTATACCGAACGATCTACTATGGCCCGCCGTCCAGCCATGCTGCTATCATCGAAGCTAACCGGCAGCGACACATGCAGAACTTTACCTCGAATCCAAACGCTCGGTTTGTGGTGATCTTGGACGACACCATTGGCAATGACGGGAATCCAGATCACCCTGCGGCAAGCCAACTCATTGCATGGGCAAAGTACGACATATTCGCGACTCCTGATGCGGCGGAGTCACGACAAGACACAGGAAAGCGCACTTGGCCTCCCTACACGAACGTCGCGCTGGTGAATCATTTCTGGGACATGTTGGTCATTTCCCGCCAACAAAACAGCAAAGCGATCGGAGCTCACATCAGTGTCGACCTGCTCGCCACAGATCCAGTTCATCACCGTCGCGGAGCAGGTCGCATGCTGATGCAATATATCGCCAAGAAGGCTGATGAAATGGGCCTGCCTGCTACGGTTGAAGGTAGCCCCGAGGGCATAAAGCTTTACAGATCTGTAGGATTTGAGCCAGTGAATGAATTCTGGGTTGACCTGCTACGGTTCGAAGGTGGTGAGGATAAAGGTGAAGAGTGGACGGAGGACCAGGGCAGGACACTCGGACAAGGCCCAGGTTGGTATAAGCAGGTTGCGATGGTTCGACAGCCTGCGAGACTAGAATGATATACCGAATCGCTGAGCGATTAACTCATATTCTGCTGGACCTGGGCTAACCGGTGCCATCACGCCAAAGGGTCTTTTACTCGCATCAGTACGACGTTGCTATCAATATGCCTAGAGCCCTTCGTAGACGATTATTCCTCTCCGGATATGACCGCAGAGCTCGCATGAAGTGGCGGGCATAGAGCTCCCCACGATTGGCTCCCTAGAGAATTCTGGTCCAGATTATACCAGTCATCATCAGTGCTCGTAAGATGGTGACTCAGAAGCAGCAAGCGTCCCGGCAACGATGATGTGGAGGATCTGCATTATCAGCTTATTTCGGGCAACACGCAGCCGTTTTTGTTGAACTACAGTATCACCTCGTTCCGCGACCTTTTTCCTCCTGGGTGCCCTGTGTTCTGAAGCAAGTCCTATATCTGGATAATTGGCAATCATCTCGAAGCATAGGTAGGAGAGATTTGTCACACAGCTACGTCCAAAGGGACGAAAATCCCCAAGACCAGTTCCCGCGAATGAAAAAATGCGGTGAGAGGAAGAATTCAGAATCCATTCACACACAATGGACGAAACTCAACCTCTTCTCCCCGAAATCATCACCAACCAGCAACCGAAACACCACGACAAACATGTCGTCGACTTCGATCCCGCCGGCGACAGCGAGAACCCTCAAGACTGGCCCCAAGCCTACAAATGGGGCATCGTCGCCTTACTCGCCTTCATGGCCTTCACAGTGTGCGTTCCCCTCCCAGCCACCTTTGCATACCATATACTCCGTCACCTCCTCAAACACCCATACATACCCCTCCATACCTGGTGTCTAACACTTCCTAGAACATTCACATGTATATCCGTGGTCCCCGTCGCCAACAGGATCGTCACCGACCTTTCCGGCGGCCACTCCAGCAAATCCGCGAGCGTGTTGCTCGTCACGATCTGGGAACTTGGCGAGGCGGGCGGTCCCCTCTTGATCGCACCACTGTCCGAACTCTTCGGGCGCTATCCTGTCATGAACGCGGCCAACATTGGCTTCATATCCGCAACGGTCCTGGCCGCCCTGTGCCAGAGCACCCCTCTGTTCATCGCCGCACGTGCCCTGACCGGTCTGGCCGTCGCGTCCAACGTGCTCAACCCGGCCATCGTGGGCGACATGTTCATCTCGGAACAGCGCGGCTCGGCCATGAGCGCCATCATGCTCGCGCCGCTCATCGGAGGGGCCATCGGTCCGGCCATCAGCGGCGCCATCGCCCAGTCTCTCGGCTGGCGCCAGGTCGTGTGGATGAGCGTCATCCTGGCTTCCATCTGCGAGGTCCTGTTCCTCACCTGCTTCCGCGAGACGTACAAGGTGCCCATCCTCCGACGGAAAGCCGCGAAATTGCGACAGGAAACCGGCAACATGTCACTCCGCACGGCGTTCGACATCGACGACGATGGCAAGTCGAGTTCGAAAACGACCAAAAGGAAAACGCGATCAAAAACACAATTCTGGGAATCCATCATGCGGCCCATCGTCGTCTTCGCCGACTCGAGCGTGCTCCAGGCCCTCGCGCTGTACGGCAGCCTGACCTTCTCGTACTTCTACATGATGAGCACGACCTTGCCAGATATATTGCAGGGCATATACCACCTCTCACCGGCGCTGACAGGCTCGTCATTTATTGTCTTCAGTACGTCCTTCCTCCTCCTCCTCCTCCTCCACTCCATTCAATGGAAACCACTCCGTAGGTCCCATGGCTAACCCGTCCATAGGTATCGGCTCCGCCATCAGCGTCGTGATCTGCAACCTCCTCCTCGACCGGATCTACATCCGCCTCCGCGACTCACCGCACAACAAGAAGGCCAGCGGGGGCACCGAACAACCCGAACACCGCCTCCCGCTCGTGATCGTCGGCGCCTTCACCATGCCGTTCGTGGTGGCCTGCTACGGCTGGATCCCGGCCCTACAACTCCCGCTGCCCGTGTTGCTGGTCTGTGTCGGCGCGCTGGGCACGACGCTCTTGCTCGGCTTCTTGCCGCTGATGGCGTACGTGGTCGACGCGTTTCAGTTGTACTCGGCCTCGGCCATGACCGCCGTCATTGTCATGAGATGCCTGATCGCCACCTTCTTGCCGCTGGTCTCGGAACCTCTGGTGCGCACGCTCGGCTGGGGTTGGGGCTTCACCGTGCTGGCGGGCGTGAGTCTGTGTTGTGCGCCGATCCCCGTGTTGGTCTTCAGGTACGGCTCGAAATGGCGGCAGCGGTCGAAATATACGCGTCAAGAGTAGCGTCACGGTTCACCACAGCGTTATCGATAGACCCGCGGGAGAATCGCCTTTGGAAGATAAAGATAAGGAACATCGGGACCATCGTGGACCGATTTGGCAGGCCGGGATCACCCTTGCCAATTTCATGCGGTGTTGGATAAACAAACGTTCGACAGGGATATAGAGAACCGGGCTAGATGTGCACCGGGATATGTGGTGGATGCGACCGCAAAAGATCTAGATCATTGGATTTTAGAGCTTAATGGTATATACAATGATATGTAAGACTGAGCGCGAATGAAAAAAAGAAGGAATACGGTTACAGAAGCTCGAGTTTTCAGACATCATGGACATTGCAGACCTATAGTGAAGACATTACGTACCGGTCTACAACCCCAGACGACAGAGCGTGTCCCGCTATGGTTTTGATTTTCAACCACCTTCCTTTATGCGACGTCAAAATGAAAAGAATGGGTCCAAGAATAAAGGCAAAAGGTGCACGGCGTGATACATATTCCAATCTCTAACCTCCAACACACCACCTCAAGCTTTCAAGTACTACCAGAAGGTGTCATCAATTCTCGTACGAGGAAGAGCAAGAGCCGGAGCAGGTGCCCTTGTACGAGATTTGGCCGTAGCCGGCGCCAGCGACGCCACCGAGGCCGTTGGTCTGCCAGCAGATGTGGTAGTCGCCGCCGCAGGATGCAGCATCGTCACACCAGATGGTGGCCGTGCACTTGTCGTTGTTGTCGCAGAGAGCCAAGCACTCAGCAAGGGAGTCGACCGCGGCACCCGAGTCTTTTTGGAAGAAGGTAGGGTTGGTGGAGGTGTCGGCGTGGACAGCGCAGTTCACGGAGAACTCGCAGCCGCAGGAGCCACCGCCGGAGACGTCCTTGCCGTTGGATGCTGGGCAGGAAGCAGCAGCAGCCGCGCTGGTGGTGGTAGTAGTGGTGGTGGTGGTTGTGGTGGGCTTGCCTGAGGTGGGCGCAGCGGTGGTGCTGGCCTCGCTGGAGGTCCAGTCGAGCCAGGTGGGGTCGACGCTGGTGGTGGTGGCCTTAGTAGTCGTGGTGGTGGTGGTCCAGTCGAGCCAGGTTGGATCAACGCTGGTGGTCGTGGTCTTCTTAGTTGTGGTGGTCGTGTCCCAGTCCGCCCAGGTAGGGTCAACCCAGGTGGTGGTGGTGGCCTTCTTGGCAGGGGTGGTAGTGGTCTTCTTGGTAGTTGTGGTGGTCCAGTCGCCCCAGGTTGGGTCGGCAGAGCTGGCGGTGGTGGTGCTCGTCCAGTCAGCCCAGGTTGGGTCAACAGAGCTGGAGGCGGTGGAAGACGACCAGTCACCCCATGTTGGATCTGCGACCCAGTACCAGTCGCCAGTGATGGTCTCGGTGACGACCTTGCAGACCGGCTCGGCGAGAACAGTGGTTGCCAGAACGGCAGAGGCCAAGACGGCGCTGGTGTATTTGACCATGATGTCTGATTAGAGTGGTTGTTTGGTTCAAAGAGTGACTAGAGCTCGACGCGAGAACTCTGGAGGAACCGACTTGGTGGTGTAAAGAACGTGAGGACACAAAGGTCGATTGCGATTGGAAACAGTAACAGTCTTTCGGGACAGAGGGAAGGAAGAGGCAGGAGAGGAGAGATATAGTGTCGTGTTATTTATGGTCATAGCTGCCAATTTCCTGTATACAGCGGAAAAGGTTAACTCACCTGATGGGGGCTAGACAGCTGCTTGACATCTGTGGTCCCGTTCTTTTTCTGGTCCAGAAAAGTCCCACTCACGTCACCGTGGTCCAATTCGAGGGCGCGAAGAAACAAACGTGGTAGGACGTTGGACTGGAGTAAATTGCTTTGGGGACATGTTCGCATCCTTGGGGTCGATACCCCCCTGACTACCAAGACGAGTCTGCCGGTGGCTGACTATGAGAGGCTGACTAGAAGACGATTCCGCCCCAAAGAGGCATTTAGCGGGAATGGCACCCTAGCTGAGATTGCCGTAGTAGTCGCAGCATCGGACTTGCATGCCTGTGGCGGTTCGACGGAGACTCGGCAAAAGCCTCTTAGGTGCCTCTTGGTTCTGTGTCTTAAAGCCACGGGTGCTACGGAGTACTGGCGCAGTAGTAGGAGAGTCGCGAGGCGCGTGGATAATGAGTTTTGGGATGTGATAGATGTGTCACGGACGGCAGGGCCTGTCGAAAAGCACGGATCGGCAAATTGACAGCGTGGTAGGCTTGTATTGCAGAAAGGAGAAGGATTGGATCCGAGACGACGAGTGGACTGTTCAGGGGGAAGTTGAGGGAGGTCACAGAGAGGATGATAGAGGTCAGTGAGAGGTCGGTGGAGGTGGAAGACCGGCGGGTGCCAAGCAACGCAATCTTACCTAGGTAATGTGGTGGATTTCTCTACATAAGTTAGTTACAAGAGATGTGGAAGAGATTCAGCCCGGCGTCCCGTAGTCTCCCTTCTCGTGTCCTCTTTTCTTGATTAAGCAACTCTTACCATGACACTGCCTGACTGGTCCATGATGCAAGCAGGTGGCAAGCAATTTCATTTTACCATCGCCATCGCCATCGCCATCACCATCACTCCGGTACCGACGAGTCTAGCCAGGCCTCTACAGTACCAGATCAGCGAGGTTGATCTCGCTTTGATCCCACGTGTTGGACCGAGGCTGGACGTTCTCAACGTTGTTGTTGGTAGTGGTCTCAGCAAGCTGAAGGATTTCGAATCCTCAAATACTTCCAGACTCCAGGGGACGATGCCTCATAATTGGATCCTCTTCTGCTTGGTAGTCCTTGGAAGCTCCCTCCGTGGACGCAGGCGGATTGGGCCTTTGCTTCGGCCGCCATCTTGTAACAATCCTCATTGAGTATGTCGGTGATGTAGCCGCGATGCCACTTTCTGGCCAATTGGTACCCTACCCCTTGACTGATTAGGCGGGCTTCGGGGGCCAATCGTGTAGAAGACTGGTAAACAGCTCGTTGCCTTCGACGTGCCCTTCCTGTTGAGCAGAGATCTCTCAGCGCTCTTCATCATGTCGTAGTGTGCCGTGAGTGTATGAAAATTGTGCGACACGGGCTCGACGGCCACTCTCGTCGAAATCAATGTCATCGACATCTCAGCCGCTTCTCGCCTGTGACACTCGGCTCCGCCTTTTTCACATGCCTGCTCCTCCTCCACCACCGACCACACTCCGCATTTTTCATGTAAACAACAATGCGGTCCAGCCATATCCGATATAGCCAAGCATAGTTATTTCCTCTTGTATGTGAATCCTACCTTTCATTCATACCTGCCGAGCTCCTCGAGGTCATGCTCCGCCGCAAGCCCACCGCCCTCACCATAACCTCCGAAGACATCGCTTCGTTTGAAGAACAACTGTCCCGCAAAGTTGCGTACGCACGATACTTGAAGACTGGAGAAGATCCCGAGGGCCTCTTCCGCAGTGGAAGTGGTCGCCAACCAGGGGAGCAAGAGACGCAGATGGACATGCATATCACGGGTGAACAGCGGGATGCCAGCAGTGTCGCTGGCGCGGGCCCAGGCGCAATTGATCCGAACGACGAGTTGAAGCCGCTGCCGGGTGACAAGGCCCGGATCGTGAGGAGTCGGGAGGATCGAATCATGGGGGCCGGGAGTGGTGCGAGATGAACAAACGAATTGGCCGTTGGGAAAGGCAAACCGAACAAGGCCATAACTCGCCATCTATTGAATGATATGTCATCTACGCCTGCATACCGGCGAGGCCAGGCTACAAGCCGTACCATCTGGCTCGATTTTGGTCCGATAAGACGACTGGTATGGCCAACATGCCGCTGGGAGCTTGACACTGCATGAAATGGGTGAAGCATGAGAGTTTGCAATGAGTCGAGGGCAACGTGTAAAAGCTGGGCAAGATAGAGTGCAGGAGAAGCAAACGACTGGGACGCTTCCGAGAGCGAGCATGTTCAGGGTCTTCATTTGATGCTGCTCCATTTGAGAGTCAAATATGCACAGGCACGCAGTACGATATCCACTCAATTGCAGTAGATCGTGAGCAGGTAGGACTCGACAGCAGCATCATTGATGAATTCTATGCAGTCGCCCTATGATCCTGAATCAATATTGATACAAGTTGAGCAACTTCATTCCTGTTTGTCCTCCTCCACCCGTGGCTGCTTCGAATCCGTTCCGTCACCACTTGTCGATTGCTGCCCCTGTCCCTCTTCGGTTATCGTCTCCATTCTGTCCGCACTTTGTGGTTCTTGCTCTTCACGCGCTCTCCGCTCTCTTTCCAGTCGGTTCTGTTCTTCTTCCATACTCATGCGCAGGGCCATTGCAAGCTCTGGGTCTGCCGCTGGGTCCACACCGAACTCGAAGCCACCACCCCCACTAGCGCCGCCGGTTTCGACACCTTCCATACCACTTCCCCCAGCGCCTGCGTCTCCACCCATGTTGACAATGGGTGTCGTAATGAGGCTGTCGCTAAGTAGGCCGGGTCCAGGAGGAATCACAGCGAGATAGTTTCCTTCACCGGCAGGACCGCCAACAGCTTCTATGAATTTCTCCAATATTGATTTTGTGTTGGACTCGATCGCATCACCGAAGGCCACAAAGTCCACAGAAACATTGTTCTTCTTGCATTTCTTCGCCAGCTTCACCAGCTCTTTCTCGGTATCGTTCTTGTCTCCAAACTTCTGATCCAGCTCACTGCAGATCAGGACCACGACTCGTTGACGCTGGCTCTTGTTGGCTCTGTGTTTGAGGGCTAGCATCGCCACACTGATTGCTGTTCCTAATCTTATGTGTCCCTTGATCTTCGTCTCGTGTAGACCCGCCAGGATGGCACCAAAGTTCGTAGTGGGAGTGTTCAGGATGGTAGGGCCGGTTCCTGCCATGGACATTAGTCCGACAGCGGACTCCGGATTTGATGATGTCTTCGCATTGAAGATGAGTGAGGCAGCTTCGGATTGTGCAGAAAATCGGTTCGGTCTGGCGTCAAGTAAGCAGATGCGCATGTTCACAATGTCTGAGACCATACAAATAGTCGCCGTTCCGGCTCGCCTCACTGTTGTCCACCACGATCATCGTAGCCTCGAGCACCATGACGGCGGTGTTGAGCTGTGATGGTTGAACGAAGGAGGCGCTGACTTGACACTAAGACCGAAGATGTGAATGTTGGGTTGGATAAGTACGTCCAGTTGCGAAATCACTGAAGAGCGATAAAGCGTAGCAAAGAGTCTTTGATCAATCAAATGAGCAGGTACTGGAGATGATCGCGGAAGGCCACTGGGGCAAGGCCTCCAAACACGTCAATAGCCTTGCAGCCTTGGCGGCCCAGGAACGAGGCTGCACTACGGATTCGACCTACTTCAACATTTTGGTACTTACCTGGTATGTCCAAGGACAAGGACAGTCTCGCAGCAAGCGAACGGGACGATTTGTGAATGGCCTTTCACGCACCACGCTTATCACGAGATATGATACTGCCTTGAAGTCCAATTACCCGACCGCATCGCGGTCCTCCTCTCCATCACCATGTAAGCCGGCTCCAGTATCCTCCTCGTGCGCCAGCATTGGCAGAACAAGACCTAACACTTTCATCTCGTAGGCCCGTCTTCGCTCTCATGGTCATATCCAAAGCCGGCTCCCTGATCTACCACCGTACCTTTCCGACCTCTGCTCCTGGGGGCGCAACAAACTCCACACAACCCCAGCAGACCGTGGGCACATTGGGTCTCCCTGGGACCAGCACGCTGACCACGAACGACTACCTCGTACTCGCCGGCACATTCCACGGCGTCCACGCCATCACGCGATCTCTCACACCGAAGCTACCGGTCACATCCTCCGCGAGCTCGACCGGGCGGACCTGGACATATCCCGACCCGACTGCCGCTCCGTCTGGCATTGAATCACTCGAGTCCTCGTTCTTTCGATTGACAGTGTTCCAGACACTCACGGGAACGAAATTCCTCCTGTTCACGGACCCGAGCATGCCAAATACGGATGTTCTCATGAAGGGCATTTACGATCGATACGCAGACTTTGTGTGCAAGAATCCCTTCTGGCAGATGGAAATGCCCATACGTATTGATGCTTGGGAGCGGAGTCTGGCGCAATGGTTGACGCGGCGGTGATAAGACCATCTCACACAAGAAACCTCAGATGATTTAGAAAACACCAACATCAGTGCCCAGCTGAATCCCGAGGCCGCTTTGCCTTATAATTCGAGGGCAGCCAGGGAAGGATGCCCCGGCCACCATCCCCGGACCGGTGGCTGCCTGCTTCTACGGAATGTCTCGATGAGCAGAATCTCTCCCACATCAGGGGCCATGTCACCAACGTCCAATAGCACATGGCACCCGCAAGCAAGGTGCGGCGATTCGTACACCTCAGATATCCGCGAAAAGGCCTCGCAGCACAACCCCATTTTCAACACCAGCACGAGCGCGAGATATTGCAAATTGCCCTCGCCATTGCAAGCCGTTGCCATGGAAAACAAGCAGACCGACACACCAGTCGCAGTCATCCGATCATCCTCATCAAAATGTGTGACATCCATAAACTCTTCCACATCCACTCACCCTTGCCCACTATATCGCACGAGACGCGCTACGACGGCAAACCGGTTCACAAGTGTCGCAGTGAGACGTACTCTCTCTCACAAACACCACACACAAGGTGCCCTGCCGCAATGGACGCCGATCATTCTGCATATCGAACAGCAGAAGTCTAATTCCCACACGTCTCAACGCGAGAAAACCGGCCCTCCAGTTACAAACGTTGCGATCCTGGAGCCTACAGAGTCCAGAATATGAAGACCAATCAATTGACATGGAATTTGGTAGGCGAATCGTGTCGATCTGCTCAACACGATTTCCAATCCCGATCGCCCTTGTATCAAAGGCAAAGATATACCAATGATGTGGCCACCCCTCCGGCGTATCGCCGTCGCCGCCATGGCGCCGCGCCACCAGTAGCGTGCTGTCTTTCATAGATTGTACAAGTTCCAATGTTTTTTCCTTCAAAAATCCCAATTGTACGGAGTACTTCCAACACAATTACTTATCTTTGTACCAATCGTACACCAGTACTTATAGCTATCGCCACGCCAAAGCGAAGCGACGCATTGCCACCAGAGCCGCCTCTCTTGTCGAAGACTATGTTACTCTATTTCTTGAGAATACACAGGGAAGCAAAATAGAGTATAGATCATTCATATTTCCGTCTCAATAATACTGGCTCATGGAATTTTGGGTACTGCTACTCCTTTCACTTTCCGTCTCTTTCCTGGGTATCGGTATCGGTGTCGGTATCAAGTTGTGCACTCTCACTTTCATTATCTGCAGACAAGCACGCTTCTCTTTTCATTTGCCCTTTTCGCCCGGATCGTAGAACATCATAACCCATTTCTGTCAAAGTCCCAAAATCACGTCGTATCTCGTCCCGTCGTAGCCCTCGCGGTTGAGCATGCCCAGCATGCTTTGCTAGTATTTTTTTTCGTTTAGCTTGATTACAGCTTATAGCCCTCGTCAATGCTGCTCATAGTCCCACCTCCTCTTCAACCCGCCCGTATCCATGACATTAGCGACACTCTGTTGCCACTGCCGCGACGTTACAAACATGCCTCCACCGACACCTGAAGTCGGATATGCAGTCGAGGACGATGAAGGAAGTTGTGTCCTGTGCCCGGCCACGGGTGAGGACAGATCGGGGAACGATTGCGAGTGTGCCGAGAAATATTGAGGTTGTTGAGGGTAACCCTGCGTGTTTACTCCGTATGTCGGCGAGTTGGTCGACGTAAAGCTGGCTTGTAGATTTTGCATATTCCCTGGTGGAGAGGAGCCGCTACCACCGAACATCGAAGGCGGAGGTGCGAGCTGAGAGGATGGGATGGCGAAGGCTGTATCGAATTGGTCAATGATTGGGGTCGGGTTCCATTGAATGTCGGGTGCTGATGTTGGCTGGTGGTAATACCCGCCTGCTGACGTCGGCATACCGGGATATTGTGTCTGTTCGAGCTCAAAAGTTTGTGGGTAGATGGGAGTCTGAGGTTTCGAGTCGCTGGAATAGGAGGACACTGGAGGAGTGGCTAAGTAGTTCGTGGGACCGCGCATCTGGTTCATATGTGGAGGAAAGTAGTTCGGTTGAGGTTGTTGAAGGTCAGCCGTGACTAGTTGGTGTGCTGACTGTTGCTGCTGCTGCTGCGGCTGTTGCTGTTGCTGTTGCCTTTCGGAGGACGTCTGGGACATTGGAGATGGGCGGGATTGATCGGATGGTGAGCCAAGCGGAAAAGACTCCTTCAGTTCGAAAGGCTTGGTGACATCTGCCGAGAAAGCTGCTCGAAGAGAATTGATCTGAGCCTCCGTTTCTGGCATGGGCCAAGCCGCGACACATCGCTCGAGTATGCGCATGTGACGGACAAAATAGTCTTTTGCTTCCGAATTGAACTCTGGGTCGGGCGAGGAAAGAGCGACGAGGTGTAGCATGATACACGTTAAGATGGCGTAGATGGTGAAATTGATGCCCCTCTGCATACAGAGTAGTCCGGTGAGATCGTATTGGGCTAGGACTGCTTCCTGGATGCGGCAAAGGACCTTTGCAGACCTATAGCAAGTAGTCATGTGGTGTCGCCATTGACTGTCGGCCCCGAAAGACTCAGAAGCTTTCAACTGTGGCCGATGCAGCATGACGATTGCAAGGTGATAGTGGGAATGCATGTTCCCTACGAAATGCGAGGCCAGAGACGGTACACCTCCATTCTGCGGTAATGTTATCTGCAGATCTTTGGGCAACTCATCTGGCCATTTCTTGAAGGCTGCATTGTGCGCCACGAACTCTTGGTCTAAGCCCCAGTCTTTCTTCTTCTTGAGCTTTATCGAGACATCGGTGATGAGACGAATGTTGCGAACATTGCGGACGAAATAGGCAAACTGTCTGCATATTGCTTTTTCGAAATCGTCGATGTCCGAACAGGGAGGATTAATGCTGGTATCAACGGAAGTCGGATCAACGCCCAGGTCGGTACGACCTAACAAGGTCAGTCAGCTGGTACATGGTATGGATTGCTTAAAACGTACCCTGTGGGCCTCCGACCATCGTCTCGCAGATGAGAAGAGTCTGCCATAGTCGAGTCTTAGTCAGGCATTCGACCGGGTCCGAACCGCAGTCTTCTCCAGCTGAATGAGTCTCATGATGTTCATCTAATTCGAGATCCTTTGCCATCGTGACTGCTGTTTTGCACGTCATCCACGATCGGTAGTAATATCCGCGTTTCGGCGCGCTTTCACGAGCTTTGAGAAGCAGCAATAAGGCTTGTATAGTGCTGATTCGTGGACTGTCCAAGAAGCATGCCTCGTGCTCTGCCACTTATAAGCATCGATCTGATCACGCTGGAGGAGACTTACTGTTGGCAAGCGCCAGCCATTGAGCACCTTGAGCGGGGTCGTCCGAAAGACGACCAGCATTGGCGAAAATGGCCTCGAGGACCAAAGGAGACAGGGAGGCTCGGTCATAACGCCATTGGTCGTAGAACTGCCGTCTATTGAGGACGGGTACATATGGATGAACGTCTCTAAAAAAGGTCTGAAAGGCTTGAGAGGCCTCCTCGTCTGATGGCATTAGTGCCGGAGGGATCCGAATCTGCGAACCAGCATCGGTACGGAAAGCCGCAGCGATTTTCGATTCTGGCTCGGGCTCTTGAACTGGAGCTTCGGATTCATTACCTTGGCTTTTCTCTGACCGCAGGTAAGGCGCAATGCCGTTTTCGCCAATCTTCAACTCACCAAGATACTCTATGAGTTCTCCTGCGGTCATCTGGTCTATCGGCGAAGAATCAGAGCGTTCTTGTCTATGCGCTTCCGAGTCGGTCTGGAAAGGCGCGTAAGTCTGTCCGCCGGTCTGATATGGGTCGTTCAAAGGCCCCGGGAACTGCTGTGGGCTCGGATAGAAATTGCCATAGGACTTTCCAGTCATGTCGTAGGATGATTTCGGATAGTTGGCAACATATGCATCATAAGAAAAGGCGCCAGCCTGACTCGGCTGAAACGACTGCTCTGGAGCAGCATAATGTTGCGTTTGCTGTACTGGCGGCGCTGGAGGTGGGATGTAAGGTTGCGATTCGATGCTCTGCTCAGCGACATTCTCAGGTGCCATGTCCCCTGCGTCTCCTTCCAAGCCTCCTGTTGGAGGCACACAGTGTAACTTAAGGCGAACACAGGCGGCGCAAGGCCACGTGTTGGTGGTGGCAGAATCACATTTGATCTTGCGGCGGCGGCATCCTTCGCATGCACGCATGACCTTGAGGCGCTTGTGCCGATTGTGTTCATCGACAAAGACATAGTTCTTGGGACCTGGCGGAGGGGCGGGAGTCGTCGAGTAGCCTTGCATGGTGCAATACCATTCGTGTCGGATGACACCACATTGGGTAAGTGCAGAGGCGGCGATAGCTCGATCCAGATCAATGCCCGTTGTCGAGGAGGGGCGGGGTTCCTCCAGTCAACGTTATCGTATATGAACTGTTGATCTACCCAGTGTGCGGATCGCTGACTGTCGATGGATTTAATGGTGCTGAATCTTCGGGCGACCAGATCTTACGATAGTAGCGACTATGATGGGGGGTTTGAAAGATCGGGTTGTCAGTGATGGCGAAGATGCTTTCCGCGTGGCGCAATCTCAAACTCGAACCTCGGCATGCGGAAAAATAATGTGGTCCTCAGAAGCAGCGGTCAGAATGGAGATAGCAGACGACGGCACATTAATGCTGCGTCAAACAATGGTAACGAAGTCGTCAAACACGAAAGATCCAAGATGTTTCGAAGAGAGTAGCGACAGCCCCGCGATTGCCCAGTAGAGATAGAGGAAAGAAGTGGGTGCAGGTGGTGTATGACAGGAGATCCTTCCGCTTATGCGAGAGAAGGGGGCCACAGAACGCCGGGAAAATGTTCGTGCTCGGGTCCTCGCAGTATGGTGCCTTGATGCCTCTTATCCTTGATCATCTGCACGTCATGGAGGTCGAGTACTGTACGCGCCAACAAAGTCGATTGTGTGTCGGCTGGGGCAGATTGTTGTGTCTCGCTAAAACGTCAGCGAGTGATTAAAATTCGAAGACGGGAAATCAGGAGGAGGAGGCTCGAGCTGTCTGTGCAATGTGTGGTGGTGCGGCAAAGGTCTCAGGTGTCGCTGCCAATGTAACAGCTGCTCGACTTTGGTTTTGGTTTGGTGGACATGATACAAGGGTCGGCCAGGCACAACGGCAGATCGTTGGCTAGACCGCTGTCAGCACCCAATGCAACCTAAGAGGATCACCCGTTTAAAAACCTGTTGGCTCCTCCACCTCCAAGTGGACGCCAGGCATTCAAAGCTGGTTCCTGCGTGGCGAGCAAAAAACGTCCTTACAGCTCAGAGTAGTTGGTTCAATGCTACGACCGTCTCAACACGAAGGGCGGACAGATTTATGGCCTGGAAGTCTCCCAAGTCATTCTGCTGTATAGCCACGCATAGCATTGCTTAGGGTGGATTATCTCCCGCCGTATGGTGGTCAGACTAATAAGGAGTGCACGGTCGGCCGTTGGGAGTAGATCAGCGCTACAACGTCAAAGAGCGAGCCCCAATTCGTGATGCAGCGACTTGTGAGCAATGCTCTTCTGATGTCTTGCCATTCGACGAGTTGGAACACCTTTGCCACTTGAAAAATTCCTCTGCGCGTGCCAGGCATTTCTGCTGTGCATACGAGTAGAGGTGTCCGTGGCCGCAAATACTGTAAATAATGCGTATGGCCAGAGCTCCACGATGCGCCCAAGAAAGTCGCCGTCGGTCGTTTCGAAGGAAAAAGAAGCTTCCGTTGTACCTTATTCGGGCTTCGAGCTTCGATCTTCGCCGCTAGAACACCATGGCGGGACCCATTTCCGGGGGTGAAGGGCACAAGTCTGAAGCGGTCAAGGACCTGACCCAGTAGTTAGCAAACCTTGGACAAGCACGACGAGGGAGCTGGCGTCTTCAGTTTGCTTGATTGATTTGATTGGTAAATGAACAAATTTTACGTGAGCATCAAAGCACCAGTCAGTGCCTTGACTACAGGTCAAATATAGTGGACTGTGATCTGCCGCGATCGTGCAATTCGAGTCGGTCCGGTCGAGAACATACTGTGCTGCAGCGGGGGTCTTTCTGTGAAGATCACTCGAAAGACAAGGCCTAGGCTTGCCGAATGGCGTGCCTGACAGAAAGGAACTTCCCGTCGCAAGTGTACTCACCTCCTCCTTATCACAGTAGTGCACGAGGTTTCGGACAGGCGCGTCAAAGACTGTATCCCCACGATTGTGTGGAACTGTACAGTGTACACAGTAAGTGGGCGAAGTGGCTGTAAGCCAGACCAAATCCTCTTCCGAGGATCTCTTACTGGACATTGTCCAGAGGTACTTGAAGCCTAGGTACAAAATCCTGCAAACTTGGCAGAAGCGGTGGCTCATAGTACAATGAAAAGGGATTCCTTGCACGAACAGGATGCGTGCCTTGGAGAGCCTTTGGCGCTGGCAAGAATATTACAGTACGTACCGTGGTAGATCTTCATGGTCAATCTGGAGAAGGCAAGACGAGCTGCAGGCAAAGAAACAAAACGAGAAACACGTGCCAGCCTCAGCACACCGGATCACGTGCTAATCCCAATGTGTACAAGCGCTACCTAGGGATGGCTTCCCTGCTCGCCTGGTTCTCCGTAGTGCCTTGGTGCAAGTTGTTCTGATTGCTTATCAACTTTCCCTTCTCTTCGTAAAGTGAATACTACAATCAGTCTGCGGCTCCTGACACGCAACTCTAATCCAAGGTATTTTCTGTGACTTACCACATCCAACGCTATCCACCATGGAAGACGGCAAGAACGCCAATCCTCTCATCCTCAACCCCTCAGACCTACCTACTCGACGGCGGCGGGCGTCAGCGCGAGCCGATTTATCCAACGGCACGGTGACCTTTGCCTATCCGGCGCCCTCTTTCACGAATGACCCTTTCTTGCGATCCTCTAGTCCTTCTTCTTTGGAAGAGAGCGACAGTGATACAGAAAATGAACCCATTGACTCCCAGGAGATCTACGACCTCATCGCCACCATGTCGGATCCAGAACATCCCATAACCCTCGGATCTTTAGCCGTAGTATCTCTTCCCGATATTTCGATAAAACCTACGATTCCGAGTCGTCCCAGTTCAAACCTTCAAACCGTCACTGTCCTCGTCACCCCTACCATTCAGCACTGCAGTCTGGCAACCGTGATAGGCTTGGGAGTTAGGGTGCGATTAGAAGAATCATTGCCACCGAGGTTTAGGGTTGATGTTAGAATCAAGGAAGGGACACATTCGACCGCAGACGAAGTCAACAAACAATTGGCAGACAAGGAGCGAGTGGCCGCAGCATTGTGGAATCCCACGTTGCAGAGCTTCATCAAAAAAATGCTCGAAACTTGCGAATGAGGCAACATGGTTTAGGGCCCAAAAGGAATAAATTTTGCAATCGGCAATGATTGAGGAAATTCACCATTTTCGATCCGCATATGCTCTCAAACCAAGACTTGCGGAAGATCACACTGGTATCTTCTCTTCAAGGAACGCTTCGTGGCGCGAGATCTTGAGGTCAGAGCATGACTATGTACTTTACAAGCAAGCCGCAGTTCCACTGACCACGATTGGGAAGGCTTGCGGGGAGGACGAGGGGATACATGTCTCATGGCGTCTCATGCCAGGGATGAGCGGGAGGAGGTGGGAAATGGGTTGAGCAAGGTGGACCGAGGTACAGAGGAACAGAGGTTTCCATGTCTGTTATGCTGTTCATGGCTCTCAAAAATTGTTCGTGCTGAGGATGTGGGAATAGCATCAATGGTGGTGGTAGCAAAAACAACCAGGCATCAGAAGACCATTCAACGAACTAGGTACTTCCGAGATGATATATGGACGCAGTTGGATCGCACATTTAGCACGTGTAATTCATTCTGCGAGAGACAGCCAGAGAAACACCGGAAGTAAAATGATATCGGCATACCACTCGCAATCAATGGCAAAAAAAAGGAATTGCCATCAGGGAATTGAGCCCTACGTGGGCTGAACAGCTGTTAGTACATATGCCATTGTGAGGTGTACAGGAGAATATCTTACGGTCGAACCCACAGCCTTAAGATTGCTATCTCTCGTAAGAGTCTTACGCTCTACCGATTGAGCTAGCAGGGCAGCTTTGAATCTGTGTGCGATTTTTGATTAAAAATTGGCATCTTTCATACATGACCAAAATTTTTGGCAGCGGCTAGACCCGCCAGAGCAATTCCGCACGTGACCCCTACGAGGCTTGCTCTTGCAGACGAGATAACATTGTCATTTAGGTGGAGTATAGTGAGAGAGAAAGGATATGGCGAGACAAGGCTACTCAGCTGATGCTTTCGATCGATCACCATATTTCTGGACACGCGAGCTTCGGAAATGATGTTACATGGAGCCTACTGACGTAGGTTCATGGTCGACACATTCGTACGAGTATGCTGGAGACGAATGAAGACTTGACATCACACGTGCCAGTATATCTTCCCGGTACTTGTTACCGGCCAGGCCTGTGAACTTCCTGGCACGATTGATGACAGCCTCTCGTGTTTGACGCAGCCTCTTTGGCAGGCGTTCGAGGACAATCCATGATGCTCTTCAGTGATGATCGAAGCCAAGCCAAAGCCAAGCACACGCTCAGCATTTAGTACGAGTACCTACACAGTTATGGACAGAACTTCTTGGACTCATCCTGCTGACTGGAGCTTGGCAATACGTGGGCTGCTGATGCCTTTATCCCTTTGAAGTACCGACTACTGTGATACTCGTACCCTTACATTAGCTGGCGGTTGATGCTTGCCTCGTGCTTGGTAGCGGACAAGCTTTCGATGGGTTTCATCACGTGCAGTGCTTATCACATTAGGTGTCTTGGCGCTTGTCGCCGGTCGATCCGAGCAATGTCGTTAATTCACAGCCAATCAAGTGTGCACGTGGGTGGGTTCTTGACCGTCAATTTCAACCTCTGGAATTTTTTCCTTCCCACTAAAGAATGTATCCTCCACATCCTCATCGCCTCCCGCGCCTCTCAGCAGCGAAGTTTTCTTGCCGTTGCGAGACTACTTTCTGTCTCTGCATGCATAAGCGAGCACGCTTCAACTCATACAATCATGATCGCCATCATCAGGAATGGCACTGAGCCAAGAACGGTCGAAACAGCAGGTGCAGCCGGGATTACCCATGGTCCACGGGCGTGCTAGTGTCCTGCCCCAGAGGTCCTTGCGAAGGTGCGATGCTTTTTTGGCTGCCGAAGAGCTTCTTTCTCTTGGACAGTCCACCTCGTGTCCACACCTGGATTTCACTTTTTGATCTTTTGATCTCTGACGAGAAAAATTGTTCTTTCTACTCGTACTCTGTAAGACTCTACACTTTTCACTGCCCATCTTTCAGACACTTGATACTGTTCATCTTTTCAGTCTTCGAGACCTCTGCAATCCTTTCTACACCACTGTCGCGTGTTGAGGCTTCTTGCTGCGAGGTATCAACTTCTCACCAGGCTCGTCGGCACAATTCGCCTCCGCCACCAATCTCGACATCTCGCTACTGTTGGAGGCGCTGACGACTCTTCCCTCCACCCCTGGCGTCACCCGACGTTCCATCTCTAAGTCAGTATCTGCTGCCGAACGAGTTATATTATCTTCTCGGAGCCTTCGGCGATTGGTATCAGCTCCGAGTACCAACCAGCTTGGCACGCTCGACCCCGGTACGACACCCCTGCTGTCGCTTGCCGGCAAATCAACACGGACCTTTCGAACTCGTGGCTCTGTTCAAGCTTTCTCTGGCATGTCTTGAATGATCTTGTCATCAGCCACTGACTCCCATTGCTACTCTGACTGGACGCCTCGCCCCAGTTGGTTCGAACCTCAGATCCGCCTTCTCCGAATTATCAAGCTCTTTTAGGCTTTAGGGTGGCTGTTGCTTAGCCGGTCAACCGTCCTACCCCAGCATCATCCAATTGACGGCACGCCTTGGCTGGCGTCAAGATCGTTTCTTTTTTTTTCTGCAACCCTTGCGAGTGCCTTCTCTTGCGTAAAAAGGCTGCCTCCCGTCCTTCTGGGATAGGGTTACTCTTCGTCCATCTGCAGGTCAATTTTCTCCCTACAAATCGATACTCGAGACAAGCCTGATCACTATGGCATCCAACGGCAACGAAGGTGTCTTCGACTATGGCCCGAACGCTCCACATGGGCCCGATGTTACTGGCACACATCCCATCGGGATCGACTATAGCGACATCGACATGACACAAAACGAGAAGGAAGTCTTCAACTTCCTGTTGAAGCCCGACGACAGCTTCGACGAGAATGGTGTCTACTGGGCTGATCTCCCTATCGTGAAGCGCATCAAGTTCGTTTCAAAGGTCAACCGAACCGAAACCCGCAGAGAGTTCGGTGCCTTCTGGCAAATGTTCAAGAACGACCCCCTTTCTCCAGTTGGCTTCTACTTCCGCAATATGGTTCTGCCTGGTGCTGGTCTTGGTCTTGAAGGTTACGTCTTGTTTTCCATCGGCAACGTCAAGCCTCTCTTTCAGAAAGCATTCCCAGCATGTTGGAGCAAAACCCAGATCTGCAACGCGACTTGGATCTATGCAGTCGATTACCTGGAAATTTGTGGCATCATTGTCGGCCAGATCCTGGTTGGCATCATCGGTGACTGGCTCGGTCGTCGATGGGGTTTGATCCAAGATGCTACCATTATGTTTATCGGTCTCATCATGTTGACTGCATCATGGGGAGTTACCCAAAATGGTTGGGTTATCTGCTACGCTTGGTCACTCTTCTTCTACGGTATAGGCGTTGGAGGCGAATACCCTATGACTGCCACTTCCGGTATGGAGAACGCTGTTGGTTCCGGAAAGGTTTCGACCCGCGAGGACCGTCTCCACCGTGGCCGCAAAGTAACCAGCGCCTTCTTGATGCAAGGTTGGGGTCAATTCTTTAACCAGGTCATCCTCATCCTCCTTCTGCTCATCTTTCACCACGGCAGCGGAAACGCACCCTACTCCGAGATTGCTGCTCAATGGACCTACCGTGTCTCCTTCGCCATCCCGGCTGTCGGCACTTTGTGGCTGGTTTACTGGCGTACCTTCAAGGTCAAGGCCACTGCTAACAAGCAATTGAGACTCGCCAAGGCTAGGAGCAGCGTCACTGGCTACGACACCAAGGCTTTGGCATTGACGTTCCGTTACTTCGGTGGCCGTTTGCTGGCAACTGCTGGCACTTGGTACATGAATGATGTCTTCTTCTATGGCAACAAGCTGTTCCAGAGCGAATTCATCAAAGTCATCATGCCAACCAGTACATCCATCATGCCAGGCTGGCTCTACAACTTGATCAATGTCGGTGTCTCCCTCTGTGGCTACTACCTCGCCAGTTTCCTTATCGACAACAAACTGTACGGTCGCAAGCATATGCAATCCGTTGGTTTCCTGCTCGACTTCATCCTTTTCGTCGTTCCAGCCTTCAACTTCGACTATTACACCTCACCCGCGCACATCAAGTCATTCCAGGCCATGTATTTCTTGTCTTCCTTCTTCAATCAGTTTGGACCGAACTGTGTCACCTTCCTTGTCGCTGCTGAGGTGTATCCGGTTGCTGTCCGTGCCACAGCCCACGGTTTCTCCGCCGCGTGCGGCAAACTCGGTGCTCTGACGGCTGCTGTCCTCTACAACTACATCGACACCCAGACAAAGTTTTATGTCGTGCCATGGTTTGGCTTGGCAGGCGTGTTCTTGAGTGTTGTGTTCATGCCAGACACCACTGGCCTTGATCTCAAGGAGCAAGAACGCCGCTGGGCCTACATTCGTGCTGGACGCGAGCACGAATATCATGGTATCGCCATCCACCCCAAGCACTTGAGCTTGTGGGAGCGCATCCGCGGTGTTGGCAAGCATTACGACCCTGACCTTGATTACAAACAGAGAATTGAGGAGATGCGCGGCGAATGGGAGCTTCGCATGCAAGAGAAGGCTTCAGAGAAGGCCGAAATTCAGGATCTCGACGCGTTCGATGACGACCATCCTTCTGAAATCCATTCCTATTTCGCTCGTTCGACCAAGTCTCCTGATCTCCAAGGTGCCGAGAACGAGAAGATTCCCCCTATGGACAAGGCCAATGGCGGGTCAGAAAACATCTAGACGACGTGCGGTGTTTGTCTCGAGTGATGGCATGTTAAGAGTTGTTCGTGGATAAATACGCAATTTCAACGGCAGCTAATTAGACTTGGGGTCTTTCGGTACGAGTCTGCAGGCCATTGCGAGAAAAGCGACTGTTCTTATGTGAATCACAAAGGATTAGCTAGAAAGAGGCAAGTGAAATGGTTTTGACGGGGCATACATTCAATGAATCGAGCTGGCGAGCAGAAAATGGTATTGATGCAAGTGTTTCGATAAAGCCAGGCTATGTACCATGCACCATTGTTTTAGGTATTTGTTTCTCTCGTTAGAACTGATGATAACGGATATACATCTTCTAATAAACTCATACATCCGGATCCTGCTTGTGATGCCGATGCCGTTGTCGAGGCTGATACTGATACTTCCGACTCTGGGCTCCATGTATATAACGCTGGAGTGTTCCTCAAAGTGCGACGCAGAGTTCAATGTCCAACGTCTACAATGCCAGGGGTGTTCGTCCGAGTCTGAATAGTCCGGATGTAATTATGATGCTGCAATACTCAAACATCGGGTGTCGGTATGAGTACAGAGTATACCCGTCTCGCAATCCTGCTCCGTCCGCTCGATACAGCTGGTGTATGGCTTATCGCTATATTCCTTCTGGAACATCGTCTAGATCGACGGAAAGTACACGATGACATGACGACCGGACTATCCACTCCTATGGACCTACGTCGACCATCATATCTACTAATCAAGACCGTGTACGTTACGTGGGCAGAGCCCATCGCATACAAACAGGCAGAAGACAGGTGCTTCAAGCACCGAGGGTATCGTTCCGACTTTTCATTAGCACTATCATTATATTCTCGTTCCGCTCAGCTATCAACAGCGCCCCCCTCTTCGCTACTCCTACATGCAGCCTCGATGTCCACCACACCTACCTACCAACCCCCTGCCCCCTGCCCCTACTCCTCGTCCTCCCACTCACTCTCCACCGCCCCTCTCTGCCTCGCCCGCCACTCCAACCCACCAACGACCTCCCTTGCCGCGTTCAACGACCCCTGCATCCCCTCCAGCATCCGGATGAGCTCGCCCTCGATCTGCTGACGCGAGGCGCCGCTGCCCATCACGGCTGCGCTGGGAGGAGATGCAGGAGGAACGTCGACGACCGGCCTCTCAGCATTTCCAGCCGTCGTACTGGCAGAGCTTCCAGAGACGCGAACGCCGCGCTCTGCAGGCTGCCCAAGGGTGTATCGCGCCGGGCCGTTTGCCGTCAAGGGCGTCGAGTCTCCACGGTCCGAATACAAGCTTCGTCCGCGGCCGTAGTAGTGTCGACCCATTTCTACGTCTTCATCCACCGTTTCTGAACCAGGGTGGTCGTCCTCCTCACGCTCGAGGCCGAAGGGGTCGATGTCTGTTGAAGAAGCGCTGACGTCGCTGTATGCTTCGGAGAGGGCGGTCGAAGGGCGCGGGATTTCTTGTTCCTCGGCCTGGACGAAGTCACCAATCGTGACGGGCATGGTCATTTGGCGGACGAGAGGCGCGCGAGTAGGCGTTGGTCGTGAGGGTGCGGGTACTGGCTGCGTAGGAGGAGATGAGTCTATAGTCTCTTCAAGGCTAGGGGAGGCATTTGCTTCGGCCATGGCGGAGGAGAAGGACCATTCCATCGTGGCGTGTTTTCTGGCCTTTTGTTCCATGTCGGTAGCATCGGGCGGACTGTGTGAATCTCCCTCAGAGCTCTCAGGCTCATTAATTTGAGGAATGGATGCCTCAGACATGGCGCTTGCGAACGACCAGTCCATTGTGGCATGACCAGGGCGAGAGGATGTGATTTCAGCAGGCTCCTGTAATTCAGGCGCTCTGTTTCTGTTTTTAAGTGTCCATTCTTCTTGAGTTATGGCAAAGTCTTGTGTTGAGGTGGTTGAGGGGAGTCCTTCAGCTGATGAGGTTCGCCTAGCGGTCAGGGATTGATTGATCGGTTCTCGAGGACCTTTCGAATTTGCTCGTTTCTCCCGAAGTGTAGAAGCGTCGGCGAGTCTAATTGTTTCTTCTCTCATAGGAGTGCCAGCGTAGGCGGTTTGAATGTTATCGTCTGTTTTTGGTGCTGTCACTACTGCGTAGTCGGATTCGTCAAAGTCTCCTAGATCGATCACGTTTGAGGCAATTGAGTTTGGTCTGTCCTCTGCCATGGCTCGAAAAGGTAGATCTGAGATTCGTCGCTGTTCAGAAATAGGGATGAAGTCGGTTTTGGTCTTGTATTCGTAGGCGGGTTTGTTCGGATCGAAAAGGTTGGATAGATCGGCTCCACGCTGAACGCGAGCTTCGAAGTTTGCCTTTTGTACTGCTGTCATTTCTTTGGGAGGCGAATTAGCACTGGCTTTTTCAAGGCCTCGTGGTGTTTCTTCTCCTTCCATTGTTTCATGTCCTGAAAGATCTGCAAAGTCGGGTATTTCAAGTATGGCGGAGACGCGTCGCTCGAAATCTTCGGTCATGCTGAAATTCCACTCATCCGCAGATTCAGGGTCGGCGTCGAGATCTTCAGTCGATGCGGCAGCTGCGCCTCCAGGCATAAACAGAGAAACTCGCTGGCCACCAAGATTTGCCCACTTGTAGTATGTCAGAACAAGCTCAGAGAGCATTGAAGTAGGGTATGTCTCTTCAGTGTCTTTGAGGAAGTTGTGTTGTAAAACTTTCACCATGTCCGGACGCGAGGCAACATCAGGGGTGAGTGTAGAGGAGACTAGTGAGCGCAATTCTTCGCTAAAGTCCTGGTCTTGCGGGAGAGATATTGACTCTTTTAGTCGTCTCATGCGCACCTTGAGCTTTTGATGCTCGCGCAAATCACTGTTCGGAGGTCTTCCAACGGCGCACTCATACAGGGTACAGCCGTATCCCCAGACATCGACCTACAAACCAAGTCAGTATGCACGCGCGAAAGATTTGTGACTTTGTTGCCTGATTCCTGGGTGGTACAAATGGCGCCACTCACTTCGTCGGAATATTCTGGGTTTTCTAACCATGCCTCGGGTGCCATCCAGTGTAAAGTGCCTATGAATGTCTTTCGTTTGTCCGTGCCGGTCTCTAGGATGTTGGCAACACCAAAATCGCAAAGCTGAAGACGACCTTCCTCATGGATGAGGACATTGGCGGCTGTAGCAAGTGAGACAAGTCAGAGCTAGATCATGGACGCCAGAGCAGATTCACATACCTTTGACATCTCTGTGGATGATGCCAGCTTCATGCAAGCCTTTCAACGCCTTCGCCAGCTCTCGTGCCACCACAACAAGGTATTTCTCCTCTTGTAGTCGATCTTTTGTGGCTCTCATCTGGGGGACGAAAGTGTCAGTCCATTGTTGGTCAAAGCATGCGGCAATGGCAAGCGGCACAAAAGGATAGCACATCCCTTATACCGCGGAAACAAGGCAACAACACTTACCAGAGTTTTGACGCTACCGCCAGGGCAGTGTTCACAGATCATCCACAGCTGGCTGTGTACAGGCAAAGCCTCAATTAGATGGTTGAGGTTTTCAGCACCACTTTCTTGCGCTTGCCGCAAAATCCGGATTTCTCTTTGAAAGTCTCGGATTTGCTCGTCTTTCTGGTCACCAAAGGCACGAAAGTCTGCATCATCGACGTCAAGGACTTTTATTGCAACGACTTTCTGTGTCGATATCTGGCGTCCTTTGTACACTCTTCCGAAACTCCCCTTGCCGATCAGTTCGTCGAAAGCATAATTTGGTTCTGGCTGCTTGGACCGCTTGCACTTCTCAGTGACTGCTCGCTGTTGCTCCTCTGCGAGGCGTACAGCTTCTCGATGATGGGCGGTCATCGCTATGGAATGAGGGCGGAGACGATCCATCTTGGAAGGAGTAGGAGAGCCGGAAGATGCGTATGTGCGGCAGGGCGTTCGTGATCTGGGAGTAGGAGAGCTGGAAGATGAGTATGTCTGGGAGAGCGCTCGTGATCTGTCAGTAGGAGAGTCGGAAGATGTGTATCTCTGGGAGGGCGCTCGTGATCTGGCAAGGCGTCTTGAGAGGTATTGTGGTGTTCTTAGGTAAGGGGGTACCTGGTCGAGATCTGTGATGAGCGGTGGAGTCCCCGGGGCTGATTCAAGCTGAGCGAGCGAGTCTCTTCGGTGCCAGAGTTTGAAGGAAGCTGATCTTGTGGTTTGAGAACGGGTAGCAGGCTCGGGTTTGCTATTAGAAGACTGACGATGTTTCTGCCAACAGTTGTCTGGTCGGATAACACGTCCAGGGGTCCGAAATGCTGAGCCTGTGGAAATGCTCCTCTGTGAAGACGGCGACGGGGACTTTGGTGGTGCTAACGGCGGAAAATTATCGCTGTCGGTCGAGCGCTGGCGTTCAGGAGGTGAGGCTAGTGATGCTGGCTTCTTGTCAGTGGATGCCTAACAATGCCGGACTTGGTGTTGATGATTCCGTCAGATCGGCGCCAGATCGACAACCACAACGTTCCTTGCGAAAGCGGCGTAGGCCGTCAGGAAGGGACTAACAGCCCAGGGAAACACTTACAAAGGGGGTTGAGAGCCTCGTCTACAAGAGACTTCCTCGCTTTGTCTTCTGGAGACATGGTGGTTAGTTGTTTGTTGTGGAATGGTGATGATCGTGACGGAAATCAGACGTAGAGGTAGAGGATTCATGAAGACAGGGCGAGTCATGCTTCGCATGCTACCGCTGGTGGACATGACTTACCTTGCTAGAAGTGGTGAGGCGAAAAAGGTTGTCTGGTGTTCTTCGGCGTCAAGGACGGGCATCCAAAGATACAAGCCCAGTTATGGTTTCCACCCTACACTTCGACAACTCAATACAATCGATGAGCAGGAGAAAGACGGTTGTTCGGCCATCAGCGTCATAAACAAGGCGATCTCAATATCAGGGAGTAGCTGCTGAAGCCCCCTTTTATGCAGAAGTCTTTTGCAACCGCTCCTGCCGTTAGTCGTGAAAGAACAGCAGCGCGCATCTTCTGGAGAAAGCTGGTCCTGTCTCGTTGAAGGGAAAACTGGTCGGTGTCGGATGTCACAAAGCTGCAGCGTATTGATCGACCAGACACTGGAAAGAACGACAGTGAACTGAAAACGGGATAGGCACTTTTCTCTTGGCATGAGGCTGAGCTAGCCTAAAAGGGATTAGCACTTACACATCACTCAGCCTTGTCTTCACACTTCCCTTCAGGCACGGTGGAGCGGGCATAGCAAGCCGCAGCCTGATATCTGGCCTTTCGGTGCCTTTCCCACACTTCTGCTCTTCCGTACCTCAATCTAAGTATACTGGATGGGGCGGTTACTAGGTCTGGAGTGCAGGTGTTGAGAACTGCGGCTTACGACGATAGGTATTTTCCTTCACAAAATGCGTTTCACCATCGCGGAGCTCCTATTACACTATCTAGAACCCCATCCTCCTCCTAGGAACGACAGGCTTCTTAACCACTCCTTGACTTCCCATCTTCTTGACCACCACTCCTCCACTTCTGGCTCTTCCAGCGAGAAGCCTTTCTTTTTCTTCTTCTTCCAGACGCCTCTTCTCCTCTTTCGCGCGATCTTCCATCATCTGCCTCTCAATCTCCATCTTGCGATTGAATTCACTCTCGATGATTCGCTTGTCTTTCGCGCTGTACTCCTTCGACTTCAAGCTGTAGAAAACACCACCAAGATCGGCCAGCCAGTGTGGGTCCACAGCGGTGACGCAACTCATGTACTCCTTGCTGGTCAAGATGAGCTCGTGATAGACCACATAATCAGGCGGATCGCCAAGCCCGTACAAAGCCGAAGTTGGATGCAGCTGAACCGTAACGCTGGTTCGCAGGTTGATGTATTCACCTACTCCACGACGACGAGCCGCTTGGTGGTAGTAACCCGAGCAGATACACTTTCGAATCACGTCCCAATCAGTCCCGCAGGAGACGAGCTGCATTTTCTGCTGCCCGACCATGATATCATGCAACTGTTCTCGAATCTCCTTTGCACGCCGCAGTGCTTTGGGATGCAAGAAGTGTCGTATGCACCAGGCATCACTGTACCCGTTGCTCTTCCACTGAGTATAGACATGCAGTAATGTCAGGTGGTCCGACTCGTGTACAAAGAACTTTTCCCTTGCGGCGTCCGACTCTTCCTGCCTCTCCTTCGGCCTGTAAAACACTGAAGGAACAGAGAGCATGCTCACGATTGTGAGCATTTCTTCGCTGCATTCGTAGTCGGTTGAAGACGTGATCAGCATCTTAGCAAGTGACGGATCCATTGGGAAGGCAGTCATCACGCGACCTATAGTGGTGAGATCGCCGACATGGTCAAGCGCGCCCAATGCCCAAAGATCGAACAATGAGGTTGTGATGGTATCTTGTGGAGGGGGGTCCATAAAATCGAAATCCAGCAAGTCTTTCACGCCGAGCGACTTGAGCAGCAAGACAGTATTGGCCAGGTTGGTCCGCTGTATTTCTGGGATTGTCTGTATATAGAATTCATTTTTGAAAGCCAATTCGGTGTAGAGGTGGAAAGCCTTGCCGGGTCCGGTACGCCCTGCTCGGCCTGCTCGTTGAGATGCGTTTGCTTGAGAGATGGGTGTGATCTGCAGGGTGTCCATACCCATACGCGGATTGTAGACCTTTAGTTTGGAGTATCCTGCGTCGACAACGTACATGATTCCATCAACGGTAAGCGACGTTTCGGCAATGTTGGTCGCAACGATAACTTTGCGCACGCCAGGAGGCGCAGGGTCGAAAATCTTCGCCTGGAGGTCTGCTGGCATCTGAGAGTATATTGGCAGCACCAGTAATTTCGGCGGATTGACCAGCAGGCTGAGTCTTTCTTCGATAAGTTCGCAAGTGACTTCGATATCCTCTTGTCCCGTCATGAATACAAGAATATCCCCAGCTCCCTGGGAAACATGAATAGCAAGGACTTGCTTGACAGCACTGTCGACATAGTCTTCGCAGGGAGAGCGCGAGAATTGTATGTCTACTGGGAATGTCCGACCAGGAATGATGAACTCGGGAGCACCTCCATAGAAGCGAGAAAAGCGTTCCGAGTTCATGGTGGCAGAGGTGACAATCAACTTAAGATCTCTGCGGCGAGCAAGAACCTTCTTGATCAAACCCATCAGCACATCAGTGTTGAGAGCACGTTCATGAGCTTCGTCCATGATAATGCATGAGTATTTGTCTAGATCTTGTTGTGTCAAAGATTCTCTAAGTAACACACCATCTGTCATGTCTGTTCGATAGTCAGTCTCACATGTCAAGCTTACGCGTGGGACAACTTACATTTAATGGCTGTTTCGTCGCTGGTGCAATCCTCAAAACGTATGGCGTATCCAACTACACCGCCCAGCTCGACTTCCATCTCCTCGCTGACTCGCTTGGCCACACTCATTGCAGCGACTCTTCGAGGTTGCGTACAGCCAATCAGTCCGCGTTGAGCATATCCCTCCTCAAACAAGAATTGTGTAAGCTGTGTAGTCTTGCCTGACCCGGTCTGACCGACCACAATGACAACTTGATTGTCCCGGATCACGCGCATGAGCTCCTCCCTGACTGCAAAGGCGGGCAGGTACTCCCTCTGCTCCTTCAGGGTCTTGCTTCTGCTGAAGGCTGAACCGCCGGTATTTTTCTTGAGATGGGTTGCGAATTTGCTCTTGCCAGTATCTTCGCCGGGTGCTGCTGCAGCACTATCACCCTCATCCTCCTTGACGCCCATGATATTTCCCAACGCAGTACCGGCCACGTTTGTGGCCTCTTGTGCTTGCTTCTGTCGCTCCTTTTGCTGTCTCCTCTCCCGTACGACTTTGCTTCCTTTTCGAGAGAAGACTGCCATGTCGCTCTGCGCGTCTCGGACTGCAGGAACTGGCTCCAGCTGTTTTGTAAAGATGGTCTTGCCGTCCAGGAAGGGAGGCTTGAGGTCATGCACTAGAAGATGTACCCGGACAGACTCCTCATCGTCGAAATCTGGGGCTTGATCACGTCGCTGCGCCACGCCTGAGGTGACCATCCGGTTTGCTTCCCAAGCGTCCACTTCTTTCTGTTTCTGTGCTGCTTTTGCAGTCATGCGCTTTCCAAGCTTCTTGTCGGCAAGAGCTTGCTCTCGTTGCTGATCTGCCCATGTCGCATCTGCGCCGCCGAAGGGATTGTGACTTTCGTCGCCAAATGTATGCCCAAACTCATCCCCAGCGTACCAGTCTCGGTCCATAGCTGTAGTGTCTTCATCCTTGAAGAATGGCTCGGGCCCGTCAAACTCGTGTTGATGTGGCTTCGAACGAGGTGCGCGACTCTGGCTCCGGTCGTTTGGCCGTTGAAAGCGCGGCTTGAAGGAGGGCTGGGCCTTCAGAGAAGGACCCAAGTCTTCGGTCGAGTCGGGATAAGCAGATCGGAAGCCTCCATCAACTTTCCGCCGTTTAGGGCTGAAAGGGCGCTCCATTGTGGAAGGTTGAAAGGAGCCTCAGGTCGCTGATGTATCCAGAAACATGGCCTTACTGTTGCTAGTTGAGCCACAAACTGTGCAGGTGGCTCGGTGAATTTAACGGGTGGGCAAGCGACGTAGAAAAAGTTTCGCCGCAGTTTACGCGGAAGCCTTGATCTTCTACACCAAACGACAATTCCGCAGTCTGCGACTGAAGAGGACGAGCAGGGATTCATTGTCAGACAAGATGGCATCTAATCAGGACGTAGCTGCCCGGAAACAACAAGGTACGCCGTCCGGCTCATATTTGGTGGTAACTTGTTGACTTTGTACTAGATCTCCAGGCACAGTACAACAACTACAAAACTGCCCTCCAATCACTGGCACAGAAGGTCGGTGAGATCGAGCAAGAGGTAGAGGAACACAAGTACGTTGCACCTTGGACCGGGCGAAGTGTCGATTCACACTTTTGGGATGATGTTGGCCGGATTGAAAGAGGCGTCGCTGACAATGGCGTAGGCTGGTCACAGAGACCTTGCAGCCGTTACCAGAAGATCGCAAATGCTTCAGGCTCATCAACGGTGTGCTTGTGGAGAGGACTGTCAAAGATGTGCTGCCTGCGCTCAACACGAACTCAGATGGTCTGAAACAGGTTCTGGAAGAGCTGGTGAAACAGTACAAGGGCAAGCAAGATGAGATGGACAAGTGGAAGGCAAGCATCCCTCCTCGATCTTTGCTGCACTCGCTAACCTTCAGATGCAGAAAAAGAATAACATTCAAGTTGTTCAAAACTAGCCATATTCGTAGACTTGTCGATGCCTCTAGGATGCAAACACTGCGTGACGGATAGCATATCTCATGTCGGCAGGGCGAGGATTTGCGGCAAAATCCATCTCCGTCTTGTACAATTGCAAGGACAAATTAGAGGCACGTCGTGGTTTCTTGCTCTGTTAGCCAGAGCATCGCATACACATCTTTGCTGCAATTGTTGGAGGAGGCAGCCGCGACCCTCAACTGAAAATCTACCTATCTCACCATCCCTTCCACCTCATCACTGCGAGTCACATCTCGGTGAGTAGCCCGCGCCTTCTTTGAATTTTCTTTGTCGACTTGTGAACTGATTTGTTTTAACAGTCACTCGTTGCCATCCTGCAGCTTATCAAACAATACCCAGAATGGCGCACGCAGGCAGAAACCGGCAGGCCGTCAATAGAGACACTGAAAAGTGCTACCGCAGAGATCGAGTACCCTTTGCAGGTCCTCCTCTGTCACACCGACCGAAACTCTTCTGCTGTCCTGTGGCTGAAACCCGCGAAGACCACCTTCCTCGGTGTTTCGTCAACCCAGGCCGTCATCTGATGAATCAACAGCTCAAAACCTTTCTTGAAAGTGCTGACGACGAAGAGTATACCTTTTCCAAATGCGAAGTGTCTCACATGGTCGAAGTGACGGCTCGGGCGCTCTGCAACAATGCGCTCCCTTCTTCACACGGCATGCAGCCTCAGGAGCAGTGGAACGTCTTCTCTGGGCCCGTTCGGAATCCACCAGTCGACAACACCACTCCCCCACTTGAAGGTGAAGATTCCAACATGGCGATGGACCAGCAAGAGCTGCCGTACAGCACATACCAGAGCATGTCCACAAGATACTTCATCACACAAAACAGCAGCCACACCTGGCAGATTCCTCCTCATTCAAGACAGTACCGAGACAACCACCCGGACCCGAACCACGGCAGGATTGGACTCGAAAGATACATGGAGATACCACCTTTCAAGACAATGCCCTACACATCAGAGAGCATCTCAGGAGGTGGAACAGGAGCACGGGAATGGATACCTTCTTGCAGCATACTAATGTGGTGCATCCTTCACAACACTTTCTACGAAGTGCACGTGTTGTCTTAGCAGGCAGGATGACATACATATCTAGGAGGTAGCCAGCGTGAGAATCTGCAGTCAAGGTGAAGACAACTGGTCGACACGCTTTAAAGGTTGCCGGCGAGCAGCCCGGAGACAGCATTGTGTGGATGGACGTCTAGGGCTGGCTGTCTGTGGACATACATACATAAATGCTATGACAATATCGCTTTCAGGTGCAATGGGGCTGGAACGAAGTCGATAATGTTCAACAACATGCTACATTCAAGCATTCAAGCCTCCTGACAGGCGCAGACCAGCTCCATATATATGGCTTGAGTACGTGGCAGATGATGCGGATAATACTGTCGAGCGTGAGACCACTTCGTCCATCGAGAACCGCATCTTGCACGGGAAGCTGCAAGGTCAAGCACACGGCCGTTAGCTATGGCTCGACTGAGGGCTCGTGTTCACCTATCTTCATATATCACAGATATGCATCGTCGGAGGTAGGACGAACGAGTCACCGAATATGAGCTTACCCTGCAAACTAACTAACTAATGGCTGGTCTCGAGCGAACCAATGCTGCAGGGCACTGACACATGCAGGGCCAATCCACGGCACAGAGCTGAGTGCGTTTTCTGCAGACGGAGCTGGAATGCTACGGATGGCTATTTCAATATATCTACTCGTACCGATTATTGATATTTATTATGTCGAAAGAGGTTGCATTCCCACCAACTGGAGCATCATCACCTTCCGGTAGCATTGAAGCTCAGAGCAGGTTCAGGCAGCGGCGCAAAAGCTTCGTTCCCTCGTCGGACTTTCGGGAACAGTGGAGGTACCCGTCCGCTACGTAATGGCCCTGGATGGTGTCTATCGAGTTGGCATCTAATGGCGACTACGGCGGGGAAGCGAACTGTGCACAGGTCCACTGATTGACCACCTTATCGATGCCCCAAGATAGGCGTCGTGCTGGTGTGCTTCTCCCAGACGACGATCGCACTTGCAGGGACTATACACTGCTTCATCTGTCTTGTTTTGCATTGCCTGGACTGCACATGTTGACAAACTGTATCCCCGTTCGCACGGGCAGTCGAATGGTTGGACGGACGTCCTGCTCCCAGTCGCCCCCAACATATGCATCCTGCAAGCGGGCAAGATGCACCTAGCGTCAACCGTTCGGCCCTCGATAGGCTCAACCTCAGCGCCACGTTCTAACGTAGTACGAGGTACTAGGAGCACATCAAGGTCTAGCCAGCCCGTCATGTTCCATCGGCAAGGATGATGAGGTCCACCTTTACCAGGATGTCCGAGGGCCAAACCGAATCGCTTGCATCCGACTGCGTCACCCCATCCTCTGTTCTTTGGATCAAGACCGACTCTGAAGATGGCTCGCAAGATTTCTAAGACAAGCCACGACGCCCACGACAAACTAAGCGGCTGCCCACAGGGACCAACCCAACCTCGAACGAATGGATAGGCCACGGAAAAAGGCCATCAGCCATCAGTCCACTGGTCTTCTCGAGCTCCCGTACCGGGTCCACCCAGTTCACTTCTCCATCCCAAGCTCGAGACATCAACACTTGCCGCTCAAGCCAGCACTGCACCTGAGTGGCTCATCGTCACTCTAAAGAAGACTTCTATCGATCTGCTTTGCCGCCACCTCACGGGCGTCCGCGTAGGTGCAAGATCTGCATTGACCAACAGCAGTCGCCTTCTTGAGCACACATTCTCAAAGACACTCGGTCAGCACAACGTTTCTAAGCTTCATCCTTTGAGCCTGGCCGACTAGCCTACTGTAGAACTTGAGCCCTTCCATTTGGTGTGGCGCTAGCTCCATCTTTGGCAACACCGACACGCCACGGGTCAATTGGCATTTTCTAACTAGCCGGTCTCAAACTTCATTTTGCATTTAGTTCACCCACGGCCCTTCTTTAGACGCCTTGAACTTTCGTCCAGGCTCCTACAGCTTCACTTGACCTTCTTGTGGATATTCACTGAACTCACGTTCGTTATTATAAAGTCTCGGCCTTGTCAGAGGCAATTAACTGGCTAGAGGGCTTGTCCTTCAATCTCAATTCACCAGTCACTCGTTGAAACGGAAATTCACTGGAATCAACCTGAAACTGGGCAAGTCACTGGAGCAACACGTCACACAGCCTTCGGCAGCGACCCTCGTTTTCAGGTGACTTCAGCTCCAACTTGTATAAGAGCATCCACTGGGTCTTGAAATATACCAGTGCTTCGCCAGCGACCCAAAAGCATTTCGATTCGATACAGACTTGTATCTGAAAGGGCAGAGATATCAATTCAACACAAGAGCCATCTTCTCCATCACTGTGAGTTCTCCAGTCTTACTCCGTATCTGTCGATCTATTGCACGCGACACTGACTGTTCCTTAAGCCGACAACATGTACTTTCTCATTTTCTTCTCCTTCTGGATCTTCTCATTGCTCGAGCTTGCTTCGGCAACACCAATCGTCCGAAAATCTCTCAACCCTAGCTTCATCAAGGCCAGATCCCCTCTTACCAACGACGCATTTGCTACCGACAGCGACTGGCCTACCAACGTTGTCATGGTCGGAGCATCTCAAACATACGGCATGTGGGTCCCCGTCGACGGCAATTGGTATGATCTGGGCGCTATCATATGTCTTGGTTTACCAGCTTATGCCGAGGGTCCTTGCAACGGCGTCACAATTGACCAGATCGGTGTCGTCGCCGGTGACGGACCATGCACCTTCCTCGGTAACGATGGCTACAGTGGCACTGTTCCTGGCAAAGCTGGAGATGGCTACTATACGGTAGCGCCACCCCAGAACATGATGTCTGCGAAATGCGGATGATTGTCAATACCAATCTTGGACCTTCAAATCACGACGTCGAGCTGAACCAACGATTCATGGCGATATGCAACCACATGAGCATGAACATAGACCATGTTTTTAATGTCCGAGTTATTCCGAGCAAGCGATGCAATGCACACTTCAAAATTTTCGGTCTTCTTCCACCAAACTTCGAGATATGCCTCCTTTACACTCAAGGTGTACCGATTCCTGCAACGCTTGAATTGAAAATATCCAGTACATACGAACTCCGGATATGTTTCCGAAATACGAATGGAACACGGCCCAGACGGAATACTTTCTGGGTGCTCACTATCCTCCACTTGTGGGTGCTGCTGAACCTCAAGCCTCAGCTTGCAGATATTTGGGGAGTGTGTGAGTGCAGGAACCAGTTGAAAGCTAGCGAGCAGCTAGAAGTCGTGGTGCAGGGGCTTCAAAGCGTTGCAGGAGTCGTGCCGACTTGGTCAACCCTACCCCGTGCTATGTAAGATTTTCAACACACGAAGGCAGACTTCTTTACAGTACATGCGGAGATCGAATGAATCATGAATTCACCGACTGACTAGACTGCTCTTCTACATTGCTCTTCTTCATTGCCCTCCGCGGACTGTCTAACGTAACGTAGCTATCGTCGGAATTGTTCCCTAAAGGACCACGGCAGCCTTGACCACATTACTTACTATGGTAGCGCACCAATGGCACCACACCTCGCGAAATGCCGTACCCATTGGGTCCAAGGTTGCCATCTGATATTCCAATGCATCAGATGGAGTATTCTTCCTTGCCTTCTTGCCTTCTCTCTATTTTTCAACCACCCGATGCTTTTCTGATTACTCGTACTGATCTCCACGAGAATATCGTGGCCGTACTTTCTTGTTTTTTCCCAGGAGTTTTCCCTCAGCCATCTACCACATAGGTAGATATCTGCCCTTTCGATTGCCACAACATGGTGTGCCCTTGGTGATGCTCGTCCTCCTCCTTTTCTATTTCCTCCACCAGCACCGAGCAATCCTTTCCTTTCGGGCGCGGCATTGGCGAATCTCGGTGGGTCATCTGTTGTGTGGATGGTAAAGGTATCTTCTATTCGCACCCCGGCCCTACCCAAACCCTATCCATTGACTATGTACTGTGTACTCCGTAATTCGGATGAATCTTCGCCTTTCAACCCAATACGGAGGAGAAATTTGCCATCTGAAACTCGCTCGCTCACTCACACCACGCAACCAATGTAAAAACTCATATGGGAATATCACACAGTACGTACTCCGGCGCTCCTCACTGACACGTCTTGGGTATAGAACTTGAACAAACAAGCAAGCAATCAATCACTCCCCCACGCTTTTCCTTTCCGCTCTTCCTCCCTGACCACCTCACCTACAACGATCCGACACAACCACTCTGTAAGCTGGTCGACGCTCCATCCCCACTTTATCTCCTTGCTCCCTGTATTGTCATCTCTCACTCTGCGTCCCAGGTAGAAACCATGGCTATACTCCACCTCCTGCATGAACCGCTCGAGGACCTCACACTCGCTATCACCAATCGTCCATGTAAACAGCTCTTCGATCCCGTTGGCCGTCTCGTCGATGTCCATTTCTCGTCCCCGTAAGGCCATGATCTCAGGTCGAATAGTATGGCGAGCTGGGGCGTGGAACTTAGGCCGCAGAGATTTGCGGTATAGGATGTGCAATGTGCGGAAATGTGTGTTTGTAAATGACCCAGTGAGTGCGAGAGGCGCGGAGGGCGAGCGCGAGGGATCGGACGGATAGGAGGGTTGAAGGAGGTATGAGGGCAGTTTGGTGGATTTTGGATTGGAAGACCGAGAGTACTTGGTCGAGCTGGAAAGTTTGCCGGACGAGGGAATGGATGATTTCGTCTTCTCCCACCTCAGGGATTCAGGTTGATGCTGCGACTCACTGGACGTGCCATCTAGGTTACTGATCGGAGATGACGAGGCTCGCTGCTGGCTGCTGGCTGCTTGTCCAGAACCCCAAATTCTATCTCCTACGCCTGGCTGTTGAGCCGGAGGTGTCGGTGTCGGTGTCGGCTCCGAGGAGGTCGTTATGCTTATGGAGTGCTGTGAGTCCTCTTTGGCCCCATATTGGACAACGTCGATTGCAGGATCGTGGTCGTGGTCGATTTCATCTTCGTGAGCCAGCAACTCACGACGTAACTGCAAGCCTGCCTCACCCAGTGTGGACTCGTCACTGGCTGTTCTCATGCTGAAGCTGCTTTCCAGGCCATCGATATCGACGCCTCTTGATCGCTGGCTAAAGACGACTCTTCTGATCATCGTCGGTGTGTCAGGTCTCTCCGGTCCCACAGCTTGACCCAAACTCTGCCGTGAGCCTTTCAAGGCTGAACGTGGCGTTGGTGGGCGTTGAGGAGATGATACAAGCTGCTCGGCCAGCGGTGGCGATTCGAAGCTAGTATGACAAGCTTGATGTGGTGATGTTGCGCTGGACATCAAGGAGTCATTGAAATTGACTGGGATCAGGACCCGTTGTTCAGGCGATGATGGTTGACCGAGCGCATGGATGGCATCAGTCAACGAATGGGCTGTTGAATGGTCACCCTCGCCCAGCGTAGTGTTCGACTCGTGAGTCTTCACAGCGGGGGCTGTGTCATCTGGATATTCTTCTAGTTCAGCGTCCGCGTCGGACTCGCCATTTGCTTCCATAGCTTCATCATCAACGTCCTCCTTTCTTGGCGTACCGAGCATAAGGTCGATGTCGAACGTCCCACTACTTCTTCTCTGGCCCAGCTGCTGTCTTTTAATCTCGCCAGCGCCGAACTTGATCTCAGACTCCGTATCTTTCCAGTACCCCAGACCACTCATCTCATCTGCATTGGTGGACAGAAATGTGCTGTGCTCTGGCTGGGGCGGAGTGACTTCGTCTCCTCTTCTCCAGGGACTCGGGATCAGGCTTCGTCGAGGCTTCTCCATGAACTCCTTCGCTCGTTCCGCCTGCTTCAGATGTTCGGTTGGCGTAAAGAGACTGTCACCCCCAGGTCGTGAAGGCGCTTTATTATCATGTGGCGGACTGGAAGGATTCTTAGCTTCTGCGAGCCAGATGTCCTCTTCCTCGTCACCTCCAATGTCCTGATCCATATCAAACACTGGACCGACTTGCTGTGCATGGTCTGACATGCCGGACTCGTCATCGCTGTCGATCACAATAACCTGGCTCTCGCTCGCGTTCTGGATCTGTCTTGACACTGCCTCCCTCTCGAGCTGCCATTCACGTTCGCGTCGAGCCATTGTGTCGAGTATTGCTGGATCTCTCTGTGTTGACACCTGGGTTTGAGGCGTCTGGATCATGTCTCTGCTTGTTCCTTTCGACCGCGACTCTGTGCTACTCGAGGTATGTACGGGAGTGCGTTGAACCACATTCTCGCCTCTCCAGACCTGAGTGACGGGTTGAGGTCTGACCAACGTATGCAAATGAGATTCTGCCGAGATGCTCAGGCGCCGGAGATTGTCTGCAGCACACGTACCGGAGCCTGCTGGAGCTGCTCTGATAGCCGCATCGGAAGACTGTCGCTTTGCTAATTCTTCCCCGAAGCGAAGCCCGGCCCTCAATTCACGTTTCGTGCCAGAGTCGAAGCCCTCAAACATATGGTCATGTTGGGCCCCAGTGCCTCCGCTTGAAGAGTCGAGTGTCTGCTTAGACGTGACGTTACGGCTGGCATGCTCGGGTGACACCACTTCCTGCAAAGCAATGCCTGCAAACAATGCAGAAGCGGAACCACGATGTCGATGATTGGAAGATCTTTGTACCACGTGTCGTGGTGGTGAAGGTAGCTTCGGAGAAGAATAAGGCTGTGGCGTTACCTTTCGAATACCTGTTGACGACGAAGAAGGCAGTTGAAGTAAGTTCTTTTGACCTTCCACAACTGGCGGAGAGGATGGCACTGTGCTGGAAATATCACTCTCCTCGACATTGAGAGCGGGATAGCTGACATCGGCCTCTTGCTGGGACAACCGGGAAGCTTCGACAGGGCCGGCGTCCATTCGCCCCAATTTGTCGGGTACTTCATCGTTTTCAGTAGTAGATACCTGCATAGGGTCTGCCAATTTGCTCTCTTCCGCATCCACGGGAGCGCTGCGATATTGTCTGGCCGATGGCAACGTATCCAGGTCTATCATTGTAAAGCCTTCGCTCTCTAATACCGTGTCGAAGGTTTCGCCTCCAAATAGAGTTCCAGTATCTTGCTCGAGAGCATGTCCCACATCATCATAATCGCCATGAAATGATGAGGAAGGAGAAGGTGTTGGATAACTTAGTGCGCTGTTAGCGGAGACCTTGCGTGTTTCCGTTCCCTTCTGTGTCGCAATCTTGGAAAGTCGGAGCTGCTGATCGAGATTTCCGTCAGAATTGTCATCCCCTGCCTTTGACCTTGTTGATGGTGCTCGCGGTCGGACAGAGACTCTATTCAGGTCGATGCTGCGCAATTCTGGAGAGTCAATATCTGGTGTGGCTTGTACTTGCTGGACACACTCGTCGACATCTTCAGCATCCGTATCTTGTCGCACATCGAAACCCGCGACAGCGGTCTTTCTTGTCGCTTTGGCTGGAGATGAGCCTGCTACTTCCGAACCACTCTGCTTTCCGCTGCGTGATGCATTCCTCTTCTTGCGTGGAGATTTCTTCTGCTTGAGCCAGTCGTCCTCTTCTGCATCATCTCCCAAAGGTCTGGCATTCAGGTCTGTCACACTCTGTCTTCGCGACCGACTGCTGTTTCTTCCTCCTCGTACAGGTGTCCCACTTCGCTTGTTCTTCTCTGAGCCTGTCGAAGTCCCTGTCCTTCCTCTCGAGGAGGGTTTGTTCGTCGGCGATGAATCCGGTCTCAATGGTATCTTGATTGTACGGGCCATTATCCTCGGCGCGGCGCCTTCGAGCTCGGAATCTTCTGGCGCAGCCTCTACTGTGACTCTGATCTTCCAAGGACTCAAGTTCTGTTCGGATACTGTACGAAACGGAGAAGATGAAAAGGCCGCGCTCGAAATCCTCCTTGTGGTTTTCAATGCGGCTGCGCTCGTCTTGCTTGGTGAGGATAGTCGACTTGGGCGTGCGACATATTTCTCATTGGCTTCGTCAGTAAATGAAGTCGCAAGCGGGTCAGGAGAACTGAGTTCGTCGTCTCGGTAGGACGCAAGAACCGAAGGGGATCGTGGCATTGTGATGGAAGGAGCCTGAGTGGAAATTTGGTGGTATGCTCGGACTGCATCCACATGTTCAAGCCATGCGTCAATTGCTTCACTGCCTTCGAACACGCTTGGAATCCTCAATTGTGAGCCCGTAGAAGCCTGAAAATCGGTCTGGGCAGTACAAGGATCCTCTACTTGTGGCTCTTTTTTCTTCACTGGTCCTCTAACAGCATATGCCTGCTCTGGCTCGCTTCTTCTGCGTGTTTGTTTACTATGACATCGACCAAAACGCTTCTGATTGGTCAAGAAGTGTAATTGAGGATAGAAATTCCTTATCGTCTGACACTCATTATTTGATAGTTTTGCATTACTCTACTATGAGATCTTCCCCAAATATTATGTCAGACAACCACATTTTGCCCTCTGCACGTTCTCTTTACCTTTGCCGGCCACCGACTGACTCTCAAAATGTTGAGAAATCATAAGTTGCATAGTTGATCGCTGGACCAGTCGTGGGACCAAAAATCTCATAGTCATTGACACCCCATTCGGGGTGATTGATACCATCAATCCAAGCCTGGGTCTCGATGACCATACAACCATACTTGTTGACAAACTTGGCAGCATCGGAGGTACCGTTGTTCCTCTGCTGCTGGCTCTGCTTGACCGGTATTGTGCCATTCTGACCATTGCATGTGTATATCTGCAGACCTTGCTGGTTGGTGGAGACATCCATTTGTATGCCAGTGGTGTCGGACCACAAAGACAGTACGGGATAGTTGGAAGATGTCGGGCCTGCATTGGCCGGTCTGTCGAGGATGAAAGCGTTATCAACTCCCGTGCATCCTGCGCCACAGACTCCGGTGGCATTGCTGATCGCGTTGCCCACAAGCTTGGGCGTCGTGAAGTCTAAGTTCGGTAAATCTGACACAGACCCCAGGGCACCTGTTGGAATTTCGATTGAGTCGATAAGAATGTACCGGTCTGCGTACGGCATCCACAAAGTGGTATCATTGAGGATCGTGGACCGCTTGAACGCGTTCAGATTCCAATATATATGGTTGGCCAACATGATGGGCGTCTCCTGGTCCAGCGCAGATGACACCATATTGCTTGTCAACCGTGGACGCATCTGCCCTTGCGGCCCACTAGGATAGCTCGACAGCGAGAAGGTGGCCGTGGTCAAGACAGTGCCGGGAAATCCCTGGAAGCCTGTATCGAGCAGACTGAACGTGATGCTTGACTCTGAAGCGGTAACGACGGTCCAATTCCGCTGATCATATCCGACAGTACCACCGTGAAGGGTGTCGGCACCCGCGTGTTCGTTCGCGGGTATATGATAAGTCTGACCATTGAGAGTGAATGTGCTGTTCTTGATACGGTTGGCGTAGCGTCCAACTACGGGACCAAAGTAGGTGTGATTTGTTTCCGTGTCTCTGAGATATCGAGTAGGGTCGTCGTATCCCACAGCGACATCCTGGTAGTTGCCATCACGGTCTTGCACGAGCAGGGAGGTGAGCCGAGCACCATACGGAATGAATTTGGCAGTGATGTTTTCTGCAGTCAGAGTGTAAACGGTGAAAGGATTGACTGGAGCGGTCAAGTTCGAAGTTGTAGAGCTGTTCTGGCACAAGGCAGGCAGGACAACGCTTGAGGCAAGGAGCACTTGAGTAATCGCCGACCACATCTTTGCCGTAATTACAAGCACGAACTGCCACGTGTAGGAACCGGCAGCACTGTAGATTTGCGACGTGTGGGAAGCGGCACAAGACAACAACTTATACCTTGTACTACCACTGTTGCGTGGGCAGGTTACATTCATGAGAAAGCTACCACTCTCTGGCCGACGCCAGCGGAGATGCAAAAGAGGTGAGATGATGCTACTGTGGATCAGCCGTACCAGCAACAACCAGGGCTTTGTGTGGATGCAGGACCAGCCTTTGCGAGAGGTTGAAGCATTTGTAAAGTGCGGGGAGGCGGCAGGAAGGAGTTTGGGGGAGGAGGAGAAACAGCCCGAAAGATACAAGTACAAGGCCCTGTCGATCTCGATGACACCGTGTGACGTCCACCAGAAAGACCTACTACTAATACACTACGAGTAGCTCCGTACGAGTTTGAAGTATCCTTCGTGATCCTTGTACAAGTACATCGGTCTGAGCTGTTGATCCATGTGATCGCTTGGGAAACACCGGCATCTTTCCTCCTTGAGCCAACGATCCAATGCAAGCCTACTGGCCATCTGTAAAGCCCCTCGAAAGGAAATGTCCCACTGTGATCTGGTTCTGCCGGCAAATCGGCAATACTCCATACTCCAAGCTATTCTGAGCTCCGACCACAATTGTACACCGTATATCGTGGCAGTTCGTCGCTTGTCACCCGATGCAGTTCACTTCAGCCTCATGAAACTCCCGCCGTCTTCCTTGGGTCTACATCCACCAAATGAACATCCAGATACACTGGCCAGTCTGGTGCCAAGTTGCTTCGTGACTCGGAGAGAGGTTTGAGTGCTTCTTCGATAGCTTTCTTGTCCACTTGACCCCGGGGTTGAGACTCAATTTGTGCAAACTTCAACAAATCTTCCTCAAGTTCCTCGGCCAGCAGACGACTCGGCTGCGGCAGGAATGTCCCTTGTCTGCCCTGATGTGTATGAAGTGTGGCATAAGGCAACGCTGGACGGGTCGCGGCTTTCTCAGCCAGGTCGCTGAGCGCATTCAAGCCACTCATACCACCAATTGTTCTGGTCGAGCGCGTGATGTGCACGTTCTGGCTGGCTGATCGATCCATTTCTGGTGCTTCAAGCTCTTCCTCATCTGACGATCTACTGTCTACAGAACCAGCTCGCTTATCATCTTCGTACTTGCCCCGCCTCCTCGTATTGCTTGTCTCGCCTTCTTTACGTGACGTGGTGAAGAAGTGGCGAGCTGCAATCTGCGCTTGATGAGACTGAAAGTTGAGTTCTTTGTCGGTGAACAAGGAGTGGATGGAGTAGAGGGGCGCGGTTTGGTTTGACATTGCTCCCCGGCTGCGATCCGCAGGAGTAGACAACCCGTTCCGTGAGGGCGAACCAACATCTTCGTCTGCAAGCTTGCGCTTTCGTTTGTTCATCTCAACTCCATTCAAATCTTCTTGCTCTCGATGTCTTGTAAACCTTGTCTTACGACTTGTGTGGTTTCCTCCGGGACTTGCAGGGTTGGTAATGCTGAACTGACTGGGGTGAAGAAGAAGGGCGTTGGTATCGGCAATATCGAGCTGCTCTTTCTCTTTCATCAGCCGCTGTCTCTTGTTCGAGAGCGACTGAAAAAGCCGTTCACGAAGAGTCGAGGTCATGTGTTCGCACTCCTCAGCTGCAAGGTGCAGCCGGTAGTCGCATTCGTATTTTAGCCTTTCCAAGCGTGCATTATGATTGTTCTATGGCCATGTTAGAGCTCGAGCTTTGCAGTTTCCACTCGCATGCGTACCATGAGTTGTATTAGAGCCAGCTCTTTTGCTTCTTTGGCATCATTGACCTCGTGGACGAATTCGGCATACCATTTGCCAGCCAATGACGACATTTGTGACTGATATGGTGTTCCAGATGCAGCCAACTCTGCGATTCTTGCAATCTCTTCTGGTGAGTCCTCAAGAGGTTCAGGGTCATAGGGATCAGCTTGGGAAATGAGGCTCATGTCAGTCTGGAGGGCAATGAGCTGTTCGCGATAGTGCTGTTCACGGTTGGAAGCAAGATCATTGTAGAGCTCCTGCTGGTGAGCAACATGTTGATTTCTTCGTTTGTCTCTTTTCGACAGAGGCTGCGCTGGAGGAGTAGGTGAGCGACGGTGTGGGTAGAGGGAAGCGTCAGGACCCGTAAGGGGCGGCGTTGGCGACGGTGAGTATGCCATCTCCAAGTGGACGACAAGGCTGCCTCACAGTACGGTGTCTAGCGGACTTTTAAAGAGATAGAAGAGAACCTGCTCTACAAGAAGCACCACAGCGAGGACTGCGAAGCCCACAGGGTTGACCCAGGTCCAGGAGATTCTGTCCGGAATAGCAGGTCAGCCGAAAAACCTAGTCTTATCTTATCTATCACGTGCTAGCTTTTATCAGGGACCTCGCCGCGGCTTCGTCCTGCATGTTGTTGAATACCCAGAGATGAATAGAACGGAATAGAATGCTTCACATTCCCAGACTATTGTATTCATTTCCCGACTGCATAGTTTTCAATCCCTTCGCAGCCCATATAAAAGGCTTGGCCAGCCTAAAGCTCACAACTCCGCAGTCTTGATACCCCATTGCTTGGTGATGCTTGCACAGATGGATACTTCCGGGTCCTCATCGACTGATGCTTCATATTTGTCCAGAGCGTATATTCTGATGTGACTGCTGACCTCGAACATCCCTTGAGGCCTGTGAGCTGTATCAGCCATCCCGTCTATCCCGCAAGTCGATTCGCCCAATGATTTTCGGTTCCGATCACTCTGTGACGGTGACAGTTGCACGGCCCATCGCTGAACACGTCGTCTGGAAATTCCTCAGGCACATGTCTATGAAGTACAGATTCGCTGTGCAGCTGGCACGATATTTCCGATTACTGCCCTGCTTACTTGGTTACGAACTGGCCTCGTCTTCAGGCAACGTGCCCCGCCTCCACAATTCCTAGGTGACTGGGCGATACCGAAATAGCCAACATCCCCCGCATCATCCCTTGTTGGACATCTACACCGACCACTATTCATAATCTTACAGCGAGGCTGGCACTTCTTCTTGGTCAAGAATTTTATAAATTTCAGTGTTCGGTCATTGACTTCCCATCCGGCTTCCAAAATGGGACCAACAATCATACATTCTGTCGTCCTCTTTGACGGCACCTCGACTCATCCCAATGCCACAGTCACATTTGACCCGGAGAACGGCATTATAACCTCCGTATCGACATCTTCCATCACCAGCTCACGATTCCCTTCAGATGCTACGGTCATTGACGGCGAAGGCCACACTCTTCTGCCAGGACTCATTGAATCGCATATGCACGTCCATGGCCTCCATCTTCCTCCTGGGGCAGATGAGTCTGGTCTCTTACGGGCCCCTCTGAGATGTGGTGTTACCACGGTGTGCGATATGCACTCCGATCCGGCAACCGTGATCAAGCACCGCAAGGTTATTGCCGAGGAGCTAGCCCAGGCCAGAAAATCCAATGGGACGGTGACCATGTCCGATCTCAAAAGCTCGCTCTATGGAGCGACAATCGAGGGCGGATGGCCGAAACCTATTGTGCTGGGCCACGATCCTACAGAAGAGGTAAGACTGGCCTTGGATCCGCAGCGAGACTTGACTGGTCGGAGAACTTGCTCACCGATTACAGCTCAAGGCATACGTCTCAACATGGCCAAATGTAACGATTGACACTGCCGAGGACTTTGTCAAGAGCCACAAAGTACAAGGTGCGGACTACATCAAGCTCATGCAAGAAAACTGCTGTTCCCTTGCCATGCCCACCGGTGCTATTCCTGTAGCCACACTTGAGCTCCAGACCGCCGTGGTAAAAGCTGGTCACGCTGCTGGTTTGCCTGTCGTTGGTCACGCACTAAGTGTCGATATGACCGAAGTCGTCCTCAAAGCCGGTGCAGACGGTCTGACGCACACTTTCGTTGACCAGCCTCCACCACGGAGCATTATCGATCTCTACAAGCAGAACAATGCTTTTGTCATCCCGACTTTGACGGTGCTGGCCAGCTTGACGGACGAGCTGCAGGACTGGCGGGACAAGTTCGCCCAAATTGCGAGCCGGAGGAAGGTCGTGGACGACTTTACCTTGCAGAACATGAAAGAGAGCCTGAACTCGAAAGACGCGGCAGCCAAGCTTGAGTACGCATTCGAGACTGTGAAGAAACTCAGGCAGGAAGGTATCGATGTTGTCGCTGGGACTGATGCTGTGGCGGGACTGAAAGGCACTGGAATCGGACCCAGCTTGTGGATGGAGATGCTGTTGTATATCGAGAAATGCGGCATGACCGTGACCGAAGCGCTGAGTTCGGCGACGGCAGTCTCTGCGAAACGATTTGGGTTTAGTGATCGAGGAGTCGTTGCCGAGGGCAAGAGAGCTGATCTCGTTCTTGTGAAAGGCAATGTCAGTGAGAAGCTGGATGCTCTGTGGGAAGGTGATGGTATTGTCGGAGTGTGGAAGCAGGGTATCAAAGCTGCTTAGGCTCCCTCGAGTGCATCAATATTGATGCGTCATGTTCAAGATATCTACTTTGTTATGATGGTCGGGGAGAAAGTCTGATACCTCAAAAATGTCTACGTTGGCGACGTCGAGGATATGCTTCAGGCAACTTTGGACTTCTAGGCTTGGCCAAGCTTGTGCTTACCTAGATACCTGGACGAGTACCACCTTTTTCCCATCTGACTGAGAAACATGACCACTCCTTCGTGTTTCTTCCATCTATCACATTTATCACGCAGACGGATGTCTTGAAACGACATTGTGGCGCTCAATGGCCCCTTGTTTCATAATGAATGCGGATGATCAGGCGTCCCTCGTGCCTCTTCAGCCTCAGAACATCCAGCTCCTTATTAGCCTGATCATGCCGAAGACCAATGAAGCCAGTCAACCCATCAGCTTTGTCTGTTTGTTGAAGAACCCAACCTTTCCATGCAAACCATAGACAGGCGCACGAGCTCAACACTGCGTTCAAGATCTATGTTGAAGCAGTCCTGAACTTGCCGTAAATATTGACTTGAGATCGAGGTTCAATGGCGGAGTCGGGCTCTACAGCCTATGGTCCATATCTTTCCAGGGTCAAGTCTCTAGAGGACGCTTATCCCGCTCTTAACCAGCTTTTCTTCAAGCTATCAGAGTTTGGCGATAGGGGCCGGAAGGTCGTCGACGTTACTTACCGAGACGAATATGGCATTCTACCAGGACGGTGTGCTGTTCTCGAGTTCAAAGACGGAAATGTTAGTCACGAGCAATTCGACCAGCCCAAGGATCTGCGGCTCCATTTTGCGACTATCAAGAACAGCAAGCAGGAGACAGATGCATGCCGCTTATATATCCTCGAAGACCTTGAACCTGAGTTCATAGAGCTGCTCGGTGACGGAATTGGCGTCGACCCGCTTGTCTTTGCTGAGCAAACAAATGCTTGGTATTTTACAGATGTCCAGTCACTCGGGCACCGCCAACTACCTTCTTTGAATCGACCACAGAAGTCCTTCACACTCCGTTACCATGAGCTTCGTAAGCTTGACTTCGAGTATAGGCACGATCTCTCAGACTTGCGCAGCCAGATGACCTTCGCAATAAATCGAAGGTTATACGAGCCTTGGGTTGTTGTTGAATCGCCCAGCATGCCGACGGAAGACTCGGTGGGCGTTGTCCGTCGCTGTGTCTCGTTCTGGACAAGTCAGAGAAAGGAACACGCCTCTGGATCTGGGTGGAATGGTAAGCCTCGTCTTATCCGAAGTAACACAAAATGACTCACACCTCACCAGCTGTCATGCTGGTCGACCCACCAATGAATGTCGCCCGAGCCAAACGGGATGATGGAAAATGTGTTGATCAAGCTGAATCTCCTCTTAACTACATCTTTAGCGGAGAAGATTTCGGTAGTCGGGGTGAGTTGTGGGAGGCTCGAGACGGCGATGTGTTTTTCAAGCTGGGAAAGAAGCGACATGCCAGCGAACCATATCACAAAGGCTGTACAACTCTTTACCCGCTCTCGTTCTCTTCTCCGGAGCGCCTGAAGACCGCGGACGTGATAGCAAACGCATACCACAGAAACATGGATTCCCTCTTCGATGAAACGATTTTCTACTGGAAGAACCTCGCCACTGCGGAGGACGTGCGAAGTGTCCGCAAAGACTCGGTGAATTCTACGTATCATCTTCTGAAGCACATCGGTTGCCATTGGACGAATGTCTTGGAGCTGATCTCTCACACCCTTGCCCAAAGTGAATACTTCAGCGATGACAACCCTGCAACCAGACCCAAGCATATGAGCACTGCGGAATGGAGACGAGAATTCTACAACGTTGTCGAGGCTAGCCACAAAATCAACTACTTTCGGCGGAAAATGATATATTTCGAGGCCAACATGGCCTTGAACCTTGAACGTCTCGGTGCATCCCTCGACTGCGACCTGCAGATTGACGACGCGCCGAAGCTTCCGCGCGCACTTTCTGACGCACAGAGAGACTTCCAGGTGCTTGCATCGCGCCTCAGACCACTCCGTGAACGAGCAAATAATCTCTCCACAGTTGCTAAGGATATCGCATCACTCAGGGCGGCATTTCAGGCCATCGAAGACGGTGCAAGCGGCTTGTCTCTGAGTATCCTGGCCACGGTCATTTTCCCGTTCACGCTCGTGGCTTCGATGTTTAGCATGGCGGACAATTTCAAGCCTGGAAATTCCCAGTTCTGGTTATTCTTCGCGGTTAGCATTCCACTGAGTGCAGTCATTATTCTGTTCCTGATACTCAACCAAAACTGGGAGTACTGGCGTAATTATGGTGTTCGAACATTGCGGTCTATTGTCGAAAGAAAGGAAAGTCAAGCAAAAGACAAGGACGACGCGCAGATGAAGAGCATGGAGCTCCCTTTGTGACAGCTACGACGGCCGTGCAGGTGGGGAACACCATCGGCGCTCATCCTACACAGTAAGATTCTCCACGAATCTCTCACTTACCGTGCCAACGGAAATCAAGCATGCCTTGCAAGACCCTGCCTGATTCGCTCCGCTTCGACCCGGCCAGGAGTGACAGGGTTCGTATACAAGGGTCAACTTAAAGCGTATCTTTTCCTTTCTGAGGCAACATGATTGAGTATACAGCTGCTGGCCGCTCCAAGCTTCATATCCTGCAATTGTGGATCCTCTGCGCTCGGTTAACTACTCTCGTTGACATGGACACTACTGCAATGCTGCGTTGTCAAACTGCTTAAATGCACGACCACTTTCCAGAGCCCATGCGTGAGATAACGCCAGATTTGAGGTACTGATCTCCCCGGTGAGTACTCCGTGCCTTTTTGCGCGTCACCCTCGTACACAACTCTTCACCGTCGATCTGCGGTCGCGTATTAGCTCTGCTCCCTGCTTTGTCCAGTTTCTCAACCTGATTCCGTCAAAATGCTCGACCCCAAGGTGGAAGACCTGGAAGCTCTGGCAGAGACATGCATGAAAACAGCAAAACAGATAAAGGAATACCTCGCGTCCAACAACCTCCCACAACCCACCTTCGACCAGAATGGGCCAGAGTTCTTCCCGCCAGTCATTCCTGAGATCGATGGTGCCCGACTCGAACTCCGTGCAGCTGCGAAGAGGCTGTATGATTTGTCTGCTGGCCCCGACGAAGTTTTGACATGGCATACCTATCATTGCGTGCGTAAATCCCCCTTCCACACCTGTCCCTGCAAGCTACGGAGAAGCATGATATGCATGACACCCACGTGGACAAGGCCCTCCCGCCTCTTTCCACGCCTGTCCTGACCCGCCTGCAGGCTCATGATCTCAACGCCTTCCGCTATGTGCATCGGTACAACGTCCCATCCGCCGTCCCGCTCGACTCAAGCATCACCTACCCAGAGTTAGCGTCCAAACTGTCTCTGGACCCTTCACAGCTCAAACAAATGCTCCGCCAACTCATGGCAATCCACGTCTTCCACGAGCCCTCACCAGGTCTTGTCGCACACACGGCATCCTCCCGGCTCCTGTCTCACTGGGGCGTCGGCTCCTTCAACAACTTCATCGCGGAAGACACCTTCCCCGTCGCCGCTAAAGTGGTCGAAGCGCTCGAGCACTACGGCCACGGACGCCAGGAACCGAACCGCGCCGCCCTGAATTTCACAAACAATACCGACCTGGTGCAGTACGAATGGTACGAGACGCAACCCGCCCTGCGCGACCGCTTCAGCAAGATCATGACCTTCATGTCCCAAGCGCCCGTCATGGCGAACGAGCACGTCGCGCGCGGCTTCGACTGGAAGTCTCTCCCAGCAGACAGTATCGTGGTCGACGTCGCAGGCAATGTCGGACACTGTTCGATCCCGATCGCCGAGGCCAATCCGAACCTGAAGATCATCGTGCAGGACCTGCCCAAGATCATCGCGCAAGCGTCGAACCCGGAAACGAGTGTGATCCCCGAACCCCTCCGCTCGCGCTTCGCCTTCATGGAGCACAGCTTCTTCAATACCCAGCCGGTCAAGGGCGCGGCCGTCTACTTTCTCCGGATGATCATGCACGACTATAGTGACGAGTACGCCCTCAAGATCCTGCGCCCCATCGTGCAGAGCATGAGCCCGGACTCGAGGATCGTCATCATGGACCAACTGATGCCGCCCACCGTTGGCGTCCTACCGTACGATGTGGAGCGGATGATGCGTACGACGGACCTGCAGATGATGATGCTGACGAATGCGAAGGAGAGAGACGAGGAAGAGTGGAAGGATTTGGTGGCCCGGGCCGGCGACGGCCTCGACCAGGGCGTGTTTGCTGGCACCGACACAGACGCAGCGCACAAGGGAAGGGGTAAGAAATTGGGGATCAAGAGCATCCAGACCCCACCCGGTAGTACGTTGAGTGTGATCGAGGTCGGCTTTGTGGACGAGCAACAGGAGCCGAATGGTATGGCCAATGATACGGCTTGAGGGCCATGGTTTGCCTGTCCCCATGGTCCGCGGTTATGGCCACAAATTTCACAAGCCCGTATGTAGAGAATTTAACTGACTATTAATTGCACTTTGGGCCCCGGAAGGGTGTCCCTCCGAATGAGCGAGCTCTTCTTACCTGACTGTCGCAGTGAAGATGGATACTACTAGTACCTCTAATTCGTGCGAGTCCAGACTACTCTGGGTAGAAGTGCTATAGCGAGAAAAGGATGACTACGTGTGAAAACCAGCCAGCTTCGACCGGATAGTAGAGTCACAACGTAGTGAAAGTGCATTCGAATGTATGATTCCCATTCCTAGAATACACTAGACATAATTCTCTTCTGTTTGAGAGTCAGGGTGAGGACACACGAGAGCTCGAACCCACTGCACTTGACCATGGAGACACATCAAGAGCTCAACATGATACAAGCAGCATAAAGCACTTCAATCCAGCCAGCACTGGCCTCGGCAATAACGTCCACCATGGAGACACACGGGAGCTCAACATGGCATAGGCAGCTCAAAGCATTCCAATCAGCACCGGCTTGGTAACGACATCAGCCACGGAGACACACAATGAGCTCGACGTGGCTTCAGACGCACCACCCTTCTGACAAATATCTCCATAATCATACAGTATCGACCTGGATGGCCTCTGTGGACCTATGCTTCCAGGTATTGGACGTCCATTAAGTCCTTCACGCATCCATCATCTCCTCGGGATCAGTAATCCAAACAAGTTCTCTTCCCTCAGCTTCAGCTTTCCTTGCTGCCTCCAATCCTGCATCGAATTCACGATTCCAAAACTCGCGCGACTCTTGAGAGTCTCGTTCAGTCCAGTTCTTTCGGACAAGATCGTCAATATAAGACGAGGCGATGCCGGCTTCAACATAGGTTTGTGGTTCAAGCCAGTCAAGGTTCGCTGCCCATTCATCGTATTGATGTTCTCTCTCATAGTCTGTCATTCCATCTTCTCCAACAACAGTGTTGTCTAACGGTTTGCGTGCAACTGGTGTCGGGGTTGGTGATAAGGTTGTTTGTGTAGGAGTATCCGCATGCGTCCTATCTCGGATTGGAGGTGTGGTTGATACCTCAATCTGTGATTCTCGGAAGGTGCTATCTTCTCCAGGTGGTGAGGAGGATCGTGATCGCGCTTGTTCGGTGAGAGAGAGGCGTGATGAACGTGCTGGCTTGTATTTCTGCGCATCGGATCTTGCCTTCTCCAAGCGGCTCTCGGCTGTTTCGCCCATCCCACTGTCGTTTTGAGAGGTCGATGATGGCGTAGCTGGTGCAGCTCCGGGAAGCTCTGCGTGCGACATCCGAGGTGTGCTAGGTTGTGGAGGAACATCTTCTGTTTCTTGATCAAGTGTGACTGTGTCTTCGTCATCCATGTATTCGTCGAGATCTGGAACACGGAAATGACCGGGAGAAGGATTCGCGAGGGATGGCCGCCAGCTGTCGTCGTTCGGATCGAAAACACTGGTGTCAAGTCGGAACTTGGGAGTCTTGTTGTTCTGCGTGTTCTCAATAGTAGTAGGAGAGTGCATGCCGCTCACTTCTCTGGCCGAGATACTAGACAGAGAGCTGTCTGATTTTTCTGATTTGTCTGATTTCTCCGACGGGTCAGAGAACATGCTGCCATGGTACTGCCCAGAACGACCATATGTTCCGTAGACATGTTTGACTGAGGTTTGGGAACTGATGCGCACCGATTTAGCAGATCGTCCGAGAGTGCCGAAGCCGTTCGGCCGCAATGCCGAGCGCAGAGGAGTCTGGGGTTCCATTCTGTTCGCTGGGGTGGATGGTTGGCCATTTTGGAGTTGTGTATCTTCAAGTCCTTCGACCTCCTGGTCTTGGTCCAGGTAACTGTCATCGATACCAAAGCCACCTCTTCTGGGTGGAGGTATCGCGCCATTGACAGATGCCAATTTGCGTTTGCTAGTGCCTGATGTTTCGACAGGATTAAATTGCGAGTCCGCCTCGTTATTGTTGTTGCGCATAGCTGCGAGCTGTTCACGACCTGCAATTGTGTTCGCCATTCGTCGGCGTTTGAAGTGTTCTCTTGTGAAGATCCTGCTATCCAGTATTTCTGGTTGTGGAGTAGGAGATTCAGGTTCAGGAGTGCGTGGTGAGGGGGTAGGGCTTTGTGGTTCGGCCGGTTCTTGAATCGGCGTTTGTTGACGTTGCGCGTCTTCTCTGGGACTGCCGCGTTGTTGTTGTTGCGGTTGTTGTTCTGCCTCACCCTGGGCGCCAGTGAAGTAGCCAAAGATTTTCTTCACACTGCCAAAAAGACCGCCTGCTCGCGCTGGAACTTGTGTAGGTGTTTCTGGCTGCCTGGCTCTTTCGTAGCTCTCGTCAGTTCTTTCTGAGGACTTGGGGGTGGTATTTGGTCTTTCGACTGGCGAGATGACTCGTCTCGTGAATGGTGATTCGCGTCGGTGGGAGAGTTTGGGGGGAGCGGAGGTTAGAAGGCTTCGGTTTCGTGTGGTAGAGAACATGAAGGTGCCGCGAGAGCGAGGTTGTTCTGGTGTGATAGCTTTTCGCTGTCGCTTCGACTCGCTTTCGGCCGCGTCATCTTCGCGGCGTCGCTTCGCGCTCGTGGTCTCTGGATAGCTAGTTAGATCTACATCCGTCTGGGTAGATGCGTCTTTGTATAAGGGAACAACGGGTGCAGGCACTTTGGGAGTGCGTGCAACACGGGGACGGGCCATTCTTCGCTCACGTTTTGGTGGTTGATACACTGCAAAGCCCTCGGGTCGGGCGCCTTGCCCACGGGTGTGAGCCATTGTTGTGGTGTTTATGTGGTGGTGAAGGAGGAAGTAAATTAAAAGTGAGGCTGATATGAGATGAGTTGAGTCGGGATAACCGCATTAGGTTTAGTGCCATGGGGCTTGGCAAGACAATGCTGAGTCCGGGGAAGACGCCATTGTCATTCTTGCGAATAGAGCAGTATAGGAGAGGAGTTCACCCTGAAGGCAGCGGTTGCAGATTTGGGTAATTGTCAACACTGTACTCTGAGGCATAAGGGGATCCCCCAATGTGATAGGCGCGGTGAGCCCCCATGGACTAATACGACCATCAGTAGTGAGGTTATGGTGTTCCCCAAACTCCAGAGTAGGTGCCCTTCTATTCCGGTGCTGTCGCTCTGGGACAGACGTCAAGCATACAGGCATCATCAGATATCTTTGCTTCTACGGAGCATTTCGAGTCTCCAGTCGAGCGCAGCCTCGCGCTGATAAGGCTGAAAGCCACGTGACTCGCCAAGACCGTTTACAATTGAAGCTCTCTTCGATCTCAATCCCAGATCTATCGTACCACCAACACGCTGTATTCTCACACGTTGCTCCATCCTCACAATGGATCAACTCTGCACGAGGTGTGCGAGACTGAGTCTCATATCCCCACGCAGGACCTCATCACTAGCCTCCACGAGCATCACTCGAAGATTTTCCTCTGGGCGCATGCTGTGCGCTGAAGGTAGATCACTCTCCTCTCTCACCTCCTAATTCATCTAACCAGTCCCGAGCAGACAATTCAAAACCACCTCCAAACCGAACACCTTCTTCGGGTCCGCGTATCATCCGAGAATTTGTGAACCCATCAGCCAAAAACTCCAGCCAAGGTGCCGGCCCTCCACGCGTCCTCCGCCAAACAGGATCACCCGTCCAGCGCGGCACACTCCTCCGCCGAAATGGTGCAGGCCCATCTCGTCTCCAGGGTGCGGCTACCGGCCAAAACGAAAGATCTTCCACTCCGCCAGGCCCCATACTTCGACGCACCGGAGCTCCTCGCACCGGCCCATCAACCCAACGACCTCAGCGTTTTCAACCTGGGACCGCTCGAGCGGCGGGTGCCACGGGCCCCAAAATCGACAAACGCATCCGACGCCGCGACCAACGCACTGCTAGAAAAGCCGCCGAAGAAGACGAAGACGAGCTCGACATCGAGGAGAAAGTCGGGCACTATATCAACACGGTGATCGATCCCCCTCCCAACCCGACCGAAGAAATCATCCACAAGCCCGGGCAGGACATGTCTATCGAGTCATTGCGCGCCGACTGGCCGAACACACCCTTATCCGCGACCGGTCTGACCGAGACAGTCCAGCAGCGCATCGAATGGCTCGCGCACCGCCTTCCGCATGGATACCAGACGCCTCAGCAGCTCGCGGAGCGGTATGTCAAGGGCTACTTCACGCGGTTCGAGTCCGAAGAGGAGAAGAAAGAAGTGGTCCATCTGGCCGAGGAGATGGCGCAGAAGCGTGCGGACGAGATCACAGAACGCAAGAATGTTGAGGTCAAGCCGAGGGATATGTCCTTCGACGATGTTGTTTCACGTCAAGCAGAGCGCCAGGGTCTGGCCGATACCTATGTCAGGGGCAAGTACGCGGAAGTTCAGAAGCAGAAGATGCCGTTCTTGGATCATGTCGTGGAGAACCTGAACAACAACGTAACCTACAAGGGGCCGGAGACAGACCAGTTCATGCAGACGGTTCAGAAATTGATGGCTGCGGGACGTCCTGGACAGGCTCAAAAAGGTGCTTGAAGATGGATCGCTGCACTGTTGATAAGCCATAAGCCTCTCGAAGCATGGCATGAGCCGTGTTCGCTTGACGTAGTCGCCTAAGGGTTCGGGTCGGAAGTAATGGACCTAATTCATGTATTCTCTAAAGAAAGACAGTACTTTCTCTTTCCAACCTGGTTGAGAACGCTCCATATGCAAACCACTCAAGATCTGTCACTGTTCCACGCTCAGACACATCTAACACATTCAACCTTCGACCTGTGAAAGCCATTTCACAATACCTCGACCTCGCGCGATATTAGCACGAAACGGCTTCCTATCATGTCTGTGCATTTTCTTCCTATTCAACTTCTCCCACTTCTTCTTTTCTTTCTTTGATTCAGCGTTCTCAACCTGGATTTGGACCGGGGCTTCATTTGTGACAAGCCTATGCTCGCAGCAGACAGGGCATGAGTGGTGTGTCGCCTGGAGGTTTTGTGTGCAGCGGACGTGGAAACGTTTCTTGCAAGGCAAGGCTATTATCATGTCCAAGTGGAAGATCGCCTCGGTGCAGAACAAACAATGGCCAATCTGCTCGCTGGAAGCTTCTTGAATGAATGGCCACAATTTTCGTCCGACGAAAGCTCTCGCATCCGCAAGTTCGTCCTCCTTCCGCTTCCGAGCCTCGAGATTGTCCGATATAGCTGCATACCACTGAGAAAGGGGCTCCGTCGTTGCTGACCACATTCTGTATGCTTTGTTCCATATCCAAGCAGATGTCGTTTTCGTAGTTGACCAAGCGGAGTTTACCTTCCTCCTATTCTTCATGGCCCGCTTCGCGTCTCGGCGGGAAGTGAGTGGTGTGTTTGGAATCTGCGTCGGCGACTTCTCTGAGCTCAGTCGGCGCCATATTTTAGTGAACCAAGCTGTAAACCAAGCCCAATCGACCTCCGGTGGCTTGGGTAGTAGCAGTGCTCCGTGGGGATCCTGTGGGAAGCGGAACAGCCCTGGAATGAGGCGTAGAGGCACACATTCGCCAATTATGATGAGCAGCACCAGGACGAAGAGTCGGAGGAGGAAGTAGCAGGTGTACGCGGCCAGAGTTGAGATTATCACAAGCGTTGCCATAAGAAGTGGTTCCATCTTGTCGAGAAGAAGAGACAAGCGCTGAGCTTGTGTAAGGACAGAGTCGAGAGCGTGCAAGGAGTTCGAGAATGGAGATTGGTGATGGCGTAGAAAAGCCAGTACTGAGCCAACCGAAATAACAAACCATATCCAGGGCGAGACAGACATTTTGAAGATAGTCCACGAAAGACTAAATGATATCATGTAAAAAATGAGAGGGGATACAGTGAATGGATGCCTTGAGACGCGATTGAACGATGTAATCACAATCCAAAGATGCGTTCTCCTGCATAAACTGCCTGGCCTGCAGCTGACTGACGCGGCTGCCATGGTGGACAGGACTGTTGAAGACGCATGGCGAGTGCACGCAGGCACGACGGCGTCGGCGAGCTGAGCTCGACAAGGTCGTCCAAAATAGGACTCCCACACCTACCGGACTCACATAACAATCGGTTGGAGTACATGTGTGATGGCTCAGCAAAGGGCATAAACAGAAAGTTGAAGAAGGTCAGATGAAGTTCTTCCACTAGTACGGTATTTACGATCAGCCATTATCTACACGTGACGCCCCTTTATGGTCCAGCCTAAGGTACATAGCTCTTGTCAAACAAGAAAGCACTGTCTGACATGGAGAAATCCTTCAAACGAGATCCAGCTTTTCTGGTAACTGGTGTCAGCGACTGACAAAGAGCAGAGGATATGGTGCACCCTCCGTAGCCCAGACGGTCTTCATATTGTTGGAAGTATGAATCTAGGACATCTACTTACTGGCTGTATTTCACGGATTATGGGACTCTGCTGTGACGGTCAGTGGCACGGACGGGTGCCTTCTACGGTACAATTAGTGTAAGTAGAATAGAATCAGCGGCCCCTTCAGTCATCTTTTCAACTATTACTTGAAGCTCCTGGCATTCTATTCAGTTCTATAGATTGACACAGATACGACTTATTGACAGCTGTATCTCTATAAATGAGAAGAACCTGCTGCTACAATGAATGATAGAGGCGTGCATCTCGGTCAGACCCAGTGATTTCATTTTTGGCAAATATCCTCGTGACTAAGCATATCGCCGCTTTTGCTCTCCCTCGGCTCACCTGCCACTTCCTGAGCGCTCCTTGAGTCTGCCTGAGCCTTTCTTCTCCCTCTCTTCCTCTTTATGCACAACACCAAGTTTACATTAGCGTTAATCCGGTACTACGGTGCCGACAACATGCGGGCCTGGCTTCCTGAGCATCGAAGAATTAGATGACCATCATTTCCCAGAGCTGAGCTTGAGCACTTTCCAGCAGGCGCGCTCATTTTCCTACCGTCGACAAGCTCATTGGAAGCTGGTCTTCAGAAGCTCCGGCTTTCTCTGGTATAGGTCAAGAATTGCCTCACCGAATAGTCCATTGACCCATGCGAACCTGAACATTTGTTAGGACATCAAATTGCTCACGCTGTGGGCCGTGGACGCCTGAGGCCGAGATTAACATACCAAGGTCGGGTGAACGCTTCCTCGTTAAAGGTGAAGATGGACTCATGAATTAATCCTGAGTCGGCGTAGTTAGCTCTTGTTCGACTTTGACGGGGTTACTCCAGAAATGAAACTTACCAAGACCATTGGTGCTGCTGACGAGGGTACGTAGACAGTCCTTGATCTCCTCGTCATCATCACTCGTCAGGATCTGCGTAATTGTCGACATTGGCCAGCCCCAACCGGGACCAATGTGTGGGCTGCTGATCGAGCTGATGACAGGTCCTTTCATGAAGTACGGGTTACTGGTGCTCAGGATTCTCTTGCGGGTCGTCTGGTAGGTTTTGTCATCTCGTTCGAGGAAGCCAAGGTAGGGTGCTGACAACAAGCTTGGCACGCCTGTGTCATCCATGGCGTTGATACTACCGAAACCGTCGATTTCGAAGGCGAAGTACCCTTCAGAGGTAACGGCGTGCTTCGTGATGCCGTCCCGAATCAGCTTGGCCCTCTTGGACATCATGTCTATCAGGCACTGCGGAGCCTTGATTGCTTTGGCGATGGGTATGACTCTCTCCAGATTTGCGGCCAACATCATGTTGGCTGGCACAAAGAGTTCGTAGATGCAAGCATCGTCAGAGGGTCGGAAGGCGGAGCGGACCAAGCCTGTACCACCAGCGGCCGGGTTGCCGTAGGCATTGTTGTTCAGCGTCTCAGTGCCTCTGTTCGTGAAAGCAGAGAACGTGTACGGCGCAATGACGATCGACCCGTCTTCATTGTACGTGGGGTACGTCTGCTCTCCGACAACAGTCATCAAGGTTTGAACAGCATCGGTCCACTGGTACTTGGAGAAGAACTGCGAATCGTTCGTTTTCTCGTAGTAGTCGGCAGACAACTGGAGGAATGACGCGATCGAGTCAAGCTCGTATTTGCACTCGAACACGGTATAATTGTCCGGGTCGGGAAATACTTTGGTGTTGGCACTGGCATCCGAATTGTTCACGGGCTCGAGCCCGGATTCCAAGGGCGGCTGGAATGCATTGCAATACGGCCACTCGATGAGGAACCGAGCTTGTAGGTTGATCAAGCCCCGGAATAGTGAGGCCAAAGAGTCTGATTCGGCGGTCGCATTGGTGAGGAAGGGCAGATACGAGTGTAGTTGCGAGGCCGAGTCCCGGATCCACATTGCATCTCTGATCAACATGTTGCGATTAGCCTGGTCCACACGTAGCTGTGGTCTGTGAATGAATGATAGCATTGCTCTCGCACTTACATGTCTCCCGTGATGACGAAAGTCAGCTCTTCGTCTGAGTCTTTCGCCTTGCCTCTCCACTTGACTGTCGTGTCGAGTGTGTTGGGGTATGAATTCTCAAACAATCGGAAGAGGTCGGGGTCCTCGATCACCCCTTTCAGCTCTTCAATTTTATTCTCGACCTCCTGAGATACGAAGGTCCGGCACTCTGCTGGTGGACGCTGGTAGCCGAGCTTGTATTTCCCTTCTGACAAAGGTGGGTGGCTGACGTTGGCATAATCTGTATAGTCTGTAGGACAGTTGGTGCGCTTTTCTAACTGCACAAAATCGAGCGCTTCGTTGGTGGCGAGACCCCATGCAGCGCTCAGCAGGCCTGACCAGGCGAGACCCCGAGCTAGAAGCATCGTCGAGAAGTCGGCTTCAGCTTGACCTGGAAATACTGAGTCTTGGAGACGGAACTAACCTCTTTCTTGAGACATCAAGATACTTCGTCACCCTTATATACTCGAGACAGCATACCTTTTGACTTGAAAACATTTACAAAGGTGCCTTGGCATGGAACGCATTTCCCTTGAAGGCCAGCGCACGATGATCCAGGGTTCAGGGTTCAAGCTCCACCCTCGAGGCTTACAAGATCAGGACTGAAACAGCCACCACGGTACCGCGACTGAATCTGGGGAAAGTCGCGGGGCGTCGTGGAGTCTGCTCCAGACGCCAGAAAGGAGTTTGGATGGCCTTGTGATCTTCATGACCGGAGAGCATTGCTTTGTCACCTTGGATAGAAAGATTGGTAGAGACCTTAACGTCGAGAATTGGGATTCGGGTCTCCACCATTGTTTTTTTCAGTCTGGTTCTCGCTCAGGTAAAGCTATCCGGGATGCATGTAACCCAACATGCTCAGTAGTAACGTTGCAGAATAGCCACCCCTTTTTTGCCAGCAGTCTTTCCCCACCGCCATTACGCGGAGAAGCGGAGGAGGGTTGGAGAAAGCTATGCTTCATGCCCCATTTGACACATCAAGCGGTCTCAGCTTCAGCATTCACCCGAAATGGTACTATTTCCTATAGACTCAGGTGAAGAATATTCATGATAGGAAGTCTAGCGGCGCATCCAAAGATGGACACCAAGTCCGGCTGCGTGTTTTTTCAGCCTGAGGAAATGACAAATGCCCAGCTGAGCATGGAACAGCACGTTTTCAGTTGTCAGGATGAGATATTGCGATTTTCGTATCAGTGAGTTGATTCTATCTAGATCTTCGATTTACGTGTTTCCATCTCGTTTGAGGCGAAACCTCGCCCTCGGTAGCTTGAAGACAAACATGGCCAGGAGGCAGTATCCGGAACAGAAGCTGGAGAGTAAGGATTCTGCAGCCAGCCCACATGGACAGCGACCAAATCTTACCACAACGGCAGGGTGCCATTTCCCTTGAATCCTCCCAAGGGTTCCATCTATTCAAGCAACCGCATTCTCAATGTAGCTGTAATTCTTCGGATGGTTGGAGTCGTCCACTACAGTGATCTTTTCCCCGTCTTGGGTCACCTCAACGGTCACTTGAGCCAGTTGTTTTCTCGCCGCATTTGACTTTGGCGGGAAGCGACAGATGGCGTAGAGCTCGTTGACTTGCTCCAAGCTCAATCCTTTCGTCTGTGTGAGAAACGTTATCATTAGTCCAATTGCAAAGTGCCACTTTTGATGCCAAGTGCTAGCGTACCTCATAAACACAGAAGTAGGTGAAGACGACGGCGAGCAGACAGCAAGACCCCCAAACGAAGAAGACCTTGTAGCTCAGGCTACAAAATGTCAGTATCAGTTACTGAAGTTCAACTGGATATACTTGAACATACTCTGCATCTCCAGGCCCGGTACCGATAAGATATGGGGTTGCATAAGCAATAGCCCAATTAAACAACCAGATTGTAGCAATTGACATCGAAACAGCTTTGGCACGTATCTGAAGAGGGAAGATTTCCCCGACAACGGTCCTGTTGCTGCCTTAGCGAGAGTTTCACATGGTTGGCAGAGGAGACTCACCACCCGACAGGACCCCAGGTCATGGCGTTAAAGACAATGTAGAGGCAGACGAAGGCGATCAAAACGTTATTCGCAACGTCAGAACTGGCCCCAAGACCGACACCGCCCACGATGAACTCGCATACGAACATCCCGGCTCCTCCGAAGAGAAGGGTGGGTCGGCGACCCCATCGCTCGACAAGTAGCAACCCGGGAATGCAAGAGAAGACATTGACCAGATTCGTGATGAGAGCGATCGTAAATGGTGACTTGATCCCGGCTTGCACGAAGAACTGCGTCCCATCTATAGAATCATTAGTCACAAACCTCTAAAAATGGTGGAATGCTTTTTATGACACTCACAATAGAAAATGAAGTTTACCCCGACCAGTTGATTGAGAGCCATGACAGCACACCCGGTAAACAGACGATATACATGATGGTTCTGGGTTGTGAAGCAGTCTCTCCATCGACCTGGCTGTTCCAATTCGGTAGTGCAACTGATGACGATAGTCTCGAGCTCCTTTGACAACTCCGGGTCGTGCTCATCCTTTCTTCGGAGTTGGGCCAATGACTGCCGTGCTTTATCCATTCGCCCTTTCTTGACAAAGTATCTCGGCGTGTCGGGCAGCCATAGCATGCCAGCGATAAGTACGATGGCGAAGAGGACTTGGATGGCGCAAGGAATCCGGTAGGAGCCAGAGTCATCGCGTGCATGCGTACCCTGGTTAACGCAGGAGGCAAGCAGGAGTCCAATTGTGATGAACAGTTGGTATGACCCAATGAGAGTCCCTCGCAGATAGGCCGGGGCAGTTTCCCCTTGATACAAAGGTATCAGTGAAGAGATGAGGCCGACTCCAGCACCTGCAACGGCTCGACCGGCAGTGAAGAGGGGAATGGCAGTTGCCGCGGTTTGCATGATGGCACCAGCGCTGAAGATAATGCAAGCGACCACCAGACCGAGTCTGCGGCCGATCCGATCGCCAATAGGCGCGCCGGACAGAGCACCACAAAAGGTTCCAACAGACAACATTGACACAATCAATGACTGCTGGCCAGCGGTAATAACAGGCTCTCCAGCGCCGTCTATATGTGTCGCGAAAAGCTTCTTCCAGTATGCTTCCTCTGTTCGTTAGAAATTGATACGAGCCATTGTGAGCCTACTCACAAATGGCGAGAATCTACAAAGTCCGTCGTGGGTCAGCGGATTGTCGTCTCAGCTTTGTAAGCGTAGTGCTCGGGGTACGTTTTGTTCATGTTGCACTGACCCATCGTGGAAGAAATAGGACTCACCCCAGATATTGTGCCTGTGTCATATCCAAATAAGAGTCCTCCAAAGGCCACGAACAAAATCATCATCACGCCAGGAAAGCCGCCGATGTCCCGGCTGGGAATTAGATTGGTCTGAATCATGTTGTATGCGGGTGCGCACTAGTGCTCTCTCAATTCAATTGTTCTTCCAAAGAACTGAAAAATCGACAAATATTTCCTAATTCCACGAGGCCAGAGCATGGCTTTAAGTATTGCTGAGAATGATCCTTTGCCATTGTCGAGTGAGGAGGTGAGGATGCCGAAGCCTGGAAGGACCCACTGCTCTTCAACCAATCATCACTGTGGATCGGTTAGAGGACGGAAGACGGTGCCTTTCTAAGAAGGCCAGGCGGAGAGCATTACTGGAAAAGGCGGAGACGCTCGTGCTGGTGGATGCTGTGCAGATCTGGCGAAACCACATTTGTCGTTGAATCCCCTTGGGGAATCAAATTCCATGCTCGCAAGAGTCCATGGCGAGTGCTCGTCGTTGGGATTGCATGCTCAACTTGTGTCTGGGTTAAGATTTCCAGCAGCTTGTTGCGCTCGGCCATGTCTGCCACCCTGTCCCCGCATAGGGAGATTCCCAATGACGCCAATATCATTGCCGGACCAAAGGTGTGGTGTGACAATGCAATACCGCCCATGGATCTGAGGTATTTGAGGCTCAGCCGGTCAATTTTTTCGGCTGCCAATCGTCTGGCGTAGCCCACAATTGGGACAGTCGGGTCAAAGCATAGAAGCAGAATTTTGGAGATGAACAGATACTGTAGACTGAAAACTGTAGAGCAGGTTAGTAACCGAACCCTGCAAAGCGAGAGAACGCCCGTATTACCTGCCGCTTCACTGGCTAGCCATATCTGTGGAATTGTAGAGGTATCCGTAGCTCCAGGCTTTGCGTAATAGAAGGGGTGGTAGGTAGATGGCAACGTATCGCTGACTCTCACTGATTCGTCGTACAAGGCACGGTATTCCGAGGTGGACCTTTCTGGACTGCCAAAGCAGAACATGATAATGTTTGCCAAGTTCAGTGTGCAGTAATTAGACCAGTCGTGCTCGTTGGTCAAATCGAAAGTCGTGTTACGAATGAAATTCACCCGCAAGTTTATGTCAAGTGGTCGGTGTTGGACCAGAGCAAAGTTGATCTCTTGTCGAAGTGCGCTCCAGTAAGTGCACTCTCGGAGCGAGCTCGTCGAAGATTCTAGCCAGTCCGAGTGTGTGAATGCCTTAATGCCCAATAGATGTGCCTGGAGATCCATTCCATGTGGATAAGCTGGTGATCGACCTCAGTTTAGTCGACCGCAAAACACATCGAACAAGATGACCAGCACAGGAAGATTGACTTACCATCCATTTCCTCTTTCGTCCGCAATATGATTGTAGCCGCAAATAAATCATCGTTCATGCTCTCCACTCGGTTGGCTAAACAGACGATCATTTCTTGAACGCACTCTTCGCTGTAGCGCTCCGCCTTGCTGGAGTCGAAGTTTGCAATCGTCGCGAGGTGTCGAGAGCTCAACGCTAGGACGGCTTTTAAAAGTATGGGCGATACGTGAGCTTTCCTGACGAGCTCGCGTGTAAAGGTCTTCTCATTATCATTCATATCGAACTACAGTTTAGTCAGTTGGTGCCGGTGATAGCCGAGAAGCATGTAGTCCTCACCCATGGGCCGAGTTTCTCCAGGAAGTGTCGAAACAACGAAGCCTCTTCAGCTGTCGTGAGGAACAGGGTTGTGTTATACAAGGCCGCAGGAGAGGCGTCGAAGAGATCGGACACATTGTAGTCATCGTCCTGAGCTGGAGCTTCGGTCTCACCAGATCTGCTTGGGACATCGAGGTCCACAACATTCAATCGCCCATTGTCGTCCACATCAATTCCTGTCAGGTCGAAGTGTGCATGGTCATCCACGAATATGACTAGATTTGACCAGTGAGAAGCCCTCCAATTACTATGGAGATTGCCTACCGGAAGGGGGTACTGATAGCCATCTTTGCTCGGTAGGAAACTCGAATTCGCATTCATCTGGACACTCGTCGTCTGATCCGAACCTACGACGCGTCAATGTTCAAACATAAACCCGCGAAAACACAGAAAAATGGAGATATACCAAGTGAGGTGGCGGAACCGGTATTTCTCTTCTCGTTCGCAATTTACCTTCAACAACTCGCACTGAAGGCATGAGGGCTGTCTTTCGTCGCCTGTCCTACCAGTCAGCGAACCTTTCGAAGACCACATGAAATTGCCGACATTTAAGGTGTCGCTGCCTGCATGACTGTATCATACATTTAGCTGTGATGTGTCAATAAGAAATAGCAGTTAATCGAACCTCGCATCCTGCCCGAATTCTGGTAGATCTCTGTTCTGTGTCTCTGCTGTCTTCACTTTCCATGATTAGTGTCTCACCGGGGCTAGAGATCCACCTTACACCCGCATGGCGATGCTGCAATTTGCGAGAAAACCATGTGAGTATCAATCACGAATCCAGGAGGCGCACCCAAAGACGAAAATCCTAGCAATTCCAACTCTCAAAACTGGGCATCAGAGATAGGCCTCCTAGCCTTGGCAACGCCTGAACGGAGCTAACAGGTACTTGGGAATCGAGGCCCGATCGTCCACTCGTGCGCGCGCAGTCACTCCGCAAGTGCCCCAGTAAACCACAAAACCCGCTCGTGGATTGGCGGGGTTTGGAGGGTCGAGAAGGCTAATAATTGCTTGCAAGAACTCGGGATCACGCCGGTGCACCCCAGGTAATCCAGATGATGACTATTCTCGGGAACGGATGTCTTTTAACAATGCTCGTCAGTGAAGCATTATGCTCAAATTCTTTCTCTATAATTATATGCTCTCGTCAAGTGCAGGAATGAAAAGCGCACAAAGCTCTGAAGGTCGATTCAAACGCCGCTTAGGACAGCCCAGGCACATATCTTTGACCCGCCAAGGAATTCAATGCTTTGGCCCACATGGTCCCTCGCTCCCGATGGCTCCTCATTATTGTACCATTAGAATATTCTCATGCGTGAGCCTTGGGATTGCGTCGTGAGACCTGCAGGGGGAGAGGTCCTGGTGGGTGGTTGAAATGCTCGTATCGTTCTTGCTCCCAGGTCGGACTGGGTAACGAAAAGTCATATCGATGAACCATGGTGGCCGTCAATATATATTGCTCCAGATAACTGATGTTGCGGCCCAGACAGCCTCTTGCACCGGCACTGAAGGTGAGGAAGTATGGCTGGATCTCTTTGCCCTGCTCCGACAGCCATCTCTCAGGATAGAAGCGTTCTGGGTCCGGGAAGATCTTCTCATCTCGGTGGGCAACATAGGAGGACATGCCGACCGAGGTTCCTCCAGCTATCCACTCTCCCATAATGTTAGCCCCCTCTGCCGGAGTGCTTCGGGGCAGATTGAACGGCGTAGGGGGATAGATGCGCAGAGCCTCATCGAGACAGGCACGCAGATAAGGTAGGTGTCGGACCTTGGGGTACGGAGACACAAGTTCGTCCCCAAGGTTGGCATCGAGCTCTTCGCGCAGTACCGAGAGACAACGGGGATTCTTCAGCAGGAGGTACATTACATTGTTGACCGCGATCGCTGTGGTTACCGACCCTGCATTTACTGGTACAGTCAGCGGTGCCCGGGGCCGAGATAGGGAAGATTGAACTAACACATCACTGACAGCTCCGCAATGATCTCCCCCCATTCAAGATCGTGAGCCGATCCAGCCTTAGAATGCATCAAGGCCTGGAAAAAATCATCTAGGCGCTCCCCAGCCTCGTATCGTGCGAATCGCTTCTTTGCGAGATGGAATACCATGCCGGGGTATGCATCCCCCAGTTTCCAGAGTTTGGAGTACCCTGGCACCCACTTTGTGAGCTTAGCCAGGTGAGGGTAGAACTCGTATGACCAAACCAGGTGGGACTGTGCGGTCAGCAGAGAGTGCAGCGTTTCCCGGTAGTGCACCACTCGTCTTGTACCGTCCAACTGTTCACTGATGAGGTCATCATCGCCTCTCGAAGTGAAGCCGAGATCTTCGCTGAGTCCGATGTCTGCGATGGCGTCCATCGTGAAGTAGTTTGTCCACTCTCGGTAGTCGACTTCTTGATTCTGAGCTTCACAATGGTCAAAGTGGTTGACAAGGCGGGTGACTTTCTCGGTGATCTTATGCTCCCAATTTTCGAGATTCTTCAGTGCGTATGCACTCGAAAGCATTTTCCGTTTGCGCGCGTGGTCATCTTTATCGATCACATCGGCGACATGGAAATGGGTCCCGGCCAGGACGTCGTACATCTCATCCTTTGTGCATTGGGTGGTATGGCCATAGATATCCTACAATGGGTTTTAGCAAAAGCCTAGCATTCAGGTCGGGTCCAGTCACCTACCTTGATGGCCTTGCAGTCACCGAAAGACAGAGCGTTAGGGCCAATTCTGATGACCGAATGCTTTTGATGGAGTTCCGCTAGCGTCTCTGACCGTCTGCCAGACATAGATAGGACCATGTATGGAAAATTCGAGAAGCCAGAGAAGGGGCTTAGGTTGGGGTACTTTCGAAATCCTTTCGCATCGTATAGATACAAGGCAAATGGATAGACAATGTTGCGAAGCAAAAGGTAGAGGGCGGCAGCTCCTGCGAAGACGTAGCCGAACATGGCACTGAATCTTGTTGGAATGATACGTTGAGAGGCGACATTCACGGCAGAGCTTTCGCGCACGAAGGATTAAGTATCCTGCCCCTTCAGCTTTGAAGCCTACCGCAGGGGTAGCCTGAATAACGACCTTCAGTCGTCGAACATCGCTGCAGAGAGACTCCCTGAACTGGAAGCATAGCCCGCGGATGGTCCAAAGAAGAAATGCCATCCGTAGGTCCGTCCATAGACTGTGTGAAGGCTGCGACACGTCATGCTCGAAGTCGCGGTTTCACCGTCGATGAGGAGACCCTCACTGTGGTCTTCGTAATCGTCGAAGCGGTGGCAATAATTCCGTACAGTGTGTTCCACTGACACTGGCACGAAAGTGGTTGGGACTGGTGCCATCAATGTTTTCGATATGCTCATTGCAGACGCGGGGAGTGCTTAGTGACACAGGATTACTGCCTGTTGACACCCATCTGTTGGCACTCACTCGGCACGGTTGCCCAATCGGGACTGCACCGCGAGTCAAGATATCTCCGACACTCGAGCCGCCATACCTTGTTCATAGTCCTTCCTACTACAATTTCATCAATTCAAGCGTTTACAAACGTGATAACATGGGTCACACCAGCATGGCAAGGCTTTCCGACAGCCGGAGCCCCGGTATCTCCTCATTTGCTTTCACGAACGTCGGGTCCCCAGATGCGACCCTGCTTTAGCGCCGGAAAGGATTAACATTCTGGAAGAGTAGGAACAAAGCTAAACCGAACGGACACTGGTCAATAAGTAAGTCTGGGCGTCATCCTAATGTAGTTCGTTTTACGGGTGCTCTTACCCAAAGAACTTCTTCTGAAAACAGAAAATATTGCCTGAGCCACCGTCTTGTGGTTCCTGAAAAAGAAACGGCATCACTGTCGTCAGATTCCACGATGTCTGTGATCACTTTATAAAAGCACAACAACAGCATGGCGAGGCATGCTGGACGAGCTGCAACAATCAAGTGTTCCAGCTGAACAGAATGAAAGAAGCGAGCGAATATTTGTTGCTGTCAGTCCAGCAGGTCCCCCCACAGCAGAGGCTGCGTAGCCTGGCTGCTGATGATTATCTCCTTCTTGCACTCGCCTTGCTCTGGAGCCTCTATCATCTGCGTTCTCGGAGGACGGTTTCGAAAGCAGAAATTTGGTATGTCCGACCACAGAGATCGATTCAAGGCCTAGGATCCAGTTCAGGCAAAAGCCAGAGTCGAGATATAGCATCAAAGCTTGAGCAAACAGTAAATGACCGAAGCAGGCTTGTTATGTTCGACGGTGACTAACAGCTCGGTTTAGGGCGCCAGAGTCCTGATCTTATGGTCATCGCAATCCGGAACCTCAGAAGAGTTCGCCAGCAAACTTGGCCAGGAATTGAAGAGCATTTTCCAGTTGTCTACTTTGGTGGCGGATCCGTCCGAGTATGACCTGGATTCTTTCAATGGCATCCCAAAATCGACTATTGTGCTCTTTTTCATGTCCACATATGGCGAGGGGCACCCTGCAGACAATGGGCTCTCGTTCATGGACTGGTTGACCAAAAGTAAAGCCAGTGCCTTCAGAACTGTTCCATACGCGGCTGTCGGATTTGGGAATTCCACATACACGTTCTATAACAACGTCATCGATCGCGTTGAGGCGGTGCTTGCTGCGGCCGAAGCAAAACAGATCTTTCCAACCTTACGTCTGGACGCTTCTCGGAAGAACTCCTACGAAGGCTACCTAGAATGGAAGAGTGACATTTTCAACACTTTCAGAGCCCTGCTCGACCTGAAGGAGCCCGAATTCGATTTTGTGTACAGCCACACCGCGACTTGGTTGCCTCTCTCCGAAAGCGAGGAGAACCTCCGTGGCAATTCCGACTCTGCAGTCAGATTAAGTCAGAGGTCTGACAATTACGAGGCGCTGGCATTGCCTATTCGGCACGCCGAACGTCTAATCGACTCGGAAATACAGACTTGCCTTCATTTCGAGGTTGACCTGTCAAAGTTGCCAGAGTTGAAATATCGAACAGGAGATTATATCCTGGTCTCCGCGCCTAACTCTTCAAGGGATGTCACAGACTTGCTGGAGCTGTGTGGCCTGGCAACGAAAAGAGCAGACCCCCTTGAATTCAAATCAAGTGGTTCACCGTGGCCCACTTCGGCTCCAAGTATTGTCACTACAGCCGAGGAGCTACTGACTTCGGCCGTCGATATTTCTTCAAGCATTCCCCGCGATCTTGCTGGGAAGCTGGCCAGATATGCGCCGACATCCGAAGCTCAAGAGTATTTGCTCCGCCTCTCCCAGGATAAGAACATGTTCGCAAAGCTCGGTCATGTCAGTGTAGTGCGTCTGTTGAAGCACATTGAGCCTCACCGACAGTGGGCGATTCCGGTCGTCTTCTTTTTCGAGTTCCTGCCTCGATTGAGACCGCGATACTACTCGATCTCGTCTTCTTCTGTACAGCAACCCCGTCAAGCCAGTGTGACAATCTCCATCAAGCATAAAGCGATGGGCCAAGCAACCAGATATTTTCTGTCGAAGCAGGAAGAGTGGGAGGCCTTCGGCAAGTCTGGCCAACCACAAAATCGGCCGGATCACGGTCAGGATCCTTCCCGGGACGATGAGCGTATCCCAACCATTGCAGCTACCATAAAACCATCGAACTTCCGCCTTCCCTTGGCTTCCGTGACCCCTGTAATTCTCATCGCCACAGGAACGGGTATTGCACCTTTCCGTGCCTTCATCCACGAGCGCGCCCGCATCAAACAGATGCAGGGGACGAAAGCCGGGAAGATTCTGCTCTTTATGGGCTGTCGAACTCCAGATGACTTTATCTATCAGGAAGAACTGCGTGAAATCCAAAACAACATCTTCAACTTGGACGAGGCACAATTTCAGATCATCACAGCATACTCAAGACCGAATGAGGCAGACGTAAGTGAGAGGAACAGTCGTGGAAAATGCTACGTGCAGGATAAGATCCGGACCTACGTAGTCGAGGTCCTCCATCTATTCCTGGCGGAGAATGCGGCGTTGTACCTCTGTGGACATGCGGCAATGGCGAGAGAGGTGGGAAAAGTGATTGGTGATGCAGTCATGCCCAGGAATGGGGAGAGCGACAAGACTTGGACAGAGTTGAAGGAGGCTAAGAGAAAGCAGAGGAAATGGCAGGAGGATGTTTGGTAACGACAATCTGCACTTTGCCCTACGGAGCACTGTCGAAATCCCAGTTCGTCCGAAATGCAAAAGTCATGCCGCAACGACGAGCACCCCGACAAATTCTTCTAACTCTGTGTAAGGGCGATGGCCCGGCTTGAACCAGCCGGGGCTGGATTCTCGTTCAATTTATACGAGTAGACAGTTTAGGGCAGCGTACGGAGTAAGGACAGGAAATTTACCACGGCACGTAAATCTCAAATTAAAGCGGCAACTCGGCATTGCTGTGTCATACTCCTCCCACCCACCTCCTGGTAAAGGAATGTTTCTTGCTATCAAATTGATAGTCAGCACATCAGAAAACAATGGCTCTTCCACCCAAATTCTCTGGACAACTGCTTGCTTCTGCTTCTGCTTCGCACACAGAAGCAAAGCACACAATCGAACTGTATCTGGACTACGTTTGTCCCTTCTCAGCCAAGATGTTCAAGACATTCTACAAGGAAGTCGTCCCTTTGATAGAGAAGAAATATACAAACCCCGGCGTGCGAGTAATTTTCCGTCAACAAATCCAGCCATGGCACCCATCTTCGACATTGGTTCATGAAGCTGGTGCTGCCATATTGAAAACTTCGCCCAAGTCATTTTGGGCATTTTCAGAGAAGCTCTTCCAACAGCAGAACGATTATTTCGATGTCAACGTGGTCAACGAAACTCGCAACAACACTTACAAAAGACTTGCGAAATTGGCCGGTTCAGTGGACGGAGTGGAGGAGAAGACCGTTCTGGACTTACTCCTTGTTTCGGACAAGCCTGCCGAAGACGGCAGCCTCAATATCGGGAATAAAGCGACAAATGATGTCAAGTTGATGGTCAAGGCCAACAGACTCACAGGCGTCCATGTCACTCCTACTGTTCTGTTCAATGGGGTGGAGGAACGTAGCATTTCCTCTGGCTGGACGGTGGAGCAGTGGGAAGAATGGCTGCAGAAGAATGCAACTTGATAACCTGCTCAACCAGGGATAAAGGGTGGTGTGGCCCCGGAAACGGAACGAATCAGGTCCGGCAACAATTGGACTGTTGAAGGCGAGGGTATCATTATTTTGTAGATGGTATTCGATGCGATGCGTTCTCTCGATCGCCTCCGACGCCGACACAACGGATGAAAGCAAGTTGTGTTTGATAGCTGGGGTTATGCTAGACCTGTATGAACCTCTATTATCTCGTGCCCGAATCACCGGCTGTTGTGCATTCATTCGTCAAGACATACAAAATCCTGGTAAGCACGCTCGCTCAATGCGCAGTTGAATACACTTTCCAGATCCACAGAGTAACGCCATCCCAATGCTGCGCTAGTTGATTGACCTTGCCGGAACATTGGACGATCATTGTGCTGGAGGCTGATAGCCGATGGGGCGTCTGGAAGCAATCAGCATGTGGACTCGAAAGTCGACGTGATGACTTACTTGAACAGCAGAATGTGTGGTTCAGGCTCGTGCACCTCATAGTGTTCCCATCCAAGACTCTGAGCAGCGTTAACAGGATCCAAACTCAGTGTATCTCTGGTGACCAACCTGAGTTATGCCCAGTCCTCTCCATTCTTCTTCCCACAACAGCTTGAGTGTGCCCTTTGCGTCATCGAAGTAGTCGCGGGGAATGACCTTTAGCATGGCTTTCGGAAGTTGGACATGTCGGTACTCGTATTCAGAATCAGAATACCTGGACTATGTCAGCCGTGTACGCTTGTTATTTCTCTCTGCGAATACCTTGCTGAGTATCCGATTGAGTCGATGAATTCCTCCAGTCGCGCTCTCTCATTCTCGTGCAACGGTCTGGGCTTCTTGTTCCGTCTTGACATGTCAACGTCGGTCATTGTGCTAGTGTATAGAAGCGCTGTGTTCGACGGATTTTGTACGCCTTAAATTCGAGGTACGGTCCGAAAACTGGTGGATCAAGGTAGTACGCAGACAAGGAGTTGACTGGCGCGTTCGCGGGTGAGTGAGTGAAGGTCTCGTGCTCTTGAGTCGCGTTTCAAGAATAAAGCCGAGTGTACAGTGCTGTGTCTGCTAGCCTCGGAGCAAGATGATTACAATAGGCGAGCCGGATTAGTCAACTCGGGAGAATGAAAGAGATCAAATATTTGTTCAAGACCAATGCTTGAGTTGTGTTTGTGGCCGAGTTTGGTGGTTGGAGCAAGACTTCCGTCGGAGTAAACACAAAGTCACTATGCGGGAAAGCGCAGGCCAGCAACTTCGGCAGCTTAGCCGAGATTACCTTATGTAATATAGATCTATATGCACGTGACTCGCCGTTCGCCTGCATGTGTCGCGTCTGCGGTTTTGTACAGAAGGACTGAGAGAACGGGATGGAGTGATATGCATTCAGCCCGCACCGTGTCCAATGCGTTTGCAGTTGACTTCCATACAGTGAACGAGGCTGTGGCACTGATCTAGCACTTATTGTCCTGTATGCGGACGCTTGCATTGCGACGAACCCCCCAATCGCTCCCCGTGTCGAAAAGTTAGGAGTGCCCAAAACATGAGCTCGAAGCGCAGAAGCGGCCCTGCAGGCTCACCCGAAGACTATCCAGATACGCCTGATCCCAAGCGACGCAAGCGTAACGACGTAAGTGCTATAGCCAACTCCCATTATTTATGTCCTCTACAACCTTCACCCACCCAACCCAATCAACTCAACTTCTGCCGCACTCATAATGCCAGCAGCCCCGCGCAGTAGCATCGCATCGCGCTTCATCACCATCATAACCGCATCACGCCCGCCATGATCATCTGCACCCGATCTGAGTGCTCTGCACCCCAGTCTGTCATCTACTACTTGCTAACTCCACCACTACTTACCAGGACACCCACTTCCCCGATGTCGAAACTCGCGAGACCACGACTGAGATCGGTTTAAGGCTCGTCGGCTCGCTCAAGAGATCGCAAGATAAGAACGGTCGGAATGTTGCCGTTCATTTCCTCGATCTTCCCGACAGAGATGAATACCCTGATTACTATCAGGCCACTGCAATGCCGCTGTCTCTGAATATCATAGAGCAGAAATTGAAAAAATATGAGTATGAGAACTTGGAAAGACTGGAATCCGACCTGAAGCGAATGGTTCAAAATGCGAAGGACTACAACCACTATAAGTCTGCCATATATGAGGACGCAGAGCGTATTCGCAAGGCCATATCCAATTTCATGCCAAAGCATAATCCAGCATATCTGCGGGCAGACTACAGAGCTTATCCGACACCCATCCCACAAGACCTGCTTGATCATATGAGCAAAGGATCTACTCCCTCGGATGCTGCTATGCCGACCGAGAAGATCAAACTGACCTTCTCTACTAAACGACGGCAAAGCGAGGCTGCTCAGTCCACGCATGGTAATGAGCCGGGAGATCAGAGAGAGGAGCAATTGAGTTTCCTGAAAGAATTGTCCGAGCAAGAAGACGCTGTGTGAGTCGACCGCGGCATTGCTTTCCATTCTCATCGATGCTAATATCTGTCTAGTAACTTTGAAGAGAAGGTACCAAAGAAGGATTATCCTGACTACTACAAGGTTATCAAAAGGCCGACATCTATATCAGATGTGCGCTCTTTGGTGGAAGATGATGCGATTCCAGACTGGGATTCACTTGCCAGAGAAGTACGATTGATCTGGGACAACGCCAAGGAGTATAATCAAGAGGGATCAGAAATCTACACAATGGCAGAAAAGCTCGAGGTATGTATCATGCCCACTCCCACCGTGCTTGCGTGTTCCAGCTGGGATCCTTTCTGACATGACGCAGTCTTGGTCAGAAGACAAGATGCAATCCCTCGGTGCTGCCCCAAAGAAGAACATCCGACTCTCTTTGTCGCAGCCTAAACAACCCAAAGCCTTGCGCCTGAAGATGGGTTCTTCCACCCCGCAACCCCAAACAGCTGGCTTTACAATCGACAGTGAATCCCTACGGCGACAGAAGGAAGAAATGGGTGAAGCACTCAACCGCGCGCAACGAGCAAGCTCTAGAAATGCTCAGGTCAATGGATCTACACCGGTACCTTCAAGTGCTGCTATCAGTGTCCGACGTAGCGCATCCGTAGCCACAGAGCAGACAGATATGAAGATGACCGATGTCAACGGGACAAGCACAAGCACTCCTCAACCGCAGCCAGCCCTGTCAGCCTCGAAACCTCCGGCGCATGTGCAACTTCCAACACCAGTCAGAGAGATGGACACGCCGGGTCCCACGGCACCACTCACGAACGGTACTGGTACCCAGGAATCTCTTACTCCACAAGGCAGCTATCAAGGTTCCTCCCAACAAAGTGTCATCCCCTTCGAACGACAATACCGCGATCCAGGCAAAGGTCTCGAATCCGCACTTTTGGGCTCCGTCATATTCATGACGAATCCCAACGACGCCAACAATCCGAAATGGAAACTCGTACGGCGTGCATCGGCCACAAGAACACAGACCACGGGCTTCATCACACTCCCGCCAACCTACCGCAATATCCGCATCATCCCGCTCACTACATCGGAACTGAAGTCACGTCGGCGGCATCGTGTTCTGGTCATGCATAACTCGCAATTCTACCGAGAACCGAATTCGACGGTCGCCGGGGCGTACGATGTGCAATTAAATCCCGGCGAGAATACCTTGTCAGTCGAAGTTTTGGCGGACCTGAGGGATGGCGAGAGGAAGGACCACGCACCACCTCAGCTGCAATTCGATTTCGAGAAATGTACGTTGATTATCAATGTTAGTAAGCAGGTGGCTTGATTGGTCGGGCCCGTTTGGTTTTGCGATGAGTTCTTCTCCCATCAATTGATGGCTGGGCAATTGTTACGTCTCTTAATGCACCGATTGGCATTCTTCGAATGGGCTGGAATCGTGAGTGACATGGCATAACCACAGTGGGAGATATGAGCATTGGGAGCGGAGTTTGGCCTGCCATAAATTGATTGTACTTGGGCCATTTTGCAGTGATCGAATTGGTGTGTCATGGCTCGGACTAGGGGCATATCAGAGTCCATGCATGAATGAGTCCTTGTGCGGAGTGTCTGTGGCTCCCACTTCTCAGAACCAATCTGTTCGTTGAGCAGACTGTCTGATCATACCTTGACATATGCAAGAAAGGCAATCCTCATCATACTTGAAAACCGTTCTGCTTTCGTCGAACCTGGCATTCCATTAATTCATAATCAGACGCCATACATGATATGTATACAGTGCCGCACACTTTGGTGATCAGCATAGCTTGCGCCTTGCCTGTGGCCTGCAACTCCCTTTCTTCTTTCGCAGTTACAACTCTTGTATACGACAAATTCAGGCTGGCAGTTCCTTTCTCGGGACAAGCTCGTGGCCAGATTTACCGGCGCCATCCTGCAAGGCGGAGAGTGCACTCACTTTCCAGCCTTTGGTCCAGCAACACCAGCGCCAATGACGCTCGGCAACTCCTGGCTGCCCATATTGTACAACATGCTAATCGCACCAGCAATCAAAGCCGCCATGACGACACCAAAGCTCGCGAACAGAATAAACGGCACGCTGACATCTTTCCTTTCGCACGCGGCGCCACCCCATTGAGTCGTCTTCTTCGTGCCGTCCTCGTTCACTCTTGCGATCGTTGTGCCGCATTTGCACTTGAAGCAATTGTTATGTGCTTTGTAGCAGTCGCCGTGTCCAGAGCAGAAGTTCGTGGTATTCTCACAGGCGGACTTCGATGTGAAACATGCTGGAATCACGGAAGGGAGGGTGAAGTTCTTTGAAGCATTTGTAGCCGTGAAACTGTCAATTACAGCTGTTGCTGATGGAAGCTCGAGAGTTTCTTCTTCAGTCTGTTGTGCGGAGCGGGCATGGTTGTGATGCGTGTTCTTCTTAGATGGTTCCGGGAGCTTCGAGGGTAGGAACAAAACGGTCGACTCGATGTCCTCGGTCGCGGAGAAGTGTTTGAGGATGCGGATCAACGAAGCCAGCTTAGATTTGACTTCAGAGGGCTTGCTGGGTAAAAAGCCGTGCAGGGACATTATGATCGGGAGCTGGGGTATTTCGGCGGATGCAAGGCATAGGAGATCCTGCAAACACGGTTAGTCGAGTTGTAAACAGAGGGTTTGCCTGCCATGGCATACATCTTCCAAAGGATATGAGAAGATCACTTCGACGCCATAGGCGCCAGGTGTGTTCAAACTAGGCGGCACGATATATTCGCAGATTCCATCCTTCTTTTGCCGACGAGGTACAGCCTTAAAGTCGGTGAGGAGATCTTTGGTGGGTTCTTGAATCCATAGGTCAGGCATTGAGGCATCGAGATCGTTTATGCTCAAGTCAACATTGGTTATCCTGATGAATAGTTTGCCTGGTGCTTCTGTCGTCTTGCCGTCGGCGAAAAGAGGTGCCTGAGAACCTCCATATGAATTGAGATCTTGCAGGAGCATGTCATCAGTTATGCCCAAGTACCGCTCGTCCGTGAGGGATCTTCTTCTCGCGATGATTGCACTCGCGAGTTCGGAATCGACCATTGCTGTTGAGGGCGAAATTACGCTGCGATCGATGGTGTATAGATATGCGCCTTGAGCAGCGACATTTTGTGCGAGCGCTGCACAGGACGCAAGGAGGGCGAGTGACTTCATGATTCCGGTTGCCAGCTCTGATGCGAGCTATTGATTGTGCGGACAGCTGAGGAAGAGTCGTCGAGTGCAATTAGTTAAATGATGAACGCGGGTATCCTTACAGACGGGGAACTGACAGACCCCTGTGGCGGAACACTTTTCCACATGCTAAATCTACTCGTAGTTCTCCATGTCAAAACACCCTTCATTGCGAGATCTACGGTTAGTCCAGCCAGTATTTCAGGCAACTATAGCATCTAGTATCGTACATCTCGCAGTCACCTCGCTCTCAGAGGCCATCGCCCAAGACGATCTATGCCGGTAAGACGGAACCACAACCTGCGTCCGCTACCATGCCCGCTTTTGAGGGATCCCGATGCTTCTTAATCTATTCCGCCGGTCGCGGTCCATTCGCGTACCGCTCAAGAATGGGAACTTTGACATGCAGCGAGTGTCGGTTAAGAGAAGACCAAAGTACGTCCGTTCACCACATCATCTCCATCAGGGCTGACATCACCTAGACCTATAGTCTCGCGTGTCCTCTCTACGATCCTCATCAGTTATTGCGTTCTTCAGACAGCCCATTATGTCTTGCCCAAGAAAGACTCCCAGAGCAATGTCGAGAGTCAGCTGAAAACACTCCAGAGTCAGGTAAAGAGACTTGAGGACAAGAACGAGACATCGGATTCCCAACTACAGCACGATGGAGATTTCCGTGTTTGGCTCCCATGGATGCGGCACAGAAAACCGCCCATGTATACTCCAGATGATCCTGATTGGAGAGAATATCAAAAACTGCAACAAGATGAGAAGCTGATGACCCGTATCAAGGTTCAGGTGGTTGGAATGATAGTGCAAACAGCATTGCCGGAATACGCTTCGTCCCTGTTCGCTGTCGGCGCCAACCAGAACCGTATTCATATGAACCTGGATATTATCCCACCGGTCCGTCCTCCGACAATTTACGAAATCTCATGTCTGTATTTCGGACCGGATAGATGCACTTGGGGGTGGCACCAACTGCCTGACAACATTGGAAGCAAGGTGCAGCATATTTTCCATCCGTTTGTTTTCCGCGAGGCCTTCTACGCAGGCCTCAAGGAATTTGCGCGGATCTTCTACAAGATCAGCCGAGCTAGGGTCGCCGACTTCTATGACTCCGTTCGAGATCAAACCACTCGAGCTGGCTCCAAAATTGAAAAGGGAGCGAAACACGCGAAAGACACCACCCAGGTTGAGAAGGTGCAATCTCAACTCTGGATCAACCAGATATCCGACAAGTCTAAAGATCAGTGGCTACCATTTCTTCGGGGAGAATGCAGCGATCATCCATCGACCCAGTCCTACCGGGACGTCGTCAAGTCCGTGACATACCAGCAAGCTATTGAGGCAGGGTGTATGATGTTTCGTTCGACGGTCAATTCAGGTCGAGCTTTGACCGCAGGAGCTCATGTCCGAGATGCGGTGCGTGTCGAAGGATCACTTGTCTGGTATGGTACGAAAGGCAAACTACACTTGGACGTAAGGGCTGTTTACTCGCCAGAAAACGGGTCCATTATTGGAAAACCGGTCGTTCTCAGGGCATACACCATCCCAGACACCACAAAATGGCACAACAAGAAGCAGAGTGATCCAGCTACGAAGTTGCCGACCGACAAAACTGGGACGCAATCGCCACTGAAACAGTCAAAGGAAACATCGGGAGGCCACCAGCCGGAGCCGTCTACGAAGGAAAGGGAGGAGGGGAAATAGTTTACGAGGACTTTGAAATGGTTTGCGCTTAGCGAGGAGTACGAGGACTATGGATTATCATGAACTGAGACTGGCCTGATGTGCTGCGGAGAATTATGCTTTCGATACAAAGATGCTACTCAGAAGCTGATTTTTGGTGTGTGTCAGTGAAGACATCCTGCCGCCTTCGATTTCATGGAAGGATTCTTTTCGAGTGTGCTTTACAGATTCGAACCTTTCACGTTCTCATCATCCCTGGGAGAATATCATCGCACTCTTGCCCTGTTATTTAACAATGTCCAGCGCTTGCCTGATCTCAATCTCGACCTACTTCCTGCTCAACCTCGTCGTCACAGTCACAAACAAGCAGCTAATATCCCACACCTCAAGTCCTTATCTTTTGACTGCCTCTCATGCATTCACCACGTTTGTCGCCACCAGCATCATTTCGAGACTCACGTCAGCAGCGCCTTCTCATGGCTCATCTGAAAGACAACAAACTACTCATGGATCACTCAGACTCCCATTCGGCACGCATCTTGTCCTTGTCGCCTTCTCCCTCCTGTACACCGTCAACATTGCCCTCTCAAACCTCACCCTCGGCCACGTCAGTCTGCCAATGCACCAAACCATTCGCGCAACTGCGCCTGCTATCACTGTCCTTTTCACGGTTATTGTCTTCCATAAGCCGCTGCGATATTACCCTAGGGCTGTTTATCTGTCTCTTGTGCCGACAATATGTGGTGTGGTAGTGGCAACTACGTCCTTATCCGACAATGTCGGCCACAAGGGACGTGGGAGTTCAACGTTTGGTGCGGCACTGACATTCCTCGGCGCCATCATTGCCGTGGTCAAGACCATGTTAACACACCAGCTTCAAAGCTCGTCCTCCTCCTCATCACCACCATCATCTGGCCGATGCAGGCTCCAAATCGGTCTCTCGGCGATGACGCTGGTGCGGTATTTATCGCCATATGCTGTGGTCCAGGCCCTTGGGTTCGCATGCTGGACTGGGGAAGTCAGACACCTGCTTGCTCTTGACCCCGCCACAGACCTAGTAGGAGGATTACGAGAGGTTGGCGTGCTAGCCATTGTGAACATGCTATCCGCATCGGCTCTGAACATTGCGTCCTTCGAGGCCAACCGGCGCTGCGGGGCGTTGAGTATGGGCGTCGCAGGGAATTTGAAGCAAGTCTTCATCCTTGTAATAGCAATTTGGGCAGAGCGAGATGGAGGAGGCAGAAGTGGAGGTGTAAATGGAAGAGTGGCTCTGGGGACCCTGATGACAGTCGTGGGAGGGGTGTGGTATGCTTGGGCTGGTGCTGGGATCAAGGGGCGTACACAGAACGAGAGAAACGGCCGAAGATGGGGCGAGGCAGATGACGACGAGTAGTGAGAAGGAGGTGACAAACGAAAGACGTCGACAGAAATGGCCATCTGAAGTCGAAAGAGTTCGTGGCATGCCCGGTGTAGCCTCGTACCGTACGTTGTCAGCCATGTCGATTCGCGATCAGAAGGACACTTCCACCTCGATCACGATGCTACGTGCGATACCTACCAAGACTTTTCCTAAACTTCTCATGCAGCACTTTTCCCTAATGCTATACCTTGTTCTCCTGGTGATACAAATCCTCACGCCGTCGATTTTTATGTCACGTCCACAACAGGCACGTCTTCCTCCACCAGCCATCTAACCCAAAGCCTTAACAGCCGCCTCGTAGATCTTTTTACACTCGTCCTGGCCCTTCTTGACCACATCCTCCATCTGTTTGTGTGCCTTTCTCAGTTCATCCACCACCACCATCTTACCCAACTCCATCTTGCGGAATCTCTTCTGCTCATCACCCCTCACGTTGCGCACTTCCTGGCTCGCCCGGTCGTACACTTTCTTCGCCTCCTCTTTCGCTTGTTGCCGCGTCTCCGCCGTCGCCGGGGGCACAGGGACGTTGATCAGTAGCGGATTACTCGTGTCGTGCTGCGGCACGAGGCTGTGCTGAGAGGCTTGAATCGCCGAGGATATAGGCTTGACATGCTACATTGTCCCTCGCGATCAGTATTTTGGGTACCAAGCAATCCATATAGCAAAGCACAAAGCAGTGATAGCGAGCACTAAGGCCTCACTCGAGGGCTAGAGAGTATCCGCCCGCGACATGGCTGGGAGCACTGGTTTTGCATAGAAAAGAAGAGAAGAAAAAAGGCCATACGTACCGCCTCCTCAGAGCAATAAACCTGGACCATCCGCCCGCCCTTCTGCACCACGCTGGCAATGTCGCCGAGTCTCTGCCGCTCATGGTGCGGTTTGCTTCCATGCGCCGCTGCGCCTTTGACATTGAGTTCGACAGGGAACGACTCGATCATTTCCGGCGTGATCCGCCCGGCGTCACGCGTCTTGACCAGTGCATCTTTCAGGCGTGCGATGGCCTTGGCGATGCCTGCGTTCAGTTCGGTGAAGTCGTACGGGTCGATCTCGCGGTCGCGATTCCGCGTCGCAGCATTGTCGGGGATGTGGGTGTCGCGGTTCTTGGGTGAAGTTACCTCCGGAGATTTACGGGATGATTTGGAGGATGAGGATGACTTTTTGAGGAGCGCTGAGGTCGTGCTCATTTGACGAGCAGGAGCTGGGAAGCGAAGAGTCGGGCCGCGGACGTGGACGTGGATGCGGCATTGCATGCACACTGTGTGTCGGACATTGGCTGGAGACTGGGAGAACGAGAGGAATTGGTGGAGGAGTTGAGCAGCGTCTCTGCTTCGTAGAGACATCTTGACCATAGGTAGACCCGTGTTCGGTAGCTTGCGAGTCTTGATATCTACAGCACAGGTAGCATGGGGCGGATGGTCACGATGGTCAACGAGGCTTTAATGTTGCGGAGTTGGAGAAGCTTGAACAAGAATCTCAATACGGAGCACAATAAAAACTCTTACCCCAAATATGTGCAGTGGACACTCGCATCTCATAAAGACCTAGCCTTGCCATATGCACTGATGCAGCCTTGTCGGCCTTCTACAGTATCCGAGATATCGGGTAATTTAGTGCTAGGCTGCCATTCGACGACAAACAGCATCGAGGACAATTTACATGGCAGGATGGCGTCCTGTTCAACCAATGCCCAACTGTTCGGGTGCTGATCCATAGATACTCCGAGTCATGGCTACGCCGTACTGGAACACTGTCGATTTCCTCAATGCCATCTTAGGCTTCGTATTTACACGGCCGGCAGAGGCTACGGCCAGGTGTTTCGCGTCGGGTGTTGGGCACGATAAGCAAAAGAGGCAACAGTGCATTGCAGACGGACAGTCATAGATTTTGGTACAACTTAAGAAACATCATATCATTCTGGATTGTTCGGGTAGAAAATTGCCGCTCTCTATCTGACACGAAGTGACAACTTTTCCCCGGATCATTTTGTGAGAGTCAAGCCACCAATGGCGCGACGTAACCCTCGACGTAGTATCCGAAACGACGCCAACCACAATTCGCAAATGCAATGCATATTTCGTGAGCGTGAAAGAAGTCGCAAATGTGGTCAATTCGAGGCCGTGTGGATGTTTTGCGATAGCGTGTCACTGCTTATCTCGTAGCCATAGCCTTGGTCATGGCTCTCTTCAAAGCCAACTCCTTCTTCTTGAGGTCCTCGGGGCTTGAGTCCTCAACCTCAAGTTGTTGCATAGCATCAGAAAGTGCCTCTTCAATCTTGGACTTGTTGCCACGCTTCATCTTCATCGACAAGCCGGGGTCAGAGATCAACTCCTCGACACGGCCAATGTAGGATTCGAGTTGTTGCTTAGCCTCGAATTTCTTGGTGAAAGCTTCGTCACTGGTCTTGAACTTGGCAGCGTCTTCAACCATCTGCTCGATCTCGGTAGTGGATAGCTTGCCCACAGCATTGGAGATGGTGATGTTTGCACTTCGGCCCGAAGACTTTTCAGTGGCGGTAACCTTGAGGATACCATTGACGTCCACTTCAAAGACAACCTCCAGAGCAGCTTCTCCGGCTCTCATGGGTGGCAATGGACTCAAAGTGAACTCCCCGAGGGAAGTGTTGTCCTGCGAATCGTCAGTAACCTGTATGGTGTGATGGGGATTTCTTTTGAACGTACAGCACAAGAGCTTCTTTCCCCTTGATACACCGGGAATTGCACGGTTTGTTGGTTCTGGAAGAAGTTAGCAAGATAATAGATCAAATCAAGGGCTTCAGCTTACGTCCACCACGGTAGTGAAGGTTCTTGTAGTAGTATGTATGTCAGTAAATGCTTGTAGCGACGTACAAAATGCAGATAGAACAAAATGCTGAAGAAAAAGAAAGCTGAGCAGGTCCGAATCGAAGGCGTCGATATTGGACATCCGATACCAGATGCCGAGCAAGTCCAGATGCCGATTAAGTCCAGAAACAGAGTAAGTCCAGATGTTGATCTTATGAAATGTCCAGAGGTGATATCAAGGTAGCTGATGTTTCCGGAAGGACTTCCAAATGATGTTGGCCTAACAGACGGATCCTGAGTGTATGAATGCGGTCCATAACGAGTGACTCGATGAGGTCAACCTAGCATGATGCAGTCAGAGTCGTAGTCGGAGTCGTAGTCGGAGTCCGAGTCCGAGTCGATAGTGACAATCGACGGTGTCGATTTTGAACATCCGATACCAGATGCCGAGTAAGTCCAGATGTTATGAAATGTTGAACCGTCGAAATCACCAATGGTGATTCTAGTTACTTGATTGAGAAAAGTGGATGTATGAAAAGACCCGGGGTGATAGTGTCCAGGTAGCTGACAGGTAATCGTCAGGAAGAGCCTGAAAGTGACCCGGTCGATTTTGCTTTGGCCGCGGCCTTGCCCACTCTTTCCAAGTGACGCTTCCCAAGGTTGTGGATGTCCAGCTGGGAAGGTTTGTTGGTTGAAAAGCCGCACAGTTTGCAATGATGCTTCTTGACAATGCCGGCTTTCGCTAGTGGTTGCGAGACTTCAAGTGTCTTTCAAATTCGTACAACTTGGTGCAAGCCCGTCGGCAGACTTCGCAGAAGTACTTCCGAGATTCTTTCGCCTTCTCCGCAAAGCGTTGTTGCTTTGCCAGGGACTTGTCACGCGAATTCTCTCGATAGCGTTTGTCAGCCTCAGCCATCCGGGCTTTGAGACCTTCGGGATCCTCTTCCTTCATTTTCTTATAGTATTCGACATGGTACAAGCGGTTCTTCTCTTTGACTTCGGCAGCGATGGCTTCAATCTGCTCCGGGGTGAGGTCGAAGTTGCCTGCAACCGTCTCAAGCATAGCATTATGGCTGCATAGACCACGATACGGGAAGGACTTCCGAGACCAAGGACAACAGGCCCCTATTTTGTAGTCCTTATCCCTGGATGCCATAGCCCAGAAGAGAAAGCTGAAAGCAGCTTCCATGCCCACAAACAGCAGGCGCAATACCGGAGCTTTTCCAGCAGAAGGCATGTCAATCCACAGCAACATGCCCTTGTGGACGATGACATAGCCGTCTTCGAGAGCCTTTCGAACGTTCTTTGGTAGAATCCACCAATGCACCTGGGGGTTGTCATAGTGTCTCTCACGAGCCCTAATGCCCTCTGTCATGTTCGTACCGAACCCAATGTATATCAGGGGCACATAACCCCACTTCTTGAGTACCAGGGCATAGACGGCCCACTTTCTGCCTGCAAACGCAGGGAGATTCTCAAAGAAGCTCAGAGCTGGAGGAGTGGCGGCTTGAATGGCTTCAAAGAGGCCCGGACAGAAGCAAAGGGAGGCAGCAGTCAAGATTTCGTCCAAAAAGGCACGGTCGAAAAACAACAGTTTGAAGAGACCGTTCTTGTGGACAGGTTGCGAGAGGCAGTTCCAGGTAATGAGACCCACGAGCTGGAGGATCGTGGTGGCATCGAAGGCCATCGTGTCACTCGATGAAGGGTGCCAATGTCGAGAAGTAGGTAGGAATGGCGGAGGGTGATTATGGTGGGTTGATGACAGCTGCAGACTCGAGCAGCAGTGCAGGAAAGAGAGTTGATGAAGTTGATGAAAGACTCAAATGTCGAGAAGGAAGGGCCAATGACCAGTGGTCATTCAGATGCGTTGATGCTGGAATTCGGAGGAGCAGTGCAGAAATGAGGGCTGATGGATTGGTTGCATTGATGATGGCTGCAACATTGAGGAGGCTGAGAGGGAAGAAGAGAAAGTTGAGAAGTCCGCAGTCTTATAAGGCCGTTCAGTCCAAAAGGCAGGCACGCCTTGCCTGGTCGTTGTTGGAAGGCACGCGTAACGTGCGTGTTCCAGTCCAGGAGGAAGGACCTATGACGAATCCGGAAGTAAGGAGCTATGGCAGGTGCACCTGGCCCGGTATGTGAAAAGCCCATCCAGACTTGACTTGCCAGGTACACCTGGCCTGGTCCTTGACGGGACGCGTCCCGGCCCAGGAAGAACATAGTCGACGCGGTTGATTAGGGCGACAACAAAGTAAGAAGGCCATCCAGTCCGAGAGACATAGTCGACGCCATCGACTAGGAGAGGAGACAATAACAAAGTAAGAAGGCCATCCAGTCCATGGATCCGGTCCAGAGGAGGGTGTGGCTTGAGATGGTATTCGAAGGTGTGTGCAAAACAGATTTGTCAAGATGGAACTCAAAAGCATACCCCAAGGGTAGCCTCAGTGCGTGACGAAGTTTCCCTGGCGATCAAATCCAAGTTGGCCCCCTCACGCACTCGGTGTTGGTATCGATCAATTGTACGAGGGAGAAATGTACAACGAAATAAAGAAGGCCTTCCAGTAGTCGAACGGCCAATCCATAGATCCGGTCCAGAGGAGGGAGAAATGTACAACAAAGTAAGAAGGCCTTCCAGCAGTCGAACGGCTAATCCATAGATCCGGTCCTGAGGAGGGAGAAATGTACAACAAAATAAAAAGGGGAATATTAAATAGAGAAGAGTAGGGTACGTTACCGTTTCTTCAAGCAAGGGACTGTATTTCCACGGGGAACGACAGGAGCGAATATGTTGCCTTCCATGGCGACACCAAGGGAGAGCGGCACAACATCAAGCAGAAGAAGGTCGGCGGTTTCGGCGGAGGTAGCCTTGCCGGAAAGGATACCAGCTTGAACAGCGGCACCGTAGGCGACCGCCTCATCAGGGTTGATGCTCTACACAAGGTTAGCTCAAGCGCACGCCGAATTTAGTTGTGACGTACCTTCTCCAGCTTCTTGCCATCAAAGAAGTCGCTAAGGAGTTTCTGGATACGAGGAATACGAGTAGAGCCACCAACAAGCACGATCTCGTCAACCTTGGATTTGTCGATGTTGGCGTCCTTGAGAACCTGCTGCACAGGCTCGAGGGTACCGTTGAAAGCCTTGGCGTTCAGGTCCTCGAAACGGGCACGGGTGATCTGAGCATTGAAGTCCTCACCATCGAAGAGCGAGTCGATTTCAATGGTGGTTTGGGTACCGTTCGACAGAGTTCTCTTGGCACGCTCGCAAGCGGTCCGGAGTCTTCGGAGAGCCCGAGCATCACCTGAGAGGTCTTTCTTCGTCTTCCTCTGGAATTCCTTCTTGAAGTGCTCGAGCAGGTTGGTATCGAAATCTTGACCACCCAAGTGGGTATCACCAGCGGTAGCCTTGACAGTGAAGACACCACCTTGGATGTTCAGGAGAGACACATCGAAGGTACCACCGCCCAAGTCGTAGATCAGGACATTTCGCTCTTTCTCAGACTTGCCCGAGCCGAGGCCGTAAGCAATGGCGGCAGCGGTAGGTTCGTTGATGATACGGAGGACGTTAAGACCGGCGATCGCACCTGCGTCTTTTGTTGCTTGTCTCTGATTGTCGTTGAAGTAGGCAGGCACGGTGATGACGGCCTTTTGCACCTTTTTGCCCAATTTTGTCTCGGCAACTTCCTTCATCTGTATAGAACATCAGCCGCAACACTACCAAATCCGAGCATAGCACGTACCTTCATCAGGACCATGGACGAGATTTCTTGGGGTGAGAAGGTCTTGGTCTCCTTGAGGTATTCCACCTGGACCATGGGGTTGCCGCCCTGGTCGACGACCTTGAATGGCCATGATTCGACATCCTTCTTGACAATAGGGTCATCAAATCGTCGTCCAATCAGTCGCCTGCACCCATGTCAGCCCCCTGCTCTTATGCTTCTCTGCTTTTCGCACTCACTTGACATCGAAGACGGTATTGGCAGGGTTCATTGCAGCCTGGTTCTTCGCAGCTTCACCAATGAGGCGCTCTTCATCGGTGAAAGAGACGAACGACGGAGTGGTGAAAGAGCCTTGCTCGTTGGCGACTGTTATTCGAGTCAGCATGTGATCTTGGGTTACCCTCAACAGAGGTTTGAGGGGAAAGACATACTGATTTCGACATTGTTGCCCTCGTAGTTGGCAACGCAAGAATAGGTGGTACCTGGTAAGTTTTGTCAGTCGGCGCAGTCAACCGTGAGAGATGCTGGCGAAGGCATACCCAAGTCGATGCCGATGGCACCGTCATAAATTTCGTCTGACATGTTTGAGAATATTAAAGGTCCCTTTGATCTTGACAATGCACAGGGAAACAGGACGAAGAAGGGGAATGAGAAATGCGCAGAGGAGGTGAAGGTTTATACTGCAGTAAAAGCAGCCCACCTAGAATCTTTTTTTCCGCCGGCCAAAATTCTGCTGGGCGGCGAACTCTAAATCCCAGCACAGGCGCACTGCCAAGATTATCACGGAGCACCCACGAGCTAACTCTGACGACTTAGGTAAGCAAGGCTTTGCAAGGCTGGATGCAGCACGACACTACACTTACGGAGAGGATAGGGCATTGAATCTGTTAACGTGATCTAGTGACGTCTCATCCTACTCATCTGCTTTATAATTCTCGGTTCTCTGCTCTCATGCTCTCCTTACCGTCCTACTAACAGGACTTCCCAGCCAAATAGTCGCTTTCCAAGCCTCTGCTTGGTCACGGCGTCTCGAGAGTTGCTCTCCAACCACACGACACTCCCTCCAGCACAGCCTACGACGGTCTGATAGGTTCGTGTAATGAAACTCGTTTAATCGTGGTGCAAATCGACTGCCGCTTGAATTGTCGAAGCAGCGGTTGGGCATTGCGCTGGACAGGAGGTCATCCTGGCGCATAAATTGTCTTCGCTGGTGTTTGTCGTCGAGTGGTGTCCGCCATATAAATTGTCCTCACTGCTGTTTTATCGTCGAATGGCACCATAGCGCCAAATAACACGATTACCCAGGTAACCGTATCAAAAGTGACGTTGAGGTATTCCGCAAGCCACTATGTCCGGGTTCTGGGTGGAAGTTCATCTTAGGTGCATGAGCTCTGCGCTTCCAGGAGATACTCCAGTGCAGACCCTGAATCATCACTCCCCGAGTCGATGGCTCCCTGTTACGCTTCAAGCTGTTGTGTAATCCACCAAATAGCCTCAACCAGCATTCAGCAGCTGGTTCCACTTGGTAATTGAGCCGATCGAGTCAGGCGCCGCAGGAAAAGCCCATTTTCAAAGCTCAAATAAATCAAAGCTTGTCCCCGATACTCAATGATCAATCCAGGACACCACTCTCCCGCAATCCAGCCAGCAATTCTGGCTCCAAAAACCTCTTCACATCCACATCCTCGCTCAATCCCTTTCTTCTCCTCGTCTTGAGCACAAAGTCTCTTGCAGCTTGCTGAGGACCAGCCATCTCCAAAGGTCGAATGCGAATGCTCTTATCCAATGGATCTCCCGGAACCACATCCCACCGATCAAACACGAGCGAGACGCTTGCTGCACCTTGGCTGTGAATGCGCAGGTCAGTCTCGAAGCCAAAACTATCAATGACCGGCAGCAGAGCTTTCGCGGCGTACAGCGGTGTGCCTGCCACTGGGCCGTCGCTGATGACATGGCCACGTCTCTTCATCAGCACGGTGTAGAGCCCTGAAATTGAGTCCGCAGGACCCGTCATGTGCACACTATAAATCGGCTCCATGAGTCGGGGCCCGGCCATCAGGAAGGAGCTGTAGACTGCTCGTCGCGCAGTAGGAATGATCTGCCCACCACCACGGAAGATTGGCTCGGTGGCTAGCTCGGCACCGGTGACCCGGAACTTAGTATTGCGGATCGGCTCTTCGCAGAGTGGTCCTTCACGCGTACCCCAAGAGAACCCCTGCTTGATGCTCTCCTGCACTGATTTGAGAAGTTTCTTGTCCGTGTTCGAAGGTAAAGTGTCGTCACATAAGATGTTCGGTCCCATCTCCTCTGGTCCAAACGCCCATATCGATCTCGCAGCCAACTTGTCCCATTCGTACTTTTCTTCGAAGAATTTGGCCACTTTCCGAATCGGATCTCGAATCTTAACCACGCCAGCCTCGATATCTTCCGCAATGCCGTCATCGAGCGGCTCAGCTATCATGGTCAGTTTGTTCTTCTTGTTCGGCGTCAAAGCATAGCACATGATTGCGCTAGTTTCGGTGACGGTCTCGCAAAATCTGGTGACTGGATCGGACACCTTGATGTCCATTTCTGCGTACAGTGTCCGTAGATCGTGCAGTACACAGTCCATGTATAGCTCGCCCGTACCAAGGACAACATGCTCGCCCGATTCTTCTACCTTTGTGGTGATGAGAGGATAGGATTTATTGATTTTCCGCAGGCCCTCCAGCATTTTTGGCAGTTCCGAAGGATTTACCGGTTCCACCGCGACCTTAAAGACAGACTCTGTAAAATGTCGGACAGGCCTGAAGATATATGCGTCTTCGTTGTTCGGGAATTTTTCTGAGATGACGGTTGCTGTCTTGACGATTGAATTGTCGATGCCTGAGAGGAGAACTAGATTGCCCGCCGGTACTCCTGACACTGGTATATTGTACCGTGAACACCCGAGATACGTTGCTGTGATTATTGCTGTCGTCGAATCTTCCTCATCCTCAAGGCTGTAAGACTCGCCGAGAACTCGTACAGGCTGATCAGGGGATGCTGTACCCGACATAATGCGTCCAAAAGCATTGAACGATTTCGCGTCTGAAGAGCTGAATAGTTTCGTCACATGGACGACTAGTGGACCTTCCGCATCGCAATTTGACATGGATTCACTCACCGCTCCATCTTGAGAGCCTGTGTAGTAGTTGTCAAGCATCCTTTTCGCACCCTCTGCTGGAGAAGGCACGTGTTGGACGACCATATCCACAAAGCCACTTGCGGGCCCGAAGAACTGGGCGCATACCAGCTTGAGCAAGACATTCGCATCCGACTTCAACTGCGACGGCTTCAAGGCGATACCCAGAGTGCTGAGAGTCGCGCCAAGGTCTTCTGGGCTCTCGCTGATAGTATGGGAGTACAGCTTGTAGATAGGTTCGAGCACAAAATTCACAAAGGATCGCTTCGAGCCTTCTTCGATGCCCTTCCGAGTAAACTTCCGACTTCGAGGGTTGAAAAAGATATCGCCCCAGAGCCTCCTCGCAAATTCGGCGGCGTCGACCTTCGGGTAAGTCTCCGCATACATCCTTGCAAAAGATGGTAAAGTGAAGACCCAATCCATAGAGCTGCACGCAAAAGCGACGTTGCCCTTTTCAGGCGATAACCTCTTGCTCTCCCCACGGCCGGGTATTGTGTTTTCGATGATGGTGTTGACCTCTTCGACAACGTGTTTCAGCTTGAAGTAGGCATCTGTCGGCGGAATCTTTAGTTCCAGGATCAGCCGATCCATCTTGTTTACGACCAACACCATAGGAATGTCTTCCAGAACCGCATGCTTAATCACCTGCTCAGTATTAACCTGGACGCCTTCGACCACATCTACCACCAGCACAACGCCGTCGACCAGCCGTAAACTTGACGCGACTTCGTCCACAAAGTTTACGTGACCTGGCGTGTCAATGATGTTGAGAATGTGCGATTTCCCCTTAGTGCCCTGCATGACCAAACTGATCGGCGCAGACTTGATCGAAACGCCTCGTTCGCGTTCCAGGAAATGTGTGTCGGTATATCTGAGCTGCTCGTCCCGTCTCTTTCCTACTCTCTTATCCAGTCTATCTTGTAGATCATGTGTCTGCATCACCAGCATATCCACGAAGGCAGTCTTCCCATGGTGTAAGTGCCCAGCAACGGCTATGTTCCGGATTCCTTCGGGAAAATTGAGGAGGTCTGTCATGAACTCGCGCGAGTAGTAGACCGGTGGTAGGTCAGCTTCCTGCACCTGAAATTTCTTCTGGGTGACAGGTGCAATAATGGGCTGTGTGAGCGGCTGCGCATCTTCTTCCTGGACGAGGGTCTCGACATCTTCGCCATAAACTTGCTGCGCAGTGGGGTAATATTGCTTGTCTTCGTGTAGTATGACCGCATTCGAAGGTGCCTCTTCGTCCACTTCCATCAACCCATCCTCTTGAGGCTGCTGCTCCACGTCGGAATCCTCATCGTAAACATAGTTCTGGCCAGCGTCGCCAGCGTCAATGCCCTCTTCGTCTGAGACTGCCTCGCCAATGAAGTTACCAAACCTGTTAGTTTGAGTTAGCTGGGGCACCGTCTCAGTGAAGCAGCGGTATACATACTCGTCATAAAGGTCGTCCATGTTATCTAGCGGACTTCTAAGCCTTGAGAAGTCGTGGCGCAAAGAGTCGAGATCGCATTAAATTTGTCGAGTTGGAGCCTACAAAATCCTGCGAGTGGAGTATCAATTTGTGCCGGTGTCTCTATGAGTCGCCGTACGTCGCGTAGCCTTGCTTAAGTAATGCGCTCCTGGCAAGGCTAGCTCGGTAGGAGTTCACCTCTCACGACTTCAAGAAAAGGAGACGGAGCTACACACAAGGTGAGGCTTTGACAAGCACACATCCACCATTATCACTATGGGAACGACTCTGGTACAGTTCAACAACTTGTTGAGCATAGATGTGAAGAGAAGACACTTTAGCCATTGTAAGCTCCACGCTTGTGAAAGGGGCGGAACCGGTACCAGTTGCTTCTTCTTCAATATGCACCTTCTCTTTGGGCATACCCTGATTGTCCAACGAATTCAATAATCCCTAAAGCAGACATGACCGGTGTGTCGTTCTCGAGTTGAAAACTCTCCAACTTCGCTCCTTCAGGCTGGTGCGCCCACAATGTCAGTGCCAGCCAATTGGTGCCTTGATAGTTCAATACTCCTGGTGGTACAGGGAAACTAGTCTGGGGCCCGATGTGATTGACATATTTCCCGTATTGAAACCCGTTGACAAAGAGCTGCACTCGGTACTCAGATGGGGGATGTGTGCTGTTGCCAAAATCGAATGACAGTGGCACATCCCAGCCCTGAGGGATGTTGAGATCGAATTGAGTGCTGAAGAAGCCTACTCCCGGCTGAGAGATGCCATCAAGTGGACTCCGTGATTCCCAGTTCTCGTTCGGTGGATTCGGCAAGTGCCAGCCTTGTCGCTCGGCGTACATTGACCCTTCGTTGAGCGGGCCACGAGCTCTGTCACGATAGTCCTCGCCACCGAGATTGCCGGTCAACTTCCAGGTGATAGCAGACTTATCACGTCCTGCAAGGTTGTAGTCGAGGATACCACGAGGAGTCTTCATCTCATCGCCACCAACAGCGCCATTCTCGTCATATCCCATGTGGTCGATCAAGACAGTCAACACATATGGCTTACCGGCCTGCACCTGTGGCAGATTATATGTTACGTTTGTGTTATTCGCAGTGCTAACGCCAGACCAGGAGCCAATGAAGGTCTGATTGAGCCAGACCGAGTGTCCATAGGCCGTACCTCCGCGAGTGTTGAGATAAATGCTCGATTCGTTTCCCTGTGCACTGAAGTGCCCGCGATAAAGGAATGAGCCACTATGGAAGCCATAATCACTTGAGTAGAGAGAAGTTGGAGTTGTCAAGTTGCGCCAAGTGTTTTTCGTCGTGGGGTGGTTGGCGAGAGGCCAGAGCGAGTCGTCATATGCTGGTTGGATTTCCGGGAGGCTGTCAGCGAACTTCCAGTCCAAGCTGCTTAGAGTGGGCAAGGTGAGCATTGGATCAGTCCACGCGACATTAGTGGACCAATCTCCCGTGTCCCCGACGGTATACTGCACACACTGTCCATTCACGAATAATGACTTCGCGGCAGTCGGCACCCCTATGACTTCGATTGGAGATGTCGCGTTGAAGTCAGCCGTCAAGTGTAATGCACTGCCACTCAAGTATGCAGTTCTGACCAGATAGCCTGCTCTCACTATGATCGACGCGGCAGTGCTCTTCTGAGAACTGAAATCTTGCGTTGGTCCATTGCTTGAGAGCTCCGGAACCCAATAGTCGTATGCTGAATTTCTGTCTATGTTGGGTCAACGATAACCTCGTGCACAATGTCAACATAGCACTCACCAAGTATGAAGATCTGTAGGTTGTCCAATTGGATGATGCGGCGCTGAGGAGCAGTATCCCATGCTATTACAGCCCGAGAACCACTCTGCAGAGTGAGTCCAGATTGTGTCCCCTCGATAAGCGATGGCGAAGAGCTCGATGAAATTGACATCTCGTGATGCTCGCCAGGACCACCATACACAAGCAGCACCTTCTTGTGACCAAAGTCTTTCCAGGTAAATATTTCTGCTGTTGAGTAAAGGATATTGGTTCCATTGATATCATAGTCTGTCACATGAATCTTCGAGTCACGTCCATTCAAGGACAATGTACCTCCCAATTGTGGCACGGACAAGTTGCCGGCACTGGTGGGCAGCATCAGCTTATATGGGGTTGATGCTTGACTGGTATAGTTGTTATGTCGCAAGATGAAGAATGTCGTTGCGCTACTGTTGCTTTTCACAGGTGTAACGATCAGATCCGCAGTATTAGTATAGAGGGACGTCGAGTTGTGCAAAGGGTCCGCTTCGAAATAAGCGGGAGATACCTTGACGAAGTTGCCAATCAGTTTCAACTGGCTGTACTTCTCTCGATCAACCTGACGTCCTTCAGCAATTGGAGCAGCGTAGTCGTAAGACGTGTAACCCCCAGCATGTCCCAAATTACCCCAATTAGTGCCACCGTAAGTCATGTACAAGTTCAAGATCTTCACGGAGAAGCTAAGGTCGTTCTTGTAGAAGACTCTTTCGAACTCGCTGTTGACCAGAACACCACATTTCGCGAAGCCCGGACCGCCCCACGGATCGAAGGACCCCGCTTGGAATTCTGTAATGCTGTAAGGCGTGGTTGGGCTTTGTCGAAGATGCCTTTGCCAATAGTCAGTGGGAAGCTTGCCCGCTGGCCACACAGTTGGATTCGCGCAGTCAAAGCCGAGCGGATAGTTGTCATGGCCATAGATGTCCACGGATCCGACACCCGTACCAGGAGCATTGTACCCATTTACGCCAGCGTCATTGCTCAGGAAAGGCACAACAATTCCTGCGTCTCGAGCTTGATCCATCACATCTTGCATGTACTGGCCGTCCGGCTTGCTCAGCCCGCAACAGAAGCCAGAATATTCATTCTCAGGCTGGTACAAGATAATGGGTCCGCCATCGGTGATTTGAGCTTTCGCGATTGTGCTAGCTACGTGACTAACATAGCTATGGGAAAATCAGTAAATGGACTGTTCAAAGGTTAGTAACGTACTTTTGAGTAGCTGCGATATAGTCCGGATCTGTCGTCCTAAGCCTGCCTTTGATTCTCTGCAGCCAGCCTGGGAATCCTCCGCCAGAGGCTTCTGCATTGATATAGGGACCTGGTCGAGCCAAGAGGTAGACACCAGCAGAGCTGGCAGCCTCGAAGAATGGCTCGAGTGCGAACACCCCTTCGGCAGTATAATTGCCAGGCTTTCCTTCGACCAATGCCCAGTCTACATAGAAAGATACGCAATTGAAGCCAAGAGCTTTCACTTTCTGGAAGACGTCTAGCCATAACGACGGCACGGGGAGTCTGCCCAACAATAGTCAGTTCCCCATCCTAGCCTCATCGGACAGAAGACGGATTGTAATCTTCAAGCTCACATACCGGAATGGGTGTACTTCACCGCTGAATATCATGATCCGCTCACCGCGGACGAACAACGACGTCTCGTCCCATGTCACCTGCGACAGTCAGTTTTGCCAGCTCACTGTAGCCGTAACACCAACCAGATCCTGCAAGAGTGCACGTTTGTCGGCATCAGGGTGTTCGATGACTCTGAAACCACCCAGACTATGGCTGGGCACAGCAAGCGCAGCCAAATGTGTTGCCGCAAGGGCGAGTATGGAACCAAGAATGAGCTTCATGACTTCGATGTCAGCGTCTCAAAGGTCCCGTGGGCATTGGGACAACTGAAGAATGATGCTCCTTGCAGATGGGAGCTGCTCCGTTTTCAGCTACCCGACCGAACAGGTGCCGACCCTCGCATGTGCCGTGATTCATGCTGAGCTCTATACCTCTTTGCACACGCTCCGGTGGTGGGGCGTAGATCCTCCACACTTTTCCGTGTCTTGTGGTCTTATTTCCAGGGCACCTTCCAAGTGCAGCAAGGTGATCGACATCTGCAGGCAGAGCCTTCCGTGCATGAGGTAGCACTAAGAGCCATGAGAAGGTTGGTCAAGCTTCTTAAAGCTGGTGGGAACTCCTGCAGGTGGCCATCTTGTTGCCTTCCGTCCACAAGCATGACGACAAGAGTAATGTGCAGTCGTAAGCTGGCAAATCATGGTAAAGGAGTAAGTGCGGAGATGCTTGCTCCCGCATGACCATCCCAGCCTTGCTCGGCCAGTATTAGCCCGAAGACCTCGAAGACCTTCCTGATGTGTAAATGCACCTGCGGTAGAGACTTGCTGTCCGGGCACAGAATGGACAGCTGCTTTGGGCTTCAGCACTGTTGTAATTGTGCATCCTATTATGGGGTATTATGTGTAGCCACCACAGTAACCAAGTCATGTACTCTCCCGAGCTACCTTGGAAACGCCTTTTGTCTGGTCCTGGCATCCCTAGACTCCGTTTTGAATTCCATGCAGTGACTTTTACATCAATGATTCGATAACAAGAGCGCTTGCTCCACCGCCACCATTGCATATGCCAACGCAGCCAATTTTACCTTTCTTTGCTCTCAAAACACCAAGCAGTGTTGTGACAATTCTTGCTCCGGAAGCACCTAACGGATGCCCGATTGCAACAGCACCTCCATGAACATTGACTTTGTCTGCAGTCAGACCGAGCAGCTTCATATTAGCAAGGGCAACCACGCTGAAAGCTTCGTTGATCTCGAATGCGTCAACCTGATCTATCGTGATACCAGCATGCTTGAGAGCCTTAGGAATGGCAAGAGCTGGAGCCGTGGTGAATTTGCTGGGTTGTTGAGCAGCATCACCCCAACCCAGAATCTTGGCCAGTGGTTTGATATTGAGCTCCTTCAATTTGGCCTCCGACACAAGGACGACAGCCGCGCCACCATCGCTGAGTGGCGAAGCATTCGGGGCGGTAACCGTGCCCTTGTCTGGAATGAAGGCAGGCTTCATTGAGCGCAGCTTATCGATATTGAGGTTCTTGGGCTCATCGTCCTGGTTCACTGTAACACCTGGCTTGCCACGTGCACCCGGCAATTGAACGGGCGCAATCTCAAAATCAAAAAGACCTTCTTTCTGAGCAGCCTGTGCTCGCTGGTATGACTGAATAGCAAAGTCATCCTGTTGGTCTCGGTTGAAGTCGTGATCTCGGGCGCATTCTTCTCCTTGCAAGCCCATATGTTCTTGCTTGCCATAAGCATCCGACAGACCGTCTTTTAGAACTCCATCAACCAACGTTTGATTTCCGAATTTCGCTCCGGTACGCATGTTGGGGAGGTAGTGAGGGCAATTGGACATTGATTCAGCGCCGCCAGCCACAACGATATCGGCGTTACCAGTCATGATTGTCTGTGTTCCAAGAACGATAGACTTGACCGCGGAGGCGCAGACCTTGTTGACGGTCGTGCATACGGTCGAGTTGTCGAGCCCGGCCCCGAGGGCACATTGTCGTGCAGGGTTCTGGCCGAGACTGCGCAGGGTTAGAAAAGTGAGTCGAGGAGCAGAGAGTGGTCTTACTTTGCAGAAAGGACATTTCCGAAGAACACTTCTTGTACATCTTGTGGTTTGATCTCAGGAACTCGTTCGAGAGCAGCTGTATGCAACGTTAGTATAGTATTCGAACGCCTGTGGCGGTGAAGGAGTCGCACATTTGATGGCATGGGAGCCGAGTTGAGTTGCGGTCAATGAAGACAAGGACCTGTTGATAGTTAGCATGACGAGGAACAGTAGCTCAAGGCGACAGGATTCACCCAAGAAACATGCCCACTGGCGTTCGTGCAGCGGCTACAATGTAGACGGGGGGCAGGGAGGGCTTCTGGTGAGGGACGCCATCGACGCCGTTGGAGGTGGCCATGGTGGATTTGTGAGACAAGATACGAAAGGGTAGAAAAGCCAAGGGAGTGAGGAAGTTGAAAAAGGAGTGAGTAGAGTATGGAAACGGTTAATAATTGAATGGTAGAGCAAGTGTAGAGCAACCAATTCAATTGTTGACCCTCAAGGCCTGTCTGGGTTGGTTTCGTTGCCCTCCAAAAAATTGTTCCCTCATCCGTCTCCAAAGTCGTGCCACTCGGATGAAGATAATGACCCTAAACACGTGCTGATAAGATAAGAATTTCACCCCGAAGGCACGTGGTTGAGGAAAGTATGAGTGAACCTCAACAGAACAGTTCATCACCCACGCTCACCCTATCCTCAGATACCTCGGTGGGAGTGATGCGACAGGCAAAGCTGAAAGTGCTTGCGAAGACCCTTCTTGGCTCACACGAAGCTTTGCGAGTCTCGATGAAAGAAGTCCATTACAGTCCATCAAATGGCCCTTCCACAACCGTTATTAAACTGCTCACAGATGGGTGACAGGTGGTCTTAGACTCTCTGAGCCGGATCAATGACTTATACCGAAGTGAAGGTCAAGTAAATCCATGGAAGAGTATGTCTCAGGTGACGCATTCACTGCTCTCAGTCACGCTCAGTGATAAGATGAAGGTCAGTTCGACTTGCGCTTCTGTAGACAAATTGCTTCACATACGACATTCTTCTGTTTGCAACATGCGGCTTCGTATGCTGTGCTGACTCTACATCCACATGATGTTGTCGTTATCCAAATTTCTCGCTTGGTCGCGTTCGTTGACATGGAACAAACCTGATTCCGGAGCGTGGGCACGAGGACCTGATAGCAGGACTCTGTTGAATCGTGACTATCAACCAAGGTCAGCTGCGTTGGCCACTCGATGCATTTGCCGAACATTGATGTCTTGCTAATGCCTTTCAGAACCATGGAAAACGACGACTGGGACGCGGAGATCGCTCGAGTCGCATTCACCCAGCAACTACAAGACATTGGAAACGCGTTGCGAACCATTCCTGAATCATCCAAGTATGCGGCGACGTTAAGAAATGAAGCAGCCGCGATTAACCTGCAGATGCAAGAGGTGGAAGCCTTAGAGGCACGTCGAACAAGTCAGAGAATGCAGCATAGTATGTACCGTGCTATGCTCTCTGACCTTCCTCAGCTGGGCGATTTGGGAAATCGACAGGGTTCTACACCTGTTCGCCGCCGAGGCCAAGGACGAGCTGGTGAAACTGGCAACTGCGAAGACTGTAGAGTCAACCCCGATGGAAGCACCCGACTCGAGGACTACATCGAGCGGCTGAAGCTGGATGAACAAGCGAGAAGAGAGTGTTACATTTGCGCCGACCAGGTACTGTACTCTGAGAGCGTCGTTTTTGGTGAATGTCCTCACTCCTGGTGTCATGGCTGTCTGAGACGCGCATTCGACTTGGCCATCAAGAGTCATGGCGGATATCCCGTACGATGCTGTGTGCAGATCCAGTCTATTTCGCTTGACAACCCTGATGTTGCTCTCGCTCTGGGAGACAAGATGATCAGTGACGCGAAGGCAAAGATCATGGAGTATACACCAAAGATCGAACCTACTGTCATCAACAGACATGCTCTGCCTTCATCCCTGCCAGATACGATCTCGGATCGCATGGCCACGTGCCCGACCTGTCAGCAGCGCACATGTGCCAGCTGCAAAGGACCATATCATGAGAAGCCAGACTGTTCAGCCGTCAATGACGAAGCTTTTGAGCATTGGCGAGACGAGAATGGCGCTGCAACCTGCCCAGGCTGTCATCACGCCGTCGAGATCACCTATGGATGCAATCATATGAAGTATGCACTTCGTACACAGAACGATTTTAGCAGCAAACTGACTCACTATTGTAGATGCCTGTGCGGGATGGAGTTCTGCTACGAATGTAGCGTTACCTGGAAAAATTGCTCATGTTCACGGTGGCACGTAGATCGCCTGTATGATCGAGCTGCACAAGTAGCCGAGCGTCAGGGTCGGCCTGCCAATACTGAACAAGTTGCCAGAGAATTGCAAACAGAGGAAGACTGCCGACACAATGACTGGACCCGATCTGATCTTAATCGCTTCGCTGGCGACGAAAGATATGAAATGAGTCGCTGCCGAGATTGTGGTTGGCATGCCAACGATTTCTTGTGGCAGTGCGACGGGCGCGCGATGCGGGTATGCTCCAGATGTCGACGCGACTACAGAGACTTCGACCACTATCGGGACGAGTACTAAAACGCAATCTGCAACAATTCAGTGTGCAACGGCAACATGTCTTGATCCTTGGTACAACCGCGAGAGAGATGGCCTTCAGCACGGCCGTCACCCTTGAGACATTGGGAGGAGTGGCACTCACGAACCCGCGATATCGATTGGCTACTGCGTGGTCAGACTGCTAAGCGGTTGAACGTCCACTAGTTGGCAGTGATGATGGAATTGGTGGTTGCCGGCTGGCATCTCAAGTCCAAGGTCGGCCTGAGAAGAAGTCCGTCGAGAATGAGGAGAGTTGATTAGAGAGGTCCCGGTGTTTTTGCGGTCATACTGGGATAGGACATCATGCGGAAGACACGCCTTTCATAATGTACGAAAGGAGAGACAGCGAAAGAGAGTTGGAAGGACAATAGCACCGAAATCCAGCTTGAATTACTCGAGAAAGCCTGACACCTGACTCTGTTCGAGACTAGCGCCGTCCAGCCGAACTGAGTCCATAACTACCTCCTTGCACGAGCACTCCGAGCACTCGTAGCCGTTCAGATGCCACCGAATGTATGTTGGATCGGCATAGAACGCTTAGGATCACTCCATTTGCATTCACATCAGTATTACTACCCCTGATTGCAGAACTTGATACAAGATGCGACTCACGCGTGCTTGACATCCACTTTGGCATCGGCGACGTCAGCGAAGCCTTTCTTTGGGGCCTTGATCTTCAGCAAACCGGCCTCCAGCGTCACACTGACGTTCTCCACATCGGTCGGAAAGTTGATATATCTTCTGAAAGGCCCGATTCTCCTCTCGCCCACCAATAGATGGATTCCGCCAGCTTGTGGCTTGTCTTTATCTTCCTCCACATCCGTGGTCTCAGGGGTTCCATAGTCTGGTCGGTATGTCTGCCCTGTCAAGAGGAGCGACCGTGAGCCAGTCCAGGAAACAGTCACTTCGTCTGGCTTCTTGATGCCGGGAACCTCGACTTCAACCAAGTATTCCTTGATTGCGTCGCGGAAGTCAACGTCCGGTTGGTTAGGATTGTCTTCGGGTCTAGGGTGTCGGCGAGCGATATATTGCATTAGACTTTGATGCTGATGATGTCGTTCATGCAAATTGTCGACTAATGGGGGTGGCAAGTCGTAGTAGTATGCGTATGCCATAGTGTTTGAAGTTGCTTTTCCGCACAGTCGAAGAGGGGTGATCGCTGATACGGTAGCAAGTGGTCGGGCGGTGAGAAATGTTTTGTAGTCTTGCACTACTTAGATTGCTTCCAGACTGCTGAGAGCTCTGTGTGGTAGAATTTGTCTCGAGTATGTACGAACGGATATGGAGAGGAAGAAGGGGCGCTGTCAGGATGCAGGCATTTTTATATATAGCAGAGCTTTGGTCGGCGCATCCTCCTCAGTCTTTCAGATGAGAGCAGACGGCATCTCAAGCTGGAGGCTAATCGGCACCTAGCTCCCAAGGAAGTAGCACGAGCGCAATATCTAGCTTGATCCCCATGTTCGGTCAAGAGCGAAGTGATCGCATGACTTACCAGATCCTTGACCCGGCATATGGCATTCATGTGCTTGGGGTTGACCGGGGCAAGCCGAGGAAGGCTTGCCTGCATCATGGGCACTAAACGATCGTCCTGGTGTCGTCGATGACCAGAAAAGTGCACGGAGCAACAGCAAGTCGGCTGGGGAACTATTGGACGAGAATGCGCTGGGGAAGCTCACCTCATCAGGAGATACAAAGACTAAAAATGCGCAGGTGGTTTGATTTGGTAACATTAGTGGACGAGGTGTTACACCGATATGCGTATTGATTACGTTGTTGACGGACGCTGGAAGGCGAAATCAGCCTGGATGCGAGTGCCCCTGTTCTGCTTGCGCACAAACATGCAGGCTACGGCATTGACAAGACACAAATTGTTCGTAATGTTTGGCCAGATTGCACCCATCTGGGAAATCGAAGTAATATAGATAGGTACCTAGTATATATATTGTCCATGGCAACACAGAGCCGGCTTTGTCGCTTGTGATTCGTGTCCTGGACACACTTGGAGTGAGATATTGTCATTACAACAGGTTGAAATAGCTCGCAACGAGTAATACATTTAGCCGATCCGTGTTCTTTCCACTGGCTCCGAGGTATTTTCGAATTGTCAGTTTCTCGTCTTCCAAGATTGTTTATTATCTATCTTCTAGAAGTGTTCATTGACCGCAAATTTCATGTCATATGACTGCTAGAGTGGTTCGACTCTGACATTTCCCTGGTCAGCAACCTTGGTCGATTTTCGTACTCTCCGATCCTCTCCCACTGTAAAAGCGAGGCCTAAGCTCTTCCATCGTATCATGGTTACTCGATTTGGACAGCGAGCTTCAACCTCGATCCATTGAGATCGAAGCGAGACGCCACGTGCCTGAACTCCGTGGAGGCCCTGTCCCATGAAGAACTCAAAGCTGTCTTTTCGCTAAACAAGGATCAGTCCATCCATTTGAAATGGAACGTTCGAGAGCTGGACCAGCTCTGATGAATTAGAGGTAAGTGTTCACGGTACGCGGCCGTCTTTGAGAGGGCATGATAAATATCACCGTGTGCTCTGATGGTGACCCGAGGGATCTGTCACCCCCTGAACAAGAGCCATACTGCGAACATATCTCAGCAACAGCAAAATCAACTTGAAACCGACAAGCGATACCAAACCTCAGCTTTAAACCATTCTCTGTTTGTGCCCTGCTCCACATTTGCGAATCGCAGAGTCATTGAAAGCAGACATTCGGGATCTCTCGCGATGGCAACGCTCGAATGTTTTCTGCACCCTCATCATATTTCTCTGGTGGACAGGCACTCTTTGCGCGCAAAGCTCCAACACGTGGGCGACGCCTACTACAACGTCGACGCCCTGCCTTCACACCACGGAGTGCTAGCCCCAAAGTTCGATGTCTTCGAGATAGACTCCAGCGGTGAGGGCGGCAGCGAAAGCAGCGCAGTGCCCGAAAGCGTGACTGGCTGGCTGCTTATGGGAGATGTTCCCGGAGTCAGGCCTGAAGATGTGAAAATTGAATGGATCGACGAGAAAATCATCTTCATACGTGGAAAGGTTCAAGGCTCCACGGCTCTTAACTTGGATTCATTGGAAGCTTTCCAGGGAATCGAGATTGCCCATTTGAAACCTCTCCATAGGGAGAGACAAGAGGGATCCTTCGAGCGTTCTGTTACTTTCCCGGAAAAAGTAAAGGTCAAGAACGTGGACATAGCAGTTCAGGACGGGCTTGTGCTGGTCAAAGTGTTGAGGGAAACTTAAGGGGAGCGGAGCCACGGTGAATGGATAGGGCAATTAAGAAAAGGCATGGCTTGGAAACATTATTTGCATGGAATATACGCTGGCTGTGGCCCGCATGCAGGTGTGCGGCCTGATGCCATTTCCTGCCTAAATGAAATATTTTGGAGACCTTAAGTCTATTTCAATGCATCGGGAGCTTGAGCGAGGGGGCGTGATGCCTACCTACCTAGGTAGGTACCTCCCGGTACCTTGTCCAGATCTACCCCGTTCGGTTGCACCCGAGTCCTTGGTCCCGTGACATTCTCGTACCGTTCGAGCCGTAATCATGAAACAAAGCCAGAAAAGTCTTGATGGTGAAATCCCCAACCTCAGAGAATGGTAGACAAGTGGCCAGTAGATGCAGGCTCCAAAGATTGCCCCCATGCCTGGGTGCCAGGAGATTTTGAGATCAGCGGACACGCTAGCCCCAAGTAGAAAGGCGTTAGACATGGACAGCGAGAAGCCAATTGTTCGCCCTGTCTAATTATGGCCCTGCAGCACTGCACTGCACCTCATCTGACACTGCAAGCCACCACGCACTCTATTGTCCTTCAGTCTTCATCATACTGTCTTCAGACATTTGTCGGCAGGGCCGTCTTACCATTCTCAACAACGAATAGACGCGTTGCCTTGTCGATTGACCCCTTAAATCAACCTACACCTTCCTCAGCCCGAGCCTGACCACCAATTCCCCGAGCGGTACTCCTTCCTCACCCGTCGCGCCGCTGTGCATGTAACCTCTTCCTAGGCTTTCTGAGAGAGCCTGTCCGCCTTTGCGCCGTCAAACCGCTTTCGACCTTGCCCAAGAGGGCGCAGCGAGGTTGATTGAAACCCGAAACCACACTGCCGAACTCTCTCCTCGCCTCATTCTTCACCGGACCTGCGTGTGGTGTGTATTGCATGAAGTGTGTCCGTGCGACCAAAGGAGGGCTTGACAACGTTTAAGGAAAAGATCTGGGTCACTTACGGACGTGCGACCTACGTGTGCACCAGAGCTTCGGCTGCTGGAAGTCATTCGTGTCGAATGTTTACTCGGTCGGTGGAGACACATACATGCAACACATATCGAGGAGTAACATAAAATGGCGGCTCCGCTCGAAGAGCTGCCTCAAGGAAATCCTGGAACAACAAGATACACAATAGGCGCGCCGCGACCTCAGAATGAACCGCCTCAGCGGACATCATCCAATGGAAATGGTCAATACAATGGGTATGGCCAACATCAGGCAATTGGGAATCCGAATGATGCTCAATATGACAGCGACGCCAGATATTCCACAGAGAGCCGGACCGGCAGAAAGAGATCTCTCGGCGGACCTGGTGGCAGCGAGAGAAGCAGATCAAGAACAAATGGCAGTTCTGGCAAATCGCCAGGTGCTACGGTGCGCACATGCAAGAAATGCGGCGAGCCCTTGACCGGCCAATTTGTGCGCGCTCTAGGAGGCACGTTTCATCTCGACTGTTTCAAGTGTGCCGACTGTGGACAGATTGTCGCTTCGAAATTCTTTCCTGTTGACGCGGAGGATGGATCTGGACAGTTTCCTCTCTGTGAGACAGACTACTTCCGACGTCTGGACCTTCTTTGCTTCGAATGCGGCGGCGCTCTCCGGGGTTCCTACATCACAGCGCTTGACCGCAAATATCACATCGAACATTTCACCTGTTCTGTATGTCCGACAGTATTTGGCGCCCAGGATAGCTACTACGAGCATGATGGAAAAGTCTACTGTCACTTTCATTATTCCACACAATTCGCGCAGCGTTGCAATGGTTGTCAGACTGCCATTCTCAAGCAGTTTGTTGAAATCTTCCGCAATGGACAAAACCAACATTGGCACCCCGAGTGCTACATGATTCACAAGTTTTGGAATGTGCGACTGGCACAGAATGGAGCAATTTCGGAGAGAAAAGACATAAATGCACCAGTCACAGACGATGAGCGGGAGCAAGTCAAAGAAGACGAAGAAAAGATGGAAGACAAAGTCTACCGAATCTGGAGCACCCTGTCTACATTTGAAGAGTCTTCCGCCTCCTGCATCTCCGACATGCTTCTGCATGTCAGCAATGGTGTCTATGTTGACGGAGTCATCGTTGCACGAAAATTCATTTGGCACGTTGATATTCTTTTTGGGGCAATTGATACTCTTGCGTCTCTTGTTGTTGCAGCTGGACTGAAAGAACTAGCTTATGGCCGAGAGGCCAAGCTGCTTTGCAAGAAAGTTGTGGCATTCTTCACCCTCCTTTCAAAAACTCAGGAGACTGGCGTGCGCAAGCTCGGAGTCACCCAGGAGCTCTTATCTCTCGTCACAGGCTTGGCCCACTACTTGAAGCTCCTCATTCGCATCGGTCTCCAAGGAGCTCTGAAACTAGAGAGAGAGCGCCGTTCTCCGGAAGGTCTACATGCTTTTCTGGACGAACTATCGGACCTTGAAACAATCAAAGAGCAGGAACTGAAGTCGCTTGATCTGGCAGAGAGCGTGGCAGGATTAGCAAATCAGGAGTCAGACTGCTGCTCGGCCTGTATGGAACCTATTGATGACGAATGTGTTATGATCTACGGCCGCCGCTGGCATGCAAAGCCATCACACCTTACCTGCAGCGTCTGTCAGCGCGACTTGACAACAGATCTTGCGCTCGCTGTTTACAGCGAGAAAGAGGACAAAGCTTATTGCGTCGAGCATTCACGAAGATTACAGGATCCTGTCTCGGGCTTCTCCTATGTCACCAAGCTCCAACAGTATGTTTTCCTTCTTCGCGTTGCTCTAGCACGACTGCTGGAGGTCCTCAAGTCTGGTGGAACCTTGCCGCACACTTCGGACGACCCCAATCTAACCCCTTACAACACCACTGAAGGCCACCGTGTTTCGCCAACTGGTGAAAAGGTCACTTCTCGGCAAATGATGGGCTCGAGATCGAGGTCTTATGCAGGCGCCTCAAGTCAACAGCAAGAGTCGTCTTTGGAGCAAACAGTCGGCGAAATGAAACGGCTTAGGTCCACCCGGAATGAACGAACTCTTTCTACGACCTTCCGAAAAGCTCGTGAATCGAAAGTCCTCTATGGACCCACCGGGGTCCGGCCAGGCTCGGAGGCAGGAGATGGCCAGGAAGGGAGAAACCGCGGTGGCTTCCAAATCGTTGAAGAACGAGATCTTGACGGTAGAATGCGCCCAGAGTTGACTTTCGGCAACCAAGATGGTTTGACCCTCGACGATATCCCGAGAATTGTGGCTGCCGAACAAGCCAAAGAGCAAAGACCAAACGCCTTCCGTCATGCGGGCACTAATCTTATCGGACACCGCGGCAACGAACCAAGACTCGTCAACGGTCACCAAAGAGGTACTTCTGGTGGCAATGACCTACTGGCAGGTGAACCCAGTCCATTGCGGACCAAGCGGTATTTCTCTGAACTGACTGCACTTGAGTACTTCATTGTGCGACATGTTGCTGTTCTCTCGATGCAGCCTCTGCTAGAAGGGGAGTACACGCTCGAAGATTTGCTTGGGCTGATCGAAACGAGGAAGCAGACTTTCTGGGGTAAAGTCAGCCGTGCACTCCGCAACGATGGCAAAACCAAGAAAAAGGGTATATTCGGCATCCCTCTGGAGACCCTGGTCGAGCGTGAGGGCGCAGAATCCACTAATGGAGTGGGCCCTGGAGCCTTGAGAGTTCCGGCGATTGTTGACGACTGCGTCTCGGCCATGAAGCAAATGGATATGTCGGTGGAAGGGGTCTTTCGAAAGAATGGCAACATCAAGCGGCTCAAAGAAGCCTCAGAAGCGATCGATTCTAATCAAACACCAGACCTCAACCGGGAGAATCCTGTCCAAGTGGCTGCCTTACTGAAGAAATTCCTGCGGGAAATGCCCGAACCTCTATTGACATTCAAACTGCACAAATTATGGATCACTTCACAAATGATCGAAGATGAGGAACGCCGGAGAAGAGTCATGCATTTGACATGCTGCTTGATGCCAAAGAGCCATCGCGACACCATGGAAGTGCTGTTCTCTTTCCTAAAGTGGGCAGCATCCTTTTCTCAGGTGGATGAGGAGTCTGGCAGTAAGATGGACATACACAATCTGGCTACGGTGATGGCTCCCAACATTTTGTACGCCAAGGAGAAGTCACCAAATGCCAGACAGCCACAAGTTCCGCAGGTTGACGACAGTTTCCTCGCCATAGAAGCCGTTAACACTTTGATCGAGTACAACGACTATTGCTGTCAGGTACGAGGGCCTTCTTAATATGACTCTCTTGGATAGCCTGCTAACAGATGTATTCACAGGTTCCAGAAGATTTACAGTCCATCTTGACTGATAGCAGCCTTCACGCTGGGACCGCAGAAATCACGACCAAGGAAATCCTATCAAGATACGGCCATATTGCGAGAGGTCAGGTGCAAAAGCAAACAGTTCAGCCAGCTGATGCCCCAATCCGCAGCCCTGCGTCAGCTTCAAGTTCGATTGGACCTGTGGCAACACGTGTCGATGTTGACCCTTACCAAGCTACGGCCTGGCAAAAGCAGAGTTCCGTCCGTCCTGTACAAAATATCGCTTCAGCCACATCCGCCCCCAAAAACGACTTCAACTTTAGCGCTCCCAATAGCCCTTACGCCAGAGACCGAGCTGGTAGCTCCGGAAGCGGAGGAAGCCATGGAGGTACACCTTCTGGTAGGCACAGCTTCCAGCCTAGGCCAGGTCAGATGGGCATTGCAGGTTGACAAGCCATTTCTCAACATCGAAAGAGTCTTCAGCATATTGCGGCGTTCTTGTCACCTTGTTGGTTTATGATGGGGGCATGGCCCAGACGACCTAAACGGTGTGTCTTGTGTCGCCACGGAGAAAAAGGTGTGACCATTGAATGGTCCACCAGTTGGACGAATTTGACGACACTCAATCTTTCTTATGTTCATGGGGTTTTCCAAGGGCTCACGGAGTTCATTTTCCGCTGCATGAGACAGCAATCGCAGAGCTTCTGCAACCTTTATTCCCACTTTTTGCTGACGACACTGGGCTCTGTTGTGCACAGTGTGCTTTTGTTTTGCTACCTTATGCTGCCTGCTCTCATTGCAGGCACGACGCCGTTGCATGTTGACAGCAGGCGGAACCAAAATTCGCAAATCTTGTTAGAAATTCATGGAAGCTGATCTCGAGCGTTGGGCGCTCCGCTTTCGACATGGAGCAGATCGATGCTGCTTCACTTGGCGACGAGGCATTCTTGGACATGGGAGCAGGTGTGGTTGGATAATATGGTCGGGCGAGGATCGTGTAACGAGGAAAATTTTTGTTCATAACGGCCTCACTCCCGTACTGCTCTTTCAGAAGTTGTGGATGACAAGACAAGGGCGAAAGGAGACAGGTGTGGGACCACTTTTTACTGTTGGAGTCGTTACTCTATGCTGGAGTCGGGCTGAGTTGAGCGCCTTGCAGGCTGCATTTCACATTCGAAAACACCTTCCTAGGTCAACTGATCAAGCTCAAGGATAGGTCAATTACTGGCCGTTGAGTCCATTCTGTTTGCTACTGTCTCCGTTCTTGAGCATCTTGTCCATGATCCGTCCTAATCGCTGAACAGCATCCTCTGTAATCTGATAGTGCACTACTAACCTGCCGCCGCGAGCCTTGATGCCCTCTGTGGCTGCAAGCTCGGCGAAAGTGTCTGCCGTGAATCCTTCGTGCTCGATATCCAGCCAGACCATGTTCGTCTCGACTGGTTTTGTGAGCTGGCCGCCCTTGCTCTGCCACAGTTCTGCGATCCTGCGAGCTTGAGCGTGGCCGGCGCGCAGTTTCCCGCCCTCACCTCTGGGACCTTTGCCAAACGTTTCATCCACGGCGACCCGTGCTGCCGCAGATATCACGCCTGCCTGCCTCGTGCCGCCACCGAGCATCTTGCGTATGCGCCTGGCATGGGCGATAAAGGACTTGGAACCAACAATGATGCTCCCGATCGGGGCCCCAAGACCTTTCGAGAAACACAAGCTGACGCTGTCAAAGCAGGTGGTGAAATCGGGTAGGCTACCCGCATCCGCAGCCACAGCTTCCCAGATGCGCGCCCCGTCGAGGTGCATTTTAATGCCGTGCTCGCGGGCAAAAGCCGAGATCTTGCGAACTTCGTCGAGCGGCATAATCATCCCATCAAGCGTGTTCTCGAGGGAGATGACCCGCGTCGGACAGGCGTGCACGTCGTCGGAGATGATGGCATGCCTCTCAACGTCCTCAAGCGTCAGATGGTGCCCGTTGGCCGGCATGATGGGGATGAGCATGGCGTTGGACAGCGATGAGACGCCGCCAGCTTCGTAGTTGACGATGTGGCCCCTGATGTCGCATAGGACGGAGTGTGGTGGCTGAGTCAGGTGCGTGCGGAGGGAGACTTGGTTGCCCATCGTGCCGGACATGACGAGCAGCGCAGCCTCGTGACCGGAGAGGGAGGCTAGGTGTGCCTCAAGGTCGTTGGTCGTGGGGTCCTCGAGAAAGACATCGTCTAGCAGCGTGGTGCTAGTGATGGCGCGCAGCATAGATTCGGTCGGCGTGGTCATTACGTCGCTACGGAAATCGTAGGACGCTGGGCCCGGCTGTTGCCAGGCGTTGATGCTCTTGTGTGTTGCTGCATGGCTGTTGGAGGTCTCGATGGAGGCAGTCATCCTGGTCCTAGATGGGTTCTGGAAGTACTTGTAAGTTTGAGATATATATACACATCTGGGGCCTGCTCTTGGCTGACTCCTTCTCAGCGCTGTCCGATGGCTGTGTAGGAGCATTTCCACGGCAAAGCCCTAATGAGGACACGCCCAGATATGAGTCTTCGTCCAGCATCGCGAAGGGCGTGGAAGGCGTGCAAAACCGATGATTGTGGAGCGGCGATGTGCGACCAGCACCCACACCATGACGAATACGGAGGACCGTTCTTTGCCGTCCAGCCGTGTACTTACTACGTTAGCTCTTTAGGTGCCGGCCTGGTCGTGCCTGGTCTACCTTCCTAATTGGGAGTTCGCGCCCACGGAGCATAGGGACACGAAGCGAAATTTGATGATGGTTGTTCTCGACGCGTTCCATGCACGCGCTCAAAGGGTCCCGCACTTTCAAAACCACTCTAGCCGCAGTAGTTAAACGTCCAGAGTCCTTTTAAACCTAGACAATACGCTCATTGTCATGTGTACAATCTCCATATAACAGCAACGCTTGTATCATGGCCATGTCGTCACGACGGGTGTCGCAGCCACCGTCACCGAATGTCAATCTATTCTGTTCTCAGTGCGATACTCAAATCGGCGTCTTTGCAAACGAATGGACCCGCCTGACTTCCTCCTACGTCTACCCTGCCCATCAAGGCAAGCACTTCGGGACAGAAATTGGGAACAAAACACAAGTTGTACCTGAAGGAGCTCTGCAACGAGCAGTTCAGGGATGTAGCCTTGCGGAGGTGTTCTGCAAAAAGTGCTCAGCAGCCCTCGGTCAATACTGCAAAGCGGCGCCAACCCCAGAACAAAGACGACTCATGTATGTCTCTTGTATCGAGGTTAGCTATGCATAGACGCTAATGTGAAGCAGAGATCAATACTTTTACAAACTCTCGAAAACATATCTGAAAGACAGCGACACAAACACTATCGTCGACGCCCTCTTCGGGTTTTCTGGGGACATTATCCGTTCAAGAACCGTAAGACCTAGCGACCCTCCTCGACCCAGCCTCCCTCCACCTCCGAGATGGTCTCAGACTCCTATGCGACCTGGACAAGACGCTGCGTCTTCACCATATCAAATCTTTCCCGACTCACAAACTCAGTCCTATCGGCCTTCGCCAGTGCAGAACGCAGCATACCCCGAGTCTCCAAATGCGATTGGGCTGCGGCTGGGCATGGAGGCAAGACTAAAGGGGCAAGAAGAGAAGCTTACCGCGCAGGACCAGAAGATTCAGCAGCAGGATACACAGATCAGGCTTTTGACTTCGCTGCTAGAGACACTTCGAGGCACAATGGAGGACCTCAAAACTACACTAAAAGAGTTGAAATCGCAAACCGCCTCTTCACGTAATGATGCCTTGGATCATAGTGACCTGACGCGAACTTTGGAGTCAATGTTCAAAGGCCTGCAAGGCACTCTGCCAAACACAGCAGAAGCCGAGAGACTTCGAGCGGAAAACGCTGCTATCAAGGCACGAATTGAGCGATTGGAATCGACTGGAACCCTTTCAAGAATTAGCGATGAGTCTCTGAATGTGTTAGGCAAACGAAAACGACCCAGCGCGTTGGTTGAGTCTATGGTCCCAAGTTTTGCGGATGCCACACTGAGGCATGCATCTCCGTCTTTCCAACCAGGATCATCCTTTGTTCAGATGCCAACGCCGCAATCAAGCAATCCCTCCGACCACCGTTCGCAAAATACGTCGACCGCGTCAAGGAACTCTAGTCCCGATGAAGAACAAGCCGGGGATGTGTCAGAACAGTATCTGCAGCCGACTGAAGATCCCGTGGAGCAAAATGAGGTCAATGCAGTATCGACGCCTCAGCAGTCTGATAGTCAACTTTCTGATCAAGCCAGAGAACACGACGAGTCCAGCCTGCAAATTGAACCCGAAAATCAAGCCTTGGTGCAAACTTCGACTCGCCCAAGACAGGCCAGAAAGTCGGAACAACCAGGAGCTCCGCCAGTTGATGAACGCCAAGGATTATCGTCCGATGGGTTTGCAGAAGGACAGGATGATGGAGCGCGCCAGCAAGCCAATGTGGACATCATGGAATTCTCCTGCCAAGACGACACTGCTGATCTAGGTGATGTTGATACCTCAGTCACACAGTTGTCAGCAGCAAACAATGTGGAGTTCAGCGACGATCAACAACAGGAGACACGCCCTTCACCGACCCACGATGTAGATCAAGTCGAACGGCGGGACGAAGAAGCAGCAGCCACTGTCGTTATGGAGAGCACCACTGCACGCCAGAAGGAGCCACTTCTCGCGGAGCCTGTTGCCAATAATGATGCTGCTGTTGAGGCGGAACCAAACAAGCGTCCTCGGACTAGAAGGTCGATTGCGGCCAGAAGACTTACCGACAATGCCCTTGACGGACGAAGTGTCGCTCCTGAGCCAGCAGCCATTCCTAAGCTCGTGCCTCGCCGATTGGAACCGGAAACATTTGAGGTTGTTACCCCCACGTCACACGAGCAAGAGATGTACCGTAAGAAGACCAAACAGCCGAAACCCAAGGTTCAGTATACTGCCAAGATATTAAACAAAGAATTGAAGGAGCTTGGGCTTGAGGAATGGATTGACAAAGACAAGAGCACTCCGGAGTACCGCACCGCGGTCTCTGAGGCAAGAAAACGTCAGCGGGAGAGAAATAAATTGGTCAAACTGATGAGCGCTGGGGTCAGTGTGCCACCCACTGCTGAAGATGGTGTATCTCTTCCAAGCCCCTCGGACCTGATCCAGCGGAGCACGTTGTCTCTCGACGAAGCGTTTCAGGCAGCGACTGAAGCTCTGCTGGAGACTAGTACCGGCCAGCTGAGACGAGAGATCACCGTTCCACCCGCGACCAGGAACAACACGCCCAGAGGCTATGAAAATCATGTTTCGGCGATTGAGATTCATCCTCCAGTGATTGAGCAGCAGGCGGCTGGACCATTAGTCTCGGAAGCAGATGGCATGATGACCCGCAGGAAGCAACGAGAGGAAGAAATCAGGAGGCGTGACCAGCTTGCGAAGGAAGCGATGGAGATGTGATTGACTGTCCTGTTGATTCTTGCACTTCGCCGTCCGGCCAACATGGCTACCGGCGTCTCATGGGCATTGCGTTCAGGATTGCATATGTAGTACGATGTATGGGTTACACAGTACCTAATGAGGAGCATCTGCCAGCTGAAGCCTGGACAATCGGATGAAGAGCCTTGCCTTTCCTTTCCCTCGCGTAAAGATCAATGACGTCCTCTTCGCGACAATGATTCTGTAACGAGCAAATGAGCAATGATGAGCATCTCTGCTCCGTTCTTTGGGTCGAATAGGCTCCAAGCCCGCTAATTTTAAGTCAGGAACGGAAGCCCGGAAAGGCACGAGAGGCACGACGCGATTAGCCCACCGGTGCCGAAGTTTGCATTCTCGGCGTGCATTTGCAGGGGTCATGAAGACTGGTTGGCGGGGGAATTTCTTCGAGGCCGCAGGCGCAGGCCTCGACCTCATTCATCGTCTCCCTTCTGACTTGAACTTTTCATTGCTATGTGCGGCCTCTTTGTTGGCGTTCGTTTGTTCCCTACTGCATAATATACTCTTGCGAGCTCAGTGCGTCGAAACGAAGGGTGTTGAATCTATGTTTCTGCCTGGTAGGTGTTGGGTACGCTTTGAATACACAAACAGACCGGCTGACGACTGGAAGGCAGGCGACCTACCTCGCTCTTTCCCAGGTTTTGCTAGTTGGTAAGCTGCCCACATACTCGTTCCAATCTTTGCGAGCCACCATTTCTGCGGCACATCTTTCACTCTTGGAGGATGGACCGTGGGTGTGTGTCCGATGTCCTTCGAAAGCAAATGGAAAAGTCAAAATGATATATATGAAGATATATGAGGACCACCCAAGCTGGGGAAGGTATCTCCTATTGGGAGCGACCTACCATGACAATCCCATGCCCTAGAGAAGCATTTGTGCTTTCTATATACCCACAAAGACTGTCGTCGGATGTGAGGCTGATCTGTACAATGGCAGGTGTTTGGTCTTCTTTGCGCTCAGGCGGACAGAGAATAAGGTACGTGGAAAGGGGGTTTGCACGTTGATCATATCATATGATGTCGTTGCCTGAGCGCGGCCTGCTGAGCGCGGCCTGTCGAAGGCGCGAGCCAGGAGTCCTCCCCCTCATGGACGTGACTTGGATTGTGCTATATCTCTTCTCTTCACAATGTTTGACATGGTTTCTTCACTATCATGTCAACAAGATGGACGTTGCTAATGGTGACGAAGAGTCGCGGTCTGAATCCAGCAATGGCAGTCTTGCAACAAGTCCTACAAACAAGACCGACATAAATCCGGCCGAGTACTACGAACGACGACTCGGGGACCTCGCTCCCTTCATTCCGGTTCGTTCTCGAGCTGAACAGGAGGTAGGATCGCTGATTTTTATGTGCAGCGGAGTCTCGCAGATGAAACACCTGGACTTCGAGTTAGCGAATCCTACGAAAGCATTGACACCGTAATCATGGGCTCCTCCCAACCTACTCAGCTCACGCAGCAAGTTGAAGACCCAAGAAGATACGGAAAAAATCTCTCCAACGTGAGCGAAGGTGATGCTGTCGACGTGATATGTCTGTTACATCCAACATCTCCTGCTGCATTTGATGCTATCAAAGCCAATCTCGTGCATGGCAGGCAGCACATTCTACAAAATGATGACTTGGAAGGACTCACCGAAGAGGAGATCATCTTTGGACCACAATACAATGCAACTCGCGACATAGCATTGCGTATTTCCTCTGATGTTAAAGACCCTCGAGATGGCTTCAGATTCGGTCGTTCTAGCGCAACGAGCGACGTCCTCCTGACACCTAATGAGAGCGATAATCTTGTGAGCAAAATTCACTTCAAGATCTTTGTGAATAGTCAGGGCAGTCTCATGTTGCAAGATCTATCAACCAATGGTACCATCGTCGACGATGTCCACATCAAGGTTAGAGACCGTCGGGGCAAGATCGCGGTGAAGCCAGCGACGATAGTACTCAAACATGGCTCAATCATCTCCGTGGTCAGCGGCAGAGACAAGGAAGAGATCAAGCTGATGATACGAATCCCATCGAGGGGCGAGCATGAGGACGCCTATGAAGAGAACCTTCGCAACTATCTTGCCGCAAGAGGCGCGGTTGCTCAATTTGCATCCATGAGGGAAAGCTCATACGGCAATCACTGGAATGGAGGCAGCCTGTACAACTTTACAGGACTGCTGGGCAAAGGAGCCTTCGCCACAGTGTACCGAGTCCAGACAAAAAAAGAGGGAGATATCTATGCAGCCAAAGAACTGGACAAGCGTCGATTCATCAAGAATGGCGTGCTTGACATGAAATTCGACAGCGAACTCAACATCATGAAACACCTCAATCACCCCAACATCGTCAACTATGTCGACTGCCAAATGTACTCTCACTGGATCTATATCTTGATGGAATATGTGCCCTTTGGTGAGCTCTCGCAGGAGCTTAGGAAGAAGGGAAGGATCTCAGAACCCGATGTGCAGCAAATTACTCGACAAATAGTCCATGCTTTGGGTTACCTCCATCGAAGAAACATCACACATCGAGACATAAAACCCGACAACATCTTGATTGCTTCTCGATCTCCTCTCGTCGTCAAGCTGTCGGACTTCGGCTTGTCGAAGTGTGTCACGGATCAAGAGACTTTTCTCAAGACTTTCTGCGGCACACTCCTCTATTGTGCACCGGAAGTGTACCCCGACTATGCGAACTACAACCAAGGATCGACAGCGAAAAGACGTCGACTGGGTGAGCCTGTTACCAGACCTACACCGTCACCATATGACCAATCGGTTGATATGTGGTCATTCGGCGCGGTCATATTTCACATGCTTTGTGGAAAGCCTCCTATTAATGGAAGAGGCGATGACCGTGGTGCCCAGATGCTTAATAATATTATGACAAAAGATGTCGACTTTGAACCGCTCAGACAAATCGGCGTCTCGCAGGCTGCTATTGATTTCATCGGAAGGCTGCTCAACAGAAATCCATCTCTGCGGCCGAAGGAAGCTGAGTGTCTGCGCCATCCTTGGTTGCGTGACGTGCCTGATCATTTCCTATACGAAGATGTCGACGTGGCTGTTTCAGCTGGTAGGGCGCTGCCCGTTGTTGACGAGGAAGATGAAGATCTGCTTGATGAAGAGTTGATTCGCAATCTGAATCAATTGACTCAGCCGCCTTCATCTGGGCACACGCCTGATCGCCCTGCGAAACGAGCAAGAACATTCGTCGGGACGGCCATTTCGCCAGACGGGCTAACATATCCTACATTACCAGATCCTGGATCGAGCCTTTTGCCTTCGCCAATGGTACCTCCAGCTCAACGCCTGTTTGGAGAAATTTCTCAGTCATTACTTCGTAGCTCCGGGGTTTTTGGCAATGCTCTTCCACCTACTACGACGGCCGACGTGCACGACATTCAAGACCGTGTTGAGCAAATCAGTGTGAATGATTTTGGGCGCCAAGGCTCGAGTGCTAGTGCAGAGAACGCAGAGAACCCAGAGAACCCAGTCAACTTGCATGAGCCTGTCAAAGGTGCGCAAGAACTTGACATACGGCAGCAGGCACCAGTCGGGTCAGCGGCGAGTCTGATGGGTGCCGAACAACAGATTGGTCAGCTCAATATGGCCTCACCTGAAGCAGATATATCGGACCCCGCGTCACCAGAGACCAACAATCCCGTCACTCCACGGACTCGCGAGTTGTCACCATCCAGCAACGTCAGCCAACATCTGGACGAAGGCCTGGCAGAGACACTACGCACGAGTGAGGAACCCATATTCACTCGTCGAATCGATCTTGGCCTCATCGCAGATCCTGTCAACCTCGAAGCGGAACTTGAGGCACGCAATGCTTCCAGAGCCGAAAAGCTTCGGGCCAAAGCGGACACGTTCCATGGCATCCTCAGCACCACGAGCCGGCCACTATCGATCGAGTTGGCTGCCACGATAGACGCAAAGACTGGAAATGCGGTGGTCCGTACAGGCGATGCAGATGGCTTTCTCCGTCCAATTTCGAAGCCCGAAGGAATGACAAGAAGAAGCCCTGCGACTTCACATTTTATCAAGCCACCCAAGCGTTTCGGCAAGCTCACTAGTGTCCCCGGCTCGTTTGCGAACGTGACCGTCAACCTCGAAGCACGACTCACGTCATGGGGCCGAGGCGTCGACTGCACTGTGCGGTATCCGGACTTGAAAGATACACGAATTCCAAAGTATGCTCTCAAAATCACATTTTGGGCACCTGGAATGGAGAAACACATCGAACAAGGGGGCGACTGGACTGAGATACCGGGAGTCCGAACCATTCTGGCGACCTCGGCGAGTGGTTGCATCTACGTCAACGGTGTAGAATTGCGAAAAGAGTCCGCTGATGGCGATGCAGCTCTCTTTGGCAAGATCTACACAGGCGACCTCATCACAATATTCGACGGTCCGAATGGTGATTCCCTCCAACTTCGAGTTGAGATCACATTTGGAGATAGCGCCCGGAACCGACCGGCGAAAGAGGCAGGATTTCATGTGCAGGAGGAGCGGCATCATCATCAACGTATGAAGGAGAGGGAGAGTATGAGAGCAAGCAGAGTGGTGAATGAGCAGCAAGGAGCTTAAGTATTGTCGAAAGAATCCGGAAGAAACATTTTACTCACAACAGAAAAATTACCATGGAGAGAACGCATAGCTGTGGTTGGTTACTGTGATATTCAAGCGGAGGGCGTGGCAAAGTTTCACGAGTGTTATGTGTACATTAGCAAGCAAGGATAACCCGATTTTCGAGCCGTATAAAGTATGGGCTGTGCTGGATCAATTTGAGAAGGACTGCGCCATCTTTCTTTACATCTGGTGGCACCCGGCTGAGTGCCCGGGGTGGTATCTCGTACGAGGGCCCAACACTTCATTGCTGTGACCATGCGAGACACGGACGCCTTTTTCCGGGTTCCTGCAGAGAGCTGGTCTGCAAGGGTGTACGGTGGTCTTTTCCAGAATTTCAAAGTATGTATTTCGCTGACCACGGCAGAAGGAAGGATCACGAAGGATGTGTCTGTACACAGTAGGATTGGGAACAAGGAGTAGGTGGATGTTGGAGACTCGTCGCCATGGATAAAGTGGTCAGTTGTCCTGTCAAGGAGCCTTATCCAAAAGGATGGATGACGCGGACAATGATGGACAGGGGTTTGGCGCCACCGAGATCCACTGATCGCAGGGGCGTGAAGCATTAGCCTGATATCAGAGCGGACCAGAGGAAAACAGTGGAGTCGGAGGATATTTTTCCATGGTGGAATTCGTCGAGGCTGAAACCGAGCGAGGAAGAGAATCGGCGTGATTGCTAGATGGATGGTTTCAGAACCGGAGATCAAGATGCAATGTTCCTCGCGTGGAAGCTCAGACCTTTGGCGCCATCATGCGCATCTCTGGCCAGCTACCAATGGTGTACCGTACGGAGTAAGTGGGTGTGATGGGAGTACCACTCGTATAATTCTTCGAGTACCTTACCTGGCCTTGACTGCGCACATAATACTCGGATCACTCGAGAAGATTGAGGGTCTCAACAACCTCATACCACTCAGCCTAACCCAGGTGCTTTTCCTGCTAGACAAAGCCCTCCTCATCCGGGCGTAACGGTCAATCAGTATCAACAGTAGTCGCACCTAGTACAAGTAGATCTGGCATGTGTCCGGAGATGCCGCTTGGCGAAGCGAATCCCGCTCCGTGCATCCTCCGCTATGAATTATTTGGTCCTGCCTGCGATTGCAAAATGGGTGACTTCTAAACTGAAATACCTCATCATCTCTCTTCACCTCTGGCCCGTGTAACATCTGTGCATGTCACCGTCAGTACAAACCATACTCATGTTCTGATACCCTGTCCTTTCGAGCCGCGTGCATGAAAGGCACACTGCGGGCTGACAAGCTGAATATAACCCTTGACTTCTCAGACTGTCCTCACGAACGAACAACGCCGGTCTGCGCTCATTGTGAGCAACGACAAGGACTTAGGTCCATCACCTTTTTTCTGCGATACCCTCTCCACCGATCACATGTTGCGTGTTCGCCGAGTTCGTCTCTTCTAGTTCCCCTCGTTTCCACCTGTCACTCCAATGGCCTCTTCAAGGACATCCTCCCCGCTACCAAACGGAGGATGGTCACCACATGTGCCGGTTGAACGGGGCTCAACCCCGAATGGCCTTTACGCAGGGGCAAATGGCTACAGCAGTAACGACGACCAGTGGGCGGCGGCAAAAGCAAGGAGTGCACAGGTCAGAGGGTATCCCACCATTCAGACAAGAAATGAGGGCTTCTTTCAACGATCACGACGAAAATTGACCTCTACACTCCCTGTGTTCAACAGTCCTTACATTCCGCTGTCAGCGAACTGGAAAGATCCGGAGAAACTGGGTCGTAGTCGGTGGTCTCCAAGAGGTGGTAGCAGTCTGTCTAAAATAAAGACTTTTGCAGGGAATCTGCTGCGGAAATGCAAGTTTCTGGTTATAGTCTTGTCACTCGTGACGTTGACAACTCTGATCATGTCACAGACAAGTGAGTGTCTGTCCGGAAGGATAGTGTTACAACCATACTAACCGAGAACCAGGCTTACTGTCCAGTATTCGAAGCAATTCTCACCTCGGCGGAGGCAGTAAATTTGTCATCGTTCTGGGGGCGAATGAAGGCGGTGGTGTCATGGAATGGAAAGGTCCCAGGGAATGGGCCATCGAGCGAGATAGTGTCAAGAACAAAAAGAGATATGCAGAAAGATGGGGATACCAACTCGAGATCACCGACATGAGCACCAAGAAGCGGTATGCTCACGAATGGCGAGAGAGCTGGGAGAAGGTCGACCTCCTGCGGAACGCTATGGCGAGGTACCCGAAAGCTGAATGGTCTGTTCATTCTCCAGGTACCGGCAAGGTCCATACTGACACCATTGGCAGGTTCTGGTGGCTTGATTTGAACACATTCATCATGGAGCCCTCACTGTCGCTGCAGTCACATATCTTCAGCAACTTGGCCAAAAATGTGTACCGCGACATTAACGTTTACAACCCGCTCAACATCACGCATCCTCCAGAAACCCAATTCCTCGATCCAGTTTCCAGATCACCCACGGGCGACAACCTAACCTCTTCTATCGACATTATCATACCTCAAGACTGCAGTGGATTCAACTTGGGATCCTTCTTCATCCGACGTTCTCCCTTTACAGACCGCCTCCTAGACATGTGGTGGGATCCTGTCCTTTATGAACAGAAGCATATGGAATGGGAACATAAGGAGCAAGATGCTCTGGAACATATTTATGCATCTCAGCCTTACATGAGGACCCATTTCGCATTCATTCAGCAACGCAAGATCAATGCTTTCCCTCCTGGAGCTTGCGCCCCTGAGTCTAAGCCAGGAGACAAGGTCGACCCGCAGAAGCCGATTACAGACGCCCGTTTTCACTACAGCGAAGCAGATCGTGATTTCATGGTCAATATGGCGGGATGCGAATGGGGACGAGATTGTTGGGCGGAAATGTACAGCTACCGCGAGCTCAGCAACAAGTTGAACCGTTCATGGTGGCAGAAGTTCAAGGATACCTCGTCTGAGACTTGGTCAAGCATTAGGGCTAAGACCTCTGGAGGAGCAAAGCCGGAGAATGACGAAAAAGAAGAGGATAAGAAGACGGCACAAGGCTGACACGACTCTTGATTTGCGCTTAGGAGGTAAAGAGCTCCTGAAATTGTGACAAGGTCGACATCACTATGGCCAGCAGCGTTGGAGAACAGAACGAGACTGGGTGCGATGTTCTCCACACCCGTCCTCAAAAATTTCACGGCATTGGCGAGGAGTCTATGGGATGTTATCAGGGTTTCGTCCCAGAGATTCAATGGGGGAAAATTACAAGTGCCTTTTTTGAGCTTATTAGCGGCCGGGCTTCTGCTGTGCGGTACACGGATCGGATTGATACACATACTGGAGTTGGAGAGTATGACTTTCTTGTCATTGTTAACCTAGATATGAAACGAGATGCTTGAGGAGGGGCAAAAATAGACCTCACGGCATGGGCTAGAAATGTAACATTACAGAGTGACGAATCATCACTGATTGCCAAAGAACTTTTCGAAGCATCACTGCGATCCAACTTTGAATACCAAGTACGTTGCCTGGTTTGTACACAGACGAGGCTGATCTTCAGCCTTGGGAACCCGGCAGACTTTCCCAACGTGCTTGACCTGATGTTGATGACCTCTAATCCTACGACTCTTCAAACAATGTTGTTCTCCTTCTGTTTTGTCTCTGCTGTCAGACTTCTCTTCTTTCAGAATCTCAAGAAAGTCCTAGACTTTGTTTCTGCCTTTCTTTTCAGCACCTTGTTGCCCGCCTTTGCCAGGACCCATCTCACCCGTAGCAGGGGCAGCGAGCACCGGGAAACCCTCGTCTTCTAATAGCCGAGCTCTGTCGAACTCTGTACCTTTATTGCTTCCGGAGGTAAGAAAGTTGTTGATGTTTTTGATCATACTGCCAACCGTTTCATCCACGACGCTGCTGGTACGAAGAACAATGCTCCAAGCATTCCCACCTGGTGCCACGTCCATCTCACGGACCTGCTTTCGAAGCTTAAGCAGCTCTCCTTTCTGGTGGTTCAACAGCTCGACTACCTTCTTGGAAACAGCTTCGCGGACGTCGGAAGCTCCGATGCCTGCATCTTCCTGAGCCAGCTCCGGGATAGTGTCGTTCTTTCCCAGATCAGCGCGTGCTTCTGTCAACTGGCCCTCGAGTTCCTGAATTCGTGCATTCAGCGCTGTGACGTTGCTGTCCCGCAACTTCTTTCTCAGAGTAAGAGTTTCTTGTTTGTAGTTTCGAAGCGATTTGTTCTCTCTTCTCAGATCTTTGTTTTCCTGAATGGTTTCTTTTGCTTGCTGTACTTGGGCCTTGCCTTCTTCGATCTCGTTCCGCAACTCTCCGTTCTTTTGTTGTTTGTTGTCGAGATTTGCTCGAACTCGTCCGAGCTCTGTCTCTGCCTTTTGCTTGTCTGCTTCGCATCGGTCGCTTCGGTCTACCAGACCATTACAATACGCCATCATACTGGTCATGGTTTCTAACACAAGCGATGTGAACTCCGTCATGCTGGTGGCGTCTTCTTCTTTCACTGCACATTCAGACAGGAGGCGTATGCATCCAGAGAACAACACCTGATTCTGTTCGAGGAGACCTAGGTGTGCCACGGTCTCTGCAGCTTCCAGAGCTCTGCTGCATTGGTCTTTCAGAGCCTTCTGAGTGCGGCTGTCCAGATCGTCATACTTTTCTTTCCACACTGCTGCCTCCTTCTGCAGTCTGGCGCATTCCTTAGTTGACTCCTCTAATGACTTCCAAATGTCATTCAATCTTGCGCTCAACAAGTCTGTGGTCTCTGGTATCATTTCTGGGGGTTCGATGGCGTTGAGTTCTTCTGTCATCCTGCCCAAAAGTTCCTTGAGCATAGGCAAGTCCGTAGTGGTGTCATGTTGGGCGTCTTTCTGGTTCATTGTCTGGACAGTCTTGAGCATCAGTCGGAGCCATTCTATGATTTTGCTACACAATCTCCTCGTTATTTCGGTCCTCTTCTCGAGCTGTAGTTCGAGCCCCTCATAATGCTTCTCCATCTGCAGCGCTTTTGCATGCATATTGGTCAAGAGATGGACTGTGGCAGCAATTGTTGGTGATGATGGTGTTTCCAAACCGTCCAGCAGCTGGGTGAGATTGTCGAACCTAAACACTCCTTCGGCACGGGAGATCTCTTCGGACAGTTCAACGTCATCGGGTTCAGGGAGGAGGTTGAGGCGTTGATTGATGCTCTCAATTTGCTGGCGGTATGCTGCCATGGAGCCCTCCCAGTCAGCCTGATCCGACTGATTGTTCCCCATGCTGTCAATTTTTCGCAACGGGTCTAATCTGTATGTAGGTGCTAGCGAGAAGAAAGGTGCCGTGATGAAAAAGGGCTTGGTAAGTGGGAGCAGAAATCAAGTCTCGGGCAATGATGAAGTGGGTGGTATTTAAGCAATCTTCTCGTCCATGACGAACTACATATTATGTAACATCTGAAGCAGTGCACAAAAGGCTATTAGAGACAGTGGCGATGACCGTCATCGCCGTCCTATTGTATCGGCCTGAAGATATCGTCTTAGCTGCCACAAACGAGCTGGAAACTCCCACGCAAGGCTTCATTAGCCCGGGCAGTGACTCTGATATTGTTTGTGGGTTTGCTCATGCATGAGGTAACACAAAGCGATGTGTAGGACATTCTCGAGACCTGGCGCACCATGAGGATGGCAGATGATTGTCGAACAAGGGAAACGATTCTGGATATCTCAACCAAGCTTGATGAGAAGTCATCCTGATGAAAGGAAAGTGTCTGGACATTCTTCATCCACGAGACATCTTTCAGCATCTCAGACATTTTTCTGTGGTGCGGAAAGTGGTGCGAGCATCCCTTCTGGGACCGGTTGATAGAAACAAAGAGGAGGTCTAAGTTTGTTCAGCCTTGTCTCGGTTAATCCAAATGCACTGGTGACTGGTTGTGAAACCGGTCAGTCCGAACGGCAGTGATCGCCAATTCAGACATCCTGCCTCCGATGTCCTGATGATCTACTAGTACTCTCGCTCGTGTCTGGTAGACCTAGCAGTATGATATCAGAGCGAAGACTTAGACTGGGACTGATCCACAGTATACAGAGAGATCGCTGGTCTTTGACCAGATGGGCATTCAGGATCAGCGTTGGGGTTCCTAAGGATCAGGTAAGAATCGGAACTAGTAGTACATATTACAACTCAATGGACGACGTAGTCCTTGCGGTTTTCGCGCAGGCTGCGCGCGTCGGCTGACGAAAACCACGCCAGACTACCGAAATAGGAAATCACACATACCAGAAGCAGAAGTCCGCGCAGGAGACATTGCAGACCTTCCGCGCATGGAACCATTCTACCTACCTGACATACCTAAGTACATCAGGTACATCTGACGGGCCAGGCCACGCAAAGTAAGGGCAGACAAGACAGACACAAAGACCGTAACAATCCACTGACAGCGTCCGTTGCCGCGATCAATATGAGCAGCTCGCCTGCACGGAGTGACTGCTAGTACTGCTGCTGCTTCACAAATACTTCATGCATCAAGACCATGCAGGACGAGGCACGACTCTAGGCGGACTCAAGGGGACTGTACTCTTTGCAAAACTGCTCCCCCGGGTCAAAGGGTGGTTCAGTCGAGGCCGTCGATGCTTAAGACAGCCATGCGATAGGAGGCTATGGAAAGGAGCAACACCACAGAGGATATTGAATGATACAAGGACACACTTTTGGAGTTATGCTACCTAGACAAGACTGATTGAAAGCTGCTACTGTTGCCTGAAACAACACCCTGCGCCGCGCCGCCACCATCATAACCGTATTACCCTGATGATAGTCGTGAAAGAAGAAAGCAACGTTCCCCGTAAGCCATTTGATCATACTGTCAATGTTTCAAGAATGGGCAAGCAACCCCCTGCTGCCTTACGCAGCTTGGTCGTCTCATTTCCATATCAACCGCCTATCATTCCGGCGCTCAAGCAACATTAACATCGAAGATAGCATTCCTCCAACCACCTCCAGTCTCCTCATTTTCCTCAATATTCTCCTCTGCCCTCAGTGCTTCCTCATGCCACAATTTGACGATACTGCCAGGTGTATATACACCTTTGAAGACGCCACGCTTCGGCGCATCTACACCGACTCTGGTGTACAGATCTGGATCTTCCTCGGGCGTGAGACGTGCAGCGACAGCCTTGAGGAATGTCACGACATCTTGTGGATCGGCAATGCGTGTAGCGCGGAGTCGCTCTCGCGCAAACACAAGCTCGCGATTCATCGCTTTCAAACCATCCACAATCTTCTCGGCGAGGGTCTTTTCAAGAGACCGGCGCACGAGATGTTTCAGGAGAGGCTTGAATATCCAGCCCAACCAGGACAACTTGGATTTTCGGAGGTTGTAGTCAAGTTTGTGGATGTGCACCCTGACGCCCCGCAAGGCCAATATCTGCTCAAGTCGCTCTCGGCCGATCTCAAGGTCGAGGGAGATATCAATGCCGCGCTCGTCAAGGTAGAAGCTTGCGATGCCCTCATCGGCGAAATGGACTAGTCCTGCGTGTCCGCGGATCCAGAAGCCGAGGTCCTGTGCGGCGACGCTGAGGCCGTTGATAGTAATGGTCATGAGAGACTGTGTGCTCGAGACTGTCTTTTTCGAGTGTGTCTTGCGGATTTCAAGGTCATTCTTGGTGGAGACCAGGAGACGGTAGGGGAGGAAGGAGGTTGAGTTGACGTTTCGGCCGGGCTCGAGGACAAGGTTTTCGAGGAGGAGGTCCATTTCTGGGACCGAGACTTCGACACGAGGAATGGGGATGTACTGTATGCTGCGGATCAACAACGGAAGGAAGATGTGGATGCAGTCGGTGATGAGATCCGGATTGGTGATATGATTTGGTGGAGACAAGGCGTTGAAGATGCGCCGTGTAGCGATGAGGAGTCCGTTGACGTCCTTGTCCTCCAAAACCGAGTTGATCGTAAGTTGAGCCTGTCTGAGTAGTTTGTCAAAGTCGGTGCGAAACTCGGAATCATTCCCCAGCTTCGTGGATTTCTCCTTGAGCTCGTCCAGCTTCTTATCTGCGTTGTCGAAGAATTCGGGGTCGGTGAACATTCGCTGCACAGCATTACCGACATCGACCATGAAGTTCTCGAACTGGGGATCTGAATTGGCATGGCTGAGGACTTTGTTCCAGTCTTGCTCCAGTTCTTCCCACTGCTTGCGGTCACCGAAGCTGCTCATGAGCTCCCAGAAATTGCGGATCGCACGATCTAGGGCCGGGTTTGTCTGGATATCGTCTTGAGCGGTTGCAATCGTGGCATCCGCAACCCGGGAGTAGGCAATAGCATATCTTTGAATCAACTTGGAGATCGTGGACACCGAGTCGTGATAGTCAGTTCTGCTCCTCAATCTGAGGACGGTTTGTTTCAGGCGATGTAAAAGGGTGTTGCTCTGATCACCACCGAAATGTTCTTTGGCACTCTCGATGGTATCCGTGCCCACCTTTTTCACCTGCGAAGCAATCTCGTCTGTCGCTTTTTGCGCAGTTTCTTCTAGCTCTTGTCTTGAAGGCTGAATGCTCTCGTCAGCTCCTGGCTTTGACACCGCCTGTTCTTCCTCTGCAGACAGCTCGAGTTGTTTGCCAGTCTTTTCGGCAGCCGAGGACACGGAGAAGGCAGTATCTGCTAGCACCTCTCTTCCTATCGTGGCAACATCATTGACGAATAATCGGAAATCCGAGTTCGTAAGGAGGAGACTGCCGACGGTGCGGAAGCTTTCGTAAGCTGCTCGGGCATCGGCTCTGGCTTTGACTTTGGATGCTGAATGGGAAATGTCGTTGACATCAAGGGAAATGCGGGACTTGGTCAGATACCAGAGAAAATCCTGGATCTGGTCTTCGCTGTTCTTGTGTTGTAGAAGCTCGATGAACAGCTTCAACCATGTTCGACAGTTTCGAATCAATGCACGACCAGAATCGCTAAGCTCTTTATTGTTTGGATTGAAGATGTCCGCTGCAAGGAGGGTTCGGAGATTGATGATTGTCTGTTCATTAGAGGGCATGTATCCTTTCGACAGGGCTCTCAGCATCTGATAGGTATGAAGCTTTTGATGCACAGCTCTTTCACGAGCTGTATCATCTTCGTAACGCGGCAGCAATGGAGTGGTATCGTCGGCCTTGTTCTTGCGGCCGAAGCCACAGCAGGAAGCGAGGAAGGACATTCTTCCTAGGCGTCAACGGGGGCACAACACAGGTGGAGATTGGAAGATCGACTGATCAGAAGGTTCAGAAGACTCTAGAGGAAAGGAGGAACGTAGACAGCCATTGCATGCTCCCCTACGCAATGATGATAGAATGAAACTTGGAGCAAGCCAAACTGCGGAGTTCCAGAGAAGCTCCCTGCCATGTGAAACGTCATCATGGCCAGCCAATGGCTCGACTTGCTCGCCAAGCACTCTTCAAACAGGATGTGAAAGCCGTCCAGCAAACAATTACTGACCTCAGCTTTGTGCGTCGACATGACAGTCACCTAACAGTGATATCAGCAATGAGAAACATAAGGTACTTCTGCTCTAGCAGGTTCTCAAGGACGTGGCACACCGTCCCCACCAGTTTTCAGAGAGCTCGCAGTTCCAAACGAGGATGGGAGTCTATTGGTAGGTAGGTCAACAATACGAAATACGCATCCAACGTCGCTTCAGTCTTAAGCAAAGAACTTTTTCTCTGCATCTCCGCATTTTACTGCCTCGTCATCTCCAGAAACCGTGGAGTGCCTGCATAAGCGAATGCATCACGAATACAGAGGATTTGGTCTACTCCGTACTTGTGAGTCTGGGGAAGATGCTCCTCCACGCTCCTCCTACTGGCGGGTCACACGACCATGTACGAGTTCACGATGATAACCCGGAAGCTATCTTTGACCGCTTGAGCTGTTCGCTATTTCTAGTAAGGGGCAATGCAGCCTTGTCCGGCGAGTCTCCTGGGCGCCGAGCGGTGACTTATGCTGTTGCTTCGAGACAGGGTAGGGGGCGATTGACCGACTCTGGCCTCAAGGAGGTTAGTTGAGCTAGAGCGGACAGGGCCATGATACTACTCGTAGCAATGCGAAAATGACTTTGCAGACGGACATGGGACGTGGTGAAGAAGCACATTGACTCGGGGACCCAGAGAATATCCGCCGTCGCTGTTGTCGCAAATTGCCGTCAAATCGCCAAATCGATTTCGTGTACTCAAAAATATAGGCCGCGACTTTCGTGTCTGGCGGACTGTGCTCTTGTCTCTCAATTTTTAGCCATAGTAACCCGCCGATCGGGGTCCGGTTGTTATACGAGGCGTGACGCGGATGGGCTCCTGCGGGCCAGTCTTACTATGCAATTCGGAGTCTTGCAACCGACTCTCGCGGCTGGACCTCACCCTGTGGACAACGTTCAGCCGGACTACTAGCGGACGCCCTGGCCAGAACCGTGCCTAAAAAGGCCAGCCAAGGCAGTTCCGAAGAGCCTAAAAGTCGAAGCTCTGCGTACTTTGCCCCATTTAGCAACCGGGTCTCTAAGCCCTGCATAGCCGCCCGTCGGGCGCCATGTTTTTGCGGAGGAAGCTTGCAGCTCAGCTCAACCTTTCTTTTAAGCTCCGAAGATTGCGACAAGGGATTGGTGGCCGCGCCCTGTGATTCATCAACATTCATCCCTCGCAGCGGAAAAAAAGTTGAGGTTCGCTTTCAAGACGCAGAACTTTCCGATGAATTGATACGGACTCCTATCACTCATTGCTCATCGCTCACCGTACTCAGCCCCTGCTTACCATACCCCTTAAGGCTGGTTTCATTGGTGATACTTGCCCTGTGTGACTCTTAACCCTGGTGTTGTCTCCTGCACTCCTCTCTCATCTCCTCGACCACAGGTCTCTCTCTCACCCGGTTTCACCCATAGTCTGACCCATATTCTATACAAGTGTCTTGTCTCGTCCTTCGGGAGATAACTTCAGCCTCCCCCACTGTTGTAACCGAGCATTGAATTCCAGACCACCGGCGTCGGATAGTACACCTTTATTTACTCATCGGAAAATCACATAAAGACAATTCGTTTCCTCCCATACTCTTCATGCTCTCCAAGCTCTCAAGACCACCCAGACCGAGGCCCAACCTCATTTGCCTAGTACAGTCTGCAAACATGGCCACCAGTACTGCCACTCAGGCTCCGATTGCTCAACATGTGGGCAGTCTTGCCGCAGTCACTTCCCCTACGACTGCTCATATCCCTCACCACCACAAACCCAAGCACAATCTTCCAGCTGCTCATGTTCCCAACAGAGCAGCCCATTTCGACACCTCTCTCTCCATCCCAGTCCGCAAGTACCTTCAGACGTACGGCCTGACTCCTCCTCGAGCCGAGAGTTATGAAGTGCAGAAGAAGAGATGTTTGGCTCAATTGGCCCTGAAGACCACAGATATCGAAAGGTTTCTGTACTTGAGCACTCTGAGATACAACAATGTGCACCTCTTCTACCGGTTGTTGACGGATCATTTCACGGAGTTGACACCCCTGGTATATACTCCCACTGTCGGGGAGGCATGCCAAAGATGGTCAGAGATCTACCAGCAGCCGGAAGGTATGTACCTGAGTTTCGAAGATAGAGGACATCTTTCCACCATCATACAAAATTGGCCTCAGCAGAACGTCGAGATCACCGTCGTCACAGATGGCTCTCGCATTCTGGGCCTGGGTGATCTTGGTGTTGGTGGTATGGGCATTCCTATCGGCAAGCTGGCTCTATACACGGGCTGCGCTGGTATCCGACCAGAGGGTACCCTACCCTTGACTGTGGACCTGGGAACAAGCAACAAAGCATTGCACGACGACCCACTTTACTTAGGCAGCCGGAGAGACAAGGTGACCGCAGCGGAAGAAGCGGAGTTTCTTGACGAGTTGATGGCGGCCCTGAAGGAGCGTTGGCCTGACATCGTCATCCAGTTCGAGGACTGGAAGAATCCTTTCCCTGCGCTCGAACGTTATCAACAGGACTATGCCATGTTCAACGATGACATTCAGGGCACTGGCGCTGTGATTATGGGCGGTATTATCGGTGCTGTCAAACAATCTGGCATCTCTCCAAAGGATCACAGGGCTGTCTTCCTGGGATCCGGCTCGGCTGGTGTTGGCGTTGCCAAACAGATTGTGGACTACTTCATGCACGAGGGTTTGACTGAGGAAGAAGCCAAGTCATGCTTCTGGCTTGTGGACAGCAAGGGACTCGTTACGCAAGATCGCGGAGACAAGCTTGCTGAGCACAAGATCTACTTCTCTAGAACCGACAACGCTGGCCAACAATTCAAGACCTTGAGTGAGGTTATTGACTATGTCAAGCCAACAATCATCATGGGTCTCAGCACCATTGGGGGAGCGTTTACCCCGGAGATCCTTCAGAGGATGGCCAAGTGGAACGAAAGACCAATCATCTTCCCACTCTCCAACCCATCTTCCAAGTCTGAATGCACTTTTGAGGAAGCGATTGTCAACACAGACGGTCGTGCTCTGTTTGCTTCGGGCTCACCATTCCAGCCAGTCATGTACAACGGCAAGATGTATCATGGTGGGCAAGGAAACAACATGTATGTCTTTCCCGGCATTGGTCTTGGAACGATCCTGTCCAAGTCTGTGCAGGTGACATCGAGCATGATCTATGCATCTGGCGAAGCGCTGCCAACCATGATCACCGAAGAGGAGAAGCAGCTCGCTCTTCTGTACCCTTCAATCAAACGCATCCGAGATGTCAGCGCCCGGGTGGCTCTGCATGTCATTCGTGCTGCACAGAAGGACAACGTTGATCGCTTGCACCACCTGCGTGATATGGACGACCAGACCTTAGAAGCTTGGATCAAGGACAAGATGTACGATCCTCATAAGGAAACCCAAGAACTTGAGAACGAGGTCCGAGATCTTGTTGTGGATTTCGCTGCATCTCCAAGGTTGTAGTTTTAGCTAGTTTACATGGATACCCTTTTAGCTCTTTGAGTCGTCTGTCCACTTAACTTTGGGCAAAAGTATCATTAGGCATCGGGACATGCACGTTCACAAAGAAAAGCAGAGGGGGAATGCGAGGCTGAACTCCAGCCTTATTTTCAGTTAGCCGGCAAATGACCGTTGCTCCAGCAACCCGCCATGGAATTGCTGCCGGGCGCAGTTGGCCGCGTTTCTTCATTGCGGAGTCAATTGTTAGAACAATCATTCACATGCACTTGGTTGGACTTGGTGTTTTTACCAAAGACGACACTTCACGTCCGCTACCCTGCGCGTTCAGCCTCTTCATCTTCACCGGCAATACCTTCCAGCCAGGGTTGGATACTTGAGGTAAGCCATGATCCCGTGGCCATAGAAACGCAGCATCCCCCCTCCATCACAGACTCAATAAAGAGACACTTTGACCAACAACCTGGAATGCTCTACAGGAACATAGCTACCACGACCGACAAACCACAATCCTCGCTACATCTCGACAACGAGCCAGTTTTCACAGATGGCATCGTTACTCACTACAATGTACGAGTTTTTCAAATCTTCTCCTTCTCATCCTCCGCAGCCTCTTAATCCGCATTTGACCTTCAAACAATCCTCCTCCTGTATCACGATTAATTCCTACACATGGCATGAGAACGAGCCAACTTCTGCCTGCTCATCGCCCTGCACACCCTCGCGCGCCACACAACTTCTCCGTCAAGAACTGAATTCCTCCTGTCCAGTTCATAATGTTGACGCGCAGTCTAGCAATGCCCGCACGCGGGGACAGTTCAAGCCGCAGCGCACGAACAAAGGCACAACAAGCTACCAACTGAGACAGTTCGCCGAGGCGACGCTTGGAAGTGGTAGTCTACGGAAAGCCGTCAAATTGCCTGAAGGGGAGGATCTGAATGAATGGCTTGCTGTGAACGGTAAGGATCCAAACACAGAAACAGACATCAGGTGCAGGACTGATCCATGGTAGTGGTCGACTTCTACAACCAGATCAACCTACTCTACGGGTCCATCACAGAATTCTGCTCGCCACAATCTTGTCCTGAGATGAAAGCCACAGACGAGTATGTACACTCTCCCCCATCTGCCCATCCACAACCTGGTCCCCTCAGCATCGACCTCGCAGAGAAGGCAAATTCGTGATGGTCGGTTTGCTTGCTGTTCACTGAACTTGATGCTCTAGATTCGAATACCTCTGGCAAGACGCCGCAACAGGCTACCCCAAACCGACCAAGATGCCCGCCCCCGAATACATCGAGCACCTGATGACTTGGGTACAATCAAACATCGACAACGAATCGACCTTCCCCTCGCGCATCGGTGTTCCGTTCCCAAAACACTTCCCTGCCACGGTGCGTCAGTTGTTCAAGCGCCTGTACCGTGTCTACGCGCATATTTATTGTCACCACTACCAGGTCATTGTGCACTTGGGTCTCGAGCCGCATTTGAACACCAGTTTCAAGCACTACGTGCTGTTCATTGATGAGCACGGCCTCGAGAAGGGCGGCGGTAAGGATTACTGGGGTCCGCTAGGGGATTTGGTCGAGAGTATGTTGAAGAGTGATTAGGGATTGAATCTTGGCTTGGGAACGGGGTAGAGCGTGGAGTCTGGAACGAGCATGAAGCAAGAATGGTGCAACGTCGAGCGAACACGGAATTCCATGAGCGTCGGGGCGTTGAAGATTGATGTGTATGAACGTACGGCGTTTGCAGTGAATGCTGGGATCACGAGCCACGGGCAGAGAAATATGCAAGCAGGGCACACCGCGACGACAGGGCTAAATTATGGTTGTATGGCGTTCAAAGGACAGGAACTGGAAGATTGCCGGGGAAATGACTCGACAGAGATGAAGTCAAGTTTCTCTCGGTCAAAATGTAATAATACAGCTAGAAATGAAGCATGATATTGGATCTGATTGAGGGTGCCTGATGCGAGCTTTCTATCGCAAATTTGATATCAGCGCCTGAAGCTGAGTACGAAACCAGCTTTGTTTAGAGGCATTTCCATCTCGATGGTACATGGATTTCGTAATCAAGAGGAGGCTCAGGCTTTCGTGGTCTGGCTGGTATTGCTGGATATGCATGCACAAGTGGCAATTGCTAAGCATTCCATTTCAAGAACTTTTGAGAAAGGCCATACCCTGACGTCCTGCTATCGTACAGGAGGACCGAGATTATCGCTCCTATTTCTTGACCAGAAGATCACAAAACCCCCGGCAGGCAGGTCGAAGCGGGGTTCAAGCCCATGGCTAGGATCAGCAATCACTAATAGCCTCTCCTATACCCAGGCCCAAAGCCTCCTCCTCGACGACCACCGCGCATCATGTCATCGCTATACATTCTTCCGCCGCCACGAGGATACGAACCCGATCCGCCAAAGGCGCCTGGTCCTGGACCGCCCACACCATTACCGTAATGTGATGGTCGTGAGTTGTAGCTGCTGCCACCGCGGTATGAGCCTGATGGTCGGTCATCGCGACGCACGTAGCGCTCTCTTTCTCGGTCTCGGTCTCTGTCATAATCCCGCTCCCGGTCTCTGTCTCGACGGGTATCGTCTCTTCTGTCGGCATAGTCGTCACGTCGTTCGTCTCGGCTGTCAGTCTCGGGCCTCCTAGATCGCCGGTCCTGGCCATCCTGTGTTGTAGGCGCCTCGTTTACCAACTCAACATCCTCCATAGCGCCATCATTGACAGGCTCGTTCGAGGCCGTAGGCTCGGATACCGAAGTGGTGATTGCGTCGCTGGATATCGGTAGCGGCGTAGGGCCGGAGCCTGTCTGTTTTAGGTAGAGGTGCAAGATTCTGCCATCTGCTCTTTGATTGTTGTATGTCGAAATGACTCTATCTGCAACGTGTCTTTCGGAGAAGACCATCTCAGCAACCACTGTGGGACTCGTCGATATGATGCGACACGACAACATCCAGCTTGCGCCATTGTCGTCCACAGTCTCGCTTTGCAGAGCTGACTCGATATCCGCGGCTGTTGTTCCTGGGGCAAAATTGCTCGCTTCGACCGTGAAAGGTCCCGCTTTGCCTTTTATGCTGAGACCCTGACCTTTTGGTTGGCGTGGTGGCGTTATTATGTTGGCGTGAGGGGACTCGAGCGCAGCGACAAGTCGTGAAGCCCGAGCATTCTGAGGGGTGGTTGAGGATGGTCTGGAGGGCGTGTTTCTCGCAGAGTTGGTGCTTGCAATTGAGGAGGAACGCTGCGCGGGAACTTTGTGTCAGAACGTTGCGAGAGCGCAGAGCAGTCAGGGTTGTTCGGCCGCCGTGTTGTGTGAATCGTACCTTTGTGATTCTGCTTGCAAGATCAGGCGTTCTGATCGATGCCCTGCTTGGATTTCTCGTGTCGGCCTTGTTCTGCTTGCTTCTGCCAAAAATCTCGTTGGCCAAGGCTTCATTCTTCTTCCTCTGACGGTCTGTGTCACGTTCAGTTTTGCGTCGTCAAGAGACTGTTACAGCGACCCTTACCGGCCTGTATAATCGCATCAAAACTGACTGCAGATTTAGGGTCAGGCATTGTTGAATAAAACGAGAGTAGAGATTGCCGATTGCTCGATATTGCCGCGTCTAGTCAGATCGCAGGAGCGAGCTTCCAGAGAAACAAAGGAAGCGGGTCTTGGAATTGTTAAAGGCAGTCGCGATCTTTTGCACCACGCCAGTGAAATCAGAGCTACAGCCTCGTCGGCTGGTTCGCGTAGCCTTGCAGCCTTGGCGACAAACTTCTTTATTGAAGTTCCTCTGGAACGACTTTTCCGTATACACGCACAGAACGCAACTCATAAGCTTTACTCCAGCTTCATTCGCTTTATGCAGATCCGGACAGACCCTCCAGTAGACTTGCGATTGCCCCAACATTAGCTGTCCAAGCTTATCACCACCCCGATCATCAACAAAATGTCCTCAGCCCTGCGTCCCGTCCTCCGGGTAGGCCAACTACCTAGCCTACCACCTTCGACTGCCTCCACCACGTATATCTGCCAGTCATGTCGGCACGCTCGTCTCCTCAGACGGCCGAAACGACCGTACACGTTTACTCAGCTTGTGACTCTGTCTGATGGAAGCGCATTCACGATGCGAACCACATCCCCAGTTCCGGTCTACAGATCTACGCGAGATACAAGAAATTCACCACTCTGGAATCCGTCCTCAAAAGAACTGTTGAATGTTGAGGAGGACGAGGCAGGAAGATTGGCTGGTTTTAGAGCACGTTTTGGTTCAGGCTTTGACAGCGTAAAAGAGTCCAAGAAGGGTCACGAAACAGCCGACAGTCATACAGCTTCAGTGACGCCTCCGTCAGAAATCAAGATGGCTAAAGAGATCAAATTTGAGGACGAGCACAATGACTTTTCAGAGGAAGATTTTAATATCCTGGACATGATCAGTTCTTTTGGCCAGGAAAATGCGCAACAAGGCCAAGCAGCTTCTTCCAAGAAGGGCGGAAAGAAGTAAAGAGTTAGCGATGTCTGTAATATGGAACGGGGCATGTATATTATGGAGATAACTGCATCGGCAAGAGGTACTTGCAACGGCCAAGCTACTGAGATTTAGCAGAGATACCCAAGAATTCACTTGCATCTAAAGGAGTACTCGTTCTTGTGGCTCGTGCAAAGGCGTGCAAGCCTTTAGGACTCTATACTTACCACATGCAGGTCAACCATTAGTCCCATGTCCGGATGATAGCATAGTTACGACCGAATGCTTGTGCTAGATGTTGCAGCAGGAGACAAACCGAACGAGGCTCTCCCACGGCTCTCGCATGACAGAGCGGAGCATTCAAGCCAAGCACAGGGTGCAGGGTGGATTCGTCTCCTCCGCATCTCTCAAAGTAATCGCGACAGGCACATCTCGTTCACTTCCAATCAGTCTTGTACGTTTACGGAACGGCTTTAGAGTCTTTGTTATCTCTTGCACGATGGATGACTCGCCGTGGGGCGGTGAGATGCATTCCCAGCATGTGTACAAGCCGGTGCTGACAATTTGATAGACGTCCCCTCTCAATCGCAGTCCGATATCCAGCCAGAATCGACAGGCAGCTCCGCCAAAGATAGTGGCGCCACCAGTACGCCAGTCCAGGACGTGTAAATTTGCTCTACTGACATTTGGCAGACTCGTCGACCCCTTCGAAACCTACCAGCGGCGGACCGCGACCTTCTTCATCCCGAAAAGTGCCTGCCCGCAAGATCGAAGTACAACCCACAAAGCTTGAAGCTGTGGACGATTCCTTAGATCCTCTCGGCCCTCTAGGGGCTGAACCAGCACCGGAAACACCCTCGATACAAGCAGATCAAGGTCCGACTCCACCGAGGAAAGAACTGAGTTCAAGAGTCAACCGTCCGCCCTCTGCAACCTCACCAAGCTTGGTGACTTCTGAATATGAAGATAGCACTCTGCCTGTCGGAAGGCCAAAGGGTCCTCCTCCCGTTCAACCACAAGCGACGGGTGCGCCTCGTCAGACACAACCGAGCGTGAGTGTGGAACAGGCCGCAAAGCCGACTTTCGATATCTCAGTGGGAGATCCGCATAAAGTGGGCGATCTGACGAGCAGTCATATTGTCTATCAAGTTCGGACAAAGGTGAGTCCGCCCCTACAGACCTGCGGTATACGGAAACTCATATATGCAGACGACATCAAAAGCGTATAAACAGCCCGAATTTGCAGTTTCCAGGCGTTACCGAGATTTCCTGTGGCTTTACAATGCTCTACACAACAGCAATCCGGGTGTCGTGGTACCACCGCCGCCTGAGAAACAAGCAGTCGGTCGATTCGAAAGCGAATTTGTTGAGTCTCGGCGTCAAGCCCTAGAACGAATGTTGAACAAGATTGCTGCTCATCCAATCTTGCACCACGACGCTGATCTGAAGATCTTCCTCGAAAGCGAAGCTTTCAATATCGATGTGAAGAACAAGGAGAACAGGGAACCGGACTTGGGGCAAAACAAAGGCATGCTCAGCTCCTTGGGTATCAACGTGGGCGGATCCAGTGGCAAGTTTGTCGAGCATGATGATTGGTTTCATGATCGCAAAGTCTATCTTGATGCCCTCGAGAATCAGTTGAAAGCCTTAATGAAAGCCCTTGACGCAGTGGTAGTCCAGCGAAGGGGCCTTGCTGAAGCTGCGGGTGACTTTGCGGCCTCCTTGAGCAATTTGGCTCAAGTCGAGCTGTCTCCGATATTTTCTGGGCCTGTGCAAGGTCTGGCGGATTTGCAAATCCGGATTCGGGAATTGTACGATCGACAAGCTCAGCAGGATGTATTGACTTTGGGTATCACAATTGACGAGTACATTCGACTCATCGGAAGTGTGAAGCAGGCTTTCTCGCAGCGGCAGAAAGCTTTTCATTCATGGCACGCCGCAGAAAGTGAGCTTGCGAAGCGTCGGAGCGCCCACGAGAAGCTATTACGGCAGGGTAAAAGCCAGCAAGACAAACTGAGTGAGGTTGGTGCCGGGGTTAGTGATGCCGAGAAGAAGGCACACCAGGCTCGGTTATTGTTCGAAGATATGGGACGCCTTATGAGGGGAGAGCTGGAACGATTTGAAAGGGAGAAAGTCGAAGATTTCAAGAGTGGTGTGGAAACATTCCTTGAGGGGGCTGTGGAAGCGCAGAAAGAGGTACGTTTGGCTACTCGTGCCCCATAGGTAATACTGACGATGCAATCAGTTGATTGAGCTATGGGAAACATTCTTATTACAGATGGACGCAGAAGAAGAAGCACCGGTCAAGGCTCAGTCCGCCTTGAGAGAGCCAGCAGCAACGGAGAGCCTTGAGGCAGCCAACCAGTCCGGCGACAACACAGAAGCGGTACCCGCTACAACGACCGACGTAGCACTTGAGCAGGATGCTTGATACCAGAGTGAGGCTTGATGCAGTCATGAATGTGAAGAAAACAGAACAGATGGGATATTGAACAAAGGAGGTTATTGTACAGTATATCGCTCTCTGATCTTCGTTGAACTGCACTTACTGTCCGTCTCCTTTCACTAGATACCCACGAGCCAATTCATCTTCGTCTTTCCCTTTCATATGGTGCTGTCTATCCTCACTTCACCATCCTGTCACTTCATTTACTTGTTATCATTGTCAATCCCAATCATTTCAGAGCATCAATGACTTGCTCGTCTTCATAGCATCGTTTCTCACACACTGAGCTGTTCGGATCTCGCTTCACTCGTGAGTGTGCTCGCTGGGCGACATCATTCCATTCGCGCAGTCGCTCACAGATCCATCACATGTCGTTGCTATCTCATCGCCGCGGCGACAAGTGAGCGTTTATTTATCCTTGTTGAGCTCCCTCCTTTCTCACAGCGACAAACAACTCTCCTGCTTCTACTGCTCTCACTTCTCAACCACCCACAATCCATGGCTGACTTTAGCTACATGGCTGGTCCTTTCTCCGTTCCTGCGCCTCCAGGCAGAGGACCGATTGATCCTCTCTTCGGCCTTCCCTTCACACCAAGCTTCTCAAAATTCCAGCCGGATCCAATGGACTCCACGACTTCGCTGTCACCATCACCCACAACTCTCTCCTCCATGACCAGCTCTGCTACGTCGTCTGTTGTGGCGTTGAGCGAGATCCTGTCGAATCCACCACCATTCTCACCACTCGAATCGGTTGACAGTATGCTCACAGTGAGTCCGACCTCTGATTCAGCGACTCAGGGCGGGCCAGCGTTGGCTACTTCAGCGCCATCGACGTCCCTCATATCGATCCCTAGCCCTACCTTTTTGTTGGCCTGGCCCCAACCAACTACGAAGCTCCTGACCATCACCATGCCAGCAACCACTGCGAACAAGACCGTAACCACGCAAGTGACCGTTGCGGTAACCACTGCGAGCATTTCCACCGTCACACTTCCATTATCATCATCAGCCACTTCCGCCGAGAACTTCACCACTCCTCTGCCATCAGCAAGTGCTGTCGACGATCCACTAGATAGCATAACCACTATCACACACATCAGTCAAATTGCTATCGGGCTGGTTTTTGGAATCTTGTTTTTGACCGCAGCGTCGTGAGTCTGCCCAAAAGCCCTCAAGTGTTTCCTTGTGCACCTTTTCAGTGCTAACGACACGACAGGGTTGTTCTTGCAAGGAGCCATGGATCCTTGCTACGAATCAAGAAATGGTATGTAGAATGGAGGGCTTCACGTGGACATTGACGGACTTTTGTTCGAGGTTTTGGGTACCACCATGGATGAGGAGAAGGAGAGTATTACCAGTTTTGAACAGGTGGATAGAGATTCTTGTGTTGTGCCAGGTTGGGTACTTAAGAGGTGACAGGCGGTGTTTGTGCCGAAACGGTACATCTCTCAGAGATGGATGACATTCTTGTGTTGGTCTTGCAGTGAACGAATGCTGCTGAGAATGTTGGAGTCGGATACCTGGCGATTGTTTCTTACTGGTTGGTTACATGGGTCCAAGAAGAGGCCGTAACTGTCACCAAACTTCGAGTCGAACATCAATGTCAGGCTTCACAGCCATCATGCGGCGGCATAGGACATATTGATTCGACAGGCAATGTCAGATGTATTCATGGATACTACCTCAATCAGCTCTCTAGCAAGGCCTCCCTTCACGTTTTCTCCAGAGCATTGGTTTGGCATGTCCATGCAAGTGCTGACCCTTGGCGAACTTGGGTAGATTGAACATCTCGGAGACTTCTCCATACAGTCGGAGACTTTTCTCGCGATTTTATTGCCCTGTTCCGTCAGCCTCGTCACTTACATGGAGAGGCCCTGCTCCCTCTTGAGGTATAGGCGTCCTGCAGACATGCGATGAAGCCAGGACGCTTCTGTTCAGGCATCCCATAGTGATGCGTCTACATAAGGGAGCCAACGGCTGGCACCAACGGTAAGGTCAGATTTCATTTTGAGCACCGCATTCACACACTTTCCAACATGGACGAATTTATGAAGAAGACAAAACAAGAAGGCCATGTCTCGGAAACACAGCGCCTGGCAGCAAATCACGAGGTGTTCACTCATGGTCTTGGTGGAAAGTTGACTCTCACTCCATTGGACCTCTCCAAGCCTGGCTTGAGAGTCCTCGACTCTGCATGCGCCGACGGTAAGTCAACGTATCAGTCGCTGCAGTAGCCTGACGCTGGCAGGGACCTGGCTTCGAGATCTTGCCCGTCATAGTTCGGCGGCAGGGACGGCTACCTACGTTGGGTTCGACGTCAACGATGAGATCTTCCCGTCTGAGAAGCCTCACAATGTCGGCTCCATGGACCTGGTCAAACACTCCGTCCACGATCCATACCCGGAGGCTTGGAAGTCCAGCTTCGACCTCGTCCATCAACGACTCCTTATCGCCGCCTGGGCCTCTGCGCCGAAAGTGGAGACCCTCAAACGCCTTGTCGAGTTGGCAAAACCGGGTACTGGATATGTTGAATCCATGGAGCTCAATGTGGACCCTCGAACGATCCCTGACGACGTACCGAAATACAAGAGATTCTACGAGCTCATGGCCGAAATCATGGACGCCATTGGTCTCGGCAGGTACACGGTAAGCAACCTGAAGACACTCCTGGCGGACGCCGGCTGTGTCGATGTTGTGGAAACCAAGACCCGATACAAGGTCGGTGCGAAGACAGAGCTTGGGCTGAAGGAGAAGAGCATCGATGGTCAGGTCACGGCCATCCCGGCCCTGGCTGCTGTGGCCAAGAGTGCGTTTCCCCTCGGTTTACCTGGTCCTTTCCGATGAAGGCTAATTCGCGCAACGTAGATGTCAAGACGAGCTTTTCGGAGGAAGAGTTGCAGACGCTGGAGAATGACGCGAGAAAGGAATTGACTATTGTCGGAGGGGAATTCGAAATGGTGACTGTCTGGGGAAGAAGGGCGGAAGCATGAGCCATTCGACGAGTCGTTCGAAGATGGCCGTTCAAGTTTTGTCGGCTTTCCCTTACGGTATCCGGGTCTCATAATGTGAAATTAGTCCGTACGATGGTTTGTAGCCTCTGACACCACGAGTTGACTTTACAAGTCAGTTGGTTTGTACCGAATTTCATGGTCGATAGCTCCCAGTGCCAGGTTTCGCGGAGCATTCATGCGGGGCAATGACGCCGACCGCCCTCGCGCTGTTCACTCGAGACGGCGATGATGAGCGTGGACAGCAATCCGTACGAGCACTCTGGATCGAGATGATGTGCCTAGGCAAACTGGATCTTTTGTCCTTGATTAGTATTCAACGGGAATTTCGGCTAAGTAAGAAATCATCTGCAGTCCCGTAAGTCCCTTCACTCAGATTGTTGCCCACACCCTCTGAGAACATAACACCTCGACAAGCACCCCGATAGTGAAAGGACGAGATCTAGAAAGCCAGACTTCCCTAGCCACGACGCACGAACGCCGAGACTCGTCCAAATCCTGAGCACAGGCAGTGTGAGTGCAAGGACAACAGTGAAACGTGTCCCGAGATGCCTTTCTACGAGGTCAGTCGTGAGCATGTAAATCCTTTTGCTTGGAGAGCAAGCCCCCGACTTCCACACCCCATGCCGCCGCTCTCTACCATATGACCTGCTGAGTATATATCACCCTGATCACCCTATACTCACTCCCCAAAAGACCCGTGCTATGAATTCGATCTCAGAGCGCACGAAAGCGTCATCAGCTTCGTGAGCTCTCGTTGATCATGCCCCCTCGGACGTGATATCACTCACACACCTTCTCTATACTACGTACAGCCTTGTCATCTATCTGCCCTTCAGCTCATCAGCGCTTTGCCCGACTGCTTGCGGAATCTCGAACAGAATCGCTGACCCTCTTCCACAGGTCCAGCACACCCACCCACTCTCAACATCCCAAAAGCACTCTATCGCCCGTTCCATAACACAACTCCATTCGAGCACGTTTCTCACGCCGAGCCTCTTCGTCAATGTCGTCTTTCATAATCTATCCACTCAATCTCCGAACAGTGACACGACATACTTTCTTGCTGGCGAACCTGCATCACATCATCCGAACGGCCCAAACCGCATCGTGAGTCGTCCATCTCCTTAGCCTTTCCCAGCCAGCCTCTTTCCGTCCTGACAAAGACCCCAATCCCCAGCTCGGCATGGTCCGCACATCCTCCTCACGCACGAAAGCCGTCTTCGACGATCTGGCCGCGCGTATTGAAAAGGCATGGTACGATGCACTCGGAGCACCCACCGATTCCGCAGACAAAGCCAGCAAGAAAATGCACTTCATCACATTCTATCCCATGATTGCCGCTCGAGAGAATGGCGTTACGATCCCGGATGTACGTTCTCCCTTTCCAGTTTCACGCTCTGATTCTCCTGCATTGAACACCTTCGCATTACTCGCCCAGGCTTCGAAGGATCCAAGGAGAACCTTCCTCCTCCTGCCCATCCACCCGCATTGGCAATTCTTCCCCAACATTTGAGGATGAGCCAGTCCCGCCGGTGGTATTCAACTGTTCTCGATTGCTCTGGACTGACATCCCTCTGTACTGTAGGCCGGAAACGAATCATCGTGGCTCAAAGACAATATGCCATACTTCAAGTCCCAGGCATACGACCACGGTGACCAAGATTTCAGGAAGATGATCGAGGAGATCGATCAGAGGGAAGATTTGAAAGAACTAGTGAAGCAGTGAGAATCCCTTGCTCTGCCATGCAACTCGCAATGGTGCAGCGCGGCTTGAGGTCAAGCTCGTCCCCGACACGCCTGGGCGCAGCACGTTGCACCTATTTGCTCCAAGTGCTTTCGCTGTAGACTGCTTGCAGGACGATGTCTGGGGAATCTCCATGCCGGCAAGATCTGGGTAATTTTCGCTCAGCAAGAGAACGATCCAATGTTATAAGCAAGCTAATGATGTTGTATGCCTTCTTCCATATCGGTAGTGATGCTCGGATCTTTTCATTCCTGTGACTATGACTACCCCTATCCTTTCTGTACCTATACTAGAGTCGCCGTCTTGTGATTCGTAATCCATCCTGCTGGCTTCCTTTCCCACCCGCAATGTGGTATGATGCTGCTTTCTGCTTCTTCGATCCATAACGCATACCTCTGGAACGAATACAGACACAGACATTAGCCACAAAATCCTTGACTCTGCTAGTCCTTGTCATTGCCAGCCTCTACATCAGCTCGGATGATGACAATCCTCTCACCTCTCTCCCTGGCTTCTCGCTCCGGACTATCTCGGACCTCAACCTCCACCTTCACTCCTCCTCTACCACTTCTTGAAACACTTCGGCTTGGGCCAGGACTTAGCTTAAACTGCTGTTCAATACCGTGGGTTTCACCAATGGAACCTCGGTGAACCGACTTCCTTGGTCTTCCTCTTACGGGCGTTCGAGGTGCGGATTTTGATGGGCTCCTGCTCTGTTCATCCGGTTCTTCAGCCACAGCTGGCGGCACCAAGACTTGCTTCTCGGACATTGCTCTTTGCAGAGGCGTCCTTGGCAGAGGTACATCTTCTGGCTTTATGGAAGGCTTCAAACCTTCCACTTCCTCCTGTGCTGGGACTTGTAGAGGAGGCATCTGTGCTGGCTTCAAATGCTCCAAGTCCACCTTGTTTTCCTGCAATTCTGACTCGGTGACCAACAATGTGGGAGCCCGAGTCTGTCGGCGACTCAGTCGTTCTCGTTCAGAATAATTTCGGCGCTTCTGAGCGTCTTCTTGTTCGCTGGCTGCTTGCATCAACTCATGGACTCTGCTTCTCACAATACTCGGTCGCGCCTGAGGATGTGGCTCGGGTTTGGCCTCTTCTGTGGATGGCTGCTCAGGTTCTTGAGATGGAACGGCAGGAGACTTGTTGAAAATGCCCCACTTGAAAGGCCACACCAAGGACGTCTTGCGTTGTTTATCTGGTTGTGCACTCTCATCACCAGTCGGCTCCTTTTCTGCTTCAGGCAGATGCTCTTGTTCAGCTGGGTTTGTTGATCTAGGAGTCGAACCTGTTTCATCTGACTTCTGGTGCCTGCTGACCATTGTTGGCAAAACCAAGGGTATCAATGGTGTTCCTGGCCGCTCTTCAATTGTTTCCCCAAAGGTTATTCTGTGCGACTTTTTCGCCCCGTGCCGGTTATCGTGGTCGGCTTGATGTTGCTTGTGCTGGTGAGCATGTTCATGTGGTTGATCGTGGTCTAGCGGCGTCGTATTGAGGCTTTCAAACATGGCAGCTCGTCGCTTGACCGGACTGACTTCTCTACCTGGCTGAGATGGGCGGACGACAGACTCGTGATCAGGCTCAGGCGGCCGGCCCTCCGGATGCCTGTTCGATCTGCCGGCGACAGCAAGTGAAGAGGTGGCCTGGGAGGCTTTGTCTGCAGCAGGCAGGGTGGGCTTCCGTGGCGACTGCATCTGTGGCTCAGCCGGATAAACCACTCTCAAGGACTCCTCGCTGCTGCGTGGCCTGACAGAATCTATGCTTCGCCTGGTGTCTGTGCCTCGTGTATTGGACTGACGACGGACAGTGTGGCTCGTGTTAGACCGACTGAGCGAAACAGGCATCGGAGTGATGTTCCCGGTACCTTCCTCGGAAAGTACTTGCGGTCCAGACTCTTCAATGGCATCATCCAACATAGTATTCAGCTCAGCTAGTGTGTTGGCTCTATCGCCTTGGGAAATCCTGTTGGCAGATTTCTCTGCAACTGACTTAAGTCTGGATCGCGCCACGGCTATTTCCTGAGCCGGATCTTCCATCGTCTCCATGGAACGATATCTTCTGTGGAGTGTCTGAGCCTGACCGCTCTCGGGAGGCCGGCGTGGAACGCTCGGAGCGTTGGAGCTTTCGCCCATGCTGGTGACGGGTCGGGAAGGCACGGTTCTGACAGGGTTCTCATGCTCTACCACCTCTTTGACTGGACGTGGTTTCTTGTAGAAGACCGAGCTGACAGGGGGTCGACCATCGCCCCGAAATCCCTCATTCCCATCTCTTGAAGCTCGTCCAGCCGGCGAAGCAAAACTGAGACTCTCTCTTCTACCTTGAGCCTCATAGATGCCGGATTCTTTGGCTTGCGTCAGTACACGGGGCGCGAGGTTGAAAGTAGGAGCTCTGGACTCTAGCATCTGCACATCTTGAAAGGCCCGAATTCGATCGGCCACGGTGCCACGCTGGGGACTAGTACCACGTAAGCCGCGCTCGGGATAAAAGAGTGGAGGGAACACAAACGCTTGAGAGCTATTCATGTTCAGCGATGAGTAGAGGCGCTAGGTGATTACCGCCCATATTAGGATCGAGGATAAAAGGTCAGAAGAGAGGATTGCTTCTAGAGATTGAGAAGCGCAGCTGAACGAGAGTGTACCTGGAGATTAAGGAAAAGTAAAATAGCCTGAGTCTCATTGTGAGAACAGACAGCAACGCCGTTCACGGCAGGAGCGTCGATGCCGGGAAGCAGAAACGACGGCAAGCACCCCGCTAGTGTAGTCGCTGCTGCAGCAGATGATCACCTCATATTGAAAGGATAAGTCAAGGTCCTGAGGCCATGGATCGTATGCGAAACGGCTCACTGCTGAAGCAAGATCAAAACATTTATAGGCAAGGAAATCAAGGTTGTTCAGAATTGGTACAATTCAGGCATTGACCCTCGAGGCTGTCCGCTTCTCTTCTCCCTCTTGATTTATATGTACAAAAGTACAGTGGACTCCGTTATTTCATGGCCGCCTGCAATGATTCGAGAACCTGGAATAGCGTTAGCACGGCTTCTAGCCAGAACATATTATTCCTACCTCAAGCTCGATCTTGGCCTCTGCAATATCCTGCTCGCTCCCGCTTCCGCTGGCAATTTTCTGGGCTTCTGAGATCTGTGACTTGATAGCCTCTTCGCTAAAGTCTTCAAGAGGGAACCCTTCCACTGCGTTGATGCTCAGATTGGAGTCGGGCTGCACAACGGCAAATCCTCCGGAAACTGTTGCAGGTATTAGCATTCCTGCTCTTCCTCTCCGTTATACTCGGCGAGCAGCCAACGTACGGAAGAATTGCTTGTTTTCACCATTCTCCTGAATAATCTCGACCAAGCCGGGTTTCAATTGTTCGATTGAAGGAACGTGCTGAGCGAGAATACCCATTTCACCAGATTCGGCGGGGATGTTTACTTGGACGCTGAATAGTCAAAGTCAGTTCGAGGATCGGAGGGATTAAATGACGTTCGGATTTTGACGCAGCCAGGACAGGACGTACACATCTTGTGACTTGTAGATAGACTAGATTAGGAGCAGTCAGCCCTCGTCCAATGCCAAAGCTATACGAGCCTGCATGCTCGAGAAGAGTAAAGAGCCTCGCAAGGAACCTACCTGGTGAGGCAGCGCCAGGGAAAGCTTTATTTTGTCCGATACAGCTTCGGCGTACCCTCTGCGCTGAATGGGCTTGAGAACGACCGTGGATCTGGCGCGCAGCGCTGCGCGGGACAGTCGGAAGGCGCTCATATTGACGGGGAGTGAGGGACGAGAGGAGACAGAGTCTGGTATTGCTGGAACAAGCTCCGAGTGAACTTCAAGGTGCACCAACTGAAGTCGGGATTGCCAAGTTAAAAGTCCCAATGCAGTTTAACTTCCCAGGAGCTCTCCGTTAAAGCAGCAACCAAGTTGCACCAAAGTTCTTGATTGAAAACCTGCTCACGTGACCGAAAGCACTCTACGGCGGGAGTGACCAGGGAATACGGCAACGGTAACGATGGCTGACACGTGGATACTACGCGTGGCAAGGCAGAACCGCTGACGCTACCTCCAAGGGGGAACAGGTGCAGACAATCGCGAAATTTTTCGTACCAACGCCCTTGAGGCATCCCGTTTTAGCAAAGCCTTGAAGTACACCCTAGAAGCACTCCTTCATGCCACAAAATCCTGTTTCAACAAGCCAACGGCAGTTATGCCTGGCCCTCCCTGGCACATCCACACAGAAGTGCACCGGGCGTAGACGATCTGATTCGAGGGAGGCCATCGATTTGTCTTCTCTTTGATTGGGTATTTTGCCGGAAACATAGCCCGCTCATCGAGCTGGGTAGGTTTGGCAGATCCAATGGCATTCGGGATGCCAGTCTGCGGACAGGGACAAGGGCCTGAGTGAAAGCCCAACTCCCGCAATGATCAGCTGTTCCAAGCTTTAGAACTTCGACGCTGGCATCAATGCAAGCTGAACGGCTGCCCCATTCGGATGCCTTGCAGTCCCGCATACGGCTGTCGTTTTCAACATTTTCCTGCATCATAGGTAAAGCTCTTGCATTCCAGCTGGGAGCTTGAATAGCTCAAAACCTTCTCCGACTTTCTTGTTGAGCGGATTCTCGTCCATCTTCGATGACCCTGTCGCGTTCGTTTCCCACCGATCCAGTAAGCCAACCGTCCAGTCCTGGAATGTCCGTGCAGCCTGTGGCAGAATTTCTGTGCTTTCGCCTAGTGTGTCCTTGAAGTCCACAAAATCCTCCTCTGGTATTCGGAGCTCTTCATGGGTATTGCTGTTGGCATCAAGAAACTTATCCGGATCAGGAAGTGCCTTGTAAAAGACCTTCATGGCACGGTGAGCAGTAGGTCCGCGTTTGCTGCTGGAATAGTAGATGTCAGGGTTGAAAACCCAGACAAGAAGGCCCTGTCGTGCAGGTAAAGATTCATCGCCATTGTCGCCATAGATCACTACCTTGCGACTCACAGAGCTCTCGATCAAAGTCAGTAGTTGCGCAGTGAGAAAGACAGCAGCATCATATCCCTGTGGACTTTGGCCCTGGTCAGGGACAACCAGCAAACGAGACTTGTAGAGCCTGGTACTGGGTTCGCCTTCTTGAGAAGAACCAACGACCGTTGTGCAAGCGCCGCATCGTATGATGTTGCCTCCTTTCCTCGAACTGGGTATTGCCTGAATGGTATAAAGTCAGTAATATGTACCTCATGCATCCCTTCGCGCTATGCCGCTCGACTACGCGAAGGTGAAATTAGGAGGTTGATTCGTGGCTTGGTATGGCAGGTCATCCATCCGGAAGTGGAGGTTAACTCTACCGCCACGAATACAACAACGTTTCGATGTGCGGCGAATGTATCAGAAACTGGATCAATGGATTCCTCGTGGACGAGACTGAATAGCTTCTTTCTTCACGCCAAGGCGGAAACATATATGCAAAGTTGCAGACGCTAACGGCACTTACCTGTGTCTCGAGGCAGTCGTCTCGATGTAAGAGGAAAGAGACGGTATCCACCAACCCTATACCGGATGTGGCAGCGATTTTGCTTTTTGAAGAGAAGCCTCTAAACCTAGCGGCCTCATCCTCAGTCGAATGCGCTTCATGTGGTTTATGACAGAACCACATGTCCATTAACTCTGCCCAATGATCACTTGGTAGGTCTTTCCAGATGGTGACTGTGCCCGAATGCACTATTTCAGCGTTACAATTTTTGCATCGAATAGCAGTCTTCTGGGACAAGTCGCTTGCACACCAGGGCACTTCAATGCCACCAGGTTCATCATGTGCACCCTTGAGCTGACTAGTGTCATCAATCTGCAACCGAACTGAAAATTCGGTCCTTTTGTCTGTAGGAAAGGTCACTTTTGCTGTTCCGGAAATCTGGGTTGGCAAATAGATGCTCGAAGACTCGCCATCGTGGAGTGCTGTAATGATGTTCTTGTCGGAAGATATGAGAACTTTGGTGTGCTCATTCTTCTCGGTCTGAAGGGAAGCATGAAGAGTCAATTGCCGGATGTTAGTCAGAGCCTCTGCATAAAGGTAAATTTTGGGGTTTGGCATGGTGGCGTCACTGAGCGAGACAGTAAGACTGCGACGATCCCTAGGGCGTTGGACTCTGCGAGTGGTGGACGCTGACTGGATTCGCGTGGAGAGCACATGTGATCTTGACAAGGCAAAACCTCGTGGAGCCTGATCCGTAGCTGGTGCGTATTTGCCTTGCGACGGCAAGCAATGATGCGCAGGCTATGGCTTTCACTCCGTAGTTCACAGTTCGTATCTGCCCAGAAGCAAGACGGAGGAAACCTTCGGGACGATCTGACAAGGGGTAGAGTTGGACACGATCGCTCCAATATCAGACTGCAATATTGATAGGTTGATGATCGTGGAAAAGGGGGCGACAATCAGGCCACAGGCATGGCGAGGCAGCATTAGGGCTGCATGGTAGACGGCGATCTTGTCTGTGGCGGTTGGATTGAGTGCATGATTCGTTTCCGCACTGGGTCAATGGGGTAATATGCTGAATTGACGCATGAGAAAATTGATGAAGAAGGATACTGAAGGAATCAAGGAATCAAGGAATCATGTGCTGAAGAGGAGAAAGAGGGTGGGGTTCGATTGGGAGGAAATTGGCCAATAGAAGCGAGCCTACAAGACGCCGTTGAACGTACTAACGTTCAACAACCTCCTGCATGCTACGAGTGCTAGTAGTACTCGTAAGAGCAGAAGAAACGAACCATCCTGCCCACCTCCCTCGTTCATCTCACCCTGACATCGTCAATCCGCGCATCGCCTCCCGCTACTCTCGGGAAGTCTCCAAGGTCACCACATTGCTGTGTGCTAAACCTCTACCCATGCATCGTGTAAGTAGTATCTAGGCCGAGGCGGGATACTCTTGAGGTTAGAATTGCAAGTAAGGATATCAAGGAGTACATTCTAAAGAACAGTGGAGCAAGAAGGGCCCTGGTTCCGCGCACTTCCATATTATCATGCTGCCGTAACAAGCTTTCTGGCAAGGAACGGTTCGGCGGCGTCTGCTGACCTGTGCGACATACATCCTGGAGATGGTTCGTTGTGGTCGGTAAGAACATGGCGGCCCAAGAACACGGTAACTGGATAAGTGCCTTGTGGGCCTCTTGCCGCCCTCACCGTCATCTCTTTACTCGCTTCAAAAGTGCTATTCTGCTCAACGAACCACAGCTTGTCATGCAGGAGCATGGCTACCCGCATCACCCTAGATCCTCTCGGACCCGTGGAATCACGGTCGTTCCCAAGCCACGCTTTCTGGCATAACAACTCCACAACTCGGCTTCAACAAGCCAATCCACATTTATGACACCGTGTGCCTGGAATGACCCAGACCACTTCGCCCTTTCCTTCGCATCGAGGACATTTTTTTCCGTTCATCTTAACAACACCTTGGTCAGTTGGTTGCTCGTGCAGGCAGCCACTCAGTATATATCACGTACCGGAAGGCTGTGTACTTCTGGACGTCCAGGCAGTCGTCTGATAGGAGGTGAGGCCTGTCGCTGCCATGAGATAGCATCAATCGTGGATTTGATGACAACCATAGTTGCAATGACACTGGGCTCGAAAGATAAGGGTCTTTACTCGCAATAACACTGAACAGATATAAAGGAGCTGTGCTCAAGTAGCTTGGTGGAGGCCGAGAAGTGGACTTGATCCATAACTTGTCTCCCTTTATATCCGAGAGCTTCGCAACAAGTTCCAAATACCTGCGGATATGGGAATGCGGCATGGGCCAATCGACATAGCTCTTTCGAATGTGCACACAAGACTGGAGTCACAAGATGAATGTCTGATCAGAGTTCGTCCAATGTAAGTAGTATATTCACCTGGCTGGAGCACTCTACCTAATGAGGCGCGCCACGTATAGCGACACCCCCACGGTCGATTTGACTTTAGGCTATCATGATCGTGCAGACTGTGTTCCACAAGGAGATCGGTGTGTCGCTGGCCGGTCACGATTCTCAGCTGTGAAACGAAGAAGATGTTTCTCCGACATCACAATCAATTGATGCGCCGGACCTCATCTCCTGTCAGGGCGAAGAGAGGATTCACAATCATGTCAAACACAGGGCTTCAATTTCTGAGCCCGTCGTGACAGCAGAGGTGGAGCGTGTACAGAAGCCACGGTCTGGCTTTATCGATCAGAGATGTCAATGAAATTTCAGAGGTTGAATTGGTAGCGCGGCAAGACTGCACTTTGCAGCATTGGTCGCTTCACTGGGCTGAACATGTTTCCCGACGACAGCGTTCAACGGATCCACGGCCCTGCACGGTAACAACTGACCAGCAGAATTCCGATACAAGGTGCCACAGCCACCGACTCATTCGGGATCTCCGCGTTGATGACCGTAGAATCTGGTGTCTTCTGCTCATACCTTGTGGCAGATAAGTAGGCACGGAAACTGCAACCAGGCAGAAAATTCCGGAACCTTTTCCGCAACCACAGCATATATGGGTTGACGGTCACGGCTGGTAGAGTCTCCCGATCCAGGAGGTCCGCATATGTGAGCTCCGTTGCTGCAAAGTCGTCCCCTTCGAGGTTCCATTCGCTGGCCTAGATTTCTTCACAAATCACCCGTATTCGGAAGACTAAATTCCTCCACCGCACATCTGGTCAGGGGTGGGAAGTCCATGACGAAATTTCGGGGTTGAGGAGAAACACGTCGACGTGGCATGAGGAGGTGCCACCTAGAGCTCGGTTCGAGATGCATACTATCAGTCAAGGCGTTTCGAGACATGCACGAGCAATGCTCCTGCTGACGGCAAGCCTGCCGAGTTGAGCAGGTGAATGAAACGATAACCAGACTGTAGGCGGTCAAGTCGAATGCATGCCCAAGCAAGCAAGGTATCCCTGCCGATTGAACGGTCGTCCTTGACCTTGAGTCTATTGGCCATTGTCAGTAAGCGCCGGCTGCAAGTTCTTGACCCAGCCACAAAATGACATATCAGATATGTTTATGGATGGTAAGGGAGATGATGAACGCAAGTAAGTGGGTCACGATTGTGTAACATGATCGTGAAGGAGGACATGAGCAGAGGAATTACCACACGCCTCGCAGTAGATCTAGGCTCGACCATTGGTTCGTGGACTTTTTCCGCCCTTGACGTAAGCCACCTTCTGGTACGTGGCCGCCGCGAACTGGGGTTGCGGGACGCCGCGCTATGTATCACGGGCGGATCATTTTCTGGTGCAAGATGACGATGCGCAAGGAAGCGCTGCCGAACCTTCAGCAACCGTCATTGACGAGCCATTGCACAGTCTCTGACTGCGAGCATGCCGTCTTTCAAGGGCATGGGGATGCGAGCAAATGTGTTGTCGATTCAGGACCAAAGCTGAATCCTGATCAGGATGCAAGGCCATTCGAATAAGGGTAGCCATGTAAGCAGCGCATAGAGATTGTAGCAGATTTCACGGAATCGCAAAGGGAGCAATCGAACCAAATGGCAGGTGCCAAAGCCAAAAAAGAGAGGACACGTACCGGAGGAAGCTCAGCTCGTCAACAACGTCAGGCACGTTCTGCCACGTGAGCCTTTCACTGCCGAAATCTGGACTATCTGTTCGATATGTGGATGAAGTCCATTTATACATGTCTTGGTCGATTTCCTCAGGGCCGTATGTGTTTGTCTGGGCGTGCGAAGTAGGATGAGCATTGGAGTTCTTGCCTTGACCGGGCGGGCCCAGGCTCTCCACATGAAGTTGGACTTTGACGTAGGGCTTGATTTTCGAGGCGTGGGCGGCATCCTTGTCGGGGGCAACTGGTATCCTTTGTCCTGCCAGGAATGTGATCTCAAGGTTGAGACGTTGCTTTTGGGGCACAACCATGCTCTTCGAGGATTTGCTGCTCTCTGTGCAGCGATAACCTTCCGGCTTGAGTACCCACCCCCCTGTTGAAGCAAACATACCTTCGTTCAGCATCATTCCCTTGTCGATTTTCTGCCAATTCAGAGCCACCATTTGTGCCCCTTGGCGCCAATGAAATGTCGGATCAACGTTGGAGCTGTTGATCCGCGTCCCTTTAGGGAACACTCGCAAAAGGAAATTCTTGTTGTGATCGAATAGGGCCGGGCCATGTACGGGATCCGCATGCATAGAATGCATCTTGCTTTCTGACAAGCTGAAAACGTGCGTTGGGATTGAGGCCTCGGGTTGTGAGAAATGCTTGAATGTGTAGGCTCGAGTATAGACACCGAGTTCAGATAATGCTGTGAGAACTTTGGACGCCTTTTTGTTCTTCTCTGGCGAGGTAAAATTACCATCCTCTGTAATTCCGTCTGTGGAAGGTGAGTTGACTTGTTCGAGCGGGTTGTTGGACTCTCCAGTTTCAGTGTTTGGTGTCCATTTGACCTTGATCAAAATTTTCTTCTTAAGCGCTTGAGGCGATGGAAGAATCAGATCTTGGGGCACATTGGTGAGGTCAACCAGAAAACCAGACCATACCTCCTTCATAATCTCAACCATTACTTCCTGCTGCGAGAGTGAAGCATGTACTTCCAGTGACACGATCAAGGGAAGATCCGTGCTTACGAATGCGAAGCTCTTGATGGCGTGGCACACAGAGCGAAAGGTAACTGATTGAGTGAGTGTGTAACCGTGAAGCACGCGCGGCTCGACCTTTGGCGGAAGTGCAGGTGATGGCTGAGGTGAAAGATACTTTTTATGTTGAGCTAACGGTTCAGACTGCCGACTTGGAGTATCCTTCTCGGCTGGTACTTGTTGTGGGCTAGGAGCGTCAGCATCTCTTGCAGCTGGTACTTTCGAAGCGTCTGCCAAAGATCCTGAGCGAGAACGGGACCTCATCCTTGCCGCACGAGCTTTGACCCTATTCCAGCGAGATGCTTTCGAGTTGGATCTGTCTATTCCTCTGCCACTTGATCCAATGACTTGCTCGTCATCTTCGTCGGAGCTGCTAGTGTCTGAATCGTCACCATCCCAAACATCAATTTCCAAGCACCTACAACCCCGTTTCAGGACATTTGTATATGCTTCCACACTTGCCTCTCCATAGAGCTGGTGGCCTGAGAGGTAGGTGTTGTGACTTGAACTGATAAAGTAGGAGGACATTGGATAGCTGAGATCATTGCCTGTGGATGTGGACATTGCAGAGGATTTGTCCGAAGCCATACAGGTCAGAAAGGAGGACACGTCGGGATATCGTGGCCGATCTTCAGCGGGCAGTTTACCGTATGCTGAGAGTAGATTGGACAACACAGGTTCCGAGAACGGTTTGAGCAAGAATTCTGTCACTGCCTCGGGCGCTAGAGTCCCTCCTGCTCCTGCAGCACGTGGAGGGATTGTAGCAGAGGCATCTCGGGACATAACGAGCTTGACCCCCTCTTCAGATTTCAGCGTATACTGGGTTGGAAGACAGTTGTGCGGAGGAGACGTCGGTTGCGGTCGCGGGATAACGGGGTGAGGAGGTTGCGTAAAGGTAAGGGAATGAAGGACTGGCAAATTCAGCGTGGAATAGGGAGGGGAGATGATGGGGGATGGTAGATTCAAGCACGATCCTCACCGCTGAGCTTGGAATTCAGTGATCATCAGAAGGAATCTTGCATTGTCAGTTGGATTCCCTGGTGTGACACGAGACAATCAAAGCAACTCCCTCGCTCCGTACCAAGTTAATCGACTTTCATCTGCGACGCCGGAGTTCAGCCACCAACTGACGTCAAACCTACCTCGACCACTCTCGACTTATCTCGTTTCCTGAAAGTGATGGTAATCTGCAATGGGCTTTACTACAAAGGTCACTCTATGCACTAACTCAAGGGTTGGTGTACTATCGCGCAGGTGAACTTCTAGCCTGGCCTGGCAATTACGAGTAGGAATGCGAGCATACATTTGATTAAGTGATCCTATCGAGCTTGATCCAGTGTACAGGCTTTTGAGAATTTCCTTCGACATGTACATCCAAGTAGACGAACCGAAATGCTTGTGCTGGGACTCCTCTGCTGATGCACGACTGGTGGATGAAGAGGAAGGACGACGATGAAAAATATAGAAAGCAATATCACAGTGCTCACGGTTTACTAGGAAAACACGTTTGAAGAAAAAATGATTGAGCTGGACGGCGTAGTTATCCAGGAGAAGATAATGCAATGCTTTGAAGTTGTCATAAAATGCCGGTCATACTCCAACGTCCAAGCGAATGAACCTAGAGAGGGCGGTAATTCTTTTCGTATTGAACTTATGCCAAACTGTAGCCACGTTAGCAAAATGTGTCAAAAATGAGGTGCGGGCATTAACATACTCGCAGGCCCAGACGTTGGTGTTAGAGGAAATAGCACAGCCAATCTTTGAGTACGATGTTGACGTGAGGATAGTAGCATGACCAGTCTGTCCGCCGTAGCTCCAGCCTTGAGAAGCGGTCGAGCAGATGCCGTCCAAGCCTGCAAGGGAGGGGATCTCGCAGAGCCAGCCACCAACGTAGACTTCCTCGAAGTCGCTAGCACTGCCAGGGGCAAGGACTTGAGCCATGGTGCCAGGGTTGAGTTCGTGAATCAGGCCACCAACACTGTTCGTGCTGGTCTTGAGGGCGTTAGCCTCGAGGGTGCTGTCCTGAGTAAGGGCAGGAAGGCCGCCGGCAGAGCGCCACTTGGAGACGATGGAAATGTAGTCCCCAGTGCTGGAGCCGATGGTAGGAGTGCTGGTGCTGGCCGCGGTGGTAGTGGCGGGCTGAGCAGGGGCAGCCGCTTCAGCGGTCTCGGTGACCACGGTGACCACAGTCGTAGTGGGCGTCGTGCTGCCAGACTCCGACCACCAATGGTAGCCACGGCCACCCCATCGCTTGTTGATAGCAACACCCTCTTCGGCAGGGGTAGGGGCTGCAACAGCAACAGTGGCGACGACAGCCAAGACGGAGAGAGTCTTAAGGGCGAACATGTTTGCTTGTTTGAGAAGTTTTGAGATGGGAGGATTTCGAAGGCTGTCTTTCGTTTCGTCGAGAGAGCGTGGTCAAGAACGAGCTTGATGGAATGAACGTGATATCCTCCGGGGATGAATGAGTGTGGGCGACTGAAAGGTCAAAGGGCGAAACGAAAGTCACAGACTTTGATGTACTTGTACGGTCAAGGAACGTGATGGATCAACAAAGGAAGGGGAACAGGAGGGCAGACAAAGAGCGCACCAAGGAGAGATATACCTGCCGCCGGCCTGGGCTTGGGGTGGTGTCAACGCCATCGGTCAGCCCCAGATGATGGTCTTGAGGCCAAATTGTGAAACAACAATCGGCCCACTTTCATTGTCCTGCCCAGATTGTCGAGCTGCTGAGATCTCGAAAATAGCCAGCCTGAACAAAGGCCGCCATGACGGAAAAGTATAGTGGAGATTGAACAAAGCTGTCAAGGGGCCGGGACCCTGGAGACGAGGTGGCCATTCAACGAAGAGGAAAAGTGCCAGGGGAAATTGAGGTTTTGACGCAGGGGGAAGGATGCCATCAGCTCCGCACGTCGGCTGGGCGCAAACCATTCCAAGAGTTGTGGAGAGTGGCCTCGCACGCCTCGTCAACATTCGCTTTCAGACCTTGAGGATCCTTCGCCTTGATGTGGTATCAAGTGGAGAGGAAGTGAAGCTCTGTCCAAGTCGCTTCTGCTGCTCGATGGTGCTGGGTTTGAATTCTGTCCAGTCTCTGTTCACACCGAATATGAGGATATACTATGTATGATGGGCCATGGCGGACAGCTTCAAGTTGCTGTGTGATGTGAAGACGGTTCTTGGGTGGTGCCACGCCTCTTGGCTAGAGTGGCTAGAAATGTTTGTTGTCCGGCAATTGCTAGACTCAATCAGGTATTCTAAGCACCTGCTAGGTAGCCCAGGGTAGAAAGTAGCAACTTAAGGATCCAAGAGCTAACTGAGTTGATCCAATGTCTCGCAAGCCCCTTTCACCACCTCTTGCCAGCCTTGCCTGCTCTTACTACTATGGTACTATGTCCCCCTGCCGCTCACCCACCACTCACCCACCACTCCCTGCTCAAGTTACGTATGATATTGCACCCTGGGGGAAATTGCATGACCGGTTCAGTTCAAAGAATGTCGATCCAACAACCAATTGCCGCCATCATCCGCAGTCCTCCACGTGCATCGCAAGGCTACCTGAAAACAAACAACGACATCATGATCAAAAACTCCCTGATATGGTATTCATGGTTGGACGTAAGCGTGCCGGGCACGGTGACTGACGTTGATGATGATTGTTTATTTGTTGTATTTATCCGTACCTTGGCTGAGAAGGCCATTACCTGTCAATACCGCCTGGGGGCGTGTCGGCCAGCTTACTATGGGGCACATACCACTGCAATCAACATAAGAAATCAGCTTGCGATCCTCTTTCAGGGTAAGATGTCGATGTGGCTTCGACCCCAGGTTGTCAATCCAATTGTTGCTTCACGTGGCACCTGCACCTGTCCGGCTCGCGGTTGCACAAAACATTATATGCCGTCATCCGAGCGCAAATAACCATCCGTATCAAAACCTATACCTATGCAATGACCGTGTGTTGTGACATTCCATCTTTGTCCGCTTTGTCCGCGTTGCTGTGGAAAGTCGATGATCTTCAACATTCAACAATGTGCCGCATGCAGCCCAAACAACAACAATATTTGATCATGGTGGTCCAGGCCAACAAGGATCTTCCATGGGCGTCCGAGGCTGGGTGCGAGGTGCATAATGTCCCTCTGCTTCAGGTCTGCTCCTACTCATCCTGAGGTGCACTACTGGTACCTGTGACAAGTACTCCGTACGCATCAGAGCATTCCACATCTAGTCTCGGTCTGGCATGCCCAAACAATATGACCTAGGTAATCATGCTCGCAGCATTCGCCTCGTCCTCTCGATGCTCTCTTGAGCGGTCTTGACACTCTGATAATCAGACCTCAACATCAGATATTGCCCCTTCGCAAGGCTCAGACACAATATCGCAGCTAGCCTCGCTTCAATGCAAGAAAGTGTCTCATGTCTGGCCTTTTGCAAAACACATGGCGCGGGCCCATGGCGACATGGCCATCTCTTCAGAACCCTGTCCTTGGCCTACGTAATTCGAATGTTCTGTTTCAGTCTGTTGATTCAAGGCTCTGGATTTCTTCTGTATCGGTACACCGTACCATCATCCAATGCATACCGTGTTCAGGTCGGTATCTAATCTAGCAAAACCCACAACAAAACTCACGATGTCGACCCGAACAACATCTCGCTCTCAGGACGAAAAGACCGTTCGTGATTGGGGTTTCGGCCACGTCTTTACCTGGACAGACGGACCCAACGCACACTACCCCCCTCACTCACATTCTGGCTTAACAACACATCTGATCCGTCGAGGATCCTTGACTATCACATATCCACGAGACCCCAGCCCTGCGAAAGAGACCTTTGGCGTAGGTGCGAGGGTAGACGTTCCCGCGGGAAAGGTGCACGAGGTATGGATGGGTGACGAAGGTATCTGCACCCTGTCGGTGCTCACGTATCAACTGATTAGCTGACAAGAATTCTTGCGTAAATAGGTTGCGAATACGTGATAGGAGAATAACAAGACCAGGACAAAAGAAACTGCAGTTGTAATGATGTTATGATAATTTTTACATTGATTCTGTCATGGTATAATAACCTACCAGCAGCACATAAAATCGAGGGCAAAATCCCCCTTCCAACATCGCTTGCCGATCCGAGTTTAATACGTTCTCTTGAATGGTGGCACAGCCTTGCATTCGTTCTCGTCCAAAGTGTGGCCGACAACTGCTCGGTAACCAAGATCAACCTTTCCGTGTGGCGACTTCTGCCATGACAGGGTGTGCTTCATCCAGTTCTCGTCGTCTCGTTCAGGGAAATCTTCGCGAGCATGAGCACCCCGAGATTCCTTGCGGTTCGCTGCAGAAGCTGCGGTTTGAGTGCTGTATCAGACATGGTCAGCAAATCGTTGCGGCGCCATAAATAGATCGAGTACTTACGCGCAGGTCAGCAAGTTCCTCAACTCAAGCGTCTCGACCAGGTCGGAGTTCCAGATCATGCTACGATCCTTGATGCCGACTTGGTCGAACATCTGGTCGACGTCACCGATTCTTCTGACACCCTCATCCAGAGATTCTTGTGTTCGGAAGACGCTGACATCAGTCTGCATGACTTTCTGCATGGCACTTCGGATGTCGAAGGTGCTCTTGGGACCATCGGCCTCCCGGACCTTGTCGAGAACATTGATCGAATCGGCACCAGCATCTGCTGCAATTTCCTTCTGAGTCTCACCAGGCGTGAAGTTGTCGCGGATAGTGTGTGATACAGCACGCCCGAAAACGATCAGGTCGAGCAGTGAGTTGGCACCCAACCGGTTGGCTCCGTGGACGGAGACACAAGCGGCTTCACCGCAAGCAAACAGTCCCGGAACCACTTCATCTTCGCCCTTGGAGTTGACTGTGAGGACTTCACCAGTGTACTTGGTCGGAATTCCTCCCATGTTGTAGTGAACAGTCGGCAGGACAGGAATTGGCTGTTTGGTGACATCCACACCAGCAAAGATTGAAGCAGTCTCGGAGATACCGGGTAGTCGCTCGTGAAGAATTTCAGCGGGCAAGTGACTGAGCTGAAGGTAAATGTGGTCCTTGTCAGGACCGACACCGCGGCCTTCACGAATTTCCATAGTCATTGATCGGGAAACGACATCTCGAGATGCCCTGAGTTGAGTTCTGATGTCAGCAACACCTTCAAGAGTTGAGCAAGACAAGGGAAAGATGCACTTACAAATCCTTGGCAGTAGGAGCATAACGTTCCATGAATCGTTCACCTTCAGAGTTCAGCAGATAACCACCTTCACCACGAGAGCCTTCAGTGATCAAACAACCAGCGCCGTAGATACCAGTGGGGTGGAACTGAACGAACTCGAGATCCTGGTTGGGAAGACCAGCACGAGCGACCATTGCCATTCCATCGCCGGTACAGGTGTGCGCAGAGGTGCAGCTGAAATAAGCTCGGCCATAACCGCCAGTTGCCAAAACGGTGTTCTTGGCCTTAAATCTGTGGAGCGTGCCATCCTCTTGGTTGTAGGCGATAATACCTTTGCATTCGCCACCTTCCATGATCAAATCCAACGCAAAGTACTCGATAAAATAGTTGGTGTTGTAATGGAGAGATTGGCCGTAGAGCGTATGAAGGAGCGCGTGACCAGTTCTGTCGGCAGCGGCGCAGCATCTGTATGCCTGTCCACCCTTTCCATACTTTTGCGATTGACCGCCAAAAGCTCTCTGGTATATCCGGCCGTCTTCCGTTCGCGAGAACGGGCATCCGTATCCTTCGAGTTCGATAACAGATCGGGGGGCTTCGCGGGTCATGTAATGGATCGCATCCTGGTCACCTAGCCAGTCGGAGCCTTTAACAGTATCGTACATGTGCCATCTCCAGTCGTCTTCATGCATGTTTCCCAGTGCTGCATTGATCCCTCCCTGCGCGGCCACCGTGTGACTTCTCGTGGGGAAGAGTTTTGTTACGCAAGCCGTGTTGAAGCCGGCTTCTGCTAGACCAAAGGCTGCTCTCAAACCTGCGCCACCTGCGCCTACGACCACCGCGTCATACTCGTGGCTTAAAGACGTCAAAATGTGTTACGAGGCACACAGTAGGTCGGGGAGTACGTACTCGATAACAGGATACTTGTTCGAGACAAACGGTGAGGCCTCTTTCGCTCGAAGGGGCTGGTTGGCGAGGATCCGAGCTGGCTAGCTTAGCAGCTGGATGACAGGTTAAATTTGGAAGATCATACCTGCTGGCCTCGTCGAAGAGAATTGTCTTCTTGTCGGTTTGAGAGCTCGAGAAAACTGCCGCATCGGATCAGCACCGGAAGATGAGAGGGAGCTGATTCGCGTACCCTGCTCGCCGGAGTCATGCTCCGCAGAATGGTCGAAGAACTCATTGTATGCCGGTTCAACACGTCCAAGACGAGAAGAAGGAAGAGAGACACACGCGAGAGGCGAAGAGGATGAAAGGTGGAAGGTTTGTAGACTAAAGTTCGATGCGTCAATGAAGCGTAGAAGCCGAGCCGAGAACGCACTCAAGATTGGGATGGAGCCAATCAGACATCAGGCGATTCGCAGCTCGAAGTTCGTCCATATCATTGGTGCCATACACTTCCTACACTTCCCACGCTTCCTATCATGGCCACACTTTTAAAGCCTCATTTCTCGCGCAAGAGAAAGTATCTGCATCATGTCTTTAGCCTTTCTCTTTTCTCGAGTCTATTGGCAAATTTACTGGAAGAGCCTCTCCTTCCGGTTAATTGTGACTCGAATACTATGGGACGATTCCAGAGGTACATAGTAGGCCAAGAGGTGCGGGCCAGGATGGACGAGAATCAGCATGCATTGAGGCACAGTGTTCCTGCTCTTGAATATATGATCCATCATCTCGAGAGACACAGGAATGCAGCGTAATATTCTTTCATTTCTGATGTTAATCTTACAAGGCCAGCCGCACCGAGAGCAGCCGCCGCCTCCCGCGTAACCCAGATCTAGCCATGCCGGACTCCAGGAGAATGCAATGCCGCGCTCTTCTTTGCTGAAACATGGCTGTCGACCAGACCTAATTATATTGTGCGTATACATCTAATGGGGCGTTAGCAATCAAAGAGCCATACGAAGTCGACATTACTTACTTGTGGAGCTGAACCTTGAGTTCCCTTTGATCTATTACAGTCGTTAGCACTGAACACCTTGTAGCATGATAGGCAAGCTGTGGCTATGCCGAAGGTTCCGGGGTAGGGTCTCGGTTTCACTCACAACTTTCTCGACTGATTGTAAGAAGTCTTGCTCGGTCGCGACCTTCCTTCTCGCTCGGATTGCAAACATTCTGGAGCACGGTCAGAGAATCATCGCCAAGCAGCAGTATCACATAAGATTACTTACCCAGCCTCGGTCGCTACACTTCGAAGCTCAGCACCTGTTGCTTGACCAGTGAGTCTTGCAATCAACTCCCATCTGATGTCACGCTCGACAGACATGCTCTTTGCGCTAAGACCCAGTCAGTATCGACAAGGCTGCAGGAGATTGGCAGGCTTACTGTATCCTCAGAATGTTGGCGCGGCCGTCCAGATCTGGTAGAGCGAACTCGATTTTACGGTCGATACGACCCGGTCGCATCAGTGCAGGGTCCAGAGTGGCAGGTCGGTTGGTAGCGAACATGACTTTGATGTTTCCTCTCGAATCGAAGCCGTCAAGTTGAGTAATCAGCTCCAACATGGTTCTTTGGACTTCATTGTCACCGCCAGCACCGTCGTCGAAACGGGCGCCACCAATAGCATCGATTTCGTCAAAGAAAATAATGCACGCCTTTTTCGTTCTGGCCATTTCGAACAATTCTCGAACCATTCGTGCACCTTCACCGACATACTTCTGCACCAGCTCAGAACCAATGACTCGGATGAAAGTAGCGTCTGTTCGGTTGGCCACCGCTCGTGCACATAATGTCTTCCCTGTTCCAGGAGGGCCATAGAGCAGTGCTCCTTTTGGAGGGTCGATGCCCAGGCTGACGAACCGCTCTGGTGACAGTAGAGGCATCTCCACGACTTCTCGTAGCTTTTCTATCTGCTCTTTGCAACCACCCACGTCGCCATACGTCACATCAGGCTTGTCCTCAACCGTCATCATTGTAACACTGGGGTCGATCTTGGGTGGTAAGGGAAGCATGATTGAATATTTCTGACGGTCCACGCCAACTCGCATGCCTTCTTCAATATCTGTAGGACTGACTCTTTCTCCCAGGTTGACGACGAATTTTGCGATCTGCTTGACGTTGATGACATATTTGCTCTTCTCGGGATCCTTGTCGTCTTGTATGATTTTCGTACATCGCGCGACCTGTAGAGGCTGTTCTTCCGACATTCGTTGTCGATCGGCGGCGACGTCCCATAAGTGTGGAGGAGCAAGACCGGTATCTGATTCCTTAACCCCAATCTTCTCGTTGACGCTCTGTTGTTTGTCCTTGATCTCTTTTTCTAGCTTCTTCAGAGCGGCTGCGTAGGGAGCAGCTCCATATGTTCGTAGCACTTGAATATCTCTGTGCTTCGTCAGCGATGCTTGGAAATGATACCCTGAATAACTGACTCTTCTGATAAGGGAGTGATCTTCTTCTCGGGTTCCTCGTCGTCGGCGAAGGTCTTCTGGTACTTCTCCCAGTTCTGGCCGGTGGCGCTGGGCATTCTGGCGTGAGATCAAGTAAAGGAAACGGAGACAGAGGGGGTGATTTGGGGAGGGCTGTCAGAGTATGCGGCGAGATATGATGGAGTGCGAAGGAGAAAATGGTTACGGGAAATGCAGCAGTTACGAGTGTGTTGACCGTATGATGCCAGACTCCGTAATCGCGCCGTGCCTGAAATGATAAGTTAGCTGCTTTCTGCGCCGCGGTACCAAATGATCGCCACTAGCACCAATGCGGGCTGCGCCTAACTTTCACTCAAGGAAAATTATATGTGCTTCATGCGCAGTTCCCTATCGCAGTGATCTCCCAGTGACCAACGTCTTGCTTGAACCGTCTACGGAAAGGATACCATTCTTCCTCTCCCTTTGAGCGACTGTATTAAAAGGGACTAAGCCAATATGGCGGCTGCTCTGGGCATCCAGGGTAATGTTGGCGGTGGAGGAAATGCGGCCTTCAAAGTGTGTACCTGCCCCTCTTATGCGGAAGATCAGTCGATTTCTAACATGGGGTCTAGGACAAAGAGAAACCGATGGCGGTGCGGACGGCCAATATCATGGCTGCGAGAGCCGTGGCCGATGCCATCAGAACCTCACTCGGTCCACGAGGTATGGACAAAATGATTCAGTCCGGCAAAGGCGAGAACCTGATCACGAACGATGGAAATACCATGTTGAAGAGCATGAGCGTCATGCACCCTGCGGCGAAAATGCTAGTAGATCTCAGCGCAGCACAAGATGTCGAGGCGGGTGATGGTACGACCTCTGTCGTTGTCATTGCAGGCAGCCTGCTTGGAGCCGCCGACCGATTGCTTGCAAAGGGCATCCATCCTACCATAATATCAGAGGCGTTTCAGAGAGCGGCGGCAGCTGCGGTCAAGGTGCTGCACAGCATGTCACAGCCTATCTCTCTGTCAGATCGCACCACGCTTCTACAAGCTGCCTCAACGTCACTCTCTTCGAAAATAGTGTCGCAATACTCTGGCTTGCTCGGTCCTATGGCGGTCGACTCCGTCCTGAAAACGATTGACCCAAAGACTGCTGACAACGTTGATCTACGGAATATCCGCATTGTCAAAAAGGTTGGCGGAACTATTGAGGACTCGGAAATGATTGATGGAGTGGTGCTCAACCAGCCAGTTATCAAGAGCAGTGGCGGCCCAGCCAGAATAGAGAAGGCACGAATCGCATTGATACAATTCCAGCTCAGTCCCCCAAAACCCGACATGGAGAACCAGATCGTTGTGAATGACTACCGACAAATGGACAAGATTCTGAAGGAGGAAAGAACCTACCTACTCAATATGGTCAAAAAGATCCAGAAGGCCAAGTGCAATGTGCTGCTAATTCAGAAATCCATCTTGCGAGATGCGGTCAACGACTTATCTCTGCACTTCCTATCGAGGCTGAAAATCATGGCCATCAAAGACATTGAGCGAGATGAGGTCGAATTCCTGTGCAAGAGCACTGGTTGCAAACCTATTGCCAACATCGACACATTTACCGAAGACAAACTAGGAAGTGCGGATTTGGTGGAAGAGGTCCAATCGTCTGGGGCTCGATATGTCAAGATTACAGGCATTCGCACAGCGTCACCCCTAACCCAGACTGTTTCCATCGTGGCCCGTGGTGCTAACACATTGGTACTCGACGAAGCGGAACGTTCCATACACGATGCCCTCTGTGTTATTCGGTGTCTGGTGAAGAAGAAGGCGCTCATCGCTGGTGGTGGAGCTCCTGAAATTGAAGTTGCGCAGCAGCTGGCGAAACGAGCACGAGAGTTGACTGGCACCGAGGCAATCTGCTGGAAAGCTTTTGCGGATGCTATGGAGGTCATTCCTACCACTTTAGCAGAAAATGCAGGACTGAACAGCATCAAAGTGGTTACAGAGCTTCGACATCGACACGACATGGGTGAAAAGAATGCTGGTGTGAGCATCCGAAGTGGAGGAGTCAAGACAAACATTGCAGACGAGAAAGTGCTTCAGCCTTTGCTTGTGAGCACCAGTGCGATCGAGTTAGCTGCGGAGACGGTGAAGATGATTCTGCGAATTGACGATATTGCATTGTCACGATGATGGTGGAATGAAACTTGATGAAGTTATCTACGGGCGACCGGAATCAAAAGTGTACTGTACCCAAGCATAGCGTGGTCGTGGAATGAATATACCCTTATCTGGGGCGCTTTGAAATGTGTGCTAGAACTTTCAGGCCCTCTCACTAACATTCAGGAGATCCGAATCGTTGTCGTGGGGCTTTTTTCAAGTCTCACGAGGTTGTTGTACTAAACGCGGCCAGAAATGAATTTTATTCCGATTTCCCGCTAGATGTGTTGACTTCTCTTATGGATTCATTTCAGACCTTCACAAGCGTCTTTAGGGCTTAAATCACACCCTGCTATTACCATACAGTAAGGTATATAATATGTATCTACAAAGTACTTGGCAGCTCATGCAGCCGTTCCTTGATCCAGGGGTGCTCTATGATGACTTAGGTATTCATCTGATGCTCAGGAACAGTCTTTCCTACTAGGCGGCCGGAATGGCTGAACGTGGCTTCAGGCCCCCCCTGGCCGGCCAAGCCATTACGAGAAGTTGCATAACGTTAGTGCTGATCGTTTGATGCTCTTTATCCCCATCCCAAGTCTCAATTGCGCGGAGCCAACCAGAAGCGGAGCGGGGAGCAGTCGAAGGATTCATCGAGTCCAGGTCGACGAGGTCTTTCAAGATATTTGCTCTTCCTCAAGTCATATCAGGTACACAAAGCTTCAACCCATTGGGACTCCCTTCAAGATGACCTGGACTGTGATTTTGTTGCTCCTTTTCGGCTTCTGGGTGTCTTCGAATTTCTACAGCCTGTTCAGGAACTACCTCACCGCACGCAAGACAGGCTTGCCGATACTAATCTGCCCGATCAACCAGTACAATCCGGTGTGGATGGTTTCTAGTGTACCCCTCAATCCACTGTACAAGAGGCTCCTCCCATCATGGATCTATGAAGGCATCGATGTCGCCTCCTATGGCTTTGAATTCCGTGTGAAGGGATCCATCTTCAAGAAATATGGCCCGGCTTTTATTCTCGTCACGCCAGGCGGCAACGAGTTGAGCACCATCGACCCAGAGTTGATTACCGAAGCATTGAAACGCCCGAAAGATTTCCCTAACACGGACATGGGAGAGGTCATCATGAACGTCTTCGGACCCAACCTTCTCACCAGCAACGGGGAGCCATGGTCACGCCAACGCAAACTCATTGCTCCCAACATCAACGAGAAGATCAGCAAGCTAGTGTTCAGTGAGTCCTGCCGGCAGGCTCGCGAAATGCTCGGCTCGTACATGGACGATTTCAAAGGCGTAACAAACGATTCAATGCAAGGAATGTAAGTCTTACCGGAGGTCTGTAACAACACTGCAGAAACTTCTAGAGCTTGAGTCTAGCATGGTACAGCTTTCTGTGCTAACGACAAAGCAGGAAGACCATTGCCATCAATGTTCTGGGCGCGGCTGGATTTGGCATATCAAGGCCGTGGAAGGAACAGGAGGCATCGCGTCCTGAAGGGCGCCGCTTCACCTATATGGAAGCCACCAAAATCGTCGTCGAGAATATCCTCGCAGCCGTATTCCCGACGAAGCTACTCACGCTACGCGTCCTCCCCAAATCGTGGCAAGATATCGGGCGCGCAAAGAACGAGTTTCCTCCACTCACAAAGGAGATGCTCGAGCATGAACGCAAGCTGCAGACCACCACCAGTGAGCCTCGGAGTAATTTGATGAGCACGCTCGTCCGGCTATCTGATACCGGCGACGCAAAATCCTCCCAGTACCTTAGTGAAGAAGAGATGCTGGGCAACCTGTTCATTTTCACAGCCGCGGGCTTTGATACCACAGCTAACACAATGGCATATGCCCTTGCCCTCCTCGCCACTTACCCCAAGTGGCAAGACTGGCTGTACGAAGAGATCTCGACCGTGGTCGGTGACAAGCCCATAGAAGACCTTGAATACTCGGGGATCTTCCCACGGCTACCACGCTGTCTGGCGTTGATGGTGAGTACCTTTCCCTTGCCCCATTCAAGAAACTCCTGATAACCTTCAACATCGGGATGGTCAGTTCGAAACAGTGCGCCTCTTCCCACCACTAGTTCACATCGCCAAGCAAGTCAACAAGACGCATGACGTGACCGTCACGACCTCGTTGGGCACATATGTACTCCCCAAGCGAACTTCCGTCTATATCAGCTCAGTCGCGCTGCACCGCAACCCCCAAACCTACGGCGACGACGCTGACCAGTTCCGTCCAGACCGGTGGCTCATTGATCCTACACTGTCGCCGGACTCGCCGTTATCCACCATCGCAAACGTAAAGACTATGCCTAAGGGCACCTTTGTGCCGTGGTCTGCAGGACCCAGAGCCTGTCCAGGAATGAAGATGAGCCAGGTCGAGTTCGTGAGCGTCTTCATGACGATTTTTGAAACGCACAGATGTGAAGCCGTCCGATTGCGGAATGATGAGACGGACGAGCAGGTTAAGAGCAGATTCGACGCCGTTATGGAGGACAGCGGGCCGAGGCTGACATTGCAGATGAACAGAGGTCAGGACCTCAAGATCAAGTGGATCAAGCGAAGAAGAAGCAACGGCTCTCAACGGCTTTGATGCAAGCAGGGGCGGCCAGTTGAGAGCACTGACTTTGCCATTTGTTGTATTTCCAAAGAGATGGCGCTAGCAGTTTCGACCCCGACAGCTAGCATATTTTCGTACCACCGCGAATTGAAAGCCTGGTAATCGGGGCTCTTCCAACCATCAAAGACAGATTTGGCTCTCAAAGTTCAAGGGAACACATTGCAGTCAGTAACTGCAACCAACATGAAGAATATGACATGTCTAGCAATGGCACGACCTCTCGACACAATCTCTCATCAGCTTTCTAATCACATCACATGACGAAAAAGGGGCATGCTCGGATCAACTTGCTTCCGATTTTGTCATCTTACTGCTTTCGAAATCTCAACCTCGGAGAAATATACATTAGGTGAGAGTCTGTACAAGGCACTTCGATTGTCTGTATACCTGATCTCGAAATGTAAAGTCGTCACATCTTCTCCCTCTTGTACAAGTCTCAAGCAAGTGAGAAGAGAAGAGATGATGCGCCCTGATGGTATCTTTGCGCACTCACACTTGTGCTTGCGCCTGGATCTCTCCTTTGTCCCGTACCCATCCCATAACCATGATACTAACGCCTGGTATTCCCCATCTTGATCTGATTCCCAAACAAAAAGCACAGCAGCCCGAGGTATTTAGAACACATTGCGGGAAAGCGAGCGGCACTTGTGGCGCGAAAGACTTGAACAGGGCGACATCAACAACTCATGAACGCCTGCACCAGCCTCCCGCATCCCATCATCCTGTCCCATCAACATGACCAACCAAGTACCAGATACACACGAGGTTAGAAAAGCAAGCAACACACGTCAGGTCATAACATCGACATAGTCAGACTTGAGAAGTCTTTCATGCAGAGGCCTCGGCCTTCTTGGGTGTAGTAGACTTCTTGGGGCCGGTGGCTTTCTTAGCTGATGGCTTCTTGGTTGTTGCTTTCTTTGGGGCGCCGGTTGTCTTTTGCTTGGTGACGCGTCCTGATTTCGTCTTTTTCAAGACGGTGGGAACATCGGTGACGGCAGGGGCCTTTGGCATGATCAGCATAGGTTCAGTTAAGTACATGGAAGGGAACATACAGGAGCCTCAGTCTTTGTCTTTGTCTTGGGGGCCCTCTTAGTAGCAGTGTTGGCTTTTGGCTTTGCGGTGGAAGCTTTCTTGGCTGTGGTGGCCTTCTTGGCCTTGGTGGTGGCAGTCTTTGGTTTGGCAGTCTTCGTCTTGGTGGCCTTTGGCTTAGCCTCCTTCTCGTCCTTAACAGCCTTCTCCTTCTGTGGGTTAGTTAGTAGGCCGAGGGGAGGCGACAAGGTCGAACACTGACCTTGGGAGCAGCAGCTTTCTTCTCAGCAGGCTTGGCTTCCTTCTTTGCCAGCTTGACAGGACCGGAGGGGCCTAGGTACGCGAGTTAGCATATTGTTGTTGCGCGCGACAAACGAAGTAATAGTACCTTTTGGTTGTTGGAAGTCACCCTTCTCGACACCAGACTTCAAGGCCTTGTTGAAAAGAGAGTCGAATTGAGTCTCGGATGTGATGGTAACGTTGTTGTTTGCCTTGACATATTTCTTGATAGCTTGTCGGCTGTGTCTGGGTCAGTATAGTGTACACAAGACGGACCCTCGGAGCGCTGGCGGCGACGAGGTAGGGTACCGAACTGACCTGCTTCCATTGCGCTCCTTGAGCTGTGTGTTGAGGTGCGTCAGCAATGCGATTCCAGGATATATTGATATTCAGGAAAAGGCCCATCTCTTTCGCCAACCTCGAGCCATTTACCCGGCGACGAGATAGGCAATTAAGGACACCGACGTTGTCGCAAAGAGGATAGACTCACGTTGATAATAGCGTCCTTGATCATATCTAGCATGGAGAGTCAGCAATGACACGCGACAATGATAGACAAAGTTCCGCGACGAGGCGACTGCATTGAAGCAGGCAAACTCACCTTTGTATGAAGCATGAGCTGGGGCGGCGGCAGTCTTCTTCTGACTCTGCTCTTTGGCGGCGGCGGCGGCGCCAGTAACTTTCTTGGGAGGCATCTCGATGGTAGAAGATGGTTAAGTGGTTGGTTAGATGGGTCAGAAGCGAAAGATATGGTTCGAGTGAACGGTAGACCGGTGATTGAGTCGAGAGAGGAAGAGAAGCAGGATGGATGGGTGATGGGCTGTCCTCGCTGCGCGCGGCGAGCGGGGGACACGCAGATGTTTATACCTCACATGTGACGTGCCGTGGTTGATCAGATCAATCCGTGAGGTGCGGCGCGTAGCCAATCAGGAACTTGAATCATCGGGCGGGAGCTAGTGCTCTCGTAAAAAGCAGAGCTCGAGGAAATAATCGAATCGAGCCAGCACAGAACAATCAATTGCTTGCCAGCCAGATCCCAGATCACGCGCTGACTTCTCGACTCTTTCTCCTTTCCCACCCTTCCCGTTCGTGTCATCTCTTTCCCATCATCTCTCTCTCTCTCTTCTCGTCCACCTTTTCATCAGTCTCGAGGTCACCTTGGCCTTGTCACGCTGAACACGTACCCACCTTTCCCGTTCCACTACGTATTTTTCTGACCTTTCCAGCTTCGTTGTTCGTCTCATTGATCACAGTAGTTCCGTAATACTACGTAATTTCGACTCACCCTTGCTCTGTATACCTGGCGAGCATCTCTCCCTGGCACGATGTCGCCATGTGAGGGCTAGTCTGGTGTGTCAGCCGTGTATTGGTGACTTCGACGGTCGACCATCATGTCGCTTGGCTTTTGCGTGATTGAGTATCTTCGTCTACAAGAAGATGTAACCATGTTGTGATTGGCCCGCGCTCTTGGCAATCAAGTTTTGTCTGTGACTGTTTCATATTCGTGGTTGTAGGCATATCTAGCTACCTATCGTAGTATTATTACAACAATGGTTTGTCCATTTCATGATAGAGAGAGTCGGGTGACGATGAATCAAGCTCAACCATTCGGAGTTCGAGCTCTTGACCTCATCACCGACTGCCCGCGTCATGTGAACAACCCAGCTTCGCTAGTGCCAAGTCGACTGTATCTCTCGTGATCGCTCTACCTGCAGCGCACGTGCCTCTCTACACTCAATATTCTGATGGTGATTGTCATCAGCCTGAAAAAGCAAACCCCGCTGTTGTCCCAGGACGCCGTGCTATGAGTACACAATGCTTTTCGCCGCCACGGCAACATCGGATCCGCCGTAATCCCTATTCTCATCTCCTCTCGTTGCACGCGCGCTCACGTCGAGATATGTGTTCTGGCTTTCGATTCTTTCTTGGTCTTTGCATCTTCCTTCTTTTTCTTCTTCGCTTCAGCAACCTTGTCTTCGTGTTTGCGTTTCAGATCCTTCTTCTCCGCCTCAGTCTTTGGTACGGCTTTGAAGAAACCTTCGAGTCTGGACTGTTGTGCCGTCTTCACATTCTTCTGTAGTTTCTGCGCTGCACTTCGTACTCGATCTTCATTGAATCCCTTCTCATTGACAAGAAATTGAACAAGGCCTTCCACATCTGGCGCATCCCACTTGAAGTCACACTCGGGATCATCAGCGGACCGCACGTCTGGGTGGAGGAACAGCTCTCTCGCTTCCTTATAAGGCCAATCTTCTGGAATGCTGTATCTCTTCTTGGGGTCATTCTCGATGAACTCGACCACCTTCTCCAATGAACCATGTTCTCGGATGAGTTTCAATGCAGTGTTCGGTCCAACCTTGGGAACAGGATCGAGATAATCACAACCGAGGAGGATGCAAAGGTCAATGAACTGGTGATGTCAGTCACTCGCAGCCGAAGTAGCTCGTAGAACTCGCACCTGATCCCTGTCCATATTCAGTCCCTCCAAGGTCTTGTCAAGGTGGATTTCCTGAATGGGCTCCTTGCGCTGCTCACTGAAGGTCAAATGTCGTAGTAGGATTGGAGAGTTGAAGGTAAGCGTGTCCATGTCTTCGGATGCCGCTGCATATACCTTACCAGCTCTCGCCAGGACCGCGCATTGTGCCTCTGCCTCAGTGGGTGCGACAATAAAGGGTATACCCATCAGCTTGAGCAGCCTTCTGCACTCTTCATTGTGTTCTCTCGTCACCCTCACAGTACGCCTTGAAAACTTTTCGACTTCTTCCGCAGTACCTGTCTCCTTAGCCTCTTCGTGTTGCTCGTTGGCTTCACTCTTCCTAGCAAACCGCTTCGCAAGTTCGCCTGATTTCAATTTAGGTGGTGCTCCATCGAAGACATAGAGGGGTTTGATGCCGTTGTCGACTATACGCAAGGTTCTGTAAAACATTCCCATGAGGTGTGAGGTCGTTTCACCAGTGTCAGACATGAGCTGTTGGCCATCTGATCGTACTGCAACCAGAAAACTGTAGATGCTCATTGAGCTGGGGCCGTTAGCAGTTATCTCTATCCTGGTCGTTTTGAGATCATCATACGCATCCTGTGTGGCTGTTAGTCTGAGTGTCGAGCAAGCAGTGGAGAGCACTCACAATTGCGACCTTCCTACCAAAGTGATTCTTGATTTCACCGGTCTTGATGGCTTCAGGCGCCTCATCGGCAATGACATGGTACAGTCCTGCAAGAGGTCAGACCCGACGTAAAGTCCTGAGAGATATGACTCGCCCTTGATTCCCATCGTTGCGGATAGGTATGGCAATCGGAAACCGTGAGGTTGGTATAGTTGCTGGACAAAAAGTACAAGGCTGCGCTGCGCGTAAATGTGATCGCGTCCCGCGCCTGCAACGATTAAAGTATCGAGTAATGACGTACAATCAGGTGACTAAATGAGAACGCGCATCGGAGCAGAGGAGAATCCCCCAACTTGAGTAAAGGAAAGACTGGATAATATTTACTGGGCATTACAGAACTACTGTGAGATCTTGCGCTGCTCACTCTTTTCACGTTGACTGAAGCCTTGTAAACCCGCCATTTGACATTCTGAGTGCTAAAGTGCCTGTACCAAATGCAGCCTCGGAGGGTTGGAGATGAGCCGCGGCTTTCCCACTCCAGTGGGGATCTGTGCCTATGATTCTGTCATTTCAGCCGTAGACTTTTCAACTACCTATACTTCTCTGTGTTCTTCCTTTCAAGTGCACTGGTCATGTTGGCGCGGTCTCTTTATCGTCAAGCTGCGCGGGCGCGCTTGAACCCGCTGAATCAGTCCGTCTGTCGCAGGCATGCCTCTACCCCAGCAGCCTTCCAATGGCAGGACCCTCTGAACCTGTCCAACTTCCTGACCGAGGAGGAGCAGGCGATTCAAGAAACAGCACACTCCTGCTGTCAGGAGCGCCTACTGCCGCGAGTCCTCGAGGCATACCGTCAAGAGGACTATGACAAGACTATCTTGCAGGAGATGGGAGAGCTCGGGCTACTAGGTGCGACGATCAAAGGCTATGGCTGCGCTGGTGTCTCCAGCGTCGCCTCAGGGCTGATAACAAGGGAGGTGGAAAGGGTAGATTCAGGCTACCGATCAGGAATGTCTGTTCAATCTTCCCTTGTCATGGGTCCGATCGATGAGTTCGGAACACAGGAACAGAAAGACAAATACTTGGAAAAGCTGGGCAACGGGCAGTTAATAGGTTGTTTTGGTTTAACAGAACCAAATCATGGGTCGGATCCAGGTTCAATGGAGACGACGGCAAAACCACACCCATCTAAGGAAGGATATTACAGTCTGTCGGGCTCAAAGACCTGGATCACGAACTCCCCGATTGCGGACGTGCTGGTCGTGTGGGCCAAGCTTCAAGAGACAGGAAAGATCAGAGGCTTCCTTATAGAAAGAGAAAAGTGTCCTCCTGGCACCCTTGAGACGCCACAATTGAAGGACAAGAACGGGCTTCGAGCGTCGATCACCGGCATGATTCAGCTTGATGAATGTCCTGTGCCAAAGGAGAATATGTTCCCGGACGTTGAAGGACTCAGGGGCCCATTTGCGTGCTTGAACTCGGCACGATTTGGCATAGCTTGGGGGACAATGGGAGCCTTGGAAGACTGCATAACCCGGGCTCGAGAATATGCCTTGGAAAGGAGACAGTTCAAGAACAATCCGATCGCAAAATATCAGCTCGTACAGAAAAAGCTTGCGGATGCAACAACGGATGTCGCATACGGGCTCGCTGCAGCATACCAGGTTGGCAGGCTGAAGGATGAAGGCAAAGCCGCCCCAGAAATGATCTCTATGATCAAGAGACAAAATTGTGACCGGGCCCTGGTAAACGCTCGCCACTTGCAGGAAATCTTTGGTGGAAACGCTGTCAGCGACGAATACCACATTGGCCGTCATGTGGCGAACCTCTTTGTCACTCAAACATATGAAGGACAAAGCGATATCCATGCCTTGATCTTGGGAAGGGCAATCACTGGCATTCAAGCATTTGTATAGGCGCCAGGCCCAGCAGGAAAGAAGGATGGCACCACCATGAAAAGAGCCGCAATATATCAAGGATTTTCTACGGAGAGCCCTAGCTTAGAAAAGCCGTCGTCCATTGATTAGGCTCTCGGAACCATATGTTTCATTCGTCTGTACATAGTAGTCCATTGCACTGCATCCTGGAGAAAACGTGGTGTATCACTGATCCACCCACCAGAAGCGGTAAGAAGCCTGAGTTGAGGACAGCGGAAGGGCGGAAGACAAAAGAAAGTGAATGTCAATCTGTTTGTACCGTGCTACTTGCACTAGCAAGATTGCTTTGTCATAGTGAGCAAGCAATTCATGACTGATGCAGTGGCGAAGCAGTTGTGGCAGTGAAAACTGAAAAGTGAGGCCCAAAGCCAACTGTTATTGGGCACTCCACGGCACTTTCAGCGCATCTCGCATGTTCCAAGGCTCCTTCATCGCCAAGAACTTTGCCTTCAACTGCGCTGCCGGCTGAGTATCACCAAGTCCCTCTTCTTTATTACCACTGCGACACGACCTTCCACCAGCAAAACGTTTGACAACAACACCCTTTGATCCGAACGGTCTACTCTGCCTTCTCCTTTAATACTCACCTTCCTCTTCCTGTCTCCTCTTAAGGTCCATCCTTCCGCCTCTTCGAGCCCACCTCGACCAACTTCTGGACACAGGGTTGACTCACTTCGCTGCCCCGCCTTCGTTCGGTTCTACCAACTTTTACCCTCTCAAAAACTCTTCCGCATCCACATACAGCAATACCTCAGACATGGCATTGAAGCGTATCAACAAGGAACTTACGGATCTCGGCCGGTATGTCCGTCCTTGTACCACAATTCTCCGAGATGACTGGGTTCATGACAAGATCGAGCCTGATAAGGAGGTGTCGGATGTCTGAATAAATGCTGATATGTGGTGACTATAGTGATCCTCCTTCGTCATGCTCAGCAGGTCCGATGGGAGATGATCTGGTACGTTGGAACTTTCCAAAGGCGCTGTGAAGACCCAGTAGTGGTCATCTTACGAGCGGCTGAGATCCATGGCATGCAACACGAAGCTCTAACATTCCACTTACAGTTCCACTGGCAAGCGACAATCATGGGTCCTGTAAGCATTTAACCGCTTGAAATTGCAGATGATCATGTCCTGACTTGTCTTGCAGAGCGACAGCCCTTTCCAAGGCGGAGTCTTCTTCCTATCCATCCACTTCCCGACAGACTACCCCTTCAAGCCGCCCAAAGTCAACTTCACGACCCGAATCTACCATCCCAACATCAACTCGAACGGCAGCATATGTCTGGACATTCTACGAGACCAATGGAGCCCTGCTCTGACAATATCTAAAGGTACGCATGAACCCGGTTGCGATTTTGGTGGATAGCATGCTCACTTGCGAAACAGTCCTGCTCTCTATCTGCTCGATGCTCACAGATCCCAACCCGGATGATCCTCTCGTCCCAGAAATTGCTCACGTGTACAAGACCGATCGAGCCCGGTATGAAGCGACTGCACGGGAATGGACGAGAAAGTTCGCAATCTAGTTGCTGGGGAAGACGACGGTTGACTGGCCAGTGCTCGACTCATGCTGTGCACATGTGCAGTGCAGCGGATGGGGTATCTGCTATTGCGCAACACATGGCGGACCTCACGAGGACGAAGAACGGTTGCAAGAGTACCAATGCATTTCGACACGGAAGCAATGACAGTAACGGGAGAAACGGGCGTAGACGTTTCAGAGTGCTTGCATTCCAACAGCACGATCTGGGATGAACTGTTATGATGCATTACATTAAAGGCGTGCTTTTAGGGATAACAATATGCTTTTGCTATCCAGAAGATTGTTCAATGTTTTGGTGTTTGTTGTTCCTTCGCGCTCTGCTTTCTCTGCCCAGTGCATTTGATCATGATCGTGACATTTGACAATCTAGCCGCCGCGCCCAGCCCAAGTAGAGGCTGATGAAGGATCTGCCCGCCATCATTCGAGGTCACTTATGCTCCAATAGGAACGTATCAACGGGTTGACAAGACATGGAGCCGATGTCCTTGGTTTCAGTGGTTTCTTTACTTATGAGCACGTGTCTAAATTCGCATACGCCAGAGACCTATCCGTACTTCGTAAGGAATGTCGGGATATGGAGAGGGGCCGCCACGGCCCTCGTACGAGTACCTGGAAGGTATAGTGAGGAGCCTTGCAGCACTGAAACAAGGAGCCTGGTGCCCCCAAGCAGGGCCAAGCAGGGGGGAACAATGGGTGTGGACAAGCAAAGTGTGCAAGAACCATGGATATCTGGCCCGTTTCGAAGCATCCCTTCGCCCCTGGCGTGTTTCACCAATGGGCCAACCACCTCGCATCCTCTGCAAATCATGTTGTCGAACGTTCAATTTTCATCTTTTCAGAAGCTCCAATCCACCACCGCACCATGGCTCAACAAGGACGTCTGGACTTCGGTGAACATGTGCTGTCATCCCGTGGACTTTCCCATTTTCAGGTAATGTGGGCTTTTTGTCGCCCTCGGACCAGCCTGCACCAGCCTTCCAATGACACCTAGCCCACAAGCCATTCCCGACAGATCCCCCTTTCTTTTGCATACGGCCTCGAAGACTGCAGCCCCGGGCGATGGGGCGATGGAAGCGCTGAAGGGAGTCCAAAGCGTTCGTTTCTTGGGTTCCTAGTTATCTATGTCTTTCCTGTCCTGATCTTCCATTTGTTTGTTTTGATCATCATCTTCTTGTCCATGGCACTTGTTCGCTTCATACATTTTAGTCACTTTCACCTTCTACCATAGTATCGAGATCTCAAACAGCCTCGCCTGGTGCGGAGCCGTGTCAAGGTCCGTGTGTCAGTGTTCTGCGGCACGGTCATTTCCTCTCAGACTAATACTGTGTCAAGTGTGCGTTTCAAAAAGCCCTCTTGGCCTGTGTGTCGAGTCTCGACCTGCCGCAGCAACGTAGACGAATTGTGGACCGCCAGAGCAGATTGTCAGAGCTACAGCCCTCTCATTTAACCTAGCGAGCGCCATGAATACCGCCTCGTCGCAGCCATACTTCTACGAGGTGCCGCTGGGACGGTCGAATACTACCACACACAATAATGCGCCGATGTATTATCTCGAGAAGCCATTGGCCAGGTCAAACACAACGTCGACAACCTCTACAATGACGGAACGGACGCGGTCAACACCTCTGTCGAGGTTGCTGTTGTCGGGGGAGGTTAGCGGTGAAGCGCCTCGAGGCCTGACACTGAAAGAGAAGTTTGAAAGATGGATGGTCAACGAAGGGTCGAGGCGGATGCTGGTGGGATTGTTCGTGCTGGTTCACGGACTGATATTCGCATTTGGCTTCATGAACTATCAACTAAAAGACAACCTCACCACAGCACGCTCGACTTTCGGCATCACATACCCGATCGCACGAGCCGCAGCGCTGGTCTTACACTTTGACATCGCGCTCATCCTGTTCCCCGTCTGCCGAACGCTGATATCTTTACTGCGCCAAACACCTCTCAACAGTATCGTACCCTTCGACAAGAACATCACCTTCCACAAACAGATCGCTTACTCTATCGTCTTTTTCACATGGGTTCACACCATTGCGCACTGGAACAACTTCGCCCAACTTGCGGCCAAGCAGAAGCTGGGCATCGTCGGATTCTTGAAGATCAACTTTGTCACTGGCCCTGGTTGGTCCGGTTATGTGATGCTGTTTGCCTTGATGGCGATGCTCCTGACATCAATTGAGAAGCCCAGGCGCGCAAACTACGAGCGCTTTTGGTCCACACACCATTTATTCATAATTTTCTTCGTGTTTTGGTCGGTGCACGGTGCCTTCTGTATGATCAAGACCGACACCGCACCTTTCTGCTTCGGCACTGGTGTCTTTTGGGAATACTGGATGTACGGTGGCTTTGCCTATTTATTGGAGCGAGTCCTGCGAGAGATCCGCGGCCGACACAAGACTTTCGTCACAAAGGTCATTCAGCATCCCAGTAACGTTGTCGAAATACAAATGCACAAGGAAAGAACGAAGACTAGGGCCGGTCAGTACATCTTCCTCTGCTGCCCCGAGGTCTCCATCTGGCAATACCATCCATTCACCCTCACCTCTGCTCCTGAGGAAGACTACATCTCAGTCCATGTTCGCATGGTGGGCAACTTTACCAAAGCCCTTGGCAAGGCTCTCGGATGCGAAGAAAGCAAAGGCGGAAGAGGCAGTGATGGCGGCGCAAAAAAGCAGCGATCGGAGGTTATGTCGATGGCTCCAGGCGCCGGTGGTCTAACGAAGCTTCTACCCCGAATCTACGTTGATGGTCCTTTCGGATCTGCCTCTGAAGACGTGTTCAAATTCGAGACCGCTGTCCTCGTTGGTGCCGGTATTGGAGTGACTCCTTTTGCCAGCATTCTCAAGTCTATCTGGTACCGCATGAGCACCGGCAAAGGCACCAACATACGCCTGCGCAAAGTGTACTTCTTCTGGATCTGCCGAGATTTTGGGTCTCTGGAATGGTTCAAGAGTCTACTTATGGCTATCGAGTCGCAAGACAAGGAACATGCCATCGAAATCCACGCCGTAAGTACCACAGTCCCCAATGCTTGTGCTCACAATTTACTAACATATTGTTGTAGTATCTGACTGCCAAAATCTCCGCCGCGGACGCGAACAATATTATGCTCAACTCAACCGATGCTGACGCCATCACCGGTCTACGGACGCCTACCAACTTTGGCCGTCCGAACTGGGACATGGTATTCCGAGCCGTACGGAAACTGCATTCTCCTGGCGAGGCTGGAGTATTCTTCTGTGGACCGAAGGGCCTTGGCTCACAATTGCACGTCAAGTGCAACATGTACAGCGAAGGCGACAAAGGCTTCAACTTCGTATGGGGCAAGGAAAATTTCTAAAGCAGGATTTCTTTCATTCCCCCCCGCCGACATTTTCAGCGTGTTCATTACGAGGCGTACTAATAGCGCATGTTTGGAACATCTTGCATTGCCACTGGGGTAGAAGGAACTGGTGCTTTGAGATATCGGCGGGAAAGTTAGAGGTGGTGCAATTGGTCTTTCGCAGTTGCTCCCAATGCGCACAGCGTTGCCAGCACGCCCATCTTTCCGGCAAGAAACAACGACTTTTGCCTTGTCACTTGTATCAATTTATATAGAGATACCCAGATTGCGCTCCGTCTATGAGAACCACGAGGTGTAGAAATGAGAATTTTGCAGAAACTGGCGAAAATCTTGGCCTTCCAGATGTAGTATTCCTTCTGAATCTCGACAACACTTTCATCGAATAACTACAAAAGCCTCCTCAGTCCTGCAGTCGATGACTCGCAGCGGTTGCTTCTGCACGGACCGTTACTCCGCGATGTCGACCTGTGTCCGTCACGTTGCTTGACTGTGCACTTCCGGTTCAGCATGTTTAGCTTTGACACGGTCCGCAGACTGGGGATCGATTCTAGACTTTGAATGGCACACAAGCATTCTCAAGATAGTCGCCTGGAAGCTTGCCCTTTGCATCAGAATCGAACTGGACACGTCACAAACCCAAGCATACCATGGTACACTTGGTGAGAAGTGAAGTTCGAGCCGAGTCACATACCACCGAGGCTACTTCTAGCGAACAGGAGCAATTCCTTGCATACTACTTAGTATGATGAGAACATGTCTCACAAAGGTTTCGTGATAGCCGAAAGCCCGATACGGTTCTGTTTTCAGATCTGCGACTGTTGCCGCCTCACAACAAGGACACAACGAACGTCGTCTCCGTACATAAAACAATCTTGTCGCCGTCTACATTTCTCCTCGTCTCATAAATCTGGAGAACAATGTGGATGCTTGACGTACGCACGCTACTGATCTGAAGTGTCGATCTCGGTCTAGATGCTATGATCAGCGGTCGACTGAAATGGTGTTCAAACAGCTACAGTGTTGAGACGAGCAAGGATGGCGTAAGACAAGCTTCGCGAAGGCATCGGAGCATCTCGTCTTGTCTTGGAGCCTAGACTCGTTTGGAATATACTGTACTGCCAGCCTCGTCCGCGAGGTTTTGCTGACCAAAGGAAATGATTGTGGGCACCCATATCCGAGAAATGAGAAAGAAGCCATCCTGCGATATAGCTGTCTATGGTTCAACGTCTGACTTTCGGCGGTTCTTATGATCGCTTCTTGTCCGTTGCCTTTGGACATAATGGCTACTACCCACCACTTGCACCCCAGGCAGGCTCGGCGCCTTTCTTCCGAGTTCATGTTCGCTGAACACCGTGAATGGCGGGGATAGGCGCTCAATGCATTCAAGGGAATGCATAGCCTCAGCCCTCGGCTGTCGAGTGCTGAATGTGAAGACTTGAGCAGACGAGACTCCGTTGAAGTGCCTGACTCAATTAACAAAAACAATAAGCTGGAGCCGTTGCTACGCTGCACTTCCTGCTGAGTCTGGCCTGGTCGTTCAATACTCAACCAAATTTTTCCTAGGAGTAGGTGACACTTAATACAGCGTCGTGGAATCATGTCGACGGCACCAGTCATACTGCTGAGTGGCGCGGGCAGTGGCATTGGCCTCAATGTACTCACTCAACTGTTGGAGAAGCAACCGACTCCACGCGTCCAAGTGTTGACATTGTGTCCGTCAGCCGAACTCACAGCTTTGGAGACTCAGTACGGCAAATCGTACTTGAACACAGTCTACGGCGATGCTTGCGACGTAAGTTCAGCTGGGACTCGGGGCAGCGAAAACAGAACCAGACCCAGGCCAGACCAGACACTAACCTGTTGGATATTAGACATCAATCGTCGAGAAGGCCGTCCGCGAGACAATAGCCAACTATGGCACCATGAGCCACCTCATAAGCTGCATCGGGACCATGCTCCCGGTCCAAAGCATCCGCGACGTTGCCCTGGCGGATTTGAAGAAGATATTCGACATCAACTACTTCTCGGTCGTCGACCTGGTTCAACGTTCCTTGCCGCACCTGTCTCCGTCCGAAGCTTCAGAGGCGACGACGCGGAAATCCAAACCTACCATCATCATCGTGACAAGCGGCGTGGACTCGACAGTCCTATACCGCGGCTGGAGCGGATACTGCACGTCCAAAGCCGCATTGACGCGGTTCATCCATCTCCTGGCGCATGAGGAGCGCGACATCGATGTCTACGGCGTCCTGCCGCTCGTCACGAAATCGCCCATGGTCGACAAGATCTTCAACGGGGAATATGACCACGTCATGCGTCCTGACGAGAGGGAGCGGTTTGATACCTGGGCCAAAGAAGGCAGGATAGAGCCGCCGGAACATATTGCCAATGCGATTGTGAAGGCTGCCGTGGGAGAAATCACGCCCGAGTCCAAAGAGGTGGAGAGGAACGAATGTGGTGCGTTGTTCATCGGGAGTTTGTATCAGAAATAGCGCCGTGAAGGTGTCGTTGTTGATGGACACCCTTCTGCATAACAGCATCGCAGCACGGCCAGCCTTGAAGCACTTATATACAACAGCGCAGAAACTATCCGCAGAAGAAGAAACCCCTCCGGGTGCAGCCAAAGGTCATTGGAGATCATGCGCAATTGTGATAAGGCTGGTGTCTTGCATGAGCGAGGCAATGTATGAAACGAGCGGACCAACTGGCTTCAATCATATCGGAGACTATCTTCCATAAAATCGCCAATCTTCCCGCGATCATCCAATATACTAGAAGGACGTGGTATCCAAAGCGACATAATATTACAGTAGATGTCCTGTGCGCCGCGCTCCATACTGTATGAAGTCTTGAAAAGGTCCAATCCCAGAATGTTCCGTTCGGATATAAGATTTCCGTCAATCATAACTACGCCAATCATTCGTCCCAATCTTGCGTCAGAAAATGCAACGATGTTCCTAGCCGACATGACCCAGCTCGGTGAACACCTTCTTCTCGGCGGTAGGTGTAGTAATCAAAGAGGGCGCATAATTGCGACTTTTATTGCCATCATCCGGCTCGTAGATACTGGTAGCATCGAGATTTTCGTCGCCTGAGTCGAGATCGCTTTCATCTCTGAACGGCTGGGGGGCGGGATGTGAGGCACTGGTGTTGTCGCTGTCGTAGTCTTCGACATTAACAACAGGCCCTTTCTCGGCCTCAATCGTGGATACCTCAGTGGCTTTCGGCGAATCGGGCATGCTGTAAAGGTACGTAGCCGAGAATACCAAGATGGAGCCGAGCAAGAAATAGATCGTCGGCATAAAGTTAAACAAGAAGACCGAGGCCACGGTTGAGAGGATGATTGACAGGGAAGTCGCGAAGCCTTTGAGGATATTGTCGGCGTATTTGATCACCATGGCCACGATCAAGCCTCCGGCTGCTTGGATGCAGATTGTCACCACCACTATCGGATTATATCCTTGGAAGAAGCCGTCCTGGCGAATGGCTTGACCATCCCACATGAGAGCTCCGACTAGTGCAATGGCCAGACAGCCAACGCTTAATTGGATATTGCGGACCCAAATGGAAGCGGTGTGCCCGCCTTTCAGTACTTTTTCGAAGTAGACACCTGCGAAGCCGGAGCATAAGCACGCCACTGCGACGGCAATTATTCCAAGCATGTAATTTCCCGGCTGCTTCGTCGTGGAGGTGGTGGAAGATGGAATTTGAACGCAGGCCACTCCAGCCGTAAGAATCACCAGGGCCAACCACTTCTTTGCAGACAGCGTTTGTCCAAGCATCAGGACTGCAAATAAGGCCGTGGTCAAGATCTTGCATTGATAGGTCACTTGGAAAGTGGCCGCATCGAGGTTTGAGGCCGCCACGAATTGTAGATTGTTTTGTAGAGTATAGAGTACGGCGGGTACAAGGAGCTTGAGAAACCCGCTCTTGACGCCGAATATATCCGTCCATAGTTGGCGAAGGCTGTACGCATGCTGATTTGACGAGGTACTCGCATCATCTGAAAGCGTAGGTAGTCTTGAGTATTGCGACTGGGATCGTTGTTCGCGTAGATGGATGGTAAGGCATATTAAACACTTTAGAAGTTCGGAGAGGACAACCGCTGTAGAGCTGAGGTATCGAGGACCAGGCAGGATTCGGGAGTATCGCATAACAAGGACAAGGGAAGAGTTCTGGACGACGAGGGTCAGGAGTGAGGCGTATTTCGTAGGGACTCCATAGATGGTCGCTACACCATCTGCGCGTTTGGTTAGTTGCATGCTTGTAGCACATTGAGAGGTAGATTCGTACCCTGAGGAGCCATTGCTGTAAAAGAGTGTAATTCCCAGCTCTAGAAAGGTCTGGTGAAGACGTGTAACAGCGAGTAACGGTGTTGGACAGTGATTGAATGAGTGACTCGATATATGAGTGAACGGCAAGGAAGGCTAGGATATTCAAATGAGTGACATTGTAGCTCTAGGCAAGGAGATCAGATCAGATCATTCCATAATTTCAGAGATGGTCCCGAGGCTGAGGAACCCTGTGCACATTCCAGAGCAAAGGGAAGAAGGATGGTCAGCGCATCAGGTGGTGGACTGCAGGATGAGAAATTAAAGGGGTGGAGGCTGTAAGGGGCCGTGCCTGGGTAATGATGGGCTGAAGATTGGTGGCACGGTGCTTCCCGCTCGCTTCGCATGCAACCCTCGGGTCTTACTTCTTTGTCGGGGCTTTTGAGACTGATTTCCTTGTTGCTTGTGTGGTCATGTTGAATGATCGTCTGCGACGTGCTCGATGAAGTGTACGAGTATGCAGAGACGCGAGAGTCCAACATGTGCTGGCATGGCATTTCCACAAGCCTGGATCTGCAGGTGGGTGGCAAGGGCTGACCAAAGATTACCTGTTCCTGAAGCTCGGGATGGCCAGTCTGGGCAGTCGCCATCATGCGCGCCACGAGCCTGAATGGTCGCCTAGAACGCCTAGACTAGGCCTGGTTTAGGCTAACTAGCCTGTGGCTTTAATTAGAAATGTCGTTTCTGCCTCCGATAGGCTACCGTCGCTGCTGGGACTATTAGGCGATGATTGGCCTATCGATAGAATTGATAAAGAGCTTCCAGGTTAACTAACTAAACTAACTTGGACTCTGATTACTCGGTTTCCTTCTTGACTTTGCCCGTGCAGCAACTCAGCCAGCCCTTTCCATATTCAAATCATCCAAACTCCAAACTTAAGCCCAAATCACTTTTGCTGCTACCGTTGCCGTCAGTTGGCATAGCTAAAATGGAAAGGATCGAGCCGAAACTGCTTTTCTGCCACCGGCTGTGCCTTGAAAAATGCGAGTAGCCACTCTTTCAAGCTCAATTGCACATTGTATGAGACGTGCTTGAGTACCCAGGCAAATGACGCCGCCCGCCATATTCTCCGGCTATGAGCATCACTGTGGTCATTGACCTGCATCTGCCACATAGCATTGTTGCAACTCTGCCCCATTAGCTGGAGGTCGTCCATTTGCTTATGCAGACCGTCCATATACCGCTGCAACGAGCGGAAGTCGTTGGCATAGTCCACCACGACCATTCCCAGAGTAAGCAGACAGGTGACCTGGAAAACCATTTCCAGCCGACGGGCCTGTGTGACCTCAGCATCTGCCGGCGGTTGCCTCTCCACGAGCGAGAGCAGTGCCGAGCCTGGTTGCAGGCCGAAGGAATGGATCGGTACTGGACCTGGGTCCTCAGCTGTCTGCGCTGTGAGGCCACTTATATTGGAAAGCGACTGCCAGAGTTCCCGTACGTTCAACAAGAAGCCATTGAGGCCTTTGATCAATCGCTTCAGGTCTGATTCGTCCCAGATATAGCTTTCAGGACTTGTGCCATAAATGCATTCAAAGAAGCACATGACTCGAGACAACAAGACCGAATTGACAGCAAGCGGACCACCGGTTGATTTGAGTATTCTTCTCACAGCAGAATAATGCATGCCGGCAGCATCTTGAGCGCCATTGCGTCGGTCGAAAGTGCCCAGGCTAATGATGGAAGCAAGGAGGTCGTCTTTCCGATTGGGACTCGCCGTAGTACTCAAGCCTCGGACCATCTTCAGAGCTTCGCCTTTGTGACGTATCACTGCAAGATTCAGTTCATCCTTCTCGCGGTCCGAAGCATACTTGTTCAATCCAATCCGGTAAAGTGCAGATCGCGCAAGAATAACCTGAAAACAGGCTGGGGTGGTCAAGGCAATGGAAAAATTGCTGGCAACCGGATGCGGCCGCAGTCGAGGACTGAAGCCATATGTTGCCTTGGGATAATATAGGAGATAGAAGCTAATTAGATGTTCCTGCAGCCGATCAAGGTTAACCGGCAGAGCTGCGAAAGGATCCAGACGATCTGAAAACGGTTTGACACTGTGCCTGACTATAGCGAGAAGTTTCTGTTCAGTAGACAACTCTCGAAAAGTCTTTCTCCTGGCTTTTTCGGGATTGATCTTTTCAGCCTCGTGGTTCCGTGATGGGACTTCTTCCGGGTTGACGGTGACTGGTTCCTTCTTGATGGGTATCAAAGCTGTGGACGTTGGGCTATCCATCTCCCTTCTGAACCATCTTGACCACTATTACTCGACAACTTGAGAGAAAGGGGCGAGAAAGAGTCCGCGAGGACGCCGCTGAAGTTGCGGTCAATGCCTAGCTTCCGGTTTCACAGACGTGACAGACTTGGTTATAATGGCTGCCAAGATAAGTGCTCGGGGTGCTATAGAAACTGCTCACGCCTCCCCGAGATGGGGCTAGTGAGGCTTATCCGGGTCATTTGCTCAGGCGCACCAGGCCTGTCGATCCCTGGAGTTTTGTTACGAAAATTCATCAATTACTGCATGCACGCACGCGATGATGGACTCGTGGGCGCATCTAGTTTCCGGACTTCAAGCACTGCTATCAGTCCTCGGTTGCAATCGCAGTCGCCCTCGGAGGACCCAAATGATCGCCACGAAAGAGAGCCAACGTTGGCGGGCAAGGAGCACCAATACTGTCCAAGCAAGCGTCCCAATCGCGCGCTTTTCTCATGCATGACAACTCATATAGCATTACACCCATAGAGAAGCCATGTTTGGCGTCAACTGAAGATCCAAGCGTTATTGGGCGTGTATGTTACACAAGCAAGTGCCACAAGGCGTCTGGTAGGCAACCATTTCATACTGCGCCACCAGCGCTTTCAAACGGCAGCCTTCCACCTCTTCAGTGCCTCGAACTTGATGTCATCTTTGGCTGTTACGCTTCAACTATTCTCGTTGTCCAGGTTGATATACAACGCAATCCTGTTAAAAAAATCAAGTTTGAAGCCATGGACCCGTATCGTAAGATCCAGCCTCGTCCCCTGCCCCAGCAACAAAACCATCAAAGTCGTCCGCTCCAGCAGACCACAGCAGCCGAAGAAGTCGACTTGGAGGAGCCGCTACGATCGCAGCGAAAGACTCGACAACGCCACACTGAAAAGGAATGGGAAAAAATCAGACCTGATCTGACCGAGTTGCTCCTGCGTCATGGCCTGGACGATGCTATAAAGATAATCAAACAAACACACAAGTTTAAAGCAGGGTAGAAACTGCCGTACGGATCACAAACATTCATTCTGCTAACCGTGTCATCAGGAAACGGGCTTACAGGAGTAAAATGAGGGACTGGGGCCTCAAACAAAACCTGGACGCAGAAGACCTAGGTATCGCCGTGGCAAAGAGAGAGAAACGAAAACATGAAGAAAATAAGGAAACGATGATAATAGCGAGGGGTGAACAGCTTGCAATGGAGAGGCTTGATCTGTTCCAAAGGAGAGCAAAGAATAAGCAATCCCCTTCGGCAGGTATGCATCACCACCTCACGCATCGTGGACGTTTTATGTCACTAACTGCGGTCAGCAACCCCACAGAGCATCGAATACTACACTCCTGCCAATAATGGCCGAACTCCTGATGCCATACAAACCCCTGCGGGTTTGAGACGAGCGCTTGTCCACACAGGATTACCGGGCGCCGTGCCAGAGAACAAAGAGCAGAAGGATTTCTGCAAAAGGCTTCTGATACTAGATCAAACGACGCAGCTCGTCGTCGTGCTTCGACCTCCTGAACCTAAAGAAAACGAGACCGCGGTCGAGCACGAGATTGGATCGCTTGTTGGAACAACGACAGAGCAGGCTACTCCTTCATTGACACGCCAGCTGAACACAGTGAGAGATCAAATGACACCGGGGACCCAGATCGAGGCCTTGAACACAAAGTCACAAGTACCCCAGCGCCCGACGCACGACCTACACCAGGGCGGACATGTTGCGGTCGCAGGACGCGGCCGCTTTGCGAAGAAAGAAAAGCCTCTGGAGCTGCTATGGCAGATGAAGAAGCTATGCCATGACTTGGGAAAGGCTTTGTCTCATGCAAATCTCTCTGCAAAGGCTGGCTTGTCTGGAGCACCATCAGCCACGGCCGACTGCATTTCATATATTGTTCGCATTCGCGGCAATGGTGTTGGGATCCGAGAAAAACGGCAGCGCCTGATCCATTTCTGCCAACGGAACCCCCAGATACACGGTATCCTAGGACTTACCAAAGAGGACCTTGTGCGCTGGCTGCAGCCTTGGCAAGAAACCGCTGAGGGAGACGCGTCGTTAATTGTGCAGACTGCAAATCATCTGTTCGGCGACTTGACATGTTCGTATCCCGAGATGGATATCCTTGAGGTTCTCGTCTACCTCCATACAACAGCTCCACCTCGAGAGCCGATCATGCTGCGCGCTGCTGCGGGTTGGGACCCACGCGAAGAGCACAATAAATGCCTGTATTGCGACGACAAGTTGCAGATTGTGGATTTTATGGGACCAAGCGGGGCAGTGAAGTTGCACCACTCCGCCATCAACTCAACCAGAATATTCGAACCGTTCTCTACGTTCGACTCGTTCCGCGACGCTTTCGCCCACGCCCGGGAAACCGTTTATCCCAGTTGGAGCGAGATAGCGTACATGGTCCAAGGGTGGTACTACGCTCCCCTCCTGCGAAGATGTCCTTGCGAGAGCAAGACGCACCAGCATCTCGGGTCCGAACACTATGTCAACGTCTTCGATGAACAGACAGCCCAACTAGAAGACTTTGACCCCACAGCATCGTCCTATTTGAGAGTGCCTTTTGAGGCATTCCCATCAGAGGACCGCGTGGTTATTCTGCACGGGAGCAAAGGAAAAGAAGTCCCCCTTGAAGAGACATGGGATCCTTCTGGGGATGAAGACTCAGACGAAGAATTTGAACCTTACCCAGAGGCTGAACATGATAGCGTGAGCGACATCAAGGCAGTGAAATTCAACCACTACGGATGAATGATCTTGGAGCTTCTTTAAATAAATCCAAAGTCTTCTAATGGAACTATTGGCTCTTTCCGGCCTCAGACCTTGGCTGTCCGAGCTCGTTTTCTGGGCTGACTTTGCGAATCCAAATCAGACGCCGACTCCAGCTCACAAGTCTCCTTCTCTGCAAACGGAGTTGTGAGTGGTATCAATTTCTCCAGTCTATCCACTGTGATGATATAGGTTCTTGCTCCGCACCACATGATGGCATTCTTTGCGATGTTTTCAATCTCCCGTCCATTGAGCTTCCAAGCGGCAAGCTGCTCCCAATCCTGTTTCGAAAGGTCCAGCGAAAGATTGTCGACTTGACCTGCAAACGACGTTTTGGAGGCAAGTTTTGACGGAGCAAGGAACATCTTCCACAGACTTAAGCGATGCTGGGTCGAAAGAGCATTGTATTGAATGTGTATCCGAACTCGGGAACGGACTGCGTGGTCAATATCGTCGAACAGGTTGGTCGTCATGAACATGATACCTCTGTAGTATTCGAGGTGGCGGAGCATGACGGCGACCACTTCGTTGCGGGCGCCTCCTTGCAAAGATCGTTTCGAGAGTAGACTGTCAGCCTCTGGATTGACATTAGTCGCCCTGCAGGCAGATGCAGATTGCATGGACAAAGTACCGTCGAGCAGGAGTATAGCTCTCCAATGAAGAGCAAGGTCGAACGCTTCGTTCAACTTTTTACCTATCGACTCGGGAGATGACCCTAGACGGTCCGGTTGAAGTCTGAAGAGTGGTTTCTTGAGGTCGTCGGCCACTGTGTGAACACCCAGGATTAGCGAGCTTCAGGGCCAAAAACTGTGTGCGGCATACCTGCTTCGACCGTCAAGGTCTTCCCAGTTCCGGTCAAGCCGCTTAAGAGCACGATCAGACCATCTCCTGAAACCACTTTTAGTAAATGTGTCTTGCTGACGAGGACGTCTCACCTTTGCCCGCAATGAGACCTTCAACCTTTCCACTGGCTTCGTTGTGTGTATGGGAGAACGTTTTCAGGATGTCCTTGTAGTCCTTATCCAGAACAAGGTGATCGAAAGCGGCAGCGTTCCATTTGATGGGCTCGAAATAATCCAGATCGCACTTGACTGCAGCCATTAGAACGGCTAATGGGCGTCCTTTGAGTGCCAGTACTTACTCCATTCGTTAGTGGACAACGAGTATGCCTCGATGATTGGATTCATTGTGATGAGGTGTTGTTGATTCGCCTGGAAAAAGTCACGATTTCTGATTTGTTCTTCTTCGTTTGGACGTCGTGATCGGCTCTTGATTCGGGGCAACGCTTTAGTCTGCTCTCTGTCGCCCTGAGATTCTTCAGTCTGCGATTGCTCTTCTGGCTCTCCTGCATCAACATAGCTGGTTCCTCCTTCAACCATGAATTTTCGGGCCCCATACGGGTCGGCGATTACCCTCCCACCAACCTGCGTAGGCACCCGTCAGAAAAAATACCTTCAATTTCAACAAGTTACTTACATGTCTCGTCGCGCCGCGTCCGAAAGAAGTCTTCGTCGCTGGTCCGTTGTAACAGCAATAAACCATGTCCTGCATGTCGAGAATTCTCTGCCCTCGAAGATAGCATTCGAGCCGCATGTTTGGATTGGAATGATGGTCCAGCGGATATACATCGAGGGAAGTGATGCGCCGAACACCCTTGAACTTGTATATATTCTCAACAGCCTCTGTAACCCCAAAGTTTGTGCCGTCGAACATAAAACTTCTGAACTTAACCTGGAACATGTCAGGCTTAGACACACGTTCATTTTTGGCTTTTTCTCTCCAGATGAGCTTGGTATCGATATACTCGGTACGAGTGACTTCGTACGCACGGTTGCCTCCGAGTTCCTTTAAGTACACCATGGCGTGCTTCGGAAATAACGTCCACAGATATTCGAATGTTATGAACTGTCTGCTGAGTAGATCTGTGACTTGTTTCACTGTGTCGGCGAAGATCTCCCCGATGGTTGTCAGGAGCACTCCAACATGGCGTCTGACGTCGCTGGTATCGTCCAGCGTCGTAGCGGCCTGCACAATCTTTCCATACGCGAAGTAAAGTTCACGAAACGGTGCTTTGAAGATGATCTTGGTCTTTAGGGGTGGAATAAACCCGACTTCAGCCAAAATTGGTCGCAGAAAGTTGACCAATAATTTGCCTTGCAGCTCGATAGTATCATCCTTCACCGCGACAAGACCACCTATCCTTGCCAAGTGCGAATCGTGGTCTTTTGTCTTGAACACTCGAATGCTAGCTCCGTCATATCGTTCTTTGGCATCCTCGGGCAACTGGACTGGTGCCTTTTCGATCCAATTTGAACAACAATCGCATTTGGGTGGCCCCTCATAAAAGGTCTGAATCATAGGTACCGCTCCGAGGTCGGGTTCTGTGTGGTGGATATGTGGAATAGAATCCTTCATGGGGTATTTCGGTGTCATCATGTCCAGACCGTCCGTCGTCATGCCTATTGGAGGCCAGTCCAGGTTGTTTTGCATGAAGAAGGCGTCCATGGTGGATTCAGCTGGCGCTGTATGCTGTGTGAACGGGGAATAGCTACTCTGGGCCATGACCTGGAGCAAAAGGAGAAAAGAAAGGAAAACCTTACATGAGTATCGCGAGCTGCCCTTGGAGGAGAGATGGTTGGAGTGACCGCCCGATATTTATAACAAGTACGGCGTACCCTGGGCCATCCAGAGAAGGCGGACAGGTTGAAGCTCTGAAACCTCCATCTCCGACCCTCGTATTAACAGCGTCAACAAGGATTCGTCTACCAATTGGAGCGCCGTGTCCAGAGTGCAATAAGGCGCACCGTGGCCGGTGTGCGTGTGTGTCTTGGGCGGTGAGAGGCTCAAATTCGCCTTGATCTTCAGCCACCATGCGGTCGCGGATTGGGCGACAAAGGTGCAATATTCAAAAACCGTCAGGCTGAGACTCACAAAAGACAGGGCTGGGGCTTGGAGACTTTGGGCCGCTATCCCGTTCGGAGTGAGGCCCATCACGACGGTGCTGGACTGCCAACTTACCCTGCGTTCCCACATTCCAGCCGAGTTACCTGACGACCACTTGTGACAGCGTGTCCAAAGTGCAATAAACAAATATCATTTTGAGATTGACGATGACCCAATGCTTCTACCATGTCGGACGTGCATCTAGTTTTGCTAACCGTCCGCCCGGAGCCACTTCACGTTGCCACGGGGCTTACCCACCAATACCGCAACATGGTAGAAGTGCATTATTCCCATCCTTCATGTCATGTCTCTGTTTCTTCCCTGTCCAGTTCTCACTGGCATGGTCATCCAATTCCATTCGGGTGCCTGCCTGTCCGCGGCGGCGGCTTCTCACCACGGAAACTAGCGATTGTGCTTCATGAGGCCAATCGCAGAGCAGATTACCGGCTGTCCAAGGTGCGATAGAAGAGAGATGAAACTCCCTCGAGAATGCAGCGAGGTCAACGTGGCCAAATACGCTGCCAACATAGGTATATAAAAAGTGTCATGGGCCGCGTGAAGTGTTCAAGCTTTTCACACCATCTAAGCACGACAACGCTCCTTCCACCAGTCCAGGTGAGTCCAGTGTCACGGTGAAACTCGAAGATACAGCTAAAGCTTTGTAGAATTCTTGGAACAGCCACAACACCAACCTCCACGGCAGCAAAATGAACAAGCATAACAATGCCTCTGGAACCAACCAATCGTAAGCTAAAAGCTTCATTCTGCGTGCAATATTTCCTACAGCTGACGGCTCGCTAGGATGGCAGCAGTCCAACACGCCACCGAGAGAGCCGGAGCGCACCATGGGAAGTACGACGCCCTCGGGCGGATGCTTGGCGAAGCTCGCAAAGAACAACCATGGAATGCCCTGAATATTAGCGGAAACTCTGAGCAGACAACTGGCACAGCGGATAGACTCAAGGATGAGACGAAGCTCTGATCTGCACCAAGCTTGGAAAGCTGGGGTTGATTGTGGTACTGTACTAGCGTTTCCATAGCAGGAATGTGGACAGACTGGTCTTTCTGTTTATCGCCTCAAAATAAATCATCCAAAAAGTCACAACCAAAGGTGTTCCCGAGTACCATCGGGTTCAGTGAATACCTGTACGGACGCCTGTCCAGGACCCAGGATAGTAAGTGATCTTGTTCCCCTTCACGGAAGCTGCGTAGAGGGTGATCACTCGCGGACTCGCGCCGGGATGCCCATGCTCGGTCATATCACGGCGGAGGAGTTGGAATTCGAGAGGGATACCCCAAGTTCTTGATAATGATGTAAAATCCAAAAGTCTGATTCGATGTTTCCAAATTTTGGATCCTCGTTGGTGCTGTACGGGGTGGAGCAGGTCAGGATGGAGGTTGAAGGGGAGGGTTGAGAGTGCAAGTGGTTTTAAAAGCGGCACGACAAGGACGGTTAGGATGGCACTGATAAGTCACGTGAGATCCGAGTCGTCTTGCCGTTTTTACTCATCTTTCGCCGCCAAATATGGCCACCTCAGCCACCTATAAAACCCGCCTCGCGGCCTGCATTTCCGGGCGATCACTCACCTACTCGCCACCATACTCGAGTGCTAGGATGACGTTAACCCTCGCCTCGTGATGTGTAACTGTATTGTCGAGAACATTAAGCGAGCCAACGGTGGCGATGAACACAGAATACATCATGCTGAACAAATGTTTGAGAGATGCAAGAAGCACATTGCTCTTGATTGACCACATCAGCTGATAGATATAATCTGCCATCAAAGATTCACACAGAATGGCACCTCTGACTTCAAGTTCTTCAAACCCGTACAAACTGAGAAAGCATGGCCGTCCTCGTACAGACGACTTCCGTGTCTTCTTTGAGAAGGATGGCAATCCCGTCTCCCCGTTCCATGACATTCCCTTGTACGCGGACAAAGAAAACCAAATTTTCAACATGGTGGTTGAGATCCCCAGGTGGACAAACGAGAAATACGAGGTAACGAGAACGCCATTTCGTATCGACCTTGACTGAGGAGATAATGAACCTAACCAAAGACGAAAACTGATCCCAAGACGGCACGATACTAACGGCGACCTTACTCAAAATACCAGGTATCAAGAAACCGCACCCTCAACCCCATCCATCAAGACCAGAAGAATGGCAAGCCACGATTTGTGCGGAACAGGTTTCCACATCATGGCTACATCTGGAACTATGGCGCTCTTCCTCAGGTGTGTACAGAACACCAATTGAGCCACACGTTTCTGTCGAGGTGTTGACCTATCTTTTTAGACATGGGAAGACCCAAATCACGTAAACCCCGACACAAAGGCCAAAGGCGACAATGACCCGATCGATGCGTGCGACATTGCTCAACCCGTCTCCTATACTGGCGAGGTCAAGCAGGTCAAGATATTAGGCATCCTGGCCCTTATCGATTCCGGCCAGACGGACTGGAAGCTGATTGTCATTGACGTAAGAGATGCTACGGCGAACGATATGCACGATATCGACGACGTAGAACGCCTCATGCCGGGCTTCCTCACAGCCACGCGAGAATGGTTCCGGCTGTACAAGGTGCCAGATGGAGAGCCACCGAATGATTTTGCTTTCGACGGCAAATACCGGACCAGGCAGTACGTGCCCTCCTCCCAGATCCTGACTGATATGATATCCCTGACAAGCATCCACCCCCAGAGTCGCCCTAGACATCATCGATGAATGTGCCAATGCATGGGACAACTTGATCACGGGCAAGACGAAGCCTGGCAAGATCAGCCGGTGTGTAGAGATTCCCTTCCAATGCAGAGCCGCGGCCTTTTGCTTATTGTCACCATGCAGCACGAATGTGACGGTGGAGAAGTCCCCTTTTAAAGTCGACCCGGACGAGCTGAAGATACCGAAGAGCGAAAACTTGAAACCAGCACCAAAGCCAAAGGTCGTTGACGAGTGGTTCTTTGTGCCGGCCAATGACGTTCCCGACGAAGACAATAAGCCCGCGGAAAGCTCTGAGGCCTGGCTGGTGAGGCCAAAACCTGAAGCTCGCCCTCGTGCGGATATGTGGCAGGTCCCACACTCTGTCAAGACGTTGTGAGTCGTTACAAGACTGTCCCTCTATTTGTGCCAATTAAGCAAGCGCTTTGGTCATCTGCGGTATCCTGTGGGTACGAGGATGCTGTCGAGTTCGTTTATGTCTAACTCTTATGTCTTGAGCTATCTTTCCATGTACTTAATCAAGTATACAGTTGCTCCGGCTTCTCTGGCTTCTGGCCAAGTGCCTCGAGTCTCGTTTCCCCCAAAAACGATTCTACAGTTTCGCCCTCTCAGTCTCATCTCTGACTCTCACACCAACCGTCCTCCCAGGCTCCTTATCTTTCACTTTCAACACCCGCCTCAGCAACTTCCCAGTCGGGCTTTTAGGCACATGGTCGGTAAACTCGATCTCCACGATCCACTTGTACCGCACCTTCTTCTCCTTGACAAACTTCAATAACCTCCGGCCTACCTCCTCACTCGGCTCTACGCCCTTGTTCAGCACAACGTAGGCCTTCGGTCTCTCACCACTATACTCATCCGCAATGCCCAACACCGCACAGTCCTCCACAAGCTCATGCCCAAGCAGCAAATCCTCCAGTTCCGCCGGCGGAACCTGCAAGCCCTTGACCTTGATCATCTCCTTTATCCGATCCTCGATATGGACCAGCCCTTCCTCGTCGAAATGCCCTACGTCTCCCGTATGGAAGAAGCCCTCTGAGTCAAACGTCTCGGCCGTCGCCGCCGGATTATCCAGATACCCCATCGCGATCTGCGGCCCCTTTGCACAGATCTCACCCGTCTGACTGGGGCCCAGCTCCTTCCCTGTCGTCAAATCGAGCACTTTCGCCACCGTGTTTGCAACCAGCTTCCCGCCCGTCGTCGCATACTTGTAGTCGTAATGTGTCGGCGGATGTGCCGTGATACATGCCGTCGACTCTGTCGCTCCATACCCCTGCCTAAAGCCCGTCCAGGGAAACTTCTTCTGCAACAAGGTTATGATCTCCTGTGATATCGGCGCAGAACCAGATGACCACCTCTCCACGTGCCGTAGGTCATAGTTGTCCACGATCTTATCTCTTACCAGTCTGATAATGATCGGAGGTACGAGTATCAGCTCTTTGATCTGAAACTCACAGATCGCTTTGAGCATTGCGTCCATTGTGAACGCGGGCAACATGACGCTGTCGCCATTCATGAAGACTGGATAATGGCAGAATCGGACAACACCTGTGACTACATGCGGGGGACACCGTCAGCAAATACGACATGTATCAGATGCGCGCCTGTCAAGGAGAAATAGATACGTACTGTGAAACAACGGCATAACCGCAAGAACCTTATATTGCCCCGGCGCCTGCAGCTGCCTCAACTGATGGCACTGCGCTATGATATTCTGATGGCTCAACATCACCTAGGTAAACTCTGCGTGTCAGCGTCGTCTCTTCTCGTCTCACCTCAGCTCATCTCAGATCCTCATCGCTCCCTCCAGCATCATTGCAGGGACATGTCAGGTGTACTCACCGCCTTAGGCAGCCCCGTCGTGCCGCTACTGAAGTTCAAATACCCACAAACATCCGCATTGGTCTTGTCGCGGGGTATCCTCCACGGCTCACCAGCCTCATACCGCTGGCCAAGCTCCATGAGGTCCTGGATGCTCTTGAACCCATCGGCCTTCCCCTCCAGCAAGAAGACTCGCTCTCTGGGAATCCCGACGTTCTGCGCTGCCGCGAGCGCGACATCAAGACTACTCCCCGGCAACGTCATCAGGAATTTTGTCTTCGCAATCCTCAACGCATAGCTCATCTCCTCGATATTGTAAGCTGGGGAAGCGCCATTGACCCGTCCACCTAGAAAACAGAAAACAAAACGGCAAGTCAGCATACATCAGTTACCTCGTCCCGGGGGAACGGGACAAAAACAATTTTCTTTCTTTTCTTCCTGGACGAAACGAAAAACACAAAACACAAAACACATACCGCCCCGAACAACAGCCCACATCGCCACAGGGTACCATATCGTGTTCGTACTGAACAACGACACCGTGTCGCCGACTTGGAATCCGTACTCCTTGATCAACGCCGTGCTCAGGTGCGTGGCTTTCGTCTTGACCGCGCTCCAATCGAGCCGTTCCTTCGTGACGGCGTTGACATAACCTCTCAACTCCTCCTTGGGCTGCTTGTGCAGCGGAGAGTACTTTTTACTCTCGAACACCCATTCCCACGTAGTGATGTTGGCAGGCACTGTACAAAGTATGCGACGTCAGTATCAGTACCCATGGCTCACGTGCTCGCGAATACACCTGGGGGAATCTATTCACCTTCCACATCCGGATGAGGGGACTTGAAGAGCACCATCGTCGACGCCTGGCCACCTACTAGAGCAGCTCGCTCAACGGCTTACCAAGAGAGCAAATGACACGAGATGGAACAGATTTAAATCTCTTCGGTAAAAGTACAACGACGACGGCTATATCGGCGTCCACAACCGGATAAGTTCCAATGTTGGAGACAAGATGCGGAGTCAATATTGATTCTACTCGTCGAGCTCATCGACCTCAACAGGGCCATCATGTATCAGATGGGGCGAAATGTCCGTGTGCCTCGGCTGAAAAGCCACCATACACCATGCAGTGTTCCCAAAACATCCACCAATACACCTTCGCTCTCATGTTTCAAACCCTCATCATCACTCATCATCATGCCCCAACGGCTGTGGACTGACTAGCGGTCGCGAATCCCTTCATGCCAACCCCAGAATCAACTCGTCTGCCATTTTGCGGTGTGCCAAACCCGAGCTGCTTCGCCTTCTGCACAAACGCCCTGAAATCGACCTTGGGGCCATCGACCCACCGACCGTCCTCAGCCTGCTGGCGTGCTGCCGGCATATTTTCACCACTGACAATGCACAGAACCGTCATACCACGTCTGTACTTCAAGCCGCTCAACAACTTTGGTGTGATCAGGAAATACTGACTGCCACCATCATCCGCCGCGATATCCACCATTCGTCCATGAACCATACGCTCGTTTCTTGGATCCATACCTTGGTTGATCTCGTCCACCACACGGAAAGGTGCTCGACTCAAGCTTTGCAAAGCCATGAGGTAGAAGATCGTGCTGACCGCTCTTTCACCGCCGGATTGTCGATGACTGTCAAGAAGGCTGAGGGGTTCTTGCTCACGGAACTTGACACTAATATGAATCGCCCAGTTGGCAAAATCAAGTCCGTTGTCAGCTCCGCCGTTCTCTTCAGTGCAGTCGGCGGGCATATCAGAAGACGCTTTGTACACGGCAACTTGCCCGGCGCATCCAATGCGGGCAAAGGAATCGGAAAAGGCGTCATTGATCCGTGCAACAACAGCCTCCAGTCGTCCTTCCCATCTGGCTCGTATTTCCTGAATGCTGTGATTGAAGTCCGCTTGCTTTTGTGCTTCATCTTGTAGTTTTGCTCGCAGTTTCTCAACGACCTTGGCGCGGTCCTCGTACTCTTTGATTATGCTAGCACTGCCGCCTTCAGTAAGTTCAAGCTTGGCCTTTTCGGCGTCGATTTCGCCCTCGAGGCTTTCCAGAGTCTTGACGTCCGAGGCCATGTGTTGGATTATGTGAACGAAGCCACTGTCATTCTCGTCTTGCTCGAGCTTCTGAGCCTCGGCGTGGATCCTCTCGCAACCCACAAAGAGCTCTCTCGCTCGTTTATGGTGTATTTCATGGGCCTTGGTTGCATCAGCCACTTCTGCCTCCTTCAATTGAATGGTCTGCACAACCTGCTCGTTTTGAGCGGTCAATGCCTCCAGATCTGAAGAGGCTTCGATGTGAAGAACCTCAGCCTCGAGTAACGCAGACGACTTGACCTTAACATCGGCTACGGCAGATGTGAATGCAAGAACTGCTTCGGACTTCGCCACTAGAGCGTCTGACCACCTAGCAACCAGTTCTTTGACAAGTTCCTTGGCCTCTGCCAATGACTTCTCCACATGCCTGATTTTCTCCTTCTTCTCTTCAATTTGAGCGTCGAGCTTGTTGTATGCCGCCTTAGCTCTCTGCTTTCGCTCCTTTTCCTCTCGTTTTTGAGACTCTTCTTCTTTCAGTTGTGCCATTCTTGATTTAAGCCGATCGATTTCGTTCTTGGTGTTCTGAAGCTCGTCCTGAATGATTTGCTTCTCCCCCAACAGTTCGTTCATTTCGCGTTGGATAGATGCCTGTCTTCCCATATCCACAGGTTGGTCGGTCCAGACTTTGGCGGGCCGAACGTCGCTCACCCGGGAGGAAGTTCCAGCAGTACCGTACTCTGCTCGGCGCATGAATTGGTATACTTTCCTCCCAGCAACGTAGCCGAATATGCTTGTTGCAGCAAGCTGGTCATGCTGCTGCTGGCTAAGCTCCCTCGAGCTAATCGCACATCGGTGGAGGTTCTTTTCTGCGCAGAGCATCGCTAAAACAGTTCCAGGACCTTCCAAGTGATCTATCGCCCAACTAGTGAAGCCGAACCGTTCCATCTCTTCCGCGGCCAAAGGACGACGTGCTTGGTCTAAGTTGTCGACAGGGCAAACTCGAAGACTGAAATCATGCAGCTTGAGGCCCTTGGACAACTTCCCCTGCAATTTTATGAAGTCTGCCTTGTTTTGGACTGTGATGATCTTGAAGTCCGTCGGTTGAAGGAGAGATTCGACAGCATCGGCCATTGTCGAGTTCTTGAGTGAGCATTCCACGATGGGCGGACCGTAAACATGCTGACTGAACTCAGTGCGGTTCTTCTGAATCCACTCCCAAGCTTGGAATGTGTCTTTGGAGAGTGATTTTAGTTTCGTCTCTTGTTTTCCGGCTTCTGTCTGCATGCCTTTAAGCGTCTTCTCGAGCTCTTCACGCTGTCTTTCATTGTCGAGCTTTTGTCTTTTCAGTCTTTCCTCTTGAGACTGCAGGTCGGTCTTCTGCACTTCCACGGCCCTGTGCTGATTCTTCAAATGTTGTATCTCGTCAGTCATGGCTGTGACATCAAATAGCTCCGGTGGCTGGTCCTTTGCTCGCTTAAGATGCTCCATTTGCTGCAGATATCGGTTGATCTCGCCCTTCTTTGCGCTCGGCGTTTTCTTCTCTGCCTCCAATTTGTTCTTGTAGTCATCGATCGCGCTCTGAGCGTCTGCAATTGCCAATGATGCTTCCTCACACTTGCGCTCACTTGTCACCAAATCTTTCTTGCGCTTTTCCTTCAGACGGTTGACCTCCTTCTCATATTTCCTCTTCGACTCCAATTCCTTTAACGTGGGACTGGAGACGGCTCTCAAGTGCTTGAGTTCTTGTGTGATTGACTTTGCCTTCTGTTTTGCTTCCTTGTATTTGACCCTACACTCTTCATATTCGACAAGCGGCCGGCACTTTTCCATCCATCTGAGTCTCTTCTGGACAAGGGCTCGTTCACGCATCCGCTCCACTTCTGTACGCTGCATCTCTTGTCGGTTTTCGAGATTAGCCATCAGCTCCTGGTCCGCTTTGTTCCTGTTCAGTGCTTCACTCCGAGCGCTGCGCAACTTCTTCAAGTCTTCGTGCATCTTGCTCATCTCGGGACCGGCCACAGCTCGTTGAGTGCTTGCGAGGAGTTCGATTGGACTCATCTGAGCGAACTCGACGACCTTGTCCTGTGGCAAAAATTGACAGAGATTGTCGATCTGGATGTTGAAAGAGTTCGCCAATTCCTGTACTTTTCTCCCGGTCGTAGAGCCTCCATTAAGCGTGTAGGTCGATTTGTTTCCCTCTCTTTTGATGACCCTGACGATGATGGGATTCTTCGGTGAGGTGGCAGCTCGCTTTAGCTCAATCTCGATGGTAGCTTCTCGGCATCCATGTTTGATGAATTCAACCGCGTCTTTGGCACGACCGAGGTACTGTATGATGTGAGTAGAAGTGGGCAAACTTTAGACTGCAGCACTTACCGAGGGCGGCCATCCAAGGCCCAGACAGATTGCGCAAACCAGTGTGCTCTTTCCGGTACCATTTGGGCCTATGACCATGTTCAAGTTGGGTCCGGGAAAGAATTCTGCGGAAGTATATGTTACGAAGTTGGTCAATTTGACTCGAACAATGGCACCCGGCAGATGGCCACTCTGGCGGCCTGCGGTGGTGTTCGTCGGCGCAGAAGTTGGGTGAACACGGGGAAGAACAGGCTCAGGTGCCGTACTCGGAGTAGAGGTCTCATCTTGGGAGCCGGATTCGTCGTCGTCGTCGCTAGGTGCTTCATATGTACGTCGCTGTCGCTTGCCGTCGTTGGGCGCAGTAGAGGATGGGGTATTGGGTCGCGAGTCCTCGTCGTCGGAATCGAGCGCTCTTGATCGTCGCCTTGCCCGGGAAGCCATGACGAGATCGGTGAGGCGCTCGAGAAAGGGACCACAGCAGAGTAAGTCGGCATAGGATTGGAATGGGTCGAATCGACGCGGCAGCGGTAGAAAAGACGCGACCCGTGCTTGCTCCACTTTTACGCGACTACTTTGAGGCAAGCCTGTTTAATGTATCCACGACACGCCACGAGTTACGGAGTATCACAGTTCATCTCATCAGACGAACTTCTCGGGCAGAGACAAGTATCGCTCTTTCATGCCACATTGATTGTTATTGAGGGAGTGAGACTCGACTCTTGATTCAACTATTTTTGTTCCACAGCGGCAGCGCCAGCCTTCAGCAGAGATATGGTGACTTGAGGAAATTCTTAGTGAAGTATGTTTGATTTCCGCATCGGCTCTTGCCCGTCCTATTTTCCCTACTATCCGCCCCAGTCCTTCACAAATAAAACACTGAACATGCGGCCGGAGTCGCCCGCGATCCTCCCTAAGTTTAGGTTGCAAATGGGTATCTCCGTTGATTCTTCAAGCCCGGCAGGGAATTTTCCTGTCACGGGCGAGGCTGCTGAAAAGTCATTCAAAAGTAGTTGCCACGAGGCACCTGTGAGAGACGGTTAGCTTTGGCCAAGACCAATCATTGTGGAATGATCTTACAGCTAAGAAAATGGCGGTTATGATTGCTGAGATGACAAAGGAGGTGAGGATAGCTTGGATGAAGATCGTGTCCTGAATTTGTCGAAGCGCAGGCTCCTGAATCCAAACTTCGCGGTCGAAGATCTTGCGGATGATGTTACGCTTCTCGTACTTGGCCACCCAGGGAGAGTCTTCATAGCTGTTGCTAGATCCCAGGCTATCGAACGAACCCTTGTTCAGCGTGTAATCAGAAGAAGCTTCGTCGTCGTCATTGAAAAGTTCCCATGGCCGGAGATGTCGGTGATGCATGCCATGCAAGACCTGCAATGTCAGCTTAACGTTACAAGCAAGAGTCCGACCCAACTCACCACACACATGCCCTTCCAGGCCGCAAACAGGGTAGCAATGCCGATGAAGAGACCCAGGAACGCCAATGCTCTCCAGCCACGGTTGGCCGAACTGAGGGTGATCACGATGGCATAGACGATGCCAGCCACAATGCCAGCAACACCCAGACCACGAGCAAAAGTTTGCCTTGGCTTGTTTCCGTTGCAGATGGTCCATCGGATGAAGTTGGGATGAGCTTGTCGTCGCAGTGACCACTCAACAGTGGCAATGACATCGCGAAAGGCTGAAGGGTGAGTGGTGACCGACAGGGCTTTCAAAACAACGGCTCTCTCTTTCGATGACAAATTGAGCATTCTTGAACTCGGGTCGGCAATATAGATGGCAATGATACGGGAGATCTCCTCGCGGAACGGCTGGATTGTGACTATGAGTGTGTTAGAAGGCATGCATGGTAGCAAGACATGTTGATCTTACAAGGCTGCAATGTGCCAGCTTCTTCGAAGGCTGCCTCGGCTTTCTTGCTATGGTTAGTGACGCCAGTCCGAAGTGTGGTGCCATCTTCACTGTAGCCGACGGTCGACGGAGCGACACTCTCACGATCAGTAGCCGACGGCGTCCTCGGGGGAGTGTTGAACGGGTTGGGAACAGACTCAGGTGCGCCGAGTTTGGCATTGGGGTCAAAATCGGTTCCTTTCAAGACGGCTGCGGCGCTGTTGGCGACCTTCCTTGGAAGTTTTTCCTTCTCAGCATTGGTTCTCTCTGCCAATGCCTGCTCCGCGGTCCATTCTGGTGAAAGCTTTTGCTCGCTCACTGGGAGCTCGGCAAAACGCTTGCAGTAATCGCGGTGCCACAGGTAGAACTGGAGATTTTCGGCATCGTGTTCGATATAGCGCAGAAAATCCATGAATTCGCGGGTAGTCACAGGCTATCAAAGATGTCAGTCCTCTGCAGCAAGGTAGTCAGTATCGTCAAGACTCACTGGGCAGGTTCCTCCACTGATGATCTTGTCGAATGAGAGAGCGTCGGGGATGCCATACTGGCAGCTGGAACCGGAGCTGATGGACTCGGTCGGCTTCTCCGAGTCGAGTGAAGTGCGAGAGGAGGAGACATAGGCAGGGCGACGGTAGGACAGTGAGAGAACCATTTTCGCTGAGGGTAGGTCGGCTGTGTGATCGGATTACTTCCTTGAGCAGGGAATGATGGCGTCTCGAGACTAAATACTGGGATCTGCTGGAGCGGCACGTGGAGGACACGGACTCCCGCAAGATCTTTTTCAAATGATAACGCTGGAGGTGAACCAAGCCACAGCGTGACCAAAAGCAAGATAGACTTTTGGGAGCAGCAACACGGACCCAAGGTTGAAAACTGGGGAAATCAAGAGAAGTTCTCACTGGATGAGAGGGAACTTGTGAAGTCGGTAGCTGCTGGTGCGCCAGATGATCGGCAAGCGCGAACAAGTGCTTTTCTTTTTCTTTCTTGAGTCAGTGCAAAATGAAGCAGATCTAGTCACTATAGAATGGGACGAGAGAAGACTGTTCTATCGGAAAGGCATGTGGGAATGTGAAGAGTTTATCAATTTTCTTACGTGTCATACTGCTCTGCACCTTGTCTGGCAATTCCTGCACCCCTTGTCCACGCGGGCGAATGAGACACATGGCTTGTCCTTCATGGGCGTGCAAACTAGGGATGTCCAGCCATCACGGTACGGTGCCTGTCAACTCAAGGACTGGGAGTATGGTCCGAACTTCAAGAGAGGGGCAAGAGTAGTGTACATTGTAGTGTGTACGCCTTAGTGTGATGTGGAGCAGGGAGTGAGCGCGGAAACCCCTGCAAAATGGTACTACCTCGTATGCAAAAGCCATGTTTGTCCACAACTGCAAACCCATTACGGAGTAGAAAGAAACTGAATTCCCCTGTGGTGCCTGTGGTACTCGTATTTTTCTGCATCGGCCAGGACGATGGGCATCTGCAGCAGCGGAACAAAGTCTCACCCAGACCGGCAAAAGATCTACCATAGTACAGAACTTGCATCTCGCTGCCGACGCCACTTTCACTCGCTAGTCCATTGATATCACGTCTTCTTGTACGTCAAGCTCCCTGTCACTGCGTCATCCATTCGTGTTGGAAACTCAACCATGCAGAGAGACGATCATTCCCTTTGCCAGAAATCCGGCCAGAGTCTGCGCAGCTTCGAAGTCCGTCCAGACAAGACAGTCCAGATCATCAGCAACCTCAAGCGATCGTCCATCTTCCGGAAACTCCTACAAGAACTGGCTCCATGGCCCGAAAATAGCCTACACCTCGAAGCCCGTCGCCCATTTCCATTCCTCATAACAGACGCTTCAGTAAACATGGTTCAAGATGATAGGAGAAATTGTCCGCCAACGACCGGCTTCACACCTGGTGGCGTCCATAGAACATGGACGGCGTGGCCAGCAGCATGGATAAGATTCCGTAGAAACAAAGAACAACGGAACCAATCAATTCTTCAACAATTCAATGCCCTGTCAAACCGACATGGGTCAGCGATTGGCATTATTTGGATCCCCGACACGCCCTCGCTAGCTTGTACCCGCGAGCCCGTACCAGTCCGTGGACCAAGAACGAAAAGCGGGTGCTGTGACCGAACTTCGTTGGTAGAGAACCACGACCTGAATTGCTGTCTCGACTTTTCTCAGTGGGCCATTTCTACCTCGACCAGACTTCTCAGTACATGCTACGGAGGTACAGCTGCGCAACAACTTTAGGATGTCCCTGGGCTTTTTTCAGCCAGCCTCAAACTTCAGAGAGCCAGCCTTCTTCGTCATGGTGCGTTAGGTTGGTTATCCCCCGGTCGGCAATTAGCCAGGTACTGTTGGAGATACGCGACGAAGCGAGCTCATCCAGTTCCCACTTCTTAGGTTCTCCCAGCCCCAAAGCGATCCGATGCATGTTCGATGCTCTTGGCATGACTGTCACCCAGACTGTTGCTGTCAGAACCCTCGCCCGACGGCTTGAAAGCCCAAAAAAGATGCCACAAACGCCTTCTGGCTCCAGCCGACCTGCAAGAATGTCAAATCTGTCACATTGATACTACTTATCACCAGCCACGACTGTCTAACGACCTTGCTCCCTTCACGGTGACCACTTCAAGCCTCCGCGTTGGCTGGATCTTTACATGCGTTACTCCGTCCCTGTCAACAGAATGCTGGACTATAGAAATCCCGCATCCGCGATACTGCACTTGTACAGCAAGGGGGGTTCCACCAGTCGTCCGTCTGCAAAGTTCGAACAGCAGCTCAAAACAGTTTGCCTCCCTCCCTGATCCGAAGATTCCTCGGGACCGCCTACAGCCACCTTTGTTTGAACCAGGAACAACCCATCTGATGTTAAAATTTGTCTGCTCAGATTCATAAAAATCATTGGGTTTTCCAGCGTCCTAGTAACGTACCCTTGCAGTCTGGGGGCAGCCTCCACTTCGGGAATAGCTTTGCGATTTGGTTTGGCACTGGAGTTTGGCGAGATCGTGCCCACTTGGTTGTTAATCACGTAAATTCGATCTCAGTTGGTTTCAGCCTCGAGGTCTATATTTTGTCCTTTGCAGCCTCTGTCGCGCGGTCACCACTCACAATTGTAGCATCCTGTCAGGTACGAGAGCGCAAAGAATCAAGTGTCGATCATATCACATCAAAAGAAAACGTTCCTACTTTTCACGTGTTCGACATCCTCGTGGCTGTTGATCGATTTTTCGGAAGAGATGCCCTTACTCATAGGCTGATGGATCTCAGATAGTTACAGTGGCGCATCAAGCAATCAAAATTTCGCACCCATCCTAGATGTTGAGTTTGGCTCCACCAGTCGTTCCAACCCCGGACAATCCGATCTCCCAGAATTCTTAGGTCTAAACCCGGAGGGGATGGTTCCTGGAGACTTTACAAATAACTTGCAGGATAGAGTCTGGACCTGGAAAATTGCAATTGACAACATTCTTTTTCACGTCTCACGCAAGTTCCTGTGGAATTGATGCCTCTCCTGATCGAGAGGCGATCCCAACACTCGGAACGGAAGCCAGGGCGGATGCTCCAAGCATCAATGTGCTCACCATCCTCTATGTGACGTGCAGTAGTGCAATATGCCTAGGATGGCGCCGCAGCCCGTCTCCTACCGTTAGCACGTTCTGAGCCGCCTCTCTCCAACTTTGACGTTTGAGCGATCAGCATCACGCAGTTTTACTCACTGCAAGGGCCCGGGAATGTACCCGAGAATGACCACACCTACTGGTGTGCGTCCAGTATCGGTACTCCTTGTGCAGTGGAGCATCTCTTCTACTGGCAGGTCTGCCCGAACAGTCTCAAGGACAAGACTGTGCCCAACACCAACATACCGTGCAGACGGCCTACAATATATTTCGTACGGAAGCTTCCTTCTAGGCCGCCGTCCGTTTCATGAGGGGAATTCCACACGGGCCGCGAAGAGCTCTGCAACAACGTGCGATAGCCCGTTCGTGAGCACAGACAAATGATCGTCAGGGACTTCCAAACCAACAGCTACTCTCGTGCCGAAGTATCAAGTGTCGTGCTAGTGACTTTCACAACACAAAGCCCATCAAACTAGAAGTTTGCCCTCACAACGCCAGTACCTCTCTCACAAATTCATTGGAAGCGGATGCTGAACAAAGGACGGTAAGTCTTTTACCACCGAACTAAAAATAGAATCTCTTTGTAGGTGCGGTTGTTGGTTGTGTTATTTTTTCGCAGTCAAGACAAAGGTGAGTGTTGCTTTGAAACTGGTCCAAACCAATATATCTCCAAAATACCGCGCATCATGAGCCTCAAGCGAAGAAGACTACCTCAGAAGGCAGCAGTTCCTCGTCTTTCAGCGGAAACCCTCAATCATCGAAAGACCAGACCTCGACTCAAAAAGCCACCAAGTAAGCGCCATGTTCTTTCCCTGGCAGAGGGGGGAGCAGACTTGTCCTTCGAATCAAAACTACTATCGATGTTCTTCAGTTCCGTACTCTGGTTGCTGTTCCCATGACCCCTGCAAAACCGGTCACTGTACGAACGACGCCGTCGACTCATGTGCTGCTCCAGGCACTGTCACTGTGACCCAGACTATCCTCCACGGGGCGGCAACAAGCACAATCAGCCCAGGTGACCCTTCTTTTCCTTCGTCAACCGCCATTTTTACCTTCGGCGCAATCAACCTACCCCAGAGCAGTGGTACCAGCGCCGCCGATACATCTCCAACAGCTACAGGGCTATCCTCAGCGACTCTTGCAACAGTTACACCGAGCGTGACAAGTGTTACGATCTCAAGCGCCGTTCCGACAACGAAAACTGTACATCTTGTCTCTGCGTCTGCGATCGCAAGCTCAACCGCCTGCCCCAAGCCGAGTTCAGCGGCGTCGAAGTCAACACCTCCAGGCACAATCGCTGGTGGCGTCATTGGGGGAATGGCTGGTCTCGCCATGATCGTGCTGCTTTTATTGTGGTGCTGCCGGCGGAAGAGGAAATTCAAATTCACTCTCAAGCGTAAGACCATATGCACTGGCGAAGAAGACGCACCAAAAGACGAGGAGGAAATTCAACAAGACCGTGATCTGGCTTTGCAAAGTCTCGAGCATAACAAGCACATTGCCAGCCCGCGCTCGTTTGACTTTGGGCTGCCAAAAATCCTGCAAAACTCGACGCCGATAATGCCAAAGCATTGGATATAAAGGTGCCAGAAAGCCAGCTGCCAGCTGATTATTGTGTGTACATCATAGTTAGGCTATCTTGCCATATACCTTTGTATATTGTGTCATGCAGCTGAATAATAACGAATACCAAAAGCTCCAAGTCCCTCCTTACTCTGTCAGCCTTTCTCTTGTTCGTAGCCCGTCCGGATGAGGGAAAGTGCCTTGGCGCTTTCAACCTCACCTTACCGTTCTTCTCGTCTTCGATCTGTTGTCATCAAGTGTACACACCACGCAAGCTTGCGCCATCTGTCCTGCCAGGATGTGGTCGATGCGCGATGGCACAATGGCACGACATGCTCGCTCCAGGGCAAGCCGTTTATTGGAAACAGCTGCTCAATTGCCATGCTCGGCACCTGTGAGACTAGATGGTCCTTGCCCGTGGAGTCCGTGACGCCACTCTGCGCTCCATTCCACTATGTTCTTCAAGGAACTTGTGAGGAAGCTCAAGTGTGGAAAAGTGAAGCTCTTCACACTTTCCTCTGGGCGAAAGCATGGCATTCACGATTTATCTGTTTGGAATTTCATGGTGTGTATTTTCAGAGGTCCTTAGAATGTTGTCAAAAATGGTAAGTCAATATGAGTGTCTTACTGCTCAGGTGGTTGTCCTGATCAAATTCTGCTTGTGGGCTTATTGCAGCCAAGCTTGACGGGTGAGCTGTGAATTGCCTGGCTCTGATGCTGCCCCTGAGGCATGTAACAGAGCACGATAAAGAGCGACATATGGACATTGGTCATCAGGCGCCCTCAACTTCGAGTAGGAATGGCGAACACTCAGTGTATCACTACGGGAATGACGGCTATGCTCTACTCCTTAGGTATCAGATCAACCTTCAAGCAGCGGCGGTGTATCATTTGAAGAATCTACGGTTAAGGTGCAAAATGCAATGTTTGTGTGGATGAAGCAGCAAGGTGAATTCAATCTATGGCACCGCAAGTGAATCGATGTTTACACCGCGACCGTATCTTCTTCAGCAGTGTCCTTCATCATCTGTTCGCACTGACATCTGACCACATCTGATCGTTCTATCGCTGCTGTTCTTTGTTCCTTTGCAGAGATTCAACAATGGCTCGCAGCAACACAAACTCCTCAGGCCCCGACGGCTGGGTCCGACGATCAGAGCGAGCGACGAGAAGACCGGATCGACTTGGTGCTCTTGTACACCATGACGCGGTAACCCAGGAGCTGGGTCAGACAACTCAGTCATCTACAGGTCGACCTGCTCAGATCGCGCAGCAGCAAGCCGGACGGAGCCTACCACGATTGGTCATCAATTACTGCGGTAGACAGGACATCGAAATCTGGAATCCTGACAACTTCCCCCAAGCCCTTCCCCAACCGGCGTACCAAAATCAGAATATTGGTTTAGGGAACACAGGGCCGTTCTACCTACCGCCTCTAAAAAGCACAACACCACAATGCGAGCCCACGATCACTGATCCTCAATGCGCTTCCGCGGTCACAGATTCCGAATGTGAGTCTACTGCTACAGAACCCAATGGCAGATCAAGTAATCACATCCAGTCGGAGAGCTCTCAGGGAGATACCGCGCCACTGTCCGATAAATTCACGCAGCACTATGAAACCTTACTTGGTCGGTTGGCAGAGGAAAGAGAGCGTAGGCTGCAGGAAAATGCATTACCTGAAGAGAGCGACGATGATAGTCTTGACAAATGGTGCTGGTGCCGAAGGGGCGACGTCGACGATTGCGGCAGCGTCAAATGTGACAATCCAGATTGTTCCATTGGCTGGTATCACCAAGGATGCCTCAATCGCCGCGACAAATCTGTGTACGCTAAATACGGTCAGTACTTCGACTGTTGGTAGTCATGCGGCCCGTACTGATCCTCAATAGACCTGTGGCTATGCTCAATATGCTTGAATCCCCGGCTGAAAGCGCTCATTGCAGAGGAAAAGGATGATGCGATCTTCCCCACTGCCGACAACGAAGTTGCTGATGCTGGCGTGGGCGAACATGCGGATGCAGATGAAGACATGGGGTTTGCTGGTGATACACCAGCTTCCACATCACCTGGTCCGACCATGATGGCTGTTACTACCACAGACGCTGAGGCTGCTGTCCGTGGCTGCAACGAAGCTCCTCCCGATGATATGATATATAACACTTCTCTTGTGGAAGACAACTCCGACGGCGAAAATGGCCCTTCCCGCGACAGTGGGAACCGCTCGGCTACAATGACGGATGACAATTCGACCGATGAGGAGGGAGGGTTAACCGCCAGTCCTGTCCGAGCGGATGCTGCTGCTCAAGACGGTCAGGAGCTGGCAACCACTGGGGTCCAAGAAGGACTATCACAATCCTTCATTGATCTCAAAAGCCTTCAAGAGGAGCATGAGTCGCAAACTTTAAGCTCGAATTGGCACAATGCACACTATATTGACCCAGCCGTTCTTCGAACCGCTGGCCTTCTCCCTCCCACGACGACATCACGCAATGCAACAAACGTTCCACGATTGCCTGCTGCAGCGCCCAACTCGACGCCGATGTCCTTTTCCGTGCACAACAGTACCAGTCTGTCAGCATCAGCCAAACTGTGGACGTCACAGCAGACCACAGTCGTACCAAATCAAAATGGAAGCGTCATTCAGGTCAAGTACAAGCACGGAAAAGCGCTTCCAAGGTACGTATCAAGCCTGACGGGATAACATCCGGGTGCTAACAAAAGTCCAGTCTGCCCAAGCAGTCAGAATATCCTCGCTTCCTTATCAACTGCGTGGACACCGACAGAAACGTAGGCAGGGTTGAAGTCTCCGTCAAACTCCTCAAGGCGTTCTCTCGCACCCTGTCGGACGCCAACGGCATCGAGAACCTTTGCGACTACGCTGCGGGTGTGGTGGGAACCATCAGCATCCCCCAGACAGATGAGGACACAATGCAAGTTGTTGTTGATTACCTCAAGGGGGACTTTCTCCAGGTCATGTTCGCCCCAGTTGACGTCCAGGTAACCGTCAACGAGAAAAAGCGCCTGCTCAACCTTGTGCATATTGCGCACGCCTTGGGCATCGAGGTCCTCATGAAGGCCGCCATCCATGCCTTGTGTGTCTCCGTCCTCCGCCGCCCTCGAGACTGGGCCAACAACGCTGACAACGGGCATCTCCTCAATGTCGCCACATTCGTGTCTAACCCCGCGAGGCGCCTTCTCAGCACCGTCCGTCGCTACTCTATCTTGCCAAGCGTGACTGGCTGGACCGCGTTGCGCTGCCACGAAAAGGACCGAGCCAAGTATTGCGAGATGGGACGGCGTACATGCAATCTGAGAGGAGACTTCGCACCGGTGGTCAAGTTGTGGCTGGAGTCATTCGCGCAGGTAGAGATCGATTGAAAGAGATGGGCTGGCGGTAATGCAGGAAGGGAATACGCAATCTCGGCGGTGTCTAGCAAGCTACATAGATATTACGGAAACGGTCGCGTCGCACTGTACGGTAGACACAGGATAGCAATAGCGTTGAAATGCATGTTGATGATGGAATTTGACAACTAAAAGAGTTCCCATATCCCATGACATATTTTCCTCCGCCATTGCATGGCCCTTTCTACCTCGACTTTTCCAGCGTGAGATCCCAATGAAGCCAGTCGCCGTTCAAATTGTTCTCCATACCGAGTTGTTACACGTCGAAGGGGACCCCCTCCTGAAAAGCAAAGGCAAAACACATGATTAGAAAGGAATGTAAGCGTAGGAAGTCGTCCCGTGACCAAGATGTCGCACCGTCTCGATCTTGGATGATGTGTAGATTTACTCGTCCGGAGGCTCCGAAAACAGACCGATCCTAACCCGGTGAAATTGAGGCAATTTGGGTATCACAACAGCCATGAGGGCCATGAAGTTGACGGTGAAATATGTAAAGTCGTAATGTGTATAATGCGTGCTCAGGAGGAACAGGACGATGGGCACGGTCAACAGGAATTTCTTCGCCGGTGTGTACTGGTCACCATTGTCGATTTGTTCCCACATGTTCAGATTGTCGTATGCTCCTGCATTGAATTCGAACGGTACACCTCGAACATAGTGGAACATCAGGTACGAGCCGGCCATATATGTGATATTGGTGAGCGTCCATGATATCTCCTGTGTTACGCCAGGGATAATATCAAATAAGATCTTGAGCCCAATGATGAGGACAGGATGTATCGTCCAAGCGCCTACACAGTTAAGAATCAGTATATCGTTCAGCTCGAAGACTCGACGAACGGATTGCAAATTGTCCCACCTTTTGCATTGACCCATTGTGAGTTGAGGTTCGGTTCGGCTGACTGGTCGCTGATCTGTTCTAATGACTCCGGCGGCTCTTGGTAGATGATACTGCTAGATCGCCTCCTCCGTCCACTTTTCCCGGAACTCATGGCTGGATTGTAGGACGAGACTGGAGGTGCGAGTCTGGCATCGACTTGGAAGGAGATTGTCCGGTGGAGGGTAGTATGGGAGGTCATGGACGAGACGTTGCTCTATCCTGCTGGGGTCGAAATCTGACTGCCCTCAATTGTCAGCACAGCTCTTCGTCTGCTGCCATAAGGCGGCAGTCCAGCGTACCTCTAGTGGTGTCTCTATGAGAGACAGGCAAGCTTCGCTTTCGGTACTCCGTGTGTGACGTCTGAACGAGGGAGGATGGGATTGTTGTTGGGAGGCCAGATAGATGACGAAAAAGATCCTGCAGAGGTAGGAGGGTTTGGGATCTCAATAGAACAGAGTTCGAGATATCCGAAAAGGCCAGAACGAGTGAGACACGCCGTATTGGGAGATGGATAAGTCTCAGATTGGAGGCAAGGCAAGTAATGCAGGCTCCTATGAGGAGTGAATTAACTAGTAAATTCGATGGATGGGGAAGTGTTGGCGGCCCGGTTGTGTCCACATTTAACTTAGGAGCCTCACCAGCCACAGCATGCACAAGGTACCTACCAGCACGCGACAAATAATCGTAGCCTATTCTTCCCTAAGTGGCCTAGACCTCGTTAAACCTGACGCCTGGAGCACCAGCACCAACACAAGCCTGGTGCAGCTTAAGGCCAAGTCCTAAATCCCATCAAGCTTGGCCAGGAACGGCAACCAACCCACTGTGGCCACTGAAGTGAACTTCTCCAATTGCTTTCGAATCTCCAATTCTTGAATTTCATTTCTCTCTCATGGCAACTGCGCTGACGAGTCGCAGCTGAAGTCAATCAATGTCAATGTGAACGGTTGTTGCTGCTCTATCGGTGCTTCTGTTCTGATGCATGCCTCGACTTGAAGAGGATTATGACGAGGAAAGCGAGTCTCGGACAGCTTTTGTTGGACTGAGAGGTAATCGCTCGCGTTCTCAAGGTCAAGTCTGTCATTCTTTACCTGAGTCTCAGAAAGAGTCTCGGCTTTCCTACGACTCTACTGGCATGGGCAATGCTGCCTCGCTTCCAGTTGAATCTTCTGATCCTTCCAATCACGAACAGGCCCCTTCTCACCCTCACAATCCTCCCTTACAACAAGCGACCATGGATCCTTCGACAGGGTTCGGCAAGAACCGTCTTGCAACAGGTTTCAGAGGGCCATCAAGTTTGGTAACCGAAGAACTGCTGGACAACAATGGCGATAACTCGACGGCCGCTGCTAGTCCCGGCGGCTCTGCCGATGACGCTATCGAAATATCCAGTGACGAAGAATCAGAAGATGGTGGAATGGTCATTAATGTTGATCATTCAACACAACATGGTCTCCAGAAAGAGATGGGAGTTCATGAGAGTGATCACACCTCTGGGTTCCAAAATACAACCACCGAGTCATCTGCAAGACCCAAGAATACGGAGTTGCCCTCAACTTCCATAGACGAGGATGTGGACATGCAGTTACAAGCTGAGAATATGCAGTATGCGAGGTCGCATGCCAATGGCGTTTTAGCGGATGCTGCTCTTTCCCCACAACCAGGCCTACGCTTGAGAGATTTGCCTCCAGAACAGTTGCAGCTTCAGCTCAAGTATGCTCTATTCGATGTGCATCCGGAACAAGTCGATCTGGATCGGCCTGTCGTCTGTCTCACCTGCTTGTCAGAAGGGCATGTGGAAGAGGCCTGTCCCGAGAGGATATGTGTGCATTGTTCAGCTGTCGACCAGCATACTAGTCGGACATGCCCTCGAATTGGTCGATGCTCAAGATGTCGTGAACCGGGACACGGTGCCGAGTCATGTACTGCGGGCATAAAAGTCACAACCGTTCCGTGCGATCTTTGTGGTGCTTTCAACCACGTTGAAGCATCATGCCCTCGGAGGTTCTTCCTCTCAGATGCGCTGTCCTGCGGCGGGACCCTCAAGTTGTGGATTTCTTGCTGTAGATGTGCCAGCAAGTCACATCTGGTTGGTGACTGTCCGGACGCAAAGTCAGTCACAGCAACTCGGTGGTCGTTGAAGCCCCTTGCTCCTGGGCAGGTAGTCAATTTGAGTCTCGAGAGTGGTACAGCGCACCTTGAACTGGAAGCCGCCAACCGTGGGCTGCGTCCCGCGGGCATGAAGATCAAGGGTCGTGCTGGCCTCCACACTGCCGGTGTGCGTGCTTCGGTTCAAGGATCCGACGATGACATCGATGAGCCTTTCCTTGGCCCCCGAATTGGAAACAAATCAAAGGCAGATCGAGCTGAGTTTACATTCCGGCATCCACAGCGGCCGCCGGAACCACAATCCATGCAGCAACGTGGTGGTCAGTACGACCGCTACAACCCGCCATTGGACAATCACGCTTATCAGAGTCGTCCCGCCAATAATTGGTATGCCACCGATTCCTTTGGTGGTCGTCGATCGAGATCTCCGCCATCATTCGGTCGACGAGGAGCAGAGGACCCTAGGAGACGCTCGCGGTCCCCTCGCGGTTTCGACGGCTACCGCAGTGATCGCAGACGGTCGTCTCATAATTCTCATGAAAGTGGTCGCCCTACACCTCCCCACACATCTAATGTCCCTGCCGGTCATCGAGGAGGCGCTGCAACCGATTCGCCCCATCAAGGGCTTTCCATTCAACTACCACTTAGACGAGGATCGAACAACATGTCATCTCAGCAGCAGGCAGCAAATCCAGCTCGATCTCTCTCCCAGCCGGGCGTCCCACCAGCAAATGCAAAACAAGCTAAATCCAAGAAGAAGAGGTCCAAAAAGGGAAAGGCGAATGCTAACAAATCGCAAGCGTGAGCCTCGAACTTGTTGGACTTTCTTTTTGCATTGATCAAGCTAACAAGGCATTCGTAGCGACGGGTATATCAGTGATGACGACTCTGGCTGTACAACCCCAGAGCACAACATAGCAGAGAAAGAGAATATTGTTCTCCTTCCCAAAAGTCTCCGAAAGCTGCCTCCCATCGAGGTTCTGGAGAAGTACGTCAAAATCCTTAATGCTCAACGAGAACTCCGGAACGAATGCCAACTCGGACTAGAATCTAGGGGTGAAGAGTACGTTTCACTGCATGAATACTAGCAAGCCGTGTTTTTCTGACATTTTTCTAGCCATTATTTCTGCACAGCACCTAACACAAACTTGGTGGAAATTACGAGACAGCAAAGAGTCGTCATTTGGCAATGGCTGGAAGCTGTCCAGTCGTTGGCTGGCGCAGCCAAACAGACGCTCCACACATTTCTCCAGCTTCAAGGCGCTCCTGCTTTCGACCTTGTATATCTTGATGAGACAATGGTACATCGTCTTAAAGATTCGAGTGGCTGGAAGCGCAATAGGAAGGAAACAGCTCTGCACCAGCTCCGAGACCATGCTCCGATGCCTCCGGTTGTCGAGCATCTTCAGATCAGTCCCGATCCGGAGGCAGTCGCAGGCAAGGACCATGTGAACCGTGGTAGTGCAAGCCACCAGACAACCTCTCAACTCAGCGGAAAGTTCACATTCCAGTTGCCTATGGCTCCTGACGATGTAATGCAACTATACCTTAAGAAGGTTAGCATGCAACGCGACAAGTCAGGGCAAGCCCCGATTGTTCTGGGTATGAACGAAGATGGGTAAGGCTGACTCCTTTTTATGCGTTTTATGGCATGCAGCTAATAGAGCTTAGAAGGCGTTTATTTATCGATCTCTCCGGTCCCGATATGAGAAAACTGGTAGACCAGGTTGACCTGCAAGCAGTATGGCGCTGGTCCGATGCATTCTTCTCGAGGTTTTCCAGATCATCACGTCCAGCTGATAAAACGACTCGCTGGGCTTATGAGCTGTACAAGGGCCAACTCGCACGATTTCCAGTGATCCAAGACTTCTTGCGGGGCTTGTAGGAGCATGATCAACGTGAGCTTCGTGCGCGGTGAAGTGGATGGAAGAGAAGCATTAACGGACCTGTGGGAATCGATAACACTGTCCTTTTGTGACTGGTGCGAGCTTTCCAACGAGAAAAATCAGACGTCGATCCGAAGCTCGCCAGTGCTGATATTGTTCACAGAGGATCTGAACTATGAAAATGTATGATTAGATAGCACGGGCTTGTGTCGTTGGTGCTCATTATCGGTGATGTTTGTACATGGCCAACAAGATCATGTATGACTAAGACCATTCCAGAATCATGCAATGTGAAGCGTCTTCGTAATGATCAGTGGCTGTTATTCCTTGCTGAATAGCAGAGAAGCAGGTAGTCAAAGATACTCGGTAACATGCCACAGTAATAGATATTCAATCTGCAGGAGGAAGAGCACAGTACAGTTCTAACCTTGAAGGCAGTGATTTGTTCTTCGCGTCTGAATCTATTCAATATGTATCGGAACACGTTGCAATAGAGCAGCATTATGAACGAAGTGGACCTCCATACTAACGCTGACTCTCAGGCCCGTACTCTCTACTCCAGTACCATTATCCAGGTATGTATGCTACCGTTCTCATTGGTAATGAATCGGTTCCGCTGCCAATCGTTCGGCCTCTCTATCTGCCTGTTCGTCTCGCACAAAGAAAGACTTGGTCACACACCACGTGGACTCCAAGTTAGAACGCCTAGCAGGCGAGCTGCCGCAGCAAGATGAAGAAAGCACCCATGAGCGAGGGAACCGGTACTGCTGGATGACTCTATTGATGCAATCAAGGCTCCGCAAGCAAGAGCTCTCATGTAATGATGGTCCAATCGTCGCCCAATCAGGGTGTATGATGAGGTGTATGATGAATTGCACATGAATGTGGTGTGGCCAATGCTGGGTCTGTTTCGGCACGCTCGACCGATAGATTGTGAATGTGATCCTCGATAATTGGCCCATGCCGATGCCCTCGGAATAGCTGTGAGTTGATTTGCCACTGTCGGTCCAAGTTCACGAACCAACAAACTTCCAATGAAGCTGATCGTGAATGATACTCTTACAGCAGAGGCTCGAGCATCATCCAAGCCTCTTCATCGTCACCACGAAATCTTCCTATCCGCAATCAGCTCGCGGTCATTCCAGTCCCCCTCCTTCATCCTCGCTTGCGGACGGGACATGTACAGATCATTCGAATACGGATGATCATCAGGGTTCTGGGCCTGCTCACCGCCGTTACCATTGCCATCGACGTACTCCAACATCTCAACATCTCCCTGGGTTCTGCTTTCGGGCGGCATCTCACTCATCTGATTCCTCGCTGGCACCGGTGGAGGGGCATCTGGTGGTGGGTAGACAATTTCTCGTTTCACTGTCTCGGCGAGCTCATCGATGCGGTCTGCTTGGATGTAGATCAGTAGATATGGGTTTGGGGCCGGACCCCAGTTGTCCTGCGTAGGCTTGCCGAAGATCTCGTTGCGATTTTGCACAATGCTGACCCTGTCGTCGTTGTATTTGCGCCATACTTCCTTCTTGTGGTCGAAAACGTACACCCAATAATGGCCCCCAGCGGCGCCCCCTCGGTGGAAAAAGGCGGCATGTAAGCGGTAGGGATTCTTACGCATGTCGACGAATGCTTCTTTGATCTGCTGGGTCAGATGGTCCATCCGCGATCGGATCGCTGTCTTGGAGTCAATAAAGATCCAAGTATGGGACGAGCTAGCATACCTTCAAGCTCTGATCGGGCCTGGTCCACGATGAGCCCCAGAGTGGCAGTGATATTGGGGTCGATGTTGAGCTCTTCCGAGATTGGGTCCGCCGGGATCGTGGCCAAGTATTCTAGAACAAGCTTTGCGTCTTGTAGAACACTCGGTACGTCTTTGGATTGACCCTGAGAAGCGTTAGCCTTTGACTGAAGGGGTTCCAAATATTTGACTTACGTGCTTCTCCTCGAGGAGACTTCTCCGAGCAGCAAGCGTTGCTAGTTCTCTCTTCATCTCCCAAGTTTGTTGACGACGTTGCATCAGTTCTGTATCACCCTGACTTTCAAGGTACCGGTCCATATAAAGGGTCTCGGGCACTTCGACGTGATGATTGAGCTTTTCTTGACGCTTCGCTTCTTGGTTCCAGGATACTCGGTCGAGAGCGACACTGAGAACTGGCGGCAAACGAACAACTGACGTGTAAGCCTTCGTTCCATCCTGTGCATCTTGGAGGTCATATTCGTTGTCGATTGCAGCATATACATCCGACGGTTGATGGTATACTCTTGTGATGATGTTGAGAAATGGTAAAGGTTGTGGCTTTTCCTTTTCCGGTTGGGTGTGAACGATCTGTTGTCCGAAGAAAAGATCATGGACCTCGTCAAGTTGCTCGCCATTTTGGTCATATCCTGTCGGTCGCATAGCACACGACAACTGAATTATGCAATGGTTCATGACCTCGGTGACATCTTGTTGACGCGCATACTCTTCAAGTGTTGTGGTCGCCGTCTGAATTGGCTTTCTAGGCGGCACAGGCGGTGGCTTTCCTGGAGGAGGTTCGTATTTAATGACTTCTTGTTTCGTGTCCGTCTCTGTCGATACAGTAAGTTGGGACAATGCTCCTGATTGTGCATTCAATTCTGACGGAGACGCTGGTGCCAACGGATTTGTCGTCTGTGCAGAAGAGTCCTGAGAAGATACTGCTTCCTTGTTCGGCGACAAATTCTCCTTGTTATCCAGTATTGATTGCTGCTCCTCTTGGGCATTATAACCTGCCAGTACCTGGTCGCTGTCGGGCTTGGAGACCAGCGTGGCTTCGCTGGAATTGTCATGCATGGTTGTGTCCCCCTCTTCTGTTTTCGCGTCATCTTTCTCATCCAAGGTCGCTGCGTCGAAGTCGACAAGAGGGTCGAAGATTGCATCGCCTGTTGGAGACTGCACGATGGCGTCGTCTGGTATACCACTTTTCTCATACTCAGCCAGCGTCAGTGGGCCAGACATTGGTAGGCTATCAATGTGACCTAGGCTGGGTCTCTCTGACATGAGGGTAGATCTTCGACGCATCCTCTCTTTGACACTCTCGGTTTCCAGAGTCAGGCGTGCCAGTTCCTGTTCTGGTTTGATGGAGGAATGTGGCGTTTCGATCATGCCACGGAAAAGCAAGGCGAGTCTTTCAACAACTTGAACAGTTAGATAATTGGTATAAAGCTGGAGGGAGGAGTACCTACACTTCTGGGCGGTTTGCACCTCTTTCAGACTGACCTTGCGCTGGCCAACCCGTTTCTTCTCCACAAGTTTTGGGTCGAGACTCATTCTGTACTCGTCGAAGTCTAGAACCACGTTCCGGAAGACTGTCAAAGTGAAGAGGACTTGCAGCAGGCTGTTGAGATAGCAAGTATTTCCGATATTTTCAAGCCCGACAGGCTGTTCCTCTGTGCCCTCCGGTGCTTGCGGAGCCTTGCTATGCAAATGATCCAGTAAGAGGGCACTGTTTCTGCCACTGGCGATGGCAGCAAGGGCTTTGGTGTAGTATTCGACGTTGCTTGGATTCTCTTCAATGGCCATGTTGTATTGTAGCATGATCATCTCATCGTCAATCTCGCGATTCTGGATTTGTAGGGCTTGATAGCCCTCAGCAGGCTCCATTTGTGTTTCTTGTGCGAATCCGGAGTCGATCCAGAGGGACAGAAACTGGCTGTTACGATGCTCTGCTATCAAGCGGACTGCTTGAATGGCTTGTTGCTCCAAAGATTTGTTCTCAGATGTCTAACGTGGATGTTAGAAAAGAGTGATTGTGATTGAGAGGACAACCGCAGCTGACCCACCTTTACAGTGAACAAAGCCTGGATGTGCTCGTCTTCTGTCGTTTGATCAGCACCTAAAAAGATGAGCGCTTGCTCGTATGTGTTGATAACTGTACAGAGATTGTCAGAAACCAAAGCGCCTTGCCTTGCGGAACATTTCTCTCACCGTTTTGTGCTGCATCGGCAATCTTTTTACTGTTACGGTGAACGCCTATAATACGCAGATACTCCCTCAATTCATGCTGATGGCTCGGTGAGTCTGCTAGTGTGGCGGTGAAGGCACCAATAATATCGTCGTCATTGACCGCACCTTCATGCTCACCGAGGTGGAAGGCCTTGTATGCCTGATTTAAAGTCTCTACATCAAATCGACCTTGTGAAGTTTCCATCACCACCTCGGTCCCGAGTATCTCGCTTTCCCGATCGTTGGCAATATATCGCAAATTGCTCAAGTACGTTGGAGCATTCTGGGGATCTGTCTCGATTTGCCAGTGGTAAGCTTTAACAATCAAGTGGTCGGCCAGGTTTCTCGGGCATCCGAGAGCAATGAAAGGCCTATCAGAACGTCAGCTGGCACTCGGAATGTGATGAGAGCACTGACGCAGTTCTCATCTCGGGCTGAAAATTTGCCGTCCTGCTGGCTGGGTCGGTGTCATCTGCGATGGTCAGCAAGCATGCCCAAGATGTCCAGACGCAGCAGACTCACAATCTTGACAGCCAAGAGCGCGAGATAGCTCTCTTTCAGCTGGTACGGGTGGTGAAATGTCGTGCAGCTGCTGGCGGACTTCATACGGCTGTGATAAGAGCAGGCTTCCGAGCTCGTGTTCAGCATTGTCCAACCAGATGTTAAGGGGACTTTGAAAAGGTTGAGAGTCGTTGAGATCCGGTTCAGGTACTTTCCAACATTCACCAGGCTGTGAACATCTGTGTGAGTGAAGGTAACGAAGAACAACATTGATCCACGTACCACTAGCTGGAATCCGAGGCGTTCAAGCACATCTTTACAAGCGGTTCCCTCCGGCCCAAAGCGCACAACGAATCTCCTATTCGATAGATTGATCGAACCGAATTTGGCATCCTTATGAGCTCTCCATGAATTCCTGACATATGCGCGGAGGTCTGTCAACACATCAATAGGCTCCGGATGTCGCATTCCCTCAGTGTTGCCGTCCCTTTCTTTAAACGCGTCCTCCGTCCTTTGGCGGAGCATTTCTGGATCGAGCAAGTGTTGTAGGTCGCTGGGCCGTAACACCGGAGGGCTCAGACGGACTGTTACGGTGGCTGAACATGTTTTTGAGGAGCATTTGTAGGTAAAGATTTCGTCTCTTGATTTGGGGTTCTGCCGCAGCCAGGCATTCCGCTCCAATGGTTCTTGAAACTCCGATCTCACCAGATGGTGCAAGGGATGATCGGTACTAGGGCAGGGCGCTTCTTCAAATCTGATGGTATAGTCGACCTTGACATGGAGATGCAGGCGGCATACTTGACAGAATGCTGCAACGGTCCATATCGTCTCAGGGTCGGGCCTTTCGTCCAACACAGGAGGAGACGACTGTTTCGGTTTCAGTCCGAACTTGTGCCTGCAGGTTGAGAGAGGTATCAGATCTCCCAAATATTGGGTCTGAATGAACTTCAGCGGCGAGTCAGCTAATAGATTTGGACCTTGCTGAGGATCCTGCCAGGGTTCGTAGAGCGTCAAATCCTCGAGAAAAGTAGGAGCAGTCCGACCTGCCAATGTTTGTTATTACATGTTTTGTCTCACAGCGTTCTTCATCTGCACGCACCGGATCCTTTGATCGGCGCAATAAAGGACCGTATGTTTCCTTGCACGCCGGCCATGCACGACCTTCTGGGAGTGGAGTGCTGGCTCTAGGAGCCAGCAGAGAAGACGCTGGAGGTCGAATGAAGTTGGAATGGAAAAGCTGTCTTTGCTCTAGAAACATGCGCAAGTCTGAGAACTTGAAGGAACGCGGGTCTACAAAGGTGGATTGGGTCTGTCGTAGGTGGACGAAGCAGGATGCTAAGGATTTCTTCGTGTCTATGCCTGGGGCAGCCTGTTGGCGGAGGAGGCTATTCAGAACTGAGCAGGTGACTGACGATCGTACAAGTATGGCATCTACGGAGAAGGACAGTTCAGGACTTTGCCACGGCTCTAGTGGCAAAGCATTGGCATCTTGCTGCGAATTGATTGCGGCCTGCGCAAAGTAGACTATGATGCTCATCTTGCTGCAAGCGCGTAGGATGCCAAGAACGTCCGCCATTCCGAAGTAGCTCGCAAAGCTGCGGCGGCACGCATCCACTCCGTACTTGAGGAACTTCAATCGCCAAATCGAACTTAATTTGGGCACCTCAAAAAGATCAGACATCTCGTCTCACGCCCCTCCTCCTGACCATCTGGCTCCAGTCTCCCTACCAATCGACTGATGACGTGGCAAGATCCCTCTTGAAGCTTCGCAAGCAGCACCTCCAGTAACAACAATGGCCGACCTTCTTGATCCCAAAGCCACGTTCGACGATACATACCACCCGAAAGATGCTCTCGAGAGAACGGTGCATGGAATCACATACACCGGCGCTGCCGGTCTGTTTCTAGCAGCGGTGCAGAACACTGTAGCGAAAGAGAATATTGGAGCAATGGGAGTCTTTTCTCGATTTGGGAAGACCATTGGTTTATTTGGTAGGAACTGAACTGGCTGGACAAAATGCTGCGGCACATAATGCTGATACTTTTCAGCTGCCATGGGTGGAACATTCTCATTCGTCAGTACGGCGTCTGCAAACCTGCGGGAAAAGAACGATTTTCTAAACCACGCACTCGGCGGTGCATGCGCCGGCTCACTTGTTGGCCTTGCTAGTACGTCGGAACACCAAGGGCCTATTACTGTGGTGAGCTAATTGCATGCAGAGCGATCAATGCCGTCTGTCGCGGGCAGTGCGCTTGCTCTTGGGGCTGGCCTGGCTGTTGTCAGTTACACGGGGCGGTCTATGTTCGAATCGTCGTCAGATTCTCCTCAATTAGACCGTCTGGCATACAAGGACGAGGCCAAGACTCGTTATCGAAGACCTATCAATGAGACTATCAATGAACTTGGTGAAGGCAGAGGTATGTCTTGCTCAAAGCGTTTAGCGGTCAAGCTCGCTAATGGCGGTATCATCAGGTATCTACGGACCCGGATACGAAGAAAGACGCAAGCAACGAATCAAAGAGAGATATGGTATCGAGATTCAAGAACCATATTACAAGAATAAATCAGCCGAAGGCATGGTCAAGTTCTGAGCATTAAGCTCTTCATTAACACGGTCTTAAGCGGCAAGCAGCTCGAGTGCTTCTGAGGAAAGCTGGAACAACGAACCGATGTCTGGTTCAGTCAGAAGACCAACCCATCGCGGGAGAACTTCAAGGCGGCCAACTCAAGGTCGTGGGCGGCGGATGTATATCTAGATACTGGTAAATGGACAACGGAGTTGACGACCGCCCCCAATCTTTTGCGCGGCCATCTCGAGCACACTTCCAGACCCCAGTACATTGTGCCATTCCAATGTCAGCCAAACCGTTGCTTCCAATTGATTCTGCATCAGAATCTGGATATAGCTGGATATATCTTGATCGGGCCTTTGTGCTATGCACCAAACCTTCTTTGCTAGGAAGGAGGAGAGCGTGTAGACGCGTTGCCGGTCAGAAGAGCTGGTTTTTAGCTACATCTGGAGACACTTCTCATGATGGTCGAACTCCTTCCACGCCCTTCGTATTCTCGGCTATGGAGTTAGTGAGGCAAAAGACCTCTATCCCCAAACCCACCCTTTAGTGTCGATGTAGGTTCAGCATGTGAAAGGTAACGATACAGGTGTGTGTGTGTCCAGTAAGCAGTGTGGCAGTCTAGCGGTCAGGGCCTGACGGCGGGATGTAGGCTCGTAGGCGGGGTCATTACCCAGTGCAGATGATTTGTCCACCCCAATCGCCTTCGCAACAAGGATGTCCGAACAGGGTGGACAGTACTCCGTACAAAGTACTATGCCATGGATGGGTGCGAGGAAGAGCTGCACAAGTCGGCAAGCTCAACCCGTAACTTGCTTTGAGGCTGGCGAGCTAGGAGAAGTGCTCCGGTTCAAGTTCAAAACGTCAAGATTTAGTGTTGCCACGAGGAGCATGTCGCTTCTTGGTGCGATTGGGCTTTTCCCGGCTTTCCTCCAAGTGATGACGCTAGGGGCGCCATTCCCTTGTCCTCGTCTGGTCCGGGGTCACCGTCATAGTGATTGCGCAAGGGCCGATACCAAACGCCCCCGGAACTGAACGAGATGCTCAGCAGAACAGATCACCAAAGGGTGCAAGCCATGACTTGCAAGATGTGCTTCTTTGATGTCGTGGCGTTCTTAAGACATGGAACTGTAGTAGAGAAGGATCGAGCAATCAAAAATCGTAGTCAAGTGCAGCTTTCCAATGGCTGACGGTGCTGCTGAGAAGGAGCTGCAGATGGATCGGTGGAGCAATAGGTAAGGTCATGACTGATGGATGAGGAAGCTTGGGCTTCCTGGGGTTCCTCTTGTGCCTCTTTTGGGCGACACCCACGCCTGAAGCTCGAGCATAGAGCCGTCTTTACGAGCCTCGCACCTTGAGAGTCGTAACCCTGGGGAAGCATGGTTCAGCTCATAACTGTCACTGCTCGGGCTCTTCAGCTGCTTATGTAGCTTTCCAGCTGCATCGGGCAGTTATTGGGCCCAAAGGATGCAGTGCCGAGATCTGAAGAAGCGGTTGTGCTTTACCAGGGTGAGTGGCTATCGTCAAATTAGCTCTGGCGACTATCAGCTTGACTGCTCCGCTCTCTGCAAGTGCTCGGCTGAAAGAGAAAATAGCCTGGTCTGACGCTTAACATATACGATGAGCACCTACTCACGTCGAGTGATCTCGGCATACGTAGCGAGGTAGCCTACTATCGAAGAAAATATATTCCGTCAGACCTGAAAATGCCCAGGCGCATCCATCAGTCCACGTCTATGTTGATCAGTGATTGATAGCCCTAAGCTAGGTGCTAGGCGAGGCAAGCTGCCCCCCATCTGCCACTCTCTCTCCACCTGGGCGGTCGATTGAACCACTTTTTGCTTCCCGCTCTGCCGGCCGGTTGCACTGAACAACAAGTTCATCTGCTTTTCCTCCAACTCGATACCGTCTCGAGATCATCATCAGCCTTTCTTGGAATCGACGTCATTCACTCTCCCTCTCTCTGCCGACATCCACCTCTTCCGTCGCAACTCATTTCCCTGGTGTGCTTCTTGTTCCGTTGTTTGAACTGTTCAAGTGTTCCAGCTTCGTCTCCAACTTCGTCATTCACCTCTGCTACCATTCTAAACCTTCCTCCTGCGCAGTCCCAAGTGCGCCCATATCTATCACCAGTCCTTTGCAAGATGCTGTACTCGAGATAGCTGTTTCTATCCACGCCATCCTCCCCAACCCACCCTCTGCCACCCCGAAACGAACTCAACACCTCAACCGACGTCCCATCCACTGAGATCGACGTCGTCACCATGTCTAGGCCTATCACTCCAGTCTCGCCCGTCCACAGCGCAATGCCGAATCACCCCGACCCTTCGCTACACTCTGCGCGGCCCACGAGCGCCAGACCAGTGTCTTCTCGGCCAGTTTCCTATGTTGTCAGCCACCATGCAGATGCTCCCTCCAACTACGATGAACCCGGTACTTACCCACCTGAGCAAACCGCCATGTCGCAAACTGGCGAAATGCACGATGGAGGCGATGCTACGGGCGAACAAGCTCCAGACCTCCCTCGAAGCAATTCGCACATGTCAGGATCCCAAACACTACTTCCCTCAAGAGGCGGAACGTTGAAGAAGAAGCCTTCCTTGCACAAAAGCGCTAGCCTGAAAAGAACAGCGAGCAAGAGGAGCAGTTATGCTGGTTCCGTGCGAAGCGTCAGGTTGGGTGAGAAGGAAAAGTACGGCGAAACCGAGGAGACGAACAGCGTCTTCTATTGTCCCGTCCCCACGTCGGGCAATCCAACCGAACTGCTAGCGAATCGATTCCAAGGTAGGCCCCAAAAGTGGTGTTTCTGGAGCGCTTGCTAACCCTCCCATAGCATGGCGCAAAGTACTGAAGGACATCATCAATTATTTCCGCGATTTGCACAAAACTTACGAAATGCGATCCAAAGCACTCATGTCCACGTCTAACGTCATCAACAATGCCACGCTTCCTCCCAATTTTATGTCTTCAGGCGGCATAGGTGACGCCGCCTTCATTTTACGGGACTTCCACAAACAGGCTCTCAGCGAGGCGAACAAGGCCCGGGACCTGGAAAATGAAGTCATCATACAGCTGACCGGCCTTCGCAGCGATCTACAACAGAAGATCAAGGAGATCAAGAGCTTGTCTGGTGATTTTAAGAATTCAGTAGACAAGGAACAGGAAAACACTAAAAGGGCCGTTCGAGCTCTCCAAGAGGCCCTCGGCCTGGTTGACAACGATGCTGCGGCTACCAGTGGGAAAGGTGATCCTTTCTTGGTCAAGTTGGGCGTCGACAAGCAAGTGGAGAAACAGATCGATGAGGAAAACTATTTGCATCGAGTAAGTCTTACATGTTGAAGATTCCCCGATCTGAAGCTAAGTTCCCCAGGCGTACCTGAATCTTGAAGCGTCGGGGCGCGAACTTGAGGCAATCGTGGTTGGGGAGATCCAGAAAGCGTACAATGTCCTAGCTGGCATTCTCCGCCGTGAAGCCGATGATGCCTATGACGCTGCCGAAAAACTCAAAGAAGGGCCGCTGGCGATGCCGAAAGACCATGAATGGGACGAGTTCACCACGAACAACAACCAAATGATCGACCCGCGCAGGCCTGTCCGGCAGGTAGCGAATATTGTCTATCCTGGCAAGGATCATCCAGCGGCTATCGAAGTCAGAAGTGGCATGCTCGAAAGAAAGAGTAAATACCTGAAAAACTATACCCCCGGATGGTAAGGCTCGTCACTGCCAGAATTGACACTTTTCTAACGTTGCACTAGGTATATCTTGTCGCCAACTCACCTCCACGAGTTCAAGTCGGCCGACCGCGTTACCAGCCAGACTCCGGTTATGTCACTATACTTGCCCGAGCAGAAGTTGGGCACACACTCCGAACCCGGTTCGTCATCGCACAAATTCATGCTTAAAGGCCGCCAGACCGGATCCATGCACCGTGGACACGCCTGGGTTTTCAGAGCGGAGACTCACGACACCATGCTCGCTTGGTACAACGACATCAAAGAATTGACCTCGAAACGTGGCGAAGAGCGAAATGAGTTCGTTCGCAGGAGTCACGCCCGGTCGATTTCTGGAAACAGCCTTAAGCCCGCAAGCATAATCAGCTCCGAAGGTGCAATGGAAGAAGACGAAGCTGACCATATCGCCTTTGCTGGAGAACAATCTGTCCGAGGTAATTCTACTGCAGATGAGACTGGCATGACCGGAGCAGCTGGGCTAGGTGTTCTAGGTGCAAATGACGTTGAGGATACCCGGTCAGAAGCCGGATGGCGTCCTCCTCAACAACGACCAGCACCAGGTGGGCGATTTCCATCCGACCTCAACATTCAGCGAGGCTTACAAGCACCGCTTTCCCCGTCTAGTGGAGCCGATTCTGACCAAGACCGAGATGTTATAGCAGCTGCAGGTTCCCTCCCAGGAAGTGGCGTGCCGTTTTCCAATACCCCCGAACGGCACACAGACTTGCAGACGACCGTCCATCAGCCAGCTCCAGTCACCAACACGGCGACTACCAATAACCACTACGCTCCTGGCCAGCATCCAAACATTCTCCCCGCGCATACCACACCGCACCAAGATTCGGTCAGTCAGTACGGCGAGTGGATGGCACCTATTGCCGCGGGCACTGGAGGTCTTGCAGTGGGTGCGGGTGTGATGCACCATCATGATCAGCGCCAGCAACAGCCGATGGTTGAGACATCAGCACACCAGATGGATGGCGAGGCGGCAATTCCGAGCCCAGGTCAATCTTCGGCTCCCATTCCTGTAGCGACAGCAGCGCCAATTGATGCCCCTACTGGTCCACGCGCCATGAGCGAATCGACGACTGCACCGAGCTCGGCAGCAGGAAACGCAACATCGTCAGGCGCAGATACTGCGACTCTATCGACTGTGCCGACTAGCACAGGTTATCCTGCAGCCAACGAGAGCATGTTCGATGCCAATGGAGTCTTTACTGGCCCCAGGGCTGCGAAGACCCCGCCAACAGCGTACGTGCTCAAGCCATCGGACCGGTCCAAGAGTCACACAACCATAAGTGATTTACATGTCCCTGGAGAGTTTCCACAAACTCCCGCTCTCAACGAAGATTCAAAGCTATACCAAGACGTGATCCAGAGCTGAGCTGATAGCTATCACATCAAAATGTCAAAGGCCATAGATAGGTTTGGCCGAAACGGGTGACGTACATACGGAAAGGACAACAGGCCGAGTCGATATTTCCTACCTTTCTGCAGGCACATTGACGGTTACACATCATGCGGTGGCGGAATGTCATATTGTTTTATGTGCAGTTTCAAAGATACCAACAATTGTTTGTCTTTTTGCCATTTCTGTCCCTTTTTGGCATGCAGCTCGTTGGAAACTTCAACCAGTGGTTATGCCAACGTACTTGCCCACCAGGTGGAACGTCGACCAGACCTGTGACACGCGCGGGGGATGTCGAAAGGTTTGGAAAGCACAGGAGGGCAGACAACGTGCGAAGGCGGCCATGTTGGTTTGGTGAGTAGCCGTATCTTACGAGAAATACCTTGAAACCCACCACTGTCTCTTCGTTCCATATTACATGTGTCGGTCTTTAGGCTTTTCCGAACGGAGATTTGCCAGCGAGTGCCAAACGACCGTATGCCAGGCGACAGTCTTTCCTTTCATTCAGCAGGTGCTTTTCCTCCCAAACATGGATGATCTTGTATGTTTGACACCGAGTCATTACTCTTGCCGCCAACAGCCCTTGCTCACCGCGCAGCGCAAGGCCGAAGATGCCCGCTCGCGAGTGACTCGCTCAGCCTGGTCGTGGACTCGCTTGACGGTACGGCTGCAAGTGTTGGCCAGTACACAAAAACACATCATCCCTGAACACCATAAAACCTGCCCAATGCTTCATAACCCAGTTTCCTCACCGCGAAGCCGTCCAGCGCCACCTTGGTCTCATCCATGGCCTGAAGCACAGATCTCATACTCGCGGTGTTGTTACGCATACTCAATAGATGACTCCGCAACTGCTTCAGCATAGAGTCCAGCTCTTCACCACCGCCCTCATCAAGACTCGTCGTCGCGCTTCCACATCGTGCATATTCCGCAGCGTCTTTCGCGCTGTCGATGGATATTCCCGTGATGCTGTTTACTCTGTCAATCTCGTGGACTTGCTCATCGTCGTCGTTGTCGTCGTCCACCGGCTCGAGTTGTTGAGCGACAGGGTGCAGACCACGCTCTTTCCTCCGCCTCAACTCCTTGCTTGATTTCAAGCCCGTCTCGAGAGCGTCGAGTTCCCCCCGGTCGCGCTTCAGAAGTCTTTGTTCGCGCTTGATCTGCCGGCGCAGCAGGTGCGACGAGGATGTGTCCGTGTTTAGTGTCGCTTGGAGAGAAGATATCCGGCGGAGGGTGTTGGATAGGTCGAAGGGCGTGTCATCCATGGATTGAGTGCTGGGTGCGGGCGGGAATGGCATTCGGGGGAGACGGCATATGAGTCTAACAACCATTCGTTAGCGGACGTGTGTAGGCTTAGACTGTGTTGCATGAGAAGGAGGAGCTTTTCCGGGTCCAGGGCGAAGAAATACCCCCCAACTCGGTGGTCAGAGAGAGTCGCGCGGCCCAGTTCATTTCCACCACATTACGGAGTAAGTCACCCGGAATGATTGGTGCACCGTACGCTGTGGACGGCGCAGGACTCTCGCTTATGATAAGGGAGGTAAAGCCAGAGAAGAGGGCAGTGAACAGATGAATGAGTCAACGCACTTATCGGCGATCTCCTCCACAATCTGATCGTACTCTTCTTCCTTGACTTGTGTCTTCGAATTCGCCTTGGCCGACCTCTTACGCGGCGCTTTACCAAGTGGCGGGATTCGCGCCGTGCTCCCGCAACGCTTCGTCTTCACGTTCAGAAGGATCTGGCGGATCTTGTCTTGTGAGTTGGTGGGCAGGGGTTTCCATTTCTTCTGGATGGTCGACTGGGATATGTTCTTGATACGCGGTTCGAGGGTCGCGAAGTGTGAGCGCGCGCGGTCGGACGTGGAGGAGGAGGAGGAGTGTTTTGAGGGGTGCATCCTGGCTTGTGGCTTTTAGACGTTGAATTGGCGCGTTGCAGAGGACGTGATAACGACCAGAATCGTTGTGGTGAAGTGTTCAGGCGATAGGCTTGGGAGAAGGTGGAAATGCATTACAGGCTCTCGATATATCTGACCTGGGTTTAGCGCAGCCTTGTGGTTCAGCCTCGCCTCACACTGGGCACTACCCTCCAGATGGTGCTTTGGCGTTCGCGGCTCGAGCAACTCCGACAACCACAGGATAGCTTTGGTAAAGTCCCTGTCGACAAGTGCAGCATAGAGATTGTGCGTCTGATGACTGCCATTGGTGGCGCTAACGTTCAGCATATTCAGACATAAAGCACGCTACAGCTCCATTCTCAAAATGAAGCAGACTGGTTCTTGTTCTCGTTACTAACGCAATGTTCAAAGGGTCATATCCGTCATAGCTTGTTACCATTTCCAGCTCACAGTCTGTGTGCCACTATGCCCGGCACACTCCTTACAACAAGATCGATACTGCCGTGACCTGTGGATCCATCACATCATACGGCTTCGTCTGATCATCCATGTCCAGGCTATTCTGCTTGAAAACGTTTCTCAACTCCATCAAATCTGCATACAACTGCGCTGCTGCTGCAGCTACGGCATCCTGGTTATTCAATGTCGCCAGTTTGGCCGTCGACAACGCAAAGTTCACCAAATTTTGATCTTCGGCAACGCGATAACTGAGAAGGTGTGGGAGGTGAGAGGCCAGCAGCCATTCTCGAGGATGGTTAACCGGATAGGCGGCCATCAGGTCTTCCTCTGTGTACTTGGTGAGCTCGTCCAAAGTCTTCGGAAGTGGTGCAAATAGAGCTGAGGGCTTGTTGATCACGAAGGTCTGGTAGTAACTCTGGAGATAATTTACCGCCGTATGTTGAGGTGATGCAATGTGTATGCACATGGTCACAGCGTCGACAAGGGCTTCAATTGTCTTGATCTCTGGGAACGACTTCAGCTGTCCCCCATCATCGCTTTGCATCTCTTTTGTCCAAGCATCGATATGTTCATCAATGGCCACGTCTTCATTCGACTTATAATTGATGGCGATGATTGCTGCCACGAATTTGCGTAGTGTCTGCCACATGAGCACCATATTCCGTCCGTATGCATAGTTGTGGAACTTGGGGTTGTGCGGCAGCTCCTCAGTAGGAAACCCCGTCGCCTCCAAACTAGTTGGCACATACTGCCCCGTCCAGTCGAAGCGCCGGTACGCATCTCGAACGAACGAGTAGAGCTGCGGATCCGTCACCCCAACGATTCTGGTGACGACATTCGGGACGAGACTGGCTCGAGCTGCAGCGTTTATTGACAATGTTTTGAGCCAGTGGGGTTGCAACAATTGATAGACTGGATGATCGATCGGGAACGCTCGATGCGCTGCCACGATGGTGACCTCTTCAACCAAATGAGCGTTGACCAGGTGTACAGTGACTTCGTGTCTCAACCAGTCGGAGACCTGCGCGCAAGTTTTGGCGTATCTCCACGGCCAGTCGTCTTTCGGTTCTGGGTCTGAGGGGCTGGCCCTTTTGTTGAAGATCACTACGGACTCTCGCAGACTACCCTTGTAGTCGATTGCAATCGCAAGCGGGTGCAGGGTACCTTGCTCAGTCAGATGAAAGAGAGTTACTGCTGCACATAGACGCCTTGTGCCATCATTGGAAGTCATGTCTGCGTGGGCATCTGCACCGATAGCTGCACGGAAGTAGCTGCAGTCTTGGATATAGAAACTATTCGCGTCATGGCTGGAAATCAAACGATACATTTCATCGTTTCCTTGGGCGTCCTCGGCAAATTGCATGACCCATTGGGGCGAGGCTTGTTGGATTGTTGTTGGATTTGGACCGACGAACTGCTGCTGAGCGAAGACTTTGTCGGTCCACCAGTCTGGGCGGTTGCCAATATTCTCTTCATCGAAGATGTCCTCTTTGTCCCTGTGAAGCTCATTGTTGCGGGTCTCGATGGCGTCGACCGTAGCACCCTCGGGATGATCATGAATGAAGTCGAGGATCTTATCAGGAATCAACGTCCCGATCAATGTGCCAGTGTCGAGCAGGCGCATAAAATCGAAAATCTCGAGAAGGCTTACTTGATCCACTTTCGGGATTATGTCCAAGTGGGGTGGGTAGTTGTCGCTTCCTGGTTTCTGAAAGGTATACAACTGCTTGGCTTCGACTAAGAGATTCAGAGGTACGCTTGTCTCAAATCCCGCTACGTCGAAGAAGGACTTAAATCTTGTCCGGGGTTAGCATATCTCTTAAAGAGCGAACATTTCGACGGTACCTTCCCTCAATCCTCTTCGTCATTTGAGTCAGTGCCAACTTCGTCCCTCGATATGTGCCTGTTCTGAGCGGCTCCGGCTTTCCTGCATCTTTCGGAGGAGTGATTTTGGCTTTCGTCTCGGCAGCAGTGAGGTTCCTAGGTACAACAGACTTGTTGAGCAATTCAGAAGTGAAAACACCGTCGTCCCAACCATGTTTCAATCTCGTTGTTTCGACAATCTCCGATGGCGACGTGATGTTGTCCATGTTGAGCGGCAATGAGGTCTCCTGTTTGTAGGAACGAGATGGAGAAGGGAAGAGATGTGAGACATCTTTCAGCCTACAGGCTGGGCCCCGACACACATATTGGCCAGAGGCGGCTAGGATATCGTCCCGTTTATTTCATCTTGTGCTTGACTCGTGGACGACCCGACGTGCGCCGCTATGCATAAAGGATGCAAATATCTCATGAGAGCCAAGCGAAGCCAGAGAGGCTTGCGAGGGGTATCATATATGGACAGGTCAGCCGCACCTTATGCTGCACAGATAATTGGTCAGCCGAACACGAGCACGAAGATTCTGTCGAGAGGTTCAGCTCCTCAGGGTTTCGCTTCGACGTGATGGACTCTAATCCTCGGAAGCTGAGTCCTGCGGGCTCAGGTAGGGCGTTGCCATCGTGAAATCTGCAGCTGATGGTGACGGGGTTTCTCGTATTTCCTTTAGACGCTGGCGGTTCTTTCCCTCCCTTTCTCACGGCTCTCGATGTCTTGTTGAATGCTTCGCTTTGGCAACCCTTTATAATCTCTGTGGCCGAAATGGACCAGTGGCTTGCTCAACGCCGGTTGCAACAACTGGCAGCGACTGACCTTCGCACTGGGGATTGCCGAGCCAGCTTTCGAACGTTCTTCAAACTGGCCGCCAATTCTGACCCCTCCACCTCGCTGTAGGCTCACCTTTTCAAAGCTCTAGGCAAGTTGAATGCACGATACGCAGCCGTTTTACTCCAGAGCCCCAGGGTGCGGGGGAGACTTGATGTTTTTGTGCATTTCCAACATTGCTCTTCCTGCCCGGGCCTACCTGCTCAACTTACGAACACGAGAACTCCAAGCGGACGGTCGTATCCAAGCACCAGTCCAACTTATGTTGTCCGCCAGGCCAAAGTCCACAGAGGACCAAGGCACGTTCCGGGGTCTCAAAAATGCCTACCATGCGGCTTCCGTGATGTGTAGACAATCTCTATCCCTATTCCGCTTGCCGTCGTGATCCTAGATGGTGTGGAGGACGTGCACACTTCGTCGGTCTGTGTGGGAAAGTGACAAACACAGTGTCTCGGTTGCCTCGTGTCCACTTGTCATTCTCCACTAATTCGGGAGTAGGCTCGGACAGCCAGTCTGGCTGCCTGGGATTAGCACGGGCTCAGCCTTGCTTGCCCTTTGATGCAGCTGGGTCTCACGAAAGCTGAGAGCCATCTCTGAGCGTTTCACGGGGGGGCCCGAGATGACAGATTCAGCCCGAAATGATCATGTTCGAATTCCTATAAGTCAGCCATTCCCACCTGTCGTCGTCAAGTGCTGCCATAGAACTCTGTTCTCCTCTCCGAGTCTTCGGGACCAAGTACTTGCTGTACCTCTGCCTAGCTCTCGGTGCAACATCAGTCTCCGGAATGCCCATCCAAGACTACGGCGTCTGGAAGGGCAGACCTGTGTCATACGAGGTGGATCCGCCGCATGACCGTTCTCCTCACATCAACCTCGTCTTCACAGGCGATGGGCCAAGAAAGCTGAAAGCGGCCATCAACGTCAAGTCCCAAACCAAACCGCATGAGCTCGTATACTGGTTCGATCGCAACTTTTCCCATCCACTCACCCTGGCTCTCGTGCAGCTGGATTATGGCTTCCAAGCCATTGAGCCCGACGACTCACAAACTATGGATCTAGCACTCGACTATGTACGGACCCCTGATATCCTCCAACTTCAAGAAGGCAGGATCCTGCCTTTCATCGAAGACGGCCCAGACAACGACATTTTGGACCAACTTCAACCGATTCTCGACGACGCTATCCAGCAGAAGGCGGACATCTATCTGTATGGGTCATCCTTCGGACCAGGTGGCATCCACGAGGTACATATGAATCAAGGGAGTACTGGATTCGACAACGGCGTTAGACAGGATGGAGGGTTCTTGCTTCGCTTCGCCGATGGGCGTTGGGCGGCAGTATTTCTGGCATTTGCTTCGCAGCGCATTCCGACAGATGATACATCTGGCGAGCCGTTGCCTGGTAGTCAATCTCGATCTCTGAAGAGCATCATTGAGAGTCGCGGTCGAGCACGCCTGTAAAGCAAGGCACTCTGAACATGTCGGCGAGGGGCTGGACATCAGGGGAACTCGCTGTCGCAACTCTAAGGTAGCAGTAGATAGTTGACCGTGACAACTTGTATGAGGGGTCGAGGCGGCGAGAAACTGCTGAGCAAGTTTATACCAGCACAACGTATGGACCTTTAGCCTGTTGTTTGAGTCCCTTTGACTTCTAATGCCAACGCTCCATCAGCGTTGTTACGTCCTCATGTTGGGCGCATGTTGGCTTCCGCCCGACCGAAACTATTCAATCAACAATTGTTGTCTCCAAGGTAAAACTTAAGACGGAGAACAACGATGGTCGACCTCGGATAACGGTAAATTGCTAGCAAGGCTAGCCTCCATTTGCGTGGCTTTGCTTCGAGTGTACATACTCCATACGGAGCAAATTGTCACAAAGAGGACAGCAGGAAAGAAGTCCATGCTAGGAGCAACGGAGATTATTGAGGGAACGAGCGCAGACTGTGGTACTAGTAACGTGGACCACAGTTTCAACCCACCAAAAGATCTCGGATGAAGGGAAGTTTCCCACTTCGCCGCAAAAGATGCAACGGAACAAACAACGAAGATTCGGCACATGCTGCTGATCTTCGCGTCCGTCCCACGATTTGATCGTCGGCTTCTTGTTTCTTACCAGTCCAGCAAGACACCACGGGATTTCCTCAAAACATGTCTACCATTGCCTAGGTGTTGCCTTTGATTAGACATGCTCGCTTGTCTTACGCTCTACCACTGACGCTTGCAGCAGATGTCTCTGCTTCCTCCAGTCTTTCATTTCGCATTCCACCTTCGAAAGCAAATGAACATTCCCTTCTCGTGATCTCCGGCCATTACTACAGTTGCAATATGGTCGAACTTGTCCCTCCTCCCGATCCTCATTCTCTACTGCCACCTCTACTTGCCTTTCTACCGACATCCTTTGCGTCTCCTAGACCACCACCCGCGTTACTCCCTCTTCTTTCTCCTATACTGCGGCAGCGCCTTGATCTCCATACTGCTGCGTCCTCCACAGATAGCTGGGCAAGCCTCTTATGTTGGGACGCAAGAGAGGGGCAGGTCCTCAAGGACAAGATCGAGGAAGCTGTATTCGAGCCACACCCCGTTTCCGGAGAGATCGAAGTCGGGGATCATGAACAAATCAAATACAAGAGATTTGACGAGGAAACACTGCGGGCACAAATACCCCTGATCGACTGGCCTTTTACGGCGCTATACCTATGGTGCACGGGAAGCGAGGAAGGGAGCGCTTGGAGGCTGGCGGAACTTTTACCACCCGATGCAGACCTGCAGAGCGACCCTTCCTGGTCGACATCGATCGCGGATGCCAATGAGAGTGCAAAGGAAAGACTAGTCACAGAAGCCCTGCAAGAAGCAGACCGAGCAAATGCTCGCTGGCGAGGGAATCTCTCGGTTCCTCAAGCCGACGAGGACGATTACTGGGCAATGTACGACAAGTCGGAAGGTAGGACACCCGCTCGAAAAGCCTCGGTCGACCCACATGCCAGTGGTCCCTCGGAGGACGAATACTATGCGCGGTATGGCAGTGTTCAGCCTACAATGGACGCCCACGACCCCGATGAAGAGATGGAAATGGCTGGTTCGTCGACACTGAACGGACATTCCCTGGAGCATCTGCTATCAGGAGGGCAATCGAATCCATCTACCGACCGAGATCCTCCGCCGTACCAGAAGTCTTTCGAAAAACAGGCTGAGGAGGAGAATGTCGAAGTGAATCATCCAGCACCGTCATCACCATCTTCGGCGGGTTCAGATACTGTTGCGCGGCTAGAAGAGCACGCAGAACGGTACGGAGCTTCCGAGGTCGGGATTAGACAGCATATCAGCACCAGCTTGAAGAGCATGTATCGATTAGCGAAGAGTGCGGGAATGGATCGTGACGAGTTTGAGCGCATCGTTCAGCGTGAGTTGGAAACCCTGAGCATTTTTGATAGGCACGACTAGGGGAAACAACACCAGCACCCATAGCTGCCGCTGTGGAAATGCAATCTATCAAGATCAAAAATTTGGGAAATGCTGGACACGACCGTCCTTGACTTTTCCGACAATTGGCGATGATATGTTCGTACTCGCGTACCGTGTATTCAAGCCCCTTTTCGAAAAGGACGCGGAGCCTCCCACGTCAAGCGCACGGACCAAGTGTCGCGCGGTCTCGAAAAGTTTAGGACACGTCTGCTTGGTTTGCTTGCTCCCCTTGCGAACTTCAAATATGTAAATTCAATGCCGAGAACCTTTGATTCTTCATCGGTCCTCTTCTTTTCTTTCCATTGACTCTTCTCTCGCCATCTCTTTAATTCATAATTCTCTCTCCCTGTGACGACAGCACGTTCCTTGGCTGAAGGGCGACCTTCACGACAGCCCGGTGATCGCTCCTCACATCCACCTTCGGCATGGCTACCCCAACCCCCAGCCTGCGCCATCGAGGCGGGAAGGAGAAGAGCAAGGCTTTGGTCGACGGCGATCGAGATGAGCACATTCTATCTCAGGCCTATGCGGAAGTGCACAAGACAGCTTCCAAAGAATGGGACTACAAACTTGCCCTGGGGGTGATTACCCTGCTTGCTTTCGCTACTCGGTTCTTCGGTATCAGCCACCCCAACGAGGTCGTCTTTGACGAAGTCCACTTTGGCAAGGTACGTTCATCGTCAATGGCTCAACCCATACACCATCCCTCTGACAGAGAATGATAGTTCGCATCCTATTATCTGCAGAGAACCTACTTCTTCGACGTGCATCCTCCGTTCGGCAAACTCCTCTTCGCTTTCGTCGGCTGGTTGGTGGGCTACGATGGACATTTCCTCTTTGACAACATTGGAGAATCCTACATCACCAACAATGTGCCATATCTTGCGTTCCGAGCTCTGCCTGCGCTCCTCGGAGCTCTGACCGTTGTCGTGACCTACTTGATCATGTGGGAATCAGGCTATTCTCTCCCGGCTTGTGTCCTGGCGGCAGGATTGGTCCTGTTCGACAACTCGCATGTTGGCCAGACCCGCCTGATCCTGCTTGACGCAACCCTTGTCTTCTTCATGGCACTGAGCGTCTTGTCCTACGTCAAATTCTACAAACAACGCCACGAACCATTCACCCGGAAATGGTGGAAATGGCTTCTGCTGACCGGCTTCTGCATGAGCTGTGTCATTTCCACAAAATACGTTGGAGCCTTCACATTCTTCACCATTGGATGCGCTGTTCTGATTGACTTGTGGGATTTATTGGACATCAACCGCAAAGGCGGACCTCTCGACTTGATGACTTTTGGAAAGCACTTCGTTGCTCGCGCTGTCGGGCTGATCATCATCCCTTTTTTCTTTTACCTGTTCTGGTTTCAGGTGCATTTCGCCGTTCTCACACGGTCCGGCCCAGGCGACGACTTCATGACCCCTGAATTCCAGGAGACACTCAGTGACAACCTGATGCATCAAGCCTCCATCGACATTCAATACTATGACTATATCACCCTTCGGCATAAAGATACGAAGGTATACCTGCACAGTCATCCTGACAAATACCCCCTTCGCTATGAGGACGGCCGTGTTTCCAGCCAGGGACAACAGGTCACTGGCTATCCATTCAATGATACCAACAATCAGTGGCAGATTTTGCCAGATACTCCTACTCCAGATGCTTCTCAGTCAGGTCGACCTGTATTGAACGGTGACGTCGTCAAGCTGCGTCACATTGTGACTGATACTATGCTCCTAACGCACGATGTGGCATCCCCATACTATCCCACAAATCAAGAGTTTACCACCGTGCCTCTCGACCTTGCAGCTGGTGACCGGCACAACGACACTTTGTTCGAGATCCGAATGGAACAGGGAAAGAAAGGCCAGCCATTCAAGTCCCACTCTGGCCAATTCAAGCTCATCCACTATCCAACCAAGGTCGCCATGTGGACTCACACCACGCCACTTCCAGAATGGGCGTTCAAACAGGCCGAGATCAATGGGAACAAGAACGTTCAGCAGTCCAGCAACATCTGGTATGTTGACGACATTCCAAATATTCCCGCGGATTCGCCTAGATTGATCAAAGAGCCTAAGAAGGTCAAATCTCTGCCATTCTTCAGCAAATACATTGAGTTGCAGCGAGCCATGTTCTACCATAATAACGCCTTGACCGCAAGTCATCCGTACGCCTCCCAGCCATATCAATGGCCCTTCTTGCTGAGAGGTGTGAGCTTCTGGACTCAGGAAAGTACAAAACAACAGATCTACTTCCTCGGGAACCCCATCGGCTACTGGATCACTTCTGCTCTGCTTGCCGTTTTAGCCGGCATCATGGGAGCGGATCAACTGAGTCTGAGACGTGGAGTCGATGCTCTCGACCGACGTAAGTGGTTCACCTGCATGTCTAGTTGAGATCTCCTGCTAACGTTCTCGCCTTTGTTCCAGGCACGCGCTCTCGTCTGTACAACAGTACTGGATTTTTTTTCCTGTGCTGGGCAGCGCACTATTTCCCATTCTACCTGATGGGTCGTCAACTTTTCTTGCACCACTACTTGCCCGCCCACTTGGCCTCCTGCCTCGTGACTGGCGCTTTGGTCGAATTCATATTCAATGTCGACCCTGTGCTTGACGACGAGACCTCGGCCACTATCGCAGCCAAGAAAGACAAAGTCACCAGCAGGGTGCCTGAGAAGGCTAGACGTTCATTCCACACGGCGCAGGAACGGCTCAAGGGTCAAAGCATGTTTGCAACTTGGGTGGCCTCGGGTGTCGTGTTGGCCGTTGTCGTTTACGGATTCTACTTCTTCTTCCCCCTCACATATGGCTGGCCCGGCTTGACGCCTCAGCAGGTCAATGCCCGGAAATGGCTCGGATATGACTTACACTTCGCTAAGTGAGGGGGAAGAAGTACACCTCTGCAGCTGCAACGCCAGACTGATGTGGCGCAAGTCCGGTCTGACCCAGGTGCGATGCATGCGCAGTGGAGGATGGATAAAGGGTTAAGAAGCTGCTGAAGGGGATGGAGGCGACTTCCCAAAGAAGTCAAATGACACTGCGAAACAGAGGCCAGATTTCTGCCCGGCAGAAAAGGGGTTCGCCATTGGACGGACCGGAGCGCCCTGGTCATGCCGGACGTAGTACAAGGCTCCCAAAGGTCCGAGGGCCTAGAGAACTCTGGCCAGGCCGCGAGTTGGTTGACTTGGGACTCTGCCTAAGGTATGTGGACAAGTGTTCGAAGTCCATCAGCCCTCGCAGCCTGGCTTGTGGAAGGGCAGGTGGGCGAGAAATTGATAACATTTGTACGTCACATGGATTCTATGCCTCATTCGAGTCTAGTGTATGTCGACACCTGATTGGATCTTCACCTACCGTCATCTATCCTGTCCTTCGCTGCTATCTTCTTCTGTCGGGCCGTCTTCCTATTTGCATCGCCTCATCTTCCCATGTCCATGTGACAACAACAAGCCGAAGGACCTCCAGATAGTGCTGTCTGCAAACTGTTAGAACCCACCACACATTTCCGGCCCGGCAAGGAATTCGCTCAAGCCGGTGAATGAAGCCAGAGAAGTTACATACAGGCTTCGAGACCACTGCGGAGGATGCGGATGTACGTTGCGGCATGATGCGGCCAACGGCGGGTTTCAACGTACTGGGTGAGCAGGTATTAGGTAGCACGTAGCGAGTTTGAAATTTTCTTCTTGTGGCAATAACCATGTCACCCCGCACCAGCACCTCGTAGCTTCCTTTCCACGAGACATCACAGGATGACGGCGTGGTGGGCGTTGGCACAGCGCGACAGATGATGCTCTGAATGCGGTGTTGACAAGCACCGCAAAGTCTATCATGACTCACGTTTTGGAGGATGTTCATCAATAAGACAGCCCTCTTTCCGTCATCCACCTAGAGCCAGTCCAGGAGCAGGCGCACGGTGAACGGTGAGTGAAGGGCGGCGCCTGCATATCAGCGCAACGCAGATGAAAGATAGGCGTAGGTACTCCGTATCAAAGTCGCGTATATCCAGGACTCTGACTCTCTCTCCTTGAGCTGATACTAGTACACAGAAGCACTACTCGTATCTTTCACATTGTGGCGCTAGCTACTAGTATCGCAGAGATACGGTCGGACGAGCAAGCTCCAATGGACCTTCGGGGTCAATGGATGTTATGACTTTTTCAGGAATCCGCGTAGGCCGATACGTTGCAACGAAAGATAGCGGTCGTGTCCTTCGGTGCCCACGTGAGCAAAGGATGATAAGGGGTCCTGGGCTAGCGGGTGAGCCTTGCATGAGCAGCCCGCCAAGGCTATCATCGGGAGATTTGAAGGCCCGAGTCAGACAGGTCAGACAGGTCAGACAGCTGATCAGACGCCCGATGCTGATCGTCAGGCCGGTCAGATTCGAATCCTACTATGGATAATCTAGGCGCCCCAATCTTCCTGGATTAAGGGATACAATACACATGGTGAGGACAGTAGAAGGAGCTATAGGAGCTCCAACACAATTTGAGCAAGTCGGACGAAGGAATAAGGAATAAACAAGACACGACAAGAGAAAAAAGATTTTCAGCCTTGCCCCTCAACTCCCCCCCCTAACGTCAGCATGCACCACCCCCGACTTCCCGGTTTCTGGTGCATCATCCATTCTTACTCGTACTTGTACTAGTACCCTGTACTCTCGTATTGTCTGTGACCAATGAATCGACCCTTGGGAGCCAATCACAGATCTCATCGACCTGCAAGGCCGATTATCGCATGATACAGCATGTCTAGCGAGCAAACCGAGGCCGGGATTGGCTGGCCTTCTCAATGATGGAATGGTTGTGCATGATGCGACGTAGTGGAGGCGCAGCCCTGCAGATTGGCTGCAAGGGCCAAGAGATAGGGAGGGAAGGCTCCGGTGATTCTGAGTAGCAGTGAGTGGCAGGCGAGCAGGTAAGAGGGAAAAAAGCCAAAATTATTCCACATCCTAATAAATATCCGGTGCTCGTCTCACTCACCGCCTTGGCCAGCCCGTTTCTGGAAATCAATGGCGTGCTTCTTCCACAAAATGTTGCCATTGTGCCTCATCGCCGTTCACTCAGTAAAACCCGTCAAAACATCTCCTTTCCGCGTCATCAAAGTCCTTGCTCGCGGCTCTGTCTCCTGGATTCTCTCCACAATTTGCCCCAGATTGAGCGAAGGATGACAACAACAAACGGGTGGTCTTCCACTGACCGCCTTGCGCTGTTACGCTGCACGCTGCACGAGCGCCTGCCCGTCTATCGCAGCCACAGAAGTACCCCTAGCGTTCCCCACATACGCGATACCAGGCTGAGTAAACTTCTGCCCGGCTGCCTCGCCCTTCGTTTTCTTCCATCCTTCTCGTCTCAGTCGTCTGGCCCACGAGACTCCCAGCACGCAATACAACGTCGGGACTCGCGTCACTCCTTTCTTCTGCACTATTTATTTCTATCAGCATCCCCCTCGTTTTGCTGTCTTGTCTTCTTCTTTCCTCAAGCCTGGTGTAGCTACTCTTGCAGAACCCATACAAGTCTTCTTACTGTTCTAGACCCCAGATCAATCATTACACAACAGCCATGGGCTCCTACAACCCCTTTCCGGCTTCTCCGCCAGTGTCGCCTCCCAATGGCTTCCAAGGCGCCGCCGGCTTCTCGACTCCTCTGTTTCCAGCAAGGCCAAACATCCTCTTCATCATGGCTGATCAGCTGGCCGCGCCTGCCTTGAAGATGCACAACCCAAAGTCACAGATCAAGACACCCAACCTGGACAAATTGGCCGAACAATCTGTCGTCTTCGACTCTGCATACTGCAACAGCCCACTTTGCGCTCCTTCTCGAATGTGCCTCATCAGCGGCCAACTGCCCTCCAAGATCGGCTCCTACGATAACGCATGTTCAATCCCCTCTGAAACTCCCACCTACGCACATTATCTGCGCGACGCAGGCTACGAGACAACCTTGGCCGGCAAGATGCATTTCATTGGAGACCAGCTGCATGGTTATGAAAACAGATTGACTGCGGACATCTATCCTGGTGACTTTGGTTGGGCTGTCGATTGGGATGACCCGGATCGTCGCTTGGAGTGGTACCATAACAGTAGCTCTATCTTGCAGGCCGGGCCATGTGTGAGGACCAACCAGCTTGATTATGATGAGGAGGTTCTCTACAAGTCCAAGCAGTATCTATATGATTATGCACGAGAGCCTGCCTCCAAGCGACCCTTCGCTTTGACCGTGTCATTCACTCATCCTCATGATCCATATGCCATTGAGGACAAGTACTGGGATCTGTACGAGGGTGTGGACATCGATCTGCCCAATGTCACACTGAAAGAGGAGGAACAAGACCCTCATAGCAGACGTCTCATGCGTGTCTGTGATCTCGAAGGTTATGACTTCTCCGCTGAGCAGATCAAGCGTGCGCGCCGAGCATACTACGGTGCCGTGAGCTACGTTGACGACTGCATTGGCCAATTGCTCGACGTGTTGAAGAAGTGCGGCTTGGACGACAACACCGGTAAGTCTCAAACTCACTCCCTTGCCTTTTTGGCAACGCTGACCGACGTTCTCACAGTGATCATGTTCTCTGGCGATCATGGCGACATGCTTGGAGAGCGAGGTCTCTGGTACAAGATGTCGTACTTTGAAAATTCCGTCCGTGTGCCAATGCTTATTTCCCACCCCAAACAATTCAAGCCGCACCGCGTCTCCCAAAATGTCTCGACTTTGGATCTCATGCCTACGTTGGTCGAGTTGATCGGTTCAAAGCTGATTCCAGGCCTGCCGATGGACGGGCTGTCCTTGATGCCTCATCTCTATGGTGGGGACGGCGGTCACGATACCGTCTTTGCCGAATACATGGGAGAAGGCACTGTGGCGCCACTGATGATGATTCGAAGAGGCGACTGGAAATATATCACGTGCCCAATCGATCCTCCTCAACTTTTCAACTTGCGACAGGATCCACTGGAACTCAGCAACCTCGCCACAAGCGAAGACCCAGAAACCCAGGCTGTATTCAAGGCTTTTGAGCGAGAAGCCAATGCAAAATGGGACTTCAAGAAGATTACCGACGATGTCCTCACATGCCAGCGTCAACGTCGGTTTGTCTGGTCTGCCCTGACTAAGGGCCGCTTTGAGAGCTGGGATTGGAAGGGCCATGAAGATGGCAGGACCAAGTACATCCGCTCTCAGACCCCCCTGGACGAACTCGAACGACGAGCACGGTACCCGATTGTTAGCAACATTCCCACGCAAATCGCTATCAATAAGAAAGACGAAGTGGTTTGCCTCCAACCAAAACGCTTGGTGGAAATTGCCAGCGAGCCTGTGCATTACCGCTGAATGCATTCATTGGTATGCTAAGGCATTTACGATTTGTTTTTACGTTCAGGCGTGATTAAGGAATGACATGAGGGGAATGCTGTGTTTTGTGAGCGTGGTGTTTTGGTGTTCTGAACTTTGATGGTGGAGTTTTCCATGGTTTCTCGAACCCGGGCATTTCAACGGAAAATCCAGCATCGCCCTTGGCGTTATTTCGACGGAGGTTTTACTCAACTGTTTTTGCATCTTGGATTCATGTTGGCGGCCGTATTGTCTTCGGAGCAGGGTACATCTTTTGAGCTGTAGCCGGTCGGCTGGCGTTCCTGTCCGTTTGCTTCTGAGGGCATCATCATCTAATGAGGATCGTATGGCGCATGGCGGAGGCCATCTATAAATACCACAAAACCAGAAAAAAATAAACAAACGGACCGTTGTCCACAAGCGGAAGCCTTCCTCATGTGAGATGGGTCTACTCGACCATCTTTCTACAAAGAGCAAGCACGTGATATCGATGGAGCTTCAGCCCAGCTCTTAGACAGGTCCTTGGCCCTTCGGTTGAACTGTAGCGACAATCAGCAGTGCAGCTCCTGTCACGACCTTGACCTCTTCAGAATCACAACCTGTCGGCAGATCTCGTCGTCGCCTTGCTATTTATTCGTGGAGCTCTTGAAAATCATTTGGTCGATTGTCCCCACACCATGTTCGCACTAGCAGCATGGAGCTGAGCTACTCGTACACTCCCGCAGCCCCAGCGACTTCCATTCAAACTCGAGTCGCGAAGTCGCAAAGTCGCTCTGCGGCGCACCAAACATCTTCATACTTCCTCAAATAGCCTTCCTACCCTCCTCTCATCACCGTTGAATTCCTAGGGATGCACAATGGAAGACAACGACGACCCTGTCCAGATCGCAGATTCTGGCGAAGCAGATGTCGAGATGGGCACTGCTGAAGAAGCACAAGAGGTGGAAGAAGAAGGAGCACAGGGAGAAGGCAACGGCGATGAAACACTGGAGCCCAACGGAGACGGACCTGCCAGCAACCCACAGACAGTGTTTCTCGAATACCTCAAATCGCCTATTGTGCAGCTTGTGGTCGGGGCGGGAGAGGACGAGACTACCTTGACAGCGCACAAAGCCATTCTCACGCAGTCTCCGTACTTCGCTGACATCCTTGCCGATCTCGAAGACGATCAGCTTACCATTGCGCTGGCTGACGAGTCGCTGGACGCTGTCGGTTGCTTCTTGCAGTACCAATATACCGGCGAATACTTCCCGCGGCGGCTCGCGAACACTGCAGATGGCCTCGAGAACGATCCTTCTGTTCCTCCTGTCGACGATACTGGTGCGCAACTTCTCAAGCATGCTCGCGTCTACACTCTCGCGCAGAAACTCGGGATTTCCGACCTCAAGACGCTTGCCCATTCAAAGATTCACCGCATCAACTCGACGGCTGTTGGCGAGATTGCTTACGCAAGATATGTCTATGGGAACACACCTGCTGAGGACACGACTATCCGAAAACCAGTGGCCGCATTCTGGGCTACGCGGTCTCATGTCCTGCGCCACGAGGCCGAGGCGGAGTTCAAAAATATGTGTTTGCAATACCCGCAATTTGGCTTCGATGTGTTGAGCTTGGTGCTTGACCAGCGAGAGAAGAGGGCAAGAGAGCGCGACGAGGAAGGGACACCAGGTGGTGGCAGGGGCAGAAAAAGGATGCGACCGAGTGTTAATGTTTGATCGGGTACGGCGTCGTTCCTTCGTCTCTCTGTATCAAGGCATCACTAATGGGAAAATTCGGTGTTCCACCGGGAGAAATAGATACGGCTTGAGGCGCGAGGAGAGGATTAAAGTCATCACAGCAACTCTGTACTATCACCAATGGGTCCGGGAAGAAAAAGCACTGTCAAAACTTGCAGGTAGATCTTTCACGTGTGAATGCTTGATAGTCGGGGGGAAAATCGTGTAAGAATCAGTCAGGAATCGAAGTGTTGGTTTCTATGAATCTTTTTTCTTTCAGATGGACGAAACAAGATGTTCATACTCCGTAATCAACGGAAATATTCAGCGTGTAAGGCTCTGGAGAAGAAGCCGAAGATCCATTCAGGCGCGATGCCGAAGCTCCACGCCATCCGAGTTGACGGGTGCGGTGTTCTGCGCTATACAGGGATCATGAGAGCAAGGGCCTGTCCGCCCAGCTGATGAATCGATTTTTCGTCGTGATTATATGGACCTCGGCGGGCACGGCTCGTCAAAGTACCTAACACACTACACCCACCACACGTACGCTGCTCGACTGGAACTGCCATCGCTCCGGTTTTGCTGCGGGGGTGCTTGTCTTTACTTAGTGTACATTTCGGGGTCACCCTCGTTCGCCGGATGGCTCGTGTCCCAAGCTGAAAGATCCTCGTCAAGGGTCTGGATGTCCTCGCACTTCTGTCCCTCATTTCCTACCTACTACCTTGCTCATGTTCACGTAAATAGGCTTCTTCCTTGACGCTACATATGCGCACAGCATACCATGAGCATGAGCGCATGCGATCGTGTCGCCTGCACCTCTGCCCGCAGCTCCACCCTCTAGACGCCTCGAGTCCTCGGCCGATTCGCAACTCGCCCAACAATGTCAGATCTCAGAGATGAGCCTGATTATGCAGGCAGCGGCATGAACAGGAGCACAGATGGCCGGACATCACTCTCACATGAGAGCGCATCTCCCACCACTCAGCGCAAGTCAAGCCAGGCGTCGCCGACCGACCAGCCAAAGAAGAAGCGCAAAGTGAATCATGGTTCGTATACTGCTTGCCCTATCCGCAACCTGCAGCCTTACTGATCCCGCACAGCATGCGTCTATTGTCGTCGCTCGGTAAGCCCGGTCTTAGTCTTGTACCCAGCAGCACCGAGATTCGAGTGTGCAGTGAGACATCGGATAGGCTAACGCAGTACTTTCGGTGGATACACAGCATATGACCTGCGATTCTGTACGACTCCCTCTTCCCCTTTGATGGCGACAACACCTGCTGTCACGACCTCTTTGCACGTACTGCTGTCTAACTCGAGCCCCTTCCATGGGGCCATGTCTTAGGATCGACCCTGCAAACGCTGCATCAAGAGAAACATCGGACACCTGTGTCATGACGAGCCAAGAGATGGGCACGGATATCAGAAGAAATCAAAGGCCGATTCAGATGCTGCTACGGGGGTCGACGAGACGTCTCCTCCAAAGGATGACTTTTCCACGGCACCAAGCACCCTGCCTGCACCCTCGCTGTTAGATGAGCCCGGCCACAACCTTCTGCAAGATAACAATATTGGACTGAGACCCCCCACGAATGACACCATGCCGGTCGCGACTCCGAGTGTGTCTGCGCCAACTGTAGGGCTCAATGGAAATGCCCAACCTCGTAAGTGGTGTTGCGGATTGTCTGAGAACGACACAACCTGACGCGGCCGCAGATTTCGCATATAATGACCCGTGGCTCGGGGTGCAGAACCGATTTCACGACATGCACGCCTTCCATCCTAATTACATGTTCAACGCGAACGAGGTTACGGACGAATACAACTTGCTCAACGACTTCCTTAGTAACAGTCTGTTCGAAGAGACGGGGATGTATTCCACAGAAGAGTTCCAGGGCCCGTTCAATGATCCTTCTTTCATGAACTCGATGGCGGCGTCGGCGATGACGGTGCCGCCGCATGAAACCATGCTCCCGCAAGAGCAACAACTTGATGGACTACCTCCGGCTCAGAGTAACGCCGCTCAGGCCGCCTTAATCTCACGACCATCTAGCGTGAAGCCGGTTTCGGATAAAGCCAGGGAGAAGTACTACATGATGGCGGCGGATCCGACGGGTGCTGAACCCCCAGAAGAGCGGATGCAAAAATTACTCAAAGCCAAATACGACGCCGGAATGCTCAGACCATTCAACTATGTCAATGGGTATGCCAGGCTGAACAAGTACATGGAGAAGAACATGAAGCAATCATCGCGCCACAAGATCTTGATGCAGCTGGATCAATTTAGACCGAAGTTCAGGGAGCGAATGCAGAGCTTGACGGATATCGAGCTCGTGCTGGTGGAGATGTGGTTCGAAAGAAGTCTCATGGAGTACGATAGAATCTTCGCAAGCATGGCGATACCGGCATGTTGCTGGAGGAGAACGGGAGAGATATTCCGTGGGAACAAGGAGATGGCCGAGTTGATTCATGTGCCTATTGAGTCACTGCGTGATGTGAGTGTTCCATGTATGGTGCTGGATGTTCGGACTGACAACCTTCTCCAGGGTAAACTTGCCATCCACGAGATCATTGTTGAGGACCAGCTGGTTAGCTACTGGGAGAAGTTTTGCGCGATCTGCTTCGATCAGCAGCAAAAGGCGATGCTGACGAGCTGTACGGTGCGAAGTCCGAATGCCAACGGCGGGCAGGGAGAGGAGATCCCTTGCTGCTTTTCATTCACTATTCGGAGGGATAATCATAATATGTAAGTTTCGTCTCTATTTCCTTGAGTTGGGCTGACGATGGCAGTCCTTCGTTGATTGTGGGCAACTTTTTGCCGATGAATCCGGTGAAGCATTGAACTTGGAGAGGAGTTGTTTTGTGTATATCAACCATCAGAAATGGATCAAAATATCAGTAAATCTTTTGCTTGGGAAAGCCGAAGCCTAAGTTGATACGTTTGTTCTTTGCATCGCGCTGCTTCAGTTTGATCTTGATCGCTAGGCTGCTGAGGGGGCGCCATGACCCATTTCACTTGCTTCAGACATTCTGATTTAACGAACGTCCTCTTTCCCAATGCCGTTCAACCAGAGCCCTAGCAAAGCACAATCAGTTCTTGGTGTGTCCAGCCCTGAATTCGATGGATGGATCGATCTGACCCCTGCAGATTTCACTCGTCATCTGCAACGCGTTCTCAGCAAAGATGCGAACCTCTCCTCCCAGACAATCTCTGATATCCTCTCCTATATCCAAGCTTTACCCCTCCCTCGCAGAGATGTCACACCGAGTCAGCGTATCGAGTTTGATCGAATTGGGGTGGCCTTGTGGAATACGTGTTGCAAACTGGGCAAGAGCGATGAGCGAGCACAGGATGTCAAGGGCCTGGCCACGAGTATGCACACTTACGCAGAACAGCCAACTTGGGTGTCTTTCTGATCGGATCAATAGTACGTGCGTTCTCATATTTTCTCGTCGAAAGCGCAGCGAGCTCGAAGGGCAAAAGTAGGACGCATTGTGTCTCGAAGTCAGTCAAAGATCTAACTCTCCGCAGGTATCATCAGAGTCGTTAAACATGCTCTCAAAGCCTCAAAAACCTGTCTCAGTACGGTGGAACCCGCTGGCGTGACGCCGTGACTGACATGGGAGCCAGATGCCGGGTTACACGACCTCGGCTCACGAATCGTTGAACAACTGGCCTCGAAACAGGAAGACTTGACCCAAATCAATCAAGAGCACGGCTGCGACAAAGAACACTTGATAAACAGCCTACGGTGGGAGTATCTGTTACTACGCATTGTACTGGTTCGTGCTTGTTAGGCTCTGTGGCCGGGAGATGGCTGACAATAGGCAGGGCTGGAAACAAGGCCGCCTGGAGCTAGCGGACCATTTCTATGCACAGCTTTGTGACGCTCAGGCAGAAGTCGGACCTGAGATCGTCGCCAAACTCATCGACTTATGCTATGAGATTGGAAATGACCACCTCGGCCGCAATCAGAGCGATGTTGCTGCAAAATGGCTCGAAAGAGGCTGCCAATTGTCCGATCAGTCTGGTGCGAGCGGAGATACGGACGTGCATGAACTGAGGCTCACTCTGCTCCATACTTATGGTGAGATGTCGTTCAGTCGGCTTCCTGTGATGGGCTAACCGCTTACCTTGAAAACAGTCAGAGCACTTCTCTCTCTTCCCGGTGCTGAAGCCCGCGAGGAGTCTTGCAAGGCTATGCAGACTTTGCGTGATGTGAGTGTATCAGTCACACAAGACGGTTCACGAACGCTGACGGAAATAGGGATTCGGTCAGAAATTATGTGTCATTGTGCTTCAGCTGGAAGTCTACAAACGAGACACCTCTCCAGATGTCGAGGCTTACTGCCACGGTATGGACTGCTTCTCTACGAGCTAGTTGGCATTCCTGACCATCTAGAACTCATGAAGTTGATACGGACCACGCATCTCATCCTATCGAATCATAAGCTGTGAGAGTCGGACCTAGTGACAGTGAAACCGGATGTTAACATGATCAGGATCATGCATTACATCCACCACCTGATATCGATAAGGTCCACATGATATTGTTTCCCGATTATGCTAACAGCTCTAACTTCATTGCAGCATCGACCACGCCATAGAGGCTCTGTTGACCTACATTACGACAAGACTTGCTCCCGGCGAAGAACCCGCTTGGACAGACAGTGCCATTGTTACATTGGTGTGGATGATAACACTCTCGCAACCTCAGGATTCATCGTCTGTCCATGACCATGCCACTTCGCGATTCAACAAGATCCAAACAGCCGGGCGAATGTCTGTAGGACCAGAGGCTGCACGTGCTGCGCTTGTCGTAAGTGCCTGATTCCCGGGCTCCTGGAAATTCTAATGCTTTACTTTATAGCTTCTTTGGAGAAAGGTGGAAGATACTTTCGAGAACGGGCCAAAGGAAGATATGATAAAGTGGGCTCAGGCGACACTGCATACGCTTTTCAGACATATCGAAGATCATAATGCTGCAAAGGTGCAAAGGTATGAGATCTGACTCTTGGATTGCATTCGTGCTCTGACGTTAGCTAGAAAGGCCATGCAGTGCTACATGGACCTGTCCGACTTTGAAGGCGCGTCCAAAACATGGAATTCTATACCATCCAGTCAGAAACAACATCCTCTAAGTCAATATCTCCATTACTGCCTTGCTCTTCGAAGCGGCGATGAAGCTGAAGGTGAGGAAGCTTTGATCTCGTCGACAGGGCCTGAGCTGAGTGTCCACAGTACGATCGGCGTTGACCTCACTTGCGGCAGTGCACGATGATCGGAATCGGCTACTCTTTGCTGCGGTATCTGACGCCTTTCATCACGGCACCAAAGCCCACGCAGCACAACTACTGCAACGGATTATCGACAAATACGGAGACAAGTTGCCGGCAGAAGTCGATCCTTATGCATTGCTCAGGTAAAGGCGACCGATCCGACACCTGTTATTGACTGACGTATTTAGATGCACAGCTCGCCTGCTAATCACAGCTATTGCCGAAAGCGAGAGCATACCAGAGGAGCTTCTGTCAAGGCTCTGCGGAGTTTTCAAATCCGGTAAGATGAAACCCCGTAACTCTCAACTGTCTCTGACGCGATCAGCTTCGAATTTAAGCCAGAAACACGCTGCTGAAAACGAGCAGTATCTGCAGGAGTTCAAGTGGTTTCGGAAAACGGCTTACAATTGTGCGGTCCACAATCACAAGTCCTGGCCAGCAAGATATCTCATTGATCTTTTGCAGTATTCTTCTCGGGTATGCCTAGAAATACTTGTACCAACTGCCATGCTGACCCACGAAGATCCCGTGTCCGCCAAATTTGCCTGAAAGCGCGCGGCTAGAGAAGTTGATACACGAAACGGATGTCGCTTTCGTCCAGGCGGCACTCTATACTACTGAAGCAAGGTCCTGCGCTGCTTCTTGGACCATCGAAGACCTTCCCAGGACCTCTTATTCCAGCAAGTCACCACCAACATCTGGGGAAATCAGGAGGACGTTGTATCGTAATGTGTTCGATATTTACACGGAGTTCCGACGCCGGCTGAAGCAACTGCAGCGGGACTCGCCGACCAGGGTGGAAGACTCGAGTCAAAAAGTGGCCACCATAGCCACCCTAGCATTTGAGGCCGTATTATTCGTGACTACTTCTGGTGAATCACCTGTACATGACATGTCCCCGAATCAGGTTCTGGACGAGGTCATACAGTTTCAACCAACCAAGAAGACCTATTCATGTTTAGCAGACATGATCTTGTCTGCCGCCGGTGCTGCTATAAGGGTTGATGGTCAGCAAGAACAGGGGCATACGAGTCCTCAGCTTTCGATCTCAACAGCAACCCAATTGCTTGCCAAGCTCATTCACGGGCTCCGCGTACAGTCCGACTATGACACAGCACAAGCCTTTCGCTGGATTCGCTGCGTTGTGCAAGTGGTCCTTGACCGATGCGGCGCCGACTCGAAGCTTTTGGCGTCTGAATACGAAAATGGCTTGACTACAGTCAAAACGATCACGGAGCAAGCTTTAGCACTGGCGCGGTCAGCATTGCCTCCTGTCAAGAATGGTATTGGCGAAGACCAGAGTCAGCAGGCGTATCCTCCCGAGGAGCTTGAGTGGCTTGCGACGACGCTGTTCAACCTTTCCATCGATTTGTACGTTACCGAAGCGGGATCTAATTGTGCACCTGAAGGTCCCGTGGATCAGGAGCCGAATGAAGGGGCGCCAATTATCAAGAGACCTCAATTCTGGGCCGTAAAGGCAGTTGAGTTTGCAGACTTACTGGCGGACAGCGCGTTGCTGAAAACGGATCGCAAAGAAGCAGCAACCGGTGGTGACGGTAGCATGCTCGCACGACTGCTTCGCGAGCGCTGTCGGAGTATCGGATGGGACGTGTAAGGGGAAATCTGGGTTCGCCCAAATGCACTTCAGGTTTCGGGAAGATGGCTGACATCTAGACCTGGACTTGGTACAATTCACCCGATGACCACGGATCATGTTCTTGTCGACTTCTTTACACCGTACGGACGGCAACGCAAGCAAAGAGGATGACCATCTTGGCCCAGTTGTCAGTATTGAGTAGTGCTGAGGATTGACGGGTTTGTAAACTACTGCAGCTCTCATCTCGATGAACCTCGCTAGCTTCCTGCGTCTTGGTGACGATCTCACCGCTTGCAGTATCAAAGTGACTGTTGGGTGACTCTTGCTTTTGTTGCGGAGGCACGGAGGATGCGAGGCTAGTCTTTGTACATAATGTGAGGCCCCAGAAAAAAGACGGTGATGTTTCCCAAACGAGACAAGGCTTTCGCCGAACCTGGACTTGATGATGCCACCCTCATAGTAGTACGCTTGTAGATCGACAAGCCTGCTGAATGAGCCGAGGCTTAAAGCACAACAGGAACGCGCGGGTGCAGTCACCGATGCGGCAAGAGTGTGACCAGGAATGTCAGTTCAGGTCCCATGGGTGGGGGGAGAAGCAGAAGCAGAAGGGAGATGACATCCGGATTGGATTGTATGAGTTCATCTCATTCGGTCGACTCTCGAGGTTTGAGGTTCTCGACATCACGAAGTGTAGTCCCGACAGTCCAACTCTTCTATTTACACGCACATCCAACCTTTCCCCCCTTTGCAGAGTCGATTGTGATTGATCTCCTCTTTTCTCTGAACCCTGAGGGTGGCCGCGGATGATTTACCGGCTCGAATATATCCGGTATCATTGGGCCCCTACATTCTCCAGCTCTTCAGTGTCAGTAGGTCTGATGCCCTGTACCGCAGTAATTCCATCCTCCCGTAATAAGCTCCCTGTTAAAACAAATCAACGCTAATTGCCGCCCATATGTCCAAGCCCGAGTTGAGGAATTTTTGTGAGTACTGTGTAGTTGAATCGAAGTGGGGTATCTCTCGAAAAGTAATGAGGAAAAAGTTTAGGGGGGTTCCTTGAGGATAGGGAAGGGGCGCCGTGTTTTCGTCATGTTCATGGAGCAACAGCCAGGTCGGGCATCATGACTACTCAGGCGTAGACTGTATGTGTCGTCGCTGGTGGGAACCATGTTCCTAAGTAAGGACCTTTGCCAGTGACTACTGGTGCCATCCGTGGATATCGCCGTGCATGAGGACATTGCCTCCGGCGGAATGCATCGGCGAAGTGCTGGGCCGTCCTGTGCCAGGGTCGAGACCAAGCTTCAGCCTTAGTTCTTCCACTCTCTGCTTCACTCGCCGAACTTTGGCCACCACGACCTCGAGCTTCTTCATGGTGCTCTGCTTTCCCATTTCCTCGAGTTCAGGCACAAGATCGTAGAGTTCGGCATAAGCTCGAGCTGTAGCATCTCGACGACGTTGTTCCGAGTTTGTGTGGTTGGCCTTTTTCTGTTCCAGAGTGAGTGGAACTCTGGACGACAACTTGCTCGATGAGCCGCTGGATGCGACCTTTGCTTTGGGTTTGATCGGTGTTGTTGTCGAATCCACACTAGCTTTCTTTTTCCGGGTGGGTTTAGGAGGCGGGGGTGGTGGTACCTTTCGGGGTGGACGAGCCTTGTTGGCAGGCCAAGGGGCTGGTGAAGGAGATCTGGCTTGTTCCGTAGTCTCATCTTCCTCCTCTGCCTCGGCATCTAGCTCGTGATCGTCGTCCTCGCTCTTGAGTGGCGTGTGCGACTTGCTATTGGACAGAGGCGTTGGGGGTTGTGAGGACTTTCCTTTCTCATTCTTTACGGCAGAATTCCGTTTCCGAGGATGGAACGGTGGAGTGGGTTGCGCGACGGCATTTTGCTGACCTTTCGTAGACGCAACAAATCCATTGTGAGCAGATTGGTCTCCCTGAAAGTCGTCAAATGTCCTCTTCTTGTGCCAGTTTGGACTTGAAGGTTGTGTATTAGGTCGTGTGCTTGGGCGGGTGTTAGGTTGCGTGGTACTCCCACTGGTCGGCTCAAACCAATCCATGGGATGCATCTTCATTCCATGCGGGATATCGGGATCCAAGGGATTGTGAGGAGCAGCGGCATAACCGTTGGGTTGGAAGCGAGCGTCTGTACCAAACGCCACAGTTTGTCGAATTGGTTGCTGGGCATCCATCATGCTTTGCGGGTTAAACGCTTGTTGCTGCCACGCAGGAACAAAAGCTGGTTGCATTGTGGCCGCCGTCTGAAGTTGAGAGACTAAAGAAGTTTGGAAAGCCGAATTGCCGTATACCTGACCATGCATGCGATTGTCCATTGTGTTTGTCTGCCCGAGATTGTTCATATCATGGCCAAGCATACCATCGCCGTATTGGAATGTTCCACCTTGCAACTGGTGAGGATCGATAATGGGCCGACCGCCCAAGTCTGTTTCGGAGCCAACGAAGGTCGGCGGCATGCCAAAGTATTGGTCATGGCCTGTGGGCATAAACTGGGTGAATTGCTTTGCGGTAGCATTTTGGTCGAAGTCGTTGAAGAAGGTGTCAAGGTCTTGGTTCTCAACAGCATTGAGTAGGGGCTGACCCGGAGGAGGGCCGGGATTCATGAATTCAGGTAGGCCCAGACCGTGTATATTCTCTTGTTGGTCTATGATATAGACGTAAGCAAATGCGCCTGTGTTAAGAGGAAGGAAACCGTGAATCCTACAGCCAAAAGGGAAATTCTGCTGTCCACCATGGGACGACATTGTTTGTGTAGCCAACATCCACCCAGCACCACCTCCGCCTCTTTCAGGCTGCGCAATGGCAGCCTAGCCGGTGGGATTGTAGTCAGACGGCGAGGTTGTGGCGGACGCGGAGTCCGTGGTGGGGAGGAAGTTCGAGAGGAAGTCGAATAGGTTGTAGAGTAGACGGACGGTGACCAGGTAAATCTCGGTTGATATCGGGGGTCAACAGGTCATCAGGATGTACGAGCATGAATGAAAGAGCTGCGCCGGAGGTTGAGACGGGATAGCAATAGTCTTTTGCAATGACTTCGCCTTGGGTTGAATATCTGTTGGGACTGATCTGGCGAAGCGGGCCGAAGCTGTGTCAATGCGGTAAGAGGGGCAAAGGTGAACGAAAGTAGAACCGAGAGGATGAGTAGTATAGAATAGGCTTGTAGAAGGACAGACGCTGCGTGAATGGGTAATTGGCCTTGGAAAGTCGAGGGACGACGGAGTAAAGAAATGTGAGTGAGTAAATCTTTCACATGCTTGTGAAGGTGGAAGAGCAAGAGAAGAGATGCCTGTCAAACGAGGTGAACCCCAGCCTGCTTAACTTATTAGTGAGCCCACTCTCACTCCCACCCGTGACTCCCACTCCAGGTCACCTAGTCAGTGCCCAGCAGGTGCCCATCAGGTGCCCAGTAGGTGTCATCGGTGCCCAGCAAGCCTGCACCGCACCACTTTGGCGCCCGCAGAGCGTAGAGCTTGCCAAGCTTTCACCATACGCGGTTAGCCTCTCTCTATGATAGTCTGCTCGATGACTACAACCACAGTACCTGAGGCGGTACATTGTGGTAGTTAGTAATTTCACGTGGGCAATCTGAATGATCAATAGAGTACCCTATATGAGTTTCATCTAGGTAAGTTTATGATGACCCCAGATCTAAGCAAATCCCCAGGAGCCTCGCTCGTCTTCAGGCCCCTTTCTTACCCAAGTCCCCAACCGGCCTCGCTTCTGTTTTTCCCTTGACATCTTGACAATCAAAGTCCCGTCGCCAGCTATCCATTGCATGGGGATGCGCTCCGTCAGCTTGTCCGAGAGTACCCAGAGGACTAGCCAAACGTGTCCGAGGACCTCAGCCCATGTGAATAACCTAATCCTCCATAGCCTTTCTCCGTCTTCTTCTTTGACCAGGGCTGTTCCCCAGCCCGCCTTGCCATCCTGCACAAACCGTGAGAGATTTTGCCAGAATTGGACGAATTCTTTCTCGGTCCATACGCATGCCGCCTCATCCTTCCTCGCGGCTTCCGTGGTGGAAGAGTCGACAATATGGATTGAAAACTGCCAGTATCCTCGCTCTAACACATTGACATCTCGAGCCACATAGACTGGTCGAAAGTGATTCGATAGAGGTACCCGAACAGCAAGTTTTCCCAGAGTCTTGGTGACATGAGTTCTGAATCTTGCTTGACCACCTTTAGCATTAGGTCCACGGATTTCGTTAGGCAATTGTCTGACGAGGTTCCTTTTGCGCTTGGACGGTCGACCAGTATCAGAATCGCGGCAATTCGAGATGCCACCAAACAGGTGGCGGGACTCAGTGTTCTGGCAGGCCGGCTTAAGCGGGACTGGGGTCGTCAGGTCTACCACAGAGTCATGTCTCGATCCAGAGATTTCGTTTCCGGGTGCGGCCTCATGCCGGTAAACAGGTTGAGATGGGGAGACTGTAGATGGGATCGAGTCAGTGTCTAGTGTGTTCTGAGCCTTGATCGGGGAAGTCCCGGTGCTTCTACTCTCATCCGGCGTCGATGTCCTAGAAGTGGGCTTCAGTGCTCCCCATGGCCGAGTAAGCTCAGTATTGTTCCGCTTGTCGCTGCTCAAATGCGGCCGTTTATTCCTTGTTCTTAAAGAAGAGACTCCGCTGGTAGATGACGCATCAGGACGGGCGCGCCTAGGACTTCTTGCTGCTGACTGGCCTCTAGCGTAGCCTGACGCGGGATCTGCTGCTGGAGCAGTCCTCGGACGACGAGTATCGTGTTCCGATGAAGACGGCGATCTGCCGATTGTAAGCTTATTGCAGATGATGTACGAGCAGCCCATATCGGGAATATTAGGGCTCAACGAGAACGCTATGTATGTCTAACATTGTCAACTTGACTGCAAACAACAGTGACCTACCTATGCGTCAAGGAATGGTCCTGTTCACCCACTCCGATTGGCGTGGTCGTGGCATTGGGAGTAGAAGAAATGAAATCTACCTCGGATACCTTTGTTATTCGGGCAGGCTGAAAATCCAAGATTGACTGCGCGACGGACGCGTACCGCCTGTCATCTCGGGCGCCACTTGGAGCAGTGATATGGACTAAAAGTTCGCATGACGAAGGGTCCATTTAGGCTGATGATCGGATAGAAGGCACAACACAAGTGCTGGCGATTCCCATGTCTTCTCGTGATGATGGCGGGAAAGCCCAAGGGTTCCTCTGCCCAACTACCAGACGGCGTTCTCTCAGAGAGGAGTTCGGCAGCCTTCCCAGCAGGAAATGATGGCCGATGATTCGTGGCGCGACTTGATGATGGAGAAAAGGTACTTAACAGCCTGAGGAAGGGAGGTAAGTGCAGCTGTCGCTCGTATCTAAGTGGGTGGAAAATTGTGTACAATTCCAAATTCACAAGCCCCAAATGAAGCCGATAGCGACAGCTCCAGCCAATGGGCTCAAACAGCCGAGATTCCACTTCGTGCAAGGTCAACAACTTGAACCCTTGATATGCAGCGACAGGCAATGCTCCAAGGTATGCCTGTCAACAATAAACATACTCTTCTGTTGAAAGTCCTGCAAGTATCTACGCCATGTTGGACAGACCATATTTACTTCCAGCGCCTCGGGCTGAGCTGGGACCATCTATGTGCTCAGCACCTCTACATTAGAGCTTTTGCTCCTCTGAGACCAGTCTTGTCCGTCTTCCAGCTTTTTCTTTAATTCTTGCAAAAGAGCTGATTTGGCCATCCATCGCTCTTCAAGCCACGATGCCAATTCCTCGTCGCTGCGACCAGCCAGTTCCTCAATGTCAAACCGCTGGGCGTGCACATGGAACCGCCATTCTTCACTCAAATTGGGCTGGGAAATAGTCTGCCACATGTCTGGTGCTTCCAGGAATCGACCATTGTGAGCGTACGCAACAGTCAGGTCGTACACCGCCTTGACGCTGCTGTCAGAACCCAGAGCCTTGATGGTCGCCACAAACCCTTTGGTTCGTGGATAGAGGGTGTACCGTGGAATGGGCTTGCCGTGCGCCTTGCACCACTGTACAGTCTCCAAGTATTTCTGAGCAGTATACCGAGTGGCTTCGCTGTAGCTAATTAGCCACATGGGCCATCGATAGACCTTGGGGCCCCGAAAGACGCGATCGAGCTCCCTTTGGTCCTTGTCCCAACGCCTCGAGATCAGCGGCATACCCATCACCCACAGACCCCAACCGAGGAAAGGCACCCATCGGAGCTGCTGCTTTGCAAAATAGCGACATCGACCCAGCATGAAAGACCTCACAGCCAGGTGCTGAATGAGATAGAAGTCGATCCATGAAACATGATTGCAAACGACGACGGCAGATTCGTGCTGGGGCAATTGGTCTCCGGACACGGTAATGCGGGCACCATTGACCGAGGTGAAAATGAATTGTATGCCACGCCAGACGAGTCCGGCAAGCCACGAAGAGATGTTGTATGCTGAAGTGGGCGCCAGCAATGACCAGGGCAGGAGAAGCGACAGCAAAAGATCGGTGGCCAAGAGCTGCAACAGCCAAGGGGTGAGTATGCCCAGTCCGCGTAGGTTGGTAAGGGCAGTCCGCCAGAGAAAGGGCTGAAGGAGAGCAGGAGTGGTCATCGGAGACGGACTGGCATGAGGGTATCGAGGATATCGGATGGAAGAATGATTCAACGGCCACCGGAATGGGGGGCGAGATGTCACCAAACAAATGATCTATGTCATTGATCTTTCGGGCTCATCATGGCTGGAGCGGGGTTGATTGGGAGGGCAGCAAGTTAGTCAGCGTGGTCAGCTAACCCAAACTTGCGCTAACGATAACTTAGGCTCACTAACTACCTAAGGCCGTCACAGACCAAACCATCAAACCATCGACCAGCGATCCCAGATGGAGGTAAGATATGTGAATGGGCGAGGAAGAAGGACGCTTAGGAAGGGTACCTGCCGCAGAGTTTTAGGCGATTGCCCGAGGGGAACCACCCGCTAAACAAGGAGAGACGGCATCATACGGGTATGAAGTTCCCCATACCACAGGACGACAAGTAAGCTTAGGGTCTGGTTTGGCATCGGTTTGGCTATCCCGGAAAGGTTCCAAGGGCAGCGAGGTACCTAAACGGGTGAGTTTTTGCCCTTGATACCCTTGCTGTGCTGGTCACCTGGTCTAGACTTTGGCGGTTCCTGTGGCTCCCCTCGCCTATACGGAGTACCTGATCCATTTATCCGTCGATCCCGCCCATGATGCGCCTCTATGTTTTGTGAGTCTCATGTTCTGAGGCTTATGGCTCGGGAATCAGTTACCCGCACGGCATCCGCGCTGTTCTGGAAATGTGCACTGCATCTACGAGTACGAATAGCATGACATGTCATGTTTGAGCCAAGATACGGTACCATGCCTGCCAACTGGGCCTTTGGAAGATTGTTGCATTGGATACTCACCGACACTACAGTACTCCCTGTCCGGCACAGGGCTTGATGGCTTGATGGGCCCACGATGGCACATACTGCCACGCTGACAATGGTACAATTTTTCTTTCTGACGGAATATGCATATCCGCCATCACCATCAAGTCGCACAATTCGCCGTCCTTGTTCTTGTTTCTCATGTGCAACACTACCTGTACCTTAAGTACCCATCCTGCGTCAACCACCTGCTCAGACCACTCGAGGACTATACCCATTACCCGCGCTCGTGAACCCCTCGGCTACTTACCTGCACGCACAAAGACCCTCTTGGGTATTGGCTCCTTGTCTTTGCTGCTGATTCGGATTCTTGGACGGTTCAACCGCCGGTCCACCCTCTTCACCCACACCTTTCCCCCATTGGCGCTTTTTCCCTTGTCTGGAAGAACTCAGCCACCAAGCATATTCCGACTGCTTACCTACTCGTTGCAACTCGACTCATCTGCTCATTCAAAACCACTTCCTCCTCCACCAACGTCGCCTTTGCTCGACGACCATACTTTACCCGTCAATGGCTTGATCACTCGACCCAAACCCATATTCTTGCATCTCCCGCTGGTTCCACGAACGCGCTCAGCAACTCATTGCAGCTTTCGCCATCCCCAGGCCGTGTTCGGATCATTTTCTAGCTCTGCCGACGAAAGCTGCGACGTTCCTGTTGCACAAACGAGCCTACCACGATCAGCAATTTTGTCCCGCTCACAAATATTGCGTCGCGCACGTCCCCCATCGTCAGATCCCCGGGCGATCCCACTGCACCATCGTCAACCTCAACGTCTTCGATCTTGTCTCATGATGGAATCCTGATTCTCTCCCTGTCCAATCCAGCGTCTGCGCGATCCTCTCCCGCTTCCAAATCACGAGAGGTGATTGCGTAAACCTCATCAAAAAGGCTCTGCCGCCGAGCCCTCCATACCAGCTTTCGCCGGCTCGTTTCTTGCCGAATTCGCTTTTCGTCGGCAACTACTCCGCATCTCGACTAGGTGCTTCAGTTTACTACCAGCGGTGCACAGTTTGTCAATCTCCCACCGACGGTCAAGGATCCCCAAGAATAAGCGGGTGTTCAAACTTTGGCCGATTTATTTGATATCATGGCGTCGCATCCGCATATGCATCCCAACATGCAACAGTCTCCGGAAATGGATTCAACAACTTGGGCCGCTCAAGACTATGGTTCTGCCGCAGCATATCGTGAGTGAATCTATCCCCCGTTGTTGTATTTGCATTGTAACCCCACCGCAAAATGCAACTATTGGATGCGTCGTCATATGCTGAAAACGCCCTTACGGGGCGTGGTCGTCGGAAGCTGGTTGACATGCAACCTGCGATATCCACGGACATGATGGTCATTGATGTACTAATGTATGGCTACACAGACAATGGAATGACTGGTGAGGCTAAGCCCCCTCAACCGATGGGCTTTCTAAAAGGGTTCGGGGGCATGCAAAAGAAGATAACAAGAGGTACGCCACTCATCTTGAACAGACTCAATCAAAGACTTAGTCTCTGTAGACGGACAACCAGCGAAACGAAGAGGACCAAAACCAGATAGTAAACCAGCACAGACTCGGCGGCAAGAGTTAAACCGTCAAGCTCAAAGGTAGGAACATATAGCCAAGGGCCGGTTCTTGAGCGGGCGCACTAACGGTTGTCCGTGTGCAGAACACATCGGGAGCGAAAGGAGAACTACATCAAAGCGCTTGAACTGGAGCTGGCGCGGTTACGAGAGGTGTTCATTGCTGAGCAGAACGCTCGAGACGCCACTATCCAACAACAAAAGCTGCTGATTGACGGTCAACAGCGCGAGAACCAGGCATTGAGGGAAATCCTGACCGCTCGAGGCATTCAGTTCGAAAATGAGCTGGAGAACCGCAAGGCTGTAATTGCCATGAGACCCAAGCGTGAAGCCGATTCTCTAAGCCCACCCAACATGGGTACATTCAGTCCATCTTCAGCGGCTGGCCGATCAGTCAATTATCAGCAAATCCTTCAGGGGCCACCGACAGCCACCACTGGTTATTCGCCTCAAACATATATCAATGGCGGCGCTATGAGCACTTCAGGTCACTCGCCCGGCACAACTCATCACAGCTATTCACCTCAAGGTCCAGATATTCAGGAGATTTCAGTCAAGCAGGAACCTGGAGTCATCCCGGATATGCCAGGCATGCCATTGTCAGGAATGCGATCCCTGGGGATTTTTGAGAGAGAACCGCAATTGGGGATCGATTTCATCTTGAAGTAAGCGTTGCTATCCAGTGTGTCAGTCTTAGGGGCTAATGATAGTTAGACTTGAGCAAACCTGCCGTGACCACGAGGAATATCTCGTGCGAAGATCGATGGATTCACCCAACAACGAAGAAGATGCGCTGTTTTCAGGACATGCTTTGATGGCTTCTTGCCCTCCGCCAAGTCATATCGAGCGCACACCCGCTCGAAATGGAGGCTTGGAACCAACGTATGACCACAAAGTACCAGATGCCGAATCAGTGCAGATCCTGAACAATCTGCTCAACTTGAGTCAAACCCTGAGAGGCAGCGCAATCCCGAGTGGACAGGTGACACCAATTATGGCCCTGCAGTCACTCAAAGGTCACAGGAATTACTCCAGCCTTACTAGGGACGACGTCTTGGGCATGATCGACGCCATCAGAAGCAAGGTCCGCTGCTATGGTTTCGGTGCAGTCATGGAGGATTTCGAACTCCGCGATGCGCTGTCGAGTATATTTGCAACGAAGCCGGAAACATACGATCAGTTGGGCACAGACTATACCGCCGAAATTGACGAAATGTATTCATGACGATGAGGAAAAGTTGGATAGGGAGGGCTTCTCAGTGCCAGGGTGGTTTCGGGTTTCCAATGTTTGGTGGCTAGGCCATGATGATGAGTTGATGTTCAAGTATCTTCAGACAAGCTTGCGAAAAGTGGATTCGTTCAATGAATCTTTCTGCAATCGCTGCCGTGTTTTCGGTGCCAGTCCTGATCGGCTGACGGACACTCGTTGTACAGTGCCAGACACGATCAATTTGACCAATGGCGTCCGCACCTTAGAGAATGGCTCAACTGTAAACTCTGCAGAGAATCGCATTGACATTCGTCGTATTGCACAGTGAGAAGGCAGTAAGTAGGTGATGATGAGGACGAGGCTGAGAGGAGGCGAGAGGAAGCTGCGGGGTGGCACCTTCCAGTGCAGTGTGTAGGTAAAATTCGGTGCCAAGAGTTGCATCAAATCCCTCCAGACCGAAGCGTTTTGTGACTTTCGAGCTGCACAATATTGTATAACAGGCATTGCTATTCAACGACATTTGACAGGACTTGTATTCCGAACAACCATGCCGGGAATCAGTCTTGCAGATGCCATCAATGACCTCAACGTCAACGACGAATGGGGTCCAGAAATCACTTCAACCACAACCCTCGATGGCGTCCCATATGCCCCCTACTCGAAAAGCGATAAACTAGGCCGCATGGCTGACTGGACACAAGAGGGAAAAGAAGGGCGAGACAGAGGTGGTAGACAATATGGCAGAAATTTTAGAGGTGAGTCAGGTCTTCGTTGCCCTCAACACGATCGACAACTAACGACCCTTTAGATCAACAAATCTACGGCGCAGGCACTTCGTCACTTTTCGCGGTGCAGGTCGCCGAAGACGAATCCTCCTTCTCCGTTGTCGACAACACGAGAACGACTGCCAAAAGAGGCGGATTTGGTCGAGGTGGTGTAGCAGTCTTCCGTGGCCGCGGACAACGAGGAGCCGCCCAACGAGGCGGAAGAGGCACATTCCAAAGAGCCGGACAAGGCCGGGGAGGAGGCCAACAACAAGGGCAATACTATGACAACAGAGGCGGACGAGGTGGCCGTGGCCGACGGTTCGGCTGGCGAGACTACGACAAGCCACAACGGAATCGCGACGCCTCGGTCAACATCCGTCCAGATTGGGTCATGAAGGAAGAGATTGACTTCAACCGACTTGGCAAACTGAACCTCGAAACGTCCGAGGGCGATGATCTTGACAGCTATGGCTTCCTGTACTACTACGACCGATCTTACGACAAGGCGCCTGTCAAGAACACCGAGCGCAAACTCGTGTCCCTTGATCGTGCCGCATACAACGTGACCACATCTGCCGATCCAGTCATCCAAGAACTCGCCGAAAAGGACGAGGCTACCATCTTTGCAACCTCCGACATCCTGTCCATGCTCATGTGCGCCACGCGCTCGGTGTACTCGTGGGATATCGTCATCCTCAAGCACGGCGATAAGATCTTCCTGGATAAACGACCAGATAGCAGCATCGATTTGGTCACAGTCAACGAAAACGCGGCCGATGCACCTCTTGAAGCCGACTCAGCCACCAACACGCAACAACAGACCGGCGTAAAAGCCGACAGCATCAACACCCCATACAACCTCGCCATGGAAGCCACAATGATCAACCACAACTTCGCCTTCCAGACGGTCATCGAGAGTCCGAACAACAAAATCGAGTTCCCACATCCAAATCCATTCTACAGTCCCAATGACGAGACGGACCCGTTGGCATCCAAGGCTTACAAGTACCGCCGCTTCGATCTGAGTCTCGAGCGTGACGAAGAGCCCTTGAATCTGATCGTTCGTACGGAACTCGACGCCGCGACCAAGAACAACATCTCGGGTGACGACCAGTTCCTCGTTATCAAGGCGCTCAACGAGTTTGACCACAAGGCTCAGGGAGCTGGTGGCGCTCTCGACTGGCGTACGAAGTTAACCTCGCAGCGCGGTGCGGTCGTGGCAACAGAAATGAAGAACAACTCGTGCAAACTTGCACGATGGACGACACAGGCCATTCTTGCACGAGCGGACCAAATGAAGCTTGGTTTCGTGTCGCGTGTGAACCCGAAGTCTGCGGCCAACCACGTCGTTCTTGGCGTTGTGGGATACAAGCCTCGAGAGTTTGCCGGCCAGATGAACTTGGGTCTCAGCAATGGATGGGGTATTGTCCGGACGATTGTTGACTTGGTTCGCGGCATGAGCGAGGGTGAGGATGGGGATAAAAAGTACGTGCTGATCAAGGACCCCAACAAGCCTGTGATTCGGCTGTACGAGGTCCCACTCAACACGTTTGAGGATGAGGATGATGGAATGACCGGCATCGTGACTACGGATGCTCAGGAGGCTGCTGGCGAAGAGTAGGCTGGTGGATGAAGTTGCGCATGATCTTAGGGCCTTGCATTCTTTTCTGCCTTCAGCCTCGTTAGGCTGGCCTTGCTAGACGCTATTGACGGTGGCATGAGGAGTCACGACCTGCGGTGAGATAGACACCACAGCAGAAAATGGACACGAGCAAGTTTATGATCGAGAATTTAATGAATTGGTGATGGTAAAGCCGCAGCCACGCTTCCATAGTCACAGAACTCTTCCAGTTTCAAGAATCGACGAGGTCAAAAAGCCCGAACACCGGAGGTAAAACCGCTGAATAAGCAGTCCAAGATCACGTGCTTGTGCATATGCGTACACTTCTCAGGGAAACGACTAGGTGAGAAACAGGACCTCTGAAAATTCTGACGTGAACAAAGATCTCTAACTGAATTAGGTCCCTCTATATAGCTGAAATACACCGAGGTATAAGGCAGCAAGGAAATGGCGTGGTAGGATAGCCTCGCTCCCATCCTCAATAGTATCCCTCCAAGGTTACAGACCTTCCATTCTTCAGCGGCCACCGGATCAAGTTCGCTCACTCCTATCTTGATCACCTCGAGTTTTTCCAGTCGGTGGCCCGAAACAGACAGTGTTATGCCTGTCATGCGAATGTCCCCGCACTTGTGCTGCAGCCGATGGTGCATCGTGCAGCTACACATATAAAGAGTGAGGAATGCAACCTTCGGCGAACCGCCGTCTCGGATTTCGTTTGGCTTTCAGTGTCCGGTCCCAGTCGAGTCTTTCGTAATGTAATGTGAAGCAAGTTCTCCCGCTATTGCGAAGATTCGGTTGTTTCGTCTTATCTGACCCGTCCCATAGTCTTTCCGATCTCACTCTCCCAATTCATGGCTCTCTCAAACCCGTTGCTGGATGTCTGGAAATCCATCATGGCCTGATAAACTGCCTCTTTACTCGTCGTGACAAAGGGGCCATACTGCACCACGGGCTGGTCGAGCGGTTGTCCTGCGACCAAAATGAATCGTGCAGCTTCAGTCGCGCCCTCCTCAACATGCGCCGTGACAACATCACCACTCTGCTCGAAAACGACATTGTGATAGGGCGTGATTGTCTCCCCAGCCTCTTTTGAGCCATTGCCGAATGTCACGGCCCCTTCAAGCGTATATGCAAAAGCGTTCCAGCCCTGAGGAAGTTCTTGGGTGATTTTGCCGCCCGGTCTGATCGTGATGTCCAAGAACCAAACAGGCGTGTACGCGAGGTCCTTGAGCGACTCGACGCCTTGGCTCCGTCCAGAAATTACTTTGACTTCGACCTTGCCATCGTCCGTCTTAGCGATTGGGATCTCAGAGGCGCGCAAGTCGCGATAACGCGGTTCGCAGGATTTCAGCTTCTCGGGCAAGTCGACCCAAAGTTGCATGCCGACGTTGACATCTTCGGTTTGCACGGGCATTTCTGCGTGCATGATCCCTCGACCAGCGGTCATGAACTGAAGATCACCTGGCCCTATTGTCCCACGGTTGCCTGCAAAGTCTTCGTGGTCGACACCACCTTTTAACAGGTATGTGATTGTTTCTTGACCGCGGTGTGGATGATCGGGAAAGCCTGCGCCAGGTGGAATGCGAAAGTGGTCGAGCATGAGGAACGGGGTGAAGTTGCGCAATTTCGGTGTGCCGACACTGCGTCTGACGACGGCACCAGCGCCCTCGGACTGCTCGCGAGCGAGGAAGGAGAATTGGATGGCTCGCGGGGTGGTCATGTTTGCGGTTGATGTGAAGCGAGAGGGGATCAGAGGGAGACCGAGAAAGGGTGTTGCTGAGGCTTTAGGTGGTGTTCGAAGTATCAAATTGTTGAAAATGGGTCTAGCTTGATGAAAGATTGCATTGGTCGCCAGATTGGATTCGATGTTGGTATAATATGCGATGAGTAGTGCCGTGATGAGGGTAATGAGAAAAGAGAGAAGTCGCTTCATGAACAATGAAATGTGTACTTATACCTGGCTAAATCTGCTTTCGAACAGACTAGAAGATCGGATCGGAAGAGAGGATCAGCATTATGAGATCTGGGGATCTGTGGCTTAATCAACTGGGTCGTCTATGGGTCTGTCATTGTCGCAAAGGTCGAAGGACGCAGCGGACAAACCCCCATGCGGGTCATTCCGCGGCGGCGAAGTTGATGGATTCGGATTTGGTAAGAATCAGTCAGCAGAGACAGAGAGACGGAGAGAGACCAAAGTCACGTGAATTCATCCGCTCCAGGCAGATCACGTGCTATATGCATTCTTTCGTCATCGTCAAATCAACGGGGCCTCAAACCCCGAAGCAGGCATGAAGTCAACGTATGACTTCAGATACCTAGGTACGGAGTGACAATCCTACGAGTAGCATTGCGAGATGGGTTTCCAAATGAAGCCTCCACTGCTATTTCATCCCCTATCACCCGGACGCCTGTGGACGCCGTAGGAGACGGGCGGCAAGCCTGGACTTTACGACTCCCATCGCATGCACGAACCTAGCCGGACCATCTAGAAATGGCGAACGACGTCGACGACCGAAAAGACCTTCAAGAAGATGTGGTTGACCATGACTCTCCACTCTTCAAACTCCGCTTCATCTCGTACGGCAACATATGGGGTCCAATCGAGAGACCTCCTGATTCAGAACAGCTCGACTTCCCCCTCAACACCATCCCCAATCCACCAGCAAAGCTTCGCAAGACACATACGGGCCTATCCGCGCACCTTCGTGAGGCAGTGCTTTCTGAAGAAGGCGTCGCAGAGAGGTCCGGCGACATCGTCACCATCGTCCAGTCCAAGATGGACAACATGAAGCGTGCTTGGGAGCAGGATCAGACCTCACCGACCACTCTTATCGTAGCTCTCTCGTGTGGACGAGGCAAGCATCGCAGTGTCACGTTCGCCGAGGAACTTCCCAAACACATCGAAACAGATGGATGGTCTGTTACTGTCTGGCATCGTGATCTAGCGTTCACTTCTGATCAAGCTGATCAAGCTCTTTCGGACGAAGAGGATGGCTCGGATTCTCTCAGTGATCAGTCACTAGACCGTGAAGGACTTGAGGCCAAAGGGAAGGAGCAACACAAACAGAAAAGGAGGAAGAGTAAGCCATCAGCAGAGCACGTTGTTCACGATTCAACGCCTGACGGCGAGATTGATCTAAGGCGGGATGGAACTGAAGAGCGCGCACACTCATCATGAACTGTCTTCTCTAGCTCTCAACCCATGCCATGCCGGGCCATGCCATGCCTAAGTTGGTAGTTCGGGTTCGGGGTAGTGCAGGCCCGCTGCTCTCCAACACAATCCCCATGATGTGCCCCCGTGAGTCCCTATTGCCGACGCCCGACGTCGCCTATCCGACTTGCGGAGAGCCCAGATCCCGCCTGACCAATCATTCAAGATTGTCGACTGCCGACTTCAACTTCCATCCTTCAGTAAGCTTGGGTGAGAAACGGGTCCGTATACATATATAATCAGCGTTGGTGCTGGATCTTGCCTCGAATTCGATCCAGGAAAGGAAAGCAACAGTTCGTGTCTGAACCAATTTGTCCCCTTATCCGCCCAGCATCTGGAACATCAAAACAACCGGCAGTATGTTCTACGAGCCAGGGAAAACCGAGCACAACCTCCCTCATGATCCGTTCAAGGTGTGTATACACTCTGCCATCCCTCTTGTTCTGTCCTAGGTGCCCTCAAGTTCTTGATTCCAAAATCATTCCTGACCCTTTTCCAACTTTACAAGGCTTGCGTCGTCCCCCGCCCTATAGGCTGGATATCCACCATCTCCCCCTCTTCGTCTTCCTCCAGCAGCAGCACCACCAGCACCAACGGCCTTTCCACCCCGACCGCCAACCTCGCCCCATATTCTCAATTCAACAATCTCACCTTCGACCCCCCATACGTCATGTTCTCCGCCAATCAGAACCCGCACTCCGCCCAAAAGGACACCGTCCGCAACGCTGAAGCCACCGGAGTCTTCTGCTGGCAACTGGCCACCTATCCACTGCGCGAAGCCGTCAACAAAACAGCCGAACACCTGCCCTACGGCGTTGACGAGTTCGAACGCGCGGGGCTGGAAAAGACTTGGTCACGGGCCCTCCCTACGCCGGTTCCCATGGTCAGAGCATCCCCTGTCCGCTTCGAGTGCGAGTACTACACCACCCTCAAATTGCCGGGAAACCCGCCCATGGGTACCGTCGACGTAGTGATAGGCAAAGTCGTCGGCATCCATATCGACGAGCGGGTCTTGACCGAAGGCAAGATCGACATCAACAAGACCCAGCCTATTGCTCGGTGCGGCTACTACGACTACATAATGGCTCACGATCCGTTTAGTATGATCATTCCAGGAGATCCCGCAACACTCTATGGGCTGGAGGGCAGCGTCAAGCAGCACAAGGAACATCGAGATCGAGAGGCGGCCCAGAAGATGGGCGTAGACCAATCAGGACCACCTTGAACGATTGGTCTGATAGTTTGGCTATGATATACGCCTTTTCAAAGCTCTACCTATGCCGCTTACTACTCTGATCTTGGTATCAGTCCAGCTGATACTTGTAATCTGCACCATGAAAGCCCAAATCCAGCTTCTTCACTAAAAGATGCAGTACTGTTTCCAGCACATCGTACTGCTCTCAGTCCAATTCACCAGCGACGCTGATACAGCCAAATCGTGTAAACAACAAGCTCATCTCCAGCCCTTCGTTCGACAGCGCAGTCTCGTTTTCAGCACACTTTCTTCGTCCAGTCTACCAGCATAACTCTGTTCTTCACACGATGCCCCGGCAATATTTTTCATCCTCATCCACCGGCTCAGGTGAATTTGTCGAGGAGATGGTTTCAGCGGTCTGTCCAGATTCGTCTCTGTTACGCTTGCTTCGCGTGGACCATTTGCTCTCCGTGGTGATAGCTCTGACAGGTCGACCTCGAAATAGTTCGACCTCCTCAACAAGTTCAGGGGCCGACTCTGTCTCTGTTTCGTATTCCTCTTCGGAGATGCGCAGGCACTTTTCCTTGTCATTCGCAGAAGGGAAAGCAGAATCGACGACGCTGCACTCGAGGTTCATGGTTCCAAGCCGCTTCACAAATGTGCTGTCGCTTTCCTCCTCAGTATCTCTCAACCTCTTCCTCTCAAAGTTCTCCAGGACTTTCGCCACTTTCTCGCACTTCTCCTCGTTCGCCAAAGAAGAACAAGAAAGATCACTATGCGCGAGATTTGTAGCGTCATCGAGCATGCAGTCGACCGCACCGTTCATGTCTCCTCCGGGAGGATCGTCGAATTGCGTGCTGGGTGGGGGAAATACTCCGAATGATTTATCATCGCGCGAGAATGACTCTCCCTGAAAAACAGAGCTGGTGTCGAAGTCTTCTTCAGTCTCGTCTCGTCGATCCGCATGACCATGGCTTCGGAAGTAGTAGCGTGCAATGACCGACTTGAAGTCCTCGACGATCATGCATGTCACAGGCTCCGGCAGAGTTGATTGCTGTCGGATACTGTTCAAAAGATCGTCAATCTCCCACAAACACAGACCTTTTGTGTCCCACGTCGGCGCAGTGTCATATGGCAGTTTGGCCTGGTTCCAGAACTCCCAAAGGCCACCCTCTTGAGACATCATCTCTCCGAAGGCAGTCTGAGACAGTTCAAGAGCGGCTTTTGCAGCATACACGAATTGATAGTCATCGAATGGACACCATCCGTACTGGTCGGTGTATGCCAACTGACGAGTCCGACCCGCAGGACGTGCTGATGAGGGCAGAGGTATAAACGCAGGCGATGGTGTGCGTCGCGGTTTGTCCACAGCCACTGAGGAGGCCGAGACTGTCCGAGGGTCGAGGACCTTGTCACACCGAGCTGCGGTCGCACAGTCCATGTACCACTTCAAGTTGACAGCGGCATGGCCGTTGTTCTCATTCGGAGCCTGGAGAACTGTGGGACTGCTTTGCTGTGCTATCTCATCAGGAACGTTAGTTCCCTAGACCTGTTAGCAGGAGGAACCCAGTGTGTCATGTTACGGTATCTCACCTGCTCCATCTTCGAGGGTGAGACCACTTCTACCTGGCCAGGTCCAGATAAAGGACTGGAGTCGCTGAAGACCGCTGTTGGGCTTGACTTTCCGGAATCCATTTCATGCTCCTCCGGACCCCACAGAGGTTGGCCGTTGTCATCGGGACACAACGGAGAATCCTTTGTTTCACAAGCCGACTGGTGTTCGCGACCTTTATGTCGATCGTGATGGGAATCTGTGCTGCCATCAGCCTCTTCCATTGTGACCGTTGACGCTTGCTCTGGGCGAGGAAATGGTTCTACTTGGGTACACTCCTCCTTGCGGCGACCTGGAGATGTAAGGAGTGGTGAAAGAGGGACCTTTTGCGTCTCATCGTCGTTACTAGGAAACCCCTTCTCAATGGCCACATCTGGAGAGGATGGGCAGCTCGATGATTTCCTCCTCCGAAAGCCGTCATCGTACCCTCTAAGCAAGAGCAGACTGATTTCAGGATCAATCTCTTCGGATGGGTCATCGAAAGGGTTGTCTGTAGGTATAACGCTGCCTGGCTGAGTGGACTGAGGAGTCGGAAATTCAGTCAACGCCTTGTCGTCCAAGCCACCGAGAATATCACTAGCTTTCGTTGCAGCTAAGGCATGACGGAAATCAGCAGAACACCTCAAGACATGTCCTGGCTGAGGCCTTGCAGTCGGGATAGGGTCTTGGAGTCTCCTGAAGGCTTGCAGGATCGGGGTCTGTGCAAGCTGGACTGGTGGCAATGACGGTGTCGTTTTTGGAATGTCGATCGGAGAAGATTTTGCTTCCGTGTCGATGACGGTGTTACCAGATCTGAACCTCACCGACTTCTTGGGGCTTGTCTTTCCTGTAGACGGAGGATTGTGCGTCAATGCTTCCTCATCCTCAATCTTTGTGGATTGCTTGTTTTCCTTGTAGAACAGAGACGTTGGTGCTCGAATTGCGTCCGCCAATGCTTCGAGAATGGATCTGGCAGGAGACGATTTGTCCGTGATTGAGTACTCGGAGGGTCTTCTGTTCATAGTGTCTCGGCTGATTCTGGATAGTCTTGAGGTTGCAGAACCTTTGAGTGGATGTGGACTTGGAGCTCGGGGGAATCGTCTAGGTTTTCCAGTTCGAGGGGTTTCTGCAGCTCGCTGAGGGTCATGATTCGGATTTGAAGCATCATATTCTGGGTACAGGTTACGCTCCATGGCATCAGAGACGGTTCTGGTTGGTGAACGGCTGTGTGAGATGGTCAGATTGTCTGCATGAAAGTTGTCCGCCCTCGACTCACCTGGCTGTCCGTCCTCTCATAGCAGAGTCTAGCAGAGAGGATAGACTTTTGCGCGCAGATAGTCTTGGAACGGTAGCAGAGCGGCTTCGAGCAGAGGGCGATGGCGTTTTCTGCTCATTGTCGATGCTCAGCGAGTCTGTCGCCGTTCTTCGACGAAGGCTGGGGAAGGGCATATTGGGCTAGGCGAATAACATGGAGATGCAGCATAAATGAGAGAACTGGAGACCTCAGTGGGCCTTCAGAGGCGAATCAACGAGTCCAAGAGGAGATGAGTGCCGGATGTGAGGGAATGTGAAATGAAGTGAGAAAGGTTTGGGTTGTAAGAGGCCAGGCACGAAGGGTGCTTCGGTCTCGGCGTAGAGGGGGGAAAGGAAGGAAGAGAGTACGCGAACAGGCTCTTGCCTTTAGTCTCGCTTTCAAGACATCACACAAGAATCTCCGAAAGCTTTCTCCAGCCACCATTTGCAAAGTCACAACATCATCCAGAACATCTTTATGAGGTGAGAAGGTGTGTGTGTTTTCAACTTGCTCTTCAGCACGTGATCCAGCACCGCTCAGAAAATCATGCGGACGAGGCTGAGGCCCCTTTTCAGACATCGCCGTTGTCTTCAGCAACAGCACTATTGCACTGGAACGGGAGGCCCATTCAGTACTCTGGCACAAGCCTATCATCTGTCAATTTCCAGGGCAATCCATGCTCATATCGGATTCTCCGGTATGCATTGCATCAGCCACCGTTCACCACTCTGTGCAGTCACTTCCCGCCACACTATTTTTGATTGCTGTTCAGTCATGAAGCATGAAAGTCTTTGTCATAGGCGGCGACAAACCACGTCCGTGGTCAGTGCGGGACGATATTCTTTATACTCGAGCCTAGAACTCGACGCTACTATTTATGGTAACAATGAATTTGTCTGGTGTTTCTTTGTCTACATAGGATCCCACTGAGGACTCAACATATTTATATCGCACGCAGGACCCGCTCAACTCCCTGGGCTTTGAACAGAACAGAAGGCTCATCAATAGTAGCTGAACACTCGAAAATAACCACCATTTACATCTAAGAAAGCCGTATCCCTATCAAATACATCCTTCTGCCATGAGTGACGACAGCGATAACGGGGACCTGCATGGCTTTGACATCCATCCCATTTGGCGCTATGAAGCCTTTCGAGAGGCAAATTTCAGACACAACCTTGCCGGTTCTGACCTTGACATGGCACGACACAACTTGGCTCCACAGCTGTACGAACGTATGGAGCCAGCGTTGAGACTTGCAACCTTATTTCTCATCATGGCAAATGGTGATTTGGCACGAATCATGTACGGTTCGCTGGAAACACAAAATAATGAAGCAGGCCAGCCAGAGCAAAGGCTCAAAGACTGGAGAGGCACTCCTGCGAAGCTCAAAGCTTTCGAGCGAGAGCTGGTGCAGATTTCCAAACAATATCGATTCACCTGGCTGCCTTACCTTGCAGCAAACCTTCAAGAAGACTGCCCCTACGAAAAAACAGATACCGCAATTACAGAGGTCATGATGTGTCCACTACACCAACGTCCGTTGAAGAAATACTATGTGCAGTCAGCGCTCGGCACCCACTGGAGAGAGTTTCTCGAAAGGTGGGACTGGGACACTATGGACCAGGCTGAGAAGGATAGTCGGCTTCTGCTGTTGGCCGTCACGCTGATCCACGAGCTCGCTCACGCTGTTTGGTGCCACCGCCTGACCTCTTTCTATGAGTACAATCAGAGGTATCCTGGTAAGCTCGACTTCGACCCGACAGAGCCAAAGATGGGTATGAGGTCATGGGCGGAATGTGGCTATGTCGTTGAGGAGATGACGCTCGGAGGCTTTCTCTCTTTCTCGAACGTTGTGCCTTCAACTACGATCCCGCCCTATCCCGTTCCCCCAGTTAACAAAGTCCTCTTCACCACGATCAATCCTCAAACAGGAGCATGGAGGATCAATGAGGTACGGCCATATGACGTCGCTGAGTTTTTCAACCCTGATACATGGGACTGGGATCCTGATTTCGAGGAGTATTCAGAATTCGATCTGCTCAGGGCCCGATTGGATGCACAGCCGCCCATCCAAGTCAGAATTGCCCCTATCTAGGATGTCGACACCACGTCACGTCCCACTACTCTGTGCTTTTCATTTCGAGTGTTGACAGTCTGGTCATTTGCGTTCGGTTGTCGTTTGCAGAAGTCGAAGTTGCGTTGTCTGATCGATTCAAGGTCATATACCCACATGTTGTCCTTTTATCGAAGAATATCTTGCCAGTTTTTATGACTGTAGTTTACAATAATAAATGCTGTTAATATCTGTAACTGCTGATGCTGCTATTATTCGTGATGGCGTCTCCTCACTTGGTCGGTACCTCAGCCATACTAAACAGCGATCACCAATATCACCTCAAACAAGCCGGACTAAACAACGTCCATCACCTGTATCAGACCAAGGACAAGAAGCTTCTTCATAATGAAGGTGCCATTACCTGGCACAAACCATTACGCCCATGGGGGTGTCACACTTCCTTGTCCGTTTCTTTGTCGCTGAAGCAGTACAACAACAACAATGGACGATGCAGGCAGGGAGAAAGAACAGAAATGCCTTTGCCCCAAGGTATCAATCTATTACTACTATCCTCCTAGAATCCGGGGGAAGGAGTGTCATCAATCCTACAAACGCCACCAAGAAAATAATTCCCATCGAGCAGAATCAAACCAAAAACCAAAAGGCGAAACGCAACATGGCGGTAGAATCCCAAAAAGCAGTCCCTCTCTTTCTCTTCCTCGCCATAATACTCCTCATCCTTCCCTGTGCTGCGATTCTCTGGCACGGCAATCGAAAATTCCGGCAGCAGAAAGCACGGAAGAACAAGCGAAGACGAGCCATCAACAGCATCACCCGTACAATGACAACTTCCATCGAACTTGGTGATATCCGCACTCCACCTCCGGTCGTCGCGCCGCCACGGCCCAGAACTCAAGGAAAGAAACTTCCGCTGGCGTGGCGCGGTCCGGACGGTAGATTCGTCATGCCAAGCGAGGAGCGCAGCCAGGAAGACATGCCAATCAAAGTGGCCAAGCCGATCAGCCATGTTCAGACTCAGAACCGGGACGTCCAAGACATCAACCAGAAGTTGTCGACGCCTCACGACCGCTCTGGCTGCATCTCGGGATCCTCTCCAGGGCCAGCGCCACTCGTGGAGACGCAGTATGCGACATGTGCCCATGCTCGACCGGTCATCCTGCAGCCTGCACCAAAGAGAAAAGAGAGCGTGGCCAGACTGTCTGGTGTTGCCCAAGGACAAGCCTCTTTCGGATCATCTCCACGAGTGAAGAGTCAGAAGGTGCAGCTTGAAGAAGCCTCCATCCCAGGCAGGGTAGAGGATGATGTCGGACATTACACCCAGCCTCAAGTGCCGAAGGGGTGGGCGTGAGGTACGCAGGATGAGAAGTCGACGAAGAAAGAGACCGAGAGAAAGCAGTCCGGATGAGTTGGAGGGATTGCTGAACATGTATTGCCGACTTGTCCAAGGCCAGAATCGAGAAAATGTTGCCCGAGGATTGCCTGCAGAATAATGGCCCATATTTCCTTTATTAGTCAACCGAAATACCCAGATGTTACTTCCTTCAGACCATGTTATGTTCTCCGCGCTTCTGGCCGAAATAAGCCCATTTGGACTCCGCTTGAGCAAATGTGATTATTGTGGGCGGTGCTGATTTCCCCGGGCCAAATGTAGGTTCCGTTCGGGGCACCAAGTCGACTTGGGCAAAAGTAGCTATTGTCGCTGGAGCCGATTTTGGAGGCGGATGTAAATTGCGCGCTTCGTTGGTATATAGATGGATGATTTCATGCATGCTATCGCGAGTTGGCGCTGGGAGGGGAGGAGGGCTTTCGGCATCCGGAAAGCTCGCGAGGTCATCAGGAAGTGGTGGTGGATATTCAGCTTCGGGTGTTTGGGGGCGTGCTGGAGGCTCGGTCTGTGATGGATTTGCCTGAGCGGCCACGTCTTCTGTCAAGGGGAGAGTCATGTCATTTTCTGCATTGTTTTTGTGTGCTTTCCTGGTTTCGAGGGAATTTGAGATGCTGCAGTATATTGCAAGGAGGAACGTCATTGAGGCAACTGCGACGACAATGATAAGTATTACTAGTGCTGTTAATGGGATCATTTTGTGGAGAGCAGAGTGAGATGTTGTATTTGAGATCCGTGCTGCGACTGATTACATTATTGAAAAGTGCAGTTGTGAGGAGCAGAGAGACTGACTCGAGGAGATAAAGCCATGGGTGTCGGAAAAGAAACAAAGAGAATCCGGACAGGTTGAGGCTGGTACAATCCGTTCGAACAAAGGGCTTGGTGCATCCAGCATTGCGCTTGCGGACTGGAATCTACAGTCGCTACTCGAGGACTCGCCACAATTCCTCGCCCTTGCGTAGCAGCGGAATAGCTTACGAGAAGAGACCGTTTGGCGGTATCAGTCGCCAATCTGAAGATTTGTTGCTCGGGAGAGCATCATTTTGTGATTGGATTTCGAATGATATTGCCGAAGATCTCGTCGTTCTCGGCTTTTCGAGCCGCTTTCTTTTTGTCACGCCTGACCTTGAGGGCGAAGAGGTAGATCAGGGCAATGATGAGGACGATTGCTGCAAATATCGCGACCACCAGCCAGGCAATAGGGGACATGTTGAGCTCGGAAGACATTTTGACTTGGGATACTGACCGAACTTGGACTCAAGGAAATAGTATACTCGATGCATGCTCAATCCAAACATGATGCAAATCTTCAGCTTTAAGAGCCAGCATCGTAGAGAGTCAACAGACCTTCCTTTGTGGCTATTTCCGGATGCAGAAGTAATGACTTCTTTGTGATAACCAGCACAATGGACCGCCAGTCCTGAGGGAGTAACAGGGTCGGAGCAGGCAAGACTCGAGCCCCCAGCAGCGGTACCTCAAGGACAGCATTCTGTGAAACTTGTAGTAGTCGAGGATCGAGGTCAATGTCACGGTTAGTGCGGAGTGACACTTACGAGGACATCATAAAGGAATCTGGTCTGGAGCACCTGTTTCGCGAAGAGCTGTCTCTAAGATAGAAAGCGCCCGGGAAGTGGCAGTCTCCTTTTGGCGCTTGAAGTTGTCTACTGTTGCTGAAGCGTGTCGGTTGCAGACATGTCAATGTCTTGAAGTGGTTTTGATGGATGATGACGGCCTTCAAAAGACGAGATGCATGTCATTCACCGTCATTTTATACACGCACTTTACCGCATTTGGCCGACTCCTGGATCTCGTCGCTCTTCTCGCGAACCGTGTCTGCGCTCGCTTCCTGCAGATAGCAAACAGTACAGAAAATACGTCGTCCCCCATCCTACAGGACCTCAGTTGTCCAGATCACAAACCACTGCCCTTCTGGAGTCTTTTCGAGTTTGCGCGCAACAAATACAAACCTCAATCAGATCGCGCATACCGGCAGGCCGCATTCCCAGCCACTCTCACGAATCCTCCTCAGCGCGATGTCTTTCCTCCTATCTACCACTAGACGTGCAGGCTTTACCGGCTCTACGCTTGCCAATCGCACGTTTTCAACAACGCGACCATCACAACTTGCGCGGATGACACTGGTCGGTCGGCTAGGCGCAGATCCAGAGCTAGTGGACGCGGGCAAAACCCAGCTCATCAGATATGTGGTCGGAACGAGCTCAGGCCCCAAGGACAACAGACAGACATCCTGGTTTCGTGTCGCCAGCTTTGCGCCAGAAGGTCCCCAGAGAGACTATATCCTGGGTCTGAGTAAAGGGTAGGTGGGATGTTTCTCTTGTACATGACACATTAGGCTGACGTCTGGCGAACAGAACACTTGTCTATCTGGAGGGCGATGCGACGATGCGTGTATACGAGGATGCGGATGGCAAGAAACAGAGCGCATTGAGCCTTGTGCAGACGAAATTGGATGTTTTGAAGAGACCAAATCTCAAAGAAGATATCGGAGACGGAGGCATCACTGGAGTATGAAAGGTGCCGTTGGCAGGTACCTGGCACTAAAGGCCATGAAATGATGTACAAAATCAGTGTGAGGCGTTGCTTCGAAAGCTGAAGATTGGGACCCCATGTAATTTCGCCACTCATGATCTTTCTTCCCACAGTACAGAAGTGGTTATGGAGGAATACCGGGTATAGCGATAATATCCTCACAAACTTGGAAATGTCCACAATGTACTCTTCCTCGCGCCTCTTGACGCTTAATCCTCAGCTACTAAGGCCCGTGGACCCGAACCCCGCAGGTTGGAATGATCCTCCTGAAGCATAGACTTTGTGTTGTTTCAGTCACAAGTGATCCACCCCATGGTGATGAGACGACATCTGAAAGGAGGTCGGCGCAGCAGTGGTAGAGACCTGATTCCTCCTCTGGGCAGCCTGCCCGAAGCACTTCTTCAACCATTGGAACCAGGATCTGTACATCTGTTTGGTATCTCGACCAAGTCCGAAAACCCCAAAGAGTACATATGCTGTGACAGTTTGCGCCCATCGATCGAAAGACGGCGTCGCTACGGGATAGAAGGTCGTCACGTCCGCCCAATTCGGAGGATGAATGTAGGACCAGGAATAGATATGCCGTGGCGTACTCATATTTCCCACGAAGGCAACAGTGTTGAGCGGTAAGTATATCAGCAGAAGGATGACAGCAAAGCTGATGAGACGGTAATTCTGAGATCGAGTGGCACCGGGAGTGTCGGAGAGAACGGCAGACAACTCCCTTCTGTGTCTCCAGAGGCGGACCATAGCGACAGCGCAATAGACGCACGCAGCTAGGCAGAGTGCCATTGGCCAGATATAGATGAGCACAAAGCTTGGCCAAGAATTGTCGAACGACGGCGTGCAACCAGCTATCCTCCTGATCCAGTACCTGGGTCGCTGGACCACGTAGTGTGCAGTCATAACCAAGGAAGGGAGAACGATGCACAGACATATCTCAATGACGAGGGTGATGTTGCGCTGCCGACGACTAGGAGCCACTGACATGTGCTCTGTATCGAGGATGGTCGCGATCTGGCGGAAAAGACACAACAAGACACCGTCAACTGATACGCCTTGCCCGATGTAAAGTTTCACCTCGATGTCGCACAGTATTTTGCCATCCCACCAGGTATCTTGGTCTTCTGAGCGCCAAATCAATGCGTTGAGGGAGTTGAGGAAGCAAAGGATCGCGATGCCAAGCGTGAGTACAATAGCCGCCACATTTCTGGCTTTGATATGAATCAGCAGTGGAGGGACGCATGCGAGGCATGCCAATAAGGACAGGGTAGCGAATATGACGGAGTAAGCGAAGTAGTCCATGGTGTAGACGGAGGATTTGATTTCAAGTCTGGTAAGTTCTGGGGATTTGTGCTGCAAACGAAGCAAAGAGGATAGGGGAACCGGATAGAGAAATCTACATACCTCTGACTGTTCCATCACTGCGGACTCTCCCCGTGTCTCTCCCCGTCTCTTTCCTGAGCTCGGCTCTGATTCAAGCATAGAGTGGTGTTCCCACAGAGATTTCAGATACTTCAGAGACATCTTGCCCAAACCGGTGTTGAATAAGGAAACCCCCAAGGCTGCTCGATAGGTCACCTAACTTTAGCTGACATTTTTGGCCAGGCAACCCTGTAGACTGTTCCGAGTCATACAGCTGTTGTCCAGGTTCACAGGCTTTCTTAGAAGTATACGGTAGCCATGAAGGGTAGGTCGACTGGCCAGCAAAAGACTGTAGTCATGATGGCAATCAAAGGAAACGACAAAAGAATGCGTTGGCCATGTATCTTCATCACAGATACACACCCAAGTCTAGCGCTTCACAAAGCAATTTCACCCTTACGATCCGTGCTCTGATGTGATTTGGTCCTTTGATGCTCATGATACGGTTGGAGATGGCGAGCCGTGAGAGGATGTGATGTGATGTGATGTGATGTGATGACAGCTGTCGAGCTGATGGGCCTCTCGCTTCACCTGCCTTGTACGGTGTTTGGTAGAAGTGGTGTTGACGTCAACTCAAGTCGGCTGCAAAGGCCCCTGTTCACGGTTCACGGTTCACGGTTCACGCCTGTGACGCCTGTTCCACCATTTCTTCATCTTGTTTAACCTCATCAGCTTCTTCGCTGGCTTTCAAAATCGCGTATTTGTCGCACGCAGTGGCATCCCAGGACTGCACCGTCAAATATCTGACAATGGCTGCATCGAATCTTGTTCGCCCCTGAGAGATGCAAACGCGTCGGCAACAGAACGGGAAACATCTCCGGCCAAGTAAACCTCTCGCAATAGCACTCTTCGACTTGACAACCTCAGCCGACAACAACAGGCTTCACCCTGCCTTGGAGGTGGAAGGTCTCAATCAACATGTCCTCTGAAAAGAAGCCCTCGATTACCCTACCCTCTTCGTTACAGACTGGCGGGAGAATCAGTCCTTCTCCACAAGGCCTTAGGCAGCGTCCACTGGGCAGAGCATCCACGTTCGCTGAGGAAAACGCACGGTTGAACCGTCGATCGAGCTCATTCCTCTCTGAAAGTCTATCGGAGACTCGAAGGTCACTGCGCTCATCGACAGACGATATTCTACGGCCACGTCTCAAAGAAGTGGATGAGAATGTTGACCACGACGAAAATTCTCACTGGCAGTCGCTGCCTCTGGGCCTTGCCCTCCTCCCTGCTGTTGGAGGCCTGTTCTTCACGAACGGTAGTGCTGTCATTACTGATGTGACCTTACTGGGCCTGGCTGCTATATTTATGAATTGGGCGCTGAGATCGCCGTGGTAAGTCTTTTCTTGACGAATTTCTCACGTATGCCTTCTCACCAAGCATCCAGGGACTGGTACCGAGCTGCTCAGAGCCAGATCTTGCCAGAGTCGACCACTCCGCCGGTCTTCACGCCGGTCGATGAAGTAGATGAAGAGGAGGATACCAAACCCAAGTCTGGCAGCGGCGAAGCGATTGCAGGGGGGGTCAATTCTGTCTCCCTCGATGCTGGTTCAAGTACCTTGCATGCAAAAAGGACTTCTGCTCAAAAAGAGCTTCGCTTTTATGAAGTGGTTGCACTGCTGTGCTGTTTCACCTTCCCTTTGCTCGCTGCATGGCTTCTTCACGGTATCCGGTCGCAACTCAGTCGGCCTTCTGAGGGACTGGTCTCCAATTACAACTTGACCATCTTCATATTGGTCGCTGAGATCCGACCTCTTTCGCACCTGATCAAGATGGTTCAACGGCGCACACTCTTCCTCCAACGCAAGGTGAACGTGGATATGCTCGTCGAAGATAAAAGGATCGACAATCAACAACTCATGGACGTCTCTCGTCGACTCGAAGAGTTGGAGAGTCATGTTGCAGATCAGATTGCGGCCCGATCACCACAAGAGACAGATTCGGCGGGAAATGCTCTCGACGCTAAACTACCAGGAGTAGTACGGTCCGAAGTCCAGAAGACTGTCCAGCCTGAGGTCGATGCCCTGAATAGAGCTATGCGTCGATACGAAAAGAGAACCACTATCTCAGCAGTCCAGTTCGAGGCGAGGCTGCAGGATCTCGAAGCGCGACTGAATGATGTTGTCTCCCTGGCTGCAGCTGCTCAGCGGAACGCAGATCGAAAACCGGACAAATACATCGTTGTCCTGACGAATTGGATATGCGCGATCGTTGTGGTTCCTATACAGTATCTTCTTTCTCTTTTGAGCCTTCCGGGTAAAGTTGTTACAGTAGTCTTTGCTGTGCAAAAACGATATCTTTGGAAAACACCCAAGACTCAGTCGCCCAAAGATGGCCGACCACCCCGAAGGAATGCACCTGTGCGAGCCAGCGAACGCGAGAGGAGACCTAAGGGAGCTCAGGTTGTCAGTCAAGGACATTGAGAGATATCAAAGAGCAGCGGCTGCTCACGCTTGTTATGGTCAACGGCGGGGCTGCATCAATTCATCTTCAGATATTGGAAGGACCGCGACAACATGGAGTTGAAGTGGTGCGGCCGTCCTCGACTTGCGAATTGCGGTCATGCTTGATTCTGCCAGACCTAGATACGAAACATGCTGTTGTTTACTGCATCCTATTTATGCACTCAACTTTCAACTGTCAACGCACCTCCGTCTCTACAATGTACCAGTGTTCCTGACTTCTTGCAACGACTCTTCGCTGCGCTGACATACTCTATCACTGCGACACTGTTCTACTCTCCCTTCATCAGACCGCGACTATCGCTACAGCTTTCTCCAGCTTCTGGCAGAGTCCCGATCCTTTGACCACACAATGGCACAGTCTACTTCTCAGGCAACTCACGGCACAACAGCACCAAGGATGACGCCTGACAAGAACAAAGCGGCGCTACACACTGCCAAAGTCATGAATGGTGCGTGTTTTCTGTTTATGGCATCTTGTTTCTCCTGCTCATTTTCAATAGGAGGCAATCCGCTATTCTCTCAAGCCCTGGTAACATCTGACTTTCCACACAAGAACGAATGGGACAACGACAATCTTCCGGACATCTTGTTCTACCTAGTTCCTCCAAAGAGCATCCACAACACGGAAAAGCTTCAACGAATCAGCGATAATGGACAACCAGTGCTCAATGACAAGGGCCGTCGCATCCGCGACTTCGAAATTCTTCCTCGGCATATCAGTGTCGCTGTAGAAGGTATGCATCCTGCCTAGGCATGCTGCGTGGCGTTCCGCTGACATCTCCAGGTTGGCTTCTCGAAACATGGCGTCGTCTCGACACTCGAATCACCTACAATGACATCCGCGATCGCATGGTTGCCGACCCTACCTACGGAAATGGAGTTGGTCTTGTCATTCCGAGCGCCAACAGCTTACAAAATCAATGTCGTCGCGACTGCAGAGCGCTGCTAAACAACTGGGCGGAACACGACAAGAGAGGAGCCGAACCAACTCGCACCGACGTCGAGACAATTGAAAAGCTCACTTCCTACAACGTGGCGTGCAACACCGTTCTCGACGTCGTCACCTTGTGGCCACAAACGGACCAGGAGATGCATCGCCTGCGCAAGGTCAAGCTGGTCCGAGATAGCAACGGCCGTCTCAGGATGGAACCATCTGTCGTGACCACAGACAATTGGATGCAGACAACGTACGCCCTGGACCACTTCAAGAGTGGCCTCGGCGCTGGCAATGCAGAGTACGTCCCTCTCAATGAGGCGAGGCTCGCCGCCTGGGAGCTGTTGCTCGTCCTGCAGGAACGAGCCGACATCCACGGCGTTCAACATTGGTCCAAGCTGACCAAGACGTGTCTGCCCACCTCGTGGTTCGAGCGGACGGCCGACAAGGCTGTACCGAACGACACCTACGATGGTGGGTGTCAAATCTGCACGTGGCGGAGTGAGGAGGAGGGGGTCGCGGGGGTCAATGGCGACGCTAAGGAGGAGGAGGAGGAGGAGGAGGAGGAGGAGGAGGAAGAGGAGGAGGAGGAGGAAGAGGAGGAGGAGGAGGAAGAGGAGGAGGAGGAGGAAGAGGAGGAGGAGGAGGCCAATGAAGGGCCTGCCTATGAGGCGTTGACCTGGCACATTTACACGCCAGACAACTTTCCCTTCTTGTGACCCACCAGGGGTACCTGGTGGGTATGTATGACGAATGAACGGCCTGTATGTAGACAATGATATTGGCATTGCGACGAGTGCATATGTACATGTATAGAACGCCTGTGCAAAGTGACTTGTTTCGAGATCACACCTCCTCGTAGAGGATCAAGCTGTCCAGCGAGCTAAACCCGGCGGCGACCCCGCCCTCATCGCTGTCCTTGGCCTTCGTGCGCATCAGGTATCCGCCCTCTGTATTATGCATGACCTCCGGCTGCTTGACGCCAGGGGCGGTTTTCCACAGACAGGTACCGAATATGCCCAACTCGGAGATGACATCGCTCATGAAGACGGCGCCGTCACTGCGAAGGACGGTGTTGTGAGCCTGTTCAGGTGGGTGGATCAGTTCCATGAGGATGTACTGCTTCCATTCAGACTCTGGGATGGATTTGAGGAAAGGAGGGATGTTGGTGCGGTAGATGTTGTTCCCACCTCCTTCGCGCTGGGGTTTGAGGACGTGGTTCGCAGCAGTGGCCCTGTCCAGCGCGAGTTTGATGCCTTCGGCCTGTACCGCCGGGTCAGTGGAGGAGAGGGAGTATTGTGGCGCGAACGTCGAGCGAAGATTGTCGAGAGTGGCGTCGGAGTGGTTGGGCAGGAAGGCCTTGAGGTAGTCTGGACCAGGAGGGCGGGAAGTCAGGACTTGTTGGACTTTCTTCGAGCCGGCGAGTTGCAGAAGGATGCTGGGACATTTGATGGCGCCGCTGCGCTCGAGCCAATATCTCGAGGCCCAGCAGTCGGAATTCTCGTATTCCGTCGGAGAATACAGGGCGCGGAAGTAGACGACTGTCACTTCGTACTTTGTCGATGGAGAGGACGGCGGCGTGTAAACTAGCGGTCGTGAGGGGTGGTCGAAAGCACAGAACGTGTCGGACATGACTTTGCTTGTTCGTAAGCGGAATGACGGGATGCCGTGATGTTTGTACAGATGGCGGGATAGGGCTAGTTGGTCGAAGATGTTGCGTTCCTCGTCTTGGACTAGGAAGAGTATGCAGGTAGGTAGCTGCGGCGAGGATTTAGAGGGGCCATAGGCCTGATGAGCGGCTGCAAGGCCAGCTGTCAATGTGGACACCGCGGTATTGGAAGGCGGGTGGCCGATGGATTTGATGGATGTGCTCTCATAGTTGCTGAATAGTGGGTGTGGAGGGTATGCGACTGGATGCTGTGCTGAGGGATATGTTGCCAAATGGGTATGCATTTCAGCGACAAGGCACGCTAGACCTCCGAAGGAAGAGGATATCGTGTTAAATTCGATCTGCTTGAGAGATGGAGGACAGTCTTCAGAGGTGTGTAGCATGTAGTCTGATCGGAACATGCCTAGAGTCATGTTTTGGACGTATCCGTCTTTCTTGACACGCAGGTGGGTCTCCCACAGTTTGGCGAGAAAGTCGTCCACCTCTATCAGTCTGTGATCTCAAGTCAGCAGAAGCCTTATACCATTTTTGGCTCCCGGGGGAAGGAGTTGTTTACTCTGATTCGAAGTAAGTCAGAGGAAGAGCGGGTGAGTACTTACTCCTCCATTATCGTTTCTAGCCAACCTTCGTCGTTAGCTATGGCAGCATAAAGCTCGTTGTAGGTCTGCTGAAGGCTCCTAGCCTGGTCGTAGCACGACTTGGGAAAAGGGCTTGGGAATAGTGTCACTGGCGCATTAGTGGCCAGAACATTCCCAGGATTCGTCTTTTCAGGCACTATAGCCGTAGAAGGCCTAATAGCGAGGCCATGCTCTATCGTCCAATCTTTGACGGTCTGGATCAGCCATCTTTCCTGCTGGGTCGACAGTTCCGGTGGGTATTCGGCGTAGATTTCGGTCGACATTTCCTTCGCAGGCTTCCGAAGGCCAACCAGCTACAGCTTGTGACTGCGGAAGATGTAGGTATGGGGGGATAAGGGAAGCACCAGAATTTGGATATTGACTGCCAGTGTGTTGCTTGATCTGGAAGATTTGTAGTTCCAATTACGAGACGATTGTTTAGTCAGCAGAGGTGACTCTCGCTTAACTTTCCCTATCCAGTTACGCGTAAAGTGATTTTCCTTCGCGTGGCAGGCAACCGCTCGCGTCAAACTGCCCCCACAGCTTGTAGTTTTCCCAATCAAACACTCAGTTCGAAGTTCTACATCAGACGCACTACGGAGTACTCGAAGGCAGACTGCCTTCTTTACGAAGTGGATGAGAAATCCCGACCATGAGAAGAGGCAGGAGCGTTCTCACATCTTGTTTTGTTTGGGGAGGTAATGGGGGCCTTTGTTCGCTTGATCCTTTCGCGCGCTACCTCACTTCAGCCTCTCAGACACTGTCTCTCTTCAGCGACTCTCCTTGATTGCAACCTTCCCCGTCAGTCCTGGTTCATTTCAGACGACCTCATGAGATCTCTGCGCCTTCTTCCTCTACCAGATCGACACTTTTCATCTTTCCGGCATCACAACCTCTTATGGGAGCCCTTTTCCGTCATTGACACATCCTCATCGCTTACCCTTCGCGCTCATGGACTTCCCAAATGACCCGGAATGTGACCCTCGCAGTTGGTCCATTGACCAAGTCGTCGAGGAACTATGCTACAACCCAACGCCCAAATGGTCTCCTAATGACCAGCCTCAGCTAATCCCGGATCGACAACTACTCGAGAACACTCTTCGCCAGAATCATGTGGACGGCGATAATCTCCTTGCGCTTGATATGGGGGTGCTCAGAGATGATCTGGGAGTCATGTCTTTTGGTCAAAGAAGAGCCATCATGAAAGCGATCGAATACTTTCGACTTCATTCAAGGAGCTATCAACAGATGGCTTTCCAGGCTGATAGTATCGCCAGAATGCAGCCAGGAACCTTTACTCCGCAGCTCTCAAGACATTCCATGTTGCCACAGTCTCCTGCGCATGCCGGCCTTGGACTTGTACCCTCCATCGAGCCCAGACAACCTACAAATTCACCCTCCCTGTACTCCAATAACTTCGGACTTCAACAGCCAACATTCCCACAAGATCTCAGTGCATTCGAATCCAAGCCTCCGATTTCTGAGAAGCCGCCAAGTTCGGCTCGCCGACCCTCTGAACTGGCCTCCATACTACCCACGAATAGTCATGACACTGCTGCAGACAAGGAACAGCCGCCTCCCACAGCGGCGGAGCCTGGGTCAATCCTACCACAACGATCCAAAAGAGAATACGTCGTCGTCAATGGCAAGAAGAGGATAACACCAACATTCTTGTCGCCGCTGCATGAAGGACCTACCGAGACTGGCGACGGTGCCTACCTTTCTCGCACAGCTGTGCCGTTGCAAGATATATTCTACCACAGAATATCTACCGGCTTCGGTGATATATTTTATCGACCTCCAGTAGACGAGTCCAGCGATTTCTTGATTGCAGGGCGCTTTTCTACAGGCCAGAGACTAGGTGTCGCCAGTCATATGAAACACTTCCTGCGACAAAGTACGGGCAAGCTGTCAAGTGGTGCGGCTTACAAGATACCTTGCAAAGATGGCCGAGTCAATGAGCCATACTCAGAACATTATTTTACGCTATTCCCGCAGGACAGTGGACGGCCAAGAGTTTTCCGAGCCCAAGACTACCCGGAGATAATGGCTATCCTAAACGCAACCACACGCGCGAGAAAGGGCACGATTCCTCCTGTCTATGACGGAACTCGAGACGAGCCGGGCCAGGAAGAAATATCTCAATGGACAGATCTGGACTATCTGCTTGAAAAATATCCCGTGGAAGCGTCTGATGAGGTACTTCCTGCGTACGGTGACTCCGGCGACGAAGGGGAATTTGATGAGGACACTTGGAGAGAGATTCAGGAAGAAGAAGCAGAGAAGATTCGTGAATCATCCTACATGACTCGTGCCGAGGTGGACACCGTTATTGATCAGGCTATCAGGGAAATGAGACAGGATTGGCATGAGACGAAACGTGCCAAAATCCAGCTGAAAGCGTGGCGTATGTGGATGAAAGCTGCACGCAAGAAGGGCCGACAACAAGAGTTGACCTACGTCACACACCAGAAACAGCGGTTTGAGCGAATGATGCTGAAGACTACGGAGGCCATAGCCGACGACATTTGGCGTAACGCTACTGAAGTCAAAAAACAATGCCAAAGTGTTGAAGCGGCAGTCCATCAACATGAGGAGTATCAGCATTACGAAACAGTGTTGAATCAGGATACGCCACCAGAACGTCCAAGTGAGCGGGCGTTACGAGCTAGTCGTGGACGTCCAAAGCAAGATCTTGAGGAAGGAGAAGAGCTCATCGAATCGGAAACTGAACCATTTACTGACGAAGAAGACGACTTGTTGGTGGACGACTCGTCCGACGTTGGATCTATTCACCATGAGCCTGATATGGAGGAGTGGAATCCTGTCATTCCCTCCATCACCACGGCTGATGGTACAGGCGTGAAGTCTGCTCAGATTACTCCGGCTCCCACTGAATCAGCCAAGGTGGTACCGACCTTGGAGCTTCGTGAGGTGGACTCAACTCCCGATCCCCAGGCAAGTGACGCCGATGTGGAGACCAGCGAAGACGAGATTATATCGCCTGCCCGCAAAAAGCAGACTAATCACAAGACTATTTCTCCTATGATCCTCAAGATTCCTCCGAAAACCCCGGCACCCAAGCATGTTCTTTCCATCCCTGCTGATCCCAATCAGGCCACTGCGGCGGGTTCTGAGTCTGATTCTGAAAGTTCGGATTTCGACCGAGCTCCACGTCTTCCGAATACCAAATACCGGGGTCGTGGGCGTACGAAGCTGGAGCCCGTGGACTTAACATTCTCAAGCCCTACAAACGAGTCAGCTCCAAGTGTTATCGAAGATAGTACAGACTTCTCTGTGCATACCCCAGAACTCAATCCGGCCCCCAAGATCAGTCCTGGCCTGTCCAAGCGAAAAAGAGAGCATGACGATGACTCTGGCTTGCCGCCATATGCTGATGTGGAGGGCATGCGGGACGAGGTTGAGTGGTCCGACCTTGAGAAAATGATCGATAATTGCGTTCCCGATAAACGTCGAGCACTCGCAAAAGCGGTTTATGAACTCGAGCCGGATACGGTCATCGATCTGGACCGCTATCTGAAGTCCTTGGCCCCTCGTAACCGCAAAGACATTTTAGTCAGCGGTTTGCTTGCGTTGAGCGACGATGAGTGCCAGATTGATGGCGTCAAACCCAAACATCTGCGAAGCGCTCATCTTTTGGTGCTTCTTTATATCACCTTTGTTTGTGGTCAGAACATGGTCGATAGGGCAAATCTGACGGATAGGTGCCGTGATGATGCTTACGCTGACATCGACAAAGCGCTGAGACCATTCTTTGATCTCCTGGATGAGCTCATACATCGTTTCAAAAAGTATGAGCAGCAATCAAGCTCACTGCCAAGCGTAAAGAAGAAAAAGAGAGACCAGGACAACGTCAACGTGGGTGTTCTAGATGATGCTGATTTACAAATGACCGATGTGTCAACCGATTTTCTGGCTCCTGAAGAACCACCATCTACCCACAAGAAACGGAAACGCATGGTTGAGGAAAGTCAAGAAGCCAAATCTTTACAAATGAGCGACAAACTCCGCATCCAGGAACAAGAGGAGCGCCGAAAGAAGATGGCAAAGAAATTCGCACAGATGACGGCAGAGGGAACAACGATAACAGAGCCTGTCAACACAACCGAGCCCTATGTCTACCTCCATCCTCACATCGCCCAGCGCGTAAAGCCGCATCAACTGAACGGCATCCAATTCATGTGGCGGGAGATCATTGAAGACCCAAAACATCAAGGTTGCATACTGGCACATACCATGGGGCTCGGGAAAACCATGCAGGTGGTGTCTCTTCTCGTGACAATCGCTCTTTGCAATCAAAGTGAAGACGTCAGTATCAGAAATCAGATCCCATCTCACCTCAAAAAGAGCAAGACCCTCATTCTTTGCCCTGCTTCCTTGGTGGAAAATTGGTATGATGAATTGTTGATGTGGACGCCCGACGTAAGCGTTCTAGGTACCATCTACAAGCACGACAAACCAGATCCGAATATGGTTGCTGAATGGTCGCGAACTGGTGGTGTTCTGCTTACGGGCTACGAACGATTCAGAGGTGCCATCGATAAGAGTAAGAAAGCGAAAAAGCAGGGCAATGTTCAAGTGGATATCGAGAAGATTTTGCTGGAAGTGCCGAATCTTGTCATTGCAGACGAAGCCCACAGACTCAAGAATGCTTCCTCGGGCATCCACAAAGTTGCAAAACAATTAAAGACGACAAGTCGCATCGCTCTTACCGGGTCGCCCTTGAACAATCATCTCGAAGAGTATCACGCCATGGTGGACTGGATAGCCCCAAACTATCTCGGGGATATTGTCCAGTTCAAGGCAAAATATTCTGAACCAATCGTTGATGGTTTATATGCTGACAGCACTGCATTTGAGAGACGTGTGTCTCTTCGCAAACTGCATGTCCTGAAACGAGATCTCGACCCAAAAATCACGCGAGCTGACATTTCGGCAATTGCCAAAGATATGCCTCCAAAGACTGAATTCTTCATCACTCTGCCCCTTACCGATATTCAGAGACAGGCGTACAACATATATGTCAAGTACATGCTGGAAACGATGCGGGGTCAGAAGGACAAAAGTTCACGGACTGCCAACATCTGGGCTTGGATAGCTATGCTGTCATGGCTGTGTCACCATCCATCCTGCTTTCTGTCCAAAATGCAGGAGCGTGCAGAGCGTGAGCGGGAACAGCGAGCAGAGCAAGGACGTGTTGACAATCAAACAAGCGCCGACGAGGCGCGCGCTAGTAATGAACACAGTGATCCAACCACGCCTGACAATCCTGAGGCAGACCATGATTTCGACATTAGTGGTCCTATGGAGGAGGCATTACAAGAAGTCAAGGAGATCTTCAAGGATCTGGATCAACCGACACTAATGGATGATCCTTCTCTATCCTACCGCACCCAGGCAGTTAAGGAAATTGTGAGACAGACCATGGCAGTCGGCGACAAGACACTTATCTTCTCGCACAGCATTCCAACGCTGAACTACTTGGAGAGGATGTTGGAGAATATGAACTGCTCCTACTGTCGACTAGACGGGAAGACGAAGATGTCTGTCCGACAAGCTGCCACCAAGAAGTTCAACCAATACAGTGGTTACCAAGTCTTCCTTATTTCGATGAGGGCTGGAGGCTTGGGACTGAACCTTCAGGGGGCGAACCGCGTTATCATTTTCGACTTCAGCTTCAACCCCTCTCATGAAGAGCAAGCGATCGGAAGAGCTTACCGGCTAAATCAAAAGACTCCTGTCTTCGTGTACCGATTCCAAGCCGGGGGAACTTTTGAGGATGTCCTGTTCAATACAGCTATCTTCAAGACGCAACTCTTCGGGCGTGTTGTGGATAAGAAGAGGCCTACTAGACACGCAACGAAAAATATGGCAGAATATCTTTTCCCTGCCAAAGACGTGCCGCTGCAAGACTTCAAAGAATGTCTTGGAAAAGACCCAGAAGTCCTTGATTCTATCATCGACGAGCTGGATTTTATCCGCGGTATCGTGCTGACCGAGACGTTCCAAAAAGAAGAGGACGAGCAGTTGAATGAAGAAGAGCAGAAAAAGGCCGAAGAGGAGTACCGAGATGAGCAGTTACTGCGAGACAATCCTGCTGCATATTACGCGAAAAAGGCGGCAGAGCAAGCACAACTGCTGCGCAAGCAACCGCAACCCATGTACCCTCATTCCGGAGGATACCCGCTTCCCAACCAGCTACCTTCTTCCACGGCACCTGTGTATGCTGCAAATTCTACATCCCGACCTCAATCCGGGGCAGCGCGTTTTCCGGCCAATCGAGAGGATTTGGATCGCCCACCAGCGACTCAGCAACCACCAAGTGCTCCGAAAGGAGTTTCTTGGGCTTATGATGACACATTTCGAGATATTTTACAACAGCCTGATACTGGTGCTGGAGCGCACAGCGTTGATGACGGCGATGTGCACATGAACGGGGCTGAGTAGTATTCCGCTCTGGCCGCACAGCATCAGCGTCAATCGCGATGAAGCTCACGGGGTTGAGAGCATATGGCTGAGGTGATGCACGGGGACGGTCTCCAGCCTAGAAGATCCCCTGGGTTTCCACTTTTCTTTTGTCATTGAGGCTTTTTTTATCGAAGCAGAGATACCCCATTCAAGCAAGTTTTTCATGAGTTAAAGAGACAGAAAAGGAGGGCAAGAAATGATATGACCTGTGTGAACAGCTGAGATTGCGGGCTGATTGGCTTGTGCTCGTGCTCGTGGAGATACAGTGAGCCATGATGATGTACATATTCAGACAGCACGATCATACGCTCACACCTTTACGCAGGCTCTCCACGGTTCATCCTGGGGCCGCAGATTGTAACATTCCAGCCTCGCAATGTATAGCCTGTGAATCTAAATCCGTATTTCCAGATGTGTGCTTTCGTATTCGTGGTGTGGTTGAATGACGTGGATCCACTCTCGAGTGTTTGACGTAGAGAGACATCATTTCATTACGACGATGCATCCTCCTCTACTACGGGGGACGAAAGGCTTGCCATGCCGGTCAAGTCTGTCATCACGGCAGATGTTTTTCTGCATATCCCGCCATCTGTACAGGCACAGACTAGCAGCCCTGATACGACGGTCTTGGGGAGCGGGAGTGCCGGCAGGTCGCCAAAGGACGGTCTAGCGAGTGACAAGGTGGGAGAGAAGGGAACGCAGACGACACCAATCCAACGAGGACCATTGACCCTGGTATTCTTCATCACCGGCAATCCTGGACTGATCGCTTACTATCATCCTTTCCTATCCCTGCTCGTTGAAAGGCTGAAGAAGAAAGAAGCGGAGCGGCCGGTCGTGGTTGCTGGATTCAGTCTCGGTGGGTTTGATGCCGAATCACCACGTTCGACGACAGAAGCCAGTTCTAGTAGTGGCAATAATGGTGCTTGGGATCAGAGCGCCGACGGGGATGCCAATGCCGTGGATGATGAGGAGATCCAGGAGACTTTGTACCCGCCGTTACGGTCGAGGCAGCAAAGTGAAAGTGGAGACCATACCGCTGATGGGGATCACAACGACGATAGGATTTACACGCTGAGGGAGCAGATCGAATTGACCTACGCACGGCTCGTGGCGCTCATTGCACGGCTCCGGCGCGACAACTACTATTTAGATCATGAGTCGGAGTCGGAGTCGGTGCAGGTGGTGTTGATGGGACATAGCGTGGGGACGTATATCGCACTCGAGCTCGTCAGACTATGGCACGAGCGGGAAATGCAGCAGCCACAAGAAGCAGCAGCAGCAGCAGCAGCAGTGTCTTGGTCTTTGTCTTCGCCTGGTGAAGGGCAAGATCCATCTCCAGTTCCATCTCCACCTCCACCAATTCGGGAAATAGAGAGGGAGAGGGCAAGGGAGAAGAAAGGGCCGTCATGGAAGATCTCAAGTTGTATCCTCCTCACGCCTACCATCGTTGACCTACATATGTCACCGTCCGGAAGGATTGCGACTCCGCTGCTTACGTCGATACCGGTATTGTCTGCCTATCTACCAGACGTGGCTCACGGGTTGTTGCACTCCGTCCTGATCCGGGGGTTGCCGTCAAAGTGGATGGCCAGCCTGGTGCAAAGGGTGACAGGCATGCGCAAGGGCAGTCACGGGTTCGATACGACGATGGCGTTCTTGACGAGTCAGAGAGGCGTCAAGCAGGCCCTCACTATGGCGGCGGCGGAATTGAAGGAGATTAGAGCGGACCAGTGGGGTTCAGAGGTTTGGGGGGCGGCGGTGGATGAAGAGGAGGGTGATACTCGGGTCAACGGGTCGACACGGAGTCCGAGGTTGTATTTGTGGTTTGCGAAAGAGGACCATTGGGTTGCAGATATCACGAGGGAGGAGATTTTGAGGAGCAAAGGGGCAGAAGGAGAGGACGGAGGCCAAACAAGACCGACGATTGTCATAGATGAGACGGCTGGGCTGGTACATGCGTGGTGTTTGGAACAGAGTGACATGGTGGCGGGACGAGTGGGAGAATGGTTGGAGGAGATATTGGATCATAATGCGTAGAGTAGAAACCGCTCCTCGCATTCCAGTGGAAGTACAGTAAAAGAGGGCCTAAAATGTCGATAGAGGAGAATTGCTTATGCAGGAATGTTGTCTATGTAGTCTATTTTGCCGTCAGACCTGCTCTCCTAAAGAGGTCACCAAGCACATCAGATTGCTGAGGTCCGGATCGTGGTACATTGTCATTCTGCTGGCCGTTCGTTGGGGCCGGCGCGGCTTGCTGGTGGCTCCCATCGAGGTTGTGAGCTCTTACACTCCACGCGGCGTCGGAAGCTCTCTGCTGACCAAACAATTGCTGCAGGCTGATCGGTAGACCTGAAGTGGCTGCGGTAGCTTGCTGACTATGTAAGGCCTGCTCAGCTTCCTGCATATGTCCGTCCATATGCTGAGCCACAGCAGCAGAGGCCGCGGCCTCGGCGGCTTGTTTACTCGCTCCAGCATGATCAGCGAGCGATTTCATGAGCTCGCCATTCAGGGTTTGAGCATTTTCCGTTGACGATCCTGGTTCGTGGAAAATGTAGACGCCGTAGATTTTCTGCTCGTGCCCTTCTTTGAAACTGATGATCACGTATTCCCCCGTTATCTCGACGCCTGCATTTTCACCCTCCCTCAATTCCGCTTCGAAATTGTCCAGACCCCTCCGGTTCAGAACAATGGCGGAGTATCTGTCCTCGCCATATTTTCCAGGTACAAGCTCGCAGATAAACAAGGACCCTTCCACTCCGATTTTGGTCCATTCAGGTTGTGGCATGGGAGAAAATTCGTACACGACGGCGTAGGGTGCGATAGATAGTATGGAGGAGATCTCGGGATTGTGGCGTTTGAGGACAGATAGGTTCAATTCTTCATTGGTACGATTCGGAGGCGGTGGCCCAGTCGGGTAGTCTGACTGGTAGCCCTGATTGTCGGACTCGTAGTCTGATGCGAGTATACCTGGTTGTATGGGAGGCAAAGGCATCGGTGCAGGAAGAGGAGTGGCTGTGGAGGTTGGTTGTTGTGTTTGTGCTTGAGGCATGGGAGGATAGCGTGGGAAGTCGACGGACTGCTGCCGCCTTGAGTTGCCAGAGCGTCGGTGTGACATGGCTGGATCTGGTATTGGGGTATGGAAGATTGAAGGGCTATGGAATGCAAGAGAGGTCAATATGGGAAATTTGTGACCTACCTCGGTGGGTAGGTTACCTGCCTTGAGGTCCTAGCACAGAGCGACACAGATATCACTGGCTGTCAGAAACGCGCAGTGGGTGTCCAGAAGCGTGAATGAGAAGGCAGGTGAATATTGTGGTGTTGCGTAGATGGCGGACAGTCTCATATCGCGCAGGCGAGCAGGCGAGCAGGGCTCGCAGGCTAGAAATCCGGAGGCTGCTGTCGGAAAGGTGCGCTGGTCTGACGGATGAGGCACGCCTGTTGAAATGGCAACTGCAGCAGAGTCACGGCGAGTCAAGTTTGGTCAGACACCATCGTGACACGACACGTACTAGATACCTTAGCACCTTAGTTAGCAATGGTACCCTTAGGCTTGAGTGGCTTGTTAGGGGCACCAGGCACCACGATGGGACTATATTGGCAAGGCTGCGGGGCCGAATTGGGCAAAGCGCCAGGGAAAGCGCGACCCCAGAGTGCAGTCAGTGCCTGCGGATCAAGATTGACAGGTTACCCCTAATTTTTTGGACGGCCTCATACAATTGAAACTCATCTCTCCCAACCTCAACACGCATCACATCATCGCACGACCGCAAACTGTTTCTCTTCCTTCCCCTCGTTTGTTTCCATCCTCATCGGCCCCGGCGATCGCTTACATCGTCCTTTGTTCTGCCACAGCGTTACGTTCAGTGATTCTCAACAATCAACATGTCGTCCCCTATGAATGCGGTACGCACGCAGGTCACCTTCTAACTCCCCTTACCACCAACATCGAAGCCTTCTCAGTCCTCATCTTATTGCACCTGCCCTGGGAAAAGCTTCACTATGTTCTCTACTAACAGTATGCGCTTGGCGCAGGTAAAGATCCGGCGAAAGAAGAATGTCAAGAAGGGGATCCAGTTCTGTTTGATGGTGTGCGGCGCAAGTGGAACTGGTACTTTCTACTCATGTTGATTTCATCAGGCCATGAGTTGACAATAAATAGGTCGAACAACCTTTGTCAACACCCTCTGCGGAAAACAGGTCCTCCGACCCAAAGACGCCGACGACGCAGCCAATGCTCATCTCGAGGAAGGAGTGAGGATCAAGCCTGTGACAGTTGGTAGGTGCAAAATCACACAGACCCGGGATAAGATATTGTGATCTGACAGGTCCCGCAGAACTCGAGTTAGATGAAGAGGGCACACGTGTCTCATTGACCATTGTCGACACTCCTGGCTTTGGCGACCAGATCGACAATGAGTCTGCTTTCGGCGAAATTGTTGGCTACCTCGAACGACAGTACGATGACATTCTGGCGGAGGAGTCTCGTATCAAGAGAAACCCTCGCTTCAGAGACAACCGCGTTCACGCTCTCCTCTATTTTATCACCCCTACCGGTCACGGCTTGCGAGAACTCGACATCGAATTGATGAAGCGCCTCTCTCCTCGTGTCAACGTCATTCCCGTCATTGGCAAGGCCGATTCCTTGACCCCTGCCGAGCTGGCCGAGTCTAAGAAGTTGGTCATGGAAGACATTGAACACTACCGAATCCCGGTCTACAACTTCCCCTACGACATTGAAGAAGATGACGAGGATACGGTTGAGGAAAACGCAGAGCTACGTGGCTTGATGCCGTTTGCCATTGTTGGATCAGAGGATGTGATTGAGCTTGGTGGCCGACGAGTGCGAGCACGACAATATCCGTGGGGTATTGTGGAAGTGGACAATCCTCGCCACTCGGATTTCCTTGCCATTCGTAGCGCGCTTCTGCATTCCCACCTTGCCGATCTGAAAGAAATCACCCACGACTTCCTTTACGAGAATTACCGTACTGAGAAACTCAGCAAAAGTGTGGATGGAGGCGTTTCGTACGTGCCTTCTGGTCTTATCTACAGAGGATCATTCCGTGACTAATTGTGTGATAACAGTGGACAAGATTCGTCGATTAACCCCGAAGACCTCGCCAACCAGTCGGTCCGTCTCAAGGAGGAACAACTGCGTCGTGAAGAGGAGAAGCTGCGTGAGATTGAGGTCAAGGTGCAACGTGAAATCAATGAGAAGCGACAAGAACTGTTGGCACGCGAGTCTCAGCTACGTGAGATTGAAGCCCGTATGCAGCGTGAGCAGAGCCAGGGTATGGAGGACGTCAATGGCCACGGCCAGCAAGATGCATAAACTCAGACCGGGGGAAGGCGGAGCGGAGGGGTTTTCGTATTTCTGCTGCGTCATGCAGGCCATGGATTTCAAAGCGAAGCAGAATTCGATTGAGGAGCTTCGATGGAGGTGAGGCTGCACAGAACTTCAAGCCTGATGAGCGGTAAGGCTTGGAAGTCCCGTCTGTGGGTCGACTCTTTTTATTGCTGAGGGGGAACATGTCCTGTCAGTAGAATAGCGACTTCTTTTTAATGAGCGGTGACTGGACCTGGAAAAGGAGCTTTGTTTTCGTTGAACATGTTGAGGGCTTGTGCATAGTAGACAACTACTCGAGCACAAAGTGACCCCTAACTACGTTAGGTGTGCTCCATGTCCCTTGGTTGGGTGGAAAGTTCCCATCAATATCGCTTCCTCTGTTTATTGGCCGGTACCTGACCAACCCGCCTGCGAATCTGCTCGGTTACACAACAGTGGGTGGCAGACGACTCGGGACTTCCGGGCCTCATGCCGCGGGGAAGCGTGGGATAGCAGTGCTTACCTGGCCTGTGGGCGTGTCCGCTGTATTGCTAATCGACGATGTGCACGCGGGGGCTCTCTTGGGCTGTCCGAACTGGTTCTGGACGAGGACGGAGGGAGGGGTTGTTGAGTGATACAGCATCGGGAAGCCGGGATCGTCACCTGCACGACGACGAGCACGACAACCACAGCTGGACATCGATCAATGAGAACAAGACAAGATGTAAATCGCGCATTCCAGGCAGGAAAAAGCAAAAATGAACGAGGTCCAGCATGTTGTCTTACCGGGGGTTGGGCGACTAGGCCTCACTTTGCCTGACTGTGCCAGAATTCTCCGCAAACCTCGCTTGGTGAAAGACCCTGGTGAGAAAGACTCGTTGTAAGCCACTAACGTAGGCTTGTGTCCCAACTCTTGACCTCAACATGGCTGCCTCAGCGGTGCCTAGAGGAGAACAATGATTGAAGAAAGTAGAGTAGATGAATACCGTCATAGATGCTGGTCACGAGAGCAGTGTGTAGCAATGCTTGACTCAATGATCAAGCATTATGTCGTGGCACACCTTGAAAGCAGAGCCGTCAATCAGAAAAGGACGAGCGTGGAGTGCATTGCATTTGCAGGTTGCAGTAGCCTTGCAGGTGCCTTCAAGCGAAGCTGGAGAAGGAAGTAACTCCACGTTCTTTGTCCCCTCGAATATCTCGTTGAGGTCCTGGTCCATCTCATGACGGGCTGCTTGGAATATGACGACTACACTCACAGTATTGCTATAAATCACTCAGATATCGTCCAAGTCCTGTTCGGCACCTACCGAGATCAATTACGCTGACCATCAGACGAGACTCACTCATCACGAGCTGCATCGTGCAAATCCCGCTCACTCGGCTGTCATCCCTGCAGCCCACCTGATGCGAGTCTTCTTCGATCGATGTTGAACTCGGCGGCACTCCATATGTGAGAGATTCATGACTTGCTGGTCTCTTCATCCGCCTCAGCTTTCTACTGGTGGCTGACAGTGCTGCAGATTTTGATAGTAATCAACGACTATTCAGTGCTCCACCAAGATACCATCAGCAGCCGTGTTTGTGGTGGTGCAACGCGAATGCCCTCGACAAGCAAAAGCTTAGCACACTGATGACCCGCCTCGACGTTGCCCACCTCACGCCAATCGCGCCCATAGAGCGTCATCGGTCCACAGAGCAATACACCGTACACCTTCGAGTACCGATCAGGTCAAGTAACAGCACCAACCACGCGGTTGAGTATATCCAAGAGGAGGACATACAAGGTGAAGAAATCAACAAGACCAGCTTAATAACCACTGACACCACGATTGTCAGCCACGAGTAAGCCCGAGCACTCCAAGGACATCGTCGGAAAGGTCTCTGCTTCGACCCGCCTTGTCCTCACCTATTCGCCGTCTTGAAGCGCTATTTGGGCAAAGTTCCTGGCCTTCCACGATCAAGTCCGTCAACCTCCCGCCGTCTCGAGATCCATCTCGTGCCGATGCTTCGCATGAACTGTCACTTACTGTCGTGATCAAATGCCCCACCATCAATCGCCGCAGTCGGTACCCCGATTCCATTATTGATTATTCCTCCAACTTGCTCTCCTCAAAAGGCTGGGTTTCCTGGCCAGGTTCTTTCCTCCCGCAATAGTCCATCCTCGAACGCTCGCCGCACTGGCATCTCTCAAGCTCTCGCTCACTTTGGGTGAGATGCATAGCTTGCCCCCAGAAACTACTTTACCGCCGACGGTAGTCTTTGGATCATGTCGGTCATGACTAGCCAGCCGCCGGTCCCCTCTCGGAGCTCGAGCGGATTCAGTTTCCTCTCCAAGATCAAATCTCACAAAGAACCAAAGTACCTGAGCCCCGAGCGACCTCCCTCCGTCCATAGAACCGGTAGTTACGGAAGCTGTATCGACAAGTCTACCCGATCGTCGCTGTTCTCCGTACCGGCGCAAGAAGGAGCAGGTCTGAAATCTCGTCGCCTAAGCGCAAGCCCGTCGGACGATTTCGTGGTCGATGTTTGTCCTCTCGAAGATGAGTTCGTGTCAGCCTCCAAGATTGGCCGTCGGAAAGAGATTGGCAAAGGCGCAAGTGCCACAGTGAAGATCATGCTTAGAAGAGGTGACAAGAAGTCAGGCGCTGCATGTCAGTATGCTGTGAAAGAGTTCCGCAAGAAATCCATAAGAGAAACAGAGGAGGAGTACATTCGCAAAGTCAAATCGGAGTACACCATCGCCAAATCAGCCGATCATCCCAACATTGTGCGGACGGTTCGACTGTGCACGAACAATGGGCGTTGGAACCATGTCATGGAGTACTGCCAACAGGGTGAGCTGTTTGGCCTGGTCGAGCGGAAATACTTCAAGGCTGAGGACCGGAACTGCATCTTCAAGCAAGTACTGAGGGGCGTCAATTACTTGCATCAGCACGGCATTGCCCACAGGGACATCAAATTGGAGAACATTCTGATGACGGACGATGGACATATTAAGATCACCGATTTCGGAGTGTCGGAAGTCTTCTGCGGTGACCATCCTGGGATAGCATCCTCAAGAGGACTTTGTGGTCAAGGCATGAGAGAACCTCGATTGTCGGCTCCCGGTATCTGTGGGTCGAAACCATATATTTCCCCTGAGGTGTTGGCTCAAGATCGAGACTACGATCCGACCAAGCTGGATGCGTGGGGTTGTGGCATACTCTTCATGACCATCTTCCTCGTCGGCAACCCGTGGCAGAGCGCGAGCAAGGAAGAGGTCAACTATGCCATTTTCCTAGAAGGCTGGGAAGCCTTCCTTGACCGCTTCGAAAACATGCCCATCGACGAAAACTCTTATCCACAATGCGGATCGATTTTCAATTCTCTGCCTTCACATTCGCAGCGACGGTGCATTCTCAAATTGCTTCACCCGGACCCGGACCAACGTTGTACTGTGAACGAGGCTCTGAACGATCGGTGGGTCAAAGGCATCGACTGCTGCTCGCCTGAGACTAGCGGAGCGGCCGTAAACAACATCGACGTCACCAAGATGGGATGTGACAAAGTCGCCGCTCGGATGAGGGTGCAAGCGAAGCATGATCATCTACCTCCGCCAGTCAAGCGACTGCCCCGGCATCGCTTTGATATGGGTGATGGTACATCAAGGTATGACTGAAGTCCTGCCTATTCAACCTGTTCGAGTGGCCCTCCAAAGGTATTTGCATTTTCTTTTGTTCCTTTGGAGTCTGTTTTCCAACGGCGGCAACAGGGAATTGGGCGCGCGCACTAAAAAGTCACCTGGAGTTGCAGACCTCCTCATTGCAGAGGAGGTGCATTAGAAAGCCGGAGTTCTTGATCGGTGGTGATGTTGCCGATTGAGCAGGTGTTGGTGAGAGGCGACAAAATGGGGGGTAGACTGCCGTTTGTTGTACGGCCGGAGGCATATCGAAACATGGTTCGGAGAACCAACAGGCCCCTTGGCAAAAGTTCATATCAATATACATAATACGAGCTGCTTCCGACGATGTCGATCGTAGGCATAATGCCTATTCTGACATCGAAGTCGACGGACGTGGAATTCCTAGGATTGAGAAACTGTCCTTGACCGCTGTTGCGAAAACACAGACAAGGCTCTGATGATCGTGTAGTCAGTTCCTCCAACCCATCAACAGGCTGCTAGGATTGAGGTAGGACGATATGGACGAGTTTGAATGCATGCGTCAGCTGTGTGGACGTGATGAGATGATGGTTGATGTTGGAGGGAATCATCTGGCAAGGAAGCTCATTGATGGCAACCCCTTGTTGGTCTCGGCAGCTCATCCTCTTGATGTTGGCAGACCCGATGTTGAAGCATTCTCGCTCATACCCTGGGTCAATCAGCCTGACACTACGCTGCCGGTCGCAAGTTGTAGCTAGAAATGTCAAATGTTAACTACGTAATATGGAGGTCGTTTGTGGTAGTTCTACTTCAGCCTCGTCACGCACATGCAATGGTGTCGCAGCCTTACACCGACAACGTTTCCTCCTCGGCAAGTTCGGCCCACCAGCCGGCATTGGCCACGCCGCTACGTGCACTGATGTGATTGACTCCTCAAGTCCTGTAAACTAGGGAAAGGACTGAGCCCATCACACCATCTCTCCATCTTTTCGACTCCTTGGGACATTGACCTCGGGATTGTTCCAGCAAAAGACTCGTGATATCAAACATCGCGGGGAAAAGGGAATTGCTCAGAAAGGTTCAACGTCGACTTGCGGTCTGATCGATTGTCAACATTTCCGGGCCTTGACACATCAGCAAGACATCTCAGTCCAAGCCCTTGGACCCCTCTACACAGTAGACAGGGAAATAACACAGCGTGGTCGCGGATTCCAAGCAAAAGCAAAGGCCAACGCTCCATCCGTAGTTCGTGTTGAGACTGCTGGAAGAAAGTAGGATACATGGCCAACACTGAACCAACCCTTGGCGTGAGCAACGACGTGCCCAACCCCGAATTGCCCTACCAGCCCTACATGGACGTCAAACCGCCCCCGAAGGCAGGACTCTCCGAGGCCAACGGTGCACCGCTGACGGAACGCGAAGTCGAAGCCGTAGAGAAACGAGAGCGCGAAGAGCGTGAATCGACGCCCGAACCCGAGAATTTTGCCATCGCCTTCCCGGAGAACCTGCCCACACCACCCTTCCTGCATGTCGAGGGGGTCCCGAATTTCAGGGACCTGGGCGGCTATGCTTGTCAACCACCTTGTTCTACCGCCAGCACGGACACCGCCGACTCTGCATCATCCCAACAACCGGGGACAACAACAACCCATGTACTACGTAAAGGCCTGCTGTATCGCTGCGCGCATCCGACGCACCTGACGGCGCAGGGGGCCGAGTACTTGACGCAGACACTGGGTGTGCATGACATGTACGATCTCCGCTCGCAGCCCGAGATCTCACGGCTCGCGGCAACGGTGGCTTCGAGCGGCAAGGCCATCTACCCGCTCGCGGACCCGACGACAGGATGTCTGGACCACGTCGAGGGCCTGACTCGGCACTTCACGCCCGTGTACCAGAGCGAAGACTACGGGCCCGTGGCGCTGGCGACCAAGTTGGCCTGGTACACGGCGGCGCACAGTCACGACGAGGACGCCGGCTTCGCGTACAGCGAGGGCTTCGTCAAGGCGTACCGGGACATCGCGCTGCACGGCGCGCGCCCCGCGTACGAGAAGATGTTTCGACAGTTGCTCGACCGGCCCGGCGAGCCGCTCGTGTTCCACTGCACGGCCGGCAAGGACCGGACGGGCGTGTTCGCCGCGCTGGTGGGGAAATTGGTCGGCGTGCCCGAGGACATGGTCTGTTGGGAGTACGCGCTCACCGAGCCCGGCCTGGGCGAGTGGAGGGCGCAATTCATCGAGAGGATCTGCGCGTCCGGGTTGGGCAGTGGAGGTGGAGGGGGAGGGAAGCCAAGCCCAGGCCACCAGCGGACGACAATCAGTCGCGAGGAGGCCGCGCGCATCTGTGGGAGTCGCGCAGGGAATATGCGTGCTTTCTTGAAGGTCGTGCTTGAGAAGGAGCTCGGTGGTGTCGAGAGGTATCTTGTGGAGCGCTGTGGGCTTACAAAGGACGAGGTGGCAAGACTGAGGGACTCGTTGATTGTCAGGGTCGATGAAGGCGAGGTCGTCAACCAGTGCGAGATCAAGGGGTGGACCGCTGAGGGCGGAGTGCAAGATTGAACTGAGCGATATTCACCACCACAAAGAAAATCGCGGCGAGAACGAGAGGCGCTGGCACTGGCATTTGCACTGGGAACGAACGTATGAGTTGGCATACCCTTCCTGCCAACCCTCGTGGTGGCTGGATCTCTACAGGACCTTCTTCTCTGCATAAGTGTCTAGACCTCAATGCCACAAAGGGGCACAGGGCCGGGACTTGAGTTGGCGGACAATAGAAATAGACAGTTTCAAGGTTGAATGAAGGTTTCCTAAACCTCGATGTAGGCAATAGATTGACGGCAGAGGATGTACCTATTTGAGGTTGCCGTATGATGCCGTGTATCTCGAGCAGGATTTCACCAGTCGCAAGGACCAACGCAGTCTGACATTTTCCTGGTTCACACTCTGTCATTGGTATCCTAGGGATTTAGGTCTTGCAAGACCGTACCAACGTTAATACACCATGCAAAGCATCGCACTGTCGTGCCCGATCCTTCCCCGTAACCCTGCTTCGAACAAAAAACATGCAGACGGCTTGAACGCTCAAAAAGCTCGAGAGCAACGTCGCCTTGTCGAAACCTAGGCTCCTTTGTCTTGACAAGTGGGCACGGGCAAGTCAGGACTCCCTCCTCTTCTCCTCTCCTCCAGCCCCAGGAGCCCCTCTCACAGCCGGACTCGCACTGCCCGGCGCCCTCGTCGGACTAGCTGCCGCACTCATACCACCCTTCTTATCCTTCTTGATAAGGTTGGCAAAAAACTCCCTCGTTGCCTCATTACTCTGCTTGCCGTAGGCCCCACCGACAGCCGCGGATGAGGACGGCGTTTGTGTGCCTTCCGCTGATGGTCCAGCCTCACTACCCTGGCGACGCATAGGGGTGCTACTTCCTGTGCCCGCGACAGGGTTAGCGCGACTCCGATCCACTGTCGCTGTAGTCCGCTCATGTTCACGCTCGCGCAGCCGTCTTGTTGCCTCTTCGGCGTCAAAATCGATACCATTCACGTTGATCTGGTACGGGCCAATGTGTTCTGCCATTCTGGGGTTGGATACACCTTTGATTGAATCGTCACCACCGTCGAGCATGCCCGCAGCACCGGTGGCAGCGGGAGCACCTTTGCGGGATTTTCTCTCCGCCTTTTCGTCTTCCGCCTTGAGTTTCTCTAGGTTTTCGTACTGGACTTGCAAGAATTCCTGAACGGAGGGGACTTGGACAGTCTCGTCATGCGTTCGCGGTTGGAATGCTGGTCGCGAGTCTGCAGGGTTGCGGAGCGTAGCTTCATAGACCCGGACTGCTGATTCAGACTCTTGTTCACCATTCTGGGACGGCAGGCCCGGCTGCGTTTTCGATGTTGAGAAGTCCAGCGTCTGTTCCGGCGGATGTTGAATCTCCACGGACCACGCATTCCCTACTGCTTCCGGGTCGAAACCCTCCTTCAGTATCCGTATCTTGCCCCAAGAGTCCCAATTCGGCGGCACCAAGATTTTGTCTCGGTCAACGATATTGTGTTTGGCGACTTCCCGTTTCAGTAGAGAATGTATGCTCAGACTTGAGTGTATCAGCGTCCGTACGTGGTTCGGATCGAACGTTGCCGTGTACACCAGCGAGGCACCATGTTTGAGCAGGACGCATCTCAACCACTGCATCAGGAAGTCGAATTGGTCTTCTCCCCAGCCATTGTCTCGCTCGAGACTTTCAATCTTCTCCGCCTGTACGCAGACAACAGAAAGGGGTATTCCTAGCCCTTCGTCCCATTCACCCGGTCCCAGAGGAACTGCAGCGGCTAACGACTTTTGTTCAGCTGTTGCGTTCCCGCCAGGCTGTGCAGAAGGTGCATCAGGTCCTACTCTTTTCTCCTTCCATGCCGTCATGACCTCTTCCATTTCTATCTTGGTCTGCTCGTCCAGGCTCAATATTACTGACCGCAGCAGCCGAACCCATTGCCGCAATTGTCTTGCCCATTTGAAGGGATCTTGCCAGTCCAGTAGTATTGTTATTAATGTATCTTTGACCGTCTTCGGCGTAAAAAGTGGCTTTAGGAGTGCTGCGAAATTGGCGCTCGAATTCGCCAATGTGTAGATGTTCAGGCGGGCTAGAACGTCCTCTTGGTCTGCATCCAGCACGTCGTGATATGTATAGCCTAAGGCATACCGATTCGATATGGGTACTGTTCTGGGTTGGCGTCGTCTGTCGTTGTTGGCGTATCGAGGACGAAGGCTTGGGGGATTGAGCTGTTCGAGGAATTCGCGTTGTTGATCTGATGTTCCACCTAGGACGAGAAGTTGTTTTTCTGTGAGGTCTTTGCCTTTCGAGGCACTGTTCAGCATGGGCACCCATATTGCTGGCTTGCCTCCATCTTTGCTGGCTGGCCGTCTGGAGATGGAGCGAGAGGAGGGAAGTGACGTGGTGAAGCCGCCGAGTGGTTGCGATGCCGTCAACATGTTGGAGAAGCAGGAACGACGAGAAGGAGGAGATCAAACAATAGACGGAGCAGTCACAGTGGCATTGGTGATTCCATGAGGAAGAGTGTCTCGTGTCATAGAATTAATTCATCTTCACTCTCAGATTGTTGACGCGCACAGGCGAGGAACGTTGGAGATGGAGATGAACTCCTGTTCGTCGCGTTTTCTCCGCAGTCAAGAGGATTTTAGGCCTCACTGCTGCACACCTTTCTTTCCGATCGCAAACCGCTGCTCAGGTTCGACAGCTTTGTCTGTCCAAAGTGCACAGCGTACTACCTGTAGCCGATCGCTTCCAAGCATCCCCAGCACCAACGTGGCATCTCCACGATGAACGCCATCCGCCAAACCCAACTCTTGAACAAACGCGAACTCGAAAATGCAATACCACCATCTGCCTCCTGGCACGCAGACTATCGAGATACAGCCTACATCTACATCGGTGGCTTGAACCCAGACTTGACCGAAGGCGATGTCGTTACAATCTTCTCGCAGTTCGGCAACCCTACGCACCTGAACTTGATCCGAGACAAAGAGACCGGCAAGAGCAGGGGCTTTGCGTTCCTCAAATACGAAGACCAGCGGAGTTGTGATTTGGCGGTGGACAATTTTACGGGGGCCGAAGTACTGGGCAGACTGCTACGGGTCGACCACACGAGGTACAAGAAGAGAGACGACGAGGATGAAGATACACATCGCATCGACAGACTGGAGCAGGAAGCCACAGTACAGTTGAACGGCAATGGGAAGCGGGAGAGTGATGATACTGAAGACGAGGAGAGGCAGTCGAAGCACAGAATGAAGAAGCGGCGGCCATTGTTGAAGGAAGAGCAGGAATTGGAGGAGATGCTTGCCATAAAGCACAATGGTGAAGAGGAAGATCCTATGCGCGAGTATCTGATCAAAGAGAAGAGGGAGGAGGTGGAGAGGGCAAAAGAACGAGCGAGAAGGAAGGGTAAGGCAGAAAGGAAGCACAAGCATACACGCAAAGAAGGTGAGGACGGTGATGAGGAGAGACGGCACAGGCATAGGCGACGAGAAGATGAAGATGTGAGGCAAGATAATGGCACTCACCGCCCTCGACTGAGAGAAGAGGATGACGATAGAGCTGAGAGGCGGCATCGGCACGGAGACAGGGACAAAGATCGAGACCGTGGAGACCGCGAGAAGCACAGGAGTGAAGGGGACAAGGAGTCCAGGCGGCATCGAACCGAGGACGCGCAACAAGCCGACGGGAAAATCAGAAGGCACGAAGACTATGATTCTCGCCGTGACCGCGACCGCGATTACAGAGATCGTCGAGATGACAGCAGGGAGCGAAGGTCTTCGAGAGACCGTCGTTAAGACGTTGTGATGACTGACTCAACGACCTGGATATGTGTGTAGAAGTATGAACCGAACCGTCGAGGCTCCCTCGTATCCTGACTGAGCTCGAGAGACTTCCCATGCTTGCGGTTCCGCTCTGCTTCTTACAAGGCTTTACAACTTCGTGGCTGCATACAGCCTATATGGCCTGCTTCATTTCAATCCCTCCCCTTTTTCGAGCAGTTGCACACCTAAATCTCTTAACTTGAACTTCTCTGCAACCGGATCGTCAGCGACTTGTCCACTAGTAACGGGACTCCAACACTCACGAATCTTCCCACTCGCCGTCTTGGGATATTCATCCACGAAAAACACATACTTGGGCACAAGATGGTGGCTCATCCTTTCTTTCACCCACTCCCTCACTTCATCCACACTCACGGGTGGGTTGCCAGGCTGCAAATGATGCCTTCTCACCACGAAAGCAGCCACAACCTCGCCGTACTTCTGATCCGGCAAACCCACAACACTCACCTCCGCGATCTTCGGATGGGCAAACAAACAATTTTCCACCTCGAGCGGGTGTATATTCTCTCCGCCACGGATGATGAGGTCTTTTATCCGGCCAGTAATGCTGATGTACCCGTCCTCGTCTATGCTCGCTTCGTCTCCCGTGTGCATCCAAACCTTCCCCTCGCTGTCGGCCTTCATGACTTCGGCCGTCTTCTCGGGCTGGCCCCAGTACTCCTTCATCACGAGGTATCCATGCACAGCGAGTTCGCCGCGCTCGCCAACATCCAAGATCCGGTCGTGGTCGAATGGGTCTACGACCTTAGCTTCCACGTGCGGGAGGAGTCGTCCAACGGTATTGATGCGTTTGTCGAGCGGGTCGTTGGTGGTTGTCATCGCAGAGACGGGCGAGGTTTCGGTCATACCGTAGCAGATGGTCAATTCCGTGAGGTTGAGGATTTTATGCAATTTCTTCATCAATTCCGCGGGTATGGATGAGCCTGCCGCTATGCCAGTGCGGAGGTACTGGAAGCCTTCTTTTGAGACGATCTCATCGTCGATGAGCTCGAGTTGGGATAGGAACATGGTTGGAACGCCGTAGAGGGCTGTAGCCTTCTCTTCTTGGACAGCCTTGAGAGATGCTAGAGGATCGAACGCTTCAGTTGGGAAAACTATGGCGGAACCGTGGGTCGCTGTGGCCATGTACCCTAGAATGCAGCCGAAGCAGTGGAAGAGCGGCGGTGGGCAACAGACGACGTCCTCGGGAGTGAGCAGCATGCGGTCGCCTATCTGTAGGCCGTTATTGAGGATGGATCGATGGGACAAGCAGGCAGCTTTGGGCATCGAGGTCGTTCCTGAGGTGAATTGGATATTGACCACTTCATCGTGCGATAGCGGCGACGCAGGCATGGGTGGCCGGCTGTCCGTGTCTTGGGATATGGACGACCATGGCACCGTGGCGCGGAACTTTAGGAGATCTATCCGTCCTGACGAATTGTCGACTAGGATGATGTTCTTCAGAGAAGGTATTGTCTCGGACTTGAGCGTTGCACTTGATAGATCGGATACAATAGTTTCGAGAATAGGCGCATTTGGACGAGGTGGCTTGAAAGGGAGATTTGTTTCTGTCCCAATAACCAAATGCGTCGCCGACAGATGATTGAGCGCTGAAATTATCTGGGCTGGTGTGAATGCTGGGTTGAGCGGAACCAAGATTGCTCCAAGCTTGAACAATGCATATGTTATAGTCGCAAACTCGAGGTTGTTCCCTAATGACACGCACACTCGATCCCCTTTGTTGACTCCCAAGCTTTGTAGTCCCCGGGCCAGAACATTGCTGTCCCGGTCGAGTTGACTATAGGTCAGACGCTTGTTTTGATGTCTGGATATAACAGCGGCCCTGTCGCCATGCGCAGACACTATTCTTGCAAAATTATCGCCAACGGTCTCCTCCAGAAGGGGAGGATGAGACGGTCCTTTAGCTTTCGCTCTTGTCTGGAGCCAGCGTTGAGCTCGCAGTATAGGAGAGACAGTTGGCCATATTGTTCGTTGCGGCCGAAAAAGTGCCCGCATGGCGCTATCATCGTACTCTGGGAGGCTATCGACAGGCCGTAGGTAGGTTAAAAGTCTTCCGGAATCGGCTACCGCATCATCGAGAGATCTGTGAGCGCTTTAGGACTTAAGACTGGCACCGAAAGCTGACTTGCCTAGTGATACGAGTAGCAGAGTAGCAAATTGAGCAGTGCAGAAGAAGACATTTTTGGGTGTTTCTTACCTCGGTGATCGAAGCCGCGCGCCCGCGCGAGGGCGGACGAAAGCCGCGGGGTGTCAACAGCCGCTGACTCGAGCCCCAAGCACCCACCAAGCGCCAATTACTTGGTGGGGGAGGAATTCAAGCCTAAGTTAAGCAGCGCGGGTGGTCATCTTCCCAGTACTCCATAGGTGAGTGGATGATGGTGCTGAGACTACCCCGTAATGTGCCGTTTGCGGGGAAGCGTAAGAATACCAGCCACATGCACCATCATCGTCGTCGGGATGAGATAAATGAAGAGCCGAAAAGAAGATTCGACATGGAAATATGAAGAACCGGCGACAGGCACATAGGTAGCCAACTTGTATTCGCATCGGCAAAGCATCGTAAGGTATGTGGACACCGACAGGAAACGGAGGCTGAACTGCAGCAAGCGAAGTCGCCAGACATCTCGGCTAGATACTGTAAGACGAGTGCCGGGACCCAGAATAGCCCGCAGGGACGAATCTCAGGCATGACAGAGGAGTTCAATAATCCAACATTCAGCGAAATCCTTCACCATGGAAGCTGACCAGCGGTCGTCATCACTCGAGAGGGAGACCACAGAGACCAATCCTGTAGCTCTTACTCGCACCGAGCGGAGCACAACCTACAAGCAGGGGAAATGCGGGGGAGCAAACCATGAGAACCATGACCACCATGACCTATCCGACCGCTGGTTATACCGCTGCCGGGATCGAGGGCTCTTGAAATGCCACATCGTTTGCCCTGGGACTTTGTGAAACCGGATCCATTATCCAGCTGTCTTTTCCTCGCCTAACCCTTGAGTCGCTAAACAATCCGCGAGGATGCTGCTAAAAAGGACCGCTTCCGCCGAGCAGATGGTGGAAGCTAAAATCGACACCGGGCTCGATAGAAGGAAGGCCGCCGACTCTGAAAGGCCACTGACTTGCATGTTTTACTTCTTCGCCTCTCAGATGAAGCGCAACATCCAGCCAGCGGACCAGGACCTCGTACGAAGGGGGAAAGTCGTCGATCGACCAACCCACAAGTTGGATTCCATGGTCGCCAGATTAGGCATGCACGCCTCGCATTCTCCACTTGTGACGAAGTTCGCGACATACCCCGTCACGATTCCTGATGCTGCTCCAGCCTGGTCGAACCACAAGCCAAGGCCATCCCCTGAGGAAGTCCACGATACAGTGATGTTCATGAAGTTTCGGGATAAGCGCGCTAGGGAGGAATGGATTGCGACGAGAGAATGGCAGGACTTCATGGCCAAGACCGAGGGCGAGCAAGTCTTCCGGCGGATGCCACATGTCCGGTGTGCCAGCAGTATGAGAGGCCTGATGGACCCGGTGGATATACTCACAGCCTGAGAGTCGCAGCAGGCTTCTCGAGGACGAGAAGAGCGGCGCCTCTTCATTGACCAGCAGCATGTCGTCACTGTTGTATGCTTTGCGGCAGAAGACAAAGACTGCAAGACCTGCCAGTGCAGAGCCGGGTAGCGGGATCTCTTGCTGAGTAGTGGTGGTGGTTCGATGTGCTGACGGGGCAGATCCTGTCTCGCCTCTGGTACTCGGCCTCTTTGCGATGTCCTCCTAATTCTCAACTGACGTAGGCTCATGGTCAAGTAGGAGTATCCAAAGGGCCGAGAATGTTCCCAACAGCCAGTTGCAGGAGGAGACTAGAAGTCTTGTATACCCGTCTCCCCTTGCAGGTCCTTACTCTTCTTCCTCGTATCGCCATGTTCGTCCTCGACAAACTCAGGCTCCTCTGCGTCGAAATATTTGTCCTCCGCATCCCGCTCTTCAGTCGCCCGATCATCATATTCCGGATTGTTATCCACGCCCTCGTAGTCAAAGTCATCATCGCCACCTCTTAAAAACCTCGTTTCCATTTCCCACCGCCATCGTGCCTGTCCCTCCTCTTTGTTGGCAGGAACTTCGTCCCTATCTTCAGCCAGTATCTCTCCGCTTGGCCCGCGCCTGTACGTAAACATGCTATTCGGATCAGGATGCCGTAAAGCGTCGAGCTTCGCCTCACTACGATAGATGTCCGCCTCAAGAATGCCGGAGTAGCCCTTCTGGCGGCCTTCGGCTTCACGCTCTGCAGGCGTTTGGAACCTGCGAATAAGGCGATCATATAATAATGGATCTGCGAGAGTATGTTAATAAACCTACTGGTTGAAGTTCAGCGGTCTCAGTCAAGAGGCAGTCGCACCTGCCAGCTCAAGCTGCGGTCCAAAATACTCGGGGTGCGTGTCGAGGTAGCGCTTGCGGCGGTTCTTCACACGGAACCGATCTGGGACCTGTGGGTTGTAGACCGCAGAAGCGGGAGCAGAGCCTTCATTATCGACATTACGAATAGGTATCCCAGTACCTGCTGCAAAGCGCGGCATATTGTGGCAAGGTCAACACCGTTGCAACAACTGAATTTCCGACAATTGGAGATGATGAATTCGAGCCCCGAAAAAAGTCGCCTATTTACACGTACGCGATGACGAAATACTCGGACGTAGGATGGCCGTGGATGGCTCAGGGAAAAGAGTGCATACGCTCACGGGGCTCACTCAACGACTCTTACATCCAGACTCCTGGCACTTCGTACTTAAGGGGCACAGCGTATATAAACATTGATTATCATTTCGTTGACATTTCCAACAATATATTATGTCAATTTGTGAAGCTGATCTGATCCAAAGGCCTCACCTATGTTAAGCCTTGATCCCGCGCGAAGTGATGCAGCGCTGAGACAAGATGAAGGCCGATTACGAACCCTTCATAAAGGTCTGGTGAACATAGATGCAGCGCTCCCTCCCTTTCAGCTTCGATTGATCTGCAAAGCAAGCATTCGTAAATTCGTAGACCTTCGTCAATCATCTCGGTTCTATGCTTGGAAAGAACCGAGGTCCACCATAACCGTGTGCCAGGATAGCCTGCACATCAATATTTGCACTGGGACATTGAGCCCAAAGTTTTACCAGGACATAACGACCGGAACTGCATCGTCCATTAGCGCTGCCAGCCGGATCAAGTCGACGCTGGGATACTTACACTGGGGGGTCAAATCTGATTGCAGCGCTGGATTTGCTCTTATTGATGAAGAACCGAGCATGAGGAAGGATTGTGTCTGACTTTGTAGACGAGCTTGCACCGGCATCGCCTCTTCCGCTTTTGGCCACAGTCTCGTCAACATATTCTCTAGGTCTGCCGGATCGTTCGTCCGCTGGGCAGCTTGACTCAGCGGCGCCGATAGGCGGTGCAGATGTGCGCATACCACTTCTCCTGGGTGTCGAGGTTCGATGGTGAATGCCGTCATCGTTCTGAGACGCACCCTGGTGATTGCGTCGTCCGAGGAGCCCATCACTGTCACGAATTTGCTGTGCCCGCATAAGGTTCACAATGCGGTCTTGGTGATGCAGCCTATCCTCGTCGGGTTGTTGCCGGTGCCATCTCTCACGTTCGGGATCGTCCCAGCCATCATCAGAGTCGCCAGATGTCGACCATAAGCCATCATCGCGATCGTCCTCCAGGTACGTAGGTCGGTATCGGTCGACATATGACCGTAACGAGTATTCGTCATCTTGCCATGGTCTCGGTGAAGGCGGGCCCAGTGCAGCGTCCTCCTCATCAGAAGGGTCCGTAATCGAAACGGTGAAGCCGGGAAAGAGTACAGTGTCGGATTCAGAGTCCTCGTCCTGTTCGGTAGGATTGTTGAGGTACCGTGAGCTGTTGATAGATCTCAGCGGAGACCTTGTGGAATTAATGTACTCGTGAGATGGTCGATAGGGTGGTCGATAGCCATCTTGTCTGTGACGAAGTAGCCTACGGCTCTTTGGAGTCCAGCGTACATCATATTGAGACGTCTTGTCAAGTAGGTTATCTTCGTCCATGGCGATGAAAATCAGTCCCTCTTGAATTGGGGCATCGAAGCCCGCTCGAGGAGCCTTCACGACTATCTTTGTCAACGTGAATGGCATCCCTCCAACATGCTTGAACAGGAGGTTACATCGATTGGTCTTGGTACAGTAGACAGTGGTATCGTCCACAAGAACGTTCTGTGGGTATGAATTGATGGGCACATGAGGATCAGAGTATTCGCCACCATCACAACTGACGATCTCCATTCGAAGCTGTCCAGTAATAACCTGTCCATTGTGGCCGTAGCTGAATGTCCGAGGCTCGTCCTCGTATGTCCCATCGTCCAGCTTTCTCCGCTTCGCTCTCAAGCGTTCGCCGCGGTCATTGTTCGGCTGCACAGTAGATGGAGACGCAGTGGATGGAGAAATATAGGCTTCGGATGCAACAGTCCTGCTGGATTGTCCGAGCCTTTCTCTCTGATACCTCTGGAGACGCTCGCTGGGTCGAAACGCTCTCCTCCTGCTTCGTACAAGGCTGGAAGGATTGTTGGTTTGTGGTGGATTTTCTGATACTGACGATGCATCCTGTTCCTGTATATGCGCTTCAAGGTCTCTTCTTCGTCGCTCCCGTGCAGCTGAGCGATCCGCAGCCATCTGATGGTCCATTTCTCGATCGATGGCTTCGAAAGCCTGTTGATGGTCGGCACCTAGATGCCGCTCGGAGTTGAGGAGATTTCTAAGATTTTGTAGTCTTGCCGAGATATCGGACCATGGGTTTTCGTCACGATCGGGCTACTGACAGTTAGAATACAAGGCTGCCGAAAAGAGGGAATCTCTGCGGCTGCGGTCGTACCATGACTGAACAAAGAGCGGCCTGCTACCGGGACGACAGCAGAAGGAAGGAAGGGGTCAGGCAGCATGCAAGAGCACGTCAAAGATCTGAACCAGTTGATTTATTCGCAGGGAGGCACCAGGAGTATTTGTCGTATGTGCTTCGATCAGACTGAAATTGCCATCCGTTGGTGGTAGTTGAGAAGTTGCCAGTCAGAGAGAGGGACACTCGCCTTTTAACCAGAGTAGGCGTCTGCCCCACGATCGCAACAAGAGTCACTATGGTACCTTAAGTTGACCTAGGCCTGGTAAGCCCGTGACGGCATGTAAAGGGAGCAGCCGGAGAATTATTTAGAGCCCAAAACTACCTTGGAACGCCAGCTAGCCGCTTAGAACAGGCCACTAAACAGCCCTCGCTTCGGTGGAAGCCCCTGCAGCCGACGGAGACCTGCGAGTTGGGGCCGTCAATGACCTCAATGACATCTATCAACCCATCCGCGACTTGAGAGCATCAAACATTCCCTTCACTTCAACTTCATTTGCGTTGACACTCTTAGCCCGACCACTCGTCAAGGCTTTCTTACTGTCACTACCGTTTCATTTCAAAGCTTCCTTCCGGTTACAAACTCTCCGCCCCTCAACCAACCTTGCGCTCTATTGATGCGAATCTGCAATGGACGGTAACAACATTCCTGAACCTCCTCACCCTGGAGTTCCAGAGCCAGCGTTATTCCCCGTCAACGAAACCATGCCTACCGACTCATCCGTGGGAGGCCTCAATGGTCATCCTCAGATGTTCGACTCCTCCTTCAGCAACCTTGCTCTACCCATGAATGGCGCACAATCCGGTTTGTTGGCAACAGCACCTCAACAGATTTCCACAGACGAAATCGCACTTTATGACAGACAAATACGGCTGTGGGGCATGCAAGTACAGGAAAAGCTGCGACTGGCAAATGTACTACTCATCGGAATAAGAGGGTTGGGAGCTGAAATTGCGAAGAACCTCGTGCTTGCAGGCATTGGAACATTGACAATTCTAGATCACGAGATGGTTGCCGAAGAGGACCTGGGAACGCAGTTTTTTGTTAATCAGACTCAGATCGGTCAGAACCGTGCGGAGGCAACTCTGCCAGAATTGCAGAAGCTCAATCCTCGCGTACAGCTTTATACGGATCCCAATCCAGTCGTCCTGAAAGATCCTATCTATTTCCAAACATTCGATATCATCATTGCCACCGACCTGATGATGGATGTCATGACATTGATCAACATGTCGTGCCGTCAATTTGGTCGCAAATTCTATTCTGCGGCGACTCATGGCATGTACGGCTACATATTCGCCGACCTTATGATCCACCAATTCATCGTCGAGAAACCCCAAAGTAACAAACCTCCCAAGCAAGGGGAAATGGAAACATCTACGAGACGTGTAATGGAGATTAAGTCAAAGAGGGAGAATGAGAAGATCACCGACATCATCACCTACCAGGAAACTTATTCGCTGTTCCAGCTTGCCAATATGTCACCGTTGGGTGCGCGAGAGAAAAGCAGTCGCCGAAAACTAATGCGCGTCACACCCCTTCTCTCATGCCTGCGAGCACTGTTCGACTTCCAAAGTCAGAGCGAAGGTCGTCTTCCAGGACCCAATAGAGTTGACCTAGAACTGTTTACCAAGCTCGCAAAACAAAAACACATCGAGCTCGAGCTTCCTGAAGAGACTCTGAGAGCAGACTTCCTCCGCAGCTTTCTACAAAATCTTGGAGCCGAGATCAGTCCAGTAGTTGCCTTCCTAGGCGGCTTTTTGGCTCAGGATGTCATAAATGTTCTGGGCCAAAAGGAGCCTCCTCTTCAGAACTTCTTGGTTTTCGACGGCGAGGATTTTGTTGCGACTCAGTTTAGCCTTCATCCCATCAACGATGATGCGGTGAGCATGATGAGTGCGAACGGAGGCTCGATGATGCCGGGATTGGTGCCAACAGCTAATCCAGTGCCAGCTGCCTGAGTCTCACAGATTTGTGCACGACCAGCCTACTTGTTCTTCATGTCTTGACTGACAACTGAACTGATATTGGGGAAGGCTGTGAGAAACGACCAATGGACGTCTGTCTTGGCAATCTCGAAATTTTTGCTGGGCTCGATTTGGAGACTGACAGACAAATTCTTGATGAGGACGGGGTCAGAGCGACTGCATAGAGATTGAGAGCCAGAAAGATCACGATGAATCATGAGGTTAGATACCAATTCAAGCTAGAGTCAAGGCGCTCTCAGATGCTGGCTGGGGAAGGGAAGATTGTTCTGGGTAGGAACGAGTCACGACCTTTCGTGACCTGAAGCAATCATCGTCGCCAAAACACCTCGCTTCGAATCGAATGTTACAAACCCTTCCTTGCGCGTCTTTGTCAAATGATGGCTTCCAAAAACTTCCCTACACGAATGGAAGAGCTTTCACTGAATGACCCCAGCCTCAATCCTTCCTTGTATGCCAGTATCAGAACGATTCGCAAATCTGCGCTCTCCATACCACATCGCCTCAAATCGATCTTAGCCGATGCGGAATTCGCAAAAGAAGTGTCTGATCTTTGTGACTTTCCACTTGTGGCCAATGAGCGATGCGGAAGCTGGTATATCAACCCAGCTCATAAAGCCGGCAGTGCTTATTTCAAGAGTACCGACGGACACCACGGCCAGTGGTCTTTCTCTCTTCGCAGACTCAACATGCAGCTGCTGCCTTTGCTCGGAAGGTACGGTGGTGCTGTGGTGGTTGATTCTACTCGTCGCGGCAAGAATCTACCAGACGCATTCAGCAAGACAGTCCCGATCTGGGTCGCTGTCATCAACAGAACCTTGTTCCCTGAGCTGTCCGCTACACATAGACTCCAAGTTCCGCCTGCCCCGAGTGAACTGGGTCGTTCCGAGGTCTCGCAGATCGAATCGAGGCTTGAAGAATTCGCCCAGTCCTTTTGCGGCCTCGGGCTAGATCTCCCCAAACTGCGTGACGAGTTGAAGCTGCCAATTTCCCTATCCTGGGTGATCAATGGCTGCTTTGACGTTGACAACCAGGAGCAGTCCAGTACAGCGAGTCTGACCGCTCCTTCTGATACACGCTGTCAACTAGTACTTTGCAGCGCTTCGCGCCGTGTGCATGGCGCTGAGGCCTCTGAAGGTGGATACATTCAGGGAGCAGGGGACGACAGTGAAGCATGGTCTTGTGGTCTCACACCTCAATTATTCTGGGAGCACCGAGACCAGCTGATGAGTTCGCCCGAGGATGATCTCCCAGAAATCATTGAGGAGTTACTGAATGGGGAGAAAGAGGGCAAAGGAAGCCCGGCACAAGGTACACATGTCGGTGCAACTAGAAATCTTCACATCTGCCAGGGACCAGTTCATGATCTGGGAGCATTTGATCTCGTCATCAATTGTAATGGTAGCAGCGTCGCGAATTCTACAAAGGTTACCGATTTGGACTGTCGCTCCGGCAAGCTGGGAAGTAAGGATCTTCGAGAAAAGCTGCCGGTATTAGGGGACATTGTCAGGCGTCAGCTTCTCAAAGACTGTCAAAGTCAGATTCTGGTGACCTGTGCAACTGGCACGGATCTGAGTGTGGGTGTGGCCGCAAGTCTTCTTTGCCTCTTTTACCATGATAACGGTGCGTTTCTTCTCCGTCCCATATCGCTGCTTGAGACTGATTGACTGTCTGTAGGCCATGTCAAAGAGCATTTGGACATGGTTGATGCTCCTCTGGTTGATAAATTGCTTGTGAAACAACGGTTGGCCTGGATCAGCTCCGCGAAACCGGATGCTAATCCTTCACGGGCAACGCTGCAAGCAGTGAATTCTTTCCTCATGCGACGTCCGGATTGAGATGCAAAGCATGATCGTTTTACTCTCTTGCGAGAAGCAAAGTAATGACCCAGTCCATCACCAGGCCCGAAGACGAAGTGCCTCGAGATGCACCAGAAATTGAGAGTCTTGTCTCTCGCATCTGCACCCAGGCACCTTGACGAGTTACTACCTGTATCCAGTCTTGTACCTCTATAGAATCCCCTATGGCTGAATGTATGGGTGTCTATGTCTGTCAGTACATAGGTCCCTAGGTAGTTAGTGGAGGGAAATGTGACCGCCGGGGGTCACTAAGGCCTCAGATTGGCGATCCCGCCAGGCCGCATCTGGCGTCTTTCAATGCCATCATTGCATCATCGAAAATTGTTTTGTCGCAAAGATGCCCATACAAAAAAGACCACATACATAGAACAATCACCATTCATTGATACAAATATTTCCTCCAACACCTACCGGGTAGTCGACAACATTTTTCCAAGTCTTCCACTCTCTTCTGCCTCACCATGTCCTCCCTCACGATCAACGACACCCTTGCGCTACCCAATTCCTCCGTACGCATACCCCGCCTAGGTTTCGGGGTCTACCGGTCGTCTCCATCGGTGTGTGTGCAGTCATGCCTCACTGCCCTCCAAGCTGGCTACCGCCACATCGACACTGCCCAGTTCTACGCCAATGAATCCCAAGTCGGCGAAGCTGTAAAGAAATCGGGTCTTCGCCGCTCCGACATCTTCGTCACCACAAAGATCCTCTCTGCAGGTGGCAGCGTGGAGAAATCATATCAAAAGTGCGTGGACAGTGTAAGCAGGATAGACGAAGGCACAGGGAACAACAAAGGCTATGTGGATTTGTTCCTGATACACAGTCCCAATGCTGGAAGCAAAGCTCGGAAAGAGATGTGGCAGGCGCTTGAGAAGTTGTACGAGGAAGGCAAGGCAAGGAGTATAGGCGTCAGTAACTTCGGGGTTGGTCATATCGAGGAGATGAAGAGCTATGCAAAGGTCTGGCCACCGCATGTCAATCAGATTGAGGTACGTCTTATATTGCCAGTACAGAGGCAGGCCACGATGCGAGAGGACTGACAAATATCACAGTTACACCCATGGTGCCAACAACGGACTGCAGTGGAATACTGCCACAAGCAGGGAATCGTCGTCGAAGCGTACTCACCCCTGGTGCGGAACTATAAGGCCAACGACCCAGTCCTGGTCGGATTGGCAAAGAAATACAACAAGACTACCGCTCAGATATTGATCCGATATTGCTTGCAGAAGAACTGGGTGCCGCTGCCGAAGAGCGACAATGCGGATCGAATAAAGCAGAACGCGGACGTCTATGGGTTTGATATCGCGGCTGATGATATGAATACTCTTGACTCGCTGGACCAGGGAGATGCAGGTGCAATTGTACAGGCTGTGAGCAACTCGTGAAGATTTGAAGAACAGAACAGAACGGGTAGGACGCAAAGTTCAGGCTAGAAATGAATCTGGCGTGATGTCCCCGAAAACAAGAACTTCGAATACATTTAACCACCAACGTGCGGCGGCCTTCTGACTACTGCTTAGCGATTGAAATCAACAAAGCAAAGTCCACGTCGCTTCTTCTCCATCTCGCAGTTAACCGCGTGTCAAAATTTATGATCACTATCCACAATCCAGCCTTGAAGCCACCCCAGGGCGGGATATCTCTCCTTCCTTCAGATGGTCTACAAGATGTGTCCGAAGTTCTCCTTTTCCGCCACGTCTTGAAAGATCAAGGCTTGCAATCATGATACCTGACTCACGGCTCAGCAAAGGAGGAACGAATTGACTCGGGCCACCGCTCGAATACTCAATATTTCCCGACAATTGCGGTCATGTCTAAGTGAAGGCCTTACGGGAACTTAGGCGAATCCAAGGCACAAATTCAGTGCCCTCGGGTCAAAGCCTCATATTTCCATTCTCTAACTAACCAATCTCTAGCCCTGAGTCCAGGCACTTTGAGGGTCCTCGTCCCTGCAGGTTCAATGTTCACAGCTCAAAGGTAGGCAAAGCGTCGTCCATATTATCTAGTCTTCGCTACACATTGGGCCGGAGCGTTCGTGGCCCTGCTGCTGATCAAGCCCTCTGGGCACGCATCGCTTTCGAACGCGACTGACACAACCTTCATCTTCCTCGACACCACTGCAGCTGGGATTGAAGATGACGTCGCTGGCGGAATTCGTCAATTCGTCGGCGCTGCCGAGAGGGACAGGATCTGCGTGGCAGGTCTTGCCTTATGGGATGGATTATATTGTGGTGATTGGGAAATTTCAGGCGTGTTCCTGAACATCTAGTCTTCGGGGCCTTGTGTTGAGCCGGCGTGGTCGGAGCGAACCATGATGAGACGCTGCGACGGTGGCTGCGGATGATTTGTGACCGGTCGACGAACCACTGGAGAAGCAACATGAGCCTTTCGGACTTGTTGTGGAATGCCGCAACTGCTATGCTTTCAGGCAGCCAAGCGCCCTATCAACAGGACCCTTGCCGTGGTGCGCGGTCAGCAATAGTCTTTGGAAAGAGTCGGCACCTGGATCGAACGGGACTTTGGCGAAGGAAAACGCAAACTCATGGAAGGAGACTAAGTCGGTAGTTGCTTTGTCAAAGCCATGTTGCTTGTCGTCTTTGACCAACAGTGCCTCCCATTCATCTGCAGATCCGGCGACCCACAAACCAGCGCGAACGTCGAAGGGCAGGGCCTGGATGAACAGCTCATGATAACAATAACCTCGGACCCACCCATGGTACACGCCTTGTATGAGACAGCTCATCAATATTGCTCGGCGTACACTCTCGGCCAACACCCATGTCTGCCACCGTGGTAGTTCTTTCGGCATCATGGCCTGAGCGTCCTTCACTAGCCTCACCGCAACCTCGCGCATGTTCTCCATCACCTTATCCCTGAGCTGAAGTGTACTCAGATCACCGGAGAACAGGAGCTGCGTTATGTGGGAAAGGAGGATCTGGAAGGCGTGTAAGATCTCGTGCAATGGTTCGGAAGAGTCGCGCAATCTGGACAGCAGCCGGCAGACTCTGACACACAAAAGCATGTTGGCTTGCGTGCCGTTGTTGCAGGAAAGTCCGAGTGTTTCAGACAATTCCGTGTCTGACTGGAGAAGCACCGGCTGAGGGCGAGGCTTCATATGAGGATGTATATACATTGCTGATTGGTCATGGAACACTGAATGGGCAATTTTCAGCAACTCGGCGGCCACATACTCGACGGTAAGGACATCAGCGGAAATGGAAACTTTTGAGACCACCAAACGCCTCGTGGTCGGGCTTTGATAGGATTTGAAAGCTGTCCTATTGGGGTCCATGTGTAGAGAAGACACATAGTGAAGGAAGTTGTTGTCGGGTTGGCAGTCGTTCGGACTGGTCGTGATTGTCCTCCCTGATGTGGGTTGGCCCCTGCGAGATGACCTTTGAGCACCCACCAAGGGTTCCAGGTCGTAAATGCACTCGAGCTGCCTGGTCTGACATCTGTGGCATCGAGGAAGCTGCACAATGCATCGCCGTTTCGCAAGGGTGCAGGCCCGACAGGCCTTCCGAAGTGTTTGAGTCATTTCTGTGAAGGGGCTTCTTTACTCGATGAATTTGAAGGTATGATTGATGATGGAGACGCGAGAGAGCGCCCTTTCTGGCAGAGAAGAAAATGGACTAGATCCCATTGCCGGCTTGTGTCCAAGCAGGTGATATTGCATTGCGCAGCCAATCGCCAGGACTCGTAACCGATCGATCGAACCCAGACAGGTTTACTTCCCATCGGCTGATGTGGGAGACGGACTTTAAAGGGTCTATTTCCACCACGAAGCGACCCACAGGAACTTTAACTAACTACATCAACCCCCAGCCACTGTCGCAGCCTTGCGGTTCCTGGGAGAATTCAGCAAAGGTATGGTGGCCCAAGCACTTGCCATCATGCCAGGAAGCAGTTTAGTTCCCCTGGTATCCACGGCTCTTATTCTTCGGGAGCAATTCTCGAAATGGACGCTCTTCTTGTCTCGATATCTCCGACGAGGCCGTCAGATCCAGTACCCAAGCCTTAGATTGCAGAGGTCAGAAACCGCTACTATATAAGGTGAGAGACCCTCGAGGCAAGCATGATTCCTCTTGTCAGCTGGGCCCATCGCATTTGGGGGAAGCGGAAACAGCAATGTCTCGAATGATTCAAGACTCTGCCCTCAGCGCTTTCGTACGATTGTGCCTTCACAGAAGTTACTGGCCTCAACCTTTATCTGATCTTGAGGAAGGTGCTAGACGGTCCACTGAAGAAACACCTGTCGACAAGGATAGAAACTCAGTGATCCTAGTCACATGGCATGGCCCGGATGATGTCGACAATCCGCTCAACTTTGGTTCCACTAAGAAAGGGGCAATTACTGCACTGACCTGCCTCTACACCTGGGCAATCTATGTCGGCTCTTCCATATACACATCCAGTCAACCCGGCATCGAGGAACACTTTGGCGTCGGCAATTTCGAATCATCCCTGGGATTGGCTCTGTACGTCCTGGCATACGGTCTGGGAGGTCTCCTTTTCTCGCCGCTCTCAGAAGTTCCCTCAATAGGACGAAACCCTCCTTACGCCATCTCCGGAGCGCTGTTTGTGATACTGTGCATTCCAACAGCCCTCGTCAACAACTACGCCGGCCTCATGATCCTCCGTTTCCTCCTTGGTTTTATGGGCTCTCCTTGCTTGGCTACAGCTGGAGCAACACTGGGGGATATTTGGGGACCAATGCAGTTTCCATACTTTATTGGGCTCTGGGCTGCCACAACATCATTCGGACCCGCTCTGGGACCGCTGTTATCGTCCTTCGCCGTCGAGTCTCTGGGCTGGAGATTCTCCAGCTGGGAGCTTCTGATCATCTCTGGCTCCTTTTATGCGGTGTTCATGGCCCTGGTCCCGGAGACGTCGGCGCCGACGATTCTTTACTATCGGGCAAAGCGACTCAGGGAGCTGACCGGTGATTCGAGTTTCAAGTCACAAGAAGAGATCAAGCAAGCGGATCTTACAGCCACTCAGCGCTTGTGGGATTCAATCATCAAGCCATGGGAAGTCAACATCAAGGATCCCGCCTTGTTGTTCATGACACTGTACATGGGCTTGATATACGCGATTGTCTACTCCTTCTTCGAGGTAAGTTACATCAGCAGCGGATGTTACCAACCAGGGCTGAAATCCTATAGTCTCTGCCCCTTGTCTACCCACCCATGTACGGCTTCTCGCTCACCTCGACGTCGCTGATCTGGTTAGCTGTTCCTCCTGCTGCCGGTATCGGCTTCGTGCTGCACTGTGTTTGGCTCTCGAGACGCGTTCAGCCCAAGATGCGGGATGGCACATTTGGCGATCTGGAGAATTTCCTCGAGACAGGCGTTGCGGCGAGTGTTCTGATGCCTTTATCATTGTTCATGTTCGGTAAGCCCAAATCTGTGTGCTCTCTTGAACCGGGCAAGCTGACACGAAGCTTTACTATCTAGCATGGACGGCCCGCCCGTCCATCCACTGGATGGTTCCAACCACAGCTGTCTTTCTCTACATGGTTGCCCAGTACTTCCTGACCAACGCCGTCTTCTTGTACATACCCTCAATCTACCCTCGTTATGCTGCAAGCATCTTCGCCGCCAACAGCGTTGCGAGGGCTGTCTTGGCCTTTGTCGCTGTGCTCGTGGGACGGCCGATGTTCAAGGGCATCGGCATCGATGGGGGCGTGAGCCTGTTGGCGGCTCTCACTGCCGTGTGCGCTGGACTTTTGGCCGGCCTATACTGGAGTTGGGGGAAGAAGTTGAGGGCGAGGAGTCGATTTGCTGCTTGAGTGTACGTATATATGGTTGTGCTGTGAGCTTTCATCATGCGCAAAGAATGTGAGAAGGCAGTCATCTTAGTACGCCGCCGCGAACTCACGATCTAGTAGTTGTACGGAAACGCTCCTACCTTTTTCTACTGATAGTAGTATCTGTTGATACGCTAGTAGTACTATTTGATCAATGAGCAGTCCACTCCCACGGTCGCCTCATCCTGCGGTGTCGTTCCTCTGATACGTGCGATCCTGTGGTCAAAAGTATTACGTCCTCACTTTTCTACTATACCACTTTTCTTGTGCGCTCCTTATCCTCTTATGCCCGTCCTCCCGTGTCGTTCTTGAAAAAATCATACGGGCCCCATTTGAATGCCATCGTTCTGCGCAGTCCAAACTCTACCTGCGCCCTCGTCGTCGTCGTCGTCGTCGTCGTCTCCTCCTCCTCCTCCTCCTTCTCCTTGTGCGCCGTCCTCAATCTCCTAGCTTATCTGCGCACGAATAATACACACAACTGAACCTTTTACACCAGCAATCCGCCATCAGTCATCCGATGACCTCCTCACTATGGCCCTCAGCATATTCAAGTTCTCCTGTTTACCCCGCGCTTGAAATATGTTCATCTGTCAGCATGTCTTGCTGAAGCCGCAGGGGCCCACATACGCCTTGCTGCGACATCCAAACAGGCTAATAAGACGATGGCTCGAATTGGGGCCTACGAATACATTCAAAAGTTCTTCCAACGACAAGCAATACGGTCGAACACCTGGCGGATACCGCAAGTTCGGCCCGCTTACCAAGGTCAGGAATTTTACTGTCACATTTTACGTGATTCCAAAGCCGCCGTCGGAGGATCGCAATACAGAAGAAACTCACAGTCAACTGATACCTTGAGCTCCTGGGAAATTTGAACAAGATGATATGTGTGGCCCACTTCCACCAAAAGTGCTAGTAGTTTATGTCACTAGGTCTTAAGCCTCGATGGCGCCGGACTTTCTGAGAGCCCTTGAAGTCCCGAATACAAGGGAATTTGTCAGCTTCACGTGGGCAAGATGCGTAAGTGAATATGGCAAAGTATAGCATAAATGCAGTTCACATTAAAGGGCAAAAATCTGAATGTTTATTTATGATCTCACCAAAAATCTCACTCCAGCCGATCAGACCATTTCGCATCTAGCCGACAGCAACGAGTCGCTCAAATCCGATCTATACAAGCATCCCAGCAACGAATGTAGAGAAGTGGAACCGAGATGATACAGTACCAGACCTGATTCGTGAAAAGCTGCCACCCCCGTACATGGAGAACCCTCAGCGTCTCTCCTAGGCAAATGACCACGAGACTAGTAGGTGTCTCGTATTCTTGGACGATGCCCGATACATTAAACTTTGGTGGTCATCTGGTCCAAAGGCGTCTTCTCTCAGAGTTTGTTATCCTTGTTTCAATCGGTCCTTCATCTCTCTCCACACTCACACACGGCGTACCTTTTTTATGTCAAGGTAGAAAGGCGTTTGGGACCTCTAAACACAGAGCAATTCGGCGGCCATTCCATGTATTATCACCATGGGAAAGAAACGAGTCCTTGTCGGCTATGGCATTGATGTGGACGCGGTCGGTGGATGGTAAGTCCGTCAGTCAGATCCAAGTCTCATGAACAAAAAAAGTGATATTTTGAAAGGATCAATACCCGTCGATGGCCACCAGGCGAACCCAACTGACGTGTCGCGAGGTGTCTTTGGAGCGACGGTCGGCATTGACCGACTTCTCAAGCTCTGGGAGAAGTACAAGATCAAAACGTCGTGGTTCGTCCCCAGCACATTCCATCGAAAGCTTTCCCGAACAAATTGCCAAGGTCAGAGACCCCGGTCACGAAATGTATGTTCCTATATTCCTACCTGACATCGCTTTTCACTATATTGCGGTCGAACTTCGAGATAAATATAGAGGGTTACACGGGTACACGCACGAATTTGTGTTCCACTCTTAACGAAGAGCAGCAACGTGATGTTCTCACCCGGTCCATCGAATGTCCTTACGTCGTTCGTGGGCAAAAAGCCTCGAGGAAGGACCGCCCCAGCTTGGGCGCTTTGGCATTGAGTACGACCATTCCTTCATGCACCACGACCTCCAGCCATATTGTCTCCCTCATATCAATGCGGATCCTTGGAAGGAAACTGACACCAAGAAAGACGCCAAGTCTTGGATGGTGCCCATGAGTGCTTGGAAGGAGTCGAGTGTCGTCGAGATTCCAGCTAACTGACCGTTTCAATTTTCATTCAATCGACCGAGCCATGGTTATGTCGACCCCTGGACTCTGGAGAAACTCTGGCGGGATCAATTCTCGTTCTGTTACCGAGAGTACGACACCTTCGTCTTTCCAATCAGCATTCACTCCCAGGTCAGTTGGGAAACCGCAGGTCGTGCTCATGCACGAGAGGTTCATCGATTTTGTACACCACGCCTGCCAGAGAGCCTGTATAATGACCAGGAGGAATGACAACAGAAGGACAGGTCGTCGGCCATAGTTCAGAGCGACAGATTGCCAGATCAGATTTGAGTAGCCGATGAAGAAGGAAGTAGATGCCGACGCCAGTATTAATGTCAGCGACAGGGATGCCGGTTTTCTATTGGATCTGTAGATTTGCGGGTGTATAGCAAGAGACCATGAGCACAACGCCGAAAGTGTAGATATTGTGACCCAAAACGCTGACGTACTGGCGCCACTTGGACCAGAGAGGGTCATCGGGGTGATTTGACGGCTGAGGAAGTAAAATGATATCGTGGTGTTTGGCGCTACGACGAACACCTTGGATGCGGTTCGTAGCGTCCACCTGGTGGACGGTCCCAGGAACTTGGTACTTCAGACATCTTCGACGTGTGTGTCAGAGGTGAGACTGTTGAGGAAGAGGGTAGTTGCGAGTCCCAGTGGTGAGCAGAGGTAGGAAATTTTTCTTGAAAATGTTTGAGGCACGTATAGCATGCATAGATATAAAAGCCCTTTGAATCTGAGAGCTTTCGTCACCAAGTGGAGCAATCACTTATCTGCGGGAACCAGTCATATCAGTCATGCAAAATCCGGAGAGCAAAGGTTGTTGGGTTGGGGGAGGTTCCAGGCAAGGCCACGTGAAGTGCGACGGAGAAGGCGACGGATAGATGCGACGGGAGAGGCGACGGGGCAAGGCGACGGACAAGTCAATCTGAGGCCGTCTGCAGTGGCGTTATACTTTGAGATCCATTTGGCGGCCTTTGATCCATGGGGAAACATCCTGCAAGGCCACTCTGGTGAAGCTGGACATCCAGACCATCCGGATTTTGGCAAAAGCTACGTTTGCGCGGACCAGACCACCTTCGACTCCCGGCAGAATAGTTTGAAACCTAGGTTGCTTATCGAGACGTCGCTGGATTCAATCGTGGCCTGAATATATTAGGTAGATCTCGATATAGAGCATGGCGCAGAGTCCTGTAGTTATCGTCACTGGCGGGGTGGCTGGTATCGGTGCGGCCATCGTCGACAGACTCCTCAGAGAAAATGCTAGAATTGTGGTGATTGATCTAGTGGAAGAACCGTTGAAGCAACGACAGGCAACGGTTGGAGGCGACAGGTTTCAGTACGTCGTCGGAGATGTGAGTAACGACGAAATCAACTCCAAGGCGGTCGATATCGCAATCGCGACTTGGGGAGTTATCGACGCAGTCGCTCTCAATGCTGGGATCATGTCGCATATCCGTTGGATAGGTGACATGAGATCGACAGATGTGACAAGGATTTTCAACATCAATGTTGTGGCTCATATCTCAATGGTCAGTTATTGCGCAAGACGTGCAACTTAGGCCCCTGGTTAACATCCACTAGCTTTCCGCAGCGATTCCACACCTGAAGAAATCGAAAGGGAGGGACATATTCACTTCGTCAGATGCGGGCGAGCAGCTGCGATGGAAGGCGTGGGGCGCCTACGGAGCGTCGAAAGTAGCAGTCAACTTTTTCGTTCAGGCGCTGACTCTAGAGGAGCCAGACATTACAGCTATCGCCTTGTATCCAGAAATCGTGAATACGCCCTTGGTCAACAAAATTATCAAAGGAGAATGTGAGTACAACTTGACGTTTTCTGTACCGATAAGCAGAGATGGTGCTGACTGGCTAGTCCCGGGCATGACTGCCGATGAGTTGCAAGAATATATAGGGTACTTGAGGCCTAAGCTAGTAGAGCCTCACCAACCAGGGTCGGTGATAGCAAAGCTTGCTCTGACAGCTTCGAACGATCTCAGAGGTGCAATCGCTTTCTGGAACGACGACAGGTTTTCCTGATATTGACAGTCCGCTCCGTGCACATTTGGCTGGGATCCATAGCTAGACGCGTTTGGAAGTGAGAGTGCCTCAAGCTAGCTCTTTGTCGGAAGATTTGATGATAAGGTAGAACATAAAGAACCTTGGAGCGCACCAACTTCTGGCCACTTTAGAGAGCATCGCTCGATTATTGTCAAGGCCATGGGGTACCATGTGTTCCGTTCCTCTTGGCTCCGGAAAAGACATAATGCTGCATTGAAAGTCCAGTGAGCTGTAAAGACTGTAAAGACCGCGTCTGAACGGGAGTATTGGCGGAGAAGACTTAAAGCGCTAGCAGCATTTGCATCCACCAGGAAGCGTATTTTGCGCTGCGCAGCGCACGTCAATGGAGACCAACTGTGACTGGAAAGGCTGTGCGGGATCAATGTGTCTGGCCTCGCCAGAGGGCGATTGTTGCAATATTTCCATTTCTCCTGATACTGTGCCGTATAATGTACGCCGTAATGGTAGTTCCAATGGAGAATTCTCGAAAAGCCCACGGCTAGCCAGCTCTGTCATCAAAGATTTTGCGAACGCAATTTGTTGACCTAGGGATCCCTCATGGGGGTCGAAGAGACAGCGCAGAGCTAACAGGAGGACGGCCTGAAGAGCCGCTACAGATACTCTGGACGCGATGTCCTCAGCATATGCTATTGCCTGCCGGTATAGTTCGCCAGAAAGGATAATGAAGCTGGGGTCATTTCTGGGGAGGCAATGGCATGGCACGCAATAGAGTATACCATGGCCCGAATATAACAAAGAAAATCATTGCTGCCGTCGGTGGGTAATGTGGATCTGAGGAAGTCCGAAGGCCAGTCGAAAACAGGATACGTCTTGTGGATGATCTGGAAATACCTCTCTATCATAAATGTGTGCATTTCTGGGCTTATGGACCAGCCATTTGAGAAGTTGACAGTGGTTTGCCAGTCGGTGTTGAGCTCTTGAACCTCAGCATGTACGGCAAGAGGGGCTCGGCCACCTAGGTATCTCATCGTGTTTCTTGCTGGCACGAAATGTCCAAGGGCGACCCCGTCTGCACCTTCGAGGGCGTTTGTGGAAGTTTCGGCCTTCAGGTCTCTGATGTGGCCAACTAAAGAAGCAATGTACCTGGCGCTCCATTAGCCATTGACGCCTCCACAGAATTGATCGATGGTACTGACTTTCGCGGAAGGCGTTCGTTCGTGATATGATCTATAAAAACGCATTCTTCTTCTGCTCTGGTGCAATTGGAGCACGCAGGCAGTAGGAGATCACATCGCTTTTTGTTCTTGCGGCACCGTTGGCAGGCCGGTAGCTTCTTCAGTATTGTTTGTAGGTCGAGCGTGAAAGTGTAGTTTGACATGGTAGAGCTAGACATGTCGTCTCCAGGTCGGGCCATAATTATACAGCAAGTGGAGGCAAAGGCAGGTCAACCACCGTTGAGGTGTGTTATTAGGTAGTAAGGAGGAGATGTAATGGTTGAGCCACCGTGGTCGTCGTAAGGTACCTAGCTATCCGGCGATGCAGATACCCTCCGATACCGTACAAATATCCTGCAGTTGAGCACAGGGACACCGAGCCACCCTCTGCCTCTGGGCACCTAGCTGGGTCTGCCACTTCGATTGCCTCCCCAGAAGCTCTGACCAAGTGATGCCAACATCTGTTGAGCCGAGGCCAGCCAGCCACCACATACAACCCCCTCTCCGCTTTCTCGAGCAAATACTCGTCAAAGAGGGTCCATTCTTCAAGTACTCAATCGCAAAACCGAACGAGTAAGCTCCTGCCCCGAAAGTCGTTGGCTGCTGCAATGAAGGCGGGATGAGACCTGCTGGGAGAGTCCAGAGACGGCTTGTAGCATGCGCGCGTTGCCGCCAAAGGAAAATAAAGGTACCAGTCAAGGCCCTTCGTGTTATGAAAGTCAGGCTCATATGATATAATCAAACCAGTGCGATACACGAGGGCCAGCTTGCTCCATGTGCTTCGAGGCCAACCTGCCATGCGATACCCAGGACAATACCACTGGGTCGGCTCTACCCCAAAGCATAGCCCGATTTCTGGAGGGCTATATCGCATCGCTCGAAGGTGAAAGCGAAGGCATTCACACGTCAACACTATCACCAAACGACAATGCCCTTGGAGATGTCGATGAGGTTCCGCGTCGGGGTAAAGTGTACCTCCACCCAAGTTTCACGGCAGCAGGTGCGGTCATGCATGCAATTGCACCACCTTACATCGGCTTAGCGACAGATCTGCTGATTCCAAGGTGCGCCTTTCGCCTACCCAGACGCCGACTTCTAGGAAGGGGCTGGACTTGTTCGAAATGCAGGAGAACAACAATTTGCCGACTTCGAGCCATTCCTCGACCCTACCACTGACATCTATCACCCTGCCAGTGGCCGAGTTCTTACTCGAGACATACACGAAAAGAATCAACCCTCAATATCCAATTTACTCGACCATAGATGTCTTGCAGCCTTTCAATGCCGTGTTCCATCGAACAGCGGCCAGCAGGGCACTACTGACCGAGCCATCTCACCGCGAAACCTACATTGTCAGTCTGATCATGGCGATTTCCCTCAGCACCGCCGCACGACACAAACAGGCGCATGCCCAATCGTTGGCCACTGGTCTATTCAAGACCGCTGTCCAACACGCACAAAAGATGTGGACGAATGACCTGGCCAGCCTGCAGGCATTGCTCTTGGCCATGCAATACGCCTTCTTAAATCCAGACGTGGCGAATCTGACGATTCTGACTGGATTTGCGAGCGAAGCGTGTATTGACATGGCTTGGACGCCCAAGAAAGGGATTTGCGACGTAGAGTCTTCTGGTGCGCATGGGATAATGCAGATCAATCACCAACTTTCATGGTTCATCGCATTTGTGCCTATAGAAAATTGGAGAGCGACATCATGAACGTTCTATACCCGAGCTACACCCAAGCCGAGGATTCTCTTACACTTGAGCCTTGGATCGCCAAGATGGAAAAGAGCATTGAGGAGTGGCAGCGAGTGATTAATGTCGCTGCAGCGTGTAGCGAAGACGAGTCGAAAAGATCCCTGTGGGACGAGCTGAAACTCTACGGCAAGATTGGCTACAACTACGTTCTAGTCTGTCTATTTGGACCATGCCCAAGACTTCCGACACGATCTCGACCGGACCTACTAAAGGCATTTGCCGCCTCTGTCTGCGTCGCGTCGGCGTATCATGATCAAGCCAATTCGGCAGGTGGACACATCAAATACGTCTTCAACTCATGCTATCACACTTTTTCCTCGGCCATAGTCTTTCTCGAGACCTTGCGAGTCTGCAGAGACGACTTTTTCCAATCCTACATCTTCACCGAAATCGAGAATTCCCCCGACTGCTTTGCAACGCTGTTCTCGGCCACGGCAGAACGCTGGCCCGCGGTCTCTCGGTGCTCGCAGGAGTTACAACAGCGCTTGCAGCCGATCAAGGACGATTACACGAACTTCGTGTTCGAACGCGCGAGCAACGCCGGTTATGAAATGCCTGTGCAAAACGGTCGGCGAGACGATGTCGATGACGCTGACAAGGAGAATCTCTACGAAAACTATTATGATGTACCTTACGATTGGAATGTTGAATTTGGGTTTGGGATTGACGACGTCTTCTCGAATCAAGCGCCATGACACCGACAAATAGTTCTACGTGTAGGCACTACTACTTTCGATATATATATATGGATGTGTAAGGGTTGACATATCGAGACCAGCTTAGCCTTGGACTGGTTCCGTCGCTTATTACTATGGTGAGACATCAAACGTGTCCTGGTCACAGAGTTTGTACGTGCAATGTCCATGGATCCCAGGTAGATCTGTATAGTGAGAACCAGTGCCTTTCAGCATGCCTTACGAGTCGATCCAATCGAGACAGATGTCGACCTAGCTACTGGCATAAAGCTGAGCCCTCCTCATGGGAACGGATTGTAATCTCCTATTCCCTGACATACACCATCTATCTCGACACCATTGACGTGCTGTGATACTTTGCCGTCGGCGCCAAAGCGGATGACATCTCCACCATAGGGATCACTCAGAGCGACCATCGGGTTCCAGCCCATCGTCTGCTGTGGTCCATGATACGGATCCTTTGCGAAGGCAAGGACATGGTCCTGCATAGACCGACTAACCTGTACTTCGAAGCTGGTGGTATTCGCTACGCCGTCCAGAAGATGATACGTCCCAAAGATCATCGGGAGGTCACTGGCATGGTACGCGCCGAGCCACTTGTAGCGGTTTAAATTGGGAAACGTGCCCGCATGCTGGAACCGGAAGACGGGTACATCTGCGCCCAACCGGTTCCGATAGACGGTTGAGTTGTACGTTGGACATACCGCGTAGGCAATGTCTAGAGAAGTGACATACGGCTGGTACGGGCCTGCGGTCAGGTTGTCCAGCGGCCACGGAACGATCGACGACATCTCGTTGGCCGTGGTCGAGATGATGGCCGGCACGCGCGCGATTTTGCCTGCCTCGGACTGCGCCGTGTAGTTGGCGAAAACGATGCGACCGTCGACCTTTTCGATAAAGGACATGGCGGGCTGCGTGCCCGCGTCAGCGTACTGTCCGACGAAGTTCACGATCTGCGCGAACGGCACCCGGCGCATGCACTCGAGCTCCGCTGCGCCGTCCTCGTCGTCATCGCCGCAGGGGACCACGCACCCCATGTTGCGTGCCACGAAGCTGAAGTTGGAATATGTCGGATCACTCTTCGGCGAGAGATTGATGGCCGGCCCGGATTGGATGAAGTACCCTCGGGCGATGGGGTCCTTGTAGTAGGCATAGGCATGAATGTCTGTAGAGACGGCACCACCGGACTGGCCCCACTGGATGATGCGTTTCGGGTCGCCGCCGAAGGCCGCAATATTGTCGCGGACCCATTCCAGTGCTGCACGCTGATCGAGGATGCCGAGATTCTGCTCGCCGCCTGCCAGTCCGCGGGCATGGGGAAACCCGAAGATGCTGACGCGGTAGTTGATGGTGACGACAATGTGTGACTGCGACCGCTCGACCCATGAAGTTGGCATCTGCCACGGGATATTGATGCCGCCTATCTCGAGGCCGCCCCCGGTCATAAAGAAAAGGACGGGGAGCCCGGCGTCGGGGGCCGCGGCCTTGGGCGTCCACACGGCCAGGTAAAGGCAATCCTCAGATGTAGCCTCACCGACCAGTCCGGACGAGTCATTTTGGTTGCCATTGTAGATTAGATTACCCTTGGTCAAGGGCGAGTCCCATATCGAGGGCACCGCCGTCACGAACTGCGGGCACGACGGTGGGAACTGCGTCGCATAGTGATGTTCGCTCGGCGGCGATGAAAGCTTCTGGGGCGGCAGCCACCGGCGTGACAGCACGGGCGGCTCCGCGAACGGCACGGCGCGGAATTGGCGCGTATTCGGAAACTTGGGATCTATAAGTCCCGTGTAGGTGCCCGTGGAGGTTTGGACGGTGAGATTGTGGGAGCCCGAGCAATTGGCAGCCTGGCCGACGAAGGTATCCCTCGCCAGCACGAGGAGGGACAGAATGGCGAGCTTCATGGTGGGTAGCTTGCGGGCATCGAAGCACGGCCGTCGCTCCACCAGTGCCTTCGATTGTAACAAATCTCCTCGTTGGACTTCCCCTCCTTATATCGAGCAGCGTGGATCACCTCGGTTCTCGCAAAGTCACACCCAGAGTCACATCACTACGTACCTTTCTCCAGCTTTCCCCGCGGAAAGTCAAGTTTGCCGTTATCGAACTCGGTAGGGCAGGTTATCAGGATAACTTATATCCGATGTCTAAGAGATCCTGGGAGGATTACTAGAGAGCCACCACTAGTCGGTGATAGGAATATTAAGAGTTATCGGGTTAGAAAGGGAATACAAAGATAAGATATCTACCGTCGCGGAGGCATAAGACTCGGTCGTCGCGAAGAGATACTGAAGAATCTTTGTATACCCTCGTCATTACAGTCCGGATCTAGTCTTTTATCTTTTGCATTATCTTCTCCCAACTTTTCATTCCTCTGGCAGCATATTGGCCTGGTACGGCCGGATCCTTGTCGAACAATTTCCGTGAAAATATCTCCACGCTGAGGTAACCTTCGAACTTCAATCCTTGTACGATCGCCTTGAGGATGGGTTCGATGGGCAAGCATCCATTTTCGTGCTCCTCGAATGCGAAAATCCTCGCATTTCTCGACCAGCTCATACGTGCGAGCTGTGTTTCGGAATAGAATGGATGTCCAACATCAAGCGGCTGGTCCAGCCTCTCAGCATCCCCAATTTGGACATAAAATACCTTCTGCACATCCACTTCTGCAACCAGCTGTTCCATCGATCGTTTGAGCTTTGCTTCGCCGTCTAGGTTCTTCCCGTCGCTTGCGGTTGGGTCTCCCCATACTCGCGCAGCGATGTGGAAGCTGTCGAGACAGAGTCCGAAATTACGTCTGTTGACACGCTTGACGACCTCCCAAGTGCCCTGCCAGGTATCGATGTGTGTACCCCAAGCCACGCCTTCGTAAGCGAATGACACGATGGGGTCCTGCTCCAGGCCTATTTCAGCCATTTCCACAAAGTCCTTGACAATGATCTCCATATCGCCTGTTGTGCCTTCTAACAACCAATTCGTGGGGACCTGCACCAAGTTTACATCAAGGATCTTGACCAATATCATCCACAGTCTCAGTTTCTTGATCTTTGCCTCGTGCTCTTTGCGGTCGACTAGGCCTTCATAGAACCAGAAAGGCTGGAAAACAAACGCTTTTATGCCGAATTTGTCGCATAATTTCTTGACATACTCGGCTGCCTTGACTCTATTCACATCTGTTAGTCCGCCCTCAAGACTCTCTCCGTACGTATCCAGGTCGGCTTCGACAATCTCAATGAGCTTAAAGCCATGTGCTGCCGCCTGTTCCAACCTCTTGTGGATTGGGTGGACAGAGGGATGGCCGAGAGACGGTGAAGCGATGGCCGGTAGAAACGGCATTGCCTGTGTATCTGGGTGTGAAGCTGTGGTTTACTGCCAGTAGGTCTATCTCGAGGACTGGAAAGGTGGGTATAGTAACTAGAACAGGCTTTGATAATTGTGCGCTGTGCCGGCAGGTTGTGGGCCAATCGCGGATGATGGCGGTGTTGAGTCCGTATAGGACTTTTTGGACCATAAATTGGCTTGGGCACCTCCGCACCAGTGATCTCGGGCTGTTGCTGCGAATCAGAGTACCTTTATCCGGGTATCAAGCCGAGTACGGCAAAGGGCCGTTCAGTTGAGAAATGCTGCATTGTCGGCTATGGTTCGGTACAGTGCTTTGCCGCGAAACGGCACCGTTGCATCAACCCCTGCTGTCGACCTTCGACCTAACGACAACGGCTTTTGGATTCAAGATACTAGTATGAAAAGTATCCGGGTACCAAGCAATAGCATGCCTCGGAAGACAAACAGAAGTGTCAATCCCTCGCAACCCAAAGCGCTTTTCGACGAACAACAAGAAGCGACGTTCTCTCTCTTAGCACTGCAAGCTTGGAGTCCGGCAACGGCGATGGCGCCTCAGCAAAGGAACCGCCTGTACATCGCAGGTGGCCCTGGAGGCAATTCAATCGGGCCGGCAGTTCACGAATACATTGCAAAGTCTCTGGGCCTCGACTGGACATGCGAATTCCTGCGCATGTCTTCGATCGACGATGTCATGAGACTTTATCGCGCCGCTGACTTTGCTGGCGGACTTGTGACTATGCCCCATAAGCGAACCATCATACCCCTACTGGACCAGTGTGACGAACTAGTGAAGATACTTGGAGCATGCAACACGGTATACCTCACAGCCGACCAGCAGTTATGTGGCAGCAACACGGATTGGGTTGGAATCTACGACGCTATACTGGCACGCAAGCCCGACAACCATCCTGGGAAGATAGGCCTGGTCTATGGAGCAGGAGGTGCCAGTCGGGCAGCTATCTACGCCCTGTCAGCTAAATTGCGCTGTCGTACGATTTACCTTGTCAATCGTGATGATCACGAGGTTGCAGAGGTGTTGCGGGACGTACATGAGCATGGTGATGTGTACAAGCCCCAAATAGTCCACGTCCGAAAGTTGTCTGAGGCAAAAGAACTGGAACCTCCGCATTATATCGTGTCAACTGTTCCGGACTTTGAGGCCGTGACAGCAGAAGAAACCCAAGCAAGGAACATTTTGACCGAGTTTCTCCAGAGACCCTCTCCATCCAAAGGCTTGTTGTTGGACATGTGCTACCATCCACCTATGACGAGAAATTTGAAGCTTGCGAAGGACTCCGGATGGTCGATTGTGCAAGGATTCACTGTGGTCGCTTGTCAGTTCCGCGTGCAATGGGAGCTGTGGACTGGCAAAGCTATTCAGACGGACGAGGTCTTCAGATTGACCGAGAAATTGATCAGAGATAGGGACGAAGCACTGCCACTTGTCCGGAGCAACGGCTATCATTAGCAGTGACAGTCTCATCTCACCAAGCGCCGAGGCTGAGATTATAGCGCCATTAGATGGTCAGCGATCAGGGAGATTCTAGAATACAGATAATGTACTGGCCGTAGAAGCGCTTGTATCTGCGAGCAGCCAAAGGTACGCCTTGTAGACTATGGATAAAGAAGTCAGGACACTTGCAGACTCCAACATGACATGACTCGCAGCATTACGACTGTTATTGAATCTCCAAGAGGAAGATGCACAAGAGAAGAAAGTAGTGGTCGTTGTTGTCGGCTTCCGACACTGCGGTGCACGGGAACACAGCGGCATTTCAATGCTCAATAGAAAGGTGGTGGTTGTTCGTCAAGTCGGTTGCTCAAACCCGTAGTATTCGCACGATTTGACGACGACATACAGTAGTACTTATCGATCTTTTCGGTTTCATGATGCATCCCTCCAATTCAGTGGCAGTACTCGAGGAAATTGTCAGGTGTTATTTTAGTCGCCTGCTGTCTATCAACACAAATCAACCTGGTTGGCATGTTTTCCTAAGTATGTTCATCGGCCGATGACTCCACCATCCACGACGATGTCCTCCCCAGTCACAAAATCACTTGCACGACTGGCTAAGAAGATCGCGACGCCTATCAGGTCCTCTGGATAGCCCCAGCGATGTGATGCTGTCCTTTCTGTGACCGTTTTGGCAAAATCTGGGTCCATGAACAGATTCTCCGTCATCTTGGTCTTTATGAATCTGCTCACCAGTCAAGGTCAGCATAATTGCTTCAAACTTGGAGGAAATTGGCGTACCCGGGACTTATGCAATTGACTTGGATGCCGTTCCCAGCCCACTCATTGCTTTGCGCTCTCGTAAGGGCTCTCACCGCGGCTTTGCTCGGTGCGTAGACGGAAATATTGGTCTGCACGAGTTGTGCTGCCATCGAGGCGATATGGATCATCTTTCCGGGGCGGCCGAGCTTGAGCAATTGTCTGCCAAATTCTTGGGATACGACGTAGGCGGCTTTGAAATTGATATCCATCACCTCCATCAGTTAGCCACAGCGAACTCGATAGTAGTAAGAGGTTAGAGGAAGGTATGCGGCATACATCGTCCAGATACGCAATGGGGGTATCCTCCACCTTACTATGTCGTGTAATTCCTGCACAATTCAACAGAATATCTGGGGTACACCCAGACCTCCAGATCCCTTCAAATGTCTGTGCAATCGAGGCATAGTCTTTCAGGTTACTGTCAAAGTACCGAAAATTCCGGCCAAGATGTTCCACGGTGTCTCGCAAGTGGCTAGCACCAGGATCATTGGGAATCTGGATCGAGACAATATCCGCGCCAGCTTCTGCGAGAGCCACAGTCAGCACAAGACCAATTCCGCCAGTTCCTCCTGTCACAATGACGGTTTTGCCACGTAGGTCGAAGAGTCCAGCTACCGAGACATCCTTAGCAGTCGACATGGTTTCAGCTCTTGTGCATAGAATTCCTGTGTCAGAAGTAGTTAAATTTCAGGCTGCTAAATGTGGCGGGATATTGTATAGTCCCGAACTTATCTAGCTGCTTTACGGCGAACTGCGACCGGCGCCTGCGCAAATTGGCATCCAGGAATAGGCCATTGGTCGCATGACTCCTCGATAGATCTGCCCGTCACCGTTAAAACCACAAGCATTGGTCTGTGGAAGTCGAAAGTGACGCAGCAGGTCTGTCTCCTCGTATATCTTAGCCGGGGTCTTCAATGCGACCTTAGCGTATATCCGTTTCGTGACAAGGCTGCCCCACAACAGGGGCTGGGAAAAGCCGGGTAAGCACATTGCCGAGTGACAGAAGGCCAAATGACACCATATCCAGACCACAGGGTTGGTGTTAGTTTGACGAGTGCAGGAATGTTGACTGATTCCTGGGGCTCGTGGCATAACCTAGGTCAACGTGAAATGGGGAATCGGGCCGCTGACATGAACAGCTACTAGGGGTGACATGCCTGATATGGCTTGAACAGCACCTAGGCTTAACCAACGTGCAACACAGATATACCGAAACTGAATTGCTTGCTCATACATCTCAAGAGTCTTCCTGATTATCGAAAGACAGGAACGGATGGTGGAGTAACGCAAGAGAACTTGAACAGCCACTGAAACCTACGAGCTTGAGAAGAAGTCATTGACGGCATTCCCTGCGACTGCAGGCTTAAGGACAGCGTGTTAGAAGATCTTCTTTGTTCATCACAGCTGGTTGGAACAGTACAATGAGTTCGAGTTACTGCGTCCGTTGGGGCATACTGGGTATGTCGCATGACATCGACAGGCGCCCCAATATAACTGACCTTCCCTCAGCCACAGGTGATATCGCTAGAACCTTCACGAAAGATCTACTCATAAATCCCGAGACCCGTGGAGTCCATGATATTCAGCATACGGTGGTCGCTGTTGCATCATCGTCTTCGCTCATCTCTGCAGAAAACTTTGTCAGCAACATTGTAACACCCAAGCAGCAAGAACCACTCTGCGCCGCCTATGGCACGTACTCGGAACTTGTCCAGCAAACTAATGTGGATATCATATACGTAGCAACGCCTCATTCTCATCATTTCCAGCATGTCGTGCTGTGCCTCGATGCAGGAAAAGCGGTGCTTTGCGAGAAACCAATGACAGTCAACGCGCGCCAGGCAAAGGCACTCTTCGAAAAGGCAAAGGAGAAGGGCCTTTTTCTTATGGAGGCTGTGTGGACACGATTCTTCCCCGTTTCGGTACCGTATCTGTGAGCATATAGTGAGGATCACGCTGACCTTGAGAGCAGATTGCCGTGCGGAACCACATGATAGACAACAAGATCGGTGAAGTCTTGCGCGTCAGCGCAGATATGACCCACATATTACACGATGAACAATGGGACGTCGGAAACCGACTTATCAGGAAAGATCTTGCTGGCGGATGTTTGTTGGACATTGGTCCATATCCATTGCTGTGGATCTTGCAGACAATGTGGCACATTGTCCCTAAAGAACGCAGGAAAGGCGAACCACGGATAAAAGGAACAGCCATGACCATGGACCCGCGGACAGGGGTGGACATAATGACCACCATGCTGATCGAGCTGCAAAGCTCACCCAAGGGTGAACAAAAAGCCCAGGCGGTGGCTACTACGGGCTTCTGTGTGACGTTTGACCCAGATGGCGAGAACACCGCGGGCCCTACAGTTCGCCTCTACGGAACCAAGGGTGAACTGCAGGTCATTGGACCTATTTACAGACCCGAGAAATACCGTATCATCCTCCATTCGGGACAGATCATTCAAGAGAAACTACCGGTTCCTGCTGGAGGCCATGGTATGTTTTGGGAGGCAGACGAGGCCGCCAGGTGTTTGCGCGATGGCAGGTTGGAGAGCGGAGTTATCCCATGGGACGAAAGCATCCTCACTATGGAGTTGCTTGACGAAGCCAGGAGACAAGGAGGATTGGTTTATCCAGACGAAATCGAGAGGCTTACGATATAAATATAGTGAGGATTGCTGGAGTAGCTGCGAAGAATTAGAACTCCCTCTGCACAGGCACTGTATAATGGAAGCATTTGCCTAAGAACAGTCTTCTGGTTTCCAAAATCTCAGAATTCATGATGACAATCATGAAATGGGCGGAGGTGAGCTGAACCCAAGAAGTCTGTGACATATGCAAGTGTCAGCCCAGTTGCCCATTTTCATTAAGAACATATAGCATCAGACAGCACATATTCTCAGCGGTAGGGCAGCACAACCCCATCTGTGTTCAGCCCTTCTTTTGCACCGATGACGCCAGATCTATCTTCCCCAGCAACTCAACGTAAACCTTCGGAAGAGTGCTGTTGAGGAGCGAGATCAGCCTGTTCACGCACGCATTCCTACTGGAACGCGTCAAACATGCCTCGACCCTGCCAGACTACCTCAGAGAATCCGGAAGGAGACCCGGGTAAATCCATAGCCAGGGATAATATTGATGCCGTACTGCGTTGGAGGTCCGGTCGTCGTGTCCGCCGAGCTGGGTCGATGCAGTGCATGCCCCAGGATCGCGGGGACAGGGGAATGGGATGTTAATACCTTGCCCCCAATGCTGCTATCACCAGGGGCAAGAGGGACCCCTTTGCGGGGGTAGACCTCTGACTACATAAGTACCGTCTACGCTGCCTTCTGGGTGATGGTCTGAACCTCTTTCGATCTGTATCCCCCTTCCCCCATTGTAATCCTCACCAAGCAGTCTTAAGAATGGGTCGGCAAATCTTCCTGGGCCTCAGAGGCAAGAGGCTAAATGCCCTTGTCGTTTTTGTTGCTGGCGCAGAATTTCTGTAAGGGAAGCATAACCCAAGAAGAAAAGAGCATTCCCTTCTGATACACAACGACCAGACTCTTTGGGTACGATCAGGGAGTTATGGGAGGACTTCTGACTCTGCCGTCATTTACCAAAGTGTTCCCCGAGATATGCACTACCCATGCCTGCGAAACTGGCATGTCGAACGCCGGGAAGAGTCACCAGTCGACCATTCAAGGTGAATGTTGTCATCGCATATGAACGCCGTGTCTCACTGATGTCGTGATATAGGTGTAGCCATCTCTTCTTACAACCTTGGCTGCTTCACCGGTGCTCTCCTCGCCATGAAAATGGGCAACATGCTCGGTCGAAGACGATCCATATTCGTTGGATGCTTGCTAGTCTCGGTTGGCGCTGTGCTCCAATTCTCGGCATTTGGCCTCGCTCAATTCATCGTCGGCCGCGTGGTCTGCGGTATGGGCACTGGAATCAACACGTCGACTGTGCCAGTCTGGCAGGCAGAATGCACAAAGCCCCATCAACGAGGACCCATCCTTGCCTTGGAGACGTCAATGGTCATAGCTGGCGTCATGATCAGTTACTGGATTGACTTCGGCTTCTCGTACCTGGAGCCAAGCTCGGTAGCATGGAGATTCCCAATCGCCTTCCAACTGGTGTTCTCCTTCTTCGTTCTGGCAATGATACTTTTACTGCCCGAATCGCCCCGTTGGCTAATCTTGAAAGATCGACCGGATGATGCGGTCCAGGTGATAAGCGCGCTGTACGACTTACCAGCCAGCGATCCTCTTGTGGCTGATCAGCTACGCGCAATTCATGCCATTCATCATGCCGACGCACAGACAGGAATGAAGGACATGTTCCGACAGGGACCCCTGAAGAACCGCACCCGGACGTTACTGGCTATGAGTGTTCAGATCATAAGTCAGGTGTCCGGCATCAATATCATCACCTATTACGCCGCCACGATCTACCAAAATGAGATCGGCTTGACCCCTCTGGTGTCGAGGATCTTAGCCGCAGGCAACGGCACACAATACTTTGTTGCTTCGTTGTTCTCGATCCCACTGGTCAGATACATGAATCGCAGGCCGCTTCTGATGCTGTGCTGTACTGGCCAAGGGTGCACGATGGTACTGTTGGCGATCATGACGAGTATTGGTGGTACTGGCCCGGGTATCGCTGCAGCTGCATTCTTGTTCGTCTTCAACACCTTTTTTGGCATCGGTTCCGCGCAGCTATCGTGGACATATCCTGCTGAGATCACTCCCCTTGCTACCCGCACTCAAGCCAATGGACTGTCAACAGGTATGTGTCATCGACGTTCTGGTCGCCTTCTCGGCCTCCTGCATTCTTAATGCATTGATCTTCGGTGCTGATAAGCTGAATAGCATCGAATTGGATTTTCAATTTCATGGTCGTCATGATTACCCCCATCGCCTTCAATAACATCGGGTGGCGAACCTATATCATTTTCGCCGTTCTCAACTTGGCAGCGGTTCCAGTCATATTTTTGCTGTACCCAGAAACACGAGGCCGTTCCCTCGAGGAGATCGACCTCATATTTCGCAGCTCGGCTACTCTGCGCCAAGCAGTCCAGGCATCCTTCACCACAGAAAGACACTACGACCAGAAAGGCCATATGATGAAGAGCCTAGCTCAAGACGTTGAAGAAGTCTACATCATGAAGAAAGCGGAACCAGAAGTTCAGCATCATGATCATATCGCCAGCTGATGGCATTCGCCGTCAGAGTCAGAGTATGGAAGATGATATCCTGAGAGAGAATGGATGGACTAACGTTGGGAGTCCCTGAAGATACGGATTGAAGGGTTGAAATTGGACCGCACAAGGTCTAAAGAATATGTTGTTGGTAGCTGGCATCTGTCTCGGTGTTTGGAATCGGCCATTGTGGAGTGCCTACGTAGCTGGAGGAAATAATTTGATCGATCTGATTGTCGTTCTACTCAGTACATGGGTTGGAGGAGCGATAGGTGCGGTAGCAACAAAGATACATACTACGGTCTTATGGGTGAACGGTGTAATATGGTGGGTATCATTCGACGACAGACAGCAGCGAGGACAAGTTGTGTGGCAGGCGGGCATCCTGTTCAATGCAGTGCTAACCGCTGCTTCGACGATTCAAGCGGCAGCGGTTTTGCGCCCCGGTCAATCGGGTTTCATTACACAATTTACCCATGAGACCGTAGTAGTCTTTCTGTCCACTGATGAGCGGGCTGATCACCCATGATGGCTCAGCCTATGGGTGAACCCATTGCCGGGCGAACCACACGAGTGTTCTCAGCCGGGATAAATGCTGGATACTGTCAGGAAACAGCTTCCCAGAACACGCTGATAGGGTATAAGTTAAAAGGGAGAGTACACCTGCAAGATCGACTGTAGTTGAAATCGTACCTAGTCCCAGGGAACAGAAAGTCAGCCATCAACTTTGAGCAGGATGAATCACAAACTCGCAGTAGCCACGGTCTCGCTGGGCTGGCACCGGTCTCACACCCTTGAGCGGAAAATTGAAGCAGCCAAATCCGCCGGAATTAGTGGCGTCGAGCCCCACGATACGGACCTGAACAATTTTGCGAAGAGCCATAGGATGGCACGATTGGAGGCCGCAGCCGCGGTTGGAAAACTTTGTAACAGGTCGAACATGGAGATCATTGCCTATGGACCGTTTAGCAACTTCGAAGGAGAACCAACACCATTAGAAGGACGGCTGGACACCGCACGCGAGTGGATGCAAATTGCTCACAACTTGGGCACCGATGTCATTCAAATACCAGCGAACGACAGTAAAGCCGCCATAGGCGAAGAGAGAGTCATCATCACCGAACTGCAGGCCTTAGCCGATCTGGGCCGGCAACAGGACTCCCCTATCTCGTTCGCATACGAAGCACTGGCATGGAGTGCACACGTAGCCGACTGGGAAGAATCCCTCAGAGTTGTACAACATGTAGACCGAAGCAATTTTGGCCTTTGCTTGGATACTTACCACGTCTTAGCCAGAGTTTGGGCAGATGCGAGGGCCCCAAGTGGCCTCCGGCCTGGCGGTGCTTCTGCCCTGCGAGACAGCGTCCAAAGATTCCTGGACTCATGCCCCCCAGAAAGGATCGCCTATGTTCAGCTGAGTGACGCTGAGAGGCAACGGCCACCTCTTCTACCAGGTCACCCGGCTTATGCTGCGGATCAGGACTGCACGCGATCATGGTGTTTGTACGGCAGACTTTTCCCGTACGAGACCGAAAAGGGCGCATATCTACCAATGGACGATATTCTGCGTGCTTGGCTGCTCGATAAAAAGTGGTCAGGGTGGGTAAGCATGGAGGTCTTCCACCGTAACATGGCGGAGGAATCCATGGTCTCTGAGTTGTGGGCGGAACGTGCGAGAACCTCATGGGACCGGGTTGTCCAGGTTTTGCAGAAACACGCTCAACAGCAGACAACAGACATGCAGCAATGAAGATGAATTTGTGCTGATTGCCACGAGAGACGAAGTGTGCCTGTGAAGTGCCCGTCCGAAAACAATTCCCCTATCAATCGCAACGCCAAATTATCCCTAATATGGTGCCGGTTCTTCAATACAACAACCCAGCATGCCAGGAGCACCCTCATACACTCCTGTAGGCGTTACATTTCATCTTGTCAGCATAATCACTAAGACACGCCGCCCACATTGCTTCTCGGGGAGCTCTGCTACTGGTGAAGAGCTCGAACTGCGCACAAGCTTGTTCGAACAGGACCTCGACGGGGTCAATGACCGTCCATCCAGGGTGCGTTTCCTCTCGTAGTTGTTGCATCAACGGGGTCTCCGAGGTATGGTAAGCCAGCTGATGCTCAACTTAGTATACAGGAGATGAGAGGATAACGGACAACTTACTTCGACAATGACACCTCCTGTGGGATTCTTTGTCCATTGACTTGGCATTCGGAAAGGCTCGCTGTCCATCCGTGCCCTGTCGTAGGCCTTGATGGCGCATATGACGATGCTCGGTTGGGTGAAATTCTCAGGCCAAGGAGCATCAACGGACTCGAGGACTTTAATTCTCAGATCGCAAGGTTGGCTTTTCTCTCGTGGCTGACAGTCATCGCGCTCGTGCTTCAAGAACTTTGCATAGACTTTATCATAATGGTTGGCAAGCGATCGAGCGTGTACTACTGTGCGGTTGACGATGCAAATGTTTCGTACACCCAAGTACAACAAGCAGTAAACAGCTGCACGTGCCATGCCACCCGCCCCGACAACAAGCCCAGATGTCTGTGGATTCACAGAGTTTGCTGGGGAGATGGAACGAGACACGCATGCGTAGATGCCCATCCAATCAGTATTGTCTGCATAGAGCATTGTAACCGGTCCATCATGATGTTTTTGAGCTTTACATCGCGGATCAGGGAGGCCTTGATATGCGCTAGATGCGCGAATCGGAAGGATCGTGTTTGAGGCACCAATGACTTCAACAGAGCGGCTGACCTTCTTGACCAAAGTTAGGACTTCCGTCTTGAACGGCAAGCTCACGCTGGCACCTCCGAACGTTGGGTCTAGAAATATTGGGAGGAGTTCGTCTAGCAGCTTCGCCTCTCGGCTGGTGTAAGTATGGGGCATTCCGAGCGTTTGAAATGCAGCATTGTGCATGGCAGGGGACAAGCTGCTTTCCACAGTTGAGCCGACAACATAGTACCGAAGGGCCTGCAAGGCGTGTAGCGAAAACAACGTGTTCCATCTTTGGCGGACAGTCATTTCTGAGGAGGCATGCAGATAATGCTCCGCTTGATGTTGCTGCTCGGATGCATGCACAACTGGTGTCAAAATGGGATTGAATGCCACGGACAACGACCCTAGTTGACCTGTGTTGTAAGCGATGATAGGAATGCCGTCGGGTAAAGCGTTAACTTTTTCAATCAGGGTCAGGCACGAGAAGTTCTCCGTCATGCTTTCGCAAGGCTTCGAAATTCTCACCAAGCCGCATCCAAGACGAAGCGCTCTCCTATACTGTTCGAGTGGATGGTGAGATCGCCAGAAATGATCCCCAGCTGACGTGTTGTGGCGATGGCCGACTATAACTGTCATGCCTCTGTTCAGAACCAATGCGCAGATCCCTGCCTCCGGAGCATTCAGGTCGACAGTAAGGTATTCTGGCGCAAAACGCAAACCCTGATACAGCAGGTCGAAATACAAAGCCCAATCACCGTCCATGCTGTCGTTAGAGCGAGCATGATAAATGATCGGAACAGACAAAAAACGGCGGATCTCTGCAATGAACCGTGCGACCGTTCCTGAAGTGACCAGAGCCCTACACTGAGAACTCTCGGTGTCTACAATCAATTCCACTGCATCTGCTCCAGCGGCGATCCGTCGAAGGTCCACAGATCCGTTTGCGAGGGAAGAAACGGAGATACACAAGGCAGTTGAATAGGCCCTGCGCTCCGGAAAGTCTGGATACAATGTTGGGAAGACGCCGTCTGAAAGAGGTGAGGAATCGTATCCCAGGGCGGCTGCGAGAAATCTTGCCAGTGCAGTCTGAGTCTTCTGCAGTGCTTGGACCTTCTTCCGGCGCATCAAACGGTGCGGAAGGACTGCTTCCAGGCTCTCCTGCGCCGCACATCGCCGGCTGTCCCCGTATCTCTCGGGCAGGTTGAAGAATTCGAAATTCGAAAGCCCGTTGTAGATTGCATGAACGTCGCTCATCCACTTCTGTATATTACCATTCCCCTGGAGTCCCAGATAATCTTCAATTTCCTCAATTGGCCGAACAACGTAAATAACTGGATGGTTCTTCCGGTACTCAGTCATAAATTGTCGACATTGTTCCGCTGCTATACATGGTCCGCAGGCGATTACACAATCCTTGTCATATTGTGCAAGCATATTCCGAGTTGACTCCAGTTCTTGCTCCCGGTATCTTTCGCGGCCATGCTTTTTCCTGAAAGCGGACTTAGATAGTCCTGTGGTTGTGGTGAAATGATCATCAGCATCAATGACTCTTCTCTTCAAAATCAGCCCAGCTATGACTGCCAAGCTGGATTTTCCGTTCCCACGAGGTCCGATGAAGAGTATAGACGCATCCTTGCCAATTGACCGTCTGCGATGCTGCTTTTTCTCTTCGGACGCTCTCCGAGAGAGGATATTGTTTTTAGACTGTGCATGAAAAGGTCGTCAGTGCTGGGGATTACATCGACTCATCATCTTACTGTTGGTCTTGCATCATGCGCGACACATCCACCGCGCGTGTCGTTGTGATGTGTGGGATTCGATGCCGGTGCAACTTCATGAAGCTTCACCTGTGGCCCATCAATTTCCAAAGCGAATGCTTGACTTGCAGTCATTTTGTGATGGTCCTAACCAAAGACTAGGTAGCCATAAAATGACGCTGGGAATGCCGGGCCTACGACACGAATACCATGCTGCCGACATCTATGCCTTTCTCTCTTTCTCATGACCATTGCTGATGGCATCGCTCTCTCTGCACGGCATTGAAAGAAGGCACAAGTGTCTAGAGCCAATCGGCTATATTGTTAGCCGGACAATGGTGGGCACCGAGATGATGTGCTTAAAACTTGATCCCTTGTGGCCTGTGCACCGCTGGCCTGCTGACACGAGAATAAGTGGTGAGGCATTGCCCAATAGAACACGCAGCGCAGCAGGACATACTTTGGCCATCCCTATGGCCCATCCGAAAGACGGTATGTGCTGGGGATGATCGAGTGGCGGGCTTGACTAGGCCGAGGTACGGGGTAAGCAATCTCTATTGCCTATTGGTACCTAGGTACCTTAGGAAGCCTCTCTGCCATAGGAAGCTCAGCCGCTGTGATCTGACCGACGTAGCATGATCACGGCGAGGAAAAGGACGTCTCTTGCTTCATTGATCCAGGATATCGTTTCAGCCCTTTCATATCGCAAGACAAGGCTGATGATATGTACACCCTAATGTTCTATATGCAAGTGCACTCAGCAACGGCCTCATTGTACAAGACTCGAAATTGGGAATCAGTACGGAATGAAGGCATCAAGAAGTGCCGATGGTCAAGCTACACAACGCACACCGTCTGAAGAAGATGCAAGCGCCACCTCATACAAAAGACGGAGGGTTTCCAAGGCCTGCAATTGGTGCCGACAATGCAAACTTAAGTGCAACGGCGCAGTGCCCTCGTGCCGAACGTGCCTTGAAGCCAAGAGGATGTGTTCGTATGGAACTACAGTGAAGCGACGAGGCCTCAGGACTGGCTATGTCCGAGCTCTTGAGTGCTTATGGGGATTGGTCTTCCAGTCGGTTGAGGGAAGCGAAACCACTGTTGAAAGACTCATCTCAAGCACATCCAGAAGAAGTTTCTGGTTTAGGGATGATATTCGGGACGGTCCTAAGCCTGGTGAATCACCGGTAGAGGCATGGAAGTCAAGCAGGATTCCTCAAGCCCTAGACTCACTCCTGACCTCCAGTGAAGACTTGGAAGATGACTATCAAACATCCGACCCAACAAAATCGTGGCTGCAGACGAAAGACTCGAGTACTACGTGGGCCTTACCGAGCCACTCTCCCACACAACCACCGACCAATGCGGGCATGGAAGGACAGATTCTCTGCCAGCGCTGCCGATGCGAGATTCATGAGCAAACCAACCTTCCATGTACCAATTCAAGTCAATCAGGTCATTCTACTCTCCCAGAATTGCCGCAAAATCCTCAAAGGTTACTCGACAGCTATTTCGCACTTACTCACAGCTGGTTTCCAATCGTGGAACGCCATGCCATCTACAAGTCCCTATACTCGTACCGCAAAGCGCTCGCCGGCAAAAATTGCGACGATAATACTTCAGCTTGTAATGCCGTTCTATGGGCCGCATTTGCGTACGCTGCACTGATATCCGATGCCTGGAACCAGGGAGAACAGCCACGACAGAGATCTTCAATGCCTGTGGAAGATATATACATGACAGCAAGAAATTTCATCCCACTGGAGAGGACCGACGACTATGCGATAGGCCATGTGCAAGCACTTACTATCCTTGCACTATTCCACTATTCTTCTTGCGAGTGGGGTGTCGCTTCGATAGTGACAGGTCAGGCCACTTTGCTCGCCTCGCATATCGGGTTTGATCAGGAAGATAACTGCCAGAATGACCATCATCAACGCGTCTGGCTTGCATGCTTCCTACTGGATACTTTGACATCGGCACATACCGGAAAAGCTCCTCGTTTGCGACCGCAGCATGTGCAATCGTTGCTGCCACTGGACGACCCAGGAGATGAAGACTGGGAGCCATGGCATCTCCAAGAAGCACTTCTGCCGGGAGTAGAAGCCGAGGAGGCAGAGTTTAGATTGCCGACCTACGCCATCAGTGTCTTCAACCAACTACTCAGAGTTCTCTGCCTTCTTAATGACCAGATATGTATTTCGTCGACACAAACTGACGAAGACTGCATGCGAATACTAGAAACGTGGCACGACGGGCTACCCGAACACATCAAAGCCTTCTTTGGAGACGACTCCAGAACAGCGGATCCAAGCATTATGCCTCCAAACATACTGAATCTTCATATGGTCGTCTTCTTGTTATGTAGCAAGCCTCTCAGCCCTGATAAGCATCAACAACCTTCGGTCGGCACAGAATACTGCCAGGAAGGGCAAAATTTAATCCATGGACTTGAACGCTTCTTGAGCTGCTTCAATCAACGAGCTCTGCCGCCCCTTTTTCACCTCACAAGGACTATGCTGCATCAAGAGACGACTGATCCAAGTTCAATATCTGAAGTTATGTCGCAGCTGAAAAGGAAAATCCATTCCCAGGGAAGTGCTGTGCATTCGCAGCCGCCTCTCGACAGTAGTCATATTGCGAGGCAAGAGAACAACCAGGATCATACCACGTCCCAAAACCACGATCGCCCTTGGCCAACTGAGAGGATGCACCCGGCACGCTGTTCCGACTTGTCTCTACCTGCCAAAGGTCTTGTTGTCGACAGAGTTCAGACTGAACCGACAGTCCCAGATAGCCTGGACGACGGTATGGAGCAGAGCTTTGCGGGGTTCATGGATATGCCTGGCTCCTGGTCGAACCTTACAACTGATCTACTCTTGGATCCTCAAGCCGGCCCTTCGGGAGATCTTGGCTCACATCTCGCACAATTTGAGCTCCCCACGGCCGGCAGCGATGGAATCTTGTCGCAGAGCGCGTTGTTTGGCGAGGATGCTACACTGAACTATTTCAGTGCCTGGGACGATCTGGAGATGTAAGTCGGGGACAAGCTTCCAATGCACGACGTACATTAACTTCATATGCAGACACGGCCAGGATCAGTTCAAAAGAAATCTCGGTTATGCACCCTAGACGGGACATGACTAACTAAGGCAATCTCGACGCAGCTAGATTCTTGCGGAGCGGAAGGGTAGCCTCATCTTTCCTGGAACTCCATATCGCAAACCAAGACCTCTTCGAAGAGTTTGGGTCGACACTCCGCAATGATCCTGCATGAGTTAGGGCCAAACGTGAATTTGAGGGGTCCGTTCTGGTTCAGTCCAAGGACGTTCCTTGGATGACTAGATCTGGGTTGGACAGCAGAAATGGAGTGAAGGACTCACTTTTCATGTGCAGGATGTTCTGCATACACCAATGCATCTTCGGGATTTTCCAGCACAGCTACCAGCGAGATGTTGAAGCCTTTGGCCTTTTCCGCGGTGGCTGGCAGTGGAGCGCCAACATCAACGTATTTGAGTCCTGATGCAGGGACCCAGTGACCATTTAGCTTGTCGAGTTTTACAGGTTGAAGTGTGGCTGTTCCTACCCGGAACCACCCCTACCAGCCCATGCACTTGTTGCTTCCAATACTCTAGCAGAGGTTCTTCGTAGACTGGCAACAGTTTAAACAGAACTATGCGAGGTCAATAGGATGTCAGGGCGAAACACCTGAGGGGCCAAAAAACATGGAAGAGCCAAGGAGGCAAAGGAAGGCCATTCGAGCAGCCGCTGGAGAGGGCTTACCAATGTGATAGACGCCCATTGTGACGAAAGACGTGTTCAAAGCGACATACGTCTGCCGTCGTTCACTTGAGCGTAGGTGCAGAGTATTTGTAGCTAGGTCAACAAGCGGACTGGTCCGCCTGCCTACATGAGCATTTATCCGGCGTTCCCTTCTTCGGCTAAGTATCTTCCCTCTGCTCCACGGGGACATAGTTGCACCAAAGAGGACTGTGACCGAGAATGACGGTTAAAGGTTTCAGGATATTGCGTTAGTAGATGCCTCATGTTTCGGTCTGTTGGCAGCTATCATGACTATGAGCCCGCTCTCATCGTTCCGGATCCTACCCAAATCAAGATCCACCGCCTTCTGCCTTCTAGTATCATCGGTCAAAGGCATCTGCTATTGTCTACTTGGAGACATAGACTGTGAGGAATCCTATGAAGATCTTCAGACTTTGCATGCAAAGAAGGAGCAACCTATCGACAGCAAACTTTGCTACCCAGCGCCTGATTTGGGATTCTGGCCTTGAACCTCCAGCCTTAGCAGATCCACAACATTGCCTCTTCTTCAAATCACCGCAATTTCTGGTTTCATGCGCAGTAGTACTGTTGGAGAGCTGTAGACGCAATGAAAAGTGGATATCCCAGGGCTCTTGTGCTCGCAATGGCGTTGGCCTACAGCAAAGATTTTGGTCAACACTATTTCACCATGGAGTAGTCACCCTCGATAAAGGACTCACCATGTTCTGTGAAATGGAATCGAAGTCATCCAAACACACGAGAGAGCACTTTCCAATCTTTTCCACTTGTGCGCACACTTTTCCGAACATAACACTGGAGCCAGCTGCGCCCTGCACCACCTCCTTGAGGACACCTAGATCAAGACCCAGCTTCTTTGCAAACAGCAACACCTCGATGGCGACCGCAGCGTGGATTCCTATCAACAAGCTGGATGCGGCAGCCGCGTCAAGATTGGAGGAAGCCCTTGGTTGGCTTCCACCCTGTCTGAGATCCTGGAGGGTGCCCGATGTCAAAAGATATGCATTAATGGTGACACAGTCGTCTTTAGCATCCCAGGCTGCTGATAAGGCTTGAACCAAAAGCTGATGGGTTATCGATGATAGTGGGAGAGGAACACGGTGACATCGCCCATGTTCAGTCACCATGGCCTGTTCGTAGAGCAACTGGTCAGCAAACACACGTGTAGTTCAATCTAGGACCCTCGTGATATTCCCAGGCACCCGTGGAAACAGGTACTCTGGTCTCTAGCGCCATGAAAGGATATAGGCCACATACCATATCTTTTGTGATTATGGATAGTGACGACGCCGGTAGTTCGTTCTCGTCCAGCATGTGAGCAGCCCTCTGGCCGAACAACCAGCTGGCACCGTCTCCGCCCATGACGCTCTCGTATACTGAATGCAGGTCCAGGCCAGCGACATAGCACAAGCCCATCAATTCGACACTCGCGAGGATATGAACGCCGACAAGGATTTGATGAACCAGCTTGAGACTTGAGCCATCACCGATGCGGCTTGAAACAATGTGCAACCTGGAGCTGAGACAGTCCAATACGTCGCGAATAGATGATATATCTGGCTCGTGACCGGCACACAGCAGGGACAAGGTGCCATTCCAAGCGCGTGCCTCCCCTCCAGAGATCGGACAATCGATCAATTTGATATCTGGCCGGCCCACTGTTTTGAGTCGCCGATCGAGAGCCGTCACATAGTCAGGCAGGGCAGTGATACAAAGCAGAATGGTGCTGCCCTGGGGAAGCGTCGTCAGTGCCCCGATTTCGTCGTCAAACAGCACCGTCGAAGTCTGATCAGATGTCGCGACGACGATGATAAGGAGGTCTGCATCTTCTGCAGCCGCTGAGGGAGTGTCTGCGCCCTTGGCTCCCCTTGCGACCAGTTGTTCTACCGCGCTTTGCTGTATATCGAAGCCTGTCACGCTGAACCCGGACCGGGCGAGGTTTGACGCCATGCCCAATCCCATGGCACCCAGGCCTATGATTCCAACTCTCGGCCCATTGTCATGGTGTGTCATGTCTTCACTACTGTGGGAGACTTTCGTGATTCTGAATATTGTATCTCAATAGCTGTCGACGAGTTGACATCTTGTTTTAGGTTCTTTGTATGATCCAAGTCATGCCGTCTCGCCAATTGCTCTCTGTGAATCGTGCTGGATCCGCACGTACGGCATCCACGGCTAAGTCATTTTCCGAATTCCCCATGGCTTCATCAGTGAATGAGTACTGGAAGCGAGCAGTCGCAGGCCGAATCATGCTTGCACCCCCTAGACCCAGCGCTTCAGTGCATCACCTATCACATTCATCTCATTATGTGACGGGGACTAAGAATACCTCTGTCTGAGTGTACTAACGATGTAATGATGGGCATGTTTATTCCCTCTCAACTTAATACCAACAGTTGCTAGTGCTCGGCGCTTTTGTCAGCAGCTAACCTCATATTGAGGACTCTATCCGTGGTGTATGTAGACCGTCTTCTCCTGTGTCCAAGAACGAACCGCATCTGACCCTTTCTGACGTCCAATACCCGAAGCTTTGAAGCCACCAAATGGCAATTCATAAGCCCCGTATGGTGAGGTTTCATTGACACCAACCGATCCAGCTTCCAGAGCTCTGGCCACTCTTAACGCCTTGTTGATGTTAGTGCTGAAGACCGATGCGTAAAGGCCGTCTGGTAAAAACAATTAGTAGTAGTCCAGCGAGTGACAGGAGGGCCCTAACAACTCACATTCCGTATCGTTGGCTCTTTGAATCACCTCTTCCTCGTCACTGAATTCATGCAGGACCAGAACTGGCCCAAAAACTTCAAGCTGATTGATATTACTGCTGTCTTTGAGGCCAGTGAAAATGGTTGGTTGGATGAAATTATCACCAACGTCTGTTGCTCGTTCACCACCTACTAGAACCTGTCCTTCGCTTTTAGCAGTCTCCAAGAATCTTGAAATTGATGACGCCTGTGTCGAGTCGGCCTGGGGACCGAGATCTGTGGTTTTCTGAGCTGGTGGACCCTGTGCCAACCTTTTCACCCCATCAACCAACAGTTGCTTGAACTTCGATGCTACCACCTTCTCGACATAGAGGCGAGTAGAGGCAGTGCACGTTTGGCCAGAGTCTAGTGAATCTGTTAGCCTCGAAGTCGCTAGGTCTGCATCGGTATGCCCACTTACTGAATGTGAACGATCGTAGCGACATCTGCGCTGCGTGATCGAGATCTGCGTCGGCGAAAACTACCAGGGGACTCTTCCCACCAAGCTCGAGGGCCACGTCCTTAAGGTTAGATTGCGCAGCTGCTTGCATGACAGCTCTCCCGGCATTGGTTGACCCAGTAAAGCTGATCTTGCTGTGTGGCGGTCAGTTTTATAGATTGCTGTAAAGTTCCTGTCCAGTGTGGTGGTCATACCGTATTTTCATATGAGATGACAGCAGTGCTCCTGTATCTCCAGCACCAGAGATAACGTTCACAATCCCTGGAGGAAATCCAGCTTCCAAACAAAGCTGAGCCAGGAAAATACCCTTGCTACCGTCAGCCTGCATTGCCGTGGATCTGGTGGACTTGGTAGACTTACACTGAGAGGTGCCTTCTCTGATGTCTGTTCCGGGTCAGCCAGTGCCGGCACATTACAAGTGGTAAGGACTTCACCTTCAGAATCATCGCATTGCCTGCTCCACACGCCGGAGCTATCTCATGGCAAAACTATTCGTCTTTAGAATTGAGTATCTATTATTCGTAATCTCAACTCACCAACATAGCCGGGAAGTTCCAGGGAATAATGGCGGCCACTACTCCATATGGCTGCCGGATCATCATGTTCAGATGGTCGGGGCTATTGACAGAGGTCTGCCCATCTGCGAGTTCAATAAGGCCCGAGAAATAGTTCGTGATATTCCGCCCTTCCTCGACGTCACCCTCGGCCAAGGCGACGGGTTTTCCCATGCTCACAGAGTCGAGCTGTGGGCATACGTGTGTTAATGGGGAAGCCACGGCAGCATGTATGCTTGGACAATCCTACCTCTTGGATCTTTGTGGTATGTTGATGCACGAGATCAGCAAACTTTCGGAGAACTCGTGCTCGCAGATACGCTGGTGTGGCTGCCCAGGAAGGCTGCGCTTTCTGGGCTGCTGCAACAGCTCTGTCGACGTCTTCCTGCTGCGCAACCGAGACATCTGCAATCACTTCGTTGGTCGTTGGGTTCTTGCAAATTAGCAAGGTTCCATTTAGCATTGAAGTGCGCCAACCTTTAGTTCGAATGTGCGCCCAGACGAAGCCGCTTGAAGTTCTCCATTGATGAATAGCCTTCCTTCGTAGGTAGACATTGTGAAGAGCACGATGAGAACTGTTGGTTCCAAGTAATGATGATTGTGGAGGACGAAGTTGCTGAGGCGCGAAGAGCTGCACACTCATCTTCATATGATCATGCCTAGTGGACGGCTGCGACGGTGGCTCTCCAGAACTTTGTCATCAGCAGCCTAATCGACAAATCTCTGGTGCGATATGTCCTTCTTGGTACGGTCAACGCCATCCAAGTGGAGCTTGAGATTCTGGATACGGGTCGTGCCAATTGCCTGATTTGTCTTCGTCCTGCTCCGCTCGGGTGAGTCTTGAGTTGATGCATAATGATACCGTCCTAGGCTGTGGGTCGACCAGGCGGCGCGCTTTCCGTTATTGGAAGTCCTGGTCGATGCTCGATTAGCATTGAGGTCGGATGTTGTCCGGCAAAGACAACACCCGGGAAAGGGCAAAGACTGATGGAGGAGCATTTGTGGAGTAACCACCGTCACCACTTTCTCTCCACACTCTTCGACGCCAGGAACTCGGGTGCATGTGCTCAAACCCTTGACAAAAGAACATAAACTCGACAGCAAAGGCTCTTGAGTTATGACCATCGACAGCACTCGCAACTATGGCTCCGGTCAAGCTTCTTGAGGGCAAGGTCGCCCTGGTGACAGGTGCAGGAAGTGGTAAGAAACTATCCGTCTCCGCGACGTAATACGTCCAGGGGCGCTCGGTTGACTACCGCTGAACATCTTAGGTTTTGGTGAAGGGATCGCGAAACTTTTTGCACAAGAAGGTGCTAGAGTAATCATCGCAGATATCGATGAGGAGAATGGACAACGGTCGGTGCTTTCCAGCATGACCTGCTGCCGTACAAGGATTCCATAACTAAGATGAACTAGTGTTGCTGCTGATATCGGCCGGGACGGAGGGGCTGCTGAATTCACTTCAATGAACGTTACAGTAGAAGCAGACTGGAGGAAAGGGCTCGACTTTGCCAGGACCAAGCTCGGAAGGCTTGACATTCTTGTGAACAATGCTGGATGGACGTATCGAGTCAAGGATACAATTACTGTCTCGGAGGCCGAATATGATCGTAAGCCCCTTTCTGGCATGGATGAGGTATTCAAAGGTATACTGACGCAGCCACTGCATTGTAGGTGTCTTTGATATCAACGTCAAGGGCATTTTCCATTCAGTGAACACCATATTACCGCATTTCCTGGCACAAGGGCATGGCAATATCATCAATATCGGATCCTGCATCACCGAGAAGCCCACTCCAGGTCTTACCTGGTACGGTGCTACTAAAGGGGCTGTCGATATGGTGACACGTCATCTGGCCGCAGAGTATTCGCCAAAGGGAATCAGGATAAACGGCGTTTCGCCTTCGATAAGCGAGACACCACTGATGCGTGAATTCATCGGCAAAGAACCAGATGCTGAGAGCAGAACAAGCCTTGCATCTCCAGTCCCGCTGAGCCGACTGTGCACCCCTCAAGACATCGCTAAGGCAGCTCTTTACTTTGCTACCCCTTACTTCAACGATTTTCAAACGTGAGTCGGTCCTTGAACACATGTGGCGTGACATCTAGCTGACACTGGCAAGTGGTATTATTCTGAGAGTGGACGGCGGCCATTACGTATGCTTAAGCGCGAAGCCTATGGATCTGTGAAACATGCTAACCTCGTTCCCAGTTGTGAACGAAAAAGAACCCCTGGAAGACAATTGTGTACTATGTCCTTGAATCGACGAAGCAGCAGTTGGGCACCGCTTGAACAGGAGGCCCGCCTGCCACACAAATTGTCCTCGCTGCTGTTTGTCGTCGAATGACACCCTAGCGCCATATTACACGATTTACCTGTAAGACCGCAGTACACCGAGGCTTCGTGTAGGTGTTCCAAAACCTTCCTGCATGGCCAGCACCTACTCAACTGGCGAATGCCCGGGTTGATGGAGCCATGGAGAGCTCGGACAGCCTAGGGCAGCGTATCAATATAGAAAGTCCCGTAGCACAGACGATTGCATTAATGCAAGTCAGCTACAAATTATTAGGCTAATCATGTATATTGGAGCCTGCATCGGTCATTCGCGAAGCTCAAGAATCCAGACGTCCCCAAGCCTCTGGTTGGATTCAGCAAGGCCGCCGTGGACTACAATGTTGGGCCTAGATGAGCTTTGAACGAGGTCGGCATCAAACCAGCCTCTGGGAGCAGGTTGCTCAGCTCCAGATACCTCCAACTTTGACCACGTGGATGCGGTAATATCGAAAATCCAGACATCTTCCAACATCTTTCCAGCGCCTTGATGGCCAAGATTGCTAGGATCACTCTCGCCGAACATGGTGATCAGAATCGGCGTTCCAGCTAAAACTGCAGCAAGAAGGCAGCTTACACTTCTAGAAATGGGGCCGGATCGACCATCAGGCACGTAAGAGATCGTTGTCCAACGGTCCTCGGCAATATCGAATACGTCAAGGTTCCCGCCTTGTTCAGTGTTTCCGTCAAAGCCATTCATGCGGTACAGCTTTCCATCAGAGAATGCGATCGACGGTCCACCTCGGGCAGGCGCAGGCGCTTCAGCAAGGTGCTTCCATGTGCAATCATTGATGTTGAACGACCAAAGATCCGACAGCCTCCCTTTCTCGGGACAGCCAGCATGAACGAAGATGGTGTCGTTGCCGTCGTTGGTCATAGCGTAATAGCTTCGGCCTTCAGGGTAGGACGCATCTCCGTCCTTGGGCGAGACTTTAGCCCATTGACTCTGAACGGTATCGAAAGCCCATGAAGACCCGCTCTCATCCACTGGACTCATGGCAACACCTCCACGGCCCGAGAAGACATATATCTTCCCTTTCAGCGCTGTCGAGAGCACCCCAACTCGGGGCGAAGGAGCCATCTCAGAGGGAGAGATCCTTGAGATGATATCGGATCCATCCTGCCCTGCAGAGGTATTACTTTTCGAACCGGTTTTCGACCTCCAGCAGCCAGAGCCAGAGCGGACTTCGGCACTTACCGGCATTCAGCTTGACCACGTGGATATCTCTATCGACAGGTTCACGAGGTCGGAGTTCACCACCGAAGATGTAAGCTCTATCCCCGGCCACCGAAATGGCATGTGACGATCGCTTGATATCCTCTGCGTCTAGGACGCGTTTCCACTGCCCCTGAACCATCACGATGCTCGGTATTCCGCTTGGGTTGATCGGCGTAGCAGGCTGATAGGTTAGGTTGCTTCACTAGGACACTCGGAAAAGTCGATCAAATGAAGGTGTTTCAATCGAGTGACATCCTCGAAGCAATTGAGGACCTTAAGAAGACTCGGCGAAAGCGGATCTGCAACTCTGACGAATCAGCAATGAATGTGGTAACCAATCCTGGAAGATGCCGTGCCTGCAGGATGCTGACAGAACAGGCTCCAGATCAGAGTAAGCGCTTCATGGGGTACGGAACTTGAAGATTCCTATTCACCTCGACTACCAGGAGGAAAAGTTCTGAAGAACCATGTCGTTGTGTACGGAGCATCGTATAGTGAGTTTATAGATCACGTGACTATATCCGCATATAGTTGTAGCGGCGAAAGAGATTAATTAACTAACTAATCTAAGAGGGAAAGACTGGCCGCTATATATAGTCACTCATAACTAAGTGCAAGAAGCGGGGAGTACTAGATTAGGCAAGTATCCCGACGCTAATACCATACGCATGGCCTCTTGCTTAGTCAGCCTTTCAAGTTCTACGACGAGTCCGCAAGCTGTCGGCTTCCCGTGTGTCTAACCTCCCCCATGATTCTCCATCGCCGCTCCTCAATACAGTATCTTCATAGGCGCGAAGTGTTGGCAATTGTACTATGGTATGGTCCAGATGATTGTCACCGTATCGCTTGATATGAGAATGCTGTGCTCAGAGCCGATGGCTTTCGGCGCGAGCCGTCGTCACGGAAGCGAAAAGGCTGGTCAATTTGGTCCGAGCTCAAGAAGCAATCTCAACGGTCGAATCTCTCCTCTTGTATGGGTACTCAGAGAGATCCGCACGACCTCGCAGACACAGGTAGGTCTGAGACGTGACAGACAGCATCAGCGCCGGAGAGAACAGTCGCGATCAGTTGATTTCTGCAACTTTCAATTTTTCCCCTATCCCCCAATCACGCCCGATAACCAGCTCCTAAAAGCTGTGATGGTGTTCTTGCTGTACCAGCCAGCCCCAGATGTGTCTAGATACGAAGTTTTTCTAATGTATAAACTCTTCCGCCATATGAGGCACTGCATTTACTATCACGAATGTCCGATCGGCGGCGATCACGATCATACACGTTGCGTCATCCGACCTTCTCGAACACGTCGCTTTATGTACTAAGAGAGGGCGTGTGCTCCTGAAAGCAGAGGCCAGACCTCGCCAACCTACGGATCTCTGCGCGCAGTGTGGCCCGAGCAGCACAGCATCTCAACGTCCATGAAACCCAACCATACGAGATCGATCTTCATCGGCTCCTCGCGCCCAACCTCTACTTGGCTTGCGTGACATGTGGAGAACCCGAAGCACATATGCATCTGACTGTTCAGTGACACCATGGCGCTTTCCTGTTCGACGATACAAAGCATGGCGCCTGCCTTGACCACGAAAAGGCTGGACGCTGCTTGGCGTCCGTCCAGCCCTGTCATAAAAGGAGATCAAGATCATAAAAGGGGGTCAAGAGAAGTATATTAATTCCAAGCGGTTGTGCCTCTCTATCTTTATGTTTGCAGCGAGTATATTTGACAGTCCTTCATTTGGCGAAAGGCCCGCTGAGAAAATCAATGGAAAGAACCCAAGGGATGGGGCAGTGGTCCCTGGCACTCACACTGGGAGCACTGAGCCTACTATGTTCTCGGGTCGCAGCACAAGGATGTTCAGCACTCTATGACCAGTGTGGAGGTATAGGCTGGACCGGTGCTACCTGCTGTGAATACGGCTCAAGTTGTCAAATCGAAAACGATTACTACTACCAGTGCCTGCCCTACGTTGGTAACTCATCTTGCAGCCCTCCATACGGGCAATGCGGCGGCGGAATGGGCTGGACAGGTCCATTCTGCTGTCAGTCAGACTGGAGCTGCCAATATGTCGACGCCAACTACTCCCAATGTCTCCCACCAACCAGCAGTGCGGCACCAACATCAAGCAGCGCACCGAACACGGCGATCACTTCAGCTTCCCAAACTTCTGCCGCACCGAGTGCGTGTGCCACCAACTGGGGTCAATGTGGTGGTGATGGCTGGTCTGGCGCCACATGTTGCGACAACGACTGGCCTTGTGTCTATGGAAACGATTACTACTGGCAGTGTATCTCGCCTTCAAGTGGTAAGTGCTTTTGACTTTAAAGGATTTACAAGCCGTGGGATCTAACGTCATGTAGCAAGTGCACTTTCGGCGACTCAATCCCCAACCACATCAGCGCAATCCGCTTGTGCTACGAATTGGGGGCAGTGTGGCGGAATTGGCTGGACTGGTCCTACATGCTGCAAAGAGAATTGGCCGTGTGTCTATGGGAATGACTACTACTGGCAGTGCATATCACCCTCAAGTGGTAAGTCCAAGGATTTGGGTATCCGCATTGTAGGGAAAGAGTTGCTGATTGTTGGCCAGCAAGCGCGCTGTCTGCGACCAAGACTTCCAGCTTGACCACATTTACGACATCCGCGTCTTCTTTAGTTACATCTAACTCAACAGCCACGACAACAAGCACAGCTTCCGGTGCTTCGCCCACTGGCTCTCGTGTCCGCTACGGCGGTGTCAACATTGCGGGCTTCGAGTTCGGCACTTATGACACATGCGGTGTCAACACCGGTCCGGCGTACGCAGACCCCAGCTACTTTGTAGCACAAATCAACCATTTTGTGGAGGACGACGGTCTGAATGCCTTCAGACTTCCCGTATCGTGGCAGTACCTCGTCAACCAATTTGATGGTGGCTCCCTGGGAGCAAACCAGCTTGACTCAAGCAATTTTGCAACCTATGACCAACTTGTACAGGGCTGCCTCAACTCCGGGGCGTCGCTCTGCATCATTGACCTGCACAACTATGCTCGGTTCAATGGCTATATCGTTGGCCAAGATGGACCATCTGCCGCCCAGTTCGCCAGTCTGTGGAGCCAGATCGCTACAAAGTATGCTTCTGAGAGCCGTGTTGCTTTCGGGTTGATGAACGAACCGCATGACGAAACCTGTAAATCAATCCAAAGTGGTGGTGTCATGGACATCATCACTTGGGCATCGACACTGCAGTCTGCCGTGAACGCTATTCGTGCGGCAGGCGCTACATCCCAGATGATTATTCTTCCTGGCAAGGGCTGGACACATTCTTTGACTTACCTGCCTTCCAACAGCGATGGCTCTGGACCGGCGTTGATGGGCATCACGGATCCTGCTGGCGGGACGTCACTGCTGATCTTTGAAGTCCATGAATATCTCGACGCGAACAATGCGGGAGGGAATAGTGATTGCGTCACGAACAACGTCGACTCGTCCTACTACCGTGGTGGTCTTCAGAATCTTGCGGCCTACCTTCGATCGAACGGTCGTTACGCGATGCTCACGGAGTCAGGTGGACTGAACAACGCAAATTGCGCGACATATCTTTGCCAGGAGTTGAGTTTCCTTGCGAACAACACGGACGTCTTTCTTGGGTACACGACATGGGCCGCCGGCGGTTTCGATGCAAACTATGAGTTGACGGAGACGCCAACCCTAAGCGGAAACACATGGACGGATACGTCGATTGTGCAGGCGTGTGTTGCCAAGTGCTTCAGAGACTCTTGTTGAGGGTATGATAATGATTCCTGATTCTAGCGGGAAGCCCTTGTAGGCCGCAAGGACTTTCGGGGCTGTTCTCTTATAGAATGACACCATTTTTAATGCTCACAAAGTCCCATTCATCCCCAGCAAGCCAACAATGCCTCCAATACCCGCCAGAGCGGCCCGTACCATGTTCATCCATCTCCACTGTTTCAACAGTTCCACGACCTCGCCTGGCTGCATCTTTTCCCGTAGAAGTGGTTCATTTGCAAGAGCAATCAGCCTCTGGATCCCACCCATCATGACGGCTCTAGTCCAAGCCAAAGTCCCGATTGTCGCAAGTGCCGCAATCACATAGCGGACTCTCCTCTTGCGGTCTAGGTAAGCCGAAGTCCCAGAGCACAGTACGGAAGTGATAACAAGGGGAACAATCAGCTTTGCTCCACTGTAGTACAGATCTTGGAAGATTGAAGCGCTAGTGTCTTCTGCAAGGTCGTAGAGCAGGGGAATGGTGAGGTGAGATTGTGAGTAGTAGATCCCAGAGAGCCAGATGGAGGAGGTCAACCCCAAGAATGATGTGGTGCGAAGAACGGTGTTGCTGTCCATTTCGTAACAGGCGTCTTGATAACGCAGGATCACAAAGTGGCTTGTCGGATTGAGCCGTACGACTGATGTTCGTAGGAAAAAAAGAAGGACTAGTAGTTTGTGGAAGCGTAGTATTTGGCAGACTTGATGAATGTTGTTGATGCGCTTGTTCAGAAGCATAAACGCGTGGCAGCTCTACCGTTTATATAATATGTCCCCAATAAGAGCAAAACTACGTCAACTTTAGCTTGGTTGCTCTGACTGCGCTCTCTTTCCGTGTTTCTCATATGTCGAGTGGCCTGGATACGGACGTACTAGTTCTCTGCGGAACAAACTTCGACCGCTTGGATCCCCACTTACCATCTTACCTGCGCAGTCCAGAGAGCATATACGTCCGAAAGACGTCGTCAGCGCATTGCCTTTTGCGCCTTTACATTCAAGGCTGAAAGCTTCTGCATGCTGCACACTCTTCTGGAATTTCAAAGCATTGACGTGTTGTTTGTCCGATATCAAAACGAACTGAGCTTTCAATCCCGAAGGTCCAGCACAGCAGATACAGAATCGGGTCGAGAAGAGATTTTCTACCATTCGAGATCGAGCCGCTGAGACTCTACGTTCGGAATGACAGCATCATAACGGGCGGTAAGATGCTGCCATGAAGGAATGGAATATGAATTGGTTTTGTAACACTCTGCCACTTGTTCTTTTGCTCTGACGAGGGACGATTCGGCGTGCTCTCGAGTACGTCCGGTTGTTGTTCTTCATGTGAAGACATTACCTGGGCGACGCGTCGTTGGATGGCGTGGCGTGTCCGTTGACAGCATTGTTGATTGTAACTCACAAAATGTTGGCAAAGGTGAAAAATCTCAACGGTGGAAGTTGAGAATTTTTCAAGCCGAAATAATCGTTTTATCTTGGATTCGGTTCTTGGGCAGTCCACGGCAGTCCCAAGCCACACTCGGGCACTGCCGCTTAACCCCCAGGCACCCGCCCAGCCAAAATTTTAGGCGACCTTGGCGCAATGAAACTTAACGCGTCCACCGCGTCCCTGCCCATGGTGGCCCCCATTATTCGAAAGCGGACGGGTGCGCGCCATGTCATGCTACGTGACATCGATGCCACACTTCGTACGGCGTCAATCTATTCCTCCAAATCGACACAGCATTTGCGTTACCTTTCTCATGGCTGTTCTGATGTTGAAGTGCTGTAATAATGACGAGCCCTAGCCCGCCAAAAAAGCGACGCATATCTGATTTCTTCAGACCCTACATCAACCGCACAATTCCAGCGAAGCGATCATCACCCTCGACTGTAGCGGCCAAGCAGACGCGCAGCCCTAGCCCCGACCTTGAAATCACTCGAGTGGTGTCTTCTCCCAGGACTGACAGGAGAGCGAACAGTCCTGATATAGAAATCACCCGAGTAGTGACGACACCTAAAAGCAGAAGACCACGAGCAGACGAGAAGCTACTAACGCCGAAAGCTCCTACGTTCTCACCCTTGACCGCACCAGGCTCGGGTGTTCAGTCAATTCCTTTCCGCAGTCCTCGACCCAAAGACCCTATAGAGTCCCCTTTGACTTCCAAACAGCCCTCCCTTCTTAGCGCAGACAGAAGGAGAAGCTCGCCATCACCCACGCCCATCAAACGCACTACGTTTGTCAACGCACCCACCTCGACGCAAGCAGTCTTCCGCAATGGCGAAGTAATCGCGATACGCGACTCGGACGACGATGACACGGCATCACTCGATTCGTTGGAGTCGCTAAGTGGTCTATTTGGAAGAAAGAAGAACGGCAATGTTACATCACGCTCTTCTTCCCCGGAAGTAGACGAGGAGAAGCTTGAGGCTGAGCGAATCAAGACGCTAAGCGCCTTCACGAGAGGGAGGTCCGATCCCTTGGTCGGCAAGGACAAATTGCGTGCCCTGCATGCCCGACAAAAGGCGACCAATTTCGACATTTCAGGTATTATAGGCGACCATTTCGACGACCAGGGGATTGAAGAGAAGGTCCGGCAGTCACGGACCGACTACGAAGCATCAGAAGGCCCGTCAGAACGAGATGATATCCTGGGTCTGGATAGAAAATTGCTTGCGACTGTCGCTACGAATGATGAAGATGGGCATGACGGAGTATCTAGGCTCATGGACGCAGTGGAACGTACCGAAGCTCTTTCTGCAGATCGAGTGTTCTTGTTCTTCGGCGCTGACGGGGTGAATGACTGGAAAGACGAGGTTCCTGTGCGGTATGAGTTCCCGGATGATGCGATCCCCGAAGACCTCTGGCGTGTAGGAGACGATGACTCGAGATCACGGGCTTTTAAGTCCGGGTATATCGCCGACCTCGCTGCTCAAGGACGACTATCAGACAAGGCGCTGACCTGGACGTTCGATAGCGTCGTGCTTGAACGGCAGGACGACCTAGCGAACGCGTATATTGAATGCATACGCAACTCGAGCGCTTCATGGACCAGGAATAACGTCACGGCTCAGGATGTCCAGACTGTCTTCCAGACACTGGGGGCTGATGTGTCCAATTTTCAGGACGCGGTGACGATCCATCCAAAGTACCGTGTGGCAAGCGAGCCTGTCAGGCGTGATCCGAAATATCTACTCGCGGCATTGGATCTGTTCCTGTCAATATGTCAGGACATGGATTTTTTGGCACTCAGCAAACTGACTTCGCTGGTATGTCGGTTAGCTATTGATGCCGAGCTCATGAGCGACGGTCGAGTATCTGTCAAGGTCGAGGAGATTCTCGAATCTCTGCTCAACTTGTCCGATCCTGATATGCGCTCTCACATCTTCGAGAGGATGATCGCTGATGTCGGACACCATCTGAAAGACGCCACCCTGCAAGCTCACTTGCTAGGTCACATCTTACCGGTCTCGCCCGCTGCGATTAGGGCCCGCCTGATCCTGGCGCAGACGTTCTTTCTAGGTGCTGAGAGCCGGAAGGATGGGAGTTGCCTGCCTGAGACCGGATATCTCGAGATTCTGACACAGCATGTTTCGAAGTCACTTTTCTTCAGTCCCAAACGGCACCGAGATCCCAAGAACATGGACTATACAGCCCTTCGTGCTCTGACCCATGTCCTTGACGTTGCAGTCGCTTACGCCGGTCGTCCTGCGAATTTCGAATCCCGCACAGACGAGGTCGCGTTCAACAAGTCTGTCGACAGGATGGCTGAAGCCGTCCGGACCACGCTGGTCTCGATCATTGATACGGGCGCGTCACATCTTAGCCGCACCGAGGCAAAAGCCGCTTTGCAGTCGCTCTATTGGCGTTTATTGTACAGTGTGCGGACAGAACCGCGGCCGAAGAAGAATATTTTCGACCCCAGGACGGGCCAGCTACGAGATACAATGGACTTTCGCAGCGAGGAAAGGAGCAAGAATCTTTTGCAGCGGTTTTTGAAAAAGGAAGAGATTCAAATGGAAGGCGGTACAGACGAAGGCCCAACTGATCCTGATAAGAACATGAACTGGTTAGGGTCTTCGGAACCCTCAGAGTCCGAGAGGCTGATTCGCAAGCAATTAGGCCTGAGCGAGTAATAGATGCATGCTGTATTACTGTGAATGTGGTTTGGGGAGGTTCTGAAACAATGTATTCCAAGCATGGCGTTGGTGGACAAGGTGTTATTTTGCTCCAAAGGATGCCATTACTTTGCAATATCATGGATGACTGTCAACGTTTATGTTGGCATAACAGTATGACCACACACCTGCCCTCCTGGTACAGACGAAAGGACTGGCTTCTTCTAATGAGCTCTACTCGACGCCAGACTCAATCGCAGCGTTCCCGTCGCCACAATGCTAGAGTAACAAAAGCGACTCCTGTCTCCTGTTTCAAATCTCACGTCGACTCAGTACGATACCTGTTCAATCGTGGAATCTCCTGTTTTGGTTCTCGCCGAACAGCGTGGCTCTGATGCTGGGCAGGGCATCACTCTCGCACATCCGCAACCTCTCATCAAACGTGTTGTTCAGCTCGATCTTGCCGCCGCCACCAACGACGAATACTCCGCCCGTGCTGCATGCTACGTTAGTATCACCTGTTTCCCCAAGGCATTTTGTTCTCAAAAGACTTACGATTCGTCTGGCAGCCAATTCTTCTCATCTATCACCGGCTCACACTCACTGCCCACCTTCTCCTTGTACTCAGCAGCAGCCTTTTTGGCCGCACTTTCGACCTTGTCTTTGTCGGCCTTTCTGCACCGGACTTGTACCTTCTTCTCACAAAGCATGTACAATCCCTCCAGAATCAAACCCTTCAGAATCTCCTCGTAGTTCTTGCTCTTTGCTCCAGATACGGCTATTTGGTTTCTTGCCTGCTCGAACAGGTCGTCCAGCAACGATTGCCGCGCACTGAGCACCTTTAATCGTGTCTTGTTGGCCATGGTTGAGCGTGTGATTTGCTGTGACATTGAAGCCTGCTTGAATTTCTTCTCGTATTCTCTGTCGATAGCGGCTTTCTCTTCTCGGGCCAGTCTGGACTTCTCAATGGTGAATTCTTCGTCTGCTTTGAGCTGGATCTCGCGAGCTTTCTCGAGGGCTTCTTGTCGAATGAAGGCGGTCATCTTCTTCAGCTCGGAAGCGACCTGTAACCAGTTGTTAGCATGGATTGTACCATTCATCGTACAGATATGAGAGGCGTACCTGGTCGTCCGAGAGCGGATGAGACGACATGATGGCAGATTGTAGAGCGGTAACAGCTCAACTGAGTAGGAGGAGAGGAGAGGAGGGGAGAAGTGTTGCTCTTGATAGCGAGCTTCGAGGTCGCGGATGATGGTCTGCACAGGAAGGTTTCTGCACCTTAGGGAGTCCCTCAAGCTTCAAGTGCCGGTCGCGGAAAGAGTGCCTGGTTGGATGTATTGTATGTATCCTCAATCGTACTGCCAGCAGGAGTTAAGATGGTGGTATGTGACGACGCAAGGAAACAGCAGCCAAGCTCAAGGCCGAAGCTAGCGAAGGGCTGCACCAGGCATGGGTAAATCATTGATCCAGATGAAGTCACACCAACCAGAACCGCAGTTTGTCGACCGCCACACGTCCAAAGTCTCAACCCTTCTACTCCATAAACATCCTTTACTTCCTTTAATTCTCTCCCTGTCGATGCTTTCAAGATACCAACACCACGAGCGTCACACCGTACTACGAACCTTGATGTCTGAACAATCAAGATGAATGGCTCGGCTGAGCTGACTTCACGAATGGATCGTTGTACAACCACAACCATCATCCACGACTATGGGCCAACTCGGTGACCTTTCGCCCCAGGGCACTATTGCTGCAAGTCTTTGAGGTCCTGGCGCGAGTATACCAGCTAATGAGATAGATTGGCATCCTTGTCGGCCTCTTGTCTACCTCGATCCAAAGCCTGGGTCTCACCCTCCAGCGAAAGTCCCACATCATCGAAGATGCCAAACATGCCTCAGAAACAAGAAGACCTCCTTATAAGAGACGCAAATGGCAGCTGGGGATGTTTATGTTTGTTGTTTCCAACTTGATCGGCAGCACTATTCAAATCACTACGTTACCTCTGCCGGTTCTCTCCACCCTGCAGGCTTCAGGGCTGGTCTTCAATACGGCATTCGCGACTGTCTTACTGGGTGAACCCTTCACTCGATTCTCCCTCCTGGGCACACTCTTGACTTGTTCCGGCGCAGCGCTCATAGCGACCTTTGGAGCCATTGCGGAGCCAGCGCACAATTTGCGACAATTGCTGGACCTTCTCAATCGCCGGGATTTCATAATATGGATGGTCGGGACGATGATCGTGGCAGTTGCCACTATACTGTTTGCTCATGTCCTCAGGATGTGGTCATCTCACGAACACATCACCCAGAGCCTGCCCAAGCCCGAAAGGCCGCGATCAGCATCCACAACTTCTCGCCCGCAATTGTCGCTCACACGCTCGTTTACGGCTCAACTGCCTCAGCCTGTGAAGGTCAGAGTCCACCGATTACGCCTCATTCGAGGTCTCTCCTACGCTCTTATATCTGGCATTCTGTCTGCGCATTCTCTCCTTGTCGCAAAGTCGGCTGTCGAGCTACTGGTTCGAACGATTGTCGACCACAAGAATCAGTTTAACCGGTTTCAGTCCTGGCTTATCCTCATTGCTCTACTGTTCTTCGCCTTGACGCAACTATATTACTTACACCTTGGCCTAAGATTGTGCAGCACCAGCGTATTATACCCTTTCGTCTTTTGTGTTTACAACATCATTGCGATCCTAGATGGTCTCATTTATTTCCAGCAAGCGTCAAGACTGAGTACTCTGCATGCTTGTTTTGTGGCGTTGGGTACGATTATACTGCTTTTGGGTGTCCTAGCTCTGTCATGGAGGCTGGATAATGTGACACCTGCAGAATCTGCGCAGCAAGCCATTCCACCTCGGACTCCGCTGACACCAGGACTTGGTCTGGTGCAGTCAGCCTCGGAAGATCAGAATCCATTATTTCCTGACGGACGGAAACGAAGTTCTACATCGCTTTCAAGAGAGTCCGTGGATGAGCAAACGCCACTACTGGTTGGACGCACTCGCCCAGCGACTGTCTCGGCTCGCCCTCATCCTGCAACCGACACAGAAGGCATCTGGGCGCAACTAGACGACGAAGAGCGTCAAGATGATTATCTCGCTTCTCTGCCTCGGACGCCTGGACCTTTTCTAAGTGTCAACAACTTCAAAACTCGGCGGAGAAGCGGTTCGGGCTCATCTCAAGGCATTTCGACTGGAAGTCGACCGGCCTCTTCTGGCTTACAGGACGAAAGCAAGAAAGACGCGACCGAAGCTTCCGACTTCCAGGGGAAAGGTGATGACACTACACATCGGAGAAGTAGCAGTGCGCCCCAAGTCCCCGTGCAAGCACCTTTGCAGCAACATCGGCCTATCGGCAGACATCGAAGTACATCTGTACGCTTCGCTGATGACGAAGAGGGCAAGCCAGACTCGAAGCGAGCAAGTCGAAGCCGATTTGACCGGGGCGGTGGAGATCAAAGCGATGCTTGATACAGACACGATTCTGAAGGATCTTAAATTGCTTCCCGTCCGCAGGAAGGTACATATCAGAGGATAGGCTCCTTTTACAGTCGTCCCCTATATACGACCACATAGCATGACTGAGAAATACAGAGACCAAGGGCAGAAGTTTCTCATGATGGGCAAATTGGACAATACGCCCTGGATGCCCACCCCATTGTTGGATACGACTCTACAGACACTGTCCTTGTCTTCCCGCCACCTGTGCAAGCAAAATTTCTCCCTACCTCTGAATTTTCCATCAGTGCAGGACTTGCCTCGTGAGCTTTCCAAAACCGGCCGACCTGGGAGATAATATCGAGACGTCCAAGATTTTTCTTCGATCAGTACTCCTGGTTCTGTGGCATGAGCAAGTGAATCTCCTTGCCACCTCGTATGTGCCCAAGTATGCAAGGACCCATCACTGCAATACGCTCTTCCAGTTGGACATTGTTGTGTGCTGTCGACGCCTTTAAGGCCACAGGAGTCATCCTGAATACGACTTTGCGGCAATCGTCGACGGCCCACTCCCTCCTCCGCGCGTCTCACGCACAAAGCCTGAGACTCATTCCTGTCCTGATATAGAGTCCGACTACTAACACTGCTGTGGTGTTTCTCCGATGATCGACAGTCAATCTCTTGCGGACGGTCATGTTATGTTATCACGTAGGGATGTTGCACAATGATGAAGTCTGGTCAACACCAGGTCACCTTGGCTTCCTCGTGGGCAGAGGACTATCCGTCATTCCCGTATGGTCCGTCGCCGACCCCGTCTCACTTCCACTGATATCATCCTCGGTCGACTCATCCCAGATGTCCCTCGATTCGCGCTCAACTCGTCTCATGGCGCCCGCCACCTCGTCGAGCTTACTGACCACATCTAGCACGCCGCGATTGACCTGCTGAAAGTACCGATCATTCGCCTCTCTCCTCTTCCTCGCAAGCTGGATATCCCGCTCCGTCTCCTCTTCGAGATTCTTGTTGTTCGTAAACGCGGCATTGGCATTCGCATTCCCTCGTCTCGTCTTGTTGGGACTTGCACCCTTGGCCTCGATCTTGCCAATCGTCGCATTCGCGCTGTCCACCAAGTCGTCGTGATCGTGCTCATGAAGTTCATCGGCTTCGCTCTTCGCCCATGTCTGCGCCAGGGACAACTGTGCCATGCGCAGGTCTTCGAGAGCCTTTGCGTGGCTGGCCCCAAAGACATGCGACGTGTTCAATGCCGAGACTTCGACGTCCGCGAGCGTCTTCTGCATCTCGGCCCAAAGGTTCTCGGCGCGGTTACCGTCGGCCTCGGCGGCGGGTTGACGCAGCGAGGGGCCTGAGAAGGATGCTGCAGCCGGAACACGAGAGGGTCGAGGTATGCGGTGTGAGTGTTCTGGTTCACCACCGGAGCGGTCGCCGCCCGGTAGAGCGAGCGAGACGTGCGAGGCATTTTTCGAGGGCGGGCCTTGGAACAGCGCTGGTGGCGGGAGGCGGTGGGTGTTGGTGCGGGAGATGTTGGACTTTGGCCGTTCAAGTGGTGAGGGCGGAACGTCGAGAAGAGGTGCCTTTCGGGTAGATGCCATGGTTGTTATGGCGGAGAGCAAATGCTCCCGCCTGATATTAGCTCTACGCGGACAATGTCATTAGGGGACGTGTCTGCGAGGTAAGCACTCCCGCAAGACCAGGACAATCGAAGAGTATGAACTTGCAGATGTTGTTGTATTTGCTCCGCCGCAACGAATTCTGCCAATCGAGCGCCCCCACCCAGGAGTCCACCGCTTCCAGGTGCACCGCAGGCTTGGCTGCCAAGCCCACTGAACTTTCGATATTCTCTCAGAGACATCAAATTCGCGCCGCCATCGACAACGACCTCCAGAGCCGCCCATTTCTCGATCCCAGTCAACATCTGCTTGTCACAGTAGTCAGTACGTACGCCTGATTCCGTCTCACTGCACCGGCACCCGTCCTATCACCATTTACATCACTTCCCCACGGGCGAATTCACTTCCCAATCCTCATACGACTCGATTCCTCAAAATTCTATCCAGCTAACAGACCCCTACAGAAATGACGAACAGAGGCAAGCCCCGTGGTCTCAACGCCGCCCGCAAACTCGTTGCCGCCCGCAAGGAAGGTCGCTGGGCCGATCTGCACTACAAGAAGCGTCTCCTCGGAACCGCCTACAAGTCCTCGCCCTTCGGTGGCTCCTCACACGCCAAAGGCATTGTGCTCGAAAAAGTCGGTGTCGAAGCCAAACAGCCCAACTCGGCCATCCGAAAATGTGTCAGAGTCCAACTCATCAAGAACGGAAAGAAGGTCACGGCTTTCGGTATGTCAAAACCCCCTCAGCAAAGGAGATGCATTGCAACGAGTGATACTAACAGTGAATTCTACAGTGCCTAACGACGGTTGCTTGAACTTCGTGGACGAGAACGATGAGGTCCTGCTCGCCGGTTTCGGTCGAAAGGGCAAAGCCAAGGGTGATATTCCCGGTGTGCGGTTCAAGGTTGTCAAAGTGTCTGGTGTCGGTTTGAGCGCTTTGTGGAAGGAGAAGAAGGAAAAGCCCAGATCATAGGTCAACAAAAAGAGGAAACAAGTCTCATGGCAATGAAAAGATGCCTGGCAGCCCACGACTTGAAATTAAGGCTCGTACGGTATGCTACCGGCAACCCTGTGCTTCTCGATCTTGCAGATGGAAAAATCAGGATTGGGCGCTGAATGGGACATCGTGAGAAAAGGGCATGGTCGAAAACGCCATGTTGCTCACAATTCGAACGGTCGACGGAAGGTCTACCTATTCAATAGAGGCAGGCTTTCATAGACGTCAAAATGCCAACATATTGACAGATCAATCACCAGCTCTTGTCACTTGTCTCTTGCTGCAACCTTCGCATACCGAGAACGATTCATTCCTGAACACGATCAAAAGTCGGATCCCTGCGATTTTATACAACGATCGTAGGTTGAAGAAACGTCTATTATCGGCCAATGCGATGCATACTTTTCGCCTCGCTCCCTAGGCACACATATCAAGCTGTAAGTTTTGATTGCCAAACTGCGACGACGCTATCGTCAGTATTCTTACCCGCCTCAACCCTTTTCTCCTCGAACAGAATTAATACAACTCTACACCCTTATGCAGTCTGAAGCGAATCGTCGAATCGATGCGACGTCATTCTCCTCCTCGAGAAAGAAAACACAAGACCTATGATTGCCGGGGATCAATGCATAACGTCCATAGCGTCCCTCTCATGCTCTTCCTCATCCTCATCCTCTCCCTGTTCCAGGTCAAGCTCACTCGCATTCTTCCCTTTTCTCCCTCTTCCAAGGAAGGGCGGCGTCTTCAGCCCAGTTGTCGCATCGCCATTGTTACTCACGCTCGCACTAAGGGGACTTCTAGCCTCGTCGTCTTCACTCCCATCCGGGCTCGGCGGCTGACTGTCCCTGAGCGCACGCCGACCTCGCATCATCTAGAAAGCATACATATGTCAGCACTGAGATAGACACTCACTCCCACGCTGGCTAACCCTAGGTGTATGGGGTTTGGAGGGTATACGTACCCAAGACTTAACGCCCCCAATCAGTCCCAGACTATAACCTGCGGCAAAGTCATCGCTCCGACTGAATCTACCAGGCGAATCACTTCGGCGTTCCGCACTGCCCGGCACTTCCAGATGTCTGAGGTGCTCCACGGCGCTCGCCGTCGTAGGACTCTTAATCGTCTCGCTGCTGAGCTGCCTGTTGAACGGCGACGGGCTTGCGGGCCTTGAACTCGCATTCTGCCACAACTGCCTGAGATCCCTGCCAATCTCTCCACCTGCTGTGGTCCAGTTGGTCTTGATATTTTCCCTCAGCTCCTGCACGTGCCGTTTGAGCTCGAGCTCGTTCTTCTTCAGCCAGCTGATATTCAATTCCTGCCGAGATGTGCCCCTCTTGAGCTGGCGAGCAATGTATTTCTCATAATCACGCACGATTTTCGTGATGATCCCTGTCGTAGACACACCTTCTGTCCGCTGGGTAACGAGGAACTTCCCTTCTTCCTTGATCGGGGCGTAGATGTCATCGCCTTCGGCTGCACCGTATGGTTCGTCGTCGTGGGCAACGTAGTCGATCTCATGCTTTGCCAGGAACTCAGGCGTCACGATCCAGGGACAGTTGGGTATGACCTCGTCGACCCAGCGACAGTGGCGGACGGTCTCGGCTCGTTCGGCACCAGTGAGAACGGTAAGGCCTTTGCGTTTATGTGTCTCCGTATCCCCAGTCACGCCGACGATGAGGTACGTGTTCGGGAACGCTGTCTTGGCTTGTTCAAGTTGCCGCATGTGTCTGTTGAGTATCAGCATCTCTTGTTTGCGCTGAACGGGTTACGACATCCACATACCCGAGGTGAAACAAATCAAAGACACCATCAGCATACACTCTCACAGGTCTGCCAACAGGCGGTGGGTTCGTTTTGTATCCTCCAACGGGATCCCTCAGACCTGCCTTGGGGACTTGGGCCATCGTCTCTTGTTCGCCGTTGACAAAAGCCTTGGTGACCGAGCTTGGGACTTGTTGCGTTGAATTTCCCTTCTCTTCGGTCTCATGTCCGCTCTCATCAGCAGCGCTCGAGAGCTCTCCTGCATCTTCTTGGTCGGCTCCATTCGGCTCGCCTGATTTCGCGTTCGACCGGGTGCGTGCTCGCTTACTAGGAGGCACGTTGCCGTCGATCGAGCTGCTGGAGGCATGCTTGCGAGTTCGTGTATTATGTGAGGGGCTATCAGCTAGCTCTTCGCCTGAAGCGTCGCGGGATGGTGGTTGCTGCAAGTCGGCGGCAGTGGACTTGAGTCGGTCGGATGCCGTGGTACGCTTCCGCTTGGTGGAGCTTGTGGAGGAGGGAGACGACATTGTAGGGGAGATGTTCTTTTGTGAAGAGGCGTACGAGGAATATAGAGAGGTCGCTCAGACTGGAGATGATATGGATAGTAATACGAGTCGAGGTAAGAATCGCCAAGAATAAAAAACAATTTCCAAAAGGTTCAGGGGAGCGAGGATCGAGGATGACCTCCAACCGTGGGTTATCTGGCGTGTCTGGTTAGCCGAAGTGACGCGCCGGTGGAAACCCAGATATCGTGACAGCAGGGCACGGGTGTAGATGCTCGGACAAATCTGTGATGGGAATCATGGATTCGCGGTCCTGGTCTGCGTACGAATTCCAAGGATGCCGTCACTTGCATGTGCATTGGCCCTGTTTCTACGAGATACTGAACTCCATTCATCATCTTGTTGGCGGAGCTGCATTTCGACGTCATGCCGTTTGGGAAACCGGCCGCTCAGCAATCGAGGGAAACTCCCACCCCGTCTCAGCCTTGTTGCACCAGGCACACCTGCGCTGGCTTGGCTTGGGCTACGAGCGAACAAAAACACAGAAGGCCGGGGATAAAAGAAGACGAGTCTGGGAACTAGGACAATCGACACGTCTTACCAGCCCACCCCAACATGCACAGGTTAAAAGCACCGGTCTGTCCTCCGCTCTTCTTGCTGTATCTCACTAGTATGGAAACATGGCCACATGAAACAAGTCCCCAACAGCCAACCCTTCCATGCGGTTCTAAACAGTCGTTGCTTGCATTGCAAAGATATCCTTCTTCAAAGCACCGCGGGTAACGGGTATCTCATTTAGTCGAGGGAGGGGTACCCTTGTCCAACTACTTGTTCGTCGGCTCATCGACAACGCCTTTGATTTCCGTCTGTGGTCCATGAGAAGCATCTTGATGGCTCGATTGCTGGGTTTCGTCGCTGGCCGATTGTGGTGCTGGTGTGCCTTCTCGTTCGCTTCGAGCTGAATCCTCTTCAGAAGTATCAGAAGTTGATTTCTTTACTTGATTCGCCGTGTCTTTGTCTTCTTCGCTTTGGTCAAACATTTCCGTATCGTCTGAATCTGTCAAGACCTCAGTCCCGTCTCCAAGCAGAATAATCCTGCCGCTGCGGCCCCCGAATTGCCTCGATCGATGGTCCAAATCAAGCTCATACTCGTCCGGGCTGTCGTGATCGAACTGATGCCGGACACCAGGACCACGGAATTCAGCTGTGACTTGTTAGATCAGTCTCAGGTCCCAAGGCTAAAGCTTCGACTTGCCGTACTCTGGTGGCGCACATGGACCATCACCATCTGCCACACGTTTGGCGATCATCTCGTACCACTCTTCCTTCGTTTTGCCGTTCAGAAGACCGATGACGATCATGGTCATGTTGTCGCAACCAACCCCTCCGGTCTCGCTATTGGAGGCCAGGCAATTATCCATCATGTTCTCACAAATTTGGTGCAGCTCTTGTTTTGCGGCTATTCCTCTTCGCACAAATTCAACAACAGCTTGTGAAGATTGGCAATCCCAGATACCTGCTAAACGTCAGTCCGAATTCGGGCCATAAAGTACGATCCTGGTCTCACCGTCGCAAGCAATGATCAGAAACTCATCGTCACTCGAGATCTCGTGAGTGATGACATCTGGGAAGGCCGTGACGATCTGTTGCTCTGGTGAAAGGTCGGCGCTTTTCTTGAATTCGAAGTCGCCAATGGCACGTGACAGGGCAAGGTTTCCATTGACTCGACCAAAGTCGACGAATCCGCCAGCGGCGCTTATACGAGCTTTCTCGCCTATACTAGTGTTAGCCCTGGCTGTGGAAGGAAAAGAAGGATTGTCAATATACCTTCGTTCTGTGGTTTGTGATCGAACGACAGCGGCTTCGCTCTTCCTTTGACACCGAGGACCGTACGGGAGTCTCCAGCATTGGCCTAACACTGTGAGTTGAGGTGCGGGAAGGAGTGCGAAGACAGTCTTACCACCCAGATCTTGTCCCGGGAAATGACGCCAACGGACGCGGTGCATCCGGAGACCTCGTCTTCATACCTTGAGTCTACTGCGGCTTAGCCATGAAACCATCAAATCCGTACATATAGTGTCATACCGTTCAGTATTGCACGATCTGTGGCAAGGAAACCATCTTTCAGAGCCTGTTCCATGTCTCCTTTCGAGAAAGCCTCCTGTTTTGCCACGATTTTATGTATATTCTCGCCTGCGAACTGCGCGACTTTCTCACCCCCGTGGCCGTCGTAGACTCCGAAGTATGCTAATCTTTTGTTGGCATCTGACTTTTGTGGCTTGCCATTCTCTTCAGATTGCAGGTCGAGTACGGCGGCGTGGGCATCTTCCATGGATATGCGCCATCCCTGCATGGCCGAAAGGCCATATATGAGAAGTTCATCGGCGCCGCTGTCGGATACCTGTCACAACGATGTCGTTAGCTCATGAGTCTCAAGCACATCAGGGTGCGGAAACGCGGGGGGAAGACCCGCGCCGTTGCGCCTTGCCTCTAATTCACAATGTCTGCACAAGGGTTGGGCACGGAATTGGAGCATGAACGCACCTTTTCGACCACAGGTTCGGACAGTGTCTGACCCATGCTTTTTGTGTTTCTTCAAGTTCTGACACGAATAATCTGTGTTGATGATCATGTACCGTTGGTCATTCACTGTTGGTAGGTGGGCGAAGTGACAATTGGAAGAGGGTCACAATGAAAGAGGCGGGATGCAGGGTTTGGGAGGTAGGAGGGAAAGTGGTCGTATGCAGCATTCACCGACAGACAACAGGGGAAATAAATATGACTGGTATGGATGTTTGCTGGATGCAGACAGAGTCGCGTGCAGGGATCAGAGAAGGCAGTTGAAGAAAGGCATGTCTCGAGTTGCAAGTGCAGGTTTGATTGTTGCTATGCCCGGAGCCCAGTGCGATAAATGACGAACTCGGTTGCAAATCTAGACGCTGCCTTACTAACCCTTGCCAAGCCCAGTTCACCTTACTCTGTAAGAGTCCCATCAGTCTCAATGATACCAGGTATACGTCTTGTTCTCAGGCACCTATCTGGAGTGAAAGATCAAACAAAGGTCTCTGTTACTTCATTCCGGGGCACTACCATTCAGATGAACCGGAAGCTTCCATGATGGCTTCCCTGCGCCCTTACAAGCCCTCCGTCTGCCACACTGATATGCTTCCTCCTTGAATCAGACACTCCTCCCTGTTCAGGATGAGTAATTACCTTGTCACTGGTAGTACTGCGCCTTGAATTCGAGATTTCTTCGAATGGTGCTCGCGCAGGGGCTGGTAAATGCCTGTTTGTCTGCCAACTGCTCAACCCTTCACCTGTTTTCTCAACCACGAGATCCTCGTCTGCCCAATGACTTTCAGAGGACGTCGCAGACTCGAACTGCCCACTACTCGCAATGCTCGTGTCGGCTCTGGGGCTTGGTAGATTCGCAATGAGGGAGTCCAAAGGACTGGCAGCTCTCAGAGAGTCATGAGCCGCTGGCCCAAGCCCGGACCATTTCGACCATGACGGCTCCCTCGACGTAGGCTTACCGACGTCCTCATTGCGTCTCAACAACGTGAATGGCTTTGAATGGCGGTCTGTTATCGCTCTCCCAGTGCGCTCTTGTGGTAAACCTAGCATGTGAGAAGCACCGGCGTTTGAGAACCGTGCTGTTCCTTCCAATCGAGCTCGGGCACGCTCAGTGTGCCATTGCTGCCGTCGTGCCTCAAAAGACAACACTGGATTGTTATCCTTGGAGACGACAAGTTGTGAAGGGCTTTTAGATCTGGCTAATAACTCAACGCTGACTGGCCTCGACTTATCATCTGGAGGATTTGGGAACGAGTCAAGCACCGCTGTCGTCCTCCTGCTTTCCCCCGGGGGATTCGATGCCCAGGTATCGCGCGACAGTCTGTGGTCAGAATCGGCATGTGAACGAACCAATATGCCAGCTCCATGTCCAGCGCCACTTCTTCGATTCGGAAGGCCAACAACAGATTGCCTGTCTGGTTGTCGCTTGGTTGTGAAAGAATCTCGATTCTCCAGCTTGCGGTTTGCAGCAAAGTCTTTCACAACTGACTTGCGAGACGCCTGCCTTAATGACCTTGCTGCCCCCATCGTGAAGCCATCAACGACAGAGCTGCCTTCAGCAAGCCCTCTCTTAGACAAGTCGCGCTCTTCATTCGAGAGTCCGCCAGCCTGCGATGCTCTCGAGTACTTGGTTTGCTGCGCTTGGGCAATACCTGATAGCATACCCATTTGTGACGAGTCATTTGTCCATGTTAAATCGACCCTCGGCGGTCTGACAGGTGGCTCTCGTGAAGAAGTCACAGGCGGGCCGGTCAATGGACTAAGCGGCGTCGGTAGGATGGGGTTTGGTGTATGCATGCTGCTTTCCGGGCTGTCCCCTGGCATGTGCGCTTGGTCATAGGCAGCCTTCTTCCTACGCTGTCTGCGTCTCATCAACAATAGTATAAGGCATATGACCAGCAAAACTCCGAATGCGGCAAACACTATTGCAAGGATGATGGCCGTCACAGGCCGTTTGGTGTTGTGCTTATTAGCAACTGATGTGTTGTAAGGAATGCTGGTCTTACTTGCGTGCGGCATGGCTGTCGTCTGCAAAGTCTCTGTTGAGGTGATTGTGGTTATGGTTGCCCTCTGTATGTCCACAAAGCCTGTGACGTTGGCCGTCGCATTTTCGAAATTTATGGGTGTAGTAATTGTCTCGCGAGGCAGATTCAATGGTGGTCGCCCAGACAGAGTTCGACTTTTTTCATCAAACCGAAGCCAAATGGGAGCGTTGCTCAAGTCTGCATGGATCCGTCCGTATCCAGTAAATGCGGTGTCATTTACAGTATACGAGAAGTCCTCTCCAGGAGTGATATCGATCGTCGCAATCTTGCCTAGGGATGTAGCAAGAAGGGGCTCAGCGTGCAACGATATCGTTGTGTTCGCAACGTCATCATAGATGTCCAAGACTCTAATTGTAACGTTGAGAGCGATAGCTGCGGGCGGCGTGCCACTCAGTGAGATTTGGCTTTTGTTTATCCGAAGCCAGGATGGTCCGTCAGTAGTTACGCTTGAAATTTGCCCATCTGCGATAGTCTCTCCATTGATCATGAGAGAGGAGCGGAGAGGCGGCGTCTTGAAAGGGACGCCACTTGAGATATTGACATCTTGAGAGACATCTGAGAACGCCAGAACATTGTAGCCTACCACGATATGGAAGTGAACGGCAACTTCCTCAAAGCCGGGAACATTCGACGCGATGAAGAGGAACCCATACGTCTGTGGAACCAGTGTTGGTGAAACTAAAGGTAGACTGGTGCCCTTGAACAGGAGTCCGGAAGGGTCGAAATGTATCCATGATGGCAGAGGTGAACGGTCATCCGAGACTGCCTCGTATTTGGTGCTGTGATCGATCCCGCTAAAAGTCTTCTCACTGAAGGCTAGCTCGAAAGGCTGAAGAGGATGTAGTAGCAAGGAATCGGGTGAGGAGCATGGCCCAGCTTGTCGCATTTGTGGGAGGACTGGAGCATTCAATCTTAACTTTGTCGATTCAAGCACTATCAGGGTGACAGTCGTCGATGCTGTTCCAGTGGCGTCTAAAGCAGTGAGTTGGAAAGTGTTGGCTCCAACGTCCTCCTGGAGGGGAGTCCCGGTCAGGAGCCGATTCAAGCTGTCAACTTGAAGCCATCCGGGTCCGTCCGCGATGCTATAGGAAATCTGAGGGTCACTCGACACAAAAGTAGCGGCGGCGAACTCGAAATTGTATGGCTGTGAGACATAAGCGACTGGAGGGACCTGGGAGTTGATAGGAAAGGCGAGATCTGGTATAGCTAAGGCAGAAGCCGCCACCAGCGCAAGGATGAGTGCCAGCGTGGGCGGTTTCCTTTCAACGCAAGTCATTCATAGGTTCCGACACTGCCGTTGTCTCTTCCAACAAACAAAAAGGTGTCTTGTGCTCAGTGCTGCTCATACATGAATTGATATGCAGCAATGAAGTTGAGCACAACGCGACCGTGCAGCTGCAACCACTTAGCACTTAAAGGGTCTTTCAAGGGGCTGGTAACCACCTGGCACTCGTGCATGTAAGGGATAGCCTTCGCAGAGAATGCGCCATGAGTATGCGCCATTGAGATCTGCGGGTCAAGCCTCCAGAACATGACACATTTTGATTCCATTTCGGCCTTTGGCATAGTAGTCAGTCACGGTCTCCTGAAGCTCGAAGCCAGATCTCGAGTATAAGCATCTGGCATTGTAATTGGCTTCGTGGACCCAGAGGTCAATTCCTCGACAGGACCAGCGGCGAGCACACTCGACGATCATTTGGATTAGCTTTGTCCCTATGCCGATACGACGATAGGCTGGCGCGACACAGATCTTATGCAATAGCAGTCGACCGTTCCATCTTATGCAGACCGCGTAGGCAACCATTTCCGACACCTTTGACTGATTTGACAATCCAACAAGGACTACCATATTCTGCTTTGCGATAGGGTTGTCTTCGAAGGGAAATACTTCATTAGGAGGGAAAACCTTCCGTTCCAAATTCCGCAAATCGTGCAGGATAGAGGGTATGCGGTACCGAGGAAGCTGTCGGAGCTGGTTAAAGACCACTTGATCAGCTTCCAACGTCGACCCTGCCGGCATGTCTCCAGCCATATCAAGAAGAAACAGGGTGATCAATGGAATCCTGAGGTTACATGCACGGCAGAGGAGAGATTTGTAGAATGTACCTTAGGTGGTATTAATAGGCTGTTTGTGTGCAATTGGAGGAGGTACGAAATTCTTCTGAGCCAATTCGCATTCGGGTTGGAGGGTCTTGGCGGGCGCGACGTCTCTTTCTCCAGACGCGTCCTCCAAAAGCAACAACCATCTCAAAGACAAGCGTCCATGCTCATCAATTCACCAACAAATCAATTCTGCTCTCTGACTTCTTCTCTTACATCTGTGGATTTGGATTAGGATCGATTTGTCTCAAGTTAGTCGAAAAACATGCCGTCTACAGATTCCAAACGGGAGAAAGCCCGAGAGGTGGTCGACATCCTCGAAGAGATATCTGTACTACTGGTAGGACAGCGCTTGGCCACACCTAGATACTCTGCTAATTGTGTGTATCGAAGAACACTGAGTTGGATCGAACTCAGCTGTCTCTTTGTGTTTCGCTGATTGAGAACGGTGTAAATCCGGAGGCCCTAGCTGTAAGACAGCGTGGCACTGTTCCAGAACAAGTGCTAACTATGGATCAGACCGCTATCAAAGAATTGAGGCGAGAAACACAAGACTTACAGCCAGAAACTGCAATGTCGGAATGATTGTCTTCGCCATGAGAAGTATTACTCTTGGATGATGGAGTGTGTCACATCTCGATTGAACCCTTCGATCCTCGACATCTGCCGGCGAAACACAGGACATTGGCAACCACAAACATGCGCAACATGCCGCCTTTCCGTCTGAAGGCACTCTAGGCCTACGAGGTACTTCTTGGTATGCGTCGCTCCGTACGAGCAGGTAGTGTGTAGACTGTCTTGGTATTCGTACCAAAGAACCACACAATGCGGAAGCCGGGGTGTCGGGGGATTGTGAACTGATCCCATGCCATACAGAGACTGAGCCACCCAGCCAACGCCGTAGACTACGCGTGACTACGGTAGAATGGAATGGCACGAATGGGCACTAATGGCTTGCAAGCGACGACAAAACCCAACAATGTGGATGACGTATGCCACCTGTTTGAGGGGACGATCAGAATGTGGCTGAGATGTCTCGATGGGCCTGCCACCCACCTGCAAGGGCTTGGGGAACCTGGAAAGAGCCGCCCAAATTGACGCTAAAAGCCGCCTAGGTTGCCAGATCGACCGCAGACCGCTAGGCATCCCGGGCGGGAGCCTTGCTCACTGGGTGACACGACAACCAGCCATTTGTGGAGTTACAGGGAGCATTTGTCGCTAAGCTGAGGCCGGCGCGTCATGGTCAACCACACATGGATTGCAAACGCTCTGGTCATGGCAGGTTTTGAAGCAATCCAAACATGGCGAAAGATCTGAAGACTCGCCCTTACATAAAATCCTGCCATGTCTATCCTCAGTACTCCTGACCTCCATTTGTACTTGCGGACGACCTTCAAGCAGAATTGCTTGCGGTTCAATAACATACCTTCTTGTGCGCTGCTGCATTCCTTCTGGCAAGAATCAATACAGTATACTACATTTGAACCGAAAAATCTTGATACTGCACCACAATGCGCTTATCGTCACTTCTAACGTTGGCGTGTGCCATTGCTGCATTGGTTCTTTCCCTGCTTTGCCTGTTTGCAGGTTCTAGCAAATCATTTCTCCAAGACGCCGACCTGTTGACGGTGAGCTGTCCATCTCTCCATCGCATTCCCTATGCTAACACAAGCACAGCTGAATATCTCTCGTATCGGGCACGGAAGCCTATTCAACACCACAGATGGCGATGGAGGTGCGCTCGACAATTTACTCAACACTCTGGAGGGCGACCTCAACGACCTGTTGAACGATTTCAGCTCTGACGTGGCCACGGCGTTGGATCTTCCCGACTTCTTCAATGTCCATGTCATGGATTTCTGCGAAGGAGTGTACAAGCCCAATGCGACGTTGAAAAACGCGCAGGAAAACATTACAGGGTGCTCCAACCGCACCGTGGGATTCCACTTTCAACCTACCAAGATCATTCAAGAACACCTTCCTGACGGGGTTACCTTGGATGACCTCCACTGGCCGGACGAGATTCGCGATGCAGAACGTGCCATTAGAGTCGCCAGTACTGCCATGACGGTTCTGTACATCCTTGGTGTTGCATTTGCTGGCACTGCTGTTCTAGCAGCGCTGTGGAGCATCTTCACAAATGGGCGACTGTCAGCAATGATCAACTTTCTTATGGATGCGGTAAGAATGACCCTGAACAAATCCACCAAATTTGTGCTGACATGGATTCACAGCTTGCATTCCTGGCGATTGGTATAGCATCGGCCATTGCCACAGCCGTCATCGTGAAGGCAGTCGATGCAGTCAATAAATATGGAGACGACATCGGCATTGCAGCCTACAAGGGAGGAAAGTTTTTGGGAATGACCTGGGCTGCGACTGCAGTTATGCTGTTCGCTTCAGTGGTGTCCATTGCTCAATGCTGTGCTCCCAGATCAAGAAGCCGGAGATATGGCGAGAAGGATGGATACTAGATATTTGCTCACCGACTGGTGTAAGCGAAGGCCATATTCAGCAGAAGCCGTACAGATGATGGGTATGAGAGGGGTGTTCCCTAAGAACCAAATTCCTATCCAATGTTTGCTTTGGACATCGCCCATTGTTTGGAAGTAGTGTAACATTCAAAGACCTGATGAGCCAAACGAGGGGTCTTGGGGCATCCACTGACCGGTGGGCATCCCACCAGGACACTTTTCATTTATCCCTTTGCTGCTAGATGTTTGCAACTGTTTGCCTGATATGTGATCCTGCCATTAAACTGACTGTTGTCCAGGGAGGATCTCATTCTCTTTTCACAATCATCTCACGCTATATTGACCTAATCATGGCCCTTCAATATATATGAAGGTGTTTATTCAAATGACGTATAACGGTCCGTCTTCCGGTGGTGACGAGCGGGGTTGGGCGTGTTGTAACCTTTGACTAAACATGTGGCAGTTTCTCGCGGGCGAATCAGCGGTGTCTAATTCAGCTTAACTCGACGCTTATACGGGGAAATGACGCATCGCGGGGCTGACCGACCGTAGCTTCACTGGCACTTCTGACCTTCACCAACACGGATAAGGCAGCACTTGGACAAGGGAGCGGCGCTTTGGCTTTTTGGCAGGTTCGCTTCACATTCCAAAGTGACATCCATCCCGCTCTATATTTTATTCTGTTGACCGTACTTTCTCAGCACCATTGTCCCATTCTCTTTCGCTCTCACACTTGCACTCTCTATTTTCCATCACAACCGTTCCCAGTCCTCTGCTGCCAGAATTATCTCACTTTTCTCAAAGGTTCGTCGCACAACAGACAGTCTCTGTTCGCTGTTGATCATCGCGTCACTTCACACACCTTTACTGACTGTCGATCTGAACGCAGCTTGAACCCAAATTCCCCAGTCCTCACAACACACGTCAACATGCCAGGCATCGCTGTGCACTTCGGTGGCGGCAACATCGGTCGTGGTTTCATCGCCGAGTTGCTACATGAATCCGGCTTCCAGGTTGTCTTCGTCGATGTCGTAGACGACCTCATCGACCGCATCAATGCTGCAAAATCATACAAGATCACAGAAGTCGGTCCTGACGGAGAGAAGAGCAAGACAATCACCAATTACAAGGCTCTCAATTCGAAGTACCAGATGGAAGAGGTGGTCAAAACTATCGCTGACGCTGATGTCGTCACCTGCGCTGTCGGTCCAAACGTCCTTAAGTTCATCGCCAAACCCATTGCTGAGGGTATCATGGCACGCACCAAGTCCAAGCCGCTCGCTGTCATTGCGTGTGAAAACATGATCAATGCCACCGACGCACTGAGAGAGCAAATCATCGACCCAAAGAACATGAAGCCCGACTTCCTTCCCCAGCTCCCCTCAAAGGCCGAGTTCGGCAATTCTGCTATTGACAGAATTGTCCCAACTCAACCAGCAGATGCCAACTTGGACGTTGTCATCGAGAGCTTCTTCGAATGGTGTGTCGAGACCACTGGCTTCAAGTCAGGTCATCCTGAAATCAAGGGTATTCACTGGGTTGATGACCTCGAACCATACATTGAGCGCAAGCTCTTCACTGTCAACACCAGCCATGCCACCGCAGCTTACTTCGGCTACTACAAGGGCAAGAAGACTATCCACGAGGCTATGGCTGATCCCGAGATCAAGCACGAGGTCCACGAGGCTCTCGAGGAGACGGCTCACTTGATCAGCGGCAAGCACGGCATCACCCCCGAAGAACAACAAGAATACGTCGACACCATCATCTCCCGTATCTCCAACCCTCACCTTGAGGATGTTCCAGTTCGCGTTGGTCGTGCACCTCTCCGCAAGCTCGGTCGCAAGGAACGATTCATTGGACCTGCTTCTCAGCTCGCCGAGCGTGGCTACGACGTTACCGCATTGCTCCGCGGTGTTGAGATGGCGCTTCGGTTCCAGAACGTTGAGGGTGATGAGGAGAGCGCAGAGTTGGCAAAGATCATGAGCACTATGTCACCAGAGGAAGCCACCACCAAGCTCACTGGCCTTGAGAAGGATCACCCCCTCTACGCCAAGGTCTTGGAAAAGGTCACGCTCGTTCAGAATGAGATGAAGAAATGATGGCTTGGTGTGACCGCCTGCTTGCATATGACTCATGAGAACATGGATTGATCACTTTCGGTACTTGATGATGAAAGGTGTTGACGGTGGAAAAAGTATTCAGGAGTATCTTGCCTCATTTTCGCAGTGCCCGAATACTCCATTACCAGGTAGACTTGATACAGGAAGCATTCTTGAAATTCAATACGAGATCCGATGAATCAGTCATAAAATCTCTGCATATCTCTGCCTCACTCATTCCTTCAACTTGCGCATTATGCTTTGAACCAACGATCTAGGCTGATAGAAAGGTGAATGAGAATCAAATAGCTATTCGTCCATGGCAAAGGAGTCGCTTTCCAGCTTCACTTGGTTCTTGTGGACGGGCTGCTGCTTGAGAAAACTGGGTCGAAAGACTTAGGTTGTATGTAGTTTGAGCTTCGAGCTTCGAGCTGGAGGAGACCCGGCTTGAGCTAAAAGCGAGGCTCAGCCCTGCCGAGCACACAGTAAACCTCGGCAACGACGACTTCTCTCCAAATTGATCGTCGACAAATGAAGCGAGTTTCTAATGCTTTGATAGCTGATTTATTTGATTACCATGTCAAACATGGCCTCAAGAAAATTGCAGGCGTGATATATAAGCACCTTGTACCTCTCTCACTCACAACACCTGTGCTTACCTACAGTACACCACACCGGACAAAACCACCTCCGTTCGACGCAGTTGAGACTCTGCCCGCCCCCGAACTGTGGACAGCACGCAAGTACTACTAGTTATTACGGAGTACCGTCAAGGGGGGCCTTCCAATCCAAAACCAAGGTACATTGCCTAGGTATAAATCTAAAACCTAAAACATCCCAAACAAAACACAATGTCCTCCTCATCATCACCGCCCTCGACACTGAAGAGTCCACCTCCACACACCCCCAGCACGATACTCCTCTTCCCGACACCCTCCATTCTCCTCGTCGTGCTCAACAACCCGCGAGGGCTCAACTGCCTCTCGACCTCGTTGCACTGGGCCCTCGACGCTCTGCTGACATGGTACGACAACGAACCCACCCTGCGCTGCTGCGTGGTCACGGGCATGGGCCGAGCCTTCTGCGCCGGCGCCGATCTGAAGGAATGGAACGAGTCCAACAACGCACGCGCCACCGGCCAGGGCCAGGGCCAGCGCGTCATGCCGGCCAGCGGCTTCGGCGCAATCTCTCGACGCGTGGGCAAGAAGCCCGTCATTGGCGCCATCAACGGCCTTGCATTCGGTGGGGGGATGGAGATGGTGGCCAACTTGGACATGGTGGTCGCCGCCAAGAGCGCACTCTTTGCCCTTCCTGAGGTCAAGAGAGGCGTTGTTGCATTTGCCGGGGCTCTGACCCGTATTGTGAGGACGATCGGAAAGCCCAGGGCAATGGAGATGGCTTTGACAGGAAGGACCGTCGGAGCTGCCGAGGCCAAGGACTGGGGAATCGTCAATGCTGTGACAGAAGATGCCCCTGTGGACGCAGACATCCTCGAAAGACCTGTTGTGAAGAAAGCGCTGGAGTATGCCAAAGAGATCTGCAACAATAGTCCCGACAGTGTAATTATCAGTCGCGCCGGGATCATTGCTGGCTGGGAGGACGGCAGCGCAGAGCATGGCACACAAACCACGAACGAAGTGTATCAGAGGAGGTTAAACGAGGGCGAGAACATACGTGAAGGTGTCAAAGCTTTCGTGGAAAAGAGATCTCCGAGATGGGTGCCGAGTAAGTTGTGAGTGTATCAGAGACCGAGAGAGCTTCAATCTGGAACATCGGTCAAGACGAGAAACACACTCGATAACACGTATGGAAGTAGAGTAGAATTTGAATATCCTTCGGTGTTTTCGGTGTCTATTTGACGGAAGACATGAGGCGATGATGTCTGCCACACTTACAGTCGGACTGCTGGCCTCTGTGCCTTACACTGCCCTTGTCAGACTTGTTATCCATGGATGACACAGGAAGACAAATGAGCAGTACCCCGCCTGAAAACAAGATTCAATTTCAAGCGCAAGATATGTTTCAGACCCCAAGCTTGATGATCATTGTTGCATAAATTCCCAGAACGCCATCTGCCTGAGAGGAGTGGCACTTTGCTATGCCGCAAAGCTGCTTCACACGCTCTTCAGATGACCACCGACCAGGACAGATCAAAATAGTCGGTTGAGTCGCGAAGCGTATTAGAGCAGAATTGGCACGTTGTGGGTATCATTAACGTGAGGAGGTAGTGAAGTCAATCATGCGCGCTGATGTTGAGGCATCTGAGGCATACCCGCATACTGACCACTCTGATTTTGTTGCTGAAGTTGTTGATAGTACATGGCTTGCTGTTGTTGCTCTTGAGTCATGTATCCGCCGTGGGTGGGAGGTCGCGGCATGCCAGTAGCTGCAGCAGGCATAGGGGGAACATCATCGGGCGATGCGACATCATCAGCGGCATCAACACCATTCTCGTTGCCTGATGGTTCGGGGGCGTTCAAGCATGCCTGGAACATGGTTAGAGAGCAGTAAGGGGAGTGGCATAGAGAGCGACATACTTGGATCAAATTCTTGCCTTCGGCCTTGGTGACGAGAGGTTGGAGCTTGGGAGTCGTGAAAGTGTAGACAAGACCGGTTTCAGAAACGACCAACAGGAGAACTTGGGTTCCAGTGAGGACAGAAAGTTCATACGCCTAAACAGGGGTCAGTAAGTAGATCCCATCGTGGAAGTTCAGCCTGCGCTCACCTTCTTCATGATACCCGCCTTCCGCTTCGAGAATGTGATGTGACGACGCGATTTGTCTTGGATGAACTTGATCTCGATCTTTCTTCTTTCTCTTCCTCCCTTTTCATCATCGTCATCATCGTCATCTCCTGCCATGGAGGTTCTTGGACGTTTAGTGCCTCGAGGGTCGACGCCGTTGCCGGTCAATTCATCGCCAGGTGAGGGCTGATCAAGACCTGCAGAGGGATCGGTGATATCGGCCATGGCGTACTTTTATGGAATAGGTCGAGTTCTGATCAAGTTCTACCTAAAGAAGTAAAGTGTCAACAGACGAAAGAGGAAATTGGCAGGATTGGCTTCGTACCTTTTTGAGAAACGCGAATTCTCTTTATTTTGTGTAGGCAATGATTGGCAATGCGGCCGAATCTGTGAATGATGGATTAGTCAAATGCTCGCGACGAAGTATGCTGCAAAGCAGTGAATGCAATCGTCGACGGTGAAGTCAAGTGGGCGGCGATGTCAGACACGTACGCGGGCAGGTGCAGAGAGCGAGCGCGATCGCAGGCACGGACGAACTCGGCCAGGAAATCCGGGGAACTGGCAGGTGAATGTAGAGCGATCAAGCTTTGTGGATGAAGAGGGATGTGCAACAATCAAGCTGCAAAAGGATAGAAGTGGGTTTGGGATACAAAAGAAGTAACCTCTTTCTGTATGGGCTGGATTGGTGAATGGAGAGTGTTCTGGGAAGGCCGGGGCACATGAGGTGGAAAGGGTTTGGTTTGATGAGGGGGGAGGGACAGAGGAAACGGAGAAGCCAGTCACCCAGTCTCGGCAAAGATCCCAAGAGGGCGCGGAAGTGGTGGAAGTGGTGGGAGCGGGTGGGTTGCAGTGAAGCAGAGTGGCCCAAGCTGTCGTCCGGGAGAGGCTGGAAGAAGTGGTGGCTTGGCAAGATCATCAGACTCGGACTCAGACTCTGGCCTCAACCTCGTGTCTCGTGTCTTGGACGTGCATGACAGAAGATACAGAATTTTCGGGCATGACAAGAGTCGAGTTCCAGTCAGGATTGAGTCGTGTCCCGACTGTCAAAAGAACAAAAATCGGTCGCGGTATTATGTTCGTGTTCCTGTGGGTTCCTCGTCGCGTCCATTCGTGTTGCTCAATGGGGAAAAGTGAAAAGATGATCCTCACGGTGGATGGAAGAGGAAAAGGCAGGCATCAAAACAACCACAAGATTTGGCAGACGTACCGCTGAAATCCAGAACAACCTTGCTGGGCTAACCGTTACGCAAGAATTGATGGTCTTTGAATGGAAAAGGATTCGAAGCAGACTCCGTGGCACGAGGTGGGCTGCGAGTGCGAATCCAACGGGTGCTGTGAAGGGGATGAGGATGGACGAGAGAGGAAAGGGAGTCGGAAAGGGCATAGCGGCGAGCTGCCTGCCTTTTTGTAGACTGAGGGCTCTGGGCAGCCACTGGCGGCAGCTGCGGAGCTTGGAGATTATTCGCTGTGCGTCGAAGCGGATCATTCTTTCCCCGACTGCCCGGAGCTTCCAGCCCTGAACCAGGGAAAGCGTGGTCAGTGGTTCAATCAATCCCCGTGGATCTGCTAGTCTCTGCCAGTGCCACTGCTAGTTGCTGCTCTAGCCTCTAGCTTACCAGCGTGCAGTTGCAGTGGCACCCTCGGGGCCTGCGAGCCTGTCTCTTTTGCTGCTGGAAACATGGCCTGATTAGCCTGTTCTGCCCATTATTCTTTTGCACTCTCCAGCTCGACCCTGTCTTCTGCCACTCCCAGGAAGATCTTTGCGAGGATGGTGCAGCTCGTAGATACTATTCTCACGCAAACCTCCTCTGGCCTTGCACTCATCCCTGATCTCCTTTTCACGCAAAACAAGCTTCCATCGCCATCACTTCGGCCCCTTCGACTCTGCTCTTCCCCTCAGTCGATACCCACCCTGACCCAAAAGCCCTACTCTCTTAGCGCCAACTTGAGGTTACTAGCCCCCGATTAGCATGGTCAGCAAATGCAAGGGGATCCACCAACAACCTGCTGATTCATCACAGCCACCAACAAGTCCCAATTCACAGCTTCCCCAGCTTCCATCATACCCGGAGTCACCATTTGAAACGCACGGGAAAATGTGCACAAGGCGCATAAAATGGGTACTTACAGTAGCCTAGATTTTTAGGAATACTTGCCATGACCTCGTAGGGCAGAAATATCCCCTACCCCCGCTGTTTCAGCGGCCTAAAGGCCTCGAATCCGGAGAGCACACCGGGCCCTTAGCAGACCACGTGCGTCAACTACAGTCTTGAAGCCTTTCGGCACTGAGATAAGAAGGTTTTGCAGGAAGATGTATAACTCTTCAGAGCTTCGCAGCTCTCTGACTAAGCATCCCTTGACACCTGATGACAAGCATCTCTGTAGTACTGTTCGTGGAAGCCGATCATGGAGGAATTTCTTTGCCGTCCCAATCCCAACACTTCCCACGGTTATCGTCACTCAAGCTCCCTACGACATCTATCAATCTTTCTGCACTGAATTCCGGACGGAACAGCTTGTCTTGCGGGGTGCTTTCCCAGAATTCCTCACTCAGACCAGTCCTCACCGTGCCAGGATGCAGAGCCACGCACATTGCATTCTTGCCGCTCTGCATTTTCAGGTAAATATCCGTCGACTTCGCGAGCTGGTTGACACCGGCTTTGGAACATCGATAACTGTACCATCCGCCCAACCGATTGTCGCCAATCGACCCTACTCTCGCGCTCATCAATGCCAGCACTGACGAGTCAGGTAGACCATCTATATGCTCCAGCTTGGTCGATTTGCGCGGAACGAAGGCAGAGAAATGCTTCACCAGCATCATCGGTGCAAGTAGGTTCAGTTCCAGTGTCTGCAGAGCGGACTGGTACTCGACCTTGTCCGGGGCCTTTTCCGGGACCAACATTCCAGGGATCATGAATCCCAAGCGCAAATGTGCTCCTTTGTCCCTCCTGCTGTCACTATATCGCTCCTTGCAGCATCCGGCGAGATTCGAGACGGATGACTCGGAGAGTACATCACATTCTTGCACATCAAGTCGTGATGCTTGCGAGTCTGATATGTTCAAAGATGACAGTAGTTTCTCCCTCGTCCCTGGTAGATCGGATCGTGCTGTTGCCACGATCGGTATGCTCGGAGGTAAGGTTCGAAGAAGATGCCGCGTCAATGCGAAACCAATGCCTCTTGACGAAGGCGTTACAAGCGTCCAAGCCATGACTGGGAACGGGCACGGCTACAGAGAGTTTCCGTGGCGCTCAACCAAGACAAGATCTTCCTTACTCAAGGCTGTTGGCTTGTTCAGCTGGGTCGCATCATCATGTTTGATTATTCGGCAGTATGCAGGATGGTCGTATCCGAATGAATAGCTCGCAAATATATTGCTTGATCAATTGTTGAACGTTGTGGCCCCTGCGTCTCCGAAGTGCCTGCAGCTTGATACTAGCACTGGCGAACTTTGAAATACAATAAAGCGACTTGGAACTTCCTGGCGAGCACAATACGCGGTCGAAAACCTTTGAGGACTGGAATCTAAGAACGCATGGGACTCTCTGTGGAAACCACAGAGTCTTTCTTGGACCGGGGCACGACCCAGCAATCCAAGCCCTGACCATTACGCTAGATCTGAGGCTTGAAGGTCATGATGTCGATGGGACGATCAGACCGCTGATCATCGCACGAACACGAGGGAGATCGACAATGCCCTATGCACCAAATGATCGACGCAGGGCATCTGTCCATCGAGCCATCTGATTATCAGGACTTGAACGGAGTAGTTGCCTGGTACGATTGATTGCACGGTACTCCATTTTTGTGCAGCCCGAACTCACCTGAATTGGCGCGCCAGAACCGGGATCGCAGATACTTCGCGGTATGAGGCTGGGGAGCGAGGGCGGGGAGAAGGATGATGGTCTTTTTTTCTTCCAAATGTGAATTCGTATGGTGTCTTCTGTCTCTATTCATAGATTTTCTGTTTATTTTCCTTTACTGTCCATCCCTTCATCGCATCCTTATCCGAATTCCAACTCCTCCGCAAACGCAAAAAATTGCTGGACAAGGCGAAATCGCTCAAGTTCGTGATTTGAGATGTAGCTCGTTCCGACAGATTTGTTCCAGCGCAGAAATCCAAAGCAGTCAATAGCCAGATCCTTCCCTAGTAGGTGATCGTGGACGCAAGTACAACAGCGTTCCAGCTCTACGGTTGTCTTTAAGCGGCCTGGGTAATTGCCGTGTTGCAATCTTCTAGATCGGACCAAATCCCCTTTTCTCGTCAATCAGTCTATACCGCTCCTTCTCCTTACGGTCCTTGATCAAGCAAAGCGCCGCGAGCAAGAGCATCATATCGACAGCCACGAAGCCGAAGAACGTGGTGAACACGATATCCAGGAACCGACTGGCAAACACACCGAACGGGGTTACGCAGGGTCCTAGACGTGCCGCGGTTGCGGCGCTGGTGCATGTGCTATCCTTGACGAAGAGTGCGGGGTTGGTAAACCCGCAACATTGAAACTTCTGCTGAAGCATGGACTGGACGTTGGAGCTTTGGTTCATCCAGACGGGCGTGAGGTTCTTGTGGACTTCGAGCGTGGAGAACCAGATGGCCAGGCCGATGGAGAGAGTCATGAGCGCGGCGACGATGACTCCCGCGGCGTGCACCTTGAGCCAGACACGATTGCGCTGCATGAACAAGGCGGGCACAGAGAGGAGGAAGGTGAGGAACATGATGATCGCGTTGATCTCGCTGGCTGTACTGAGTGTTAGTGGAATTGCACACGAAGACCGCGGGATGCAGTGACTCCTTACCAGTGAGCGGGCAGTCATCAAGGAGCAGGTTTGACGCAATGTTATTGACATTCATGTTATTTTTGACACTTGCTCGAGTGTACAGAGGAATGAGTAGGTGCAGAACAGCGCAAAGGAGGAAGGCTATGTCGAAGCCGATGAAGACGAGGAGAATTTTGTTTGCCATTTTCGATCCGGTCTTCTTGAGGGCTTCGTAGGAGCAGAGTATAGGTGATCGTCGGAAGAGTGTTTCTTGGAGGTTGGCAGTTACTAAATGATCGTGACGGCGAGACCTGCTCGGGAGGGAAAAGGACGCTGTCGTTCTGCCGCGGCCAGGCGCGCAAAAGGGCGACGTATGAGGGTTTAAGCAAGGAAAGGAGCGTGGTGATGAAGAAGCCAAGATAGATAGAAGAAGAGAGAACGGAAAAGCGCACGGCGTAAGCCAGGGAGAAGAAAGAGGACGGGCTCAGGAGAGACCTGAGCGTGTGTCAGTAGTGCACGGTTGGTGGTGGTTAAACCGTCCAAATGTGACAAGGGGGCGCTTCAGTTTCTTCGAGTCGTTTCAGACCAGCTCCACTGAGGAGACATCTTCATGGGCCAGAACCTCACCAGACGAGTTTCGTATCGAGTATAATCAAGGTAATCCGACGACCTGCAGACATTTCTCGAAATTGTGAAGAGCAACGACTCCTCTCCTCGACCAACGTGGAAGAGAGATGGAGTGGACAAAGTTGGAAAGCACTGAGCAGCGGCTGAGGTTTTGACAGCAGCCACTGACGGATGAGAAACGCAGAGCAACACGTGATGCATATTTTTGAACTGTTGGACTTCCGAGGCTCAATTAAAGCAGGCCCCTGGATGCGTGAGACTCGCGACTCGTAAGTTGATTGTCGACGCGTTCTCGCTCCATCCGCCCCTGCAGCCAGTGGGATGGCCAGCTTTTCCTGATTGATGCATATTGCGACTTCCACGCAGCCTTGCAGGAGCATGGATCGACACTACTCGTAGTCTGGTACCAATAATGAGTACAGGTTGGCAACGTGAGGTGCTGGTGTGAATCCTTCCTTGACCGCCGATAAGGGCTCATTCGGTGTCTTGCAGAATATCGTAGGCATATCGTGTCTCCTCGTATTCGAGTAGACATGTCTTCAAGAGCCTGCCCATGAGGTAGTGATTGAGCATCGTCAACTCGTTCTCCACTCAGTCATTATATACAAAGTTCGACCGCTTTCGAAAGGTCGGCGCAAATCGAGAATGAGGTCTCTTCTCTGTCATATCTATATTACAAACCCTGGTGCTTCAGCTCATTCCTCTCAGGTGAGCCACCAATCCTCGTCCCGGTATGCAGTCTTTGCCAGATACCCCTCAACCCGGATCCTTTTCACACTCAGCTCTAAGGATCGGACGTGCATCTTATTCAACGTTCATCACTGGCCACTGTAGATGTTCTTGCCAGTCTTCCGGTACCGACTCCTGCACTGACTCCAGGATGTATTTGGCCCATCCATTAATAAACCAAGTATCGTTCGTGTCCTTGGCTTCGCCCCAATGAATAAGAACGCAATAATGCGCCAATATGACCATTGCTGCTGGCTGCTTCTCACCCAGAAGGTCCAAAAATTTAGGCGGAAGATTAATAGGCCAGACAAAAGTCGTCAATACTGTTCCGTCGCCGCGGGCCTTGAGCAACGAAGCTTGAATAAATGTGCTAAGCAGCGAATGTATAGCAAGGTCAAGCGCGTGGGCGGTCTCCTTGTCGTGCTCGGCAGAATTGCAGATGCGGAACAGCTTGGTGATTTGATCTGTGTCAGGAAGTGTATACGCCGCTGTGGTCTCGCTGTGGGACATCTCATCCAGTAGTGGTTTCAAGAAGCTGCACCGGATCGTCTCGGAGTGCATGTTGAGGACAATGTTTGCGCCCCTCAAAAGGTAAAACCAATGTAGTACGTCAGTGTTGAAGTCTCTGGGCTTGTCTTTGGTGCTGGAAGCAAAAGCAAGCACTATGAGCAGACAGGAAAAGGCGAACAAGGCATGGCAGTTGCTCTCATCCACATGAGCAAGCGTGTCTTGGAAATCTGCCAGGCCTATGCTTTGATGAGTTGTCCCAATCAGATCATACTCGGCTTTCCTATCAGGGTGAAGGTAGCTGAGGTGGAAAGCAGCCACAGCCAGGATACCTCGAAGGAGGAAGTGGTGTTTGAGTCCCAGCTTCACTGCATGTACCTGCCACAGTGCCAGGGCTTCAGCAGTCTGCGCATTCGCCAGATCGGGTGCGACTACGGTGGTGAAATGGTGCATCAATCTGAGGTCCGTCACATCTAGATCTGTAGTTTTCTTGGTGCTGACTAGGTCAGGTTGTTGAAATGGGTCGACCACATTCTGTGAGGACTGTCGCTTTGTTTCTTCACTGACAGACCCAGGTCGACCACAGCCTGGCCGTGCATCACTGGTAGTGTTGTTGCTCGGTGACCTGCTCACACCGGGAGACTGAGAGAAATCGCAAGAAATCTGCCGTCTTTCACAGTTGGAACATATCGGATGTACCTCGTTACACTAGAGCTCGTGTAAGCATTAGGATGAGATCGAGCGCACTCGGTAGGATCGGCCAACCTTTATGCGCCGGACTTTGCATTGACTACAACCGTTTTTGGATTTCGTATGAGAGCGCCGTTGGTTCTTAGACGGCATGAGAGAGGCGGATTACCAGTGGTAGGCTCTTCATGCCCGTGTCGGGGATATGTTGATCGTTTTACAGCTCGTATATCGTATTCCGTGAAAAGCCGGATTATGACCCGAAGAACATAGTCCTCGACAAAGTATACAATATCCACTATCCAAATGGAATAATGCGGACGGCGACGGAAACTCAGTGAGATAGGGAATATATGACTAACGCGTATCGACGTCGGGAAGAAGGAAAGACGTTTTTTGCAAGCACTAGAAATGATCAGGTAACGAACAGGCTGCACAATTTTGTTGATGTCCCTGACTTAGAGAGCTGGGGCCAGAGCTCACTAACTTCAGACTGATCAAACGGGCGGCGACTCCCAGGGCTGACACTTTCAGGGCGATTATGATTGCACTTTGCACTTTTTAACAGATTTCAAAGTGTCTGAAGGGGATTGCATTGATTTATTTCTACTTAGAGGCCACGTACTACCAGTTCTTTGGCCGTCGTGCCTTGTTCTCTCGCTGTCGCTTCTCCTTCAACACAGTGCGCCTTCTCATCTTCCACGAGCGGTTGTTGTCGCCTCGATTCTCCCAGAATTTCTTTTCGAACTCGCTCTGTTTCCTAGATGGAGTCTCACCGTGTCGCTCGTTTGCCCTTCTTCGTTCGGGTGGAGCGGCCTTTTCGTCTTGCTCATCCTCATCATCACTTGTAGGCGTCGAACTGCTGTAGCTGTTGAAGCGGCTTGGATATGCTGAATCCGGGGTTGGTGCGGCGCTTCGAAGACCTCGAGCTCGAATATCCTGGGAACTAAAGGGCGTTAGGGGAATAATGCTCTCTTCCTCAATATCATCCTGGTCTTCAGGCTCGAAGAAAGAGAACGACGTTGACACTTCCAAGGAAGGTTTTGCAAGGTCTTGCGAAGCTGGCTTTCTTGGCTTCTTGAAAATTGCTTCTAGTGGATGCATCTGCCTATCTTCTTCGTCGACGTTTTGCAGGGAAGCCGAGGAGACTTCCTCACCCGAGGCGCTCATGTTCGACTCTTCCCCCGACCCAGCCTCGGATGAGGTGCCCGAACTGCTAGTCTCATCATCGTCCTGAATAATGCGCTGCTCTTCGTTTTCGTCGTTCTCACTGGTTGATTCAACATCCGACTCCAAAGTAGAAGAATCGGACGAGGTCTCATCATGCGCAATCTCCTTTTGCTTGTCGTTTGGGGCACTTTGCAAAACCTGGCGCTGCCTCAATACGCGCTCACTCTCTGCTTCGACAACATCACCAGCTGCATCGACCCAGCCTTGTCCTGCGACATATTCCAGATTGCCTTTGATCCCTAGTCCAACGTCTTGTCTGAGAAAGGAAGGCTGTGCTGTTGACTTTTCAAACTCGTGTACCACTTGTTCACCCTTCTTCGTCTTTGTCTTGGTTTTGTCTTTTTTCGCAGTCTTCAGGCTGTCTTGCTTGTTCGGAGGCAGGTTCGTGCGAAACAGAAGCTCGTCCTTGTCCGAGAATTTCGAGGTTACAGAAGTTTTTCCTTTGCTCATCTTGCTGGCCTTGGAGGGCTTTGCCTCTGTCCAACCACGTTTGACTTTGCGGTCCGCAGGCAGCTCGTATCCCTCAATGACATTGAGCTCCTTCTTGGATTTCTTTGCTTTCTTGACGGGCTCCTGCTTGGCGGGTTCTTCGGTCGTCTCTTCATTACGCCTACGCTTTTTGGGCCGGGCCTCCTCAATCTTGATTTTCTTGCCTTTCAGAATGGCGCCATTGTATTTCTTCTTGATTTTTTCCGCTTCCATTGCAGGCAGGTCGAGATAACCGTAGTCGTTCTCCGGGAACGTCTGGATGGTGTGGTAGGATACGTTGGAGACTGAGTCGAGTAGTTTTGGACCAACCACGGCATGGAGTAATTCAGGAGTTAGAGGGGTGATGTGTAGGCGCATCGAGTCCGTTGTCATTGAGCAGCCTGTTATGATTCTCATGCGGACTGAATAATTGCGCTGAAGCTGTTACACGGGCAGCTTTGGCGCCCACACTCTGAGCATGAGACGTCGGCGTGTATTTTGCCCAAATAGGTGCATTCAGGCGGCGTGACGGGTGCCACGGGCGAGGAAACGGTGTGGGCTTCTTGTGAGAGCTAAGCTACAACGGTGCCTATTCGTACGCGGGGCAGGTCAAGCCTACTAAGCAGGAACTGGCATCAGCGGCAGCATTCACAGCCAAAGAATTGGTCGTTCGAGGCCCACCGTCCGCAGTTTGACCTTTGGTGCCACAAGGCACAAGGCCGTATCGTTATCGTCTTCATTCGGGATGACCACGAGCCATTACCATCATTCTCTCCTCCAACCTGATTTATACCAAACTCCTTGCATTCTAGTAACACCCTGCAGCTGTTAAGGTTCTGTCAGGCGCAGGAAAACTTGGCGGACTGTTGCGGGTTGATCTTGAATTCGTGTCGAGCATCTACTTACATCCTGGTTAAACCTGGATATTCATTTCACATGGTTGCTATGTGAACATCACCCCACAAACTGGTTACATCATTGCCTGCCTCTGTCTCCCGGCCTTGGTTATCATCGAATTTCTACCGGTCACCGACTATTCCCTCGAATTCATCCGTCAAATCCGAAGCAAGCTAGGTGCCTCAGTCAAACGGTGCCAACCATCTGCCCATCCTGACCAAATCTGATATCGTCGGAATCCTCAATGCCACACCCTCTGGAATGAAAAGGCAGACATAAGATGTGGCGATGACTATCCAATAACGGTGCGCACAAGCAGTAGGAGGTTGCTTCATCACCCGCGATAGAGCCAAGATGGGTAATTCTCAGACGAAGGAGGCACGTGGGCAGGGCTCTACAGGCTCTCGGGTCAGTGGCAGCAATAGCCCGGCTCTGCGACAGGATGGACAAGCAAATGGCCAGGAAATACCGATTCGACCATATTCATCTTCTCGACAGACAAGAGCAGCTCGCGATTTCACCTTTCTCGGAATTGGGGGAAGCAGTGACCAAGACGCCCCATCGCTCGAAGCGAAAAGGGAAACAAAACAGGAAAGGGAAGCAAGGAAGGCAGAGAAAGAGAGAGCAGCAAGACTCAAGGAGCGCGAGCGGAGCATGAAAGAGGAGAATGTTGATGGTGGCTATCTCGTCACACAGGGTGTTTACGTTGGCGCGGAAGATTTCAACAAAGGTATTGTTCGGCAACTCATGGTAAGTAATGCTCACATGGCAGAGGATATCTACTATGCTGATACGAGTGCAGATTGAACGCAGGCTAGCGCCGTTCTGGAGAGGCTTAAACGACTTTTCGGATTCCTGGGCTGAACATCAGCTTATGGCTGCCGCTCGAGGTATGGCAATCCCTCCGGCCGACGAGGTACCTCCGGAACTCGAATACCAGCTTGCCAAAAGAATCACATCAGACAAAACCACTCAGTCAGCCATGAAGAACCTCACAATACCCATCCAAGGCAGGTCACAGTCATTCCAGTCGGACAGATCAGCTCCTCTGTCGCCTGCTATGAATTCTTTACCGCTCCCTTCTCCCGGTTCTATGCGGCCCGCCAGCCCTAGCGGCAACATCTTGAGCAGAACTCGAGCTAAAACATTGGCTTCATTGACGACATCTTCTCGGGGCAGTTCTCAAGCTGATATGACGCCCAGAGAGTTCCAACTCCCTCCAGACCCTTTTGTGAATGGACAGCCAATCGAAGTCTACCTATATAAAGATGCCGCAGAATGCCCCATTTGCTTTTTATATTATCCGCCATATCTCAACACCACTAGATGCTGTGAACAACCAATCTGCTCAGAATGTTTCGTGCAGATAAAGAGGCCAGATCCGCATCCTCCCGAACATGAACAGCCCGATCCAAATGCACCGCCTGTTCCAGAAGCTGAACGTGAAGCACAAGCGGAAGGCTTGCTTGTCTCGGAGATTGCGACATGCCCCTACTGCAAGACACCTGATTTCGGCATTACATATACACCACCGCCATTCCGCAGAGGGCTGACCTATGGTGTTGGATCTCAACCGTACCAGATTATGTCAGCGAGGTCTTCTCAAACCTCCGTATCTTCAGGAAATCTGTCTCCTGGTCCTGGCCGAAGACGCGGGACCTCACTCTCAGCAAATGCGCCTGAAGTGATTACCACCGACAAGATTCGTCCGGACTGGGCCACCAAACTTGCAGCTGCTCGAGCTCATGCTGCTCGCCGATCTGCAGCAGCCACCGCTTTACACACAGCAGCCTATTTAATGAACGGCCAAAACCCTGATTCCAGATCGTTCTCAGGGTTCGGCCGAAGAAACGTGCTCAGGCGATCAACACTGGACAATGTTGAGAGCAACAGCAATCCTAGTTTGAATGCTCTTGCCATGCTAGCGGAGCGGCATGCTGCACGTCAGCAAGAGTCTTCTCCTAACGAAAGTCGACCAAATCCATTTTTGCCTCCTCCACGCGGAAGCAGCTCTCGGAGGAGTCGGATGGATGACCTTGAAGATATGATGATGATGGAAGCCATCAGATTAAGCTTAGCATCCGAAGAAGACCGTCGGAGGAAGGAAGAAAAAGAAGCTCGCAAAGAAGCAAAGAGAAAAGAAAAGGAAAGCAAAAAGGTGGAAAAGGCTGCCAGGAAGAACAGTCTTTTCACTCTCAACTCCAACACCAGTACTGCTGACGCATCCAGCATGGAGAGATCTCGCAGCAATCTGTCCCTAGGTCAAGATGACGACTCTATCTCCGGAAAGGGCAAAGGCGTCGAGCGTGATGGGACCCCTCCCCAGGAAGGAGCGAAGCTGGAGGATGAGAGCCTACGGCCGTCGTATATCCCAGCTCTATCACTCTCGGGTACGAGTCAAGAATCCATCGCATCGTCCATTCCAATTCCCACCGCCTCCGAGCCCTTTCGGAGATCACACCTCCGACAGATGTCCAATGCTTCATCAGCCTCGTCTTCGTTTGTTGAGTCAGGTCCCGTGGCTACTTTTTCGGGTACTGGGACACCACCACCAGGAAGCTTGGAGCCAATGTTCAATTTTAGAAGTCTGGCAGCCATGATTGGCCAGGACGAGAAAGGGGAGAACAGCGCACACGTTGAGAATGCTGATGAACCCTCACCAACCTCGTTTGAAGAAGATCAAGGCCACTCACCGTTGGCCAAGGACGAAGGCGCCCCAACAATGGGTGATATGAGTCCTTCTGGATCTTCAGAAACGGACTCTAGGAAGGTATCTGAGGATGACTCGGCGTTGACGAAGGAGAGACATGTCGTTGAGACATCGGCAGCTGTCTCAGATGTATGAAATTGAAGAGACCAGGAATATCGGATGTCAGGATAGGGAACTGCGGCGTTCGGAGCGATCCCCTCTGGTTCGATGCCGAGAACATCTTGCCATTTTTCTTGGAATGGTCCACGCATGACGGATTCGTACAATGTTGGACTCTTGAGAGATGAGTCCCGGGGTGGATTATGTCACTCACTGCCTCTCGAGTTATGAAGAGCATTCGGGAGGATTTATCTGCGGCTGGTTGCTGCAGGAAGACGTACGAGTGCCACTTCTCGAAATATAGAGCTTCAGAAATACATGTGGAATGTCTCTTGTCACCTGTGGCATGGTGTCATTTCGCTTTTATTTGAAACGTCCGAAGCAAATGCTTAGATATCAGGCCATGATTGGTGCATCGCAACGCGACACCTCATTTCCCAGAGAAGTGGAAGTGCGTTGGCGGCCAATACCACGACCTGCTTGCTAGTTCTAACTTGCTCGTCTACAAACAGTCAATCCCTTGCTTAGTACCTGATTTCCTGCATGCAGCCAATATTGAAGGGGAAGCTGTTCAGGGTCGCCGGCTAACCACTACGTATTCACCGCACCCTCTGACACATGGAGCGCGGCTAGAAGATCAAGCATAAACCTCTCTCCGTTCACCTACGACTTCAGCACATTCACTGCTACGACCACGCCGAAGATGGCCCCAGACCTCAACTCCATTTCACGCTCACCCCGCAACGGTCCAAATCCTCAAAGCTCGCAATCAACGATACCTTCATCTTCCTCACATTCTGCCTCCAGGCGAACATCAACCCAGATGCTCCCTCCTCCCCTTCCACGGACGGACAGCAGTCTACCCAGCTCGCCCCGAGCAGCGCAGGCTACAATGGCCGACAATACAGGCGTCGGTCTCGGCCCAGGTCCGTCAATTCGAATCATGTCAATTCATACCTGGCCTCATTCACTGACAACGATAAGCAGGTCCAATCAGGCACCCCAGACCCTTAACCGCAGCCGAACTACACCTCGAACTGGAGAAAGAGCAAGAGAGCATTGTGCGTCTAATCCCTCCCTCTGTCATTGCAGGTCAAGCTGATAACGATACCAGGTAAACCGCCTAACCCGCGAACTTTCCGCCCTGCGTGCTCAAACTGCCTCCGTCGCATCCACCACTTCCTCAACATCCGACCACTTCTTCTCGTCCAGCGACCCCTACACCACAACCGGGACTAGCACGACCATTATTCCCACAACAACACGCCGACACCGCAGCAGTTCGAATCTCTCAACGCGCTCGGCGCGGAGCATACGGGACAACCTCGCCAACACTGCGAACACGAGCGTTTCGGGTGTCGCCGCACCACGCGACCAAAGTAGTCGTCCGAGCATGGAACTCACACGACCGGACATGAGTCGGCAGAACAGCATGAGCGCGAACGCGGCGGGCATGGGACTAAGCTTTAGGAGTAGCAGCAGCATGACAGGCTCGCCTCATATGACACAGACAAGCACGAGTGCGGGTGCATATGTGGGTGCTGGGTATCCTCATCGGAGTAGTGTGTCGAGCAATGCACCCAACGCCGTGGGTGATGGAGGCGGTTTCCCTCGGAGTCCCAGCGCGAATGCGGCGGCAGCGGCCATGAGGTATGAGGAAGCTGCTATGCAGAGGGCGGAGCTGGAGGCGGTGAAGCGAGAGAATGAGATTCTCAGAGCGAGGGTGAAGGAGCTGGAGAAGAGTTTGAGTAAGGCCAACGAAGTGACGAGCGAGATGACACCCGCATCCGGGACGGCACCCTCTGTTTTGTGACGAGCTAATCGCCTACGGGGTTGAGGCGAGGTGGGATGAATACGACCAGCACATCTGCCTGGACTCTGGAGCGGAAGACTTGCAAAGTGCATCTACGAAAAAACGGACAATTGCTAACGAACATTGAATGAATTGCGGGATGAGCCACGAATTGCTATTGGGACATTGGCAAAGAACGATTCATACGCGGTGAATATGCATGGTGTTGTGGGAGTTCTTGATATGTCCTTCTTTTCAGTTGAGTAAGCGAAGGGGCTTGGAACAGGGAGCTTGCTTGAATGGTTCAAAGTTCAGATAGATAAAAATTGGCCACTGTTGAAAATGTTGGATCTCAGCCCCGGAAAGCTGGCGAAACTCCATGTCGTTCAGACGATGAGAACCTGCAAAGTGACCAAGCTGCCACTCGTAGTATCCCTCAGACACCACAGTCCACCGTTTCTCCATCTCGAACCCATGTAAGAGGTGGCTGTTGAGCTGACTACGATCGATGGCCCCTAGCATTCCTCCGGCCAGACGGGCAATGTGCCCATCAACTCATTCGGCTCTTTATAGATCGACTTTGATAGCTTCTTTTGCTCACGCAGGGCCATATAAAGGCCTGGACGTTTTGATCGGAGAACGCAGGTTGGCTCGTCGGGTGGCTGCTGCGTTCCGCCTGTTTGATGAACCGCTTGTTCCGCGATCAGAGCATCCCAGGAGCTGTCAGACTATGGAGAACATTGCTCGCGGATGCTGAGTATATGCCATATCCTACTTGGGCCCGGCTCCATGATATCTTGCGTTGCTAAAGTCCAAATGTCCCACTCATCGGTTGCAACCTGGGGGCGACTGTCTCTGGCTCCAAAGCACTATTGTCCTCGGTCGGAAGTGCTGTCAATGGGGACAGGGCATGCTGCTGGCAGCGTTCACTGAGCAGCGCAGATGAAAATCGTTACGAGTCTCCCGAGTGCGCTCATTTCAACTCCAACAGTCTAGGCTCCCTCGTCGCATTCTGCGCCTTTTCGCTCGCCTTCTCGCTACCCTGGACAACCTTTTCTTTGACCTCGTTCGCGGTCGTTCTTGCCTTATCCTTTCCCGCCGTCACGGCATCCTTGACATTCCTCTCAATATCCTTGGCCGCTGTCCTTGCCTTGTCCTTTCCCTCTGCCACAATATTCTTGACACTGCTCTCGAGCTCTTCCGCTGTAACCCTGGCTTTTTGTTCAAGCTCCTGCGCAGGCTGACTCGAACGCACCTTGTTCCACGTCGCGGCAATCGTGCTTTCCCACTGCTCGCGTTTGGCCGCCCAATCGGTAGTCTGTACGTTGCGCACGAGCTTCTCGATCTCGCTGTTCCAATGGTCCTTGAGCTCTTCAACCAGGCCGGCCTTGCGGACTTCGTATGCCGGAGGTTCTGGAAGAGGAGGAGGCGGTTCGACGACCGAGTTAAGTAGGTTGGCTTGTTGTTTTAGAAGCGTTTTTTGGACGTTGCGGTTCGCTCGATGGACGTAGAGTGACATGTAGAGCAGGGAGTACGTGAGGGTGAGGCCGCCGAGCTGTCACAGGGTGATTAGAATGGAGGAGATGATTTAGAAGGGGAGGAGCTCCACTTACAAAGCCCGTTGTGAAGCCCATGCTGGCCGTGGAGTGCTGATATGTTACTTGAGCTGGCGTAGATATTCACAAGCTCGATCTGAGGCCTCGAGAGCTCCGAGTACCAAGTAACGTGGTGTGCTCAGACTTAGCAGGAGTTGCGAATGATGGGCTTCGTTTTATCCGAATTGGCCTGGGAGGGGGGCAAGGAGTAGAAGTTTTGTGCCTTTCGTCTGTACAATGAGGATTCGTTCCATCTAGCCGATATCAAACGAGCTCCGAAGCATCGAAAAGTTCCTGGCAGAGAGTGGCAGAGGTTGCGGCATGGGCAGAAGCGTTCTGCCGAAGTAACTACTGGGGACCGCTACGCCGAGTCCGCAAAGAGCTGCACGAACTGAAATTGGTCGTGATCATTCCCGATCATTCTACCAGCCAGTTCAATGGAGCACTTTTCTCATGAAACGATAAGATTGTCATTCGTTATCGTCACAAACTCTAGCATCTCAGCGTCTGAATAATGCATACACTCGGCATTCTGACTTCAACACAATCGCATGGACATAACAATTTCCTCTTCTGGATGACCTATGTCGAGAGACAGGTATCTTTCTCCCGTTGATCCGATGTTGGTAGTGCAGGTTTGCAGCTCCTCTTCGGGCTGTCGAACTGCCCCAAACTCTCAATCTCTGGTCGTGTGAAGGTTTGAGAGTGCAATCTCCTGGTTAGAAGCATGCGAAGCCGAAGGCGACCCTGCCGTATTCTCATCCCATTTCACCGCTCTGATGGATGCCTGCTGACGAAGCCGTTTCTTGTGCGCTGTACGACGCCAGCAAAAGAAGAGAGCAACGGCCAGAAAGGCGGTCACTCCGACAACAACGCCAACGACAATCCCTGCTATTGCCCCGCCTGAAAGGTGTGACGAGGATGAACCCGAGCTTTGTGAAGGGCTGGATGCTGTAGCAGATGCACCTGCTGCTGTAGCGGAGGGGGTCGAGTCAGGCTCAGTGATACTGTAGTCGTCAATTGTGGCATTGAAGCACGGAACTTGGTAAGTAAATTGGCTGGTCGAGACATAGGTGATGTCGGCACAGGCATAAAACGTTTCATTTTTATCAGTGTCGAAATCGGATGTGTACTTGATCTGCAAGGTGGCATTCGCACCCGCTTCGATGTCGACAGGGGGACTCGGAATTGGGTAGCATTGATGTCCTTCATCCAATTCTGGGATTCTCATCGCTGCGATGACTGTCTCGAAATCCTCGTTGGAGGTTGGGTCTGGCGTTGTCAGCACCTATTCATAACATGCTACTGGTTTTGTCTTACTGTTCCGGTAAGATATAGCGACCTGAATCGACCAGGATTCATCCTGAGCCACAAGAGCAACCTGACCGTTCACTGTGGCTTGTCAACAGAGTCTCCCATGAGCTGACTATACCACATACACAGTGGATACTGAGTTCTGTTCGAAACTCCTGCTGCTGAGCCACAAGGAGCAGTATTGTCTTGGGCGGCACCCCATTCACGATCAGGTGGCCACATAAAGGCCACAGGTCCCATGGTTTGGGCGTAATCATCTCCGTGATCCGCCAGTGCAAGGCTTGCGGCATATATGCCGACAAAGGAGAGGGCCAAATGGGTCTTCATTGCGACAGCTTGTGGAAATCCCAATACAGACGAACAGAATATTCTGAGAGCAAATGCCAGCAGAGGGTGAGTATCATTAACAGGTTGAGGCAGCACGACTTATGCCTTTGAGAAAGACGAAAGATGATACAGATCTTCCTTACGAGCCGAAGTCACCCACATTTATCTGACTCGCCTCTGCCTCTCGGCTACAGAAACTGCAGTTCGAAGCCATGCTTCCGAAGCAAAGACGTTCCCAGCCGCTTCCGATGTCGCTTTGCTAGAACAACAATGTCAGTGCCGTTCCCGAGAGAAGAACTAGGTGGTGTGACTCACACCTTACTCTTCGCTTGAAAGTTCTTGTCGTATGGGTGCGTGCTGGTGCTGGTGTGGACAAGCGACCAGTGCAGAAGATGGGCAGCACTAGCCAATGGAGAATGCAAGCCCTCTCCCTTGGCATCTAATCTGATTAGATACTCCTACCTTGGCGACCACAAATCTTGTTCAGCAGTCGAAATAATTGGACCATAATTCCCTTCAAATTTGTGTTGGTTGGTTCGAAAACCCCTCGTCAGACGGATGTGTTTATGATAAGATAAGATAAATCGCGCATTCCAAGAGAGACCGGTTCTGCAGGTCATGAACTATCGAATCCTCGGCTCTCAAGGGCAAGCCACCTCTCAACACAAGCGACCAACAGATTCCTTCGTTCTCTGCATCCAAGGCTTCAATGAAGGCCTGTGACTGGTGGTAGCCCCTCGATGTTTCATGGCAACACTCCACTGCGGAAGGCGAACATGAACGGTATCGATGAATAACCGGTCTCCGGGCTCGTTGAGAGTCAAAATCTTGGGATCTTGCTTGTGCTCTGTGATTCCAAGGAGCTATATGAGTATGTCAGTGTGCTGTGCTCTTCTCCTTCCGTCAATCTTTCAAGTACAATATCCTTGCTGGTGTTGACTACGCCCACCCCTACAGAACTTGCTCAAGACTTTTACACGCTTCAAGATGCGTGCTTCGATACTGGCCATTGCAGGCTTCGCCGTCATCTATCCAGCAGTAGCCCTGGTATTCCCAGAAGCTGTACCTCTCTACCGCCGACAAGCACCAGGAACCCCGGAATATGACTGCCATGCCAACTGTGGTAGGTGTCTGCTCTGTTGTGGGAGCACCGTTTTTCTCTTCATCTAAAGCTAATCGATGATCAGGAGCTGTGATCGTCGATGGTCGTACCACGGGCTACTGCGACTCCGCAAACTTCACCACTGTGCTCGACGCTTGCCTTGACTGCGCGCTGCAGTACGATATCTGGCAGTACTATGGCAACAGTGTTTCTGAGGCTGCTGAGGGTTGTGGTCTAGATGCAACGCCTATTCCCGCGAATTCCACCACTGCAGCCAACAGCACCTCTGTATCTGTTACGACCTCACAGACTGCAACTTCGTCCGAGGGGACGACAACAAGCTCGCCTGCTACGTCTTCAGCCACCGAAGGGTCTTCGACTGTGGTGACAACTAGTGCTACGGTATGTAACAGCCCCACAACAAGTTGATGTGCCATGTCCAGAATATTGCTGACGACGCGCCCAAATTACAGACCGCGACCGCAGCTACCTCCAGTTCTCCAACCGCAGAGTCGGCTGACAGCGCTGGAAGCAAGGCTTATGTCAACAGTGGCCTTGCCATGGTTGCTATTCCAGCTTTGCTCGCCTGCTTCATTTAGCGAATAAGGCTGAGACGTTAATGGCAAGCAAATCCTCGAGCAGGCCACCATGTTGAAGAGGACATATTGCAGTACAATGATACAATAATAAATCATCAGCCTGGCGGCGATGTGCCAATAAGAAGCGCGATTTAAGGCTCGAAACTCCCTTTGGGCTATCAATCTGGAAGCGTTATGTTCATCGAATTCGACTTCGACTATTTGAGCATGAACATGGAGAGGAATTGCTGGATATAAACCCAGCTAGCAGGGCACTCTCAGCTTTAGTAGGGAAGCAGCTCTGGGACGGTAGGCATCTAAGATGTCCGTTGAGGCAAAAAGGTCTTTGAGGGTTACCCAGCGCTATGTCGAAGCCTTGAATGTACTACTAAGGGCACGAATCCTGTCAAGTCGATTAAGATATCCCTTTCAAAACCTCCAATAATTGCAAGGTCACCTCGTGACTGATCGCTTTGATTGCGGACGTCCACCAGGACCAGGACTAAGTACTTGTTCGCAGGTCACAGTAGTAGTATTCCGTAGTAAGGGGGAACCTTTTGGCGCAGCCTTACCTTGGCGCCGAGACGAGGCTGTCCTGTAGATCCATTGGCGGAGAGAAAGTTCAAGCTGCGGTCGACCTCAACTTCTTTCAAAACCAGAAGATCCCTTCCTTCACGACCAGACCTTCAACATAGTGGGCGTTGCAAACCTATCCTCTTAATTTACTCCCTCTTTCAACGCTTGTTCTTACTTCCTCCAGCCGCAAGGGCTCGTTTCCTTAATACACCAATCGTGCTTCGAGTTCAGGACCTTCGCCCCTACCAACGCAGTCAGTCAAACCAACGACATTCGCGTCTCCAGCTTCTAGCTGAGCCCGGAAGCCCTAGCTTCCAGATCACCTCACAATGTCCTCCATAAAATACCGGCATCTAAGCCGTGACTCCGCCCACCGCCGCGCCCTACTACGAAACCTAGTCACATCGCTCATCGCAAATGAATCCATATCCACGACCTACGCCAAAGCCAAAGAAGCGCAACGTTTGGCCGAAAAACTGATCACGCTGGGCAAGAAGAACACAAATGCGGCCAGACAGCGGGCGAAGTCTATATTCTTTGTACGCACCCCTCTGCCCCGTGTCTATTGGTAATTTCCCGCTAACTCGCCCCCGATCAACAGGAACCGGACAGACACATGGAGAAACTCTTCGACACCCTGCGCACGCGCTACGAGCACCGTCCCGGCGGTTACACTCGCCTTCTCCGCCAGGAGCCCATACGCGACGACCATGCGCCGTCCGCCATCCTTTCACTCGTTGACGGCCCGCGGGACATGCGCTTCAGTATGACTGCGAAGGCGCTTGTGCGGCAGCGCAAGGAGAATTTGCCCATGCACGAGCTCACGGCGGTGAATATACGCAAGGTCACAAGATTCAGAGACGGTGGTGAGGAGGCATTAGAGGAGGAGGTCAAAAGCTTGGAGGGCGCTATGGAAGCGCAGGACCTCGAGGAGAAGGAGTCATTTGAGCAGGACGGGACGACGTATGAGTGGGTGCGGGGCGAGAAGGATCGGCGGACAGGCGTGAAGGGGAAGGAGAAGAAGGGCCCGGGACGGTTGAGGAGGCAGCGGGTTGGGGAGGATCAGGAGTTTTGAGGAATGTGAAGGGGAGTTGTTGTATAATGTATCATCAGCGTGTGAAAGCATACTCTTGCCTGGAAGACAATGTCACTATTTAGAAACAAAACATCCATGCTACCTGGGTATCAAAATTGTTCATGGTCGAGCGCCTCTCGCCTCCTTGGCCCCCCAGTTAGCCTTCCAGCTAACGCAGCCATGATAAGGCCGTTAACATGCAATTGGCCCCATCTTTCGCTACAGTCTCTGACAGCTTGCATGAATGGTTGCTGGTTGCTCATTATAGCTGCAGGTCTTCGTCATGATACTGCTCTCTCACCACCCTGTAGAGATAGCCCGTGCTCACCACGGCAGGAATTTGGTTGGTCACAAACAAATCGACGTCTCCAGCCTCGACATAGTCGTACAACGGATTTCTGACAGCAACATCCAGACCTGTACGCAGCTCACCATCTTGTAGGGGTACCACTTTCCCGGCGTCACCGTATTCGATCAGCTTATAAGGGTCGTATGGGTATGTCGGTGACAGCTTGTACGTCGCAGCCAGTACAACTACTGGCACGCGGTGGAATCGGGCGGCTTTGATCACAGCCTTTGTCCCTGCGGCAGCCACCAGCGAGCCATTCGTCAAAACAGCATGTGTATCGAGAATGACCTTGGTAGCTTGCGACATGACTGCAAATATGGCCGAGTCGGGAATCATGACGACAGTTATGCCAGCTGAGGTCAACGGTTTGGAAAAGGCTTCGTTAGGTAGCATATCGTCATCCTCGGCACCGTCTTGGGAGCCTGTAAGTAGACCGTGGGTCTTCTGGTGATTGTTTGGGTATGCTTCTGCATGGATGACAGTAAACTTGCGTTTGGACGCAGCTCTGAGTAGAAAGCGCTGTACGGTGACAGAGGAGGAATATGTGAGAATGGTTTCCTGTGGATGGACCTGGTCGAGGGCAGCGGATGAGATCTCGTCGTCGGAGCCGTTGATCTCGTCGATGATCTCTTTGATGCCTTTAATAACTTCCTGACGGAGGTTGGAAAGCATTCCTGACAGAGTCATTCGAGGTGTGACGGTGCCGCTGCCGTGGGCCGGTGAATCGCCCCCTGAGGGTCGCATAGTTGGATGAGAGATAATGCTGAACATGGAGGTAACCGGGCGGGCGCCGCCTGGTGCGCCGGTGTGTGAGGATAGTAACGGAGGACGGGTCATGCCGCGTTGCGGTGATGGACTGGCGTTCGTGTCGAATGGTCTTGAGAAGCCGTTGGGTATTGAATGAGAGAGTGAGGGTCGTTCAAGAGGTGCAGGAGAATCAAGGCCAGCATCACTCTCTGCGCTGCCTCCTTCTGCTCCGGCGGCTGCGTCGTCTTCGGCTTCTTCTCGGATTATCCCAAGGACCCTGCGTACTATGTTCCCAACCGCGGGTTCATGTGGTGCAGCGTTCATGAGCTTTTTGCCAACCTCGGTGACTCTGTGAATTAGTCTGTCAGAGTCGGCTTGCTTGCTCAGTTCGACTGTGCGAAGGAGGAGGAGCGTAGTTGCGACAGCGCATCGTTTTGATCCTTTGATCTGCCGTCGTTTGAGCAATCTGGAGTCTTGTTAATTAGGAACAAGTGCAGTTGAGAGACGGTACTTACGAGACGAGGTAGGTTGTGGATGAGTCGACCGGTTCAGTAGAGAGGACTCGCTGAAAACTGGAGAACCCAGGGGTCAAAGGTGCTGCCGTGGGCGCCATGGTGGCAGCCCTTGACTTGGAAAGCTAAGTATGTGGACGAGGCTCGATATTGAGGGAGACACCCAAGATGTAAGTCAAGAAGTCTCTGATGGTGCTGGGTGAACCGCCTGCTCGGGCTTCACAGTCGGCGCTGTGTGTGTACAGTCAGTCGTGTGCTGCAGGTTTGTAAATGATTGATGTGGTTGTCGGCCGAATCTTTTCTTGTAGCACCAAAAAGTTGTGGATGAACTGAGGTATGACTCGTTTTGTGGAGGTCCAGATTTGGGTGCAGGTCCACAGGTCAGCCTCAGGCACGAGGCACCATCCGCCATCAGCAATCTGCAATGAGCACTATCAGCACTTCCACGCCAGCCACCAAAGACACCCCCACCACAACTGCTCGTCTCGTTTCATCCCGGCGACCTTGTCCTTGCCATCCTTCTTCGATGCTCATCTGCTTCTTGTCACGCCAGTTACGACCTCTACTTTGCAGCTCATAGACCTTGTCATCAGTACATTGACTATGGGAGCATTTCAAGCAATCTATTTCGCGTCCTTCTAGTCCGCTTCGCGCCATTTCCCCCACCTTCGTTTCCTGTCGGCATGCCCTCGTCATAACACCCTCCCGAAGTGAATCGAGCCAAGTGCGACAGCTGCCTTGAAGCCGGCTGCGCTCACATTACTATCCTTCTCCGCGCGCGCGACCTCCGCGCAGGAGAATGAACTCTCTCAACCTCATCTCATCCCGAGTTATCGGACAGAGCCCACAACCTGCACGGCCCCGCTCGCGCTCGCAAGGTGACCTCTTGAAAAAGGAGTACGGCGACGAGACTCATAGGGGAAGATCATACAGCGACGACCGTACGGCTCAGATAAAGAAAGAGGCTGATGCCGAGTCATCACATTTGCTTGATGCTGCACCATCCGCCGACGACGAACCGCTCTCGGTCAAAGACGAAGAAGAGAAAGACCCACTCTTGGGCTATGAAGACAAGAGAGAGGTGTCTCCCGAATATCATGGATGGCGCGCATTCGTAAAGAGATTGACAGATGCCATTACCGCAATCCTGGCTGCCATTGGGGCTCCGGTCGTCTATGTCGCAAAGTGCTTCAGAGATCAAGACGGCAGTTTCTCACCAGTTCCACGATGGCAACGGCGGGAGCGCATATCAAATAGCAGCACAGCTAGTGCTATGGGACTTGCTAATGCTACTCACGACAGTACATGGAGCTCCGAAAAGCCCACAAGTCGTGCCCTGCAAGAAACGAAGTTACGGCACTCTTACTCAAGTGATTCATTGAACAACACCTCCGGTTCCGAGTTGGAGCTACGCAAGGCGGAGAAGACTTCTAGGAAGCCAAAACCGAAGCGAGAAAAGAGTGGCCGCGAAGACTCGGAGACCCGAAGATCGTCGATCCGTATCAAGGAGCAGACGGATCCCGCCCTTAAACGACGAAGGCAGAAGAAGGCAGCCAGTCCCCTTGGGGACAACGCCCCATTGACCGTTGACAACATCAAATCTCCTACGTCTCCCTCACTGTCGTTGAAGATCACGAGATATCCACATGCACCTCAACCACCACGGCCGCTGATCCCGCGAAGACAGCCCTCGTATGCCAATCTTGTTCCTCGATCCCCAACTCGTGGTCCAGCACCACTTCAGCAGAAGACATTGGTTTTAGACCTCGACGAAACTTTGATCCATTCATTAGCGAAGGGAGGCCGCATGTCTTCAGGCCATATGGTCGAAGTCAAATTGAACGTGCCGGTAGCATTGAGCTCACCTCAGCCAGGGCAGGTGGCATCAGTGCTTGGCCCTCAACACCCCATTCTGTATTATGTGCACAAGCGACCTCATTGCGATGAATTCTTGCGAAAGGTCTCCAAGTGGTACAAGTTGGTCGTGTTCACTGCATCGGTGCAGGAATACGCCGATCCAGTGGTTGACTGGCTGGAACAGGAACGAAAATACTTTGTTGGCAGATATTACCGGCAACATTGCACGTTCCGGAACGGTGCATACATCAAGGATTTGAGCAGTATCGAACCGGATCTGAGTAAAGTCATGATTCTCGATAACAGCCCAGTCAGCTATTTTTTCCATGAAGGTGGGACAGCCCCAGAAGAAGATGAAAAGCCAGAAGCTGACCTGAAATTTCTAGACAATGCGATACCTATTGAGGGATGGATCAATGACCCGACGGACAACGATTTGCTTCATTTGATACCCATGTTAGAGGCTCTGCAGTATGTCACGGACGTGAGGGCTCTGCTAGCTCTTCGACGAGGGGAGGCAGAGGCGGCCTCGTAGATTGTGTCACAATGTCATCTATTTTCTCTACAACAAATTTTCCGATCTTCTGTCGTTGCCTGTGAGCTTGTGAGGAGAACCCCGGACGCGTGCCGCAGACCCCAAGGACTCATCCACAGCCTTGATGAAGCATTACCACATTACCTACCTAGGTATAGAGATGGGTGGCTGGAATATCCGGTCGTAGGATCCGATAGCCGGAACCAGGCTGGATTGAGCTTACCTAGGTATCCTTGCCATTGCCATTGCCATTGCCATTGCCATGTCATCCTCATCCTCCAATAAGTGGACGATGTTCTGACAATCATTGCTGCCTTTGCAACATTGCCGAATGCAGACCGCATCAAAGGAGCCGACCCTCCGGTCGCTGCGCCTTTTGATTCTTCCACATTGCATGGCCATGCATGACTTCGTTTTCGCTCATTTCTTTTCTGCGCTTCCTCTTCCGAAATCCATCAGGTTGCGGTACACGCTCATTGTCGTTTGCGTCTGTTCTGTGCAAAGGTTTTTGAATAGATATATCAGAATATACATTTCTCTTCGGGTTTTCATTGCCAGTACTGCGTACTCGCCCCTCTTTACCCGTGGTCTTCTTCCAACTGGAATGGCTTCACCAAGCATTAGACCATGTCCATGAACGAGCCTCATATCCCAGATGATTATCCATCGCCCTTGGTGAAGGATTCTTACGTCGGACCCTCGTCCTCCTCTTCACGAATTCCACCTGTCCGAAACGACGCCACAAAAGCCCATCTTGACGTTCCCTCTTTCCATCGACATTCTAGACCTTCTCTCGACAGCACATATTCCGAGTTGTCCGAGCTGTCATTTCACTCGAACGAACTACAAACCCGCCATCCTCTCATCCGCAGCATATCTCAAGATGCCAGATCAACAGACTTGTGGTGGCGTCGCATCCCGGCTGCCTTCCATCGTTTTTACGTCTTCAACTATGGCGCTATGCTCGTTGTCCTCGCGCAGTTCTTCGGCGTGGGTATGAACGTGAGCACTCGGTTGCTGGAAACGGCAGGCTCTCATGGCGAACCGATGCATCCCTACCAGATCCTCTTCGTTCGGCAGTCCATCACGGCTTCCCTCTGCACCGCTTATGGTCTGTACACCAAATCCGTGCCTGATTTTCCCTTGGGACCCCGCCAAGTCAGGTGGCTGCTTGTGGCTCGAGGTGTATGCGGTTTCCTGGGTGTCTTTGGCATGTACTTCAGCCTGCTATATCTCCCACTGAGCGAGGCAACAGTTCTGACGTTCCTGTCACCGATCTTGAGCTGCTATCTCTGCACTTTCATCATTCCCGGAGAAACATTTAGCAGACAACAGCAGTTGGCAGGCCTTGTCAGTTTGATAGGAGTCATCTTCATTGCCCAACCAGCGTCCCTCCTATCGTCGTCAACCACTTCAGCCGAAACGTCGACCCCGTCTGTAATACCAGCCTCGAATTCCACCGCTGTCGAGAGCCCTTCTTCGCAAGGCCCGGACCAACATCAGCATCTGGTTGCCATCGGCATAGCAATGATAGGTGTTGTAGGATCGACAGGGGCCTATACATCCATTCGCGCCATCGGCACACGGGCTCACGCTTTCATCAGCATCAATTACTTCAGCATTTGGTGCACCATTGTCTCCTTGTTCTGTCTGATCGTCTTTCCTGACGTCAAATTCCGGCTGCCAGCTAACCTGATCGAATGGAGCTTGCTGATCAGCCTCGGAGTCTGTGGCTTCGTCATGCAATTCCTCCTTACGGCAGGGTTGTCCTATGGCGGACCTGCTGATCCCTCGCAAACCTTGCAGCGGACGGTGACTCAGTCACACCAGAAATTCACAGACGTCGAAAGCCGTGATTTAACGACTGTCCCCGAGGGGGTTGAGGGCGGCGCGGCGAGACAATGGTCCATCCCCAAGCCATCTGCAAGTGGCTCTGGTACCAGAGCGACCAGTATGGTTTACACCCAGATGTTCTTCGCATTAGCGGGCGACAAGCTCGTCTTTGGTATTACTCCTACCACAATGAGCTGGGTCGGTAGTGTGCTCATCCTGGCCGGAGCTGTCTGGGTTGCTGCTGCCAGAGATACCGCAACGAACCACGAGCGTGCCTGCAGTGACGGAGGTTCTGGTACCGATGCTGTAGTGCTTACTGCTCACGGCCCCGCCAAGGCAACACAATCAACCGAAGAAGTCGTTGGATTGATGCAGGACCACGAGGCAGATCACCTATACGATCGTCAGCATGAGGCCGATGGTCTCGGAACTGAACCAAATGGTAACCGAACCGTTGAGACTATGGAATTGCATGAGCTGCGGACTACCATCAGCCGCTAATGAATCGGAACACGCAGGCCTTCGCGCCCTCCTTGAGACAGTGAAGTGGTGGTTCACGTGCCCTTTCGAACGCACCAGTCATTTCGGTAGGCAATCGACATATGACTGGGGAGGATATAAATACAAAATTACATACCATAGACTCGGGGACTACAGCATAACGAAGTATTGCCAATTTAGTTGTCCTTTTCCTCCCAATGTAAACTCTTCAAGCCACCAGGGTCCAGTCAGGTGCACAGGAGGATTGTATGCCTTCAAACCTTCTCATCAGCAAAGCCGCAGCTACGACGGCCAGTTCTTATGCCGCATGCAAGCCCACCAAAGAAGGTGCTTTCGACCATGCTGCAACAATACTTCAAAGTTTACGCTTGAACCAGGGTTGATAAACACGGATGGCTTGGTCGTCTCCAAATCGTATATCAAATGCTTGAAAGTGACCAATTTCGACTGCGGTAACATGTAGGGCTGGGTCGTTTGGAAGTAGTTCGACGCGTTTTGGGGCTACGTACTGCCTGAGGAGCACCGTCTCCAGGATCCAAAGCGCTTGTCAGAACCCGTGGAAGCATGGTCGCCGCCATCTTCTTCCAGGTTCATTGCCTATTCAGTCAAGCGTGGTAGCGCTCGATCCCATTTCCTTGAAAGTGTTTGTTTGATGAATTTTGCACCAATCTTCCGCCACTCATTTTCATACAGCGCAAGCAATCCTATCCCATGGTATGCGGTGCATTGTGCCGTGCAATCCATGCAGTCCCTTACCATTTGACCTTTCCGAATCCATATCACTTTTGAAGACGCCTTGCAAACTCCAGATGCCACTGTCGATCATTTTCCTTGTTCATTCATGCTGCGCCACTGATGCTTGTATCTTTTGAATTATGTGGAAGAGCCACCATTAGGTGGACTAGTCGAACCAGTCAGTGGTACAGCCCCCGCCGCATTAGTCAGAGTCTCCACGTCATAAGAGGAGAGGACCTGTGATGGTGGAGGCTTCTTGGGAAGATGAGCCGGAGCACCATATTTCTGCTGCAGAGAATCCTCCTTTAGCAGGGGTGAAGAAGAGTTGCTGGTTACTCTGTCAAATCCCCGAGATGACGATAGAGTGCTTGCTCCAGAAATATCGCTACCAAAGGGCCTGGGGCCTATGTTGACTCGATTATTATGATTCAACGATGGTAGTGGCTTTTTCTTGCCGTTGCGTCCTCCAGTACGACTCGTCGCAACATTCGGAACGAAAGAGCGTGTCTGCGGATTAAAGAGCGATCGAGAATAGTTGTCCTGCAGTGGATGCTGCGCGTTGTATGTTGGATTCGTGCCATAACTCTGTCCGCCAACATGACCAATGCCATACGAGCCGGTATTGTTCACGGCTGGGTTCTGCTGGTAGCCCGCCCATCCATTCATGTTGGAGCCAGCTGGTGCTGATGGCTGGTGATAAGAACCTTGCCATTGATTGTTCATCCAGTTCGAAGGGGGCTGCATTGTTGGCTGTGGTTGCTGTACGTATTGATTGTTCATTTGCGCCATCATTGGTGGCATACCCTGCTGATAGCTGGATGTTGGGGATGAAGAGTAGTTCATGTATCCATTTGGGGCAGCTGATGGCATCGATGGCCAAGAATCGGGATGATTGTACTGCTGATTGTTGCCGGACCCATAAGCCATAGTGTTATATGGCACAGATGCTTCAAAATTGGGGTAAGATTGGGTTGGTGTCGTGCCATAGTTCATCCCTGCACCATATCCATTGCTTGAACCGAGGTATGATGCTTGATAGACCTGATCCGAATATTGAGGCTGGTAATGGTGCTGCATATTCGGCATCTGCATGGGGGCATAGCTCGGGATGTATGCCGAGCGCGCCTCGAAGCTATCATCCTTTGGAATTTTGTTCTTTCGTGTCTTCCTTCTACCGCTTGACGAGCTTGACCGAGACAGGCTGGCTGAGTTGTCCCCGGTTGAAGTATTCTCGCTGGTGACAGATTCTTGAAAATCACCAAATATTCGTTCTCTAGCTGCCTTGTACTGCGCCTCGCGCTCTTCCCGGGTCAACTTTGATTTGTCTTTGTTGGGTGTATCAGTAGGTGACAAAATTCCTTCCTCGCTATTGGTCTCCAGGCCAGCTTCCGAGGTAGCTTTCGATGGTGCCGACGAACTAGCCGGAGTACTTCCACCAGCAGATCCTTGTCGTGGACCTAATCCGGCTCGACGCATGATCTTCACAGCCATTGCAGATGGAGGTTGAGAGGGGCCAGCGGGAATGGATTGCGCAAGTATATGTAATGGTGTAGGCCTGAACAAGGGTTAGTAGGTAGACCTTCAGACGCACTTCTAGTACTTACATCGACGCAGTCGGTGTTTTGAAGACGCGGATTGAAGTACCATCTTCATTGATGCGGTGGACGAGCGAGTAATAATCTGCAAGCTTGTGCGCCAATAATCTCGCAAAAGAGTTCTGCGGAGGCAAATCCAGGAACTCGCTTCTGTTTACTGTCAGGACATGACGTGCGGAAAAAGCGGAACACTTACTCAGAGCTGCTGATAAACCCAAGGAACTTCTCTTCCAACTGTAACAGGGGGAGACGGTCTTTTGGTGTTGCCAGTGCATCCAGAAGTTTTTCATCTGGGGCAACTGGCAGTGAAGATGCTCGCTCATTCGCTTCCGGCTGCTGTGAACCTGGGTTCTCAGGCTGAGGTTGTCCATCGGCTCCTCCTCGCAAGATCGGGATAGCTGGCAGGTCTCCAAACCGTGGTGGATTTGTCAATGTCAAGGTGTGATAGCGGCGAGCTGCAATGGTGACACCTGAAGGAATGGGTTTTGGGTTTTGACGAGAGCTCGAAGTGGAATGCTCAGTGTCGCGGTTGAAGCTCATTTCTCTGCTTGGTGCACTTGAGGTATCATCATCCTCTGCCGCTCTGACGCTGGCGCTGTCATCAGGGCGAATGCTCTCTTTTTCATCCATTGCAAAAGTTGTCACTGACGCCATGCTCTTCGTGTCGAAGCTCTGCTGCTTGATCGACGAATTCGAGAGGTGTGATTGATCATCTTCGAGTGATTCTCCACTGTCTGCACTTTGGGACTCAGGTTGCGCTGTCGCGTTCTGAACTAACGACAAGCCCTGAATGGCATTTGTCACATAGTCTGACTGGGTAGCTATCTCAATATTTCCATGCTGAGGCTCGCTAATTCTTCTTGGTGATGTTGAAGGCTGCAGATGACTAGACGGTGTGGATCTGTCCAAGTTGTCATCATCGGTAGGACGCGGCTTTTTGTCTTCGGAGACATGAGTATTTTTCGTTGGTACAGCAGGCGCACGCATGGCAGCAACCTGAATGAAACATCAAAACATGGTCAAGGGAAAGATAAGCATCATGGACAGACCTTTGCAAAGGACAATCTCGGGGGAACCGATCCAACTCGAGAGGACGCCATTGTCCAAGGAGAGACTGTACGTCGTGTCCACTGGCGTCGAGTGAAACTACCAAGCCGAGGATTGAAAATGAGCGTGGGTTATACGAGCGACAGCAAAAGCTAACACTTCGATCTTCTTGCTCTTCTTTTCACACAATCTCTTGCTCATCAAACGAGCCGACACAGAATAGCCTAAATGGCTCCATGGATTCGACGACTGCGATGATTGCGTTTGAGGTTGATGGGAGTGGAAGATTGGTATGGGTTTGCGGTGAATTCTCGAGGTTGGTGAAATCTGTTGCTAAAGATGTCGCAATCCACTTTTAACAACAATGTCATTCACTGTATCGACGGGCTCCGTGAACAAGGTGAGGCGCAGGATAGGCTAACAGAGGGCTGAAGCCAGGTGAGGAGTGGTCAAACTGACGCGGCTGCAATATCAAAGGGTCTTCTCTGAGCCTTTCGTCGACACAACCAGCCTCTATATGCCCATTCAGTCCATCTTGCCCTTGACAGCGGCGTTTGACGGATGTCGAAGTGGTAAGGCGCAGTCCCCAGGCTGCAAAAGCGTGACAAGAGTGAGGAGTTCAAAATGCCATGAGGTTTCGAGATGCCAAGCGATCGCTGTGAACTTCTCGCTGTTCTTGTCGCCGTTTGCACCAGAGACGACGCTTGCACTACAGATTCTAACGCCGCTTTTGCATGGAAAGCGCGACCCCATACTGCGTATCGACTTCCGAGTCAAAGTCTGCCTGCTCGACCCCCGTTTCACTGCCACGGACATTCGTGGGCATTCTACTTGGTACTATCTTGAAAGTGTTGCTTCGGCGCAAAGTATGGTGTTGCCTTGAAGGCGTCCCAGAGTTCCGACTTCATCATCCCATTCTATCACTTGCGACAGCATTTTGTGCCATGGGCATTGCATAATTCCTGACAAAGCCTTGGAGTCTGCACAGGCGCATCAATTCATTGCTTGCTTGTGTAGCATCAGCCACTGAAGGATATCTTACTGCCTTTGATTCAAGAGAAACCACTCTCAATGAACAAATATCGCACGTTACCGGGCCTCGGGCCTCAGAAAGCCACCGCTTCGACTGTCTGTCAAAAATGTCTGAAAAAAGATATGTTTCCAAGATCCGCCCCTTTCTTATTTCTCGGCTGACACGCAGTGCAAGCCACTACAGCTACGAATGTAAAGCAAGTACCCAAGAGCGCCCGTACATGTCGAGGCCGTCGAGGACGCAACAATTACTTAACCCAAAACTCAAACCCAAACTTACCAGTGACGCTCCCAACAAGCTTCTAACCAGGTATTATCCTTCCGCTGATCAAGGCCATGGAAAGCCTTACTAACCTGTGTCTAGCAAAGGAGTGGCAGACCAGCAACTGGCCGAGACAGAAGCTAGCCGTCAAGAGAACCTGCCAACAGAGACCGAAGAAAGAGGTCGCTCGTTGCGCCACGGGGCGCCATCTCGTTCCCGGTCGTTATCGTCAAGCTCTGTTTCAACCATCTCAACGAACAGATCTCGCTCCCGATCCCGGGCACTACCCAGCAATCCAGGTGACAGGTACAGAGCCGACCTCCGAGCAAGCCGTTCGCGCTCAAGGACACCTACTCGGAAACGTAAATACCGCTCTGTTTCCAGCTCTTATTCTCGTTCGTCGGGATCACCACAAAGAGCTCCGGGCTCGCACCGCAAGAGCCGCCGGCACCGGACCATAAGTCCAATCGACCGTGGCCGATCCAGCAGGACCCGACGAGGAAGCCGTCGCAGCCGGACTGGTAGCCCAAGCATGGACAAGAGTCAAATTACCAAACACAGAGTATCCATGGAGCCGCAGAATGGGCACGAGGATGACGGAAGACAACATGACCGAGGAAATCGTTGGAGAGAGAAGGAGAACGAGCGTTTTCCGCAAGATACTAGGACTTTCAATCCGAAGCAGAGAGAATCGAGGAGAGAGCGAAGTTTGAGTCCGTATAGCAAGCGGCTGGCCTTGACACAGGCGATGAATCTGTGATTGACGACTTAACGTCTTGGATTGATGGGAATGGATGATGCTTTATTGATACCATTGGAGTACAACACTTCCTCTTATACGGTTGTTCGCATGGCGCTGGAGGCTTCTTTGCAAGTTTATAATAACATTCTGCAGGCTCATATTAGCTCACTGCTGTGTCACGCATGACATATAGTTTCTGAGAAATGTTGCCGGTTTCTATATTCCCACCACCACACTTCAAGCGACTTCATTATTTTCCTCAATAAAGTTCTCATCCATTATGACCTATTCGGCCAGACCTCTCATCTTTTGTTGAAGACGGCAACGCCGCCTCGCACATAGCGTGAGTGTTCAGCGGCAGAGGTTGTGGTCGGTACTTCAGCGCCAGTAAGAGCCCTTCCTTGGTTGCGCTAGACGTGAGCAACACTTACCACCGAACAGGGTCGAGGGCTGGCCACAGATATTTCTGGGTTGCGACTCCTCATGACCTAGGCGGCATCAATCTGAGTAACGGAGCGGGTCGTTGCACAGGCTTGGTGCGCTCATTCGGTTCTCCGGGGACTCTGAATGGATTTGACTCTTATTCCTCCGGGTTTGCAAGTACACCCGGCAGTATTGAGCCTGGTGATTGGCAAGCCGAACTGTTTCAACGGGTCCGCTGATCGATTGCTGCTTGTAGAGATGCTTGCATGACATTTGGTTGCTGTCATTTGTGATGCTGGCTCTGCTTCAAGAAATATCGTCCTCTTGTTCCTCAAGCGCAGCCTCCCTCTCCTCTTCCTGCTCCCGCAGGTGAATGCCCTCAACAAGTGTGTTGCCCTCAATACCCACCTCTTCGCCTTGATCTCCGTTCCGCGCCGCGCCCGGTGATTTGCCTTTAGTCTGTGCCGCTGTCTTTGCATTCTCGATCCTCTCCCTGACCAGCCTTGCAATTGCATTTTGTGTGCGGACGTCCAAAATCTTCATCTTTTCTGCCAGGTCTCGTTTCAAGTCCCAATTTGGCTTCTTGGGTTGGAGCTTGAATAGATCAATGCCTTTCTCCGCCTCGATCTCGTTCTGCGCGGCTTGTTCAGCGGTGGAAGCGGCTATGCGATCAGCTTGTTGCTCCAAAGTCTCAGCCTCCGCGATCGGGGCGTTCTCGAAGCCAAGTTTAGCATTCTTTGTGGACACATCGTAGTTTCTCCCAGAAAGGTACTTGTCGGTGGGCGCTGACTTGTGGTCCTCCTGTTCTTCGTCTTGCGCTCTGGGTTCCGTGACATCGGAGCCAGGCTGTTTGCGCTTCAGTGAAGCGAGTTTGGCGAGTCGGGCCTTGCGATCGACTGCTGCGGCATCTAGACTGGTATGTGTGGCAGACATTGTGCGAGAAGACCTTGATGGCTCCGATGGATGGTCGAGGAACGAATAATTTGAGATGTGAGAAGCCGTTCACTGTGCCGGAAGAGCTTCGGTTAAATTTCTGCGCTGCTAATCCAACTTTTGTATATCCGTCGCTTCAGGCAATCTTGCCATCCACCATCTTTCACTCTACGGCTGAACAGGCTCTTGGCCGATGTCCGCCCTTCTGAATGTCCAGCAAGTCATTCGGCTCTCTGATAACATGCTATCGACTTAGCAGACCAAATAAAGGCTTTAACCGCGCCGTTGTACGACAATATTTGACGCGGTTTCCCAGGCCACCTCCGAGAAACCATGAGACCTCTTTGGACCTGGAGCGTACGGGCTTGGATGCGCCACTATCATCTTCTCCAGAAATAAACCCGGCACCATACCTCAAACCCTGCCCGGCCGACCCTGTGGAGACCGATTCCATAACTGCGCCTTCTGAGAGCAATACCTATCTTCGCGACACCCAGGAACAGCTCTTTGAGATCGATTATCCTCATAATAAGAAAGATGAAGATGGAGAAGCTCAGCCAGACTGTGGGCTTATTAGTCCACGACCGGAATCTCATTGGCCTGCTTCCTCTCCCCTGAAGAGCTCTCGATGGAAATCGACACCCAGTCCTCTCGGTCCCTCTCCCAATTGGCAAACGTGGTTTGGTAATACGTGGAATAGCTTGTACAAACAATTGATATTTCCTGAAGATAAGGATCTTTCAAAAGCACGAGAACGCCTGGAAAAACATCGACTAGTGGCCGCAAGCTTCGTTCGGTATCCCGATGTCCAGACCTTGCATGCAGCCTGGCTGGACGTCCCGATAAGTACAAAGCAGGAACTTCTTCCCTCGATTCTCGCAGGCTGTCTTGCCGACTCAGCGCGCAAGACCCTGATGATGCTCACGATGCTTAAAGGCCTCCCTCGTGCCTGGAAGACACGTTGTGAATGTTTGTGTTATCTCGACTTGGTGCACCGGGAGGAGGTCGACGCCTCTTCGAAACTGCGAAATCTATTCAGCAAACAAGTCGAACTGGTATCTCGGGTCTGGACATGGCCTAAAGATGGAGGATTTCCGCCAGCATTTCTCGCCCTACTCCTCCGCCACAATGGAGAGGAGCGATGCACAAGAATAATAGACACCGTCCTCGCCCGGCATAGGATGGTGCCAGTGCCAGTGCCGCTCATCCTGATCATGGTTGATCACTTCACAAAAGTTGGTGACGCGAATCGAGCAATTGAAATGCTCTCTCGGATACCAGTCGAGCAGCGTAAGAACTTTCAAAAAGAAATGCTCGATCGATTCGGAAATCTTATCAAACTCGACACCATTGTAGAAACGGATGGCGTGCGTAATTTCCAATTGCTGCCGAGACTAATGGACTTTGGCATCACCATGGACGCAAAGATTCATAATCTCATTATTGAGAGAGCAATCGCTTTGGGAAGGCCCGCTGTTGCTTGGGAACTGTTCCGGTTCATGGAAGCTGAGGGTATCGATGTTGATGCCCGAAGGCATCTTCTTCTGTTGCGGGACAGTTTTGACCGAGATGATCATGATCACCTGGATGAAATCATGTCCGCAATTCATCGACGCGAGGACTTGTACGACGATCCTTACCTGGTAACATATATGATGCATATCATTAGGGTCGTATGTCGCATTGACCGCCAGTTGTCTGCAGAAAGCTCAGTGTCCCACATTGTTGCAATCTACGATAGAGCATACAGTCGAGTCCCCCTTGTCAAGCTTGGCCTCATCGAAACCCTTCCGGCAGAGCGAGCCTTTCAGCAGCAGCCTCCCGAGCCGCCCCCAGCCGTACTAGCGTTCACGATATGGGCTTTCACGCTTTGTCAAAACGATGAACGGCAGGTATCGCGATTGTGGCACTGGATTGTGCATATGATCAAGCAACAAGACAGATCAGTTCGTGAAGCGGCGGCCCATGATGTTTTATATAACGGCTTCATCCACTTTTACAGTCGTCATCCTTCAACTCTGGACAAAGCTCTTGGAGTGGTGCAAGAGATGATCGACCTCCAGCTCTGCATACCCACGAAACGTACCTGGAGCGAGATTCTGTGCGGCTTCTTGCGACATGGTGAAGATGAGACGGCTGCAAAGATATGGCGGAACATGCTGTCAAATCAGATGCGCTCTAGTAAGCCCGGTTGGGAGTTTCTGCTTACAAGATTCGACAAGTCTCTTCTGGCAGGCGAGATTCAGGACGTGCTTAACGAGAGGCGCATGCCGGAGGGATTCGAGCCTACTTTCGGTGAAATTGAAGGCGCTTCTCCGGAAAGCCCAGAGGCGAAGCAAGCAGCCACAATTTGATCGTGATCCTTCCTAGTCAACATGTTTCTTCCTAGCTGGTGTGCTGCAGACATGACTCGACCCCAACTCGCCACGATCGGCCTGTTTGAACAAGATCCGAAGAAACAATCAGGCTGTAAGAAGTTGCATACTGGGACTAGGGGGCAAGGGTCCCCTGTGGCGGGGTTCGCACCCCGGCCCTGCGGGCCCTCCTCCGTCCTAACTTTCACGGGTCCTTGTCATGTCAAGTCCTGACGTGAATCGGTGCTTGAGGTCCTCTGCAGAGTATAGCCACCTTAGGTAGCTTTCGAGTGGCTGGAAGAGTCAAGCGGTGTGAATTAGGCTGGTGAGGCTGAGACTCCATCTGGACCAGGAGCAGGTGCGGGTGGAAATGGTGATGCTCTCTTGTGATCTTCCGTCGGGGGCCCCACCAAATGCCTAGAAGAGCATGGTGGAAAAGCCGGGAAACCCCCATCTTTAGGCGGTTACTATAGGGCTATGATAAGCCTGAATTAGGAGTCGCCGGATTGAGGTAGTCCGCCATCTAGGATGTGCTCCCGTAGTGAAGGGCGACATGCAATACGTCGTAGATGCTCAGCTGTGACGGAGTTGCGACACGATGGCTGGGCGCGGAATGCGCTGGCCCGCCTCGATTGGGCGGGGTAGTATATTCTGTTATTCCTCCAATAGAGATCCCGGGTGGTGGGGGGATGCTCTGTTTGAGCACTAGACGTGCTGGCCCAATCATATCAACAATAGAGGGGGGCTAGGTCCCACTTAGCGAGCCACTACCCCAACCCGCCGCTATCATCTCAAGCTCGCCCATTCCTCTCTGTTGAGTCTCCGATTTCGATTTCTTTCTCTTTCTTCTCAAGAATCAGATCACAATACACATCCCAATGCCCACTTAAACTACTTCCCAATAACAGAAATTCGTATCCTTCCCATGAGACGGCTATTGTGTCCTTCTTCTGCTTTACCTTGCATCCTGTTCGTGCGATGATTTTTGCTGTGCGCATTGATCTGCCTATTCTGTCTGGCCCCCAATTAGCCGCCAGGACAACAACATTCAACGTGTTGCCTGTTTCCTCGCAAACCGGCGCACCACTTCCACTTTACAGATTGCCTCTTTAAGTATCCGGGTCATGATGGATTGAATCAGCCAAAGTTGAGCCTTGCTGGGTGTCGTGCACGAAATCTATTCACGGCAGATTTTTCAAAGAACGGCGGGTAAGTTCAACTTTCAAGTTCTTCTCTGTCTCACAAATTTCCCTCCTATGTTTTCATGATGAGTCACTGGTAAAAGGTCTGATTGCAAGTTCTTTGTCACTTGCGGTTGTAAAAGTCCAGATTGTCTCTTAGTCGGATGAGAAGACTAGTTGTCTATGAACGATCTGTCTCAACGACACACCGGCATCCTACCAACACTCCATTCCGCAATCCACAATAATGCAAGATTGGTGATCTGTGAGCAACCAGATCTGCCTCTTTGGAACTTTTGTGCACATCAAACCCATTTTCAACACCACAAAAATGGGGCTCGCCTTTCGAATTCAGTGGATGCTCGAGCCAATGGCAGCGGTGTACAAGTTTGAGTTCTTCAAGATCAAATGCGGGACATGGAGCGTCTGTTGTTCTGCTGAGAGTGCATGTTTAGATGGCCTACTAGTGGCATCTGTGATTTCTCTGTCTACATTGAGATTCGGCCTGGCCCTCATCACAACCCAACTGACCCAAAGTGAAGACCGAAATAAACTGAAAAGACCTGATTAAGAAAGCGAAACGTTTTTCTTGCAATCTCACTTCTGTTGGGTATCTGACGCTGACTTGATGATTCTTCCAGCGCCGTCCAGTTTTTCGACGCACTCCTCAACAAGACGATCAGCTTGCATGAGATGAGGTTCCTGCTGCCTTCCTCATAAGCTACTGCAGCTACGGCACATGTGAATTCCCTGGAATTCCTTCCAATATTACGACTAGCCAGATGGACGATCAGAATACTGTGCTAGTGGGCCGGTCTAACACCACGATCAAAGATGGCAGCTCAACCAGTAGCGTTGGCTGGAATTCCACACTGCACCCGAAGCCAGGCAAAGCGGGCCTGGCTGCAACTTTCGATGTTCCGCCTCCTACTGCGCCGCGTTCGATGAGGCGGGACATCTCACCACCACCTTTGAGGAGGTCAGACACTTACCGGCCTTCTGAGCCTCAGGAGCGACGAGGACAGTTTGACTCGTACAGGCCTGTACCTTCTCGCCACAGTGGCCATATTCACCCTGAAAATAGATATCCTGTATACGACCGCTACCGGCCCTATACAACGCAGGACGATGGCAACGTGGACCACCAGAGAGAGCCAAAGTATCCCTCAAGAGGCTATGATATAGGTGCTCCCGAGACAAGAGTGGGTGGGCCACGACGGTACTTGTGGTGGTCAAAGGATTCTCGGGAAGACAATCGCAAAAGTGTAATAGTCGGACAGAAACGTGTGCAGCCTTCAACTTCGGACCTCGGAACATACTCTGACAAAACTGGCGGCTCAATGAGTCAGTCCGCCTCAATTCCTCGAAGACAGGAGACGGAAAAGCAGGTGGCCCCAAACTTGAATAATACACTGCAGCCTATCAGTTGTGCAGGGCTGGCTACCAAGAACAACAGCCCTATGGGGCAGCAAAACGTTTCTGAGGGAGATTCGGAGGTCGATATGGAAGTCGATGATGGCCACAGTGGCGACTTCCAAAACTCATTGAAGGCATGCGCACCAGGCTTGGCGTCATCTGATGATAGTCCAACCCGCGATTCGTCTGCTCTTCCCTTATCTCACGCGTCAACACCGAGGATCATCATCCCTCAACTGCCAGAAAGTCCGCCGTATAGCCCCCCACTCTCAATCCATTACGATTCAGATGACCATCGGCAGTATGGGCGCTCCGCTGCGGTTGACAAAGAGACAATGATTGAGGCGCTCGATAAAGGGACCTGGGTTAAAACGTCACACGGCTTTGCAGGCCTGTGGCTACCGCATTCTTCCAATGCGGAGACTGCATCAACATCTTCAACGACGTCCCGGACCAAAAATCTATGCAAAAGCTGTCGTACGCCTGGGAGTCAACTCACTCCTCTGGTTCCTTGCAGTAGTTGCCGGCGAGGTTTTCACAATCGATGCGGAAACCCAAAGCCCACTGAAAGGTAATACAATTCTGGCTGTTCTTGACATTACGCTGACCGCCACTAGTGAGAGACTCGAAGACTTCGTGTGCGGACGATGCTTGAAAAAGGAACGAGAAGCTGCAAGTAATAACTATTCTGAAGCACCCAAAATCATTTCCGATGCTCCCACAATCGAAGACAACTCCCCTCCTGCCAACGCGACGCAACCTTCTACCAATCGCACCGCAACCACAATAAAATGGGCCGGACCGGAAAAGAGCGACAGCGGTATGACAAGAAACATGACTGGCCGCCCAAATATGCTACATGCACAACAGCAGGCTCAATCGAGCCCTGGCAGTGCTGCGCAGGCGGCGAATGTGGTCCCGGACGCCGCGATTCAAGGTACTCGATATAAACACATCACATGTCCTAAGTGGCAGTCCGACGGTTGCTTTCTTGCTGAAGCACATTGCGAATTTGCACATAACGACACTGGCCGCTCTGCACCATTCGGAAGTCAGCGTGCAAAAGATTTCACATGCCCTAGATGGCTGTCCGGGATTTGTCTGAAGACAGAGACTGACTGCCAGTATGCTCATGCCAACACCGGCCTATACGTCGGCGCAGATCATAAAGCTTCCAAAAAGCACATTACATGCTACTACTGGTATACAGCGGGGCGTTGTCGACTGGCCGATGAGGTTTGCCTCTACGCCCATGAGGATACTGGTATAGTCGCCTGGCAGCCCACCAAAGAAGCCCAGGCGAAACCGGGAGAGCCCTGTTTGAAGTCTTATACATGTCCTCGATGGGAGGCGCGTGAGCACTGCAAATGGGTGGGCAAGACGTGTCCTTATGCACATTGGCCTGGAGGAAAGTCTTGCTTGACGATGGACGAGCCACCAGAGAGCAGACAAAGCGCAGAAACACCTCCTCCTCAAGCATCGATCCCCCCTTGGGCTAAGAGTGCACGTCGAAGTCCGGTCGCGCTTCGTGCAACGATTGCGTTTCCTGACCGTGTGTCACAGATTTCTACTGAAGAGATTGATCAACCCTTTTCACTCTCGTCCGAGAGCTTCGTGGGTCAACGTCAGAAGTTGCCGAGCGAGCCCTCGAACTTGAACGTTAATGCACAATCGGCGGCAGCAGACTCCCCTATTAAACACAAAGCCAAGCGGTCAAACGTAGACCCGCGAAAGAGGAAAATAGCTTCAACGATGTCCTCTCGGGTCCCTATACCCACCTTGACGTTGCCAGCTGCAATGAGTCCGACTATGAGCCAGACGATTCCAGCAGGCAAGAAGTCGTGCGAGATCTGTCAAAAGACCATCTTCAACACTAGCCGCTGTGTCGAGTGCAGCGACGGAACAACAGGATCGAACGAAGCCGCACCGTCGGCTGAAGTGAGTGTGAGCATGACCCAGACCAACATATCGTCGTTCGTCGAAGATGGGGTTCCTGAAGAGGTAATTGAGGATGACATACATATAAGCCTTCGGCGGCCACCTAACGATGCTCTACTTCGGGAAGCTCTCGTGGCTAACAGGTTGAAACGATCTGCACCAGAAGATAACTTGTTTGTCAGCAAGAAACCCAAGCTGTCATTATCAGCATTGGAGCAGGTCAAAGATGCAGCTGCTGGAGCGTGCGTGTCTGGTCCTGCTGGGGCCACGGGCGAGAGAAGACAATCTCTGGAGGAGTTGACCAGACAAGCTATGATTGAGAAGGAGAAGTCGACCGATACGCAACAGGCTGGACCACAACTGGAGCTCGTCGAGCAGACGCAAACAGAGACAGACGCTGTCCAAGAGACATCACATCTTCATCCGTCAGGACCTCCGAGCTTGACTACACCCGGCCAGAACAAGGGAGTTGATCCCTCGCAGGATGAAAGTGCTCGAACTACGGGCAGAAGCCACATTAACCCTGAGCCTCCCTATTCAAAGTTCTCGAAGAACGAGCATGAGGTATTCTCAGTTGCATATGCTCAGTACCCCGGTAATTTCGAAAAGATCGCAGAATTCTTCCCAAGAAGAACTATGCAAGACTGCTTCAAGCATTACCGTATCACGAGGCACCGAGACAATGCTCCTACGGATATACATAACCCTGGAACTGCCCCAAGCGTCGACAGTCAACTCTCGTCGGAGCAGAGTTCTGTTGACGATAGGACTTCGGTACTCCATACTCAGACTGGCCGCGCCATGGCCGGGCCGAATGTTGTTCGGCCTGAATCGCAGCATTTGAGCGAACAGTCTGTTCCAGTCACTGCTGGAGGCGATTCTCGGATTCTTCTCACGACGTTCTCGCCAAATGCAAGCCAAAACGTGCTTTTGCCTAACGGCCTGCTGAAGCGCTGTTGTAACTGCAGTAAAGGCCACAAAAGATGCTTTCACGACATGACCGGCAACTTGGACGCGGAAAAGTGCTCTAGATTTCTGCGCGAGCACAACAATCAATATCCAGGAAGGAATAAAGTGGCACGTCGCGAGTGGAACGAGATCGTACGAGTGGCGCGCACTGCTTTATCTGATGAACCTGAATCGCAGAGTGCAGATACCCCATTCAACCAAGACGACCATGTGGAGGATGGCGCATCAGTGAATGGTGAGGTGATGGATGTTGACGAACTTGTCTCGCAGAGTGCAGATACTCCAGTCAACCAAGACGAGGATAGAGAGTGTGGCTCATCAACGAATGTTGAGGTGATGGATATTGACGAACTTGTCTCGCAGAGTGCAGATACTCCAGTCAACCAAGACGAGGATAGAGAGTGTGGCTCATCAACGAATGTTGAGGTGGTGGATCTTAATGAACTTGAGGATGAGGAGGGTGATTCAGAAGACGACATTCCACTGCTCCAAGTGCGGCGGCAATCATATAGGCGTCAACAAAGCGGCACACCCCAGCACTCCGCCACATCACGCGCTGAATATGGCGATGTCCGGCAAATCAGTGGTTTGACGGCGGTCAACGACATGCAGGAGACGGGAATATCAGACCCGTGGCGGGCCTCCACAAGTTCCCGGCCTCTGTTTGAAAAGAGTATATCGGTTGAAGGAGCAAGCAATGGTTTACTTTCACCTTTTCAGCCACCAATTGCAGGTCCAGGTTTACAGCGACCGTGGTCCAAAGCCGACAAGGCAAAGGCAATAAGGAAATTGCAAGCCCGTGGGGTGGTGTTCGAGTCAGATTCAGACGAAGAGATGGACGACGACCCAGTATACGAGCTGCCTTCCCGACGTATTGATCCCCTATGGCAACCTCAACAGTCAATGGACTTGCTGGAAATTGACCGATGGCGTGCTCAGAAATTCGAGCGTAGGTCTTACGCAAGCTCTGAGGTGCGACCCTACAAGAAGCAAATTGTCGGGAATTTACTCAAATACCAGTGTCGAGACCGTAGACGAAGATTCGGCAATCCTCATCAAGAAATCAGTCGGCACGTACCGGATGTTGAGGTCCGAGCATGGGTGCAGCGAAATTTACAGGAGGGACAACTTGAAGTGCCTGAGCTTGTCGAAGAGGAGAAAATGATGACGTTCCGCCAGTTCATAGGGATACCTGAAACGCCTGTCATCGTGCAAGGAAGAAACAAAGATGAATTGGCGTTCATGGAGGGAAAAGGCGGTCAAGAAAAGACCCGATACGGAACTGGGATTGCTGCTTTACGATCACGCAGAAAGAAAGAGGAAGATAAGTTTCCTTTTGTGTATTATAGGTGAGCGCAGCATGAAAAAGGTAATCCATTGTATTGCGCTGGCGTGTGGAAACCACGCAAGAGACTGTACCCAGAAAGAGGTGGCCGATTCAAGCGTCAAGCACCAATTTGAATTTCTAATTGGAAGAACCTCCACCAACGTGGGAGCGATTGGAGCGATGGCTGCTTTGTTGCTTTACTCCGTTCAGTTTCTAGTTGAAACTGAAAGAAGTAACTTAACGTTAGATCGAATCTCACAAAGATCCACTGATTACCACTGCAGCTTTTACGCCGTTCATTTGATTACAAATCTTGACCCGCTGGCCTGGAACCGATAAACAACTGCCCAACTCGTATATGAGGACCATTGCAGCAAATGTTCTGCCACTTATCCTACGCCTTATGGTTGTGCGCATTCTGCAGTATTGTCTTCTAATATGGTTGTCTTGCGGCCATCTTCCGTTTCAATCTCGCAGTGGTCGGCTGTACATGCGGTTGTAACGTGAGGAAGGGTCCTCTGGTGGCATGACGGGGCAGCCAGCGAATATTCTTTGCCGGACCCTAACGCTCGAAGCCTCAAATAGAAAACTGTGTATAGCCGAACAGGTTCTGTTCTGGTTGGCTTCTTCCTGTGCAGCGAGGTGTTCATTCCATGACTGAGGAGACTTTCACGACAGAGGGACCCTGTACCGATCGAAGTGGGTCCGATGAGATGTTCGCTCGCAAATCTTGTGGTTGCGGCAATAGTACATTTACTCAAACATTCGATCGCCTAATTTGTCGCATTCAACACAAACACACGGTCACTTTCGCAGTGTATCATGATCCTGCGCGGGCAAGGAACGCCACCAACACCATGCATTGGATATTCGCCCAATGAGGAGCAGACAGCATTTCAATGAGCCACCAGGATCGAGCACTTCCAGATGTATTAGTGTGGTTCCTAAGGGGTAGTTACAGGAGGGAAGCTGGGGCGCTGAAAGGGGGCGTGGGGCCGGTGGGGAAGGGAGAAACTTACAGCCATGACCACACAGAAGATACTAACGTACGGGGATAACCGTTCACCGATTCGTGCACATTTCCAGAATATTCCCATAACACTGTGCGTGGGTTTAGAAGCGGACCAAGTGGATGATGTATGGGCTGGCGAAAGGGGGAGTTTTGGGGGGGTTGGGCCAAGGTCAAGGGTGGAAGGAGAGCTCACCCGTCCTTGTTCCGATCCAGAACGCTCGGGAACATCACGTGCACGTATGCAGATGTGCAGATAATCAGGAGGATGACGAGGAGGAGTGACTGGAAGTTGAAGATTGCCGTCTAGAGAACGCGAATGGTCGAGGTAAGCATTTGCTCCACAACCCTACGGTAGGGATAGGATCCTGCCATAGAGACTGGAAAGCAGATGGGTACTGTACCATAATGAATGACTTTCTCCGCAGCGACCTGGTGGCGATAGACAGTGAGTTTTTGTGACTTTGCGGTGTTGCCTCGATGGTAGAAGAGCATAAGCAGCGTTATGGTGATTTCTTGTCGTCGTGAAGAGATGTTGAAACATACATGCTTCAAGACGAGGCGAAGTTTGACATCTGGCCTCGTTCCTGCTTGGCACACATGCTGCTTTATCGATCACGTGAAACGGCTAGTGAGCCTCTAAAGCGACAAGAGCTGAAGGGACAATAACCTTCGAGTCTGACGCCATGTTTTGCTTATTAAGATCACGTGTGGTCTCAAACCCCTTGACCCTTCCTGCATTCGGGGTAATCCTTTCGCTCTTTATCTCGTCAGACATTCACAGGATCCAACTATCGCTTCCCTCTCGTCCGAGGCTATCGCCGTTGAGGGCCGATGTCAGCGAGCTGAAGACGCCAGGTATAGTTTTCGGAAATACATTGTTGTTTAACATTGTCAACATCTTGCAACAATTTACGGAGGAAGTCTCCGCTGCCCAGCTGGGGAGAACAGAAGGTGCTTCCATGCTAACGTTACTTCTTGATTCGTGATCTTGCAGTCCCGCACGATGGGCGAGGAGGCTCAATTCCCGATACCTCCGTACATTGATAGGATAATTGAATTTGATGATGGCAAATCCTATGAGTTGTTGCAGCCTCTGACAACCTTTCGACACTGCCATGACGGGACACCGCCAGAGGCTCGAATGGTCTTCATTTGCAGACTGAGAGAGCAAGCCGATGCGGGTACACAGGAATACGTGGTGAAGGTCAAAATCAGGTCTGCCCCTCGTCTTGCTGTTCCTGGCAGATAGTTCCGGACTGTCACACTGACGGCAACGGCCAGAGTCCCGGCCCGAGGACAAGATGACGATAGCGAAGCTCCAGAAGCCGAATCAAGCACAACTACAAGAGCTGAGTTGAAAGCCTTGATGAAGTTTAGAGAGGCCAAAACCACCTACGCGCCACTCTTTGTGAACTATAAGAAGGCCGTGCAAGGGTCTAGCGGGCCTCTTCCAGGCGGCTATATGACGTTCACGGTCATGACCAAGATGCCTGGTGATTCGCTGCATAACTTGTACTTTTGGGGCATGTCCGAAGAGGAAAGAGAGGAGATTGTGCAGGAGTTTTTGGTTGCTTTAAGGTGAGACCTTGTCAATTGACAGTCCTGTTTTCATGTGAAGCTCTCGTCAGGACATCCCGCTCGACTGACGTCCCCTTGCAACAGGTCGATATACACCCTCGGCATAGAACCGGTGGACTGTGCGTTGCGGAACGTGCTATGGGAACGAGAGACGAGAAGATGGTAAATCTGTGCTTGTTGAACCATGCCAGCTACTTACTAAGATGTCCTTCCTCAGTACTATAATAGATTTCGAGCTTTGGAGAGAAACAGATGGTTCGATAGACGATGAGACGAAAGAGCTCCAGAGATGGGCTCTTGCTCGAAAACCTACAGCGAAGAATTGGTGGGAGGCTTGGAATGCGCAATGGAGGTAGGGACATGGTCAGACACACCATGCACAATTGATTCTTGGCCAAGAAGCGCCCCTGATAAAGATGCCGCTCGAATATCGCTGTTGTTATTGTCTCTGTGGCTTAGGAAGACAGTCGACTCTATTGTGAATAGTTCATCGCAATCGCACATTTGGGCGCAGTCTTCGTCAAAGTTTTGCCAGAGCGGGTCTTACCAGCGGTTTTGTGACTCGAGACTCGGTTTTGTTGAGTCAACGCAAGCGAGACTGCGCATCGAGTCGGCTACAACTTGTTTAAGGATCCACGCCCTGATCATTACCCCTAGCAAATCTGGCGGTTGCCGGCGTGCCCTTTTCGTATCGTTGCGTGTGTTTGCCTTCCTTCATATATACGCGGCGACGTCTTCGCTCGTCATTCTGCAGTACGTGGCCGGGACGGACATCACAGATAACATGATCGAGCAGGCCGCAGAATTGTTCTCACGATTCTATGGCGTCTGGGGTCCGCTGGCCAACCAACACCTGCGATCATTTGCTAAACAAGCTGACAAGGAGCACGATATAGTCCATAAGCGACCCTTTCCTAACACTCTCCAGGTCGCCGTGTCCGTATGAGTGCGGCCCACCTACGCCGGCAGATCCTCCCAGATCATGGTGACCACTTTTACGTGAGAGCAATGGTGGGAAACGAGCTCGTGGGCAATGTGTTTGCAACACGATATGACAGCGACGAGTCATCCGCTTCAAAAGTCTGCTGGATTACACAGCTCTGCGTGGATCCTCGGTATAGGCGGCAAGGATTGGCTACTACAGTAGGTCTAAAACCCGAATGTCAGGCGGCAATATTGATTCGAGCTAGATGATTCGACTGAATCTTCAGAATTGTGGGCGCAACGAGGACACATGGCTGGGGATTTTGAGCTCACAACCCGCCGCTATCCTGGCTACTTTGAGAGCTTGTAGTAGCGGACCTGAGACAGATCCAGGTATAACAGCCCGGAGGGCGGAGGGGATCATGCAAAGCTGTCCAGTCAGTTATGTCAGGCATGCCAAATTGCGAGGAAGTTGCTTTGAGGAGGGCGCCCCAGAGGGAGTGGTTAGCTGCGCTGATACCAGTTTTTGGGTCGACCATGGGGAGCCTATGGGAGTTCTTCAATCTTTCAAAGCTCGTAATCTGCGATGGGCATTTGGAGACCTCCCGGAAGGCCACGAGTTCCTCGCCTTGCTCGACATATCAGTCACGCCTTGTACCATGCGACTCGAGCCTTCAGATATGGACGACGTCGTGGGCAAACCAGGTGTGAGCAGCTGATCGCCACCGAGACGAGGGCAGACTGTTTAGCTGTCATGGCTGTGCGGTCTCTGATGGAATTGAAGCTTAGAATTGTCGATAAGAATTGTTTTGAGATCAAGAGTGGTAGATTACGAGTTTCGTCCCTATCGGCAATGTCATCCGGCTAGTGCAGCCACAGCCTTGACATCCTGCACCAGCCTTGTCTGAACGCGGAGTGACTTCACTACCTGAAATAAGTACCATTCTGACTTCGCATCCTACTAATCGCTACCCTCACCTAGACCTGACTGCATCGACCACACACGCAATCTGACTGTCCTCAGCAATCGAAATGAGTTGCTAGAGTTGATATCACCTCCCCACCAAAGGAACCCATCGACGACCCATCTTCCACGACAAAGTCACCATCTCAACCCTGCTTTAATCCTCCACCACCCCCATCTCCTCCGCCTCCTCCACGATCACCATCCAAATGGAGCCACGCGCCCGTGCTGGCAGGCACAAATCGAACCTGAACTTCGGCCCCGAACTCTCCGCCCTTCTCTACGCTTACGGCGCACCCACACATCCCGACATCGTCTCGCCCCTCGGGCCATCATCCCAGTCCTACCTCTCTTCTCTTCCTACACCCAACACAACCCACCCACCCACACCGTTTGGCCAACCCTTCCCCGAGACCCTGCGCGTCCTCGACGAGATCCTAACGGACTTCATAATCGAGACATGCCACAACGCCGTCAGCGTCGCGACATACTCCGGCCGCGCGAAACTCAAGCTTTCGGACTTCGAGTTCGTCCTGCGCAAGGATAGCATCAAGCTCGGCCGTGTGCAGGAGATGTTCAAGAAGAAACGCGACATTGATAACAAGAAGAAACTGTTCGACACCAACGAGGGCCGCGAGGGCCAGAAACTCGGTGTCGGGGATCTGATGAATCTGGGTGAGGTCGTGGGTGAGGAGGGCACAGGGAAGGGGAAAGGACGAGGGCGCGGGCGGAGGAAGAAGAGAGATCGCGAAGAGGTCGAGGCAGATGCTGCCGACCTGGGAAAGGGAGGAGATGTCAATGGCGAAGACGATGCGGATGAGAGGACGAGTAAGAGGGCTAAGAGTGACGTCGGTTGAACAGAGGCAGAAGATGGACGTTCGATGGCGATTGGCGACTATGGAAAATCTTTGCTCATGGCAGACGCAGCGATCACTATGTCTACCGCTGCAACCACTGAACGTCAGCCGCTTGCGGAAACATCAAACACCAGGCGAAGGAGACATTGAGTCACCGGCATGGACCACCTTGGCAGACGCTTTCGAAAGCGAACTTCAGTATGCGCACACTGAACTGGCGCTTATGACAGTCGTGATCGATTCTTCGGCATAGGGATATGCCCTTTATCTATGGCAGCACACCCTGTCTAGAGCATCATGCTCGTCAAGTGTTTTACGGCGGCGCACCAGACCTTCCTTCAGCGATAGTCCTGTTGCTGCGCCGGCAATATCGTTCAGTCACACCTCGACCAAGTCGAATACACTTTTGACAACTCCGGACGCCTTTTCTCCTGGCTTCTGCTCGGTCAGGCGCAGCAATCAAAAGCAGCCATGAGCCAGACATATGCAATCATGCTTCATACCTTCCGAGATGGAAGGTTCAGATATCAAGCATAATACCCCTTAATCCTCTACTTCACATGTTCGACACTGACAAGCTCTCTGCCCGGTTCTGTCTCGTCTGACCTCCCTGTCTATTCTGTCTTTGGCCCTTGTCCGCCGTGCCAGCCTCACCGCCACCCATGGTCAACTGTGCCGTTGCTAGCCGGTTGGACAAATCCATTTGTGTGCGGATCATGTTGGCAAGGTAGGACACCGTCAACACGTCTTGGATGTGGTTGTTGAAGTCTTTCTCGATATCCGCAGGTTCGACCTTCGGCGCCAGCGCAAGGGTGTTGAGCAGAAATTGTCCCAGGGCGGTCGATGGCTCCTCCTCCTCTTCAATCACATTCTCCACATACTTGGCGACCCGATCCAACATGCCCACCGTGTCCTCCAACGCGCGTTCCAGGTTTTCAATGTCTGTCAAAACTGTCGCCGTCCTTGTTTCTGAATCTTTGGCCAATGCGAGCGCCTCAACACCAGCGTGATCAGGCTCGGTGTAGTTGACTGCGTATGGCACGGGAATGAATGCGGCAGAATCGGCGGCTCTCTCTGGGCTGACGCCAACAGCCGAGGAAATATACGTTCGTACTTCCACATCTTGACCGGGCTGACTCGAGACTGTGATGTGAACTGCAGGATATGGGAATGTGCCTTCTCCTTGGCTGCTGTAGTGGTTTTGGATCAAAGCTGAAAATGTGTTCAACTCAGAACTCGTGGCATACCAGCCAACCAAGACCTCCTTAGGATTTGCTCGTAGATGTAATGCTAGCATGGCTTTTTGATATTCCATATCGACTTCGACCTGATCTGTCGTCTCGGTGTGGCTGACTGCGAATGAAGAGTGTACAACGACTTGGGATTCGTCTGCATCCGATCGAGTTCCGAGAAGGGTGCCAATGACTCTTTGTTGGTCTGGCGGTCGGCGAGTACAATGGTCGAGGATCGAGAAGAGAGCCTGAAATTGTCAGCCTGATGCAGTGGCGGATAGCGCAATTACTCACCTGTGGTTGTATCACGACTCGAAGAGGAGCCGTTGTTGGTTGTGCGCCAACGGCAGCAGGACCCAGCGGCCTGGAGAGATGCAGGAAAGAGTCTTCGTCAGCCATACTGGGCAATAAATCGAGATACTTAGGGGCTAAGATGAATTGAGAATGAATCCTCTGTCGTTCGTTGTAAGAGCAACAAACAAGTGGTGAACCAGAACTGCGATGGGCCACTTTCTCGAGCGGGCCAGCCTTGTGGACTGCGAAATTTCCAGTGTGGGCTTTCGGTTGTGGTTGTGGTTGCAGCGGCAAGAAAAGTGGCAGCACGTGACTTAGATCTAATCTAATCTAAAATCCGATGAGTGGCCATTGATCCCGATCTTGCCGCCTTTTGTTATGACGAAGTATTCGTACCTTCAAACCAACGGTCAAACTGTCCAACCTACATTCATTCTTTTTCTTATCTCATCCTTATAGATCCGCCACATAACCTAGATCATTTCTTCTTCACGCCTTGGGACCATGAGCGCGAATGGATTGCTTCGCAAAGACCAACTCGAACGCAGTCTTCATGACGAGAAGAAATTGATTGAGGAGGGCATCTTGAAAGAAGATAACCCCCTCGACTTTAGCGAGAACTTTCAGAAATTATGCGGTGCTTGCAGAAGAGGCGACCTCAAGGTCTGCCAGGAGATGATTCAGGAGGGGACGAACATAAATGCCAAAGATCAATACGATTACACCCCTCTTATTCTGGTAAGTCTTTGTTTTGGGGGTCGATATCGCCACTCAACCGTCCTTAGCACTCACGAGCAATTGCTGACATATGGACAGGCCAGCCTGTGCGGCCACTATGAAGTTGTGCAGCTGCTACTAGAGTCAGGGGCACTTTGTGAGCGTGATACGTTTCAGGGTGAGAGGTATTGTTCATCCCCTTTTGTCCAACACCACCACACTAACGTAATCAAGATGTTTATACAACGCCTTAAATGACCGCATACGAAACCTCCTTTTATCATACGACTACTCCAAATCAACAGACCCGTTACAGCCGCTAGCATCACATTTAATATCGCTGTTAACCAGGGAGCAACCGAAAACGTCAGACCTTACCGTGGCCACCTCCACCGAGACCTTCAACCTTCATAAATTCGTTCTCTCAGCACGGTCGCCTTATTTCAGGAGCAAGCTCTCCTCCGCACCAGACACCACAACATGGAAGTTACCGCCCACAATTCCACCTCAGTCCTTCGGCATCGCCCTGAAGCATCTATACCTCGGCGAGATGCCACGGGACCTTGGCGGCGGCCCAGGCACTGGCTTCACCGATTCAGAAATCCTCGCTGGCGTTGACAGGATTAGCAAGCATCTGGAGATCCAGAGCTTGTCCCAGCTCATCCTCGACAGCAACGACCGCCGCCTTGCTCGCCAACGCCGTCAAGACGAGATGGAGAAGGGCCGTGACCAACTCGAATTCTGGTTCCGCGAAAACGTGCTCAAACATGCCATTGAAATAGACACGTCCCACTCCAACAACATCAAGTGGGACCGCGACAATGGTATCTTCGCCGACGTCCTCCTGCGCGCAGACGAGGATGAAGAAACTCCCGATGAGTCGCCAGACAACCTAGTCCAGCGCACGCGCACGTCCTCCACAAACGCGCTCGGCATCCCTCTTGAATCATCTACCAGACTGTCTCGCTCCCCATCACCATCTTCTAACCCTCGTCCGCCCCGCCGCTCGAAAATATACCCCTGCCACAAAGCCATGCTCATCCGCTCCGAGTTCTTCATGACCATGTTCGACTCACCCTTCCGCGAGGCCCAGCGCACGCCACACCTGCAAATCGTGCCGATCGACTGCTCCCCCAAGGTTCTCGAGATTATCCTGACATTCTTATACACCGAGCGCGCGGATTTCGGCCTGGACATCGCAGTGGACGTCCTCTTCGCCGCGGACATGCTGTTCCTCGAGAAAGTCAAAGCCAAAGCTGCCCTTGTCATTTCTACGTTGGGCAACGGCACAGCGACCGCCATTGTTCCAGAGTCCGGGCCTACACGCGAAGACGAGGACATTGACATCTACGAGATCCTGCGCGCTGCATGGCTCACGCGCGTTCAGCGTCTCGAGGAGTTCGCGGCGCGGTACATCGCGTACAGACTGGAGAGTTATATCGACGACCCGGAGTTCGCGGAACTCGTAAAGGAGTCCGCCAGCCGGATCAGTGCGAGACAAGAGACGGACTCGATTGAATTGCTTGACGACATTAGATATTACCTATCCGAAAGATTTAGATTACGGTTCGAAGACTCGGGCCTCGAAGACGTCATGGACGAGGAGCAGCCCATGGCGGAAGCGCTGTCAAACAGCAATCAACCGTCGGATCGTGTCGTCGCGGAGACAGACGCCGGTAAGACGGCGGTGCCCATCCCCTTGCCTCACTGGGGTTCAGAGAATGTGCCGGAGGAAAGGGAGCCAAAGAGGCAGGTCCCAGAGGACGAAGGCGTGGATATGACAACGCCCGAGAACATGGAAGTCTCGGCGGAAGCCTTGCTGCAGTCCGGTGCTGTCCGAACGCTCGACGGAGAATTAGCTGGTGATGAATTCGCTGCCGATGCGGTCAATTACCAGATTCTATTGGGCAAGATCGACTCGCTCTTGGAGAAATTGAAGCTGGATGCCTAATCAACCTCCTCCTGACCACTGGACCTTTGGATTGGCGCGAGGTTTTGGATCGGCTAGAGAGAAAGTAGGTTGCTTTGCGTCAGAGACTCTGAAAGGCGGATATGCATAGCGAATAGATTGAGTGTATCTAGATGCAGCCAAATAAAAATTTGACGCATTTGTTGTAGGTGATCCATTCTGCCCTTTTTGTCACTCATCTCGCTCGGGTTTCGAGCTTCAGTGGATGTCTAAAGTACCAACGAGTACACGTGGAGACACTTTCACGGTCATGGCCCGATGGAGGCTCTTCCTGACAAAGGGTTGCAGTGGCAGCCGACCAGGTGCAGACTAACGATAAAACTAATCGAGTTGTAACGGCATATGATTTCAGGGTGGGAGGAACAAGTCATGGGCATGAATAATCTAGAAGCGTCATTTTGATTCAGAAAGCACTGACTAAGACTGAACACATTGATAGTTATGCAAGCTTTTGTCCGTCGAGTGTTCAACGTTAAAAGGCTCCCTTTCTCAATTTCCCTTGCTTTCCACCTTTCAACCTAGCCTAGTACCACCAGTATTGTCACACAGTTGAGGAAAGTTTCTTGGAAACAGAGGGTCGACTTTTCACAACTTAAGAAGCCATGTAGGTGCTTGAATCAACACCACCCTCAGGATATGGAGGAACCTTCGCCTGAAAGCGCTCCTCGATCTGCTGCAACACCTCTTCATCCTTTTCACTGGCGACGAATGAGATACTGAGACCCTTGGTACCAAAACGACCAGCACGACCAACACGGTGGAGATATGAGTCAGCGTCGAGCGGCAAGTCGTAGTTGATGGCCAGATTTATGCGCTCAATATCGATACCACGTCCGAAAACGTCGGTGGCGACGCAGATACGCTTGTTGAACTCCTTGAACTCCTTGTACCGCTTGATACTGGGTTACTGTCAGTGGATGACACAAAAATACAGCTCAATGAACGACTTACCGCTCCTCTTGGCTGACTCCCGAGTGCACTGCAATACTTGGGAAATTGCATTCGCGAAGCAACTTGTCGAGTTCGGTGGCCCGAATGGTGCTCTTGACGAAGATGATGACTTGGTTAAATTCAAGATTATCGAGGAGATCATTGAGCTTTCGGTTCTTCTCGCCTTCGCTGAGTCGGATTGAGTATTGTTGCAGACCGTGCAGGGTAAGTTTGGTCTCATCGTCGACAAAGACCTCGAGAGGATGCCTCATGAACTTTCTGCAAATGGGGCGGATCTCCTTAGGTAGAGTGGCGCTGAACATCATGACTTGTTTCTCGGTTGGAGTCGATCGGAAGATCTCCTGGACGTCACGACGCATATCTAATGGAAATGGTTAGTGAATGCTCAATCGGCCGATGGAACGGTATATCATACCAATTTGCTCCAGCATCTTGTCGCATTCATCGAGAACAAAGCACTTGACGCTTCGCAAAGATAGGACCTTGTCACGGACCAGTGCGTTCAATCGACCAGGAGTGCCGACAATGATGTTGGGGAACGTCTCTTTGTTCTTGAGGAGCTCGATATCCTTCTGAATAGGTGTACCGCCGTAAAAGACAGCGGTCTTCACATCTGGCAGATATTTGCTGAATCGTGCATATTCGTTCTTGATCTGGTAGGCCAATTCTCGAGTATGACACATGACCAGGACGGAACATTCTCCAGGGACTGGCTCAAGCTGGTGCAATGTCGTCAAGACAAAGACCGCAGTCTTACCAAGACCAGACTTGGCTTGGCACAAAATGTCGGTGCTGAGAAGAGCTTGCGGAATACACTTTTGTTGGACTGCAGTAATCGGGGATGTTAGACTTGTTCGGCCAATGAATTTGTAAGACGACGAAACAGCATGGCAGGTCGGTCCATCCATCTCCTTGATCGTAGCATAGTATAGGCCGTGTTCCTCCTCTTTAGGAAATCAAAGCCGGTTCTTTTGCAACTACCAGCAGCCCCACCTCAGAGACGCTGTGCCACTCGAATGTTACCTCGAAGGCGCAATATCGGCCAGAACATGCGCACCGATATTGACAGCATTCTCAGCATGTCAATCCGATCGCAGAAGCGAAGCCATAGACCCTCACTGCTCTCGCAGTCGGGTGTAGGATCGCGTTTGCTGGCATAGCATCAAGATGAACCCGAAGGTGACCGAAAGGATCCTTGCTTGTCATTTTCCGCCCGCAGCATCGGATACCGTATGAGACAACTTTGCAAACGCGTATATCTTTCTTGAATTTATGCTTTCTTGATCTTGGAGATGGACGGACTCTCGCAGCAGGAAGAACGTGGAGGGATATTTGCTTGCAAGAATGAATGACTAACCCTCCGAAGGATGTTCGAAACCGCAGTCGGTGATGGCTCGGAGCAATTCGCCCTTGAGCAGGAAATCTCTGAAACCTGTTGAATGGATGCCGACATAACTGCCTTTGCCCTTGTCTCCTGTCTTTCCACCAGTAACGGTCAGGTCGCCTTTCTTTGCGGCTCCATTGGTCGCGCCGGCGGCTGGGGCTTCGGTGGCTTGGAGCTCCTCGTCGGAATAATCGATGAGATCTTCTTCAGCAGACATTGTGGATGAATAGTAAGGGGGAGGTGATTGCTTAGGTGAGGCGCAAAAGCTGTGAGGTGATGGGATCTGAAGGTACTTCGAAAGGGTGAGATCAACTTTGAAAGACCCGAAGTCGGCGACAGAACCAGCGAAGGTCTGCGATGTGATCAGTTTGAGTGAATAGATGAACGCGGAAGAAAAGAGATGACAGTGATGCCTGCGAACAGTTGTTGTGAATGAAAAGGCGAATGTTTGCGGCAGGGGGGGCGATTTCGAAAGTCTCACGTGATAATACTAGCTTAAAAGCGTCTAGTGCGTTATGGTCTTGGCAACAGCCTCGTGACGCAGCCTGTCAGACTTGAAAGGTTTCGCGAGTGAAGATACCTCAGGTTTCATTAGAGAAGAATGCAATACATATCCATCAGGATTAAGCTAGAGTCTTGATTCAGATCACAATTTGCAGAGTCGCCGGCACCCAAGACTCAGCCGGAATGCCCCTACATCACAACCACTACCATGGGCAAAGCAAAATCTTCAAAGAGCGATGGCTCTAATGTACCCCAGAAACATCTACATTCAAGACTATCCTTCCTGCATCAGGCTGCAACATTGCTCGCCAACGCAAATTCCAAGGCCACATCTGCCGAGACCGATGGCGACCCTATTGCGGAAGCACTAAGTGTGCCAATGAGGAATGCCCAAGGTTTCCTAGAATCGACCAGGCTCTTAACGCATCTTCGGGGCGTGTCTCGAAAATCGCAAATTCGCCTCGCTCCTAAGATGAAGCACACATTGTGCAAAGGCTGCGAATGTCTTCTCATCGCCGGCAGGACAAGCAGCGGAATGACCGTCAATCCGAGCAAGAACGGTAACAAACCTTGGGCGGAAACGTTCGAGGTGCGATGCAACAGATGTGGAACCGTCAAGCGTTTTCCGGTCGGAGCGAAGCGCCAGGGACACAGAGCAGTCGAGGGTTCAGACCAGCGAGGAGAAAATGAGTACCAATTATAAGATGATTCTGCCGTTCAGGCGTAACTACATCAAATCTCAGCTTGTCCTCGCCCAAGGTGTCTGTTTTGCGGCGTGAGCCACGACACTTCTAGCACTTGTTCGCCAACAGATAACCAAAGCTCGTCATACGAGCCCGGCTACAAATTCATGTTTGATCATTATACCACTTTCAACGCCAAATGTCCAGTTTTGCATGCCTTGACCTGAAACAACAACTTGCGGGAAATACTCGTACAATCATCAGACGTAATCTCATGAATCAATGACCAGCCGTGAGGCTTCCATCTCTGTTTTCGCCGGGAAATAGACTTGTAAAACAAACTTGTAGCGTCGGGCCGGGTATCGTGGGGCAAGCACGAGAGTCGGCTTGCATAATGATGCGGAGAGATGGGTCGGTAGAGTTGTATATGTGTAGTCTGTCGTACTCGGACAGACCATCAGCGTCGTGGGCGAGTCCCAGAGCTGTGGCCACTGGGGCGGCTGCGATCGAGCCGATCATTCAAGACATCGACGTTGTTTCTTAATTGTTTGACTTTGTCTCTTACTCGCTTGATTTTCTCAAACTCCTGCTCGAGGGCGTCGATCTCGGCTAGGATTCGGCGCATTCTTTGTATCTCCGAGTCGGCATCTCGCACCATGTTACCTGCTCTGTCTCTCGAAGCCGAGACTGATTGTTCTGTAGCATCCTCCAGCTATAGGCAAGTCAGTGCATGCTAGGCGGGCAAAAAGCTGCGTTGGGTAGCCGCACCTGTTCAATGCGGCGTTGAATTGTCCGCAGCACATTGTCGAGGTGCAAGTAGAGATTTTGCAGACTGTGCGGATCCAGCACAATTCTTCCCGGCACACTTTGACTGCTGGCCGCGCTGGCCGCACGGGAACTGGGCTGGGATTGTCTGCTAGTGCCTCGGCCTCGATCGGCCATTCCGCCACCTTGATGACTCCTTTGAGCCAGAACCTGTGTGTGATGTCGAAGGAGATGAAGTTCAGATTGAGTTAAACCCAAAGCCGACTCAGATACCGACTGAGGCGCGGACATGGACGTCCCAATCGGACAGGGAGTTGAGTTCTGGCCAATCTATGGGTAGAGCAGGTGGCTTTGGACAGGTACCCGTCGTGACCAGACACAACATAGCAGTTCTGCGAGCTGATAGGTGTGGGAGAAGCCGTCAAGAGTCGTGCAAGAGACACCAGACAGCGATCTGGCTGTGAGATAAGGCAGTGCGGATGAGCCTGGTCATTGTAGCTTGACGTATCAACGGCCGTGATTAGCAACAACAGCAGCGCCTCAGTTTTGCGAAGCGCTCAGAAACGTTTCTTTCTCAGACAGGGCGCCTGCTCGTGTGTCTTCTTTCCCCGTTTTCTTGCAGCACCTGTGGATCGGACTGTGAGCAAGCGGAATCGGAAAGTAGCCTCAAGCCAGAAAGGGTAGGACGACCAGCGGCGCAGGAGTCAGGACAAAAGCGAAGAGGGTGTCCTCCGAACGGAAGCGATGGCGGCAGCGGGGACCAAGGTGGTCGAGGACTGTTTCATCGCCTGCGACAATGACAAGACAGAGGAAATTGAGAGACCCAGTCCAGGCGGCAGGATACAGGAGAAACCGAAGATGAAATTGGCAGCGCGGCTGCAGTAGTGGTAGTGTGTAAAAGGTCAAGAGTCAAAGAGGTCAGTCGCAGCCCTCGTCCTTCGTCCCTGGCTATTCCCTCGACACCCTAGCCTGGTGATTCTAGAGGATGGGAAAGTGCGGGCAGAACGTGACGGAGAGCCAGGGTTTGAAGAATGTACTATTGGCTGCGTTGGTTGCGGTGAGTGGTGAGTGGTGGGTGGTGGATGGTGAATGGTAGCTTTTCGTGGGGGGCATCAGGAGTTAGAGAGCGAGTAGGAGGACATGGAGGCGCATGCGAGAGCAAAGAAGGTGTGCTTCAGCTATCCATCACAGCTGCTCTTTTCCTTTCTCTCTACTGCTATCCACCGTTAAACTGCACTTCTGGACTCAAATATTTGCCGGCAAGCACTTGGTCAGGCACATCGCAACTCGGCCCAGCGATCAATGCATGCTTAAGGCACCCCAGAACTGCAGTACAAGCATCACTAAAGATTCTCTTCTGGGCTGGAATTCGTTCATGTCTGCTCGCTGAGCCGTTCATGCAGGAGTGGCTTCCATTTGACATTCGCACACAAAACACAGGCTGCAGGTTCAACTGCAGCGCTACTGCATCTCTGCCCTCACCCTGCAGCCGCCATCCTCGGCCACCACTTTGCGGTTCGTCTTTTGCTAACCGGTGAGACCCAAGAATTCATGGTTCCTGGGGTCCAGTGATCTCATTGACTGGACAGTCGTGGGGACGCCTACACCGGGCACCAACCGCTCCCATCCAGGCTACTTGGGCTTGATTGACATCTGACCCTTGGGGCTGCAGGCTCAAAATAGGCTTGCCCATCAATTTCCTCCATTCCACCACTTTTTCGCGGCGGGTTCCACGCAATGGCAAGAGACAAAGAGCGTTCGATCAATCCTGCGCAACAGCAGCGAAAGCTAGAAAAGGCCAGACAGTTGAACAAGAGTCGGGCTGAATTACAGGCGAGGCGGAACGAGAAACTGGCAAAGCGTAACCCCGACCGGCTTCAGAGACAAATCGATGATCTGAAAGCCCTTGAGGCCACCGGAGAAATCAAGCCTCGCGAAAAGGCCATCCTCCAAGACCTAGAACGAGACCTCAAAGCTGTACGCAAAGCAAGAGAAGCCCTCGGCGACAAGGCACCACGGTTTGGAGGACACGAACGAAGAAGGGAAGGCGAAGGCAGCAACGTACTAGGCAAAAGACGGCATGATGGTGAACGAAAACATTTTCAGTCTCGCCGAGACTCTTCGGGCAGTGACACCGACGAGTCCGTCCGACGGATACCCATGCCAGAAGACACTCCCCCGCCTATTCCCCGAGAATTCAGGCGTAATTTCAAAAGAGAGGAGGCATCAAACACCAGTCTACCCCCGAAACCTGCGCCAGTCGTCAAGACAACCTACGAGAGCGCTCCACAAATACGAGACCTGAAGAAGGAAGCAGTGAACCGGTTCGTACCGGACGTGGTGCGTAAGAAACAACAAGCTGCCAAAGGAGGACCTACAGGGCGTCTCCTTGAGCCCGAGGAAATGGATCGGCTTGAGGCCGAGGGCTATCTGCGGACAGATCGTGAGAGACGGCAACCAGAAAGCCAAGCTCCGCAAGATGACGAGAACGCAGAGAAAATGGCGGAGGAAGAGGCGCGCTTTCTTCGCGAGTTAGAGATGCACGATGCTGCTGCGCAAGACAACGAGAACACAGCCCCAGCAATGAACACCCAGGTCAGTAACCAAGCAGAGGCAAGTGCCCAGCTGCAAAGACCGAGCAGACATGTCGAGATCGAGGAAGTCGAGGACGAGGACGCTTGAATTGGGGATCGTGATGAAAAACGAACGCAAGACGGCTGCTCGCGTCTGTTTAGACGGCACGCAACCAAGTAGAGGACGTACGGCTTTGACAACTTGGCCAGAAGCGACGGCTGCTATGGGTAAGCAGTGCTACTCTCCTTTTCACCCTTGCCACCATAAAATGCGAAAACGTCTTACCACCTACGTAGCTGCTGAGCCTGGTGAGTAAACGCGAGAGATGTCGGTGCTGGCTCCAGGAGCTAATGTTCATTTTCTGATCTTTGTCGTCTCGTGACTGGGCTGGCTTAATGTACACATCACATCATCTTCCCCCAGCTCAAGTCCAATCTGGTAAACCCAACACAGCCGCCTCATGGGCTGTCCAGTTCCAGGCCTTTTATCCAGAGCGCCTACCAAGGTCCTCGCACACAATGCTGAATAAACAAAAGGAAATTCATCCACTGCTTCCAAAAAGCTCCGTGCGTCAATCAACTGCCTTTTCCTGCGCACGCAATGCTCGCTCGAAGTGCTTCCAAGCTCTGAGAACAAGATCTAATGAGATCTTCCTATAGGCCCAAGACGAAGAAAAGATTGTTGTAGAAGAGTCGTTTTTGTAGGCGCGGCCCCGGGCCTTCATTGAGGTTGCCCAGACACACCACCCAGCCAAAGCCCGCCACTTGGCTCCAGACTGGCTCCGTCCGGCCAAGTGTCGCATCATGCACGGTTTCATTGTTTCATGGTATCATGCTCTGTATTCTGTTCTCTCACAGAGTTGTGGCTCATCGTATCAGTCGAACGTTCCTTGTGTCGCGCTTCAGAAATGGACTTGGCATCTCGTCCACCTCAGGATCCCATACTGGTGGAATATCAGGAAGATCCTTATCCATCAGCTTTCGGTCCGGTCCAGTCTTCGCTTCCGAGTAGAGATTAACGCCCAACTCGGCGCTCATCGGTCGACCACCAGCTCGAGCTTGAGCAAGTTCGACGAGAGTACGTCCACCTACGCTGCCAGGCACAGCTGATTGCTTGCCGGCAGCAAGCTTGCTCACAAGTCTGCCTCCGGTTGTCGCCGCACGCCTCAGAGGGCTGGTGCTCCCATTCTCTCCCGCGACTTGTTCTCTCAAATCCGTGCGACTGGGGATTTTGCTGAGGCGTCGGTTGGGGCTTGCAGCTTTGACTCCTGCGGGTCTGCTATCGTTGTCACTGGCGGTTCTACCCGCTGGCTTGTTCGACGACGCAATGCCGGCTCTCACCTGGGCTGCTGCACCGCTGGAAGGAAAGAGTGTGGGCTTGCTCGCCAAGTTTTGCACAACTGCCGTAGTATGGTGTCTCACCAGAGCTGGCTTGTTCCTCGAGCGCATGGGTGCCGGATTCTTGAAGGGGTCGGTGCTCGCCACAGTCGCCTTAGGTCGTGTTGGGCTGGGCAGTTCTGGAAAAGCGTCGTCATCGGAGTTATCCTCGAGATCATGGTTTTCCTCGTCATCAGAGAAATGAGCCAGCTGCGGCTCCCATTTAGCTTTCTGTCGTGCTGCCTCCGCGAAAATGTTCCTAGCACTTGCGGCGGTCACTGTAGAGTTAGCTGTAAGCTGAGCAGCAGCTGTTCTTCGTGGTGACAGTGCAAGACCGGAGATGGACATTGGTGATGGTTCAGACATGTGAACATCAGCTGGAGAGTCCAAGTTGGTTTTGGATCTGGCAAAAGGAGTCCTGGCCTTCTTTGGAGGTGCTGCCTGGATTGTAGAGACGTTCGGAGAGTTGAGAGAGAGGTCGGATAAATCGGTGAGGTCGGTGGTAGATGGGAAATCCTCTTCGCCGGAAGTGTTGACCGACGAGGTAGGGTTGAGGTTCTCCTTGTTGTAGCCCGGAGGATTGTGAATTTCTCTCAGTGCCCTTGCGCCCATGGTGTGGTTTTGCCTTGCTAAGGTCTGCGAGACACGCGCTTCCACTTCGCTGTCGAACTGCTTTCGCAGACTCTCCAGCTCGATCTGTATCTGACGCTCAATCTCTAATCGTGCTTTGACCTCCCACTCGCGGCGGAGCTGGTCGCCAATGTCGGCCCTCATTGCTGCTCTGTCAGCTTCGAGGGCCGATAATCTCTCCTCTGCCTGCCTAAGCTTCTGCTCAGCAACCTCTTCCCTAGTCTTCAGAGCTTTTCCGATGTTGACCATCTCCTGTTGCCGTCTGGCTATCCACACGTAGGGTACAGTCAATAGTGAAACCGTATCAGGTCGGTGCACGGGGTTGGTCTTCAGGCAGTTTGCAATGACGTTCGCAAGGTCTTTCGAGTAGATAGATGGTATAGGCTTGAAATCCCCTTTCCGAATTCGTTGTACCAGTTGCAGGTGCGAGTTTGCATTGAATGGAGGTTCCTTGGTGCAGAGTTCATACATGATGCATCCTAAGGACCAAATGTCCGAGTGCAGGGTGTATCTCTCGGCGGCACAGATCTCTGGGGACATATAGAAGGGCGTGCCAACGTAAGTGGAAGCAAAGTCGTGCGACTGCATCAACTTTGACAAGCCGAAATCTCCGAGCTTCACAGACTGGTCTTCTCCCAAGAAAATGTTTTCGGGTTTGAGATCTCGATGAAGAATCATCTTCCCTCCGACTGGAGGTCGGGTTTTCTGCCGTGAAAGGTCGCTGCCGGGCTCGGGTGGATCGACGCCATAGTGACAGCGGTAGAGGGCAGTAACGATTTGACTGAACATCCTCCAAACAAACTCTTCTTTGGCGTATTCATTCTTTCTCTTGAGCTCTTTTATGACCGACCCAAGGTCGCCGCCGCCGCAGTATTCCATATACAAGTACAGTTCTTGTGTTTGCTTGAGATGTTCGCGGTGGAAGTAGCCGACAATGTTAGGATGTTTGAGCGACGAGAGGATAGAGAATTCAGCGTGTAGTTGATCGCGCTCTTTCTGGGACATCTTCAGGTAGTTGATCTCTTTGCGGCATAGGATCTATGGCATATCAGTGATCTTGTCCCACGGACGAAAGGCTTCCAGAAGCATACATGGCCATCTTGTTTCCGACGGACTTTTCGAATGATCCCGAAGGCACCTCGTCCTGCGATTGTCAGTGAGGGAAGTCTCAAAGAAGAGTGCACGCCAATTACCGATGATCTCTTTGACTTCATACTTGTCGGTGTCGGTAAGTTCGAGCGCCATCTTGATTGTCTTCAGGAGGCCCGACGAAGTTGGAGAGGAAGGCGCGGTCGACTCTCAGCTACTGCGTTCACGGCAGCATTATCTGAATGCAAGAAAGTATGGCCTCAAAGATTAGCAGTGTGCAACAGAAAGCTTTGTCAAGAGTCCTGCAGTTAGTCTATCAGATAGTATTGTCATGACGAGGCCTGAACATCGAGAATGCATCTCGTGGGCGGAGAGGAACATTTGTTGACTAGCGTTGCGACAGCAACAGCCATGCCACGTGATTTCATTCACGGCCTTTCGGCAGGGCTGGTGGTGCATAGTAAGCTATTGTCCTGGTGGTGAGAGAGACAACATTGTCATCATGAAAGGCCCTTTGCCGTGTATGATGAGAGTAGAGGTCATGCACGCCTTCATTGTGCGATACCTTACCTAGGTCCCTGAGGTAAAGATATTGGCTGGTTCTGGCTGGAACAAGGCTGCGATCACGTGGTTCAGCCTCACACGGCCACGAGGAGCCAGCTGTTCCAAGACTGATGAAGCAATGTTAAGAGAATGGAAAATCCAGTGATACTATCGTGTGCACACATGTCCATGGATGATGTTATCCCTGAAGAGAACAGTTACCTGAGTCCATGTGATGATCGCCTCATATCGCAGGAGCGCAACATCACGCCTTGGCACGGCGTCCTGTGGCCCAGCGAGTGTCCTCTACCAGTATGATCAGCAGCACCAGTGCATGCACTGTCGACGACGATCCACGGCAATCCCGTTGCCTTTCCCCTGCTCTATGTATGAGGTACGAATGGCTTTCAAGGACGATAACTTATTCTGATTGACTGGGTAAGTCATGAAGTCATGCCCAGCCTTGGAAAAGACATGTGGGCATGGTGCTTTTTAGCTTGACCACAACAAGACAGTGCATGTTAAAAAGATGACCATCTTGCTGGAGGCTGCGTCTCAATTTCCCCGCCAAAGAAACCCGATGCACCCGCAATCCTCCAATTTTCTACAAGCATGTCTACAGCAGTTTGACTCAAGAGCTCCAGGGATCACCAGCGATTCAGGGACAACAGGTCCGAATCCATCGTCTCTGTTGATGGGTCCCAATCTTTTTTGGGAAGGGACGGCATGGTGGCTAGTAGTGACAAGGGGTGTACATATCGTCCTGCATGGCAGGTCCTTCTGACCGTAAATTGCCAAACCACATGAAGGTTCTAGCCTGAAGTCGGGCTGCTGTCTCGCTATGCGATATGCTTGGTAGACGAGGTTCGACCCTGCTGGAGTAAGTGATGCTTGTAGGGTAGTGTCCTGGTAAGCAGAAGGCAGCTGGGGCGGGTCACACTTGGAGGAGCCCGGGCAAAGTTTTGGTTGATTGGCGGAATTAAGTACTCTGTACTCCGTACGGCGTCAGTCTTTTTCGTGGGAGAGAAGAAAACGGGGATCCAGCATGATTTGCAGGTCTTCTGCACAGAGGCTGCAATTCTCACATAATGGCGCTTCTAGACCCAGCTAGCCAAACGCAGCGTTGCATTTAAACGACAATCGTTGCTCATCTCCAAATATAACCAGAGGACAAGCCCATGGGTGTCTTAAAATGTACGTCAAAAATGGCTGGGGAGTTGCAGGAAGATGCCGAGGGGCTTTGTTCAGCCGGCTACTTCGAACTAGCCCAAGCGGGAGTCCCCATCAAGCTGCCTGAAGGCTGAATGGCAGCACTCGGCTTTGCAGGGTCCAAGGCCTTTGCACTTTAGTGAGAAGACTGCTTAGTGATGAGTCGACTCAAGTCCTTCTACGGAGTAAGAGCAGTAGGAAAGTGGTATTAAGATTGCGGTTGCTAAGACCAGAGGCCGCACGGGAGTTGCGTCCGATCGTGTGGGCACCGAGCAGCCAATCTGCTGAGCACGTCCGGAGTACATGGTATACAAGTCGTGACGTTTTTGAAAGACACCTGCACTGGAATTTTCCAGCACCCATATGGAGCTCAGGAAATCGCCGCTACAACAAACAAGCCACGTTACTCGGCCAGGCAAGTCGAGGAGCAGAATGTCAACCCGGCTTGGATTTGCGCCATGACTGCAATCACCGATCCGGGTCACCCTTCCTGAACCGGCGAGACCTAAGAGGGCTGCTGTTGCAGGAGGTCTGCAGCCTAAAGCCGACTGCTTCCTGAGATGTTAAACGAGAAACTGCTGGCAGGGGCAGTCCTTGAAAGAAAGTGTTGACAGGATGGAGTACGGAGTAGGAAGAAAAGAGATAGGAATGGTTGGGTAAATTAGTGGCATCAGTTGGTGTCCTGCTGTGCATTCGGCCAGGACTAAGAAATCGGGCTGTCCAGGGGCAACGGGATTTGCAGGGATGGCTGCCACGTGGAAGGAGCTTTGGCGGGGGTAACTCGTAGATCCGACCGACGCCTCGGAAAGATTTGACACACAGCAACCCAGGCCTGGTGTGCCAAAGATACCCGACTACTTCCGTAGCACAGCGTCGTGGGCGTCGCACAAAAAGTATCGCGCAGTGCCTAAAGCGACGCTTGCCGGGGATGCACGGGCTTTGTCGATTAACCGAGGGTCTGTGCCAGTGAGAGCAGATGGAAAAGGGAAGGAAGACCACGAGGTCGTTAGGCGAATACGAGTGCTGTCAATGGTGTTGCGCAGCATCGTTGCTGCGAATCAGAGTATTGAAACGGTGCAGAGTCGATCCGTCAAGTGATATCGACTTCCGAAAATTGACGACTCTTGCTGGAGACGCCGTCGACATGGAACTCCAGCCATGTCCATGTTCGACTGCCTCGTAACCGTTTCGAACATTACAGTAGCGTGCGTGAGCTTCCGTAGCCCACCCACCAAGAGAAAGTCATCCCTTCTGGGCCAGGGCCAGGGCAAGTTGCTTCGATGGCTTGATTGCATCGGGTGCCAAGTGGTAGCCAGCCATGAGCAGCGCCGACGTCGCTGGTGGTCAAGGGACTAATGTGCATTGCTGCGTACAGTACTGAAAGCAAGACACCCGAAGATTGAACTGCATTCAGCGGCTTCTTTCTAGAAGGATCATAACAGTGCAGCCAACCTTCCCGAACAGAGAAAAGAATGGCAGTACGAGTACTCCGTAGCGTAGTCCATCGAGGAGGCTAAGAAGAGCCATGCAGGGATCATGGCCAGCTCAAACTTCGAACCGAAAAAGCTGAAACTCTATCCCTGGAGATCTTGCACATCACAATTTTGATTGCGAATCACCCTTTCTGGCGCTTTGACCGTCACCCACTCAGAACAGCAGAAAATTTCCCGCAAATAGAACACAAACCGTAAGGGATACCTCAGACATGACTTACTGTAGCCACCTGTCAATATTGAGGAGGCGCACCGTTGCTAGTCGAATCAATATGCTCGGGATAACTCGGTATTTGCCTTCATAGAGCTTGATGACAAGAAGCAACATCCTTTCTGAACAAAAGCAACATCTCCGTTGATGCGTGCGTCCGAGTCCAAACCCTGCAAGGCTCACGCATATCCGGCATGGAATAATAATGCAGGAAACCAAAGCTGAAAGAATCGCGGCCACGAGGAACCAGGATCGACTGCGCTTTCATCAAAGTGGCTAGGCCGAATAACCAGAGATGGGGGTATTCCAAAAAGGTGACCTTTTTCCACGTGGCCTTCGCATGACGGGTGAGGCTAGAGAACACGAAGCACACCTTACATGGGACTCCGTGACGAACTACACACTAGTAGGGGCGGAGGACTTTCCATTTCGAAGTGGCCCGAGGCTGTCAGTTTGAAGCGGTGTGACTGACCACCGGGTAAGGTAGTGACGAGTAGCTGGTACATGCAGCCAGCGATTGGTAGCATGCACCTAGAAAATGTCAGTCTCGTGGTGGCTTAACACATCGACCTTCCGGAGGTAGTGAACCTCACCCTCGGGTCGAGGAAGTGTCCTGCAGTCACGCCCGATGTTGAAACTCAGCAACGATTCGGCCCTGCCATGCCGTAGTTCCCACCTCTGGTTTCTGCCAGTTGCCGCCGGTGAGATCAATAATGGCTCACGGGTTGGAAAAGTTCAGTGACAGTGTGCCGGCTAGCTGCTAGAAAGGTTGGCCGGCTGCAGTAGCTTGAGAACGCTGCTTTGGAAGAATTATTGGTGGCTTGTCCCAGTATCCTACATGAGGCGCGTGGCCATGCCCGTGCTTGAAAGCTCACGAAGCTCTACCAAAAATGGGTGGGCTTGAACCAAAGTCACTACCGTCGCAGTTCTGCGGTGGGAAATCTGTAATTGCAACCTGGGACTATCGGGCCTCGCACGTTGTTGTCATTATTGCCGGGCTTTTCTCAAGTAAGGATAGTTCGGACCGTGTCCGAAGACTTCAAACATTCGTTTTGTCGCCGGAGCGAACAAGGCGAGCCTTCTCATCTCGCTTCATGAGCGTAGCAAGCCCAGGATCAGCAAAAGGATGTCATGGACCTCCCTCGTTGAGGTATGGGGAGGTAAATCGGCAAGGATTGTTGGCGGCCTGAGTGTGGAAGGTCAGCAGTCAGCCGTCACATGGGAAATCACGAGGGACACGAGGGAGCAGCCTTCACGGACGATCAAACGCACCATGTGCAACACGATCGACGCGCGTGGCTGCAGACCGGGGGAGCTTGACGACAAAATACGACCCTAAGCTGGGGGCTCTTTTGGGTTGATCGTTTTAGCAGGGGCATGTTGGTCGGCCAAGGTTTGAGGGAACGCTACTCCATAAGAGATTCGGAGGATGGTCATTTCATCTTCGATGGTGCCCATTGACTGCATGACAGGCCGTTGAAAAGACTTTGTGTCCCTCTCTGGTAATAGGAATGATGTAAAGGACGGCACGGGAGTAACGCGTCAAAATGAATGTGGTGTTGCTGATTGGGAGCAGCCGGACGCCCTCCGAAGGGAAGTGGTGGCCGAGCTGGAGACAGATCTCTGATGATGTGCTTCCTTTTTGACGGTCAAGCGAGGTTCAGGGCCAGGGGCATGGCGTGCGCATAATCTCCGACGTACTCTCATTGGAGTATTGGACAGGGCAGGGTTAAGCGAGCCTGATCGCTCCTTTCTTAGGGGCTTGGTGAGGGTGATTATTGGGGCTCTCTTGATCCGAGCTCTCAAGTTCGCTAAGAGAGTCTCCATGATCTTTGTTTGACTCTCAAGGTGAAAGGAGTCGACTGCGAGAAGACACCCCTGCGCAAGGTGGAGTGATTCAGCGTGAGACCGTGACAGGACAGGGTTTCCTGGGTGAAGAGGAAATAATGCAAACAAGAATCATACGAGTACCGTGTACCAGGTAGTGTGTACTCGTAGTGAGAAGGTCGAGATCGGGCTTCTTCTTCGGTCGCTCCGGGCGCATATAGGCGCCATCATGCGCTGATCTGGATAATTGGATTGGCTGTGACAGGCTCCTACGGGCGCAGATCTTCCCTCATCATCGTCCGCCCGCGAAGCATCTCTACCACAATAAGCACTTTTCGCGGCCTTTTGTAGAACAGTGGCCCTCGACGCACTTGGGTACGAGTACATAGTAGTGTTATCATCGTTATTTTTCAATCGAGAACTCCATGGATCACGACCAAGTCTCGCAACAGGGGTGAGATGCCCTAGCGTGGCATTCTCAAGCCATTGGCTATTCAGCAGCAAATCATCTAACTGAATCGAGCCCTTGGTGGTTCTGTTCTGCTCTGATCCCGGATTGACCTTGGCGGCTTCTTGTTGCGCATTATTACGGAGCACTTGGTGGACTTAACCGGGGTCCATTCCCACTGTGCTGGAGTCAGAGGAGTCTTCTCAGTGCCCAAGTGGAGGCAGAAGGTGCCCAGCGACCCCAATAATCTTCAACAAAAAGCGATTGCCGCACTGATCGCTGTTCGTGCTTCGGCAGTCCGGGTGGGTTCGACTTACTAGTCCTCAGCTAGTGTAGGAAGCCATTTCAGCTTCACAGCGGTCTGTCGCCATCAATTGATTGCTGAGTTGGCCTCGGAACAGATCAGCACACACCAAGGGCTTCCCTGATCGTCGACGGCAGCCTCTCCCTTCGCGTAACTTCCAACATCTTGTGGTGCTCATCCTTGATTATACCCGGTCGATGATTTTGACGCTTTGCCACATAGAGTAGCGGGAAACCACGAAGAATTGGCAAGTATAATCGAGAAAAGGAAGCTAGAAAGGGGACTAATTCGTTCGTATTGTTGCTTGTGTGAAATGGATCTCGAGAACAAAACTAGTATCCTGTCCACGCCTGTCCCTCTTTCTTTGCCGGGGCTTTCCTGGTTGTTGACTACGGACTCTCGTCTCGACTTGAACTACGACCCTCCTGCCACATGGCTTCCCTCCCTCAGCTACTCGCTCATTCGAGACGAATAACGCCCATCACCTACCATCAGTGCATCACCTAGTGCCCATCGTCCCAAATATCGTCGTCACCGGTGGGCCGTTGACACCAAGCCGCATTTCCTCCTCCTGACTATTCTTTTTCGCTGCTGCATATTCCCCGTCAGCTACACCATTCGGCAGCTCAAGCTTTCCTTCCTGCAGTGTGCCCCCTTCGCTCGGCAAGTCCCCGAACGTGTTTTCGCCATCTCTTCCAGTCCTGAATCACCTCGGAGCTTCTTTCTAGCCGTGGTTTTGCACTTCGGTCCTCGGCCTCGTTAGTCTGACTGGCCTGGGTCATCTCCCATACATACCATCCAAGCCTCATACACCCCAAAAGGCTCAAACCCACATCCAGAATATCATCGCATGGCCTGACAGCGCTCGGACGAGATCGCTCAGACCCGGTCAATCTCTGAGTCCTGGTCCCATCGGCCGGAAGCCTTATTTTGCCATCGCGCAGCCTGTCATAGCCTTACTGCACTAGCTTTCTCTCCGCACACACCAAGCGTCCACCACCGAACACTCTGACTAGAGCCAGCAGGACGGTAGTAGCGGCCCAGTAATTCACATCGCTTTTTGCTGGGCGCTAGAGCCGGGCGTCGACGTATACGAATCCACCTCTGGCCTGGGCGGCGTATGTACGTTATTCGATGGGTCTCCATCCAGGGTGGCACACTTTTTCTGCCAACGGCCGGACGGCGGCGTCTTTAAACTCACCCCTCGCCCACTTTTGATCTCCCACCAGGCCTGCACATCTCACACCTGCATCAAACCGTCACTCGCATTGACGAGCTGCTGGACGACGAACGGCCACTGCCTTGGACCAGCGTGTTCAAGCACTAGCCAGACTCCGTGGCCAGCCGGAGCCGCTAAAGGGGACAAGACCACCAACAACCCCCCCGGCCCCGCCTCGAGAACCGCCTTCATTTTCTCGACGATCTGCACCTCTCGACTCTTCGGTTCGGCAACACCTTGGTTCACTTGTGGCCCATTTCCGACCAGGTCTCCATCACTCCTAAGGATTCTTTCTTTCATCAAGCGACTTGTCCACCAGCTGTCATCCAAGGCCGTTCCTTACTGAATCCAGCATTGCTCCTTTGCAGCGTCACAAGCCTCGTTTACACCTGCCGACACCTTCTAAGCCATCTTTCGCACTTAACTTCTTCCCTCAATCCTTCGACTTTCCCCGCCAGAGAACACACTTTCCATCCCGACTCACCGCAAGACCACCCCCTGTACCTGTTGGCTGACTTGCATATACCTCCCTCGGGAAGGACTCCCTGGTCAATTGTCGCGGACCCACGTAGAGTCAAAGGCGAGGCCCGATCAGAACTTCTAGCACCTCCGTCACTGTGGCCTCGAAATTCGCTCGCTAATCGGAGAAGGCACTTGTCTCGAGACCTGTATAATACTTCGTTTGTCAGCTACTGGCACACCTTCAAACACCGTCGTGTTTTCCGGCCCGAATTGTCCATCGTCCTGTTCTCCCTTGATGCACTGACCTGCTGCGCCCATAACCACATGTGATATGGCATTGGTGCTTCCACCAAGTCACCATTCGAATCGGATCATACACAGCCCTCTGCCGTCTCCTGCAGTTCTGCTTGCGACCGCAGGCATGGGGGACGCCACCAAGGCCAAGCCATCCCTCCCGTCAATCGCCAGTCTGATAGAGGCCGTATCAGAGCAGGCTCAAAAGCGTGAGTGAGCCAGAAAGCTCGCGGCAGGATTAAGCTAACGGAAAGCAGTAAAAGACAATGACCCCTCGCCTGTGTTCGACTATCCTCCGCGAAGAATATCGGGGAGTTCTCAAGGACTTAACACAAGTCCTGACAGGCGGCATGTTTCAAAAAGTCCACGCCATCCTCCTCTTCCCACGCCAGAGCTGCCTCCAGCGTCGAGTTTCGACTTTCCGCGACCGTCTCCCACCAAATACTCGCCAACCGTTGGGCATGCTCGACCGTCACTTGCGAGCTATTCGCCAACCGATGCGCCCGGACGCAATCATCACTACCCGCCACTTTCTACAAGTGCAAACCTAGACCGGTATGGTCAACGAATATCTATATATCCCCCCATTACGACCGAGGGACCGCCACAGCTGTATCCCCCGATTGCAGATGGACCTCAGTGGGCTTCGGCACCTGCAAGGCCAATATCGGACGCCATGCAGCTCGATGTACCTGTTCGAGGCCAACAACCGGCACCATTTCGCGATCCGTCTTCCGACACGACGGCATACAACAGCCTCACACAGCAGAGATCTTTGCCCACCAATTTCCCACCGCCCATAGCTGGTCCGAGCTTGCCTCCGATTGAACCACAAATGGCGCCCACCTGGCAGCATCATCACTATTATCCGCCTGCACAGCCGCCAGCTTACCCGCAGCCGCAAGAACGATATGTCTGCCCAACCTGTAGCAAACCATTTTCCAGACCGAGCTCCCTCAAAATTCATACACATTCCCACACAGGAGAGAAGCCCTACCGGTGCAATTACGCCGGTTGCGGAAAGTGCTTCAGTGTAAGGAGCAACATGAAAAGACACGAGAGGGGCCACCGAGCACAGGGCCAAAACGATGCGGGAAACGGGCCTGGTTCGAGCAACGAATGACGTTCGCAAGGGACAAGTTCCAGGCTCATAGAAAAAGAGCTTGTGAGACTACGCGACGTCGTAATTGTGGCAAGTCTCTTTGATCACGGAGAAATGTCGAGTTGCGATGCATTTCCAGGCCGCCATACCTTCTCAACGATTCGGTTTGTGGCAAAAAGTGTCTTATCTGCACCGAAAATCTTACGCACGATATGTCTATAATTTTCTGACTTGGGCCGAGATACTTTGGCGGCGAATCTGTTACGAAGCCATTTATCAGCAACCTGCGAGTATATCAGCACCAGCATATGAAGATATAATGTTTTGGCCTCTTTTTCGCGTTCAAGCGGCATAGCAGGCGCGAGGTGAAAAAGGTACAAGGGTTAGGAAGGGAGCACTATGCTCGTTACGCAACGACGAGTCGACGTGCAGTAACAGCTCACGCGTGGGAGACGGACTTTTTCTGTTAGCTTTCTTGGACATTGTTTCTATCAAGCAAGGTGCAATGGATGCGTGTGCGGGTTCATGATGTGCGGTGTGAGTTCAGACCGCGCAAGCGTGGCCCGGCTTCCCAGTAGCCAACATGTGGCATTCCCGCGAGCACCAACAGGGCTACCGCTGGCTTGGTCGGGGAAGGGCGCCATGACTGTACAATACGAAATGCCGAGATGAGAAGATGCAGCCAGATAGATTGTACCATACGACGGGGCGGGAATTGGCTCGCTTCCTCTCATGCGCATCTGTCACATTGGCGCAATACCACAGTCCACTACGTTAGTTAGTCTGCCACGAGGCATTTTGCGAAAGCGAGAGGGATGTGCATGAAAGTGCATGAAAGTCCACCGCCATGGGGCGCCGGCGCCACGTGCATCCACAGCTACCAGTCTGCTGGGAAGCTTGGGGACCGAAGGAATGGGACCACCTGAGGGACTGGTCTCAAGTGACAAGCACAGGCTGCACATCATGCACATGCATCTAGTATTCGTTTTTTCTTTCCAGGGGGGATTAATCGAATCGAGCCAATGGCCAAAGGCCCCAAATGGCACCTGGGTGGAGCCAAGCTCTAGACCACGCCCGACCCGGTTGATCCGTCCTCCCTGGGCCTCCCTGTTCCTCCTTGGCCACAGTCCTGAATGCCTTTATTCGGCTTGATGTCGTTGTGTCTGCGTGCGTTAGCTTGTGAGGCCGGTGCTCTTGTCTATTTCTAATTGTCCAGAGTGAGCGGAAGACGTCCCAAAGCGGCAACCAAGGCCCACCAGGTGAATCTGGGCCTAGTGAGGCATTCTAAAGCCATTCTGTCCTCCACGTGTTGAAGGTTGGAGCATCGCATCCCGAATCTCGCAAATCCACCAAGATCCGTGATCGGCGAGCCCGAAACTGCCACGTGGGAAAAATTCACGCAATAGTAAATATTCAACGCCTCGACGCTTGGAAATCGTTAAAAAGGTCTGGCCCGTTTACCCAAGCGAGATTCCCTTTCACGTCACCATGCGCCCAAAGTCACACCACTCACCCACCAGAGACGCTATTCAGGCTGAGTGAGTGTCTGCCTGCATGCACGAGTTGCATCTTACTGACATCACTCTCGTCACATAGCTGCATTTTGACTTCTGCCATGAACAAAATGGGTACTGGTATTGGACCGCACAACGGGCCCTTACCCTTGGTGTTTTGCTCGACAGCCTCGCCAGGACTTACCTTCGGCGCATTAAAACACCACACAATCTTTACAGGGGTAAGTGGTACTTATGCAGGCGCTGCATGCCTCCATACTATGGAAATACGAGCGTAGTCTTATGCGGACGGAATCATAGTTCCTCGGCCGAGTTCTTTCGTTTCGCAGTGCAACGCTGTCCGAGTAACTTAGCCCCGAAGAAGGCTTTCCTTTGACAGCTCGACAGACCGCGGCGCCTCTTCCTATTTCGTCTTTGTTGAATGTTCGCCTCGAAGCCCTGCGTCGGCCCTTCTCTGAGGCCATTGCCTTTTCCGGATATGGGAGCCATCCGGATTGTGCAAAGTATCAAAATTGAGTGCTTACCGATTTCCGTGTTCAGGTTTTGGGCTGCAGTGGCCTACTGAGATTTCTTGGAGAGACCACACGGATTCGGAAGGTCGCAGCTAAGCGAGCTGAAATGGTCTGAACATGGTTAACCCTTGATGGTCGACTTCTTCCCGTTCCCCGTTCCTGGGCGCGCACACGCGCACACACACACACACACACACACACACACACACCGCACACTACACATGCGACCCAGCAACGGAAGAGGGTGGGCCGGTTCCGACCTGACTCAAAAGTACAAAGAAAATGTTGCGGAAGACGTTCGTGGAAAACGAACCAAAAAATTACGAGGATGAATCATGACACATGGTTTATGGGGAAAGTAAACTTGAGCCTTGGGGAGTGGTGGAGTTGGTTCTTGACATAAAGATGATCCCCCGTTCTCCTCCCTCTTCTTCCCGCAGCCACGGACGGCCGACCGTCCGATGGGCTTTCGTAGACTTCCATAGGGTCAATGTAGCGAGTGTAGTGGAGGGATGGTCGTGGGTTGGGCAAATTGACAGTTGATTGACAGATGTGTGAATCGAATAATACGGAGTAATGTTGAGAGGTGTGCTCAGCTGTTCGAAGTTTCTGTGTTTCATCTGTCGATCGCGGCCGACAGTATCCACCGCTTTTGGTAGTAGTGCTCCTTCTGATGTGCGAGATGCAGATCTCCCAGACAGGGATAGACGGTTGGGAGATATCCCACTGCTCGCTCGGCATGCTCGTAACCTCCGCGGGCCACGAAGGGCAGGTCGAAAAGTTTTGGCACTTCGTTCCGAAGAATGAACTGCGCAATGCGCAACGCTACATATCTTAGATGACACGAGGTGCTTGGCGGTGTCCTGCCGGTGCGTGGTGCGTGGTGAGTGGTTGAGTGGTTGAGTGGTCGTTAGGGTGTCGCTTAGTTAGCTTCGCAAAGGTGAAGCGATCGGAAGGAAACATGTTTCCTGTCCTTCCGAAGTCGTCCGAGCATACTCTAGATGCTAGGCTACCTCGACACCAAACGCCAGCCCGCCGTAGCCCAGCGGTGGTATGGAGTACGCCAACAGCACTTGCTCGACTCCTTTTGAAGCAATTGATCGTGTGAACGACTTCCCCAATGGGAAAGGGATACAGTCCCACCCTCACTGAGAACGATTTTTGCCACGGTGCTCGATGCCACCATCACGTGCTTCCGAGATTCTTTCTGGGTGGCTGGCATGCCTCCTTTTCTTTCCTCGTACTGTACGAACCCGGCACGTCTCCGGTGGACAGGCCCGGCTCCCCATCTCTTTCTTCTTCGCATTCCAACATCTAGGCGAGCAGTATCGTCCGGGATGACGCTGAGGATGCCTGGTGTCTGTAGCCAGCTGGGTTAGAACGACAAGCTGGTGCGCAAATGTCGGCGCCCACATCGGCCATCGGCCACACCCACAGGCTAGACGCTGTTGGAGAGGCCTGAAATGGAGTATGGCTGTCGTGCAATGATCTCGCTATGGTTTGCCAAACTGCGTCCCCAAGACCTGTGCTCTTTCCATTGCCCTGGCGAAATGCTTGAGAAGTCAAGCGCTTTGACAATCAGGGCAAGGGCAACAGCAAGATCCGAAGGGTAAGGAAGAACAGTGGTGGCCGCTAAGACAACTGCGTGGCCTGCAAAAGTCTTGGAGGTTGAGCCATCGTGATGAGACTGGGTAAGGCTGTATCCTGCTGTTCAGTGGTGATGAGGTCGACGACGACTGCTGGGAGGAGCTGGGATGGTTCTGCAGGAGCAGTCACCTCTCTAACATCATCTACATGGACAGCAGCGTGCCTTCAAGGACACTACTACCTGCACCACACAGCGCCAGAGTCTAGCAAATGAGGCATTGTTGCTCTGGACTGGCCACGGCTGGGTCAGCCTCGTCGAAATAGGAGGTGCGAGGGGTGCTGTGCAAATATTCACTTCGACTATGAATCCCATGCATATGCACATGCTCTCTTCTGGTCTGTTTATTCACTTCAATGTCGCTCGATTCAAGTGACCCGCCATTTTGGCGGGTGAAGTGAACAATTCCACAACTCACTGCATCATCTTGCCATTGTTCAACACCTCACCTTTCTCCTCTTCCAACAAAATTTCCCACATTTCGAGCAAACACATCTTTCAAACAAACTTGTGACTTCGAAAGACAAACAGTAAGTGCCTTTGGCAGATTGAATTTTTATTGCTGAGGCTCTTGCTGACCTGATCTCGCTTATTCAGGTGATCTGAGATCAGTTGTCCTCTCAACCCATATAGTCCTTCGACATGGCTTCAACCAAGGCTGCAACTGCCCACAAGGGGGCTCAGGCGAAAATGTCTCAAGACGAATTCCTTTCCAAGTGCATCAAGCATGCCAAAGAAAAGCTCAATGTCAACTGGGTTGCCTTTGCTGCAGAGACTGGAATGAGTGCTGACGGCGCGCGGTAAGTCAGATTCTCACCTTCAGCGCCAGCCTTGAGTTGTCCCTACCTGGGGCTTAGTACTCGAGCACTTCTGGAATCGTACTAACGCTGTTACAGCAACAAATTCCGTGGAATCATGAAGCAGTTTGAGGGCGAGGGAGCCAATTGGGCGAGCAACGACGCTGAGGGTAATCCTGTCACTACTCCGACCAAAAAGGCTTCTGCCGCTGGCGCCAAACGCAAGGCCCCAGCGAAGAAAAACAAGAAGGAGGAAGTTGCCACTACCGGAGATGATGGCGACGCTGAAGACACTACGGTTGCCGAGGCACCAAAGAAGAAGAGTCGTGGCACTCCAGCGAAGAAAGACAAACAGGAGCCAACTGCGACTACCGCTGACGACGGCGATGCTGAGGATACCACCGGTGACGAGAGCCCAAAGACAAAGAAGAAGCCTCGTGCCACCCCCTCCAAGACCAAGGCTGCCGCCGAGAAGATCAAGCCTGCTGCTGATGATGACACTGACGACACCCCTGCTCCCGAAACACCAAAGAAAAAGGCTCGTGCCACTCCACGCACTCCACGCAAGACCAAAGCTTCTGCCGAGAAGACCGAGGGTGCTGCGGCAAAGAAGGGTGCTAAGAAGGCTGCAGCCAAGACCAAGGTTGACGACGAGAAGGCTAAGGTTGAGGAGGATGAGGCCAAACCTGATGAGCAGAGTGATACCGAGAAGGAAGAGGATGCCGCTGACGAAGATGACGAATAAGTCGGCTTGCACATCGACAATGTTTCTTGTTGAAACTCGTGCTCGACGATGGTGTCGCGGTGATTTTTGCAGAGAAAGACGTTTTAGGATTGGAATAACACCAGGAGTTGGATCAGTAAGCAGCTATTGGATCTTGCTTGTCGAAATGCCTCTTTCACATGGTTTCATCCACAGATCGGTGATACCGCTCTCTTTCACTGCAAAGAGAAGGGCATAGAGCAAATTGTCTCGTCAGAGACAGCTGACTTGCAAAATGAATTGCATTTCTCTCACCTTACTCGCCTCCTAACTATGTTCTGCCCTCGAACTTCATCGCTAAAGTGAAAAGAAAGTCAATAATTTCACATGAAGTCTTCAGCTTCTTAATTCACATGCTCGAAACCTAGCATCAAGTCCTGATTCTCGAGGATAAATAAAGGGCCGCCTCTTCTCTTCCTCTCCTTGTACTTCATCAATCTCCTTCATCCATCTCCATTCTTCTTCAGAGATCGTTCTCGCATTCGGTATGAAAAAGCACCACTACTTCTCATTCAGACCACTAATATCTGTCTCTCGCAGATTCAACATCATACCCAGACAATCCCGATTCTTCGAATCAGGACACTCATACAAAATCACCGCTCATAGTTGACTTCCAGCAAATCATCAGCAAGATGGCTCCTCCGAAGGAAGTCTCCGACGAGTTGAAATTCGTCATGACCTGCATCAAGTACTCACCCGAGCTCAAACCAGACTTTGAGGAAGTTGCGCGAGAGACCGGTGCGAAGAGTGCCTCAGCCTGGTAAGTTTCTCCCTCCAAAGCAGCCCGATTTGCTTGACGTATGTTTGATGGGATCGATCTTCCGACTAGGCATTTTATTTGCTATCTCTGGAGAAGTGTGTACTGATTCTCATCCAGTTACCATCGTCTCTGGGGTATCAAGAGAAAGCTTGGACTCACGGGCAGCGGCAACAAGAAGAATGCTGGAGGTGCTACTTCTAGTGCTGCTACCCCAGGCACCGGAGGCCGGAAGCGCAAAGCTGCAGCAGCAAAGACCAAGAAGGCTGGCGTTGATGGCGACGAGAGTGATGAGGCAACTCCAACAAAGAAGCGGGACACCAAGAAGCAAGCTGTTGTCGAAGACGAGGAAGATGGTGACAGTCTTGAAGCTGAAGCTGGATCTGTTGACGCTGGAGACGCTGGAGACGCTGGAGATGAAGACAAATGATCGAACACCTTGCTACAGCTACATCAGAACAAGCGAAACATGCTGAGTGCATGGCTTGAATAGTCGGAGAGAATAAAGCATGTCATTCGAGACATGCAATAACAATCAATGATGATCACACTTGAAATGATTCACCTATGTGAAATATTAGCATTCGCCTTGAACTTGACGTACTAAACGCCACGGATACTACTTCGGTGAGGAAACATGCTTCATGAATACGGCATCCATCTGCCTCCTCGAGATGTAGCATGTTGAATATGGAGCCTTTTCGAACTGCCAAAGCTCGGACTCAATCCAGCGGTCCTCAAGTCTTGACGTCGATGGCAAGCTCACTGTCGCTTATATGCACTTCGAGACAAGTGCAGGCCGATGGTTTGACGTTCGCCAGCGCCAGCGGAGAACGATGTTGCTATAGCTGCTTTGATACGGCGTCTTGTGTATTCGCAATGGGCCCTGCTCTTCAGGCGTCCACGCCACTTATATTCAGCACGACAATGGAGTTGTCCACGGTCATGAAAATCACGCTGCACATTATTTAACAAATCAATACACTTGTCAATAGGCGACACGTCATTCACAACAGGCTTGTTGAATGTGATCGCGACCGTATTCACATAGGCAGTGATTTACAGATTCCGGACCCTTCCATCGCAGTCGCACCCCGCCTGTGAATAGGACAATAGCATAGGTCGCCGCCGGAACTGCATATATGTATCTTCTTCGGCTTTTCCTCGCTGTCGCCTTTCCTTCCTATCGCAAGTACACTCACACATTCTATCGCAAGCGTCCTTCCTTGTGCAACTATCAAATCACGTGTTCACAGCCTTGCAAGCAACCCCCCCTTTTTGTAAAGCCTCGCCAACACCTCCACCATGCCTCGAGGAAAACAAATGGACGAATCGGCCAAGATCAAGGCCCTCTGCGAGATGATGGCGACGTGTGAGAGCTTCCGTGTCAATCCGACTGCTATGGCAGACTTTTTCGACGTCGAGAGCACCAGAACAATGTAAGAAATGCCCGTTTTGGACTTTTGTTTGCCCCTTCGCAGAGCTAATACAGTGCCATAGTCACCGCAAACTTGACACCATGGTTCGACCATACGGGTACGAGCTCAAGAGAGGCCGTATGAGGAAGAAGAAGGTCGAGAAGAGCCAGGCAGAGGACGAGGACGAAGAAGACGGCGAGGAAGTGAACGAAGACAAAGACGAGGAGATGGCAGCTTCTGAGTCCGAAGAAGACGACGACGATGACGACGACATGAGCATGGAAGAGGCCGAGGAGGCAGAGGAGGCCGAGGAGGTCGAGGACGACGTGCAGGGCGAGGAAGAGCCTGTCCTTGCTCGTAAAGAGGATGGAGAGATGGACAACGACGAGTAGTTGGCTCTGTAGCTCTACCGCAATGGAAGAAGCGTGATTCATGTGTTCCACCTTAACCTACAATCCTTGTGAGGCCTAAGTACAATATAATACTAACAAAGGAGCCCTGGAAAGGCTGTCAATGCCTTGGTAAAGTTGCTAGGTACGTGTGTTCGTCTTAGCATACTGGTCCCAGGCCGGATGAGGCTGCAACAAGCTAAACATCAACTAAGGAAGCGACAGCAAGGTCTCGTCTGTGAATAACAATGTCAGGTTCAGCTTTAATCAGTTCCGTTTCACTTTGGATTAGCTGGAGGTCGAGCGACATGTGCCTTTGACCATGCAGCGTTCTAGAACTATGAGTTTCCGCCTCACATCTCAACCTTGAACCTTTGCATCTCACCTGATTCTCAACTTTTTCAGATATCAAGATCTCTTACTCTTTTCTTCGACCTTGCCAAATTACTAGTCTATCACCAATTGCTCTATTGCTTCGAAGATGCCTCCTAAAGCCGGCTCCACTGGTGGCGAAGCTGGCGACCCTCGCTTCAAATTCGTCTTCAGCGTCCTCAAGAATCTCGAACAAGTCAAGCCAGACTGGGAGAAAGTTGCTGAAGAGAATGGCATTGGTTATGGCAAGAATGCGTACGTTTCTCCTTTAGTTTTCGCTAGCTATACTGACACACTGGCGACCAGGGCGACTAAGTTCAAGGGGATTGCCAAAGATTTAGGCTACAATTACGAGAAGAACACCATTCGTCCTCTGGGCGACACCGAGACGAAGACCGCTGCCGCTACCAAGTCGTCCTCCACTTCACGCAAGAGAAAGAACAAAGACGACGGCGAGAATGAGGCCAAAACTCCTAGCAAGCGCAAGCAGCCAGCACCCGTCAAAGTCAAGGATGAGGACGACGATGTGACCGAGGATGACAGTGCTAATGCAGATATCAAGGACGAGGAGTAGGCGGGAGATCAGGACGAGGCTCTTACAGGCATCAGTACAAATTGAACGTGACGGCTTGATACGATGCTCCTCGTCGAAGGTTCTATGCGAACCCGCGTACGCATGGTTTGCGGGTGCTGCATATGTACTTGGATGTGCTGCTGGGGAATTGATCCTGTGCGAAGGCATATGGACGGCTTCATCGTGCATGGCAAATGGAAATACAAGAGCTGACTGATGCCGTGATGCATAAGATTGCGAGCAATGAGCAGACAAAACTGCCAACCAATGCACAATTTGACCATCACTCCATCCTTGTCCCATCATGTCCCCCTTCTGCAATCTCTAATTGATATTCAGAAAGAGACCGAAAAGTCGGTCGGAAGGCTGCGACTTGGCAGGGAGAAAGATTGATCGCCCGCTTAACAATTTAAGCTTAATTCAGAACCAAATTTCTCCGCATGCGACAAAACTTTTGGCTTTGACTGCGAAACACACTGGCACCAGTGACGGCTATAAGAAAATGCCTGGCTACAGACCATTCAGGGGCGGCAACCGCGGTGGTAGAGGCCGCGGTAGAGGGCGAGGTCGTGCCACAGAGCAGCGCCACGTTTTCCAAACTTCACGACTGAGGGAGACCGAGTATGCTCATTTTGCCGACACGATGTTAAAAAATCAATTTGGCTAATGGGTGCAGGGACGATGATACGCAGAACGATGGCAGACTTCCGGACGAAACACTCGACGTCGAAGATGGACTATCCGGGGAAGATGAAGACGTACAATCCATCAGCGAAGACGAGGACCGGACAACGGCGGCGAACTCCTACGTTACACTCCTCCAGTCGTTGAACGCGGGTCAGAACAGCGCAAACAGTGAGCCTGCCAGGAAAAAGAGGAGGCTAGCGGAGAAGAACGCTCAGAGCGAGCATTATGAGACCCAGGAAATACCTGGGAATAGCGCACCTACTCAAAACAAGAAGACCATGACTACGGATGACGATCCACAAGAGTCGGACGGAGAGGTCGAGGCAGATGAAGAAGAGCACAGCCCAGCAGCAGATGCCGATTCCGAGGATGAGGATATCCTGCTGAAAGATCCCTTTGAGAAACACTACAGTGCAGTAACGGAGCAAGATCTCAAAGACGCAGCCAAAGTTGTCGACCAGAAAGACTGGCAGACACAGACATCCACGTTGCAGGACGACATCCGACGGAGTTCGACCTCACTCAAGAGCCACCCAACGTCACTCAATCCCATCAGGCGTACAAAAGATCTTTTCTTGAAAAACAGACTCCTTGAAGCTGCCAGCAAGCTCATACCAACTCTATTATCAGACGAGAAGGAGCTCGCGGGCGCGATATTCAACCACGCCGACATCATCTACAGCAACCGCACTCTCCGAAATTCAGCTCGCCTCCGTGACATATCCACCCTCCATGCCCTTAATCACGTCTTTAAAACCCGGGACCGCGTTCTCAAGAACAACGCCAAACTCAGCGGGTCCAGCACCGAATCTCTCGACCTCCGCGACCAAGGCTTCACACGTCCCAAGGTCCTCATCATCGTGCCCACAAAACAAGCCTGCGTCCGCTTCGTCGACAGCATCGTCAACCTCAGCGAGCCCGACCAACAAGAAAACAAATCCCGCTTCCTCGACACCTTCTCCTACGACGACAGCGACGAGTGGGCCGATAAGCCCGAAGATTTCCGTGCCCTGTTTGGAGGTAACCACGAAGAAGATTTTCGGATCGGCCTGAAGTTCACCCGCAAGACGATCAAGTACTTTTCGGGCTTTTACAATTCGGACATAATCATCGGCTCACCACTAGGTTTGATGCGAACAATCACCACCGGCGGCGGCGGTGGCAAGGACAAAAAGAAGGCGCACGATGCCGATTTCCTGTCCTCGATCGAAATGGTGATCATGGACCACGCCAACGCCCTCCAGATGCAGAACTGGCAGCACGTCGACTACGTCTTTTCACAACTCAACCTCCTCCCCAAGGACAGTCACGGCTGCGACTTCTCGCGCGTGCGGCACTGGTATCTCGACGGGCAGGCCCAATATCTCCGCCAGACAATCGTGTTCTCGGACTTCCTGACGCCCGAGATCAATGCCCTTGCGAATGCCCATCTCTTCAACATCGCCGGGCGCGTCAAGTACGTACCTACATACCCCGGCGCCATGCTGTCGGTAAGCTCTGTCCTGCCGGTCAGCAACGTGGCCCAGACGTTTTTGCGCATCCCGTCGACGAACCCGCTCGCAGACGCGGACACGCGCTTCAAGTACTTCACCACGACGATCCTGCCGCCCCTGGTCCGCGCCGCCCGGCATCAGAAAGGCATCCTGCTCTACGTGACGAGTTACGCCGACTTTGTGCGTTTGCGGAATCACTTGTCCACCACGCCCGACGCGACCAATCTGTCCTTTGGCTCCGTGTCCGAGTACACGCCCGTGAAAGAGGTGGCGCGCGCACGCTCGCACTTTTTGTCCGGGAGGTATGCGCTGTTGCTGTATTCCGAACGCGCCCATCACCATTTCCGGTACAGACTGAGGGGTGTGCGGAAAGTCGTCTTCTACAGTGTGCCGGAAAATCCAATCTTTTGGACCGAGATCATTGGTCTGTTGGGACTGGGGTTGGACACGGAGACGGCGAAAGGAAATATGAAAGGCGCGGTGAGAGCGTTGTTCTCGAAGTGGGATGCTATGAAGTTGGAGAGGATTGTGGGCACCGAGAGGGTGGGAAGGTTGATACATGATCGTGCAGGCGATACCTTTGACTTTGTCTAGAGGCAATGATCGAACAAACAAGCATTGTGGAGGTTGCATATTGCCGAACATGTACAATGCTATCGTCTATTCAAGCCCAAATCTATACACCTTCTGATCCCAAAGTCTACTACTTATTGCAAAGGTTGAGGCCAGTCGCTATCTTTCAGTGCATACTGTACTGCTGCCTTGACATCATCGACTATTGCTCGAGGCTCCCATGTCGGTCGCCGTCCGTCGCGGTCTTTGTAAACGCCTGTACGCGTCAAGAGACTAATCCATTCGACTCCATACCGAGACTCGTAGCTGTTTGCACCACGAATGTCACTTTCCGGGTTGTCGCCGACCATGTACACCCTTTTCAGAGGAGGAGCTTGGCTCTTGCCGAACTTCGCATCACGATGGCGAAGTAATTGCTTCTCGGCAAACTCGTATGTTTCTCGGAACGGCTTTCCAGCAACGCGCTTGTACAGTTCCGGTGTGGGATGATCCTTACTGGATGTCAACGCCTGCCACAGGCCGTCGACTGCTGCACGAAACCCGCCCTGCCCAAGACGCGAGAGGTGATAATCAGCGGCCCACAACAGATCCGGATTTGAAAAGTACAGCGGCGGCTGCCCATCTTGGAGGTACCCACTGTTCGGCAGCGACGCGTCGCCATTCTTGCTTGAATAAGTTCCCATGATACCTTTGTGCGACAACATCACGTCCATGAGAACCTGTAAATCCAAGCCCCAGTCACGCGGGTCGTTGTACACGAACACCGCGTCAATCTTGAGACTATCTGCCGGCGAATCTGGATTGATCGGCTTCGGCAGGGGCCGCGCAAATTTATCGTAGTAATCCTTCTTGAACGGCTTGCTGAACGGCCATATCTCCGGATGTGCAGCGTATATGTCACCTGGCGTTACGACGTTTGTGAAGCCGTACATTTCTGCGACGTCTCTGCAGCGACCGCCCTCACCACCAACCACCATGATGCATTTGTGACGCAGGCTATCTTCGCCGTGAATCAGCTCGGCAAAGGGTGTGTGGCTCTGGATGAACATGGAGGTGTCCAGGGAGAGGGACAGCTTCTCCGAGAGGTCTTTGACTCGTTCAGATTCATGACGTCCACCGCCGTTCGTGAGGAGGACGAAGGGAATCGAGTTTTTCTGGAGGAATTGCAGGGTCGAAGAGGCGTGCGGGATGGGCTTTGCGCTGCGGACGAGGACGCCGTCGATGCTATAGGAAGGGTGTCAGAATATCGTCCTTCAAGTGTGCTCACGTCGATGTGGGATTAGCTACGTACTCGAATGCGAAAGCGAAGTCAGGTGCGGGAGGTTTCTGGGTGGTCTGGAATGAGCGGTTCTGGCTCTCCAATGGCCGCAACAGATTCTGTGCAGGACGTCGACATCGTGGCAGAGTCACGAAGGGCCTGAAATTGAGGCCCAAGGTACGACTTCCCATGCTCGCCGCCGGCCAACTGGCGGCAAGTGGACGGGCCTAGGAGTCATTTGTGTCGGTGATATCGCTGAGCTTATCGATAACAACCGCGTTTACAAGCGAATAGTTCGCACTATCAGTACGGTGAAGTGAACTGATTGATGTGACGCTATTATGACCATTCCATTTTCTTCCTCGAATACACTCCCAGGTCCGAGAAATGTATACCTTACAGTTTACTTGTCTCTATCTCGTCTTACTCGGATTATCCTTTATGCCATTATATATTTGTCAGGATCCAAGCTCTGAAACATCAAACACCAAATACGCTAACCTCAATGCTAACCTAAGCTCCCGGTTTTCAAGGTTTGCTGAGCTGCTCCTTGCGGTAGAACTTGAAATAACCAAAGCATATGCTCAAGTTCAGGACGAGTCCAATCCAGAACCATGGCTGCCAGATATTCGAGACAGTACCGCTGATATCGGGGCTGATAGGACCAGGGCCAATCTTATTGGGTGCGCAAGCTCTCGCAGCAATCGTCGCAACGGACCCAAGAACTTGTGCACTGATCAACGTGAAAGCCACATGGACACGTGTAAGCGTGGCCAGCAGAATCATGCCAAAACCAACACCCTGGATTGCATCGAGCGTACCCAGCCATAGCCAGAGAGCACGGGAAACCAGTGCAGACGCCGTGTAGCCACCTGCCCATGGCAAATAGAGACCGATGTTGCTGGTACCCCACCAAATCTGAGCCCAGCGCGGCGCACCAAGCCCAATTGCAAAGAGTGGGAGGATCCAGCTATGTGACTTTGACAGCACAGCAAAGAGCCACAAGAAGACTGCCCAAATCACAATAAAGAACAAAATAACGAGAAGCACGACCTGCCACGTCTTTGTGTGCGAGCTGCTCCATAAGAACGACCAATTGCGGCCGTATGGTGCGGAAAGGAAGAAGTTCTGAATGACTACCGTGACGAAGAACCACAGTACGATCTTGCGGCGGAGGAGGCTTTTGTAGAAACTGGGCATCTTGCCAGGTGCTTGGCGGTAGTAGTTGGGCAGTCCGAACCACATCAACAAGCCGATAGCCCATAGAAGCATGGCTATGGGAAGAGTGATGGCCGTGATTTTCCAGGTCGAGGAGACCGGATCGGAACTCTTCGTGATATCATCGGCAGTACGTCTGTTGAGATAGGAACCCCAGTACCATAGTGCAACAACGTAGATCTGCTGAGTGCCTTGGATCACACAGGCGCGGAAGACCCAGGCTTTGACTTGGGCGCCGCCCTCGTCGCCAAAGTTCAGCGCGAAGAATATGCTGCCAGAGGATGATGCCGCGGCGTACATGCCAGTACCGACGTTTTGTACCCATCCACGTCCGCTCGCGGTGGACGCGTAGTGAGCGGTGCCGATCAAGATGAATGCGAGGCCGTAGAAGAAGAAAGGCAACGATAGGCACAATAGTGAGCTAAAGCGGCGGAACAGAATCCACCAGCAGATTGACGTGACCAAGTAGACACTCGCAATGCTGTACAGCTTCTCTGCTGTCTGGCCGACTTCGCCCGTCAACAGGGTAATCTGGTAAGAATTGGCCGCGATGATCTGCCCGAAGCCCATGAAAAACGCATAGACAGGCCAGTCACCAACACGGAGTTGCATCCAGTTCCTCACACCAGTAGGTGGCTTGTAGTCCCTCCCGAGCAAGAACTCGTCGTTGAGGCTGTTCGAATCACGTTCTCCAGAGTCATGGTCACTATTGCTCTCGTAGCTGGAAGTTGGTCGAGACTCCTGTGGGGCATGAAAGCTCGAATGGGAAGAATGGATGTTGTATCTCCCCAGTTTGACGTTGCGGAAAGTGTCGAACCATTGCTTTTCCGATTTGACCAGAAACTCCTCGATGCAGGCCGAGGTCTCAGAATTGCGGCCGTCAAGTCCATCAAGCTTCTTCCCGAAGGCTCGTGCAAATTCACCATTGCTATCAGTGAAGAAGGGGTCGACTTTCTGCAGCTTGAAGTCTGTCTTTTCGCCCACAATTGAATTCACTGATAGCATTGAAGGACTCGCTGATATTCGACTGTGCGACTCTGCCCGCACCAGTGGCGGCGGGATGAGCAGGCCTGAGTTTGGGCTCTGTGGAGAGGTAAGCGGAGGACTATCATTGGGTAATGATGGTCGTTTTGGTGTGTTGGTCATCTCCAGTCCAGGACTTCTAGGTGAGCGGAATGCTGCGGAAACAGGTGACGAGGACGGAATTCCATCATTGGAAGGGACGCGTTCGTACCGCCCTAGAGTCTGTGTAGGCATTGTAACACCCTCGTCACTGTCGTACTCATCGTCGTCAGAGTCATCCTCATCTCCTGGACCGTCATTGTAGTTCTGAGTGACCGCGGTGCCAAGCCCAGTATCGTCACCTTCCACATCAGGTACCGACGGGAGGACCGCTGGCGCATGTGGCTCCTCACCATCAAAGGCATCCCGCGCATCAACGTGGCCTGGACCGCGATGTGACCCCAGAGAAGCTGAGCGTGACAAACCAGAGCCAGGTCGCACCGTGGTATCCTGGCTTGGCTCACGACTGTGTGCGTGACTCCAAAACCGGGAAGTAAGTGCGTGCAAGCCTGCATAACTTGGTGCCCGTGAATACGCTGGAGTGGTAGCCCCTGAGCCTCCAGGAGTAGGCAAGCCTGAATGTGGCCAGATCATCTCATCCGCCACAGAATGACGTTTCGTTGCTTCGACTTTGTCGTGTATGCGAATAGCAGTGGATTGCAAAATCTCCAGGTCCTCACACCACTGCGCCACAGGGAATCGCTGCTTGGCCGATCGGGCTCTCATGAGAGCGCGGACCTCGGTTTTCGAGCTCAAGGCTTCGTCAATTGCTTGCTTGAATTGACGAAGCAAATGTGACGTCGTTGTCGATTCAACTGTGTACCACCAGCCAGGCTAGAGCTTGTATCAGTACAGCGAGCTGAGAAAGGGTGGGCACATCTACATATGGCATGCTCCAAGGAGGCCAAGGAGACAAAGGAGACGCAGAAACTTACCATTTGACCAAGCCCGCCAACCCGAGCACCGACACCTAGAGCTCCCTTACGACCAAACTCGACAGCAACCAAACCGAAGGGTTCGTCTCGAGAGGGTATCAACGCAAACTCTGCCCCGGAGAAAATGAAAGGAGGAAGCGCCGTAAAGACAGGCTTAGAGAATACTCTGCCGGGATACAGCTTCATCATCCGATCGAGTTTGAGAGCTGCAAATTTTCCGTACAAGTCGATAACCGGCCCAATTGTTACAAGCTGAACGTTGGGATTGGATTCCAGAATTGAGGGAAAGACATCGGCGATTAAATCAATCCCTTTTTGCATTGACCAGCGGCCAACAAAGACGAACAATTCGGCCCTTGGGTTCTGCTCAAGACCCGCCCATTCTTGAGCTTGACGTTTCAATTCAGGACGTCCAGCCTCAAATTCGGGGTCAATACGGATTTCTGATTCCTTGGGGAGCTTCTTGTCCCATTCACCAGTATCGGAGGGATCGGGATTGGGCAGTTGGCCAACCTTCTTCAGACCCCAGAAGATGGGATAGCGAGCATATGATCTCTTGCCATATTTCTTTGATACACCAACTGCACCAAAGCCTTGCTGGTGTAGCCTCAAGTAGGAGGCCCCAGCATGTAATAGGTTGAAGACTTCGCCAAACTGGACGTAGCGTTGAACAAGCTCGGTCGAGAGGTTGAATACTGAACACACTTCATCACGTTCATGCTTCGTCCGCATTGGCCACAGTCCTTGAAACTCAGCATTATGCAGAGATAAACAGGCTGGGATGGTCCGTGGAAGTATATAGAGAGGCGCGACTGAGCCGTGATAGTCGTTGATGTGGTAGAGATCCACTGGGAAGCGGTTAATAGCCTGAGCAATGCATTGATTCCACGCTGAGTAGTAGATCGCGGAGGAGAGGTCATCCATTCTAGGAGGGTATGGTTCGGACTTTGTCTGCTGTCGGAAGACGGGAGCATCCAGAAGGACGTAGGTTATATTCCGGAGGACGTGGTATTGAACTTGGACCTCGTACGGTTTACCGAGAACAGTCACCGTCATTGGGGCAGCCCTTTCATCCTCGGGATACTGCGAAGCGTCAGATAAAAGTAGGCGGCTCAGTGAGGAGAATACATACATCCACCCCGCCAACACAAGGCACTATCCAAATCAGGTCTTGATATCCTAGATTTTTACCCATTAACTGAGACATCACGCCGAGACCGCCGATCTTGATCTTTATCGCCCAGTCTTCAATGTCGTATTCCATTGTCGCGATCAGGACAGTTCGACGACGTTGTTGATCAATGACGGTATCGGACTGCTGCAGGAATTTCGGTTTGCGGTTGAACTTGGCTAGGAAGCCTGGGGAGTCTTCCTCGTCCTTGAGTTTCTTGAACTGTTTCTTGAGTGCTGCAGGCATCATCCCAGCTTTCTCTGAAATGCCAATCTCGTTGAATTTGACCTGGTAGAAGCTTTGCATGAAAGACCAAACTCCGAAAGCTGCCGTGATGATGGGGACGACGCACAGGAGTACAAAAACGATAATCTGACTCCACATGTTGCCTGAAGGCACCAAATCAAAGCGGAGGGTCCCGTCATTGATAACAACACGCCAGCCAAGATGTGGTTTGGGAGGAGGTTGAGTAATATTCAGGACAATCGAGGATAACGAAGATGGAGGCAGACGATCGAGTATCGAGTCTCCATCTGCGTCTCCCATGACCACTGTCTGATCCGGCTTGCCGTCTGGATTGATGCCCCACACATTGATCTGCGCGAGCGCACCAGAGAGACTCCATTCAGTCATGAAATGGTGCTCCCAGGTGTTGTTGTTTGACAATTTCATCTCATTTTCCAATCCAGCGTCGTAACCATACTGATTATATGGGCCGTTCAGAAATAGGTGCGGGAACCGTCTGGGAGTGTGGTAATCCAAATCACCTTGCTGAACGTGGTCACTGCTCCCAGCTAGACGGCTGAAATACTCGACTCTCACGTGAGTGCCTTTCCAGGACTGCAGGTCAGTCCCAGACCATGACTGCTCCTCGATCTTCGTTTTCCCACCGTCGTAGGGCATCCAGGAAGAGAAAGTTGAGCCCCAATTCGTAGAGTAACGCCACTTATCAGCTCCGGCAGCCGAATGAGACAGCATCAAGGGCCCGTCCTCGCTTTTGCTGAGAAGACTAGATGAATAGTTCGCCATTGTGGTGAAAATCAGAGGGTTATCAGTCCGACCAATCCTGAACAAGAATCGATCAACGGCATTCGTACTTTCTCCCACCTCAGATGATGCATTCCGAACTGACACTGCATGGATGCCATTTGCAACGTTGTTGAGTGTTGCCGACCATGACCATGTCGATGATATAGCCCCGACATAAGGAGGCGTGTCCGGGTTATTCATTACGCCACAGATGATGCTGTCTCTGTCGAGCGTGGGTGTCACATTTGATTCGGTAGTGGAGTTGAACATGAGGCTGTTTGTGACACTGTCACACTCCATCTCCACCGAGAATTGGAGTCCGATGTCAACCGATTGGGTGTCATTGTCTCCAACAGTGGACTGAAGTCGGGCGTCATGTCCCGGACTGAACTTCGTGACCATAGGCTTGGGGCCAACCCAGCTATCAATGGGGACGTAGGCGCGGAAGTCGTAAGCTGCCATTTCCAGACTGCTCAAGCAGCCGTTGGGGTTCGTTGAACCGTTTATTCCAAGCTTATGAACGCTGTCATTCAGAGTGTGCTCATCGTAGGGATAAAAGAGATTCTTAACGGTGGTGCCTGCATCATACGGGGCAATCAGACTTGTAGTGTTGAGGGCGGTGTTGTTGTCGCTGCAATCAAAAGTATACGTGGTCGTGGCGTTGGCGTTCGAGTACAGCAGCCAGATCGAGAGATCACCGGCGCCAGTGCCACTCAGATCTTGCACACCTGGGAATCCCGACCGCATGACGGACCACATCCCAGTCTCAGTAGTCACTTTCCCGGAACCAGGATATTGCACCTGCTCGGTCTGATTGGATAGTTGTTGCAAGAAAAATCCATCTTGAAGCACCGGAAATTGTTCGCGTAGTTGGTTCATATGGTGTATGATGCTTCGAACAGGATGAGAGGGATCTCTATGGTCATAGCTGACTGTTACATCTTGACAACCATGGCGCGAAGCATTGAGGGGCATATTGAAGTATTGAGTTGAGTCGAGATGGTAACACCCATGCGTCTGCCACGCCGTCGCAGCAGACATCGCTGAAAATAGTCAGAAAGTTGTTCCGGGTGAAGGCATGAGTAAACCATATGGTTCGTGCTAGAATGGTACAATCTTGTGAGAACGGGACTTACCTTGTCGACCGAATATGTAATTGGAGGCGGTATTGTCCAAGACATAGAAAGCTTGTTCCTCACCCCACAAGAGCAACGGCGCCCCAGGCAACTCGATCGTAGTGATGAAGTGACCCAGCAATTGCCGGTGGACGCCATCAGTAATGGCAGGCCACCGGAAGACATCTTGGTTAGTTACACCATACATATGTCTCGGGTCAAAGACACCTGTATTGGGGTTCACAAAGTCGTTGGTGAGCAGAAAGTCGTTCCACATGTCAACCCAATTAGGGGGCGCGTCATAGCCAGCCTCAAGGTTTCCATCCATGCCGAGAAACCGCGTCAATGTACGGTATACCGTATAGTGGAAAGCAGCAGCGTCAAGGGCACCATGCTCAGGAGCTCTGAGAAAATACTGCTCTGCTGAGTTGTTGGTCATTGTCAGAGCTTCCGTCAGATTTTCCGGAAGCATATCGGGCTGTCTTCCGCGGCCAAGGTATAGTGATCCAAAGACATTCCCACCAGTGATTTCGCCCGGAGTAAAGAAATTTTCTTTGCCATACCTTCGGGCGCAAGTGCGCATAGCTTCGTTCATGAAACCCATAGCGTCAATGGTGCTCTGGGTAGCTTTGTCGTACCGGTACCCGTCAATGTCCAGGGATGCGATGAGCATGCAGTAGAAGTTTTCCAACTTATGGCGGACGGGTTCGTGCCATTCCCGCAGGCGGTCTTGAACGGAGGCGAATTTCGATAGTTGACGTCTCCAGTCCGGGAAGACCCCGAAGGCTTCGGTATCACCGTATTGGTCGAAGTCACTGTCGTAGCACCCTTGGAGGTTGTTGGTGACATCCTCGTCTACAGGGTATCCGGTCTCCAACCAGAATTTCGGGTAATTGCAAGTCTTGTTGTAATTGTTCCCGAAGCTGAAATCGTGGTAATGACGGTCTGATTTCCACTGGACCTCATGTTCAGCGAGAGTGAACGGCGTTGTGGTGTTGAGGTAGCCGTCAAATCCAACCAAATCACCCAACGTGGCGAATGTATTGTCTATGATGACGTACATGTGTCGAATATGTATCTCTTGTATTGCGGTCCGCCACATCTCAATATCGCCGAAGTGTTGGTCGAGAATGGACAGGTCGAGGGGCGAATACTGATCGTAGCCCCATGGACTATTAATGAACGGCGAGCCTGCTATGTAGATGCCCTGCAAATATCAGCCCAGTTCTCACAACACCCTGAACATCATCACATACCTTGATTCCCATACCCTGCAAATAGTCCAGCGTGTCGACCAAGCCCTGCAGATCGCCTCCATGGCGCATTTGATTTGAGTTCGGGTCATGTTCGTAGGCCGTACCGTTGATCTGCAGACCGTCAGAAAGCCCGCGATAGATAAGGACAAAGCGCAAGTTTTGTGCTTGAACGAGACAGCTTATCCGAAGAGAGGATAGTTACATTATCGTTGGAGGGGTCACCATTGACAAATCTGTCTAGGAAGAGAGTGTAGAAAGGGAACCTCCAGTTACTCGGCGATGGCGTATAGGTATGCCCGGACCACTCTCCCCAGTAGTCCAAAGGGTCGACAGCTGTTTGATTCTGATTGAGATTCCATTGGGAATACGCAGGATCGTATTTGTATGCAGAACAAGTCGTAGAAAAGAGAAAGGCGCCCAGAATCCAAGCAATAGACATCGTCGTGCTAAGAAAATAAAAACGAAGGACTTGAAGGAAGCGAGTGAGATAGTGAAAGCGAACGTACGCAACGTTGAGGGTGCTTCAGGATGAAAAAGATACAGAACACAAATGACTAGGAGAAGTGGTAAGGTAGAGAAGCATTTAAAAAGCAAAGAGCACGGGATTCTGTTGCAGTCACCGCAGTCTGGGGGAGAGCGAGACTCCCTACCTGCTGGTATCCCAGACTGGACTCCAGCTGAGAACCCACGGTATGTGATGAGATCGTTAGCCGCGTTGGGTGGAGGCTATGGCTTCAAGCCTCAAAGCTGGTGTAGACTCAGCGTGGGCGCATTGCTCATCACACCATCCCGCCGGTGGAGGGATATATGAGACAAGATAAGCCATGCGCTGCCACTTCGCTCCCACTCACTGAGAGGATTATGCATGGTGGCAAGGCCTAGCTGCAGGGATGTGCCACACTCGGGAGCAGTGGTGTTAGTAGAGGCTCGTATCAAGGCGCCAGGAATCTATCCTCCCGAGGAGCGGCCAGTTGATAGGAGAACCCTTATGCGCAGGAAACGCCATGGCCCGCAGCAGATATTATTCTCCTAGTTCGAGAACCGTTGACAAACAAGGCTTCGAGTCGGAGAATGGACAGACGTGCAAAAAGGCGCAGCCGGAGAAATTGTGCAATGACGTGGCAACATCGATTCAGTATACCACCGTGGTCATCCTCCATGGACCGCCAGCCAGAGATTCGTCGGGCATGTATCCAGTGGGAGCCATAAGGCTGACAAAATGCGAGCATGGCACTTTTGTCCGGCCCGGGCAAGCCCTACGGGCGGTTTGCTAGACACAGCCTGGTGGGCGGCGATAAAGAGGATTACCAGGGTTCAGGGAAACATGAACCGTAGCATATTAACCAAACGCTTGCAGGGGTAGTACCTTGAAGAGCTGAAAGTTGCATGCTAAAAGGGGGACCCGGCAAAAGTCGTAAACGTGGTCTTGAAGGATCCTCGTCACCCGATCGTCATCGCTAGCGAGGGATTCCCACTGGCGATACTGACACCAGTTTACTTCGAGAAGACGCTTTTCTAGCCACTCGCCCGATCAGATACATATGGACTGCTATGCTGGGAATACGACCTTCTGGGTGTGCTTACCAAAAGATCTCGCCCGTCTCACAGGAGGAAAATGTTCTGCACTGCGAATGGCATGTTCGATTAGCGAACACCTTTACGAGATCGAGTATCTGAAGGCCCGAGGTTGGCGAGTGGTGACACGGGTTTTCGACATGGGTGGTTACAGAACCGTTGGCTGGGGTCAAGTGTTGAGCAAGATAAGCACGAAGGCAACAGGAAATCTCTGCCCAGGGATGATGCGGTCAGGCTCCTCCCGGATGTCTTGTGTTCCTGCAGCACAGAGGGACCGGAGCAGGAACATGCAGGATGATCCACGAATGGATGCGAAAAGATTGGACCAACTCAAACAAATGATGAGTGGAAGAACATGTCTTTGCTGGGAAGCACCATCATGCATGTGTGAGGACGAAACAGGGATGTCTGTTGGCTGTGAAAGACGTTTGAACAAAGGTGCCGGAAGCCAAGGATTTAGCCGAGAACCTTTTCCTTGTTGGGAATCGGCGAGTCTCGCTGGGCGCCTGCATACGTGACTTTTCGAGCCCACCAGAGCCTGATCCCAGTAGGTGGCACCCAGGGCGAGGGCGGGTGGCAGGGCACCGGGAAGAGAAACGCAGAAAGATCCCAGAGAATATCCCATCACGCCTGGGAATTGCCTTCAGCCACATACGCCAAAATGTCCTATTTCCGACAATGCTGTTGCCCTCAATCCCTGCTCATACGAGAAAATATTGATTTCAGATAACAGACGACAAGCCAGCCTGAGATCGACCACCATGTTCCCACAATAAACGCCTCCCACCCAACACTCCGTTCTTGACAGGCGCTTCCTTCCGTTATGTGACTTTGACACAAACCATTGTTTGAATACCCACAGTACCCGCACACCTGCGTTGATACTGCTACGCTGACGAATGATCACTATAAAAGCATTTCCGCATCAACGACTGGGACGCGGAGGCTGATTTGTGGCGAGCACAGCATCGAAGAACATCTTGGTCCCCATAACTCAGCGCTTTTTTTCGCTCGGGATGAATTTGCGGCTGGGCACATCCGACCGGTTGATAATTATTGGGCGGTCGGAATCCCATGTACAAAGACTCAGCCGTCCTCCGAGTACAATTGTCGTGAGACACGGGCACAAAGTTTACTCACACTATCGCTATGGCGGCATGATGGCGGCCTATCAAGTGACATTTTTCTCAGTTGGTGGATGGCAGATGGCTTTTGGCATGTGCTTGTTTCTTCACTAACCTGGAAACCTGCCATGTGCGTAAAAGGCCCACTCTAGGTCGTGTGCAGTCAGGCTGTGGCGCATTTTCTCCGGGAGGATTGTAGCAAGCCCACAAGGTCTTTGACGTCTGCCGCTTGTATGTTTGGAGCATCATACATCTGATGCTCGTCGATCCAGAGCCAAGTGACAGAGACCTCGATCATGAGAAGGCTGATGTTCTTGGACGCCGCACCGCACCAAGCCATTGATTCGAGCATGGCTGTTCCTCATCAATGGCCGCAAGTTGAAGACCCTGAAGTGTGTGGAAATTGTAGTCCAGACTCAGCGCCATTTGCTTGGCTGCGGCTCATTGCTTCCCTGTGGCTGTCCCAACCGACCATTTGTAAGCTTGATTGAGGAACACATTGGCATTTAGGGAAGGGCTGATACTTAACAAGGATTTCCTCCTTCTCATTAGATGCGCGCACTCATCACTGATGAAGCGAAGGAGCGTTGGCATCACGGTATCTGACTCAGGATTCGAATCCTTTTCACTTGGCTTGATAACCGGATCGGAAGTTTCATTGTGTGCCTGGGTAAGAAAATTTCCAGTCGTTGATATCCCGTGTGTCTCAGTGCCGCAGGGAGGCCCAAACCTTCAAGCGGGCAGCTCGCTATCCTTGGACTTGGCGAAGCACCCATTCCGTTCAGCTCAGCTGCTGTCTAAGCACGCCATGAGATAGATTTCTTGGCCGCCTCGGTCATACAGGACTCGCCAGATTTCGATGAATGGCTGAACAGTCCCTAGTTCTAGCAAAGAGCCGGGGCATCTGCTAATGGTCAGCCTCGGCCAGCCGTATCAATTCTTGACTATTGTGCGAATGAGGCATTAGTAAGGGTTCTGCGTAGATAGCGAAGAGGTTTGCGATAATCATCCTCCTCCTGCCTAGCAGGAGCTTTGTAAGCCGCGAGGCTACGCAATCACGTGATGAAGCCTTATCCAGCCTTGGCATTTTGCCGCTTTGTTGTTCCCTGTCTGCGAACATGGAGGCTCAACTTCTGCGACGACACAGCAAGCTTCTTTCGTTGACCTTGGGGCTCAGGTTTATCGTCAGTCTAGTGTTCTACCCACCAGCTCGTACCCATACCTCCTGACCCTCTACCTCCCATTTCGATCTCACAGCGCCTGGAAGAACCACCGCAAAGATGCCTCGAGCCGAAGTTGGGTCGACCAAGTACATCGCCAACCAGATGAAGTCCAAAGGGCTTCAACGGTTGCGATGGTACTGTCAGGCCTGCCAACGTCAAATGCGAGATGAGAACGGCTTTAAGTGTCACGTCGCCTCGGAATCGCATGTGCGTCAGATGCAACTTATTGGGGAGGATCCAAAGAAGGCCATCAACGATTACTCGAGACAATTTCTCAGGGATTTCGTACAGCTCTTGCGAACGGGTCATGGAGAGAAAAAGGTTAACGTGAACCATTTCTATCAAGAATACATCTCGAACAAAAGCCACGTCCACATGAATGCAACGAAGTGGCCTAGTTTGACGGAATTCGCAAAATATTTGGGCAGGGAAGGCATTTGCAGAGTAGACGAGGATGAGAAGAACGAAGATCGTGGCGGTGCAAGTGCATTGACGATCAGTTGGATCGACAACAGCCCGGAAGCGCTTCGGCGGCAGGACGCTCTGCGGAAAAAAGAACGACAGGATCGTGGCGATGAGGAGCGGGAACAGAAGATGATACAGGAGCAGATCCGGAAAGCGAAGCGTGAAGGAAGAGGCGCTACTGCAGAAGAGGAAGAAGATTCTGAGGATCTCGAGGGCACGGAAGGCGAGGGATTTAAACGCAAAGACGGCGAGAAGATTGTCCTCAGTTTTGGTGCAAAGAAAGCCTCACCAGAAGCGACCCAACCACCAACACCTCCGTTACCAGATAAAGATGAGACATCCTCCGACAAAGGCAAAGCAACATCGTCCGCGTCAACGTCTGAGTCCACTCCTGCCGACCTGACCACTGCAGCCTCTTCAGATCCTGCCGACGGTGGTACCAAGATACCAGAGAAGAAGCAGCCGTTTTCAATGTCAATCGGTGCTTCGACGGCCAAGCCCAAAAATGTCTTTGCAGCAGCGTCTAAGAAGAAACCTTTGGTGGGAGCGAACAAAACTGCAGGCCTGACTCCTTCTCGACCTATGAGTGAAGCCGAAAGGATCATGAAAGAAGAGATCGAGCGTAAGCGACAACGCGAAGCGCATAGCTTGAGACCAGGCCAGAATTCGTTCAAAAAGCAGCGCATTTCATAATATGCACACTATCGCCAACAAGGGATGCGATACTTCGAAATGGGAATCAAGCCCATAATCGCCAAGGAGTCTATGAACGACGTAGAGGATGGTGTCAATCAAGGACTACAAAAAGTGGTACAAAAAACTACAAAACTTTTTCCACCCTACCAGGTATTCGAACATCTGAACTTTTTTAGAGTCCGCAGAGTTATGGTTCGTCTGGGTTACGGTTAACGGGTGGGAAGTTGAAACTCTGGCCTCTCTTCTCATGGTTCTTGATCCTCGAGAAGGCTTGGTTTTTTTGGTTTTGATAGTTTGAGCTATTGACACCTTCATCGAGCATCCACATTGATTGTTGCGGTGCTACTCTGATTGTCGAGGATAATTCGAGGAGTTTGGTATATCAACATTGGGATTTTTATGGGTCTGGGGTGTCGGCATGAAAGGCGGGCAAAAGGCGAGCGTGAAGTGAATGCATGTATGCATCTTCATCGTGTGATTAGCCTGGTCGCGTGCTGGCAAAGGCGGGAACGAATGAATACCATGGTTTGAGATTAGCAAGAGCGTTATTCAAGGGTTTACAACTGCAGTAGGGCAGCCAATTTTGATACATCATACGGCGGCAGCGCGTGCGTGAGCTGTGCCACAATCTCATTCAAAGCATTCTGCATACCTTTCTCCATCCGCTCGCTCACCTCTCAATGTCACTACGGTGAGAAGTTACCATGCGTACTCGGTCCCAGTCTCCGTACGTAGGTTCATAGGTAGTCAGTAGTCGCATTGTACACAAGGCTGTGACGCTGACGAGGCTGTGGCTCTCGTAAATTGATTGGCCAACAAACATCAACGACCGACAATCTTCGATATTCTGACCTCGACCCTCGACCTTGAGGACTACTGTCCTTTTAGAGGCGAGATGTTGTCCTCTTGTTAGTATCACACACTAGATCCTTCTATGATCGCAATTACACGACCGAAATACCTGCGAAGTAAGCGCCCACAACTCCATCGCTTTTCGCGCGACATGAAATAGCATCATGAGATTTCCTTGGCTTGTACTCCGTATATTTGCATCGAAGCATTTGCAGAGACAGTGACAACAACACTTTTGCTTCTCAAACACCTCATAGCTCCTCTCTACTATATCAGGAGCAAGTGCCTGGAGCATGGCACCTTCACACCAACGACCGCCCTTGTCAAGAAAGGGCCTATCCTCAAAATCCAACCCGAAATCTCTCAAATCCGGCCGTCCACCACTCCTGTCTTCCCTGTCCACGAGGGCCGCCGCCCCAGCTTCTTCCAACGCTTCCTCATCTCTGTCGTCCAAACACACACGCACCCTGATCCGCAGCCACCACACCCTACAAAAGCGACTAGCTCGTGCCCGTGCCGAGCATGACACCCAACTCATCAAGGATCTCGAATCCCAGCTCTCCGCATCAGGCGGTCTCGCAACGTATCAACTCGCGAGTACGATCGGCCAGAGCGCCGAGCGTGGCGGCGACTCGAGCCGGGTCCTGGTTAGATGGCTAGGGCCTGAACTGTCTTTCCGGAAATCAAAGTCAAACTCAGCCTTCAGCCCAAAACCAAAACCACAACCACTGAGGATCCTCGAAATCGGCGCCCTCAGCACGACGAATGCGCTCAACATCCCCGGTGCGACCGTGGTTCGACGTATCGATCTGCGCTCCTCCGCTCCTGGCATCGAAGAGGCCGACTTCATGACGTTCCCACTGCCGAACTCGCCGGATGGTAAGGGCGAATGGCAAAGCGAACGAGGCTACGATGTCCTCAGTCTCAGCCTCGTGTTGAATTATGTCCCCGACGCAAGAGGGCGAGGCGACATGTTACGCCGGACGACTTTGTTCTTCTCTGATTCTGATTCTAATTCTGATTCGTCCCGCGCAGGCGCCCGCGAGCGTATGGCGGACCAGCACGCCTCTACTACTACCACTGTCAATGTCAAGAAGCGGAAGAGAAAGGAGGAGCATGAACAGGAGCACGAGCATGGGACTCCAGACCAGCAGAAGGGCAATAATGACGAGCCGGAGCAGCCGTTCCTGTTGCCGTGCCTTTTCGTCGTCCTACCCGCCCCGACTCTGCATAACTCACGCTATCTCACGCCCGACCATCTCACTCTAATCATGTCCTCCTTGGGGTATATCAACCTCGAGACGAAGACGACGAGCAAACTACACTACAGTCTATGGCGGTACGACAAAGACAAACGGACGCAGTGGATCGAAAACGGTGGGCCGACGACATTTGCGAAGAGGGAGATCAACCCCGGAGGAGGGAGGAACAACTTCTGCATCATTCTCGACGACAGTGTTGTGCCAGACTAGAATGACTTGCGAGAAAACAAAGCAAGGCCTCGTCCCTTGGTACGCCACTTCACGTGGTCCTTTCAGTGATTAGCGGACTTGCATATCGGCCGAAATTATGATCGGGAGAAAGCCGATTCTGTCTGAAAGCTTGACGTGGACTTTGTGATATCACCTCGACGGCATTAGCAGATCCAAACAGAACCATTATATGGCGCGGCTTTGGGTTGACGGTTTGATCTATGCATGACTTCTCATTCACCTGCTCCGTCTGTGCACGCGCCGGGCCATCAGGAGTTGTTGGCGCTCAAATCTATTCATTTCAGGGCAGTCTTGTCTACACGATGCTCGGTGACCATTTGACATTGGAATAGTGCACGATCTACGGAGTACGGATTGATCAAAGGACTTGGTTGTGGTTGAATTTCTTTCGTTTCCTTTCTCACCCTATGGACTCTTCTGCATGCTTTGCTTCGCTCCAGCGAACTGGTACTGCTTGACTAGTTATACGGCCCTGCTCGGCCGTCACCGAATGTATGCTGCATACTTGAAATACAATGTCGAGTCGCTCCGGCCTGGTTTCATACAATGTTGACTGACCCTCCCACCATTTGCCAAAACACCGGGTCAAGTTTTTGCTCATTAAGACGCCTACCCATTACCATATAGAGTCACTCCAGAAACAACCGCAATGATGCTTTGGTTGACCTCCGCTGATCCAAACACGCCATATCCAGTAGCCCGTGGGCTGTTTGAAAAGCGAACGTGGTAGTAAAGCACAAAGAGATGGATCAAATGGATACCGTCTTCATTTCGTCCTCAATCCCATTCACGCCGAGACCCGTGACCTCGGCTTTCTCCTGATCTGGCTTCTCTTCTTTGATTTCAGGTTCGGTGAATACTCTGGCGAGTCTGGTGGCGGGGAATTTGTCCGAATCTGCACTCTTCAGAGAAGATGGAGTTGGTGCATCAACAAGCTTCTCTGGCTTCCTCGGAAGGTTGGAGATCTTCAGATCAAGCGGCGTTGGACCTTCCACCAGTTTCTCCCGCTTCTTGCCCTCGCTTAAGCTGTCGGCGGATTCAGCAAAATCTCTAACGACATCTCCGCCTGGCCGTACAGGCTGTGGTTGGGCGATCTCTTCCTGCACACGGGCCAAAGGACTGCCTACAGCATGTCGGGGGCTGCCTTGAGGACCTCTCGAGAATCTCTGTGGCGATCGGCCTCGGTCTTCGCCTCCAATGACTGGGCTGCTGTAGGGTGATTGCCGCCCGTTCTGTGCGACACTGCTCGTGTTCAAACTGGCAGGTTGAGGCCTCCGTTTGGGTCCCCGTCGACCATATCTTTGATCTGCGCGCCAGCGTAGAATGTCCATGTAGGGTGGCTCTACAGCTTCCGTCTTGAACTCCTTCAATTTGAGCTCTCCTGTGTCCTCGTCCACAAATACCTTCTCGGAACCGATGTCGTCAGCTACGGTGGCCAGAAAATGAGCCCAGGAGCGTGCAACGACATATTTGCAATCGTAGTCTCGTCCAAACAGGATAATTTGACCCCATTTCCCCATGGGGCCTGGAGCGAGATCGACTGCAATGTTGTTCCCACCCCAGTCTCTGGCGAGAGGAATCCAGCTTGGGTGTGCATAGGCTTTTTGAATGGCTTTCGGTGGTTGTGACTCTTGTCTGTCCAGCAGCTCTTGTCTCCAGAATCGATTACCATTTTGGGTCTGGCTGGAGGATGAAGAACCATTGCTCAGACCCTTTGAGCTGTATTTGCTTTTAGCACCGCTCAGGTACTCTTCGTTAACGACTTTCCAATTCTTCCACTCTTGGACAATTTCTTCACAATCAAGCAACATGCAGCCAAAAATGATACCGGTAGGTCGGCCGCCTCGCTCCTGGCCGTCGTGGATGCTCAAAGATTCGCGAACATCTTGTGGTAACGTCATATCAAGCTCATGTTCCAACTCATTAACATCATTTTGTGTGCACCCTTCGCCAAGTTGATCCCAGAGTTCCTCGTAGTGGTTCTCGGCCCAGCGGTCAATCTTCTTCCAGGAGTGGGAAACAGGTGGTGGAGGAGGAGCACCGTCAGCAAAATTCTGCATTTGTATCTCGCCAGGGGCTACTGATTCTTCGACCTGAGGTGCTTTGGGCGAGGAGATGGAGCGCATGCCTGGCGAGTATGGTCTTGCAGGAGATCCTGCGAGCTGTGAGGAGGAAATGGAAGGTCGTTTCGAATCATCGTGATAGGTAGCAGGCAGGTCTTGGTGGGAATCAGCAGCGCTGGTAGCGACCGAGGTGAGAGGAGCATGTCGGCTTTGACTAACAGGCACATGTTGTCCTGTTCTGTAGGGAGAGTCGTGGGAAGCATGACGGTCGTTGGAGGTCATGGTATGCCAAAAGGAGCGCCATGCTGAGGCAAAGCTAGGATGGTGTCAGTACGGCGGCAAGGAGACTTTGAAAGTAACATACGAGTTTGCCATGACCGGCGACGCAGTAACAGTAGTTGTTGCCACTTTGACGGGAGTGTAGCGGATTGTTGATGGTTGACTAGAATAACATGTGGGTGGTGTTTGGCTGCAGAGACGAGTTGCGGGTTGCCAAAACAAAGGGTCAACGGATGTGTGGCTTGCAGCCGCAAACAAAGACGAATTCCAGCTGTTGATGGCTTATCGAGAACGGAAGTGGTCGCGAACAAAACGAATGTGGTTGTTGTACACGAGGAGAGGTTGTAGTGTCCGCGAAAGCAGGTTTTCGTCTGGGAAAAGGCGTGGAATGGAGGAGTCCAGGAGAGAGTGGGCTCGGACTGAGATTGATTGACTGGGGGGTGGTGGATTGCGAATTAGCGGTAGGGTTTCGGACAGGAGACAAGGCCTTTTCTCAACCAGTACCTGAGCCTCAGTGACAGTGAGGGTATGAAGGAGGCGAACCTAGAAGTGACGGCGACAGAAGGACAACAGACCAGGAGAGGAAGAGGGAGAGGGAGGACAACAAAGACAACGGGAAGAGGAGGGACGCGCAGTTTGGTGTGTTCTGGCTGCCTTTTTCTGAGGTTACTTGTCCATTGAATGGACATCCGCTGCACCTAAACATGACCTAAACATGCCGCGCAGGAATGCCTACACTAGCCTAGTGACCCTCCAGATAGTGCCCCCAATCCTCCTCCTTGGCACTGGTGATGCGCCTCACCAGCTTGCAAATGACCTCGAGGTTGTCACCTAGGTAGGTAGTAGGCTTCTTCGCACTCGGCTCTGTATACCTCAGGCGCTATAAACGCAACGACCTGCAAAAAGCATTTAAGCGAAGGACAATCTACTTGTGCCTGGTTGCCCTTCTTCTCCTTCTCCTCTGCACTGCATGCACTGCGCCTCATGGATTTGCCTCTTGTGCGGCAATCTTGGCCTCATTCGTGGCGGACACCAGCGAGTATGACGCCTGTAAATCTTTTGCAGCCATTGTCCGATTACCTTTCTTTGAACTTCCCATTTGCCTGCTCGAGCTTCATAGCTAACCATATAGAACTCTGACTACTTCGTACGGAGTACTCCTTCTCAATCGACACGCGTCCGGAACGAGTAACACAGACCACGCGTGAATTTCGTGGCTGTAATCAAGCATCATGGCGTCGCACCCTAAGCCGATAGGCTGGACGTCCACTGTTGAAGATTAGATGGGTCTCCCCTTAAACGGCGCTTCATATCGCACCCAAAGACCTTCTAGAAAAAGGGGTAGCCTATGCGGAGACAGGTACCGCACTCAAGCAACGACCTGTGTGTGGAAAAATGTCTAATTAACGGGCTCTCATACCTGGTATGGAGGATTCGACAAGAGGCGAAATCAAGGACTCTCACCACGTCGATCCAAGAGGTGCACCATCCGCCCTTGTCTCGGGTAGCTATTCGAATCCGTTCATCGTGCCATCATTATCAGGCTTGGTAACGCACATCTGGCGCTAAAGCGCACATGATAGGCGAGCAAATTCTCCTTCCCCTCCGTCATGTGCGACCTGGAAACCAGGTTCAGCAACAGCCCAGGCGAAACTAGTATTGTCGATCTCGTCCCACCTACGACACCACCTTCAAACAAGCAGAACACAACAACACCACAGTGTGCACAGCCCGCAACATCGAACATTCTGGACTGTCGCTCTGACATCGTCTCGGTCCGGCGAGACTCCTATAGTTGTTGTGGCCCAGTGCGGCCCCTCGATCCTTCAAGTCAGTCGGATAAGATCTATATCAGGGTACTCGAACGAGACCAAACAAGTCATCGCCCCAACAGATCATACGGCGCTTGGCGGCAAGTGGCTCATGGACTTCGGTGATCGGCTACAACTGATATACTTGTACTGGGTACTCTGCTAAAGCTTCATCAGCATGAGACCGAACTATCTGTGAAATACCTGAATAGGCAGGCTTTTCCATCGTCATAATTCTTGGAACATTATACTCGTGTCAAGAACATTCACGCCAATTGCGTACCAGCGGGTTTTGCCACGCCCTGCATGCAGGTACACGAGTAATTTCCGTGGTGACATGTATGCAGCCTGCAGGCTGTCAGGATAAGTATAGCTCATGCCCTGCGTTCACTGACCAATCACAACGTACTGCCTTCCTTGTTCCGCCATAATAGGATATCTTGGAAATGTTCCGCGCTCAATGCCCGGAAAGAGATCCCTCAAGAAGGTCACAGCTGTGTGCAACATACACACTATACTGTGATACACGCAAAAGCATACTGTCCTCGGGATGTTTCCATCTACTGGTGAGGCGTTTGAGACGCTGACCTTCCAGAACATCAATCAGGCACTCAGACTGGAGCTTGGAGCTATGACCCACGACTCTTACTTGAGATCGTAGTAGCCGAAGAGACGAGACTTCCAGCCATACAAGGACCAGTCTAAGAACAGTGAAACAGCGAATGAGAATATATGTCAATGAGTATTCTGGTCTGTATGCTAAAAGTTCTATCCCACTGGGGTGCAGCCGGATCAATACTGACATGCAATGCGACTCTGAAACCACCCAAGCAATGCCCATACCATCACTGAACCCTTCACTCATTCGTAGACCGCAGCTAAAAGCTTCGTAAGTCCATGGTGATTTCACCATATCCAAGTGCAATGTATGTCAAGGAAATCGCATATCTAATCAAATCACATATCAAAACTTCCATCAAATCGCTCTCAATCGCCTCGCCACAAGCAAACAAGTCACAACAAAGAAAAAGATCGCACCGACAATACCAAAGAACCAATACAGTCCATCTGTATCCTTCCCTGGGACATTAACGTTCATCCCAAACAGACCCGTCACAAGATTAAGCGGAACCAGTATCGTAGCGACGACGGTGATCTTCGCCAAAGCCTTGTTGGTGCTGTTTCCCTTTAGAATGTTATCAACATTCAGTTGGGCCAGATAGTTCGCATGAGACCTCGACAACATCTTCTCCACATGCCCCAAATTGGACATCATCGTGACCACGTGATCCTGGATATCGCCGAGATACAGGCCGATGTCACCACGAGGCGTCATCTCGTACTGCTCATTGCAACGCTTCGCAAAGCCTTTGATGACATCCGCCTTGCCGCCAAGCAGGCGCATCATGTTCAGCACACGCTTGCGGCACTCGCCAATCTGTCGAAGCAGAGCGAGAAAGTCGTCCTCGCGCGCAATAAACACTTGATCCTCAATGTTCTCAGACTCCTGTTCGGCATCGCGGATGATGGGGGCGAAGCTGTCCACGATGTCGTCGATCATGGCGTAGCAGATGTAGTCCGGCCCCAAACTCAAAAAGTCGCCTAGCTTGGAGATTCGCTTGCGCACGTTGTGGGCGTGAGGGTTCGGATGGTAGGAGAAACTGAGCACGCCGTCGCCGCAAACCACAATGTACACGTGAATAGGGTCCAAGAAATCCTCGTGGCTGCTGTCCATGTTGAACGAGCGGAAACATACGAAGTAGTACTGAGAGAAGAGCTCGACCTTTTCGCGGGCTTCTTGAGTTTCAATGTCTTCTCGGGTCAGGCGATGGATTTTGAATGCCTTTGCGAGCACTTCAAGTTCGGACTTCGTAGGATTAAGGACATCGAGCCACCAGACACCACCATCGGGACCAACCTCAAAGAGATCTCGAAAGGTGGTGCCGTCTGACACTAAGTCACCTAACTTGGTCGCGCTTTTGCCTTGGGTGAGCTCCGATGAGAAGAGGAAGAAGCGGTCGGTTAGCCGCGATGCAGCGTGCTTCTGGGTGGAAAATTTCTCCTCCGAGGATGAGCTTTGATTGGTGCCGTAGTGCACAAGCGGCTTCTCGTAGAAATTGTCGCTGTTGAGGATGGCATTTGGTAGCTCACCCTGAGCTTCGGGTCTGCGAAGGTCCCCAAAAACCCGGCTGTCTTTTGCATCCGGCGGATTGGAGTCGTCTGCGATCTTTCCTTGCGCACTCAAAGCTACAAATTCTTCCAATTCTTCGAAGTCGATCTTGTATGTCTTGCCGGGTTCCTCGTCAGTTGGAAACGTAACATCATCATTGTAGTCACGGTCAGTTCGCGCTGTAAGACCCGCCGGAATACTTATGTTACTCAAAGTCGGTCGTCTAGTGTTTGTACCACCCGAAGCAGTGCGATGACGGATGTTGTCAATGAGGGAGGAAGAAACGCTCTCAGCGGTATTGGCGCGTTGTCGTCGGCGTGGTTCGGCAAACGCCTCGATAGAGTTGGCTGGTGAAGTCGAGCGAGAAGAAGAGCTGTCTCTAGAGCGATCGTGTCTCGGCACAGTCATGCGAGGCCGTCCATCTCGGTTGGTCATTCGTCGAGCACGGCCTGAATTTCGTCTTTGTGGAGGGTCGACTTCTGCGTCGCTCTTGTCGTCGTCGATGATAGCATGTTCAAAATCCCGAGCGATGGGGTTCGTCTCGCGAGCGAGTGTATTGAGCAAGGTGGAATCCACCTCGGACAGGTCCTGCTCATCAATGCCGGTGGGTTTTGGGGTTGGGGTTTGCAGCTCAACGGCAGGAACGGCAAGGGGGCTTTGTGTTGGAGGCATTCCGCGATGACCTCGATGATCATCCAGTTCCGGCGCTGGGGTACTGTAGCGGGTATCCATCTTCTCGTGGGAATGTTGTGATTCTGAGGACGACATATTGCCTCAATCAAGTAATCTTATGTTCTTCTCAGTCGCGAGTGCACCGAAAGCAGTGCACTGATTCTCGTGATTAGGCCAGTTTTGATTAGGACGGCAGTGTCTGATCTGCCAACTGTGGTTCTCGAATTTTGGGCCGAGATCTTTCTTGTTCTATTTCTTTGATGTATATACCCTCCCTGGCCCAGTCTGGGCAGGATGAAACTTGTGCACTTAAGGGCCAGTTATGGTGGGCGTGTGGTGGTTCCGCAGAAGAACATGTATGCAATGCCTGTGCCTAGCAGAGGGCGAATGAAGGAGACGGTGGCAATCTTGAAGCCCGCCAACTTGAAGGCTTGAGAATGAAAATCGCGATCGAACGCCAGGGTGGAAGTGAGGTGCTGAAAGACTGCGTACAGCCTTCCTTGCGCTTGCGATGAGCGAAGACAGAGGATGTCTGAGCCGGTTGACTCGTGAAGTCGACGATCGTCGATCGGAAGGCCGACGGAAGGACTTGTGACACCGATGGATGATGAGCTGGACACAAGAGAACCAGCAAAGACAGCGTATCTTTAGTGAATGTCGAGATGGTACTCAGAAAGAGTGTGCGAAGGTGGAAAGTAGGAAGGATTTGCTGGTTATGTAACAAGACGCTCAGAAAAGTCTTTTGACTGCAGGGTCACCAGTGCCGCAACGGAATAGGCGAAACTGGGCTGCAAAAACACTGACTGGTCGGGACTTTGGCAGGATTTGGCAGAGGTTTTTTTTCGCCCGTGCGTCACCGCAAAAAGGACCACTGAGGACCAGGCCTTAAGGAGCCAATTAAGTGCCCTATTCAGGCTGCTCATCCAGTCACAGGCCTTGAAATACACCTTAGGCAAACATTTCACTGCTTTAGCGGCAGTTAGCCGAGATCTTGTTCAGTGTAGAATCGGTTTCTGGTTCGACCGTCTGCTGATTCCTCCAGGTCCTCTCCATCAATGCTGTTGCTTGTCTGAAAGTGGCGTGTTCCGTCTTCCCGAAACACCTCGAAGTTTTTGATCGCCTTGCCAATAATTCTGTTCGATGTATACTCGTGACCTGGGAACGCAGTCGACGCACTTTAGAATCGACGACTTGCAGATTTTCCTCATATCAGTGGAGTTGAACATACCAGTCGGCCCTGTGCAGTTGACTGGAGTTGCACAGGTTTGCTGGCGAACTCATCCCGGTCCAAAAGTCCTAAAGTTATGACTACATCAATCTGCGCCTGTGTGTGGTGAGGGAATATCTCTGGGAGATACGCACCGTCTATAAAATATTGCAGGCGCATCTTTCGTTCTGGAGCATCTCGCTTGTGCTATTTTGTTGCTTGACATTGCTGGCTTCAGTTGCAGAAAGTGTCATTCTGAGGTCAAGTACACCAACTGAATTAGCCTTCGCTCAGCAAAACGCACAAGACCCTGCGGGGGTTCTGGACTTGCACCCGAGATGTGCACCTTTACTATCTCCAACCTTTGACAGGAATCGCAGGTAAGCAGTCAAAGATCGCGGGTTCTCCAGCTTCCCTCAGGGCTTGATGGAAAAGATAGCCCAATGTCAAGGATCCGAATTGATTGGCAGCTCGACCTGAACGCCGTATCCTAACGCTGGCATCGATTCAACCCCGGGATAAGCCATCGAGTACACTGTGTATCCTCCCAGACGGAGGACGGTGGACGGTGGACGGAGGGTGGCGCCTTTGATGATGTGACAAGCTAGCGTCCCGACGCAGGATGCATTCTCGTCAGGTCTCGCTATAAGCACAATTGTTGACCTCTTTATTAACTTACCTGCAGAAAGGATAGTGAAGTAGTGGTGCGACTCACCGTCCGATCAATCTGTGATCTCGTAAATTAATGTCTAGGGAGTGTGAAGTCAATTTTGCGGCATTATCATCGTTCTCGTGAAAACAAGGCTATGGCACAGCCTTGTTGTCACGCTTACATAAGGTAATGCTTCCCCAATCTCGAAGCCATCTGGCCTCCACCATGCACACCAAGTCAACCCTCATTGCATTCAATGCTCGATCTCAAGCCGGCCACAGGGAACGTCGCATTTCTTCAAGCGAAAAGGGCTAGTAGTGTAGAGATCTGTCTCCACCTGGAGGATCTCAGCCGAAGCGTTAATTGAGCAGTTGAATTCTATGTTGGATTCAACCGTCGCCGAAATACACGAAAGATGGACGCCACCATAAGCCAAATCCAAGACGTCTTCGAAGGACAGATTGTACGTCTCCTTCCATCGCCTCATCCGCTCCCTGTCATTTTCTTCCACTTCAATGATCGTATTGACTGATCTTTCTGAGCAGGACTTCCATGGCCAACGCCTCACCGAAACAATTTCCACTGCCGTTCTGACAGTTTCATCCGTACGGCTCTCTGTTCCCAATTTGCTCTTACGTAGCTTTATTGACAGTAGCGATCATTATCAGGTAATTGCCCTCATCATAGGATTCATCCAACAGGACATCTACATGACGATGTGGATTGGCCTGGCCGGCACGTTACTGGCAATGTTCCTTGTCGTCCCGCCGTGGCCGGTTTACAACCAGCATCCGCAGCCGTGGATTGGGTCGAAGATGAGACTGCCGCCGGGCGGGATTGTCGTTACGGGAAAATGATCCTCTCAAGCTTTTCTTGATATTTATGTCTACAGCATTCGATGGCGGATTCACAGGAAATGGTTCACAAACGGGTTTACAATCAGAGTGTCTGTTTGTCATTTGCCATGCCAATTCTAACAGAGAACTTGATACTTCATCGCGCGGCTTGATGATGCACTATCTGTTGCCATGCTCCTTCACTTCTTTTCAAGTTGCATCTCTCTGTCATTTTCTGATTCATGAAACATGTAAGATGGCTAGAAGCCTTCCGAATACGAGAGCCACAGAGTAGAGGTCTCAGGTCAGAGGACTCCGCCTACTTCATGTGAGTCCTGCATCAACGCACGGCCTCGGCCCTGGGTATGATTCAGGCACGGTACATGCTCGAAGTATTGGTCGTATCATCGTATGTTGAGCATCGTAGGTTATGGCTGGACAGAATGTCTTCCTGTGCTCTTGCCCCCAACCCTAACGACCATATTTCTGGAACTCCCAATCTCTATTGTCCAACGGGCACACTTGTCTTGTCTTCAGCCATCGCGAGATGCAGTGGAAGTGGAAGGCGTGCTATATCCTGGGTTAGTAGATTCCAGTATAGGTAGAGCGTTCTTTTACGTTGCAGATTCCCCAAGCGACGGTACATTCCTCTGTGGTAGCAGCACCTTGATTTGCTTGACATTCGATGCCTGCACCCAAATCAGCACAACTGCAACGGCTTGGATTTCCTTGAACACCTACAGAGATCCATGATGTGATTCCGACAAATGGCGCAGTTGTCAACAACGATATCCCAAGCCCACAGAGCGACGGCGTTCCACTACCATGCGTCAACATCATCCGTCCATGTGGCCTCCCTACGAACTAACCTTCTTGACTTCAAATCTCTTCTTGGTATCACCACCTTCTGTTGTGCTAGACTTGGAGGCTTTGGCAGGGGCCTTTGACTTGGCCTCTTCGGTTGCAGCGTTTGCGTCAGCCATTTCGACGTCGGCCATGTTGAGGGTATGTCACGATTGCTGTAGCCTTGTATGAGGAGGGTAATGCGGGGAGAATAAAGGTGCGGCGGTGGCTGCGGAGGTGATGATGTATGGTGAAGGGTCGGCTGGCGGATGGGGGAGAGGACTAGGGAAATCCTCAAGGTGTGCTTGGAAATATCAGAATCCAGGCAATCAGCCAGAACCGTAAGTGAATCTGATAGTGACAAGGCTGTAGAATAGTGGCTATTCTGAACAAAGACAGTGGTGGCGTTGAGGACCGAGTGAATATGGCCGGCCTGCCAATCATCCGCCGCCGCCGCCTTTCGCCATTCTATTGAAAGCTGCGCCTTGTCCATCCCGTTGCCTGCGTCACTTAACACTCACAGATCGCCATCTTGCTTCTGCCCTTTCAGCCCACCTATCTATTCGACCACCCATCTACAAGCCTACTTTTATATCATATTACATTCCTGCTAGACGACCGCTCGTTCCTTGCGCTAGTCTCAGTACCCTCACATCTCTCTTAGAACATCTCTCACTTCAGACAATGAGCCCTACCATTTCCACCACTACCAAAGCCTCTACACAAACACGACGACAGTATCCAGACCGCTACGCTCTTCCTCATCGCAAACGTACAAGATAGACACAGAGTGACCTCAATATCATCTGGTCGGTTTCTGTTTCTCTGTTCGTTGACAGCACAATCTGAGCGTTCTGCATTTTCCATATCTGTCTTCAAGGTCCACGGGCTGCCGATTCATCAAGCCCGATAACATACAAGCACAATGTCTGCCGTCGAAATACCTCACCAATCCCATGCTCGATCCACTCGCCGATCTGGAAAGAAACATCACCAGAGCAACCCTCATGACGGCTTCGTTTCTGATTTTGGCGCATCCACTGAACACCAGCGCAACAACTCTTCCGCTAATGGCAATGCGACAAGAAACGCCGATAAAAGTCAGCCCAGAAAGAATTCGCAGGCACATAACAACGCATCTACCGGGAGGTCTGACAAAGCAAAAGCGACGCCTATGAAGCCAGCCGCGTATGCCGGAGCAACCTTTCAACAGTCACCAGCCGCATCAGCACTTCCTCTACCGAGTTTCTATTCCAAATCAATGCCTGCAACCGACTTACTCCCCACTCAGCTCAACGGCTATGCGACTGTGAACTCTCAAGCTGCGTCTAACCGGGTGGATGACTCGCCGAGCATGCGAGAGACGACTCCTTGTGACTTCCTCTTCGAAGCGGCTCGTCAAGCACGAGCAACTCCTAGAGGCGACACACCTGCAGCACGTGGCGGCAATTTATCTGCTCCAAATGGAAGTCCGGCTCCGAGGTCACCAGGCACTCGCGAGGGCGATTCTATGTTTCCTTTCGAACTTGACGGAGCATCGGCTGCCGGAGAGGATGGAGGCTCTTTCGCTACGCCATACAAAGAGCGTATCGAGGCTGTGAAATCTATTCGGTCGACATCATCTCCAGGAAAGGCTATGGACGAGAACCACCGCAAGGCGAAGACTGAAGCTTTGAAGAAGCTCCTCATGAAGTCAAGCGCCAATGAGAACAACATGAAGTCTGCATCTGATATGAACAACCCTTTCAATGCCAGAGCTCCAGCCCAGCAAGTTTCATACCCGGCTCAAGGGCCTTCCCTTGGGCGCCGTCCTTCCGGGTCAACAGCGACGTATACGCAAGAACAGTCTGGCTACAATCCTTCACCCATGCTCCAGCAGATGCCCTACCACTACCCACCTGCGCATATGCAAACGCCAAAGAGACCCAACTCTTCTCGGCTGAGGAACGTATACGGAGCGCAAAGCGAGCCAGAGTATGCTGAATTATCTTCCGACAGCGCCGTCACACCACCAATTTCGACACCACGAAAGCAAACTTTGCAACGTGCACAGCAATATAGCACTGGGCCAATCAGTCCGCCTTATCCGATGCAGCAGCAGCAGCAAATGCCAGCTCATCGTGCAAAGCCGAGTGCACAACAGCTGGAGGATGATCTGCGCCGAGTTTTGAAGCTGGATCTCACGACTAGGGGATGAGAACGTTTAAAGGTGATGGATGGATTTGAAGATTTTGGTTCGGTAAATGCATGTCTCCTTAACGACATGGTGATTGATGTTTGAAGGGAAGCATTGTGGACCAGGTTTGGAAATCTTAGAGATGAGAAAAGCAGAACAGGACATTCTTTTGAGACGGATCTCATTTGTTTTGATGTTGTCATGCTGGCTGGCTGGCCGGTCAATTTAATGAACTCTCTTTAATGCTACTAGTTTGATAATGTCACTCGCTTGAAAATGCTCAGGTCTACTTCTAATAACCGCATTCCCAGGGAATAGGCCAGACCACTCCGAATCATCCCATGTCTCTGACCCTCGAAAGAAGGTGGACATATTCGCTGCACCATGACTTTAGTGCTCAAGAATAATGCTTACAATGCTGGTATCCGGATTTGACCATATTGAGCCTGTGGGTTTCTCGCCCTGTCGCCGCGGCCGTGCAAGCCTGACAAGTCTTCGAGCTGCTTAAGACGTATTGAGCACATAGTGAAGGGTCGTTCGGAATGGAAAGGCCCAGATCAAGAGCATGCGGCTTCTGAGGGCACTGGACGAGAAGTCGATCTACTACCAGGCGTCCTTGTACTTGTTTGGCCCGATGTGATGGATTCTGGCACCTCCCAAAACTCACTCCTTTGTCTGTCCAAGTTACCAGTGGAAGATGACTTGTTCAGGAAGCCCAGTTGAGGCGTTAAGTCATATGTTGCTTGCAGAAACCATGCTCCTGTAATACGTGCTCTTGAAACTGCCCTCCGCGGGACACTCTCGAGTCTCGGTCGATGTTCACACTGATGATGCACGTTTTCGCATAGCTGCCGGTTCGGTATTGCTTTCTCTGATGCGCCGATGCTTTGGATCCCTGGGGATATCGTAGCCGCTCGAGAAGTAATGCCCACGCTATGCTATGTCGTCCTTCCAGACCGTGATTTCATCACAGCTCGAAAGGTTGTTTCGCCGCCTCGTGCATACGCTTTCTTTGTAGAAATTTTTGTCCGTCGTTTGCTCAATCGCTACTCGCGCAACCCCTGCATCCGCAATTCACACACTGAATGCCCGCCCCTGCTCCATCTCCTTCGCCATCTTCACGACGTAGCGAGGCTTTCGGCACGCGACAGATACACGTCCCTTGGAAGTTCGTCTCTTTGGTCTGGACACAGCGCAGACAGCACAACTTCTCGTACCCTTGCTTCTTCCACTTGGCGATCAAGTTGGCGTCGGCGTACCCGTTCTTGAGCAGCCAGTCGTACAGTTGCTTGGAGATGGCCTCGCGCTCGTAGTACAGATCGTACACGTAGCGGCTGCGGGCGTGACTGATTTGGAATATCGGCCAGGTCGTTTCGTGCTTCTTTTTGCCTTCGTGAGAGGCGTTCTGGGCGTCGCGCATCTTGTTGGCATACTCTAGGAGGGTGTCTTCGATGTCTTCGAAGCCTGCAGGTGGGGGCTTGCGGGAATTGCGGGAGCGGATGGGAGGCATTTCGAGGTCTGGAATAGTCGACAGTTACGGACGATATCTGAAGATGGTATCTTAGTATTGAGGGTGAGATAATGGCTGTGGAAAGGTTAACAAATCGAGGCGAATTCCAGGTGCAGAAGCCTGGAAAGTAGAGGCAAAAGAAAGGCTGGTGAGGCAAGGCTGCGGCGGAAATCCTTGCGGGGAAAATTTGGCTGGCCTGTAGAACAGCGTTCGCGTTGCAGTAAGAATGGCCAGACAGAAAGCGACGAAGTGAGAAATATTTTGTCAGCTATCGTTTCATACGCAAGTCTGAGCCAAATAGAAGCCGATAGCTAGTGAGTGGAAGAGACCATCGGAAATACATAGTATCTGGGTTGGCAATGTGTGCAAGGCTCTGAGAGTTCAGCCTTGTTATCCTAAAAGCGGCGGGCCTGATAGCGTGTGCAAATCGAATTGCGCAGCATTCTCGGAGGTCAACTTTTCGATGATTCTGCGCCTTCAGCTTGTTCGACATACGCCAGTCTCGCCCGTCGTCGTCACAATATCTATTGTACATAAACCTCGAATCAACTTCCCTCTCTACTAGAACCAAAGGATCAGCCGCCATGGACGACGAAATCAATATCAGTCAAGAGGACATCCAGCGCCTCAGCATGGCCGAGAAGCAGCAGTTGCAGATGTTCATCCAGACTGAAACCCAGAAGTCAAACATTCAGAAAAGTACGTTCGCCTTACCTTGGGGACTACGGATTATTGCTGACAGAGTCTGGTTTTAGCTGTACATGAATTGACCGAAACGTGCTTCAAGAAATGCATTGCCGGCTCAATATCTTCGGGCAAATTGGCCAGCAAAGAAGAGACATGCATGTCCAACTGTGTCAACAGGTTTATGGACTCGAATCTGGCGATGTTAAAGCATCTGGAACAACTGCGGGCGCAACAATAGAATCAACCTATTGAAGCGGCTTTGTATGAATATTCAATGCGGCAGGAGCAAGATGACAGAGGAGGAACAATCTGGATAGCAAAAAGCATGCGCTGGGAAGGACCTTATAGGGACTATGGTATCGTCCCAATGTTGTAACAACATCCCGTCACAGCAGATGGAAGTGGCAGCCTTTCAAATTATCAAGAAATTCTGCTCTTGAATGTTTTTATTTTCTTCTGAAGCATGCCTGGTTGATTCTTGATCGTAACCCGACTAGTTCTATGCCGAGCCTCGTACTTTTCTTTCCGCTGAATGAATCATGCTCCCATGATGCTTGATTCCGTAGACGTAAAAACCATAGAATCGCCCTCCGTCCATCGCCAGTCCCGACAGACTTCCCCCGTTACACGATCGACAGCTTCGTAGCAGCAATGTCCAAGGCATCAACATCCGACGTTAATCTGGCGAAGGCCTTCTTGGAGCCGTCCGGTCTGATCAGGGTGTTGATCTTGACGGTCTCGACATCGTACAACTTCTTCAAAGCCTCCTTGATCTGTCGCTTGTTGGCTTTGGTGTCAACAATGAAGACCAGCGTGTTGTTCTCCTCAATTTTCTTCATCGCGCTTTCGGTGTTCAAAGGGTGGATGAGGACTTTGTGGTGGTCAAGTCGGGTTTCGTGTGGGATAGACTTGCGGGGGTATTTAGGTGATCTCGACAGGACGAGGGTCTTTGGTCTGTGGAAGGTTGTTGACTTGCGGATCTTGCGAGCCTTCTGAGTGTGCACCTGAAACTGTGTTAGTTGTCGTTCTGGGACGGGACTCGCATCTTCGCAGACTTACGCCCTTGAGGCTGGCTTTCGCAGCCTGGTTGGCTTTGGCACTCGGCTTCTTTGGCTTGGAGCCTAAACGACAAAAAGTCAGCATGAGGTCTTTGGATTCCGCTCGTCAATGCAGAAGGTGAGCCCAAGACGAGTCCAGCAGACTGAAGGCGCAGTCATCCTCCGTCTTCAGTTCTTGCTGGGATCTGTCTCTTCCTCCTCCTCTCGGAAATGTATCCACGGGGTTTCTGTCGTACCTGAGGGCTTCTGGGTTGGTGGCGCCATTGCTGCTGTGTTTGCGCCTGGTAAAGACTGGGTGGTGAAATTGTCGTTAACGCTGATCGAATCTAAGATGTTGGCCGGAGTAACCATCAAAATTCAGTGTGCTGCAAGTCTTGGCGCCAAGGTACGGCGGAGCAGTTAGGCGTTTACTGCAATTTGGATGGAGACATGCTTCTCACGCTTCAGTAAACGTCCACAACTATCTTCACATTTCGAAAAGAATTCCACACAATTAAGTGCTATCTGGCTGCAAGGGGGGAACTACTTGCTACAGTGGGCAGCAACATGACTTCTTTATTAAGATAAATCTGCAAGCGCCTTGAGGCTTTGAGGGTTTCATTTGGACAAGGACAAAATGGATCCAAGTCACAACAAGAACCACCATGACCCGAAGCAAAATCTTCAACGGGAGGATGACGATGTGGATGCATTGCTGGCTTCACTAGAGGAAGAGGACGATTCTGCATATCGTGTCCAAAGGATGCAAGAATTGAAGGACGCACCAGCGGCTACCGGAACCACAGCCACCTTCGATACTCTCAAGAAGGACTATATCACATTGACGAGTGATGATGAGACACTCAATTTTACTACCGAGCATGATAGGGCTGTGGTTCATTTCTTCCATCCTGACTTTTCAAGATGCAACACTATGGACGATCATTGCCAAGTCATAGCAGACAAACATGCTGAATATGGCAATGCAGATGTTTCGTTCGCCCGGGTCGATGTCAAGAATTGTCCTTTTGTCGTGGAAAAACTGGGTGTGAGAGTTTTGCCATGTGTCATTGGCTTCGTGAAAGGCGTCGTCAAGGGCAGAATCACTGGATTCGAGGGATTGTGCTGGGACGGAAACGAGCGCAGCATGAATGTCACCAAAGCGGTCGAGGAGACCTTTGTCAGCTGGTCTGTCCTGCGGAAGAGGCTGCTTTTGGGCCACAGTGACGATAGTGGTGATGACGATGAGGTCAACGTGCGTGACAGAACGTCGACTCGACGTGGTATTTCTGGTCGCAAGCAGCAGGTTGAGGACGAGGACGATGATTGGGACTGATCGTGACCTGAGTATTCAAAGACGGGGTCGAGAAAGTTGTCAGTCCTGCAGAAGTGTAGCGAGGATTGACCAAGGGAAGCACCGTTAGACCGGAAGCATCAACGGAGGACGCGAACAGAGTTGGTTGAACCCACTGATCTGGTCGACGAACTTGCCATACACTCCACGCTCGATGACAGTATACACTGGCGCCACGAAAGACTGATATTCTCCTATATGCCATTCGGCAGTCGGCTTCGCCAATCCGACCCACATTGAGATCGGAAGGGGTTTCAAGGATTGATGGCCGACTACGCACTTCTTGAAGTCTGTGCGCAGGCGACAATAGCATAGAATGTGGTGGACGTCAGAGACAATACATCGTTGAGACCTGGTAGCTAGGTAATCAGGAGGTGAGAGTAGGAAAAACTACATGCATGTGCAAGGCCGGCGTTGTTGCAGATAGCGGAAATTATATTGGTGGCTTCCAGAAGAGCTGAAGGGGTGATCGGCCTGGACCCGAAAATGATTGACGCCTGTCAAGGGCTCGTAAAAGCCTCCGGAGCGCCTGGTAAGCCTCTGGTCTGTCTACGCTACGCCCACGCAGACGCCTGAAGTTCGGCTAGTAGGCTGCGCGTCTCTGTTCAAAGTGTCCCCTTTTTTCCGCCATTTCCCGTCTTACAAACTTTCTCCCAACACGCATTGCGACCTCCACTCTGCGCCCTGGCATTTTCCTTTCCATGCCGATTCCTGAATACCGTGGTCTTTGATTTCTCCTGAAATTGATCTCGTCTGCAGTGCCGAACAATCCAAGTCTCTCGTTTACGCTCCCTACTTGTCCGCTTTGCCCTTCCCGTATTGATCTTCCAGGCTGTTTCTCCTACACGACCGGACACCTAGACCATAAAAAAAGATGGCCGAAGAAGAGAAGAAGAGATTCCTCGAGGGAAACGAGATGGAACTGGGAGAGAAGCAGGGTCGAACGTTCAATAGCCCACCTCCGGCCTCGACACCTCGATACACACCACATCATTCGAACAACTGGCAAAATAACCCTATCCTCCCGGTTATCAGCTACTGCGCTTCGTCCATTTTGATGACCGTCACCAACAAGTACATCCTGTCCTTCCCAGATTATAACCTCAATTTCTTCTTGCTGGCTGTTCAGGTTTGTTCCGCGCCCTCCTCAACTTCCACACCCGCTGACATATGTCTAGGCCATTGTCTGCGTAGTGGCTATCCAATCCTGCAAGAGCGCCGGTATCATCACATACCGGGATTTCAAAGTTGATGAAGCAAAGAAATGTACGGGGCAACGGAACCAGCGAAGAGGAATTTGAATGCTGACCAACACAGGGTTTCCTATTTCCCTTCTCTTGATTGGCATGATCTACACCAGCACGAAGGCCCTCCGATTCCTCTCGATTCCCGTCTACACCATCTTCAAGAACTTGACCATCATCTTGATCGCTTATGGCGAAGTCCTATGGTTCGGCGGCTCTGTTTCGCGTATGGCCCTCCTCTCATTCGGCTTGATGGTCCTCAGCTCTATCATTGCCGCCTGGGCGGATATCAAACACGCATTGGAAGCACATGGCTCTGGGTCTTCATCCGCTCAACAGCTGGCTACTCTCAACGCAGGTTACATCTGGATGATGGTCAACTGCCTTTCCACTGCTGCTTATGTCTTGGGTATGCGTAAGCGCATCAAGCTCACCAACTTCAAGGATTTTGACAGTAAGTCCTGATGGGGATGCACGGTAAAAGAAATTTACTAACATTCGATAGCCATGTTCTACAACAACCTCCTGACGATCCCGATCTTGCTGGTTGCTTCATTCGTCATGGAAGACTGGTCTGCAATGAATCTGGCCAAGAACTTCCCAGTTGTTTCAAGAAACGCAATCATTGGCGCCATGATTTTCACCGGCCTGTCCTCGATCTTCATTTCCTACACGTCGGCATGGTGCGTCCGAGCGACTTCTTCGACAACGTACTCCATGGTGGGTGCGCTGAACAAACTGCCGATTGCCATATCTGGTCTGGTCTTCTTCGATGCACCCGTCACGCTCCCTAGTGTTTCGGCCATTTTCGTCGGCTTCGTCAGTGGTATGGTTTATGCTCTTGCCAAGGTCAGGGAATCATCGAAGCCAAAGACCGGCATTCTTCCTACCTCGAGTATCCCAATGAGTGCTAGCAGCCAGAGCAACCGAGACAGCTTGAAAGCCTAGTGAAAGAGGTTGGGGAATGGAGGATTCACGTCTCTCCTGCAAAGTCGGGTTGTTAGACGATGCAAGATGTTTCTAATGCATTGCGAGGCGTACGGAGGGGGTTGTTTGCGCTACGGGAAAAGCCTAAAACAATACTGGCTATAAGTGAGAGGGATCTCAACGAGAATACGGACTTCACTTCTCGACCTATCTAGATTCGTTAGACTTAAGGGTTTCGGTTGCTGTGTATTTCTATTAATGTGTGTACCTTTGACAATCGAATTAAAAAGATTAGCCGAGCTGCACGATTACTGCCACGAGTACGGAAGTATCCAAATAGTCCAACTGTTGACTAACCGTTTCAACAGATTTCTTCGGTCCTCAAACTTCGACTTTTTGCACTGGAGAATTTGACATGTGAAATAGCAACTCCCGGCAATTTAGATCTCGGCTGCATTGGCGCTATCGGACAAGGCTTGCATTAGTAGCAACCAGAAAAAAGGTGCCAATTCTTCTAACTTTGATCCTGACATCGCCAAAACAACAGCATCTCGTCTCAATAAATGGGCAAAGTCAAACGACAAGCCCAGAAACATTCAAACCATCATGATAATCTAAGAAAAGGAAAGGCGGCCGTAGTCCGGCGTCAGCATAGCCAGAAACCGCCCCAGCCAGCGAAGAAAGCGACTTCTCAAGCTGCCACAAATGGGACATCGCAAGGTCGACTGAATGTGCCTTTTACCAAGCATGACAATGTGCTGCTTGTAGGAGAAGGTATACTTTGATACTCTCCCGACGACTGCGTCTTGGTTCGTGGGTCGATCCAGATCACTGACAGGAAACAGGCGACTTTTCGTTCTCTTCGTCTCTGAGACTCCACCATAAAGTCAATCGGATCACGGCAACATGTTATGATTCAAAAGAGACACTCGAGAGCAAGTACCCGGACATCACGAAGAGAATAAGGCAGCTGGAACAATCTGATCGTGAGATTGCTGCAGCGTCACAATTGGAAGCCGTGTCCGATGATAACTTCAATGAAGATGCAGAGGCAGAGTGGAAAGGTTTCTCACCATCGCCGGCTTCCCCTGAACAGGAAGATGAGCCACAAGAAAATACATGGAGAAGACCACCAGTGAATGTCCTCTACGCTATCGACGCAACGAAACTTTCTTCAACGCACAAGAAACGTCTTGGACCCTACACCCCGTTCACCAAGATTGTCTTCAATTTCCCCCACGTCGGAGGCTTGAGTACAGACGTCAACAGGCAAGTCCGCTACAACCAGGAACTTCTCGTGGGGTTCTTCAAGGCTGCCAAGGGATTACTGTCGTCACCTAGTCGGCCTTCGAGACTAATCCAGTCGGAAGAATATGACGAAGACGACGACGTGTCAGAAGATGACTATAAGCGAAATCCAGGAGCTGTCAAAGGTCAGATCTTAGTTACATTGTTTGAGGGCGAGCCTTACACGCTGTGGAACATTCGCGATCTGGCCAGGCATTCTGGACTCAGGGTCGTGGAGAGCTTCAAGTTTCCCTGGTTGGCGTACCCGGGTTATCAGCATGCGAGGACGATAGGAGAGATCACCACGGGCAAAGACAGGAGTGAGGAAGGGAGACGAAAAGGGGCGTGGAGAGGAGAGGAGCGTGAGGCCAGGTGCTATGTGTTGGAAGACAAGAAATCGGAGGGGAATGTAAGAAGGTCAAGAAAGAGGAAGCAAGGAAGTGACGACGAGGACAGTGAGTAGAAAATGTCAAGTAGCAGAAGCCTTCTGCTTCCAAATCAAGCTTGGTATCTTCAAGTTCATGTTTTCCAGTCAAGCAAGCTGATACAACTCTCCAGGACCAACAAACGGAGGCACCCAGGCGACCATCTTCCCATATTCTGCCAAGGCTTTTTCCCCGAGCCTAAGGCTTGACTCTTTTTGCTCGATGCGTGTCCAAGTTCTCCACCAACCTCGCTCTCCACAGATCCTGATTCTTTTCTATCCTTCTCGTACCATCGCTGGCGACGCGCTTTCCCTCTTCCCTAGATCAATCTTGCATACTCACGATGTCCGAAGAAGCGCCTCGGAAGCGCTCGCGCTTTGATCAAACGGAGCCTGAGCCACGAAAACCCTCTCGGTTCGACCGCCGCTCTCGATCCCCGTCCGCCAGACATACAGAGTCCAGACGCAGTCGCAGTCCTCTGGACAAGGACCGTCCGAGCCCGGCAAGGGAGAAATCCGGCACTCCCCTCGATCCTGCTGCCGCCGCAGGTAATTTCTCCTCAAGTCCCTCGTTACGCTTTTAAAATGCTAATCACCAACAGCTGCGGCGGCTGCCAAAATCAACGCCGAATTGCAAGCTCGCAAAGGCATTCAGCATGTCGACGTGCCTCCAATTAGATCGGTGAGTCACATCTTTCTGCCTTGAATGCTACAACTGACGCGTCGATCCTCAGTCCTCCACACCAACTCCGGCTCCCAAGCCTACGACACCTTCCTCGGGTCAGAGCACTAGCAAAGTCGATGGAGAAATCTACGTTGCCGATGGAGATTACATCAAAGACGTTGAAATCAATGACCTCCGAAACAGGTACACCTTGACAAAAGGCTCAACGCAAAAAATGGTAAACAATCCCTGCGGTTGGTGTTGGTCTGGCATACTCTACACCCATCTGTTGCTCAACCTTGAGTCAGTGGATCGACTTGATGGTCAACACTTGCTCAGCTGTGGAGGCGAATCTCCAATCCCACAAGTGTCGCCATGCTAACATTGAATTTGTGATTCTAGATCAAAGATGAGACTGGAGCTGGTACGGTCCTTTACAATTCCATTAACGTGGAGAACCGCTTACCCAAGTTTAAGATGTCACAACTCGAGGCTCATACTATCCAGACAAAAGCATGGCTACCGCAGTGGTGAGTGAGCGTTGGTGCCAATTTGCATTCTCCACTGATGCATGCAGAATCCACCATTGTATCTTCACGTCACTAGCACTTCAAAAGCTGGCCTTGAGAAAGCCATTGCAAAAATCGAAGAGCTCATGCAACAGGAGCTTCCCAACCTCGTCGATGAAAGACGCTTCAAACGTAGAGAGCCTGAACAAGTCGAACGTGATGAGTTTGGAAGGGTATGCATCTCAACTTACAGACTAATCAATGACTTACTTTCGAACAGCGAAAATGGCCCGAGGAGCGGATTCCTCTCGATATGGAGAACATTCCTGGGTTCAACTTACGTGCACAGGTAGTTGGTCAAGGAGGCGCCTACGTCAAACATATTCAGCAAGAGACTGGTTGCCGCGTCCAAATCAAAGGACGCGGAAGCGGTTTCATGGAACATAGCACAGGCCAGGAAGCAGATGAACCGATGTATCTCCATGTTGCTGGACCCCAGCCGCAACAAGTCCAAAAGGCCAAAGAGCTCTGTGAAGACCTCCTAGTCAATGTGCGCCAGAACTACGAACACTTCAAGGCAAATCCGCCACCACAGAGAATGGAATCATATACCGATGGTTACGGAGCCGAGGCCAATCGTCATCATTATGGCGGAGGATATGGTAGAGACCGAGGCCGCGAAGACAGCTACTCACATGGCGCCAGTTACAATTCTCCATATGCCGCAACCCCAACGACACCGGCACCCGGAACGGCAGGCTCTCCTACAGACTACGCAGCACAGTGGGCTCAATATTATGCGAGCCAGCCCGGCGGTGATCCCTACGCCGCTTATGGTGGCTACCAGAACTACGTCGCCTACTACCAGTACTATCAACAGCAAGCCGCTGCCGGTCAGCAACAATCACCCGCTCCTCCACCTGCGACCGATTCAAGTGCGCCTCCACCGCCACCTCCGGCTTCAGACAATTCAAATGCGCCACCCCCACCACCCCCCTCTGGAGGCTATTCGGCTGTACCGCCACCTCCTGGATTGTGAGCATATCATGGTGCTATGAAGAGCTGACCTCGTCAGACATGCACGAATCTAGTGTCAGTGCGACTACTCATTCACTTGGACTTCTAGTGCTCTGTCACTCGGTTCAAGCAAAGCTTCATGCTAACTTGGATGCTGGCGGAATCGGTTTGTAACCTCGAAATTAGCGGCGGACCAATCATTGATTGGACAGGCAAAGTATTGCAAACAAAAGGATACTCGAGAGCTGATCGGTCAATAGGGGCCTGATCCATAATTTCATTCATGCTTGTGGTTTTTTTGACAGCTGACTCCAACCAGCGTAGTCGTGATCTCCTCCTTTCTAAAGCGACGTCTGGCGGCGAAGCTTTGTTGTTTCGTGGTTGAATGTCCTGGCGCGCTTAGATGGCAATGTAAGTGTTGTGATCGAACTTTGAACACTTCGTCCAGGTCGTTCCAGAGACGCGCAGCGAATTGCGAGCGGCCGACGCTTGAAATGGGCTGCTCATGGCAGTTCGAATGAGTGGGTCGTGCTTAGACAGACTCTTGCCACAAATCATGCTGTATTGACACATTGTGCCGCTGGTGGCCAATGTACAGAACGGCCGAGTCAGGCCTGATCATCCAAGGACAAATATAATGAGGCTGAGTGACTCAGAACCTGCAATGTCTAGAGCGCTTCAGGCGAGACGAGCCTCTGAGCTCAACAAGCAAGCGAGAAGCCACCCATGCTAATGACTGTACGGATCCGGGTGCGGATTGAAAGTCTGATATCACACCCTCAGTTGTTCTCACACTATATGAGCACTTTCATCAACGTGACTCTATGCTTTTCTACAAGAGTTACGGGGTACACAATGCTTTCTGGGGTGTCCCACTCGAATGAATGGCTTGCTTCTTTTCCTTGTCAATGGCCATCAGCTGTTCTCAAAACCATTGTCTGTTCCGGGCCCCGCATCTTCTTCCCCCAGACTCGCCCATTTGAGGTCTAGTGTCCACAAGCTTCCCACATCTCGGCATCCCGAGGCTCTCGCAACGGTGTTTGACAATCGACTTCGTCCCGTCAATCCCAAAGTAGTTGCCATCGCGAATGGGGACGGTACAATTTGTTGACTCGGCCATGTTCGATCCAGTAATTGTTGGCCGTACTGTCGCGTCTCATCTTTCCCGCTGGGTTTCCACCAAGCTCGTCGGTTCCCCTCCACAATTGTGCTGTGGCATTTAGCTTTAGAACTACAGAGTGGTTCCACTTCTGTTGTCGCGAGGCGGGCTTACAAGCACTGATATAAGTATATGGCGCCTGAAATGCCAGACTTTAGCAGAATCCCTTTCGTTTTGGTCTCTCCAGTGATATGAAATGCATTCAACACCAAGCTCTTGAAAGATGAGTGCCGACGCCGAAGAGCAACAGCGAGAGCAAGTCGAGACTACAGACGTGATCATCTGCGGCTGTGGTCCGACGGGTGCTATTCTCAGCGCCCTGTTGGGACGGAAATCCGTCAAGAACGTCGTGCTCGAGCGGGAGAAGGAGGTTGTGACGGATCCGCGAGGCATTGCGCTGGATGAAGATGGAATTCGACTTTTGCAGGAGATCGGCCTGTACGACAAAGTGCACGGCGAAATCGGAGAGTGTCTCGCACAGATCTACTTCACGTCCGGCAGGGAGGGGTTGATGACGAAGCCGTTCATGCACATGGACATGTCGACGACCGAAGGAGGTAGCGGTCATGTCGGCGGAATCTGCCACAAACAGCCTGTGATGGAGAAGTATATACGACAAGTTGCGAGGGGTTGTCCGAGTTCCGAGTTGAGACTGGGTTGTACGATTACGGAGATCGCTGAGGATAAGGACTCGGTGAGGGTCAAGTATATCGACGATAAGGGGGAGGAGAGGTGGTTGAGAGGCAAGTTCCTTGTTGGAGCGGATGGAAAGACCGGTTTTACGAGGAAGCGCTACTTGGAGCCGAAGGGTGTGGTGCTGGAGACTCTTTCTGGGTGAGTACTATTAACTCTCTGCCTGAACAAGGAGAGAGAGCGCGAGAGGATGAAGGTGGTTGATTGACGCGAAACAGGTACGAATACCAGGAGACGTGGGTCGCTGTGAATTATCATATGGATCTGCCGACGCCGGAGATGCATCCTGATTTCCCGCTGTGGAAATTGGGATATACGCCGCAGGATGTATACGATGCGTTCTTCCCTACGGGATTCAGATTCATCGGCAATCCGGACAGACCGTCGGTTTGTGGAACCTTCGGCCCGAGGAAAGAGAGGTTGTGGCGGTTCGAGTATGTCGTTGACATCCAGAAAGGAGAGGATCCAGTGGAGATGGCGACTTATGATAAGATGGCGGCCGTCATTTTCCCGTATCTAACGCACCCTGGAAAACGATATGGGTAAGCGTTCAAGTTGTTAGAACGCCTAGAATGAGGAGGTGTGCTAACATGTGGCATGGCAGGTTGAAAGACCCAGTGCAGTATCCCACGGATTGCATCCATGTCCTAAGGTCTAGGCCGTTCTCGTTCTCGGCCAGGAGTTGCAACAAGTGGTCAGTCGGAAGAGTGATGCTCTGCGGTGACGCCGCGCATGTTATGCCCCCCTGTAAGTTACTTGTACCTTAAGTGAACGGATCCTGGCACATTGACTGACGGTGATAGTTGGCGGACAAGGTATAGCCTCAGGCTTCCGTGACGCCGCTGGTATAGCGTGGAGACTTGGCCTAGCCTGCCGGTCTGGCTTCGACCAGAGTCACGAACGATTGTTCAATGGCTGGTGCCTCGAACGCAAACAACAGCTCGACCGATCAATTGCTGCGACCGTCGCGAATGGAGATCTTACTACGGCTAGGAGTCCGATCAAGATATTCTTCAGGGACTGGATACTTTGGTTCATGCAGCTGGTCCCGAGCTGGAGACACAAACTGAGGCTAGGCCCACGAGCTAATGGGATGGGAAGGTATAATTACACCGAGGGAATGGCGTTCTTGCCCGACCTCTTTGGCGGACGGCAGCTACCGCAGGTTTACTGTCAGGCTGTCGCTTCTGGTAAAGCTGCTGCAGCCGAGGTACAGTTTACTGACGATGTGATTTATCGTCCCGAGTCGAGCTCCTTTTTGAGACTGCTTGTTCTTGTGGACGATTTGGAGCAGGTGCAGAGGGCACGGGAAGAGTTGGAAAAGTTGAAGGTGGAGGATGTTTCGGCTGGGGAGGTGAAGATGGATGAGGTCTGTTATCTGGTGACATCGCCCGACTGTGAGGCTGGAAGGTCATCGGGGGCGATGATGGATGCGAAGCAAAGAGTCTATCGCTTGGCTACTGGTGATGAATTTCTGGCGTCGGGTCTGTGCAAGGATCGTCCGCCTCCCATAGGGTACGACATGTATCGGATCAAGAATGAGCTTGGAGGGAGGAGGTATGTTTTGGTGAGACCGGACAGATTCATGTTCGCGGCATGTTATTCGGGGGAGGAGTTGGTGAGTGCTTGTAGGAGAGTTTCAAAGGCGCTGTACGGGAAGGCAGAGGCAGAGGCAGATGGAGAGATTGGAATTAAGCTGTGAGGCCGGTCTGCGTCATATCGTTGGAAGGGTGTCGATGATTGTATCGTCACTATATTAGGATATTTCTACCTTGCTTTCTGGGTTTCATGCCTTGTAAAGCAATAAGAAGAAAGATAAAAAAGCCCAGCCCACTCCGATGCAGGTCTGGTAGCTGGTCTGAGCCCTTGGCCACTTCGCTCTGCGCTCGTCTGCTCCCCGGCAAGACCTCATATAGACTTATGCATCCCACGACACGAGTCGCACACACCAGACGAAAGCCTCGTCGACCTGGCGCTCAGCGACAACGTTCACAATTCAGCTCGACGTCTTGGTATGTGGTGACGAGGCGGGAGCAGTAGCGACGGCCAGGAGTGTTGCGGAAACAGCTTGCGTATTCTTTGCAATTGTGTCCACAGAGGAATCTGTAGATGAATCTTTCGCACATGTTGAGACAGTGTCTCGTGGGACAGTCGGTGTGTTCTCGGATCCAAAGGATATGGAATGAAGAAATCGGATCTATCTGTGGTGTCGAGATGAGTACCTGAATTGGGTCTTGTGAAATTTATGCTGAAGTGCTCACCTTCCTGCTCGATCAATTGGAAGTTGTGGATTTCTTTTCGGTGGTCATGCAAGTATTCGACTATGGAGTTTTGTCTCGGAGGAATGATGGTTCTCGTATGGCTCGTTCCGAATGTGTAGAAGCGCATATTTATACCCAGTCCAGTGATGGCACTGTCGTTTGTCGCTCATAGTGAAGTATGGCCACTGAGGTGGCATTCTCCTCACCCTGTCTACCTCAATCACCGTCCAATTGAGACGAATTGAGAAGGAGAGGAGGTATAGAGTGTCCTAGGGAACGTTCATAGCCATCGGATGGCAATATTCCCCTGAACATGAGCGTAGCAGAGGAGTAGCCATCATGATACCACAACGACGACGTCTGGGTGACGGTAACCAGAGCCTACAGATTATTGAGCAGGAGCATCATCAGCGAGCTGATAGCCTGGCGATGAAGTTCACTCGTCTCAGAGAGGTTCAGACGTAGTGTGCTGTTGAAGCCATACCAAATGAAGGTGTCGTGAGACACGGTGAATCTCGGCCTTTTTCAAGGCCGTGACCTTTTGGTAATTGTCGGGCGGTGAGTATTGATGGTATAGGAGTACCAGCGAGCCAGGTACGGCTGGGCACCGACTGGGCACCGACTGGGGTACACTAACTAGACTTTAGCGGGGAATCCCTGCCGCATTGCCCTTAAACTGCCTGGAGTTGCCTCAGTCACGCATCTCACCTCAACTTACTCCCCAGCATTTTGGTCTTCTCTTCAATCCATGCCATCTCAACAATTACAATTACTAGTACTGCAAAGAAATCGCTTCTGTCCGCGTTTGCGGACAGCCAACTTCACACCCTCCAGTACCCGCCGACACAGCCTTGAGTTGACTTCTAGCACCAGATCTGCCCTACACGTACGTGAAGAAGCATAACAATCTACTAGATTCGACATACTCGACTGCGCAAGGAGACAATGGCTGAAGAGATGCCCGAAATTGCCGGCCGGGCACGACAGTGTCCCTATTGTTCAAGGGAGTTCGTGAAGGCAGACCATTACCATCGCCATATCCGCTCCCATACCAAGGAGAAGCCATTTCGTTGTAACATCTGCCGCAAAGCTTACCCTCGCCAGTAAGTACTTATGCCACTTCTCAAACACTCAGTGGCAGGGTTGACCTCTTCTTATAGTGATACGCTTTTGCGCCACACCAGAACTCACCAGAAGGCCTCACAAAGGAAGGCCAGGACCAAAGAAGACGTCTCATCCAGCGATGGTCTTCAAGTCGCCTCTGCTAATTCCCCAGCTGAGTCCTGCCCGCCCGCTCCGTATACGTTCCTCCCATCGTACGCGGCGGTGCCGCCCGGGATGGAGAAACCTAGTAGCCCAACCTCCGGCTCTCTAAAGCAGACTACACAGACGAATTCGTACGATAAATCCGAGATCAATGTCGTCCCATTTTCAGTCGCGCTACAACGGGCATTATTCCCGGACCAGCCCATGTCAACCACCATGGGATTCCAAGGTACTACTAGTAACAATTACGGCTCCGACACCTTCCGGGACGTCGCGGGACAGGGCATACCATCAGTCTCCGCCACTGGCACAACCGAGGGTACATTCACCTCATACACTGGAGACGTCTACTCCCCTCTACATACCGAAGCATTTGCGAGTCAATCTGAGGGACTCAATCCTGTGAATTGGCTACTAGGGGACGACTTTGATCTGACGGCGTTTGACTTTGTCGAGAATGGGCTTACGCTGGAGGACAACCGCACTTTTACTCATCAAACTGAGGAACTCGGTCAGGATAACCGGCCAACGTCTAACGCACACACTCTACCACGGCTTCTCGACCTCAGACCCATCTGGTACACGCAGATCCGGAGTATAGACACTGAATACGGAGCAAGTTCAGGTTCTGTCACACCGAACAATGCAGGTAATCCTGTTGGCGACAGCATCGATGAAGTCTATCGTATGAACATGGCCAAGAGACTCCGCCTTCCCTTACGTGATGAGCCTTTGCCTTCAATTGATTTCCTGGTAAGGAGTTGATTCATCATTACAGTCATCCACGTCTAACTAGATTCAGAATCTATGCATTCATTTGTTCTTTACGAGATTCAACGTCACGCTCCCAATCATCCACAGCCCGACATTTCGTCCGACCAAGGACAACGCCCTACTTGTTCTTTCCATTTGCAGCGCTGGTAGTCTATCGCTCGGTTCAGATATGGCTGATAAGGCTGGATCTATGCTTTTCGAAAGAGTCAACAAGGCTGTGCTGGCTGCTCCTTGGGAACGAAATCACTCGCACAGACCCGAACAAGTTAGAAACATGATCAAGACCGCCATGATCGGACAGACGTTTGCGCTCCTTTCGGGCAATCCTTTTCATCTGATGACTGCCGCAGCTTACCTGGGCTCCTTGATAACTTTAGCCCGGCACAGCAGATTGTTTCATGACGCCCCAGCAATCAGCATCGATGAAGACCTGTCTCCCGAAGCGCTCGATGCGACTTGGCGAAGATGGGCCCGGGATGAAGAATTGAAACGGATAGCACTAGTCCTTTTCATTCATGATGCCGAAATTTCGGCCTTGTTCCACCACGATCCCATACTGCGTCACAACGCCACCTTCATTCCCACAGCCTCCTCTGCTGAGCTTTTCTCCGCTCCGACAGCTGTGGCGTGGGCTTCAAAGTACAAAGGCAAGCAAGCGGAGAGGCCCCGACAGACTGGTCAAGCTGTCCAGCCGCCTGATAACCCTTGCAGCAGGAAGTCCTCGCAACCATATAGCTCAAACATCTCCTGGTCATCCTCCTCTGCAATCCCCACGGGCCAAGATCATATGCTCAACGTATACACCAGACTGTCTGGGGTTGCCGCATCCATCTTCGAATGCCGTCACTTAGGGAGTCTGTCATCCGAACAGGCGAAACGATTTGAGTCTGATCTCATTACATGGTATACTTCCGTTCCAGCACCTTTCCGAGAGCTAGGAAATACATCGATGCAACCCGAGACTCCGTTCAGCATGTTACCCCTGTGGCACTATACGTTCATGACACTCACCACAGCCTTGGAAACTCTAGAGCTTGCTATTGGACGGGACGGTGCAGCTATGGCGCCATCCACAGGAGAATACGCGCTGTCATGGATCTCATCGCCAGACTCCAAGAGATGTCTGTTGCATGCCTTGCTGTTGCAGAATCTGGTGGCTTCGGTAAACATGGGATCCTTCTTCCCCATCCACACAGCACGGATACTATTCTCTGCAGCGGTCTGCTGGTATTGCTATATGTTGTATCTACCCTATACTTCGGCATCGGACCATGCATGGGTACTATCTGGATTGTCGGAGCTGTCTCTCGAAACGCTCCCCGAGATCAAGCTGCTGCGGGAAGGGGCTTTTATTTCAACAGTGGGGAGTTGCAATGATACCATATCCGACTTCAAACGGATCCTGATCGCCAACCCGGCGGAAATGAAGGCGAGCACTCTATGCGTGCTTGAGGGAATATTGCGACGGCTGGGTACGGGGGGCATCTCGAAAGTCTTTGCGGACATCGTTCAAGTGTTCATATCCGGGGAGATGGATAAAGTGACTGTGGACGCAGGAGCCACCAGAGACAACGTGTGAACTGCATAGGTGATCGGAAGACTATGCCATAGTACGGGTTCCCAATTTAGCGCTGAAGGGCCCTAGTCGCTTCGAATGTGAGTGTTGGTCTTGAAACTAGGAGGGCGAGGCTGAAGATGCTGTCACCGAGAAAGGAGCTGGCCGTGACCAAATCTCTGGATAATTACCAGTTTCAAGGGAAGAAAGCTTTTGAAAGGATTTCTTGGTGGAACATGGGGACAAGACGTGAGACTTGGTCTTCGACAAGATCCGTTCGGTCGATAGGAATTGCTTGGAACTTGTGCTCGAAAATTGTTCTCCAGCTGGAACGAGTCGATGAGGCTGACACTTTCATCCCGAAACGGTCTAGTCCTCCGGTTCTAGCATCACGTGCACCGCTCTCTTCTCCTGGGCACAATGTCTCCTCAACCCCGTCATTCTCGTCGCATCCGCCGGCTCCTATTGAGGTGGCCGTTAATCACCAATCCGAGACCAGTCCATGTCACTCGTCTTGCCAACCATCAAGGACCATAATGGATCGAGTCCATTCACAAGAGCGAGAGGCCAGCAGCAAAGATGCCATGCGGGGCCATGGATTTAGTTCCAACTCCCTCCACATCATCCCCTCTTTTCCACTCGCACACTCGCGGATCCGGTTGCGAATGTACCCAATGAAATGGACCTCACAAGTCTAGCCAACCAGTGATGATCATCACCCTTCCTTCAGTCAAAGTTACTGCACGCGCTGCGGACGTCGACGAACATGCCTCCTCCGTCAATCCGGGCTCCAGACGTCGGCCGAGGATAATTCACATCTTTCATATATCCGCCCAAGACACCCCCGCCCTTTCGAATGTTCTACACTACAGGTCTATGAACAGGTTACTGCAGACTTTCAGTAAACACTCACAAGAGAGATAGCATACTAGCAAATCTCGGTCCAGTGCGATTGGCTTCTCAGATCAAGGATAGTGTCACCATTCAAGATGGCCAAAGTTGCAGCATCAGCTGTTCCGAACCTCAAGTCCCAAATCGATGCCCTGACTTCCGACCCAACCGGAGCCCCGGGCGTCGTGTTCGCGGCGGTCAACAAGCAGGGCGAGCCGATTTTCGAACATGCTTCCGGTAAGATCGGTGCTGGCAAGAGCCAAGCCATGACCATGGAGAATGTCTTCTGGATTGCGAGCTGCACGAAAATGATCACGGGCATCGCGTGCATGCAGCTCGTCGAGCAGGGGAAACTTGCGCTAGATGATGTCGAGTTGGTTGAGAAGCTTGCGCCGGTAAGTCACCCTTTGCCATGCCCACGAATATTGCTAGGGTAGGCTGCAGCGGAAGCGGAGTGAGAGTGAGAAGAAGGGAAAGGATAGATCGAGCGAGCAGTTGCAGTGTATGGCTGCTGATGAAGGAGAGTAGGAACTCAAAGCCGTCCAAGTCTGGGAGAATGGCAAGCTTGTGCCAAAGAAAAGAGGCATCACGTTGAGGATGTTGCTTTCTCATACTGGTATGTCCCCGCGACCCGTCATTTTCCCTCGCCACGCCTGCTAAGGTTGTCGACGCGGATGTTGGTACATCGATTTCTTCGACACCCCGCTAACGCTCGGTCGGTAGCTGGCTTCGGCTACGCCTTCTTCGACGACCGCCTGAATGACTGGGCCGGTCCATTGGGCGTCGACGAATTCTCTGGCTCGTACCACGACTACCTGTCGCAGCCCTTGGTTAACCAGCCCGGTGAGGCATGGGAATACGGAATCAATATCGACTGGGCAGGGCAACTCGTCGAGCGCGTTTCCGGTATGAAATTGAACGACTACTTCCAGACGCACATCTTCAAGCCCATGGGCATCACGCATATCAACATGTTCCCAACGGACCAAATGAAAGCGGAGCTGGCATATATGAACTCCCGCGCGCCGGATGGAAGTCTGTCGCTTAATTTGGATGGGCATCTGAACAGACGGCCCCTGTATGCGAAGACGAAAGAAGAGTTGGACACGACGTTCCATGCCGGTGGAGCGGGCTGCTTCGCGCGTCCGAGCCAGTATTGCCAGGTCATTGCGATGTTGTTGAATGATGGCGTGCATCCAGGAACAGGGCAGAGGGTGCTCAAGAAGGAGACCGTGGACGAGATGTTTACGAATCAGGTTTGTTTTTTCCCTTTGTCCAGGTTGGATGGAAAATGATCTGGTGCTGACGTGTGGGGATAGATCCCGAATATGCCCAACTTTGCACGACAGGTAAGTCTTGGTTGAGAGCTTGAGCTTGAAGCTTGAGCTTTGGCGGTCTCGTGGGTGTGAGGACTTTCTGTCTCGCTCAAGGCCACTTGGGCCAACAGTGCGCCGAACCAAGACAGACGCTCATTATCCGGAGGAGCACGAGCACGGGATAAGGTGCTAATCTGCTCGCAGGGTATATCCCCACCGAAACCACACCTCTCGAATGCCTTGCCCGAGATCTACCCCGAACCTCACGACATTCCGCAAGGGTGGGGCTTGACATTCTTCCTGCACCTCAAGGACTCGGCTGTTCATAGCGAGGGCACGGGATGGTGGGCTGGTCTCCCGAATCTATTTTGGTGGGCTGATCGGAAGAGGGTACGTACCCCGTCTACCTGTCTTTTGGCCTCCTCTGTGCAAAAGGCCTTTGTTCTCTTCATTTGCTTTTCCGGGAAAAAGGGGGAGACCATGCGATATGGGCGAAATTTGGGCTGACAAACGTGTGTAAATCAGGGTATTGGTGGCATCATTGCAAGCCAGATCATTCCGTTTGGTAAGTCGACGTCCCTGCCCCAACCACCACGGGCGCCCCCCGCCCCCCCCCCCGGACCCCAAAATCAATCGCCAAACCCCTTGGGCGGTTGCAACACCACATGCCAAGATTGCTGTGCGTTATCTGATGACTGACGCTGGGCTAATACATGTCTGTACGTGCAGGTGATCCCAAGATCCTCGGCCTTTGGGCACAGATTGAGGCTGGATTGATCCAGAATTTGCAGTAGTTCTATCCTTGGATATCAACACGGTACGACGGGGAGAGGGGACTACTCGTGTGGATCATGATCAGAGGCACCAGAGTGATTATCGCTATGTGAAGGCAGCGATGTAATTTGATCTTATACTCAAAATCTTTGGTCATGAAAATATGTGTGGTATTTTACATGGTCAATCGACATCCACATGCTCACATTGAGCACTGTAGAGATCCACCTCAAGGAACTGTCTTACATACTATACAAACAGCCGCTCGAAGGGGAGAGATGCTCTTTTGTTGGACCACCTGCCCGAGGGCTAACCGGAGAAGTCTAGCTGATGAATGACCTTGTCGTGGGATGCGCTTTGATGCATCGATTCCTCATTCGCACTGGGTCGGTGACGGGAAGACGAGCAGGTCTCTCGGCGAAGCGCTCAATCAATGACCGTTCAGCATGGGAAACCCGATGTCGGAGACGTGGCAGACTTGCTCGGAGGGATTGATCGAGTCGGCCAAGGTAAACCATCTAGTCAACAATCTTGCCGTAGAAGGGGACGCCAAGTTGTTGAAGAAGGAGCCTGGCATCCTTGTCGCAGCTGGCTGTTGTGTGAATGGTAATGTACAAGCCCTAAGCAAGTTAGTAAGTAGGACTACTGCGGAAGAATACGACATACCGGCACCATCTTTCCAGGATAAGCATCGTAGTTGACTTCGATCTCGGGAAAGCCAGAAACCACTTCTGGATTGAGACCAAACGAGAGATTCCCACTGTTATCACCCGTCGTTGCTCTCACACCATTCCAATCCTTGATGCGCGGTAACACCACATCGATCAACTTGCCCAGAAAGTGATACATGTCCTCCCCCTTCAAATCCACAGTCATACTGCACGGCTTGCCCTTGATGACGCCCCAACCGGCTTCATTCGTTCTCGCTCGGTGGATCTGAACACGCTGGTTTGTGATTGCTTGTAATACCATGCCTGCTACATGCAAATGTGATGAGCCACCCTTCAGCGCCCCCTTGACGTACGCATGCACAGTGACTCGCTCGACCATAGGGACGTTTCGGAACGTGATAGGCTTTCTCAAGAGCCGCAGGACATCTCCACCGCGAGGGCCACGCAACGGCCTATTCGCAAAGTAAGGAGAGTCACCTATCCATGGACGTAATCGAGCACCTTTCTCAAGGGGTCTGAAGCCAGGAGGTGTATGTTGATAGCACATTGTCATGAAGTCGGGTGCGATGATGCTGTGGTATGCTTGTTCGACTCGAGGGGAGGAGAACGGCCCAGGAACGAATTCTCGACTGGCAGGATCGGAGGGAGGGAGCGGCTGGTGAGGGTGTAGAGGTCCGCGATCGTATTTCGGGCTGCGAAACTGGTATCTAGACACTGTGAGTGCGGTGTTGGCAGGACGATGGGGCAGTCGAGAGAGAACTACCTGCTATGAGGTAACTGTCGCTTTCGCCCTCTGGCAACCTTCACTGGATCAAAGTCTCTGGCTTGAGCGTCCCAGTCCCCGGGTTGTGATATTGAGGACATCTCTTCAAGGTCTTGGTCAGGTCCCTGCGCGACGGCTGCTTGGGTAGCGGCCGTCCTCCGTGTCTGCTGACAACGATTGCATATGGTGGAATTGCTGAGCGACCGCCATGATCTAAAAATTCGAGAGGAGAGTCTTGTTGTCGCCATCGCGAAGGCACTGCAGGCGTGATATCGTGAGGAGCTTGGTGGTGTATGTCAATTGGTCTTCGAAGCTCCTTTCTCAAGCCGATGGTAGAAAAAGTCCAGATGGGGAGAGTGTCGACGCTGTTTTAGTTCATGATCTGGCGAGCTGGCTTGCTTCACGTTAGATTGTCAGGGCTGTTCAAAGCGGCATGCAGCTGAGCGCAAGGCTGACTCTTGGGAGAGCACCTTCTGTTCTATGGCTGGCTGGCTACCCCACTTGCACTTCTACACAACTAATATTCCTGGCTTCGATGCCTTGACTGTCGTCGGTCTCTCATCGACACGATAGAAATCGCAACCGCCTCTCGCCCTCCCACTCCCCATTTCCCTCGAATTTCGCTGCAGCGACACCCATTCTCGGCTACGAAGAGTGCCGGGAAACGCAGCAACGAACCTCATGGAGCGCGATTCTCAGCTCTGGTCGACTTTCGCAGAACGCCTGTCCTGACCCCGAAGACGGTCGCAATGACCTGTTTCCCTACTACGAAACCGTCATGGAAGATGATATCGCCCCCCAGGTGTCCATGTATGACCTTGCCGTTCAAATGGTCGACTACCGACTGACGACTCTGTGTGCAGAACTGTAGATCGTGTGGAAAAAGAGCTGGCAACCTCCTTGAAACAGAAGGATCCTCCATATCCAGGCCTAGAAACAAAACTGGCCAAGTGAGAGATACTCTTCTTCCCACCGGGCTTGCACTAATATGTGCAGATTCCGGTCAGTATGCCAGGATTGTATCTTCGCCGACTTCGAAGCAGCGGCGCAGAAGAAAGTTGAACATCGCCTGTGGGATGCGCATTCAAAGGTGAATAAGACATTTCGAGGTTGCCTGGCCAAATTCCGTGACGGAGATGGCAAAAAGAAGCATGTTGAGCGCCGAAAGGCTGAAAAGCTCTATCTTGACTTCATCAAATCGAGCATGCGCTTCTATCGTGGTTACATTCAACGCCTTGCTTCGAATTTCGCCAACGTTCCAGAGGTCTTTGAGGTCGCTCAGAAGTTCCACCTCGAGAGTAAGACTCCCCGGTTATGCTGAATCACAAGCTGACAGTATATAGCGTTCTCTGCGGACACCCCTCAGCAGGTCGATTTGGCACTGAAGAAGCAGATTGTTCGATCGTGCTATCTGACTCTGATCCAGCTCGGTGATTTATCTCGATATAGGGAAACCGAGTTGCAAACCAAAGAACGAAACTGGGGACCAGCAAAAGGATACTATGATCTGGCAATTGCTCTTGATCCAACTTCTGGGATGTCGTACAACCAGCTAGCTGTCATTGCATTGACGGATCAGGATCATTTACGAGCGGTCTATTATCTCTATCGAGCGATCTCCGTCGCAAATCCCGCTCCCCAGGCCGAGGGAAACATTCAAATCGAGTTCAAAAAGGTCAGAACCAAGATGATACAGGGCAAGCCAGTCTCAGCGGGTGAAGCCGCCATCGACTGCAGCAGTGACCTGCAACATCGTTTCATCCTCTTCCATGCTCGCTGCTTCGAGCCGCATTTCCCAAACCACGAGGAGCAGCAAGCTGAGATTCTCAGCTTGCTCGCCGATGACCTTCGAGAGAGGCCATTCGACACAGTGATTCGAAAGCTGTGCTTGATTAACATCGCTGCCGAAAGGTACGCGGGCAATCAAGTCGCAGGTATGCTAGTCTCCCAGTATGTAAATAGAACCCTTTGCTAATCAAGGCGAACGGCAGGCTTCGACTCAGACGACTCTAAAGCGTTACGATCCTACGAAAGACTGCAACAATTCAACCTATCCTGTTTCTTTATGCTCTTGAAACTGCTGCTTGATGAACTGCAACAGCGTGCCAAATCAGCAAACTATACGTCGAGCAGCGCACCCGCCGAACGATCTCAGATGAGCCCGGTTATACGACGTATTCTACCTCATTTGGGAGTGTACAGTGGTTGGCTTTTGAGCACTGTGCAGTTTCTCCTTGTCAGTAAATCTGCCAAGGTTCAATTGAGCGAGCTCTGGCAAGTCTATGCCGAAGCTCTCAGTCTCCTTGTTCAGTCATTTCCTATCACTACCATTCCTGAAATCCCTTACTTGTTAGATGAGGATCAGGATACCGTGGCATTCACTCCGTTTGAAGCCTTCGTTCGGGAGAAACGTTTCCAGGGCTCTGCCAAACCACCTTACTCAGAGGCAGTTTTTGGTAAGCGGTCGCCTGAGAAGGAGATGCTCTATCGAATCAAATGTCTGACAAAAGATGCCCTCCACCTGTGTAACTGTAAGAAGTCGGTATGTTACATCATCGTATGATGCAATGGTCAAGTTGCTAACGGAGGCAGGGCGATTCTGACTTCGATACTCTACCTCTGATCTTCGCTGGCATGCGCATTGTGTACACTGGGCAGGGTGGTCTACATGTTGAAGATTCTTCAATGGGCTCTTCCATGCACGCGAACAGTTCAGTGGGGAGCATCAGCCGTGACGACATCGAGCACGCAAAGAGTTCTATCAATGCGATCGGTCGTCGTCGTAATCATCATGAGGGCATGTCAGAAGCTTCTGCGACCTCGACCATGGAGAACATGGTGAACGATCTCACGGAGCAGGATGGTACTGAATTAGTTGGCGTGTACAAGGGGACTTCGACCCCATCCTTGAAGACACCTGTGGTACAATCTTTTGCTGAAAGAGGCCTGCAGCCGCAGCCTACTACCATTACCGCACATGATATCGTTCAATCCTTTCGACACTCAACCGGCTCTCTGGCAGGACTTCAGGGCCAGATCGATGACCAACCTAGTATTCCGCCAGTCTGGAATACCCCTTTCACACCGAGGCCTGGAGAGACTGGATCGTCTCCTCGACCAAGCACGGCGAAGCAAATTTCTACCGCCGCAATGCCGTCTCATGTCAACAGTGCTGCACAATTCAATGCTCAGATAACGCACATGCAGCAGCAAATACAGCTGCGCTCATCACCACTCGAATCCTTTCAGCCTACTATGTCAAACCACTACGATACACCGACTAATTTGACGTCTTGGATTCGCCATAAAGATCAATCACAATCCCCACTGTCACCCTGGCAGGATTCAGGTCAGGTCTGGGGAACAGTCATACCGACACGATCTCCGGAGCCAGCCCCGTTTGGAGCTATTGGAGAGGCGCGACCAAGAAGCAGCCGAGAGTCCTACGAGTGGTCACGCAGGTTGACTTGATACCCGACGGCGGGCAAAAACATTGTGCAACAGAGTAGTCCGATGCATATGGCCACGCGATTCTTGAAAAAATCGACGACGATCATATGACCAGGTTCGGAAGTCCCTTCACTTCCGATTCTTTTCTGTCTAGCTGCGATGTACTCGTTCAGGAAGCCTGGAGTCTAAATCTGTTCCTGATCTAGGCGGCATTACTTTTTTTCATCATGATGTCGTGGAGGACGTGGTATCATGCCCAAGATACTTGGTCTTGTTGAAATAGACCGTATCGTCAACGCTATAGTGTTACAAGTCAGTGTAGATGCTGGATTGCTATCACCACGCAACTGCACTGTCATCACGCCTGGAACGTCTGCTTGGGGAACGGGTATCTGTGGGATTTGTTAGTCGACCATTCACGAATTTCCGCACTTTGAGACTGGCAATCCGCGCATTCTCCCGCCTACCAGAATAAAGCACTGGTAGACGACGGTCTGTGCGGGCGAAGTAGGAAAGACGCAAGGACAGGAAAGCATGACTTACGAAGGACCCAGTTCCTGCAAACCCAGTCGCGCCAACCACTGTCCCTTCTTGATACACATCTCCAGTGAATCACCCTCGACGACACCAGCACAGAAGCCACCAGCAAAAGCATCACCGGCACCGTTCGTGTCGTTGATCAACTTCTCGTCGATCACGGGGACAGAGTACTCCTTGACATCGACCTCGTCTTTACTTTGATCCTTGACTGCCACGATGGTTGGATCCGTACCCTGGGTAACGATGACAACACGTGGGCGTTTGGTGTTCACCTTGGGCTGTTGGGCCATGAGTTTCGCGCACTCTTGCATCGAAATGCCGCTCTTGCCTTGAGACTCGGCCCAGGTTTTGGCCTCGTTCTCGTTGCCGAAGACGAAGTCGCAGTATGGTAGGATCTCGGCAAGAGGTTCCTTGAAGAATTGCGGGATAAAACCCGCGGACAGGCTCAGCATGAAGATCTTGTTCGTTTCGGCGGCGTGTTTGGCCACGGCCATGGCCGCGGGTGGGCAGACGGTCAGATGGTAGCCGCCGACGTAGAAGATGTCAGTGGATTCGACCATGGACCAGATTTGGGGTTGTTGCAGGTGCGAGATCTTGTAGTTGTTGGCCGCGGCAAGGTGTGTGCACATTGTGCGGTGGTGACCTGTGATAACAACGCCGCATTTTCCGGTGGGAGTGGAGGGGTCGATCATGTATTCGACGTGGAGACCTGGAGGGAGCGAAATCAGGGCAGCGTTAGTTTTGCTTCTGGCATAGAAATTGGACTATCCAGCGTCATAGCGAGACCATAGGGGAAGAGGAGGGTAGGTGGAGAGGACAGAAACGGAACAAAGGACGCACCCTGCTCAGCACATTTCTCTCTGAGGATTTTGGCGTACTCGTCGTCGCCAACACAGCCTATGTACCATACACTGTCAGGCGGGAGCATGTATTGAGCGCCGCGGGCCGTGTTCTGAGCGGCGCCGCCGGGGATGAGCTTTGCGTCGTGGTTCTTGATCAGGTCGTCGTACAGGTCCATTTGGTGAGGTTCGGCGAGGAGGGTGTCGTCGAGCTTGAGGCCATATTGTTGGAGCATAGACTCGTCCCTGTGCCATTTGGAATCAGTGTTAGCGAGTGAAGGAACGAACAGCGAAGGTAGGCGTAGGCGAGAGTTCAGGAAGTAGACGTACCCTTTCCCTTGGATGTCGAGGAGGGGGTTCTCGAGGCAGAGGAGCTTGAACTTCTTCGTCGACATGTTGACTGTATGAGAGGGAAGTCTGGTGCGGTGAGGGATGTAGATGCGAGGGTACGAGGGTGAAGCGAGGGACTGAGCAAAGTGTGGTCGAGAATGCTCGAGCATGAAAGTACAATGGAGTATGTTGAGGACATAAATTCTGGAGGCACGCTGGGAGGTGTTGGAGATTTCGATTGACGCAAGTGGGGTGAGCACTGGTGAGCGAAACCTCCGATAGATACCTCCGTAGTCGAGGCTGAACTTATCCTCGACTGCTATCCAACGTTCAGCCCCTGGGCATCTTTCTTCAAGCGACAGCAACAGAGCGAAAGAAAGGGCCTCCGGGTCATGGTACTATTCTTGACACAATAGCTCCTTTCCTACGACGTTTTGCGAGCTGTGCAGGGAACAGAACACCTTCCTTTCCACAGATGAGCTGAGCTCTCCATTACACCTACTTCGCATACCGACCATCTCTCTTGTCTACCATCATGGCCTCCAATCCAGCCGCCGAGATCGCCTCTGCCATCCAATCCGCCTCTATCAATCGCCACCCTTCGCCAGCCCACGACATCAACCCATCGACCGCTGCGTCGAAGAAGGTCCCGGGCCGTACCATCGAATCACCCCCTGGAGGCCGTTCACGCTCTCAATCCTTGGACTCCACCGACTCGACGATCCCCAGCGAAATCATCCGTCCTCGACCACGCAGGAAGTCCTTCCCTCCCATTCCCGACTTTCGCTTCGAACAGAGCTACCTGGCGAGTATCAAGGCCGCCGACACGAATTGGAAAATCGCGTTTATCACGGTGCGCGACCAGGTGCTCCTGCCGCTCATTCAGGGTATCGCGTGGAACTTGATCATGTTTGGCTGGCGGCATTGGAACGGCGCGAGCAAGTTCCAGGGCCAGAGTTTAGGTGCAAAGGTGCGGAAGTGGTGGTGGGGGGTGAATAATTGGAAAATTCCAAATGAGAAGGAGGCGAGGAGGGAGGCCAAGGTAGTGAAGACGGCCGAGGATTTCTTTGTTGATCGCTTTGGAAGTGCGTTGGGGGATTGAACTACCCGAGACAAATTGCGAGAGAGAAAAGAGAAAGATTTGACCTTCGTGAAAGGCACGATTGGATCCATCATACTCAGCTGTTTGGACATTCGAGAGAATCTTCGCCGAGCGCACCAGTCCGGAAGCCTACGATGGGGACGCATGCTGTGTCTCCGGTCATCTTGCTCAGAGATGCTCATGGGTATCGAATCAAGCCAGCGCCTGAATTCAATGCAGTGTGGCGTGAACAAGGCCAGAGCCCTATCAAATCATGTGCAAGAAGGTCGACGGGGCTGGATAACAGTAATTGGGCGCCATGAGGTAATCTCAAGACTTCCGAGTCGCTACATGTACTTCGCTTGCGAGAGCCCGCATGCAGAGACAGGCGACGATCCTGTAGGACGATAGTCACAGCGACACAGGACGAGGACTGTTTGAGGAAGCATCAAACACTTGGGCCACAAGGCTGCTTTGCTTGGAATCATTTGCCTGAAAGACAAATCACGACTGCATGCCCCTGGGCAATCCCTTGGAAAAGTATCGTGCAGAGCGCAAACAAAGCACAGTAGAATGGCGGGCACATCGGCAGGCATGTCGAAGATAGGCAATGAAAATGCTTTGGAAGATGATTGATTCCCATCCTGTACCGAATCAACAATGTTCTATGCCTCTTCAGCATTGAAATCGCCGTCCGAAGCCACGCCATAGAAGCCTGCACAGAGACATCATCTCTTCTGCATTCAGCATTTCGTTCCGGATGCCCATGCATTCGCTCCGTCAAAGGTCATCAACCGTCCACTAGATGCTCTGCATGTGTATTGGGCCATCATGAGAAACCACTTGGCTTTCAACGGACCACTTCCATCGCCAGTAACATCATCTCTCCGTTTATCGGCTCGTAGCCTGCACCTTCCCGGGCTTGCCCTTTGCCTGCTGCTTGCTTGCAAGACCACCACGGACCTGACCGGTCGCGGTCTTGGCGGCGGTCTTCGCCTTCTCAGCCTTCTTCTTGCTCTCCTGCGCGGCCTTCTTCTCCTTGGATTCCTTGATGGCGGCTTGACGGGCAGCTTGACGGGCTTCGGGACGTTGTGCTCGGCGCTCCTTGATCACGTCGAGAGTGGCACCGACGATGGCGCGCTGGTGCTTGACTGTGCGGCGAGTTCGTTTCTTTGCGACTTCCTACATTATTTTAAAAAATCTCAATGTCAGCCCCAAAAGTGCTCCTCGTTCCACATTCGTTCCCACGCCGAAATCCTCTTGTTCTTTCGAGATTTCCAGGCAACGGCGGGTTCCGGTTCGACTAACCTCCGAAATACCCTTCTTGTGCATTCTTCGGTACAACATGGTCCAGGCTATTCTTCGAGGGTTCTTGCGCTGAAGGAACAAGGATTCGGTTTTGCCATTTTGGAATCGGAAGATCTTGCTGTCACCACGGACGTAGAGTTTGCCCTGTAAATCTCCCACATCATGTCAGTTCATTGTCCTTGTCTATTCGATATGGGAATATGGTTTCCAGTCTCTTGATTTATGTGTGGTTCGTGTGTAGAGGAGGGGTTTCAATGCAACGCGACTGACCTTGCCCGGGTAGATCTTGGTGGCGCTGAAAGTATCGTCGTAGGTACGCATTTTGGCCGGTCGATGCTGTACCCGTCTTCGATATGGTGGTTGTTGAAATTGAATTGATTCCGCAGTCGGCCGTTCAAGATGTTCGCGAGGCTAACGTCAATTCCCAAGTGTGGGCTTGGCAAGCGCGGTCGCCAAGAAGTGCTACGGTGGGCTGGCAGAGAGCCATTTTACGGTGCATCACACGATCCGGCACGCAGATGCTGCAAAAAGGAGAACTATCGCCAAAGATAGGTCACGACAGGTTCATGCATTTCTCGCTTCTCCCGCTCGACGAGATTCATCTTATTTACATGCACAAGTAGCCGAGGCATCACTCCAGGCCTTCGCAAGTATCTTTTGATTGGTTGACTCCGATAGAAGCATAAGCTCCAAGCTCGGTTCATCTGCAGCACATCATGGAGCAGCTTTTCTGGCTCACTCATGGGTATCACATCACTAGAAGCCGTGGCTTTCTCAATCCATCATCTGTGCCGCTTTGCAGCAGGAAAAGTTTTCTCCAAGCTCCTCTCTGGGGTCTCATATCATTAGAAGCCGTGTTATTCTCAATTCATTTCCGCGCGTCGTCACTTTTGTCATCCCAAGAGGTCTGCTTTTAGATAGCAACTCTATTCATGTTCTCGTCGTGCCAGATGCACTCCATCCACGGATTCTTCTTGCACTTGCGGCACTGAACGTCAGCGCAGATCGGGTTGGGACACATTCCGCAGCAGTCAGGGCAGACCATCTTTCCGCATCCAATCTTGTCACCAGGTGCGCCATGAGTGCATTGCAAGAAAGTAGGAGCCTCCTGGCCGTACGCGAAGCAGTTCGAGATGTTGCCGAGGGTTTCCTGAGCGCGAAGAAGCGACTCCGGATTGTCTTTGTGGATCTTGGTGGCAAGATAAGCGGCTTTGTAGGCGCAGCAAGCGCGTCCGCAGACAGCGCAGCATTGGTCCATGCAAGTGGTGCATTTCAGATTGCGGGAATGCCAGGCTCGACCGGTGTTTGGGTGGCGCGGATATGGCTGGTCGGGGGAATAGTCATAGGTGTGACAGTTCAAAGTGGTGCGCAGGTATCGTTCCTTTGAAAGCATTAGCAATTAGTATGGGAAAATTAGCAGAAAGTAGGCTCACAAGATCCGGACGTTGGAATGTGCGAAGCGGACCACCATCAACAGCACGAGCAGAAGTAGGCGATAGTACGGTATCGATTTGCTTGTCAATTTGCTTGTCAGATTGCTTGTCACTCTTTTGTTTGAACAGGTCAGTGACCTTGCGCAGACTAGACTTCTTTGTATCGAAGGTCTCAGAGACCGGTGTAGTTGCGGTTCTGGGGCTATCGACTGGTGTTTTGGGGTGGGTGAGCGCAGGCACTGGACCTGTTGGTGAGCCTGGCTGGAATGATTCGTAGATTTCGGTATCTGAGGAAGGTCTGGTGTTGATTTGGAGCTGAGATTTATTGGATCTCATGCCAAAGATGTTTTTTTGAGATTCGGTGCTCTTTCGATCGTTGCGGCCCCGTGACCCAGCAGACGAGCGGTACGGGCTCTTCGCAGCAGCTTCCGTAGGCATTTGACGAGCGTTGAATGGGGGGTCCATGGGGACGAATTTGCCGGTGCTTCTCGGGGGTCTGGGAAGAACTTGCGCCGGGAGAAAGTTGAATGTGACGCGACCAAGGTTACGATTAGGGTCAACGTTTCGCTCGGCCTCAATTCTTCTCCTATCATCAGCCCAACTGTAAACTTCAGGCGCGCCTGAGGTTGTGATCATCTGCGGGCGATCGCGAGGGGAGAAGGTCGCATTGCCAGAGAACCCTGGATGCTCGGAGATATCTGGAGGAGGGAGAAGCGTCAGATCTTCGAAGCTGCCAACAAGGGTTCTCTCGTCTGAAAACCGCGACATCTTGTGTCGGACTGCTCTAATCTCACGTTCGACATTAAATTCGAACGAGGAAGAGTTGACCAGGGAGTGAGGTCAAAGTGAACGACCTCTCTCCTGCAACAACGGTGAATCCTCCCACGTGATCTCACCTTTTAGAAGTGAAGGCTTTCGGGCCCTCAATGAGAAGCTCGACAACTTGCTCTTGAGGCTCCGTAGAGAGCCAAAGCTCCCTACGGACCTGTTGGGCTTGGTCGGCGTTTGCGGTCTATACACAACGATGCTGTCAGCGTCCGTCATTCGTGCAGAATGGGGTAAGACACGGGGTGTACATACTCAGCCATGTCGTCCGTCGATGATAACAAAGAGCGAGGAAGAGGGTTATGACGGCTGGCATTTTGTATTTTCCTTTCCTCTGCTGCGTGCTTCGATCGGCCAATAGCGCACCCCGTCTCAATCGCATGCTAAGGACAATGTTGTCGCCAAGGTGGACGACGACATCATCGCAGCAAATCTCGGTGACTGGGTAGGACGCGGGACGTTGGGGAATGGCTGTCTACAGAAACATGCCCTGAAATGCCAGGGCGGCTGACTTGTTGTGAAACCTACTTGTGGAAAGAGGTTCTGATCTGCTAGGATGGGCTACTCTTGAGGAGCAACATAGTTGGATGATGCCGTCACAAAGCTCGTAACAGAAACATGTTCAAAGAGGACAAACGACACAGTATCAATGGTAGTAGACATAAGAGATGAAGCAACCACTCACCAGAATACAAAGCAAGCATTGATCATGGTAGTCTATCGCAATTCATTCATCGTCCCTTATCTCATAATGTTGGAGGACTCCAAAAGGCTCAATTTCGAAGTGTGTATTCACAAGTCCTGGTCTCCCGGTCGAGCGAATACCTGCTAGAGCTGAATACATCTAGAACACCATCATCCACGAGTTGCTGAGCAAAAGAGAGCTAGATCCATAGTGAAAAGTCGAGTTCATCATGACGGCGCGGCATAATTCCGGGTCCATTCTCTCGCCGTTTGGATAGCAGCCTCCTGGTCTTCCTTCCATCGCTGTGCTACGTCGTTTGCCAAAGGATCATCCGGATTTGGAGCGCCCAACAGAGCCTGTATTGAGAGAAGGATGGTTCTGATCTGCAAAGCTGGTGACCAATTGCCTGAGGTGCGATTAGTGGATCCCGAACTGGTGCAACATGGACAGTGCTTACTTTTCAAGACGTCCAGACAGATACGACCAAGCTTGTCAATATTGGGATGGTAGATCTTGGTCAAAAATCGAATCTTGGGAGGTGTCATAGGATAGTCATCTGGCAAAAAGAGCTCAAGCTTGAAAATGCCTCCTAAGCGGGAATCAGTGACAGCTTCCAGCATGCGAGCGAGTCGATAATACCTTCGTACGGTGACTGCGACGGGCCATGTATGCTCACGTCGAAGTACCTCAGGTTATCTTCATGCGGTACAGCACTTATTCCCGGTACACTAGATGGATTCTTCTCAGCCCCACATCCTCTTCAGATCGAGAAAGGGGTTGCCATACGGTTCAGCCATCAACCGCTCTGTCTCTTTCACAATTCTCTTTGGCAGCGCCATATTGGACGTAGCTATGCAGATAGGTCCGCAAGGACGTGAGAAGGAGGCAAGGTTTCGGGGTGATTCGAATTGATGGTGTGAACGTGCAAAGATCCAAGAGCTGGGACCGATGCAAACTCAAGACTCTCTTGCAAAAGGGCTGCGCCTGCGGCAATCAAAGTGGTTGTGGGTAGTAGACCGTGTTAATTGCCGCTCGACTGATCCAAGTATCGACCTGCGATAGGAAACATGAGTGAACAATCCGCAACTAAGACTTCTCGGTCGTGACTGCCTTCTCGAAACACCTGAATTTTGAGGCAGAGCAATTGAAAGTGCAGCGACTGCGCCGGAGGCAGTAAACGGAAGACGTTTGATGCAGTGCCTCACTTACAATGTCCAGTGACGGCGAGACGGAACCCACCTCGCCCACCTGACTCGTGCTGCTTCTTGGCTTCACACCAAATTTGGGCCTTCATGACTCGGCACTATATCGTGGTCCCAGTTGTGCACATACATCGTCGACTTCACCTGGAAGCAGACTCTTTCTCCAGTCAAGTGAAGCATTGTCATTGCTCCTGAGATTGTTGCACATTAAGCTCATAACGACAGACCCGCGAGAGATACATCGTTAGCGCATCATCCGGTATAGCTGCGTAGTTAGAAATACAAACGAATATATTGTTACAAATATATCTACAGCAATAATAAATTCCAGCTTTCCGTGACTCTCAAGTTTTCTTGATCTTCCTGATTGTCGCATCACTAGCTTTGGAGGTCAGGCCACGGCTGAGACCCGCTCCTATACCTCTGCCCAGTGTCGCAATCTTGCTTCCTGCCCAAGGATTTAGACGCTTATCATCTTCGTTGAGCCCTTGATCGAAGTCGCTGCCATCATCGAGGGCCTCAGTACCATTCGCATCCGGCCCGGGCTGGCTGTGTGTGGCAGTCGTCTCATGATGCTGCTGAGCTGATACGGATGCGGCTTTACCACGGGCTGCAGTTACAGACTTGGATCTCTGATGATGCTGCGTAAGCGCAAGGAAGGCAGCAAGAGCGCTGTCAGTACCATAGTCAGTATTAGTGAGAACGGTGGGAGATCGTTGAAGTCCCGTGTTGTTGTGGCTGTGCTGACGACTCATCGGTGGCGGGGCGAGAGTCTGTGATTCGGATCCATCCAGTACAGGCGGATACGGAACGTCGATGGTTATCAATATGGCACAAGTGCACCCGCACCCTGTCGGGCAAGTAGTGTGGTCGTCACTGTGATCACTCATGCCTTCAAGGTCTACTGCATTTCCGCTTTCTTCCTCTTCAGATGATCTTCTAGACCTTGCGCCGTTTGTCCGCTCTGAGCCGAACCAACCCTGAGCACAATCATAGCAGGTCATATGACCGCACTGCAAGCAAGGTACCGCAAGGCCCTTGATCGAAGCTACACAGATCGAGCATGCACTTCTGCAGGGGGTTTTGAGCGTTGCTGCTGAGCCGGAAGCCGATGCTTTACATTGTTGATTCACGCACTGCCAACCAATGGGGATTCCATTCTTCTCGATTGCACCTAGAGGCTCTCCGCAATTGCGGCAGCACCGACGGATCTGAAGTCCTGGACTCGTTGCCCGAGATGCAGAGGTCATGCTCTTTCTTCCTAAGTGGCCATTGCCAGATTGCTGGTCGTAATTTGATCCCCCTTGCTGTGCAGACACTGACTCCAATGAGGTATCGAACTTGAGTATCTCGGCGCGCTGGACAAACATCTGCCAAACATCAAGCAGATTTGCATAGCATGCTCGGTATGCGCCACATTTTCTGCTTAGGGAGGGGTCCAGCAATGGTGTATGTGGATATCCGTCGAGGTCGAATTGGCTCTGGTTCCACAGATGGACCTTGATCTTTTTGCGCCTTGATGGCTTTTTCAGTTGTACTGGTTCGGTAATGTCGCTGGCCACCGTCGAGTGGAGACTGCGACGAGTAGCCACCGAATGTTTACCACTGCTCCTTTGAGACTGTCGTGAAGGGCCAGAAGACAATGAAGACCGCAAGTTCGTATTCTGGCTTTCTTGGCTGGCCCGATCGCTGCTGTGATGAGATATACGCGAAGATCTACTGCCGCTCTGACCCCCAAATATCCCTGTAGATACCCAGCCAGGGGCCAGTGAGCCGGATGGACTATACTTCTTGAGTCCTCCAGCAATGGTAGTAGTGGAGCTTTGATTAGGCGGCGACTGCGAATAAGACTGCGTCAGAGCTGACAAGCTCGCCCGAGCTGAAGAATATGCCGCGCTGGAGCTTGCTCGATGGCCAGCCCTGTTCCCTTCAGGTGATGCCGAAAGAGAAATTGTGGTCGAGTAAGGACCCCTGTCACTAGAATCGTCGACAAAACTATGCGCTCGAGATGAGAGTTCGCTGTCATGTCGAACAACGCTATGGCGTAATTTGTGTTGGTGATGCAGTGGCACTGTTCCCGCTTTCAGCTGCATGTTCGGGCTTAGCAGCACATTGCCCGAATCCACCAAGACATACCCGTCAGGGTCGACTTCGTCTCGGATGGAGGCTTTAGCCACAGCTCGGGAGGGGAAATAGTCGGCAACCGACAGTGCAGCATCCCGCTCGTCGCTCCATGGTCCAGTAGCCGGGTCTCCTGGTATGGAGCCGTGGTTGAGAACGGATGCGAAAACACAAGACATCATAGCGAGCATCTGGACATCTCCAAGCCTCTCGTAATGGTCGAATATAGCAGGTAGAAGGTATATTGACCCCAGAGGATGGTTGCCCCATCGCGTTCTTCCGTAGGGTCTGCTCTCCGATGAACAAACACCATTCGACATGCGTGAAGTCCTTGCAACAGCTCGTGCTATTACATTTATATCATTAGTCGTGGTATAGCTCAAGTCAGGGACGACTTCCAAGGGTACAGTATCGTCTAGAACCAGGCCCAGTAGAGTCCAGACAGATGCCAAATCCTCCAAGGAGGCCTTCCGAGCAACACTTGCGTTGTGTTTGCATACTTCCTTGCCATTGCCATCGCCGAAGATTCTATACTCTTGCGCTAGCTCGCGCTTAGAAGGAATCAAATCTTCAAAATCGTGGATTGACACGGTCGTCGTGCGACGCACTTCGGTCAATTTGTTGCCTCCTGTTGTCGAATTATTTGACGGATCAGGGGAGCGCGAGTGCTGCTGTCTTCCAGAAATGCCAACAGGGTAGGCTGACACACCCCGGATGTTTTGCTCAGTCTCGAAAGAGGACGATGAGCTGCCGGATGATTTCCAGGACGAATCCGAAGTGTCGGAGTCAGAGTCGTCATTGGCGGTTCGATTTCCACTGGCCGCTTTGCGAGCAGGTGAACTTGTGTGCAAACGCCCAAAGCCCTCAAACAGTCTGTTTGATTCCGAATCTTCAAGATCTTTCACGCCCAGAGTGCTCAACAAGGAAACCGGTTCTTTTGATCTGGTAGGGAAGAAACAGACGAGCTTTCCTGTCTCAGACCAGATGGCCCCACAGCCTTTCGCAAGTGGTACCATGATGTTCGCTGAAGCATCCAGTCTTTCCCGTGCGCCGTCAACCAATGGATCGTCATCATCACTGCTAGATTCATCGGCCGGGATGGTATTCGCCTCCAAGATTTTTGATTCAGTCAGCGACTCTCCCAGGACCCATGCAACAATCTGCTCCAAATTCTGTTCCCGTAGCAGATATCGCAGGACGGCCTCAAGACAACCTCGCTTTCTCGAGGCGTACGTCTCTGCAATGGTATGGAGTTCGGTGCTGATCTGCCTATGTGTGGCTTCATCCACAAATCTAGACTTTTGCAGAGTGAGTACCGCATTAGCGTTGCGAGGATACAGCTTGGGAAAGCGCATCTCCAGTCTAAGAAAGACCTGACTCTGTTCCTCTCCCCAAGGAGCTTGCAGGGACATCACTGCTTTACGATGTGAGATGTCAACGACCTCAAAATCCACCTTTTTGAACTTTTCGCCGACATGGCGAATCTCTTCTGCAAGAGTGTCCGGATCCCAGGAAGATATCTTCACATTCTTCAGCCACGCAATGGGATCCGCACTCTGTCGATTGTTTCCCCGTCCATGCATGCCTGATTTTTGTGCCTGACGCCCTCCCTGCACCCAGCCTCGAAACTGTGACACAGGGACCTTGTTCATACCTACGCTTGTGCTATTCCGGGGACGAAACTGCATGAGGTGACTATGACGCGAGAACATCTCGCTTCGAGGAGTCTGTTCCATCGGTGATTCCGCGTCGTCTGGCTCGTCACGAAAGGTTCTGTAGATGGCGCCTTTTCGCGTGAAGTTCAGCCGCTGTACTCTTGACTTGCCCTTTTCGTAGCCAATGTCCGCATAGATCTCGGGGTCAAGAGCATGAAGTTTCAGCTCTCTGTCGGTGCCCCAAGACACGAGCTGGAAGTCTCTGTCGTCAACGCCGTTGTCTACTGTGCCTCGTGCTCGCCATAGGAATTCCTTGACCTGTCCGTCGTGGCCAGGAAATGTCGCGACTGGGCGCACAGGTCCACTCTCGAGCACTCCATTGAGTGCCCGGCGGTCATAGAGATACAAATCACCGTGGCCACGCTGAGGCATTGCCAGCAGGCCGAATCCAAAAGGAGTGTGTCGGGCCCTCCAAATGGGAAATGGGGTCTCGATAATTCGCTCCGGCATGTCTTCCTGGATATCCAAGTCCCAAAACTTGATTGTCCTATCGAGGGAGCAGGTAACAATCTTGTTGGCATGGTGCCGATTCCAATCGACGCCATAGATCTTGGTACCGTGAGCCTGGATTGTGCGCACTGGGTAAGCGCCATGTCTGACATCCCAGATATGCAGAAACTTGTCGTGAGAGCTGGCGATAACGTGTTCGTCTTGGCGACTCCATTTGACCTGTGTAGAGCCAGCAAACCAGTCCGAGAAAGAGTTTACCGGTCGCAGAGGGGCTCTCAAGTCCCAGCAGTGCACAAAACTGTCCACAGCACAAGTAGCAAGGACATCAGGATTATGCGCCGAGAAATTGATGTCGGTAATTGCTCTTGTGTGCCCATGAAGGACGAATTCGATGCTGTTCAGCGATGATGGCAGCTGCAGATTCCAGACTAGTGCCTTCTGGTTGGATGTGCTGATGACCCAGTAGTCCCGCGCCGCAAATGGGGACCATTGTACATCGGCGACCTCCCAAGGGGTCCGATGAGGTAAATAGCGGGGAACCGAATAAGGTGAGTCCAGATCTATAATATGCAATCCCTCTTTGGAAGCTAAGGCCACATCTCGACCACTGGGTGAAATGGTCATCGACCCGACGGGCTGTTCAAGCCTGAAAGATGCATCCTTGCCGAAAGTCTCGCTCTCAAAAGCGGAGGCCGGACCTCGTCGCGCCATCGCGTCCAACGCCAATTGACAAGCGAGAGGCACTCAAGATGCAGAATGTCCTCGGGGAAGCCCCACGGTTATCTTCGACGAAAGTCGGCAACGAAAGCCAGGGCGTGACATTAAGGCTAGCATTTCGAGCGACGCGCCTTGACCTTAGTAGTCCTTGATCAGTCAAATATTTGCATTAACTGGCCACGAAGTACTGCTGGTTGATCGTTCGACTTCGCTGCGCAGAGCATGAGCTGTCAGAATGCTGAGGAAGTGGACATTTCAAGATATGGATTGAGAAGAGACAGCGGTAGAGTAGTTGATGTCGATGCAAAGCTCGGCAGGTACGAAAGCGTCCGAGCCGCCAAGGCCGTCATCACGTGATTGATGACATAATGCCTCCGGATTGGGCTGAAAGGTCAGCGGAAATACATTCACCACTGTTAAAAGGGGTCCAAGCTACTCCATCACCATCCTTCAGACTCGTATTCACAATTGGAATCATTTTCCACGTCGAGCATTCTCTGTAATTGCAATCTCTCGTATGTGCTTCTTGACTTTATGCAACAGTGTGTCATGATATTTGTCACATGAACCGAATGCTTGCAGGTCTCATCCAAGTCAAGGATAAGTCTAATGCAGACTCCCCATGCAAACAGACGCATGTGAGCGCCGAGAATCTATGCACTGCTCCACCATACGGTAGACCACTACATCACAATGCATTCCCTGTCTGGCTTATCCCCTCTGTTTCTGCTTCTGCCCAGCCGATTATGGCTCTTTTCCCTCTTGTGGCCTTTATGGTGATCGTGGTGATTGTGTTGCTCGGGGTGCAAGTTGTTTGGTTTCGGATTGGTCTTCTCGGTCGAGGGTTGCTCGCGAATTTCTGTAACGTGAACCTCAGGCTGAGCTCCATTTTCCGTAAAATTAAGCTGGACTTCGCGGCTTTTCCTTTTTGTGAGCTTCGAGAGGGTCCTACCTAAACCACTCGCATTGTTCCGCACAAACGACTGACTGAGGCGTTCGGTCCTAGTCGACGTCTCTAGGTCTTTGGGCACGTTCAACGCTGTGTCGCTCGCCGGTTCCGATGGCTTGTCTGAGAATGATATCACACTCATCCTTCGAGATTCTACAGGAGACCGACCTCGGGGATCGTCTAGAACTGGCATTTCGGAGCTTGCTCGTCCAGATATTGGCTGATTCTCCGTCGACACGGACACACTTGACATATCGCTGATCGAAGCGTTTCTTTCTGATGGTGCTGACGCGATAGATTCCTCGCCCGATGTGATATGACCAGGGTCTCCTTCAACCGGGACAATCTGATAGAACAGCAGGTAGGGTGTTTCTTCTTTCAGGGCTTTGTCAATATCGACCACGGTCACCCTTGAAGGAGCGAGATCATCAAACCTCATCCATGTTGCTGTAGGAGTTGAAGCGGCTGCACCATTGGCAGAGTTTGGAGGCGGTGTGCCTCGGACGAGAGAAATGTAGTGACCGGAGTCGACAGAAGTCCCTCGGTGGCAGACCACAGATTGCAACGACAATTTGAAATTTCCATAGAGAGAGCCAGCCTCTTCCATATGTTCATCCTGGATGAAATGTGGAACACCGATCTCCACGGGAATATCGATCTGGGTATCTAGCCGGATTGCCCCGCCTTCGGGTGTCATAGAGTACCGCTTGAGGCAAAGGCCGAGGACTGGTCGTTTGGAGGAGAAATGAGCAGCCACTTGTGCATCATTCATTGGTGCGTTATCAGTATACCAAGCTGATGACGGTCAGTCAAACCTACATAAGTGGCTGGACAACTTACGTATAAGGCTGAAGAATTGCCATGCCGGCATCATGACTTCTTTTCGTACACTTCCGGCGCGTAGCCTTCCGGTGAAGTCCTTGGAGTCATTTCCAGCCATTAATGAAGAACCAGTTTCATTTCGAGCCGGAATATAGCGTTCTTGAATAATGCTGGGTGTTCGCATGCGGTTCCCGGGGCGCTCTGGAGGTGCATAGCTGGGTGGTAAGCCTACTGGGGAGGCCGTGGGAGTGGCGGGGGTGGATGCGTCGGAATCTATTTCAATGGTTTCGACATGAACAGCGCTGGCTTTCCGCATAGAGCTGATTGTCGATCTCCGCTCCATGTACCTTCGAACTTCGATGCGGTTGTTGAAGTAATCTTCCAGGCATTCTTCAAGGGTGATGATCTTTCGTTGACCAGTCGGGTCGGGGGGAATGGCGACTTCAAGGAGTCTTTCATTGATAAATTTATGGTCGTCATTGGTATCTTCCTTGCCAGTATGATAGATATCCATTTTCAAAGTCAATAAAGGTAAGTCGAGCATGCCGGTGATGAACGTGAAAGCTTCTGACGCGTCTTGCTGATGGAGCTCTGCAGCCTCTTGCCACCCGCATTCTGCTAAGGTGTCTTGCAGAGCCTTGGTGATGTCGGTGGTAATGAGCTTGCCGTTTCGCAAAAGATTGACCCACAGCCTCAAGAGGAAGCCGAGCTTGTTGCGAGGGACATCATCGAAGGAATTGTAGAGCATAGCCTCGAAACTGTCAAGTCGGGAGAACATCGAGAAGAGCGTGGCGTCCAAGAAGCAAGTCACGCCCTGCCTATTCTGGGCGCCCAACATTGGCATTCTGGGATTGTAGCTGGACACAATACCTTCGGAGGCATCAGACATAGCAAGGAGCAGATCGTATGCTGCGTCCAGGTCGCCGTTGGCAGCATTCGAGCGCAAAGCCCAGAGGATTTGAGCATGTCTCAAGATGACACCCTTGGAATCGATCAAGCGCTGCCGCAATGTCCTGACCTGGATACCTGCGTCAGATTTGCTACCGTGAGAGGCAATGGGACTAGGCTGACCTTTTGCTCTTCGACCTGATTGGCTGGACTGTGAGCGTCAAACAAGCCATAGAAATGGGCAGGTGAGTTGGGATCGAAAGGATTCGAGATAAGTTCAGGACTTGACTGGACAGATGAAGCAGTCAGTATGGGGGTGTAAGAAGGAAAGAATGAAGAGGGTAAAATATGGTGAAGACAATACAGAAGACCCATCTCGATCTCTAGTTGGAGTACATATGGAAAGGCAGAAGCGTTGGATATGCGCCATTGACGAGGGAAAGGGAATGGCATCAAGTCTGGAAGACAAGGCCGTAGACTTACTACTGAAGGCGGAGGCTTCTTGCTGAGGATGTTGGAGTGATGGTGGCCTTCACGCTCGTGGTTGCGCTTTCCCTCACGCCTAGAGAGGAATCTCTGAACACCAGCCATGGTGACTGCCTAGGCGAACGAAGTCCTGATGATTGTCTCCCTTTCGCGAGGGGAATCCCTTGATTTCTCAACAACTAAGAATTGCCATCAGATCATGATTGTCGTGAGTTAGGCCAAGGCCCCAAATGCTGCCCGACTTTGGCAATTGGTTGGGGGTTGAGGAATGGTCTTGGAAGTATTCGGTGTGCCCCTTCTAACACATATCAATGAATCTCTCAATAGCTCGGCGGCGAAGTTGTGGTGTCTCAATGCGTCATGGGACTCTGGTCATACGTAGATGCGGTCTTATTCTGCCGAGGGAATAACGAGTGCCTGAGAGGCGAGGAGGCGAGGAGGCTGAGCTCAGCAATTAACCGCTGGCACCTAACTCGTAGCTGGCTCGCTGGTTTTGCCCCGCGGCCCTGAATCGACGTCCACCTCCGTCCACCACACCTCCTTTCGCGTCGCCCTTTGATTGGTCAGAAGGCTCCGGTGACATTCGCCAAGGGAATCGAGCTCAAGCCGCAATTCAAGTTCGCTTGCGTCCACTCAGCTGTTACTCCGACAAACCGGTCGAATCAGTGTATCCAACAAAGACATCATTTTTCGAGACGAGGCTTCGAGCCTGAGAGCTACATCAGCTTACTCTTGCCCCTCGAGCCTCGCCGTCCATCTTCCGACCCTTAACCATGTCGACCGTCACCCGTACCCTGCGCAATTTGTGGAAGATCGGTTTCAAAGAGTATGGCCATCAGATACAATATATGGTACAGAAGACCTCGCATCTCAATGGGCAGAAGACACTCTGACCGGACTAGGGAGATACCAAGTATGGCGTCCTCGTGGGCAAGGATCGATATGGAAACAAATTCTATGAGAACTTAGAGGAAGATCTTCCACTACGGACCCGATGGGTATGACACAGACACACACTGTACTGAAGGCCCTGGACTAAGCCGCGGCAGGTCGATTACAAAGACAAAGAGCTGGACGCAAGTCAAATAGAGCCCGGTTGGCATGCGTGGATGAGCTACCTGGTAGACAAACCACCTGTCGAAGATAAAATCATGGCTGTTGGACTGCGGCCATGGGAACCCAAAGAACCCAAAATCAACATGACAGCCAGCAGAGCTGCATATCGCCCATACTCAACGTGCGTGGAGAAACGGCCACTCCCCTTCTGACATTGACTGACACCCTTGCAGGACGAAACCGAAGTACAGCACCTGGGACCCTGTGGCCAAACCGCGAGACGGTTCAACACCATTCGCCCAAAGGGACATTCGGGAAGGAGGAGAGTTTGAACCAAAAGCATAGGCTGATGCTACGACATTAAAGCTTGTACAGATGCATGCATGAGGCGTTTCGAGAAGGGGTTCGCTTGCAAAACAACAATTCTATATCGCAGGATGGGGTATCTTGAATATGCCACAACAAAACCGACCTCGGACTCCAATGCCTTGTCATTTCATGCCTCTGTCGTGCGCCGGTGTATCCTTGCCGGTCCCAGTTCCGCTCGCACTTCATCAAGTTGTTGAAGACCATATTTTTCGTTCCCATTTTTCCCACGCTTGCCTTTTGCGCCTCTTCGTTTTCCACCCGGGTTTGCTTTGTTCCAGTCACCAAGGAAATCATCCATCATGCCGCCCCAATCTCCTCGGACAGCTCCTTCATCGGCAAAACTGGTCGTGGACAGTTGCGACATTTGCGACATTTTAGAGCGGCCTGTCATGCCCGAAGCTAAGGACATTCCACCATCCATATCATCACCTTCATCAGCCTCGTCCAGAGAGTACATCTTTTCTACCTGGTCGAAGCGTGCGTCTAGCAATTGCTGACCATCGGTTCGAGCCAGAGATGAAGATGTCATGGAGTACGCGCTGGGATTGGTCAGGGCACCCTTTCGCTTCTTCTGCCGCAGCAGCGTGCCATTCAGAGTGTATAATGACGGTGCTTGGTCCCGGCCAGCAGCAGAAGCGGCGATGATAGACTCCGCTGTCCTGGGCTGGATCTTCTTCGTGTGGTCTCGCTTGAACTTGGCGAACTCTTTCAACCAGTCTCCGTCTTCTGCTGCAGCAGCCTCGGCATCCAGAGACGCATCTTCATTCCTTGGTTCTGTACCAGCAGGCATGGGGGCAACAGAGGACATTGTGGACTGGGCAGGTTGTTCAGGTGCTTTTTCGGTCGCATCCGACTCCCAGCCTTCCTCGTCCTCGTCCACGAAATTTGCTTCAAATTCGGCTAAGTCTAGTTCCCCGTACCGACCCTCTTTTGCTAGAGCGCCGAATAGGTCCTCCTCATCGTTCTCGTCCACGTAGGCGTCGTCCTCCAGTGCCTCTAACACTTCTCGTAAGCGGGGATCCATGTCGGGCTGGAAACCGGCAATGTCGTCTGGGACATCCTGCTGGTCCTGATATGTCCTGGGTCTTGTCGATGTCGAGAATGTCGAATACAGCTCGCTCTCGGCAACGCTGCGGTCATCGTCCAGCGACACTTCTCTTAGCGCATCTTCCAACTTCATGGTCTTCGCTTTCCCTTTGCCTTTGCCTTGAGGCATGGCCTCGACGAAATGCGACTCTCCACCTCCTTCGCCAATATTCCGCAGATGTTGCATGTAATCATAACTTGTATCGTCGTAGTAGACTCCATATTCTGCCGCTTCGCCCTCGTTCGCCCGCACCAGCTCAGGTTCGAGGTCATCTTCCAGGTCTTTCAGGTGTAGTCCCCTATCCTGTGCGGGTTGCCGAGAGGTTGTGGCCGGCCCAGAGATAGGATACAGTGTCCGGTCGCCTGCCGTCTCGTTGTATAGTTCTGGGTCATCTTGTGGGCGGTAAAGAAGTTGGTACGTCTGAGCCTTGTTCTTGTCACTACTTTCTGTTAGACTTCGACGTGTACAAGATGGGGACGATATCTTACATCCACCGTTTGGGGGGCATTTTGCTGACTGTTTTTCTTTCGATCTCGCTTTACTTAAATCGAGTGGACTTTGTTCAGGACCAAAAGTACTGCTAGGTGGGGGTGTTCACTGGTCACGGTGGTGAAGGCGGCGCGGAAAAATAATTTCTAAGAATTTTTGCCCGCACCGCAGTCCGGCGCCACTACTGCATGTGGATGACGTCCTCCGGCTGAGTCCAATCCTTCCCTCTTTACAACCACTACCCAGAGGCTCGCAAGACCTGAGCCAACTGACATCTCAACCACGAATCTTGTACATAGCGATCGCCAGAATGGTTTTGGCAAAGAGTAAAAACCAGGTGGGGCTGGGCAACAGCCTCATGAACGACCGCTTCGGCAAGGGCAAGGGCTCAGACAGGAAGAAAGTCTCTGCGCAAGGCGTCATTCGAACAGATCATACCACGGGACAGACCTACGTTACCAACGCGGCCAAGGAGGCGTCATGGGTCAAGATGCGCAGTGTCACGGAGCAAGGAGCGCTCGACGAATTCCTCTCGACGGCGGAACTGGCTGGCACAGATTTCACGGCGGAGAAGATAAACAACGTCAAGATCATCCATTCGGACCAGAAGAACCCATACTTACTCAGTGCGGCTGAAGAGAGAGGCGCCAGGAGGAAACATGCACAAAATAAGAACAGGTTGTCGGTACCGAGACGTCCGAAGTGGGACGAGACTACCACACCGCGGCAATTGGACGAGCAGGAAAGAGCGAGTCTGCTAGAGTGGAGGCGCGGGCTTGCTGAGTTGCAAGAGAATGACGATTTGCTCATGACGCCGTTTGAGCGGAATATCGAGGTTTGGAGACAGCTATGGCGGGTTATCGAGAGATCGGACTTGATTGTGCAGATCGTCGACGCGAGAAATCCGCTGTTATTTCGGAGTGAAGATCTGGAGAAGTATGTCAAAGAGGTCGATCCGAAGAAGAGGAACTTGCTGCTTGTCAACAAGGCCGATATGATGACCGAGGAACAGCGGCGGCTCTGGGCGGAATATTTTCACGAGCAAGGGATCAATTACAAATTTTTCTCGGCTCATCTAGCCAAAGAGATCAATGAGGGGCGGGATGCTATGGAAGAATTGGATGCGAGACAAATCCAGCAGCAGATCGATCGAAACATGCCTCAGAAGACGATGATCAACAATTTACAAGACCTCAATCTGAAGGAGCAAGAGGAAGAGGAGTGGTCAGACGAGGACGACGATGAGGAGAGCGAAATATCTGAAGACGACGACGAAGAAGAAGAAGAAGAAGAAGAAGAAGAAGAAGAAGGTGAAGTTGGACCGTCAGCACAGTCAGTTCTCAACACCCAGATACTGACGGTGGAGGAGCTGGAAGAATTGTTTCTCGAAAATATATCCCAAGACAGCACGAAAGACCGGAAAACGACTATCGGCCTGGTCGGGTATCCTAACGTCGGAAAATCCTCTACCATCAATGCTCTGATTGGCGCCAAAAAGGTCAGTGTCTCATCCACACCTGGTAAGACAAAACACTTCCAGACAATACATCTATCGGATCGAGTCATTCTATGTGATTGTCCCGGTCTTGTGTTCCCGAACTTCGCCACAACCAAGGCTGAATTGGTCTGCAATGGCGTCTTGCCTATCGATCAGCTTCGCGAATTTACGGGACCGGCTGGACTCGTGGCTCAGAGAATACCGCATGCCTTCTTGGAAAATGTGTACGGCATGAAGATCACGATGAGGCCGGCCGAGGAAGGCGGCGCCGGAGTGCCCACCGCTTCGGAAATGTTGAGGGCGTATGCAAAGGCGCGTGGCTTTGCTACAACGGGTCATGGACAGCCGGATGAATCCAGAGCGGCCAGGTATATCCTGAAGGACTATGTCAGCGGCAAACTGCTTTATTGTCACCCGCCTCCACACGATCCGGAGCTTGATGGAGCGGAGTTCAACGAGGCTCTGTATGACTTTGCGCATCTACCGGCGAAACGACAAGCTTGGTTGATTGCTCACAACGATGAGATCAATCTTGATGGTAATGGAGAGACCGAGACAGAAGTCACGATGCCCGTGCGGCCTCCTCCAGAGACTGGAAATAGGTCCAAGAATCTCGACAAGCGATTCTTTGGGCCTGGCTCGGGTAATGCAGGGCATGTGACGATGCCTTTCAACCATCAATATAGCGAACAGGGGATGCAGCAGAAACAGTTGACGGGGCGAAAGGCGAAGACACTTGCGGCACTTGAGAAGGATGTAGATCCTGCAGAAATGAAGCTGAACAGTAAGAGGCATTTCAAGGGTGCGAGGAGGAAGCAACGCAATGTCAGGGCGGCGGATGACGAGGAGTAGCTGACTCTTTGGAATTCGACAGGTTCCGAGTGTAGAGCCGTCGTAAGCAGTCTCAGCTCGCAGAGGCGTGTCTCTAAGTAGACAGGTGTTCAAATATGGACTATCTCTGTTGAAGCATATCCTCCTTTTGAGCCTTGACTCGACTCGTCGCTGGTTGAGCGTTTCCCTTATCCCCTAGGTAAACCCTCGCTCGCAAGGCTGTGTGGACACAAGACTTCCTTCTATGCTCAGCTGTTGACGTTCAGTCATACCTGTTCCTCACCATATGGCGGCAGTCCAGACCCTCTGCATCGCGTGCTAGGAAGCGAGTCTCTCGTGGTGCACTTCTTCTCGAGCCATCGTCCCGATCGAGTGGGTAGGACTTTGCCGGTTTAGGCTTGATAAAATCTTTCACGTCCACTTTCATCCGAGGCTTTTCTACCACTAGACCTCGAACTGGCCTATCGTGGCCATCACCCACCAACGCTTGGGCGAACGATGGGTTTGATGAGTTGATAGCAAATAATGCTGATTGGCTAGACATCCCACCGGCATGTTTTGACCAATCACACCAAGTGCAGAATTGTCCGGTGGCATTTCTACATCAGCAATCTGATGATTCTGTTCTCCATCGAGGCACTCGCTTCAAGTCTACTTGCACAAAGCATTCAATCTCATTGGTACCCGCGAATTACTCCGCTATCCCCCTGTGTCGGGATGCGTTTCCCTGGAGCTGGGACGTCGGGGTCAGGAGGAGCACAGAACCACTAGCAGGGTGACTAGGAATAAACACTACGAATTACAAATGGTATAAATGTCCTGTGTCCTCCCACCATGACACCGCGTCCCAGTTTCCAAAAGTCACGCTTCGATACTCTCACAAACCTCCTCCAACATGGAAACATACAGTGCATACAACGTTGCGGTATGAGACCACGTCCGCCCTTCCTGGGGTTTCAACAGATGACTCTTTTGCTAACCGCTACTGTAGGTCATTCTTTTCGCCGCGTTTGGCTCTCTCTTCGCGGGCTATGGCCTCTCGGTCATTGTGTCCACGGTGGGCCAGCCGACATGGTACTCTTCCCTGGATCTGGAGCCGACGTCTAGTCATACAACTGCCATCATTGGGGCAGCGAACGGGGTATTCTTCGCTGGAGGTTTCTTCGGCTGTCTCGTTTCAGCATACACAGTCGAGAAGTTAGGCCGCCTGAATGGACTGCGCCTCGCGGCTGTCATAGGCATCATCGGCGCAGCCATTCAGACAGCGGCTGTCAATCAAGGAATGGTCAGTTGACATTCTGCCGCTGAGTCGATGAAAAACAGTCTGACAAAGGTGCTAGTACTTGGCAGCTCGAGTTATAACTGGTTTGGCCGTCGGCCAAGTCATTGTCGCTATGCCAACATACTACTCTGAGGTAGCACCCCCTCACTCTCGAGGGTTGATGGCAGGCGCGCATGGTTCTTTCATCAATGCCGGTTACGCTTCGTCAGCCTGGATCGGGTAAGTACTCATGTCGACAAGCCTATGGACTCCCCATCAATAGGTCCTCAACTAACAGTTCTCCAGCTTTGCATGCTTTCACGCCTCTGGATCCAGCTTCGGCTGGCGCTTCCCCAACGCTGTGCTTGTCATTTTCGGGATATGTGTCCTGGGCGGGACATTGTTCAGTATGTTGCAAGGACATCAGAAAGGGTTGAGGTCAGAACTGACGATGTACAGTCCCGGAAAGTCCTCGATGGCTCTGCTCCCGTGGTTTCGACCAGCAAGCATTGCACATCCTCTGCAGACTGCATCGAGACAAGAGTGACCCTGAAGATCACTTTGCCCATCGAGAGCTTGGGCTCATCAAGAAACAGCTCGAGGTAGATCGTATCGCACTTCTAGCTGACGGCAAATGGCAAATCTTCACCAAGAAGACCTACCGAAAGCGCTTGATATTGGCGCTTATGCTCTTGGCTGGTGGACAAAACGTCGGTGTATTAGTCAGTGAGTGTTTCTTGCTTTCGATTGCCGCGCAGATTCTGTCATTATATCTTTTGCAAGCGTGCATAATGCGATTGCTTGCTGACAAGCTTTGTGAAACTTTGCAGTCAACAACTACAACACTCTGCTATACCAGTCACTTGGTCTGAGCAACTCGGAAGCATTGATCGTAGGCGCCGGCTACAACACGTGGGCTATGATTGCGAATTTTGCTGGCGCTACCGTTTCGGATCGCCTGGGAAGAAGGAAGGCGCTGCGTATGTCAATCTACTGACTGTGACGAGCGCACTTGCTAACAACCGCACAGTTGGTGGCTACGTTATCAATGTCGCTATGTTCACAGTCGCTACAGCTCTGATCGCAAAATATTCCGAAACAAATTCGAAAAGCTATGCTGCCGCAGCCTTAACGTTCTTGTTTCTCTACGTCACAGCGTAAGTCGTATCGCAGACCCTGTCGTCCATATGCTGACATCTTCTGGGTAGATATGGCGGTGCAATTGACGTCAACCAGTTTACAGTAGCCACTGAAATCTTCCCGTCGCACCTTCGCTCGATGGGCACGGGAATTGCCATGTCAGGTCTCTTCCTGGCGGATACCCTGTGGCTGCAGCTCGCTTCGACGGCAATGGCCACCATTGGCTGGAAGTACTATCTCGTCTTTCTTTGCCTGGGCGTTGTGCATACGATCTATCTCTACTTCAAACTCCCAGAGGTAAGACACCCCTTGCTTTGCTGCAAATGTGAACAAGTCGGGCTGACGTGGTTTCTTATCTCTAGACTACCGGACTCGCCTTGGAAGAGATTGATGCCCTGTTCGGCAAGGCTGTGGCAGGACATATCCAAGATGAAGGCTTGGAGAAAGTTGCAGCTACGCACTATGATGCAAAGGCAGAAGGACATCAAGAGCCAGCTACGGAGGTTCTCGCAGAGGATGCCAAAGCTTGAGCTCTGAAACGAAGGCTCCGGGTTGATGATGAGCTCATGTGGCTAGTCTACACCCCAGTCAGGACAATTGCAGACCAGGACTCAGATTCTTGAGAGATATGGATGCAAAGTTGAGAACTTCCGTAGACCTTGTTCGTCCAATAGTGTGACTCGGTAACCTCACGCGGTGCTGGGCCAACAATTCATCCTTGTGATATACATGTCCTGCGGGCAATCACCACTTCCCCGTGCTGGGGTATCCTGGAAGCTAAGCTCAGCCTTACATCCATTGGCTAATGCTTGGAATCATGATGGGATGAAAAGAAACCTTAGCTAAGCGAAGACCTTTTCTCCTTCACGTCTTTCCCCGCGTCTAAACTCGTTTCGTACTTGTTGGCTGCTTGACTTGCTTGTCAACTCCAGCGGCACGATCAAGCCATCTACCATCTCATGCATGCGTTGTCTGTTTCCGAGAATGGCGGTGACAGACATTATATCAGAGCTGGCTCGCAGAAGCCACGCATTGGAACTTCTCCTTCTCAATTTTGTAATGTGCCAACATTTCTCTCTTGTCCTCGATACTCATTAATTCACTTCGGACATCGCGCCGATTGAGTACGCCCAAGACGTTGAGGTTATCGTCGAGGACTCTTTCAGCGCCACAGTGAAACCATGGCCGACTCGGCGACTGAGGACGCGGCAAAGACCTTGTCACTCAAGAGGTCTGGCCAACAGGCCTGGGTGAGATGCCGTCGACAGAAACTCCGAGTGTGTCCAATCAACTATGTGGCAGCCTCAGCATCTAACATTTGCAGTGCGACGAAATCCGACCCTGCGCTCTGTGCCTACGCTCAGGCTTCGAATGTAAAGAAGTTGGTGAGCGTCCAAGGTCAGTAGCGGCCTCAGCAAGGTCTTCTGGCTTCTTCCGCGTCGGGAGTACTGACACCGCAGGTTAGGAAAATCAAGAAGACTCATCAACCCATTGCACTCGAACTTCTACCACGTCCACCATCAGAAATTCCTGGTGCTAACTCGGCCGAAGCCGTGAGCTTGAATGCCCAGGCCACTGGTTCCACCCAGAGTTCTATCAATCCAAAGTCAGGCTTCACAGCTATCAATTCTCAATCAGTCGCTGAGACTCAGACTTCTCCAACTTTTCATGAGCGCACTTCAACGGTACATTTGATGGAACAGGTACTGTACATGCCCTTTGCGTGCCGAAGCCAAGCTTCGAATCAAGAGCGTAACTGAAGGCAAACAGGTGTTTCAGAAGCACAAAGCTTCTCCCCCGCAGAAAAGAGTTGTTGATGCATTGCCGGGCAGCAGACTCGACGACGCGAATCCCGACAGCTCACGGGGAAATCATGTCTCGGTGCAGGAGGTCATCGGGATGCGCCTGCCTCCACGTCCGGTTACGGACTCCCTTCTTTCCTCGTATCTGAAGAACTACCACTGGCATCTGTTACTTTTCCACGCTCCCACCCTTGTGAACCAACTTCAACCTATCCTGGAGCAGGGGATCGTACCCAAAGGTCGATTATCCCTCGTCATGCTTCTCTTGGTTATCTTGACCCTTGGGGCTCGGTATGTCTCCGGCGATCCCGCACAGGGACTTTGCTCCAACAAGGATATTCGACGATTGGAGACAGCCATGAAAACCAAGATCGAAGAGAACTTCATGCGTATCCTGGATGAGACAAGTGTCGAATCCGTCACGTTCACACTGCTTTTTGCCTCTTATTGCATGTACAATCGCAAGCCAAAGCGCGCCTACAAGTTAATCCAAATGGCAATCCGAGACGCTCAAGCAATGGGTCTCGATCGAGAGTCAACATGGGGCCAGCTGGATACAACTGCCCGAGAAGTGCGTAGACGTCTTTGGTGGAGCTTGTACGGGTGCGATGGGTATGGTCAACTCTTTCAATATGAGTGATTGCTCATCTGCTAACACCTCCAGTTTCGACGCCTTGATGTTTGGGCAGCCTGGCATTATCCGCACTTCTGATTACCAAGTGCAGATGCAAACAGACATTGACGATACGCTGTTCACTTGTCCCGGCTTTGGTTCCATGGAGACCAGAGAAAGCGCAAGAACCGAGCCTGTCACCATCCTGTCATATCACCGGTACAAAGTCACGTTATACCAGATCGCAGAACCCATAACAAGGTCGGTGTATTTCCACAAGGATGCTGGCAAGAACGTAGTAAAGCATGTCCAAGACATCCACAAGAGACTTGTTCGCTGGTACAAAAGACTCCCGCCAGAGTTAAAACTGGACTCTCTCGCTGGCGCCAGCACCACTCCAGACAAGGCCTTAGCGCTCGACATTTTCAGGCGTCAAGCACTAGCTCTTCAATTGTCGTATGACAACATGCAGATAGTCCTACACCGCTCGTTGATCGCGTACGAAGATCCCTTGGGACTTTCGAGCTCCTCCACAAGCCAGCCAGAGGAGCGACACGATGGAAATGGTGCCACCCTGTCGAGTGCCGATGCAGCAGCAGTCAAGATTAGCAGAAACCAGTGTTGGGAATCTGCGATACGAACCTCACTCCTAGTCGACCACCCTACAGAACTGAAACTGGTTCGATCGACTCCTGTCGCGGCATACCTTGCCATGCAAGCACATACTGCTGGCGTGATGCTTGGAGTCTTTGCTTTGTCGAACCCGAGCTCGGACCGCGCTCAACAAGCCAAACAGGGGATTGCCCGTCTAATTCAGATGCCGGCAATGGTGAGCTTCCAGGATGCTGCTTGGCAACAATGTGTCGGCATCCTTGAAAATATGCTTCGTTTGATCCTTTCCGAGGAATTGAAGGTCCTAATGTCTGGGCAATCCGGTATCTCAGGCACAGCAACATCTCGTGTATCAGTACCGCAGGCGTTACAGAGGAACAAGCCCCACCAGCATATGTCCGTGTCCAGGCATGGCTCGGTTTCCACGCGGTCTGATGGTGATCAAAAGCACCCGTCCACACAGCTGTCCAACGGAGGTCACCTTCCAGATACCATTGATTTAACCCAGGGCAATTACTCCCCACCTGCCAATGCAGATGGCGTCCAGCAGCACAAGCTTGAGAACCCGTCGCCTAGTACCCACTCAGTATTTAGCCCCCTGGACAATTTCAGCAATGCTATATCATCGCTGCAAACGAGTAAGTAACACTGTGAATGTCGTGTTTAGATTGTGCTACTGACCAGTTCTTTCTTCAAAGTGTTCCGCGACAACGGTTCAAATGGCAGCGTTGACCATCCGGGCATTCATTCAGCCTCGTCTGTACAGCAGCGAGGTAATGTTTTCGAAAACAATCAGCAATACTCTGGCCTTGAGCCAACGGCATCGGGCAACGATCAGATGAACCAGGGACTTGAATTTGTCGACAATCCCTTTGTCTCTTTGGAGGGCGTCGATCAATTGTGGCTTTGGAATGACGATTTCTCTTTCTGGCAGCATGAGCAGGATCATTAGCAGCTTTCAGTCCACGATGTCGGCCACCGGCTGTTCCATTCAAAGAAGTTTCAGTGTGAAGCTGAGATTGGTGACTCGTGACGATGTTGCACCCTGTCGTAATGTCTCTCCTCGTATTCCCAACTTGATATTGTTTTGGAGGACTTTGAGCTGAATGACCTACAACAACAAGATAACTTCTTCCGCACTTCTCAGATAATGACAAGGAAGTTTCCGTGGCAGCTTTGATGAAGACTGCCATCATAGAAACGAATAGCGATGAACGAAATGAACAAAATGAACAAAATGAAGAGAACTTGGCGAATAAAGTGAATTCAGGGAAATTCAGGGAAATTCAGCAGATTCGGCAGATTCAGAACCGATTGAACAGCAATAGTCAGTCAGCCGTGGAATGCCTAGAATTTGACATGCTCACGCTCGCGCGCTGGCAGCATATGGATGTCAACTGTCTAATAGTGGATACTAGAAGTCCTTCCCTCCCCTCCCTATAGCCTATGCCATTGCTGCCTGCCCTTGGTGGTTACACAGCAGAGAACAGGAAATGAAGTTTTTAAGTTCTCAGCGTCTTCCTTCCCCTCCCTTGATTGGAGTCGGCTCACTGTGATATGTCGACGAGCCGACCCGCGGGGCAATATGCAAGGTGGGTTAAGCAATGGGGGTTGTCTAAGCCTGGATAAGCCACCACCGACCCCTGCAGCTCCCCTGCAGCTGGACTCGTCATGCTGAGGAGGACCGCCTAAGAAGGCACTATGGCAGGGACAATATGGAGACAGCCTTGTGGAACGCTTTGTGGTGGAATTTTTGGACAACCCCCCTGATGAGCGATCCATTGCACTCATCACCTTTGCCTGACTGCATACGTAGTGTGAGATGCGAGGATTGGACATGATGGCGACAAGGATTCTGAGATGGGCTGGTACTAGCCTCGTCTCTTGACAGAGTAGTGGCCCTCCTGCTCACCTGAGCAAGATCCGATATAAAAGAACGATGTGAATTCCTGACTTCCGCTTGCTACTATGATCTTGTAGGTGCATAGTTACGTTGGCGATAAAAGAACCAAGGTGCATCAGCAGTTGCCCTCAGCTCCTCTTCTACCACATGATAAGTACACGACGCAAGTCTAGCATCGAATCAACCGTAGCGGCAATGGACAAAGAAGGATGCTTGTCGCCGCCCAGGATGCCTGACACAATCCACATGAATGGACAGCGTATTCCACCGTTGCACGATGGGATCCCTTCTCGAGCTGTGAGTTGACCCTATCCGCCGACTCTGCGTTTGGTACCTTAACGTGTTTAGATTGGTGGCGAGCCTGTGCACGCCCACCCCAGTCCCGACCCTAAACGACACAGGGTCTTGCTTGAATGGATCATCCATGTCGCCTTCGTCGTGCTCCTCACTTTGACACCTTGGGTCTTATGCCCAAATGACACCGACAAGAAAGTATTGGCGGACGTGACGGGACTGTTCGTTTGCTTCGTGGTTCTTGTGGCGCTCCTGTCGCTGGCGCGGCCAGATAAGTTTCTTCAGAACGTGTTGGCGTAAAGTACCCATGACCAGTTGTCGCTCGTCCCCCCCAGCTGACCGAGTTTGCAGAATCTTTGCAGGGCTCCTCTTCTTCATCCAATTAGCCCAAGCACCAACTGATCGTGGATGACCATCGTGCGAGGGTACCGGATATGCTGATGATGGATGCCCATACAAAATGGTCCAAGGAACAAAAGCAGCCGGTTGAGTACAGACCGACAGCCTTGGATTAATGGGTTTCAGAAGTCTCGTGGCTCGGTTTTGAACGAGACTACCGGGAGAGAATACGTCGTATGGGTTTTGTCAATCTGCGAGCGGCCTATGCTGGGCACTGCAGCGTTGGTGATGGGGCATGTCGGGACGATATGGTTCGATCAATGAATAGGTATGTAGCTGCAATACGGCGTCTTGGACGATTTGATTTTGTGACCGAAATGTTTCAGCATAAAGCCAGTCAATAGATCCCTGATGTGGGCGGGTCATTCGCCAGGATTGCACCCCTCCGAGTCGAGGCAGTCATGTAAGGACGGTGCTTGAAGCAATAGCCTTCTATGGATTCTAGCTGTTGGGCAGGTTCCATTTGAGTTGCTTTGAAGGCGGCGTCGCGTCCGCGATGACCAGTACAGGAGGCTGCTTTTCCAACTTGACAGTTGGTGATCCCATCAACTTCGACTCCATCGAACCGTCTTCTATGTCAGCTGCGTCTGCCGAACTCGAAGGCGTTTCGGTTCCAGGCAAAACCGGTGGACTCGTGCTAGGACGTTCAATTAAACTCGGGTCAAATTGAGGATCACCAAGTATACTGCCGTCCTGGTATTCCTCTTCTTCGGACGGTGACCCGATACTAACGGGTGTGAGAGGAGCGTATGGATCGGAAGGACTAAGCGTTTCGTCACCCATTTCATCCGAGGGCAGATGCCGATGCCCTTTGAGTATTCCTTGACGCCTAGGTGACGTTCCAGTGGAATTTGCTCGTGTCACAGGTTGACTGTGTGAAGGCGTATCCAAGCCGGACAAACTCAGCCATTTCGAGCTTGGCGACCTCGCCAGAACACTCTGTACCAGCGGCAATTCTAGGTAGCTGTTTAAAGAGCCACTGGAGAAGAGCACCAAGCCCAGGCAGATCAGGATCAGGAGCATCTGCAGAATTGACATCCGTTTCTGAAAGATAACCTCATCAGCAAGAACACCAAGCCTAGCATTAATGGCCATGTTCTCTTGTTGGTATCGCTCTCGCTGCATCTCAAGCTCGATGACAGTTGACTGCCAGAGCTGGTCGTATTGCTGCCGAAAATCCCGAAGTTCATTCAATACTGTCACATTGAGATATTCCAGGAAAGAGGTAGTTTTGGCCAGCTGCCTTTGCTCGACTTTTTGAAACGCGTCACGAAGGGCGCGAGACTGCTCCTCAATGTATTGCAGAGACAGAGAGGAATTCGACTCGAGCATTTGCAGACGCTTTTGTACAGATTTGAAGAAGGATTCTTGCATGGTGGGAGCTGCAGCAGGAGCCTGTGTGGAAGAGACCGACATTCTCGTGCCATTGACGACTGTTAAGGTGGACGGAGTCGTGGTCATGGTGGAATTGCTTGACGCATCGGATTTGGTAGCGGAATTGTGTGACGTTGTTGGAGCGTCACTGGATTGCTTCATTGGTGGGCCGGATATCGATGGCGTACCTGTGCTGGTAGCGGACGATGCCGATGAGCTCGATTCTGAAACTGTCGGGTCCTTGCTCGAGGCTTGTGTTGTTGACTGTGGTTGTTCATTTCCTGCTTTCTCCTGAGTGGGATTTTCAGTGCTGTCACACACTTCCACCATCACATTTGGTAGACCTGGTTCCATGAAGATGGCAGAGAAATTGGCTGGTGACATTGGCATCATGCTTGTGGTTTCTTTGATAGAGACAGAGTGCGAGCCATCCATAGACTCATTGGCGATGTGGGATGAGGTGGTGATGGGTTTTCCTGGTATTTCTACAATACTGGGTGAGGCGTCTGGTTCGAGATTGTCGGACTTTGTCAACAATGGCTCAGCGACGGCTTCTGGTACAAGTGCATCCACTTCGCCCACTTCGGCATCATCATGTGTCTCGATATCATCCTCGTCCGCATGTAGAGATTCAAGGTCATGCTTATACTCGTCAAGCATGGTCGTGCCATGTACTCTGACCAAGCTGACGGGACAATAGTATTCATTGCCATAGTGTGAGAGGAATTCGATGCGCAAATACCGAGCCCAGATGACAGGATTTTCGACCAGGAATGCCTGGACATCACGGGTATTGCGAGCTTCGAATGTGCCCAAAGTCTTCCACTTGTCGACCTTGACTGGATATTTGTCTGAAACGCTGACTCGAAATGTGCGAAAAGTTGAACTGAAGAACTCGAAATTAGCCAGCACGATTGTGTCGATTGATATGTCATCACAGAGCTCCAGAATGATGTATTTATTCTGGGCCGAGCACTCGTTGAGCATGTAAGAGTCCTTGTTCTTTCCCAAGACTGCATTTGCGCCTTTTGCTTCCGGGTTCGTCTTTAGAATGTTCGCTGCACAATCGTAAGAAGCATAGTTGAACCTTTCTTTACAGGTGGTACCAGCGTCCCTGCTTCGAGCACCCGCTCTTGGGCCGCGCCCAGGGTCGACTGGACCACCCCGAATATCTTGACTAGCCCGAGGTTGTGCTTGTGAAGGAGGTTCAATGTTATCAGAGACGAAACCAGAAAAGTCGAGGTCTATTTCTGCGTCATCACCAAGAGCGTCAAGGGTGTCTTGAACGATTGATGGTCGTTTTTTGATCTCCCGCGGCTCACCTCCATGTGCTCTTCCAAGGTGTTCAGACTGGCCAGCTTTTTTGAGGTTCTCTTTTTTCCAATCCTCAAACGACAAGAACTTGCCATCTTCTAGAGGAGAGTCCTCATCCGTTGATTGAGGAATCGCGCTCGGAGAGGTATTGGCCTCGTCCGCGGACGGAGTTGTAAGCGTGTGCTCTGAGGCAGTCGACGGCTGATCAGTCACGGAGATGTCAGCATCCGAGCCGGTAGATTCGGCGGTCGAAGAGGATGAAGTGGAGGAATCGTTTGAAATCTCGGTCGTGGTCTGGACGGTAGATGTGAATTCGACTGTTGAACTGCCAACACCCTCAGTCGTGGTGGACGTGATGTTGACCTTTCGAGACGAAGTTAAACATTGTTGAGGTAGGCTATGAGTAATATAGTTGACGGTGCGGGAAGGACAAGTTGCAGGAGTGGAAGTGGCCGTTCCTGTCCTCGAGGTAGTCGCTATGGCGGTTTCAAAGACAGATAAGACGAGCAGAGCCTCGGTGAGAAACCACATTTCTGTCAGCGAGCCGAGAAAGACGAGGTCGAGACATTGGCAGTATGATGTTAGACGGGAGTCATAACATGCTGGTTACGCGTATCATCCTGGTGCAAATATTGGACCAAGGGGTAAGTACAATAGTCTGCAAGAGTCACGAGGGAGAATTGCGCAGGTGAAAGAAAGGCTGCACCAGGCACGAATTGACGTCAAAGTGTCCCAAATGTCGCCAAGAAAGACCCCCGGATTAGCGATTGCCCTAGCCGCTTCTAGCCTAAGTTAATGAGCTGTTTCAGCCTTATGCCCCCTGGAGACCTGCAGCCTCGGGGGGCCTCTCGCAATCGTGGTCAGTTTCGGTTTGTTTCCGGTGATACACATCCACCCTTGACCATTTCGGCGTAAGAGAGCACGAAGATCAACTTGTGTTTTCTCTATGCAGAGATCCGTCACGAGTCGACCTACCTTCCTGGTCCTAGGACAATCTGCGGCCATGTCCGGCTGGCCAAGCCGACGATAAGCCGTCGTGGCCCTCGCTTTGATATCCAGTGCGGCAGGTCTCCGAAGCACAGCATTCCTCTTCACCTCGTGTCGCGCACAGATGCGTAGTTGCTTCGTTGCGTATTGATGCTGAAGCATGGACACCCAACTGAAAGAGCTGACCGTCGCTCGAGCCCACGATGGCTACCGCAGCGGCAAATTCACCACTCGCCAAGTTGTCGAGTACTATCTCGAACGAATCCAAAAGCTGGACAAAGCCGACAGTGGGCCACACTTGAACAGCATCCTTGCCGTGTCTAGCACCGCCCTCGCCGAAGCAGACGCCTTGGACGCACACCTCAAAACCACGTCAGAGCTCAAAGGCTCTCTACACGGCATCCCAGTCGTCATCAAAGACCAAGCCGACACCAAGTGCCTCACCACCACTTATGGCTCCATCGTCGCAAAAGACAACGTCCCCAGCGAAGACGCAACGCTGGTCGCCAAATTGAAAGCCGCTGGAGCCATCGTCCTCGCGAAGACAACTATGCCAGGTATTATGCCTCGCTCCCTTCTCACCACGTTGAATATCGCAACTAACATTCGCCCACAGACTGGGCAACGTCCTGGCACTCCACGTCTTCCATGTCCGGCGTCACGCGCAACCCGTACGACCTCAAACGCGACCCCGGCGGTTCCAGCTCAGGCACAGGCACCGCAGTCGCCGCAGACCTAGGCCTCCTAGGCATCGGCGAGGACACAGGAGGCTCGATCCGCTTGCCATCCACATTCTGCGGCCTCGTCGGTCTGCGCTGTACTCCGGGTACAATCAGCCGCTACGGCCTATCTCCTCTACTCGTCCCTCAAGACACGCCAGGCCCCATGTGCCGCACCGTGACCGATGTCGCACTCATGCTCGACGCCCTAGCAGGCTTTGACGAGCGCGACCCCTACACAGCGACAGCAGTCCTCTCCGGCAAACCCGTTGGAGGCAGCTACGCCGCCAACTTCTCCGTGGACCAAATCAAATCCGCACGACTCGGCGTCCTCCGCGAGGCATTCGGTCCAGACTCCGACAAGGACTGCGCATCCGTCAACGGAGTCATCAACGGGGCGCTCTCGAAACTCGAGCAAAATGGCACAACTCTCATCGACGTCGAGATCCCGAACCTCAAGCACCTCCTAGAGATCACCTTCACGTATCCCCAGCGCTCCCGCTCCGACCTAGACGCATGGTTCGCTCGACACCCATTCCTCAACAGCACCAACACCAAAGAAATTTATGGGGCCAAACGCTACCACCCAGCCCTCGACTTGTTCGAAGACATCGCCCTGGGCACTGGCACTCCGCAAAAGGATCCCGAGTTCACGACCCGTCTGCTCGCGCGAGAAGAACTCCAACGCGCAATCATCTCGCTCATGGCCAAGCATCAATTCGACGCCCTGGCCTTCCCGGACTGCCAGATCCCAGCACCACTTCTCGACGACGTTCTCACGCAGCGCTGGCCTGCCGCCGCGTTCCCTACGAACACCCTCGTCGCATCACAGTCGCTTATGCCGGCCATATCGGTCCCGGCTGGACTGACCGAAGAGAGAGAAGGCGAGGCAACCTTACAGGTTGGATTGGAATTGCTTGGCCTGCCGTACCGAGAACAAGCATTGTTGGAGCTCGCATATGGTGTGGAACAGCTTGTGATGGGAAGACGACCGCCTCCACTGTAGATTGGTCAGAGACGTGCTGTAAGTTACATAGCGACTCACGGGACTTATAGAGTCAGCACGGATCAGGCAGGGTGGTCGCAACGACAAGGCTGCACACCCTGGATGCCAAGACCCTCTAGAGTTTCTCGGCTCTGACGGCTCTAAGTTAGTTAGGTCCTGTACCTGGGCGATCGCTAACTACAGGATTTGTCGTTATGCGTCGTGACCGAGAGTCATCCCAATCCCCCAGTCTTAGCAGGACTTATCCTGCTCGTCAAATCCCTCGTGCTCCCATTGCACAGTATGACAGGTTGCTTGCTTGCTCGGCATTTTTTGGCTGGTCTGAAGATCCATTGCCGTGATTTGCGTCACGAAGACCACCGATCGTACAACTTGCCCACCTCACGCGATATGTGACGATAGCATTCCCCTCTGGCTCTTCGTTGCGTTTCCGTACCTACTCGTACCACAGCTATGATCACGACACGGCAGATCGAAGCCCATGCGACTTCTAAATTTCTCATCATCCATACGACGCCATTTGTTACGCCACGTGGGTTTGGCCGACTGAGTCTTGCGACTCTTTCATGACGTTTTCCTTGTTCGAATGGCTGCATGATTTTGTGGCGTGGCGACCCTACTCTGACCTTCATGATGGTCCTGATGTAATCATACCTACCTACTTCTTTCGGACAGGCTAATGGTACGCGTACAAAAACTAAGCTTCATATAAGAAGCGACCAACCTCTTTAGCCATGAGCTTGTCTCGAGCCTTGGCCAGATACCCGAATCTTATTTTGACAGTTACCGAGTAACTCATCCTGGACATTTTCCGAGATTCCTGCCGGGCCCTGCAACCACTGTAGTCTTCTACACTCCTGATTTCAGCACTACTACCAAACACACCAAAAAACCAGCAGTGCCAACACAATTTCTTGGTTCTCGCACCATGTATCACCTCACCAATTCCGTCAAGGATCGCAAGGTATCCGAAGCCGGTCGCCAGGAGAATGGTGAGCTAGATCCCGGAGGCGTAAGAGATCACGTGCAATCTGGTAAAGAGATCATGACGGAGCGCACGGAGAATGCTAGACGGTAAGCATAAGCAAAGATTCGCTCCTTCATCCTCCTATGTCCACCCATGCTGAGTTGCTTTCCAGACTGAGCAACCACCCAAACTTACGGGTTGACGGTGATACGCATGCCCCAGATCACTCGAAGCCGGCTTCACAAAGACACAGAGAAGAGGTGGACCGTAAGATTGACCAAGGCATCATCGCCGACCCAGGGCGGAAACGGTCGGTGTGAGTACAAACTTTGCGGACTCATAACATGACACACTGATATCCTGAATAGGGTCCAGCAAGTAAAGGATGCAGTCAATCCTGATGAAGCTTCTTGAAGTGCCAGGAGAATTTGGACATCGGAAGATGAATGTGTCGCGGTTGTAATTTTTGAGCGCAAGCATAACGAGACATAGATGACGAGGTTGGGCTATTCGTAGATTCAAAGCAACCAGGTTATCAAGTTGCAGACTCTGGATGATGAAATGGGTAACGTAATGGTGTGTTTGGACTTCGACATGCCGAAATTTTTGCTGATCGATCCTTACGTGCTCCAAGTCCTGGGCGGAGGTAGCTCTTTCCCTTTTGTCCAGTGCCTTTGCTAGATTTGACGTCGTCAGGCATAAAAGCGACCCTCAGTAGGCATCGACACTGGCCCGGCAGAAAATGCACAATGGCCCACCAAAAGCGATTCTTCCTGTAGTGTTGAGGTATCTCTTGCTGTATGTTCATTTCCGTCCAGGCTTGTTCTTGTTTGGGCATTCGTCGAGGAAAGAAGTGAAGCAACTTCGGACGCCGCAAGATCCCGTGAAATTTGTCGACCGCCGCGTTCCGCAAGTAACCTGGCAGCAAGAGGCATGTCGGACAAATCTCCCAGTTCACCAAGAACCAGAGAGGTCGCTTGCTCCTTGTTTGCAGTTGACGTCAAGACTTCAGTCAAAATCGCCCGCGTCTCTGCTGCACCAGGACTAGTCCAGTATCCCGGGATTTCGCCCCATTTCAACTTCTTCTGGGCAATGCTTTCCGAATCACCCTTCACGCAGCTACTGTCTGCATGGCAAGCGGCCGAGATGGAGATGCTACAACTGCCCGCAATAGGCATGCCCGTCTCGAACGGCATCAACCCAAAGCTTATGAGGCCGAGTATGAGACAGCCGCCCAAAGCAATGGAGAAGATAATCGCGATGGGCGAATAGCCCAAGGTTAGAAGGTGACCGATGTTATTAGAACCGCCCGGGAATGATTGTCCGGTATAATCAATCATTGTGATATTGACAACGAAGATGCTTTGCGAAACAAGCCAATGGAACAGAAGACTGAAGATGACCAGCGGCAAGCTGAAACGGTACGGGAGCTGCAGGAAATACCCGGATCGTTGAGCGCCCCGTGGTTGCGACGAAGATATCCTCAGTCCTTTGCGCTCGACTGCGTACGAGTCCCACTCGCTGGCCAGCAGCATGCACGTGAACAGCCCGTTGTAGGTGAAATACAGCAGCGAGAGAATCAGCTGCGCAATGTTTGCCGTGAGCGCGTTGCGGATTAGTGCTGTCGCACCTCCAGCCTTTCCAGAAGCTACGGCTGAATTCTGCACGAGTGTCCGACCGCTGACGGTACCAAACCCGACGGCCCACAATGAAGACAGGGACTTGGACCCCAGCATCGAGTTCAGTCCTGTGCCGGGATATCCCGCTGCCGTGGCCAGGCCAGCGATGTACAGCAGCAGACAAACCAGCCAGCGTCGGGTACTGACAGCTTTTGCCCACCGACGGCGTCGGGCGTCGTATCTGGTAGGTTGGCGGATTTTTGTGTACTCAGATGAATCAGAATGGGTACTTCTAATCTCGGATCCGGATACCAGACCGACCGCCTTGGCGGAATGGTCAGGCTTTTCCAGAAAGCTCGCCACAGCGTCGCCGGCCGTGAGAAGAGGTGGGTCGTTTCGGGTGTCGAAAGCGACAAAGACCGTCAGCAACATCATGGTCAACTTGACAAAGTTGAGCACCACCACAGCGATTGCTATATCGGCACTGAACTGCAGCTTACACTTCTCCTGGGTCGCCTCGGCGAGGCAGTAATGGACTTTCGGCCCCAAAGGCGCCCACGTCGAATTGGCTTCGGTTTGCCGCAGGATCTGTGGTTCGTCACACGATCTATCGCACTGGTCCAGGTATCCTGTTTGCACGGTACCATTCATACCACAAGTCCACGAAAAGGCTTGGGATTGTCCACAAGTATAGTCGGAGTAGAATCTAGCGAGTACGTAGGTCACCAAATCGGTCGCATTGTTGTCGATGGTAAGGCCGCTGTAGTAAAGGTAAGGATCGGTTATATTTCGATTCACGTCTGGGTCTGAGACGAGAAGGACATTACGATAAGTAGACTGGAAAGTTCGGGTGTATGCTCTGATGCACTCGTCTTTAGTCAGGTTGACTAGCCGTCCTTCATTTGCATCTTGGCGCAGACGATCTGCGAGTTTCGCCATGTCATTGATGGGAACATCCAATCTGCTGGTCACGATACCACTGCGGAGCAGATAGCTGATGTCTGCATAATTGGAGCTCGAAGTGTTTTGGATGGTTGGAAATTCGGAATCGACTCCGAAGGCGACATAGTTGTTTGACGATGTCGACGTGAAAAGAGCAGAATTGTACCTGATGCGAACTTGATTAGCTTGTGGAATGCACATGATTGTGGGACGATGTTCTTACAAAAGATGCAATGGAAGAGAGGATATTCCCAATATCAGCCATAGTATCAGCCTTTTTCGTGGGATATGCTGCAAGTTGTGAATGCTTGGGACACCGATATCCAGCCATCTCGCTCGAGCGTGCGACCGATCAATGTCGGATCTTGTAGGGGCCGAAAGACACTGCATACAGTAATTGCTGCCACTCAACAGCACAGTACTGAGCAAGTTGATGACCAAATGTGCCCATCTATTCAATGTCTGGATCTCGGTGCATGCGCTATCATCACTGCCTTCACGTAGAATGATTGCGCCGTCATCATCATCAGCGTTGCCATTCTGACGACTGTGCTGGACCGCCCAGATCAGAACGCCTAGGTTGACGGCAAATACAAGGGTGCAGAAGATGCAGAAGAGTGAAGCGCTGCCTTGCCAGCCTTTAGGCAGCATGTTGAGCGGCGCGCACAAGGTGTCATAGGCGGCTGGCAGCAACGGCAGCAGCGAACGCAGATATGCTTGAATCGCTGTCCTAAAGTTGAAGGCATGAGACGTCCGTGCTATCTAGGCAAAAGTGCTGTGCTGTGGCACGGCTTCAGCGGCTGGTGAGGCACAAGAGGGGTGCGTGTCGCCCCCAAAAGTTGGGGCCAAATTGGCGTGTTTCAGAATCGCAACAAGGACCGCTTGCGTTGCAGAGCTGTTGCAGAAAACCATCAAAGAATGCTAGCTTGTCTCCCGCTCAGAACTCCAGAAAGCTTGCCAACACAATGATTGCTGCTACAATGCTCACCACAGATGCAGAATTTTGCCTGGCGGCACCAGTGTAGGTCTGCCAGGGGTTCACGGGGTCGGCGCTGGTGGTCGGGCTGCTTGTCGATGGCTTCACAGGTGTTAAGCTGATGGTAACCGTGTTTGTTTGGGCAGCGGCGGTCGTCGTTTGTTCCCACGATCCGGTGCTTACGCCTGGATCATTCTGGTCCGTCCAGGATGGGTTTGCGGCACTCGTCGTGACCATATCGTCATCTGACGAGACAATATCGCCCGAGTTGGTCTTCGGTTTGACAGAGGTCGAGGCTGACCATGTGTGATCGGTTGCAGTCGTCTTCAAAGGGTCCCAGCCGGACGAGGTAGGCTCGGTGACTGTTGCAGCCCAGTCAGACCATGTTGGATCCGCTGGCGTTTTCGTCGTGGTCGAAACCGCCCAATCACTCCAGGTAGGGTCGGCAGAGCCTTTGGCCTTGGAAGCCGACCAATCTGCCCAGGTCGAGTCAGCTTGATTGGTTGAACTGGGATTATTCTTCCTTTTTGTCGTGCTGGTAGCAGTACTGTCATGCCATGCAGGATTAGCTCCAGAGGCAGTCGTCTTTGCATCGTTCCCTGTCAACATCGTAGTAGTGGTCCAGTCGAGCCATGATTGGCGGGTATTGACGGAATCCTTCGTCGAGGCCACTGTTGTAGTCATAGTCCAAGGTTCAGATGTGGTGCCAGTCGAGACTGGGAGGACTGGCGTACACCAAGATGGTATCGTCCAGCTGCTTGTCGCAGATGTAGTTGTCCAGGTTGAGGGTGATGAGCTCGAGGATTCCCATGTCGCAGAGAATGTAGTTGTCATTGTTGATGCTGTAGTCAGAGCGGTCAACGAAGACGACATTGTGGTGGCCGTACTGAATGCTGAATTGGACTCGGAAGCATCTCGGCGAAGTAGCCCGTAAACATCACGCTGAGCATGTCGGAGAGCTTCAGGATACTGGAAGTCAAGCAATGGCTCCCTGTTCGCGAGAGCTGCAAGGGCGGCCACTGCATCCTCGTACTCCTCGTCCTCCGGAGTTGTCCTTCTGAGTTTCATTGAGGCGAGAGCAGAGAATGCAGGTTTATCGGGATTAGCGATCGTACTAATATCTGGAATCACTCCGGTGTCGAGATATGCTTTGATGGTTTGGTAGACTTATTTGGAGGGATCGCGGGTGGAACAATGCTAAGAAAGGCGAAGTCAGCAAAGTTCGAAACTTACGTGCAGACGTGTATCTTACCCCAATACCAGTGTGCCATTGGATACCGCTACCAACAAAACCGGCACTGGAATTGCGAGCAGATTCCGACAGAGTGACGGGATCGTATAAGCCTTCCACGAAAAGAACAGGCGTCTTGGTGACGACGCCTTCGAAGCTGGGTGCTTTTTCCTTGGCATCAACCAGCCAAGTGGAACAAGCAAAGAGAATGGGGCTCATCGTCTCTCCGCCATACTGGCTCCTATTGTTGTAGATAGCTTGCCACTCTTTGAACTTGGCTCCACTGACATCGGAGAAGCGATCAGCATCGCCACAGGTAATTGCAGTGAGGATCTGAGACTCGGTGTCGGCGATTGGGCCGGCGGTCGTGGGATCAAACGGTGGTGTTGCGCGACGTTGAGTAGCGGGTACGGCCGTGCGATTGTTGTACACATATGCCCACTTGTTGGTCCACTTGGCCCACAGGCGTGGCCCTTGGAAGATGACTTGCTGCATGATGCCTTGAAAGTCGCTGAAGTCGATTTTGTTACCTTGGGCATCGCTTGCCGTGAACTTTCCAGCCACCAAGTCCTGATAGAAGGACCATTGTTCCTCAAGGAGTTCTTCGCCGGTCAGCCCGTCATGCGCGATGAGACACTGTGCAGGACTTGCCTGTGCGCACAGCTCGAGAAAATGTTCTAGTGCTGCGTCGTAGTCGGCGACCGCTTCGTCGCCCCTAACACAGTTAGTAAGTGGAAGAGTTACCGCGCCCTTTTGTTCTCTTCGTGACGGGTACAAGGCTTATCTTTTACAGGATCTGGCCATACTCGCAATTTCCTGGGACTGAATTTCGAGCAGCGCCCAACGCCGGTGCATGGTCACTTGGAGTACCTTTTGTACCTAGGTGCTGTCCGTGCACACCACTACAGGCAGCCACATCATATGGTTTCCAGCAGCGCGGCCAAATACCCGTACACATGTGGAATTCACTCCATTATATCTGATGGTCTTCAATAGGAAGAAGCGCAGATCAAACAGGTGACCCCAATAGCGCAAGCAACGGGGACAATTACTTGCGAGCTGGGGCAATGTACTGTAAAACACCGGGTGCCAGGCTTACCGCATTTTAGGGCAACACACTTACACTTCGGACATTTGGAGGAAGGGTCCCAATAGCGCTCTCGACGTGAGGCGAAATTGCTCCATGCGTCGTCTGTCACGTCGGTATGCCTGAGGAAATCGATAAAGCAAGAGATAGCCAGCCTCGCCAGGTGGCAGATGTTGGCCCATACTCTGTACAACATGAATCAACAGGAAGAATCAAAGGTGACAGCGGCTGAGCGGCATCGAGGCCCCCTGAAAAACTTGGCGAACTAACTTAGTTGATCTTAGTGAGTGAGGCTAGAGCCACACGTGATTTCAGCCTCGTTGCCTTGAAATCTGCTGGTACTCAGCCTTGTCCGGTTTCATGCCAATCCGCTTGAATTGCATAGCTGTGTGAAGCTATCCAGTGTGAAACACACGAAGCAAAATCATAAAGAGTCACTGGCTGGCGTCCAAGCGGCACGAGACAAAGAAATCTGAAGCAAGATTGACTGATGATGCACGAGTATGGCAGTCGATTCTTCACTAAAATCGTAAAGACATGGAACAAGTTGGATCAATTTGCAGCGGAAGGCTGCTCCAGCACCAATCAACTGTGCATCGGTTCTTGGTGAATCATACTATGGTACAAGCTCACATGAATATGTGCGTTGAAGTTGCTTTGCATCAAATCGAATCGCCACTGACAACTGCGCATCAGCGTTCCGCCAGCATCGATATCCGACCTTCACTCGTCATCCTCCGGGTCCAAGAATACCAGCTTGCCATCCTGGTTTGAAATTCGTTCGTCCAGAGGAATATGGCGGTAAGTCCAGTTCCCCCTCGCGTTCTGCAATTCATCCTCGAGCCAACCGCTTCGGGTGGTGGCCTGGATCATGCCTGCAGATGTGCTGAAATTCCCGCCCTTGCGCCAGACGAAATGTCCGTTGTCATTCGCCAGGCAGCTATCCAACGCCAGTTTTGAAGGTCGATATTTGCCGTTTAAGTTCCGACATTCTGCAAGCAGTTCCTACTCCCGGTTCATTACCCAATTTCGTGAGGAATGCGTAAAGTTGCCATACAACACCGTGCCGCTGGTGTCTTCCTCATCATCGTCACTCTCACTGTCGCTCTCATCTGGATTATCAGCGTAATTGTACATGTCGGAGTCGCTTGAATGGTCGAGATATTCGTCATACTCCAAGACCTGCCCCTGTTGTCGAGCCACCTTTCTCTCAGCGTGCTTTTTCTCCCAAACCGACGCCTCCCGCTTAAGAAATTCAAGACCGGTCAGGTCATCTAACGCGGAAGCATGCAGCAAGCTCCTGCCGGCTTCATCTTCCAGTTTCCAGAGAACGTAATTAGCTTTGACGGACGCTTTAACTTCCTCAGGAAGCTCATCGAAGGTCAGGACATAAGGGTTGCTGACGCCCACACCTCCGAATCTGCACTCTTGTCTGAAGTAGTTCGCCGGCAATCTATTCCCTTCTGTTGTTGTGAGCCAGAAATGGCCTTCGACGTGCATCGCCGGGTTGTCGTCGAGTCCAAAAAGTTCCGTCTCTTGCCCGTTTTTGCCCAGGTACCGTATAGCAGTCCAACCCGCACCGTACCATCTTGCGCCCTGTTGGCTGAGATGAATGTGTTTAGGGTGCTTGACTTGTTCGGGCACAGGATACAGCACGGTTTCAAAAACAGTGTCGTATTCGATGGACCGATGGGCCTTCTTGACGCCAAACCCGCGTGACTCGCTGATGATGGTACATTGCAGGAAATTCCGATCAAGCCCCTGGCTGGCCATACCTGTCTGAATTGCGGGTATCAAATGCTTGAGGAGCTGTTCGGTGTCGTCGGTTTGCACATGTTCCCCCCATTCGTTTCCACCCTCAAACGGCACAGGGCAGTGAATGTCTCGATACCGGGTAACTGAGCCTATGGTGTTCACGACCATGGTGCCATCTCCTCTGACGTCAGTTGTGGTGTTGATGGCATCCGGTGAGTCGGGGATCATACGCTCACACAAGCGCTTCAGCCGTAGACGAATGTTCTGGAGAGAAGGTAGAAGCTTCGCTATTGAAGGACACAGGTGACTTGATTCACGGTCGGATCTTGACTATCCCAAGCACATTCCGTGTCAAGCTCAAGATGTCGCACCGACGCAGGCAAGGACTCGAGTATCGCGTGGATGTCTTGACCTCTGATCCAAAATCCATGAACATATCCCTCATTGACCGAAGTCACAACAAGGCTGAAGCCAGAGGACTTCACAGCATGGTACGTTCATGGCACTCTTAGTAGACTCGCGGACAATCATCGAGAGCTGGATCACTAGATACTAGTCGTCATGCAACCAAGCTGCAATATTCACGCTGATACACATTGCGGTCAACGCTGCAGCTGGACTGCCACAGCACGTTTGAAGCTAAGTGCATGGTCTTGACCTATGTTGTGAGTGGTTCTCTAGACACCGTAGTCATTGTAGAGCGACTCGTGTCATGCTCAATGGCCCTGAAGACCTGTTAAGAGACGAGCATCGTAGCAGTCAACATGCAGCCAGTCAGCCGGAAAGGTTATATCCTTGGTACCAAGTGACTCGAGGATTCCTTCGTAAAGCTGAACACGAGCTGAAGTCGAAGTTTTGGCCAAGCACCGCAAGTATTTTCCGCACCAATCCAAGCACTTTCTTGGCGTGATGTCATGTTGCCATATGCGGTAATCCTAATTGCCTAATCGGGACAGTTCTTTGGTTTTCATCCACCGACAACAGGCCAAGTCTCAATATTTAAAAAATTCCAAATTTCAATTTCTCCTTCCAATATTATTTCCCGTCTTCGTCGAAAGGCTTGTTGAGAGCAACAGAAGCGGTAAACACGTCGGTACTACTGTGGATAGTCATCTTGCTGTTGACTATGGGTCTGTGCCAACATTTTGATCAAATTGAGGCCATTGGGAAGGCCAAGTTATCAAGGACAAAGTGATGAAAAGTCCTTCCCGTAAGGAGCGAGGGACTTCGTCTTTCGTGGTCGATTGAACTCTTTCTCTCAAAGTCTTCATGGACACGACACCCTGGGGCTTTTTTGCGAGACAGTCACGAAATGTGAGGAAATCGCGGCAAGTTGCTCATATCTTGAATCTGAAGCGTGTTGGTTGCGAACAACTGCTTCAGTCTCAAATGCGACGAAACTCTCCACAGGTATTTCTTTCCCCTAACAAGCTACTTTCACCGGTAAGTTCGCTGCTCTGACACCTGCTTGTTATGCCCTCTCACAATACTTACCTCAATCCGCTTCACCTTCACTGCCGTGCTACATTGCCTTGGAGACAGATCGACTGCCTTGATGTGGGTGTCACTTGACATTATCATGCTTCCAACATTCTTGCCGTTGACCACTGCCGAGAAGATTATCTTAATAGCGAGGTTCTCCCTCTCTGAAGACATGAAAGCAATCGTTTCTCCCGTCCAATCTGGCGACTGAGAAGCCGGAGAAAACACACCATCATGGCGTCATCCAACCCAGAACTGTCATTCGGCACTGAAGTCATTTCACGCAGCTTTTCTCTGAGACGATATCTGCAGCACCAGCCCGTCGACTCTCCACGCGTTGTTCCGCGCCCAATAAATATCCGGGATATTCGTGGAGTCATTGCGCCAGCACCCCTCAGCCCGATCCCAGAGCTTGTACGGCGCAGAATCTTTGTCAGCCGCGCGGCTTTTACGTCTCTCGAGGTCCGGTGGCTGATGGATGTACTGATTGAAAGTCTACAAGAATTTGGACGATTGGCCATGAAAGCATCACCCTCTGTCAGAATCCAGCTACACATACCACAAGACATAAAGACCGCCGCGCAGATCAAGAAGATGCAAGCCGCACTTGCACTGCTCCTACGACAAGTGCCACTTCTGAGGGCCGAACGTGAGAGGTTGAATGCACTGGCAGGTAGCGAAGCTACATGGGACGATGTTAATCAGCTGGCTGTTCCTCTCGAGTCAATGGCGAGTATCATGCGGCTCAGGGACGGAATTCCACCGCGGTTCGTGCACAAGAAGACCGAGATTGCGTATCTCAAAGCCGCAATGGACCTAGCCGCAAACAAGGCGGCTCAGGAGTGAGAGAATACGCATGCAAGGAAAATCACAAATACTAGGGCTTCAAACATACGCTGGCTAATGGGCTGAATTTGAGAATTAAAGGCCCCAACGGACGGGATGGCAGGTGCGGCGTTGAGTGCTGGACTCTTTCTCAAGTATCGGAGACCAGGTTTGACATTGATGAGGGGCATGGACTGTGGTGATTCAGGGATGGTGAGCGAAAACAATCTAGAAATGGCGATTAACGAGGTGTGGTCGAGCTCTGGTGCGCGCGGATCGGTTTGGTGAACTACAACGGGGCTGTTTCATGGAGTCTTTTCCTTCCAGTCAATCAAGTCTGCCTACATGCGGATCGTGAGGGTTGTCTTGCTCTTTTTGATGCTTTACAGTAAAGGGAGTAGATACCTAGATTTTCTGTTGAATGTTGATTGTATTATCCATCCGATCCACCAAGCGCCAACCGGCTCTCGAGGTAATTAACTTATATCCTCTCCCGCATTATTCGTTAAGAAAAATTGATGTAGCGCCGTAATATCCTAAAATGATATCCGGCGGCTCATCAGAACGACCTCTGACTCGGAATGTTCCTATAATCGGCAATTTGTCCACCAATTCTCAACAGCTCACGGTTGCGGCTGAGGACCAGGTCCTATCTCTTTTGACCTTACGGCTAGATACGCCCTATATTTTCAAGTTTGCACCTGTTTAATTATGCCGAAAGTATGCTCCGTCAGACTTTCACAGTCTGCTTTGCCGTATCCTTCCCTTTCACACTTCTCCATTCTGACAACAAAGCCGCAAAGAAGCCACAAGCCGAAGCTCCAGCCGCAACATAGAACGTGCTTGTTATAGCCTTGTTATATGCAGCCAGAACGGCAGGAAGCTCTTCCTTCGTAACAAAACCTCGAACGGCAGATGTACCCAGTCGCAACAAGGTTGAAGCGTCGACCTGAGGCACGTTTTTAGTAAGTTCGCTCACAAGCGTGTTGGTGAAGACGGTCTGCGCAATGGCAAGAAAGACTGAGGATCCGAAAAATTGAAAGAAAGTGACCAGGGAGATGCCAACGCCCGCTTCTTCAGTTGTCAGCACGGTTTGGGCCGCGGTCAACGGCGTCTCCATGCTGAAGCCGTAGCCGAGACCACTGAGAACTTGAAATCCGATCCAGACCGCGTGGCCGCTGTGCACCTTGAAAGTGGAAAATAAACCGGCTCCGATCGATGTGAAGACGCAGCCAGCTAGAATCCAAGGGTTGCAGTAACCTATTTTGGTGATCATCGTGCCTGCAGTGATGGACCCAATGATTTGCGGCACGAAGAGGGCAATGTTCATCACACCGCTCTTGACGGGCGACGCGCCTTTGATGACTTGGAACCACTCGGGGATGTAGTAGATGACGACGAATAATGATCCGAAAACGCACATGGAGGTCAAACTGCTGGAGATGATGGTTCTCCTGCCCAGAAGCCCCAGGGGAATCATGGCGCCGGCGTCCCGATGCAGCTGCCATGTGATGAAGACCAAAAGCATGCCTCCGAAGCCGCAAAATAGACCAATGATTGTTGCGGACTTCCAGGGGTATTCATTTCCACCCCACTGCAACGCGAGCAGTACCATGATTATTGCGGGGAGGAATAAGAAAGCGCCAACGATGTCAAGCTTCTTTGCTCTTTCTATCAGCGGCCGTTGTTTGTTCGGCCGAACGGGAGGATGAAAGAAGGTGACAAGGGCAATTGCGGTGACGGCTCCGAGAGGAAGATTGATGTAGAAACACCACCTCCAAGACACTCTTTGCGTAAGTGCGCCACCGATCAAAGGGCCACTTATGGTTGAAATTCCCATGGTTGCACCTCCCACAGCCATGTAGCCTATACGACATCAGTACGGAATATTGTCAACAAGGTCGGTGAACCAACCAGCACGCTGTTTAAGAGGAATGGTGTGGGCTATGATGGTCATGATTCCAGATACGATGCCAGATCCTCCTGCACCTGCTACTGCTCGAGCCACGATGAGCATGTTGGAGCTGGTCGCAACGGCGCAAATGAGGCTGCCCAGTTCGAAAACCGCAAAGAATCCAAGGAATGTCCACTGTAGCCTATATGTCAGCCCATGGGTTATGAATATCAATGGACGACTTCATACCTTGAGAGAAAACTCGGAGTAGAGCTTGCCCCCCAAAGGTAGGAGTGCGCAACTGCAGAGCCGTTAGACATTTGCAATATTCGGTATGGATTGACCACTTACAGCGACAGAAAGTAGGCACTTCCATACCAGCCAATGTCTGTTGTCGAGTTGAAAGTCTTGGTGATCCTTGGGATTGCCTGTGAGAGAAGTAAGTCCTGACCAATGGATGAGACTTGGACTGCATTTGCTCACGGTGGACACTATGGAGGTATCGAGGCCCAGGAGGAAGAGTGCCAGACACAGACCAGCAATGAGAAGACCAAGCTTCGGTCCCGACATGTAGTATTCTTTTCCATTGGACTCGACAGAGCCATCCTCGTTCTTGGTGAGTGTGGCATCTCCAGGACTCGGTGTCCCTTCAGCTGGCGATTTGAGCTCTGTTCCCTGGGACAATGACATGCTGTTTCGAACAAGCAGGAACTAGTACTGGATGAATATGATTTCACGCAAACACGATGCTGGGAGAAAAGTCAAACCGTACAAAACATTGACTTCTTATAGGAGCCGGAGCAGGAGAATAAGGAGGGGTTAGCGTCGCATAACGAGTGTCGTGACGACTCAATAGTGAGTCACTATATTTGTAAGGAGCCATTTGTCATCACAGCTTCGGTGCGAGATTATTTTGTTCAAGCTGAGAAATGCGTGTTGGTTGTTCCTATAGAAGTGGATATCGCGTGGTTGAACGGGATGAACGGAGCTTCCGTCGGCAACGGAAAATCCATGAGACCGGCAGCGGAAAATCCATCGACGCCGTCTCTATTTGGAGTTCGACCTCCTCTCTCGCCTTTCTGATTTCTGTCATCGAAGCCATCATGTCGCAACGAACGGAGCCGCCGTCGGACCCTGGCGTGAGAAGAAGGGCCTGCACCAATTGTACTGTGGGCAAAGCCAAGTGCACCCCTTTCTCGCCTGACGAGTGTGAACGGTGCCACAGACTAGGCAAAGAGTGTCACTATGCCAGTCTTGCAACTAGGCGTAGAAAACCGCAGTCAAACTCGTAAGTTGTCTTGCATTGTCGCTTTTGATGATATTAGGGAGAGGTTACTGAGACGCGCCAGGCGTCTGCAGGTGCTCGAGCGCCAAGTGAGAGAATTGGCGGCACGACAACGCTATTCGCCTCGCCAGCCACCGAATGTAATGTCCATAGGTTTGTATAATTCTGATTCCAGCAGTTTTGCAACCTCCGATACGTTACAATGGCCTACCTCAACGGGCACTCCAAGCAGTGCAGAGCTGGTGGTTAGCCAGTCGTCCCGGGTCTCTCCAACGAGAGCCAGCAACAGTAGAAGACACACTGCAGATATCATCGATCGTGGTGTGGTGACTAAAGAAATGGCACAAACCCTGTTGGATCGATTTCGCGACAATGCTACTGAACAATTCCCCTTTGTCGTTATCCCTGCCGGAGCGTCACTGGATTCGGTTCGACAAGAGAGCCCTTTCCTCTTTCTCGTTGTAGTAGCTACGATGCTATTCGACGACCCCTCCTTGCAACATCAACTTGGGGAAGATGTCCGCGAGCAAGCCTTACATCGAATTCTCTTGGGGGCTGAGAAGAGTCTAGACCTTCTTCAAGGCCTGCTCGTCTACACTACCTGGTACTGTCATTTCTACCAAGCAGACAAGCATCAAGAACTATTGATGTCACAACTATGTGTCACGCTTGCCCACGACCTGGGCATTAGCAAGAACAAGCGGCAACCAAGCGATAATCGGCCCCAGTGCAAGCCAATCGCAGAGATAGACCTGAGCCTTTCGCTTGCCAACGCGCAAATGCGGGCTTATCTGGGCACGTATTGTGTTTCTTGCTTGTACGTATCCTCTATCCACAAGAGCAAAACGTGATAACTAACGCTGACACCACCTGTGAAGAGTAGCATCGATTCTCCGAAACCGTACCGCCTTACCCTACACCAAATACGTGAGCCACTGCTGTCAGTCGTTAGCGGGTGTAAAAGAGTATGCAACCGACGAATTGATTCCGCATCTTGTACGAAGCCAAAGATTATCGCGGCTCATTGCCGACACATTCTCCTTTGACGACCTAAGCAATGGTGACATGCGAGGAGAATTTATCCTGACATTGACTTCGGATGCTTTCCTTCGAGATGTCGATGCCCTGCGGCTGGAGGTACCTCCACACTTCCAGAAGAACAGTAAGACTACTCTTCCATCCATATGACTGCCACCACTCCCGAGAGTTGCTGATCCAAACCGCAGCTCTTCTAGACCTTGAGTTTCACTTTCTCCGTATGATGACCAATGAAATTGCCTTGCATGCTGAGTTCTGGACTTCGGCAAACGGTTCGGAACATCAAGCTCGACCTGACTCGAGTGGCCTTTTACTTACGAGGTCGAAAATGCTCTGGAGCTCCTTGAACAGTTGCAAAGAGTTCATACACACTTTCCTGGCTCTCCGAAACGAACATCTATTCTACTTGACCGCCTTCGTATATCCCAGATTGTATTCCGTCTTCATCACTCTCGCCAGGTTGGTGTTTGCCGAGTTTGGCAGCACAGGTACGAGCAGCACGGATCAATCAGAAGACATCCGGGACTTCCAAAGCTCCTCTTGGAGCACGCTGAGTGTTGCAAAGGAAGCCGATTTCCTTCACTTGGCCAAAGAGGTCCTGGAAAAGTTCACTGCCGTTGCGAAGGACTACGTTGGCGCCGATGGGAAGCCGGATGCCATGTCTAACTTCGCGTCTGCAATGCGGATACTGATATCAGGCTATGAGCAGCAGATGAACGACAAACAAAGAGCTTCTAAGAGGTCGGAGACTGTGCATCCAGCAGACGGAAGAGCACAGGAGCCTGCTGGTACGGCGGTCGATCTTAGTGCGTATTCACCTGGCCAGGGTATAGGTAATGGCAGCGGAGGTAGTGGCATCTTTGACATGCCGGCGTTCGCATGGGATTCGCCCACTCGAATGGCTTGGGATGATATGTTGGAGACTTTCACCATGGGTCCATTCTCGTAGGGGTCAATTTGGGCGGGGAAGGAATACGGCCTTCCGTCAAGTCATATAGCAAGAAGTTTGGGTGGTATTATCGCGGTGACGATGTATAACTTACGATGTCTGAATTTTGTATGACCCTACTAGTCTCTGGTAAGGTCGACTCTGTACGATCCTATGGCTTGTACTCTGAGAAATCCCGGCCGATTGCAACAGTCTGGCACTCTCCAGCATAGCTTCCATGACCGACCGCAGGACGCTTTTAAAAGCCGCGGTGATTGACTTCTCACAGATGTACCAGTACTATTATCTGGCATTAACCGGCTCCGAGTTCCCAAGAGACCCCTTCATTGGCGAGCCAGACTCTCATATTCACAGAATCTGATGTTGGCTTGGTCGCTGTTCACGAAGGTTGCTCCGGTCTCAGTTTACATCGAGATCCGCGTCGGCATTGCTTGTTACCGGGGCTGTCATTCCGTGAGATCCACATGATGATGTACGTCGCTTCTCATTAGGAGGGCAGAGGCCTGGAGCTTTACTCTCTTGGTCTCGTATCGCTAAATCTGGCTTAGCACCGATTTGACAGGGAATGAAGTTTATATCGTTGGATGGGACTTTGCGAGAGGTTCATCTGGTTCAGGGACGGGCTTTCACCAGAATATAAAGGACGCCATCCCCTGCAGCGCTCTTGTGCCCGACTAGTATTTCTTTCTGTCATGAGGCTAAAGATGGTTACCCTCACTGAAGTCATCGCGTCAAATAAACGCATCACTTCCACGTTTCCCAACGGTCTTGTTGCTGTTTTCGTCGGGGGCACCAGCGGCGTAGGTGAGTACACGGTCAAGAAGTTCGCCAAGTATACTAGTACTCTCATCTCCCGGGTCTACATCGTCGGCCGATCCCAGGAGGCTGCCGACCGCATCCTGGCGGATTGCAGGCTGCTCAGTCCCGGCAGCAAGTTCGAGTTCATCAAGGCGGACGTGAGCCTCCTGAAAGAGGTCGACCAAGTATGCAAGTACATCAAAAGCAAGGAATCAAAGATCAACATCCTCTTCCTGACTCAAGCGTCCATGGCTTTCAAGTCGAGTACGTCTGGTTCCTCGCTTACGCAGACTTTTTCAAACAAAACTAACAGTCTACAGCCACATCTGAAGGGTTGCCTCTTTCTGCCGGTCTTATGATGCACTCACGCCCGCGATTCGTCCTCAATCTTCTGCCTCTGATCCAGAGTGCGAACTCACTGCGCAGGGTCGTGAGCGTTGGAGCGGCGACCTTTGGGGGCAAGATTGATTTGGACAATATGTCTAGCCAAGGGTTTCCCCTGCTCAAGATGCGCGACCAAAACGCGGCCATACAGTCGCTGCTACTGCAAAAGATGGCCCGGGAGGCACCAGAAGTCGGCTTCATACACTCATGCCCCGGTGTCGTCAAGAGTGGCATCATGCGCGAGGCTCATACGGACGTGAGTCCTGGACTGCGGATGATCATTTTCATATCTGGTCTCCTCTCACCCTTCATACAAGTCCCGCCCGACGAGTGTGGTGAGCGGAACCTCTTCATGGCTACTAGTGCCAGGTATCCGCCGCGTGAAGGCGGTGCTGCTGTCGCCGGCGTGTCGTTGAGTCAGAACCTGGCCGAAGCGAGGGGCGCTGACGGACAGGTCGGCAGTGGAATGTACTCAGTGAACACCAAGGGCGAGAGTGCGCCGCCCAAGGTTGAGAAGGTGCTTCAGGAATACTGGGATAATGGCACGGCGGAAAAGGTGTGGGAGCACATTGCGGCAGACTTCAAGAGGATCACTGGAACGGAAGTGGGAGCCTAGCACGGGCTGGCGAGAAGAATACTAGCGATGGTGAGCATTTACTGTGGTACCTGCTCCATCAAGAGCGCTATACCCATTTCAGCTCGTATCGCCGTACTTGGATTAGCGCCGGCTGAAGGGACGGAGATAAGATGTTCCGGCCTGGGCTACTACTCCGTGCTCACTCGTGCTGTCGAGGCTGTATGGTCTCCATCCACATCGTCAACGTCTTGTGGCCATCTTCCTTTGAGATAGCGTTGCTGCCGAGTCTCCGCTGGAAAATCTGGACACAAATCCTGTCCAGTGTTGCCATCTCTCGTAATGTTGTCAGAACGAGCCAAATCTGCACCTAAGCCCGCACTCCAAAACTTCACCAACATCTTTGTTCTCTCATCGGAACCAAGCTCGGAGCATGGCTTGCTCGAGGTTCCCAAGGCCTTGGAGATTGATCCACTCAGGCAACGGCGGGCTCATCAGAAGTCTAGGTTCGGTTGCGACAACTGCAGGAGGCGTCGAGTCAAGGTCCGTATTAGTAGTCCTCGCGCAGACTACGAATAGTCGTAGTATGCTGAAGCTCCTCAACGCTGACATGTGTGCTGTAGTGCAACGAAGAATCACCATGTACAAGTTGTACTCGAAGGAGCGAAGTCTGCCATCAACCAACCAGGCGATCCAATAAAGTCGGCACGATCCCATCCATGCCTTCAAATTCCTACCCCAGCATTGTTCCAAGCTCGACCAAAGACAACGTGAACCTTCTCCACATGGAACTATTCCACCACTTTTCCACACGCACGATTCAGACGCTCGTGGGCGGTCCTGAATTCTGGAATGACGCACTCCAGCTGACCATCCGATTCGACTACGTGGTGAACGCCATGATGTGCGTTGCGGCGCGGCATCTCGCCGTCCTACGGCCTGGCGACGCCACATACCCGGCAGCGGCAAGTGGACACCTGAGTCGGACATTGTCAAGATTCCGCCATGAGATGTCCCGACCCTTTCCCTCAATGCATCTCGACGCCTTCATAGTCACCTCGCTCTTGCTCCACTACGAGATATGGATCAGTACCGACTTCACATCATCGCCCCACAGCAACAGCGGCGATGGAAACGCCACTACCACTGGTACTTCTAGTGGTACTAGTAGTAATAGTCCAACCGACCCCTTACAAGATAGCCTCTTCTCATATTGCTCGAGCATGAAGCAAGTCTTCCTGAAATGCGTGCCGCACGCGCTGGACCAGCACCAGCCATCGTTATGTCTTCCGCACCTTCAGCGCCACAATCCTGCAGAGGTCTTGGCCCAAGCTACTGCGCAGAGGAACAGCGACATGCTTGACCGATTTCGAGAATATTTCAGCCACGGCCGCCCGCTGGACTTGGATATGCTCAGCATTCCTGTCTCGCATGGAGCGGGAACTGATCCGACTACTAGTAAAGTCTCCATTGCCGACGCTTCGTTGCAGCACTCCAACCGTCGCGAAACGACAGACGACGCGGGCCCCGATATGACGACCATCGGAGATGGGTTCGAGACCGCCGTTAACGGGCTCTGTCTCATTCTGTCCTTCCTTCCCGCCGAGGGACCGGTCTCACGGGGTGGGACTGACGAGGTCAACGAGCAGCCCACTGTGTCAGCGTTGCCGGAATTGGCCCGTTACATCCTCTTTTTCCCAGTGATGTGTAATGGCCCATTCGCATCCAAGGTCCAGCAGTGCGATCTGCATGCTCTTCTACTGTTGTATCACTTTTATCGTGCCGTAAGAATCCTGCTACCTCCGGACGAGTACTGGTGGGCTCACAGACGGGCGACTAGATCGGAAGCGGTCTTGCATCAATGGTTGAGCAATGAGTTTCCACATCACTAAAGCGGAAAAGCTGCCAACCACTCCAAACCTTCATCATGACTGCATCTATGGGTATCTCAATCGAGAACAACTTTGCATCCCTCCAAACTCGAAACGACCAGCGTCAGCATCTGCTTCTCCTGCCCTGTGGGCTCAACGACTGCATCAGGGGGAAGCCGGAGACTCGGATACGCTTGAAGTAGCCGGACGATGCCGTAGCTTGCCTCGGATAGAGCGAAATCTTCTGCGAAAGGTTCAAACTATGTCAGCAAGTAATTCATTGGCCGCCACGAGGCTCTGCAACGCGCCGGGGGTAAGACGTACTGCCTAAACAGGTCCGATAGCCGTGGAGGAAGGGCATGTAAGCGTAACCGATGTTCGAGAGACTGCCGTCCAACCACCGCTCCGGACGGAATTCGTTGGCGTCTGCACCGAAAAGTTCTTTACGGCGATGCATGTGATATGGACTGAATGTGATACCGGCTTTTCGAGGGACAAGGACCGGAGCTTCGCCGTCTGGACCGCCGCCCTTGGGGAGCAGTGTCGTCCTGATTGCGGAGCGGGTGTTCATCGGAACTTGAGGATAGAGTCGAAGAACTGCAGAGACATCAACGTCGGTCAGACTTATGGTCGTCGAGTATATATCAAGCAGCACTTGAGCTGTGGCAACTCACTTTCGTTTAAAACCGCTGTCAGGTATGGCATGTTTCTGGTGTGCGCCCTTGTAATCAATGTTTGAGCGCCAGCTGCGGCCATAATCTCTTCACGAAGTCGCTTAAGCTTGTCAGGATATCGAACGAGGTGGAAGCTGTGACCGAGATCAGACGCTTATTCATCAATGGAAAAAACCCGCCATTGCTGGATAATACTTACATTGTCCATGACATCGTACAAGCTGTGGTATCTCGGCCGGCAAGCAAGACATTGACGAGCTGGTCGCGAACTAGAGTCGGATCTTTGTAATCGTTATAGAGGTCGAGAATGAAGGCGTACTTCTCACTTGCTTCCTCGTAACCGTGGTCTTCAGAATGCCGGAGAGCCCTCTTGACGAAGTAGTCGGCATAGCGCTTGACAATCTTGCATGATTTGCGGTAAGCCCAAGTGTTGTACAGGAAGCAGAGATCGGCCAGGGGAAGTCGCACAGCCGTGATTCGCGATGCTCTGTCGAAATGCTCGGCAAATTCTTTCTGCTCGTTTCGGGAGAGCGTCTCAATTGATTCGCCGAAAAGCAACGCAGTAGATGTTGCAAGCGTGAAGCGGAAGAAGGCCGGTTGGAGGTCCACGACGCCCTTTGCGTTGCGAAAGGTTGATACCAAGATCTCGACCTGCTCAGTGAAGGTTTCCAAGTCTCTTGCCTGAACTCGCGCAAATTGGCGACGGAGCATTTCGCGGGAATGTTTCCACGGCGGACCATCCTGCGTGAAGATGCCTTCGCCGAGGAAGGGGTAACAGGCGGGACGACGACAGCCTAGTCCAATATCTATATTTGTCTCTTAGCCCACGAGGAACCTGGCGAACCTCAAGAAAGAGTCGTAACGAACCTTGGAAGCGGGAATTCGTGATTGCCTCGATATTCCGGGGGTCTGAGGTGAAGTAGCCAACACACCCAAACATGTATGCTGCAAAAGTGATGCCCAGTGTTTCCGTGAACTCGACTTGCAAGGCTAGTGCATGATCGGTCAATACTGTCTCTACATGTCTCTTGATCAGGTCAAGAGCCCACGGCCAATGGTGTTTGAATTCACTTTGGGGTGGAAGGCACCCATTCAGTCTCGCAAAAGCCTCTTGTTCCTGCATGCTGTTCAGGTTGACTTCTCCTCGGTTTGGGAGGGACAACTTACCTGACGCTCCCGCCGGCGGCCATAGAACCACTTCGACAAAATCCCTACAACGGCAGCGAAGGCCAACTTGTGCACCAGCCTGATGGTGATGAGCTCAAAAACGAACATTGCGGGATCTTGGCAGAAGGATTCCTGCAACCGGGGTCACCAGGATCGGACCTTGTGGTGGAAGATTTCGGGGGCAAATCGATGGCCAGATGTTCGCCGTCGAGAGGCGGATTGCCAAGTCAAATCATCACGCCTCATATCAAGTGAATCATCCCTCGCCTTCGGAAGCGATTTGTCTTTCAAAAGCATAAGGTTCCCTCGATGCGGCACGTGGTAGATTGCAAGGGAGGCGCCAGGAACGGATCGGAGATCAGGTTGTTCAGATGCGATGCAAGGGCCATCTCGCATTCCACAGGGTCTCAGATGCACTCGCTTACAACCTACTATCATCTTGACCAGTTTCGAATTTTGTCCACCTGCTACGAGAGATGTTGACATCTTTCTCAGCATGTACGGGGGTGAGGCTTCCACCTTTCGACAATGATCACATCCAGGGATTCTGGGCTTGTGCAGACGAGACGCCCCACGACCTCCTTGATTCATTCTCGGATTGAAGCATCCCCTCAACTCGCAAGTGGTGGACACACTGGCAGAATCGTGGAAGGCAGAGGGTTGTCCCTCTAGAGTTCGTGGTGAGTTCCAAGGGCATATATCAGAAGGCTTCTTCCCAGCTGTTTTACTAACGTCAGGTCGCAGGGGCTACCGTCCCGCGCGTGGGTTATGCCCGCGTAAGGCGCCCACGCGATACCCGAGTATGGGATGGTCTTGGAGGTATAACCCGGCTATACCTGTTGAGCAGTTGACTACAACTGGCTAACGCAACTAATTATGTGGCCAGTGCTACCACCCGTGACACCCGTGTACCGCCATACTGAGGGCCAGGGGCTCTGAGCCACCTGATGGCTCACTAGGCATGGTTGCGTGGGCACTGCCCACTCTGGGTAGGGATGGCACAGACAATCGGACGCGCCGGTGCCTCTATCAAGCCAATCGCCGGTATCAGTGAGCTGATATCCGTACCCGAACCTCCAATTGGCAAAGATCGCTTGCTTGCATTCACTATCGTGTCTGTTCATGTCTCCTTCTAGCCACCCACATGGTACACATCACGCTTCCAAGACCGCGGGGAAGGCGACTTTGAGAGACACGATACCTTAAAGTTCCGAAGACTCGTCTCGCTTGGTCGAGATCAAGAAGAAATGTGCACATATACCGTCCAGCCCTCGCCTGTCGTCGCCCTCGGCCGCTCCATTCCTGCGCCTGACAATCTTTGAACACCAGCTACTATGACCACCTCAGAACAAACTCCTCCTCGGTCGCAGCGGTTCAGGCATGCCTTTACTTCCCCTTCAGCATTCCATGAGGCCTTGAGACTCAAGAGCTCGACGTCCATCCTCATCAACGAAGACCTTGCGCCATCGCCTCCGAGCAGACAGACCTGGACCATCTGGAACTACTTCGCATACTGGTGGAGCGAGTCCTGGAACGTGTCGACATGGTCTGTCGGTGCCGCCTTCATTACCCTAGGGGCCACCATCCGCGATGCGTTGCTTGTGGTGTTCTTCGCCAACCTCCTTTCGGCCGTCGTCATCGTGCTGAACGGCAGAGCGGCAGCGAGATACCACATCGGCTACCCCGTCATATCGCGCTCGAGCTTTGGAATATACGGTGAATACTTTGTCGTCGTCCTGCGCTCCATTCTGGGCATCATCTGGGGCGGCGTCCAGCTTTACTTTGAAGGCCAGTTCATCTCCGTTTGCCTACGATGCATCTTCCCGGGCTGGGAGAAGATTCACAACGGCATTCCGGCGAGCCAGCATATCACCACACAAGTCATGGTCGGCTTCTTCCTTGCTTTCCTGTTCACCCTCCCGTTTCTCTTCATCCACACCTCCCGGATCCAGCATCTCTTCAGCGTCAAGTCGTTCATCATGCCTCTTGCCGCTCTCGGAATCGTCATCTGGGCCACGACCCAGAACGGCGGTGTGTCCTCGGGCAGCCTCGAGAATTCGAGCTCGTCCACCAAGCCATCGACCTCGGTGTTGGCATGGGGCATCATCTCGCAATTCAACTCGGTCATGGGCGCCAATTCGGCGCTCCTGGTCACCGTCCCCGATCTCGCCCGGTACTCCAAGACCAAGAACGCTCAACTCTGGGGCCAACTCATCAGTCTACCGATCGGTCAGACCCTTTGCGCCGCCTTCGGCGTCATTTCCACTGTAAGCTTCAATTTCTCCCTCTTCTGGATCTGAGTTGCCCAGGCGCACTGGCTGACCACTGACATGCAACCCAGTCCGCGGTCTTGAACATGTACGGCCAGGCATATTGGAACCCCTATGACCTGCTCAACGGCATTCTCGACGAATCTTATTCCTCCAAGGCACGTGCCGGAGTCTTCTTCGCCTCCGCGAGCTTTGCCTTCGCTACACTGGGCACCTCGATCGCATGCAACTTCATCCCCTTCGCGGCCGACGTCACCTGCTTGCTGCCCAAGTACATCAACATCATCCGCGGCCAGCTTCTGTGCCTGATCATTGCATTTTCAATCGTTCCATGGTATGCCTGCCCCGGCCCATTGAGAGATTTTTCGCACCCTCGCACCCCTCCCCACCACTAGACTATACATGTCATGTCATATCGTACTATATCTGGCTGACTGAGAAATTTCACACCAGGCGTATCGTCGCAACGGCCAACGGGTTCCTCAACTTCCTCGGAGGCTACTCCATTTTCCAAGGCCCCGTCGTGGGGATCATGCTGGTCGACTACTTTTTCATCCGCCGCGGCAATCTCAATCTACCCGAGCTCTTCACCCTATCTCCGCACGGCCGGTACTATTTCTTCCACGGCTTCAACGTCCGGGCCTTCGCCGCGTTCGTCATCGGCTTCCTCCTCCCTCTGCCGGGCTTCGCGGCTAGTTTCGGCCACGACATCGGTGTGGCGGCCACTCACATGTATGCCTTGGGATGGGTGTTGAGCTTCCTCATGGGGTGTCTGTTGTACTATGTCATCTGTTCGATCTGGAAGATCCCCGGCGATGACGGCAGCTACGGCTTTGAATCTCAAGTGGAAACGGCGAAGCAGATCATCGTTGAGGGGCTCCATGTGGATGACGAGGGTGTTCACATTAGTGCTGGGATGCAGGATTCGATGGTGCCGACCAAAGATGCTCATGTAATGGAGAAGATGGCCTAGACGTTCTGGTTATGGCTTGTCCTAATGACGAATCGAACAAAGGCAATATAGATTTGAGGCTGAATTTTGACAACGTCGTCCATCCCGGTGACTTTAGGAAGACAATATCAAAGCAATGCGAGGTGCTGCGTCGTTTGTGATGGCATGGTTCCACTTGAATACCAACTAGTGTTTGGCGCGAGTGATCTCTCCCTTCTGCTGACGAGTAACTACAAGCGTTGCATGGCACGAACGTACATCACACTCCGATGTCCAGACGGCTCGGCCGGCCTGCTTGCGACGCTCACACGGTCCTCCTACCACGGGTCTCAAAAGGGAGCAGCAGACTCAGCACAATCAACAGACCGAACAGCGCACCACAGACGAACAGAGGCGCGGTGGTCTCGACATTTGCGTAACTTCCAACCAAGACACCGACGATACCACCCACCCTGTTCAAGACCACGCAAATCGCATAACCCGTAGCTCTATGGGCTGCAGGTAGGATCTCGGGCGTATATGCATATATAGTGCCGTAGTAGATGTTGCTGGCCGCTGAGATGGCACAGGAAACACCCACATTCTGCGCCGGCGTCTTAATCTGAGTATATCCAAACTGCAACGCCGTCGTGATGGCTGCGCCAACAGCCAACGTGCCGCGCCGTCCGAAGTAGCGCGCCTCGACAAGAGCAGCGGCAATGAGTGGACCGAAGATGCCGGCGAACTGGTTGAGTGCATAATTGCGCCAGACCGTGTCTGTAGCAAGAAAGCAAGAAATATCCAAGTTAGCATACTAGTACTTCAAGTTCTTCTGTACAATCGAAAGGACTAGGAATATTAGTAGCGGTGTTAAGACCTACAATTGCTGTTGGACCCGACATCTGCTCCTCGGGATTTCAAGTAGTAGGGGAGGAAGACTGAGAAGAGCGGGCTGACCGTGCCAATGACGGTCCAATTAGCGATGATCATGACCGTCGAATAGGCAAGCCTTTTGGTGCCGAAGAGCTGTGAGAAATGCTGTCGTAAACGCAAGGCGGAGACAACGCTCTTCTCGGTGTGAAGGACACGGCCGATTCTGTCCAGCCTTTCCACCGTTAGGGAGAAAGATCGATTATATTTCTGCGCGACGGTGGCAAGGTTGGCGATGACTTCGGCGTCGCGGTTCTGCGATATCAGCCATTTGGGGGTTTGGGGCATGCGAATTACCAGGACACGAAGCGTGGCAGCGACGAGGACAAGAGCGCCGCAGGTGAAGTGGAGATAGCGCCAACCCCAGTTAGCAGACCATGTACACTCTGCAACGGTGGCGTCAGGGGCGCAGGAGTAGTTGCTCATGAATGCCCAGGCGAGGAACCCGGTGATCATGTACCCGACTGCCCACCATACGGCCATGAAAGTGACGAGCCAGTAGTGGCTGGCAGGCAGGAATTCGATCAGATTGGTCGCATCGAGGATGTAGTTTCCGCCCGCACCGGCCGAGTAAATGGCAACCCTGACGAAAGTCAGCTATGATGAAAAAACCCGGGGCGTAGAGAAGGTACGGTACGTACATAGCACAGAAAGATATGTAGTTCGGCATCGCCCCGGCAATCAGGACGAATGCTGCACAAATGAATAGACTGCTGTTGAATGCTGTCCGACGGCCAATAATATCAGCACTGAAGCCCCAAACAGCGGCGCCCACCAGGAGTCCAATCTGGGAAGCCAGGGCAACGCCAGCAATGTGCTTGCTCGGATTTCCAAATTCTTGGGCCACGGCTGGTTGCGCAATCGACTGGCAGACTATGAGTAACTTGAGGTAGGCTTGGGATTAGTGATATTGACAACTTGAAGATGTGCTCGAGTCTTACAGAGTCCACCGCGTACCCAAATCCATTGAGACAAAAGAGCTTCCATTGCCAGGGCGTCATACCAATCTCATCGATGGCATTATTGGTCAATGCCATCTTCTTCGCCAGAACGGGGTCAATGGCACTGGTGTCATAGATTTCTTTCTTTAGATCGATGCTATCTTCATCTCTCTCAGACGAGGTGAGGTCATGTTCCCTAGCATTGACAGCTTTGGACTCGGCCGCAGCAAGGTCCTCATCGTGCAAAGGAAGCGGGGGTGGTACAGGTATGGCGGACATCGCAACGAGAGCGGCTTGAGTGTATAGTTTGAACCGTGTACGTGTGAAATCTCTGGTGACTCGGCCCAGGCTGTCCTCCTAGGTCGCCTTATATCGTAACTTTTGTGTGAGGCATGATAAGAGCTTCGACAACAGCGATACATAGCGTTTTGTCCACGGTTCGTTACGCACGCCTTACCGTCCAGAATGGCGACAGAGATAAGGATTGGATCTCGGTTGACGGCAGAGATGAAGGATCGCGTACCTCTGCGCCATGCTGTAACCTCCAAGCGCGGCATGCATCACACGCTCCTCGACCGATAGGCGTATGATGGAGCCCTATTGGACATGGGATGGAACGATACCAGTAGCTGCACATGAAATTGAGTGTCGAGGTTTACAACGAACGGCTCGGACAAATGATCAATCAGGCTATGCAGCGTTACCCTGCTAAGAACGAATCACCACCCCATGTCGTTCGGGGCCATCGAATCAGAAACGATCTTTGTCAGCATCAAGATAGCACGTCAATGATGATAAGGATTGCGAAGTATCTCGTTCGCGAAACACCATTCAGCAGGCTCATCCTTGCCGTGCTAGGACAGTTCATGGCCTGCGCAGAAATCCGTCGGCCATAGCGGAGGCACACGAAGATGGCGCCTTCCGAATACGCGCTTTCCCCTAGAATTTGGTGTGAGAATATGAATGAATGACAAATGCCAATTCGGTCGCGCTGATTCAAATCGAATACTTGTTTGCTACTTGGACGTCGTTCTTTCAATATCTCGATCTCGTTTGCAGGGAGATCCAATCAATCTGGCGATTCACAATGAGCTTCACGCATACTGGGATCACGGAGCAGGTGCTTGCTTACCGAGCACCAGACCCTCCTGTCAAGGAGTTTGAACCTCCAAAAGATCGTGCTTTCTTTGCGGACCCTGAGAAGAAGACCCTGTTGGCCGCGGCGAAGCAAGTTCGACATCTGACGCCGTACATTGGTACCGAACTGGTTGGCATTCAACTCAGTCAGCTCAGCGATGCTCAGAAAGATGAGCTGGCCTTGTTGGTCGCAGAGGTCAGAGACCCATAAGCTATCAGGCAATAGCCTAACACTGACGGCAATACAGAGAGGTGTTGTATTCTTCAGGGAACAGGGCCTCACGCTTGACCAACAGCACGATTTTATCACGCATTACGGGATAGTAAGTCGACAACCAACTCCGGACATATTTCTTGGTATCTCTGATTCGCGCGAATTCTAGCAAGACCGTGATCCAAATCAGCAGGATCCACGACATGTCACGATCATTGGGCGAGACAAGTGAGTGGCTACAAACAGCTCTATGATGAGGCTCTCCGAGGACAGGTTGACCAATATTGACAGCGACATCCGGGCGTACGGCGACATGAGCGGAGAATATCATTCCGACCATTCTCATGAAGCCAACCCGCCGGCATACACAATGCTACGAATGGTTCGGACTCCGGAGTTCGGTGGTGACACCATTTTCACAAGTCAGACCGCACTGTTTGACAAGCTGAGCCCAACTTTCCAGAAGTTGTTCGAGGGTCTCCATGGAGTTCACAGCTCGGAGGTATGATTGTATTGCGCAAGCAGAGATTGGCATGGTAGGTGGTGGCTGACACGACATCCCAGCATACATTTGTGAATTCGATCAATGGTGGTTACAATCCGTTCCGCCCTCCACAGCGACGTGAACATCCTTTGGTAGGCGTACATCTTCAGCATATCCGAGGCAGTCGTTTTTACTGATATGACATTCAATCAGGTCCGCACACATCCCGTGACCAAGTTGAAGTCTCTCTTCTACAATCCAATGTTCCTCATCCACATAGCAGAGCTGAAGGGTCAAGAGAGCATTCACGCACTCAGCTTTTTGAGAGAGCACCTCCATGCAGCAGACGATCTTACTGTCAGGTGGAAATGGGAGCCGGGCAGCGTCGCATTCTGGGACAACCGAGTCGTAGCTCACAGAGCCTTACCAGGAGGCTACGACACCTCTCTTCGGGAGGGCAAGCGGACAGCGATCTTCGGAGAGAAGCCATTCTTCGACCCTTCAGGGGAGACGCTGACTCAACGGATTGAAAGGCTTCGTGGCGATGCAACCAAGGCTGAAACGGTGAAGCTTCATTTCAACACTGCTTCCGGGGAGACCAATGATTGAAAGCCAGCATCCATTTCAATGAGAGACGACTAACTAAGTTAGCTACATCAGGTCGCTAGCCAGGCGGACTGGCCAGCACGGTTGGGTCAGATAGTACAATTCAACACTGATGCTTGCGGAATGATTCCTCAGCTTTGGCAAAACCAATCCAGACCAAGCGACCACTCCCTTCACTTGTGTCTTCAAGCAAAATTGGAAGTCTTATAAAGCAGTTTGTCCTTGTTGTCCTGCTTCACCCAGATCGCGGCCTGCGTGTCCTTCTCCTTGGCCCCGACCTTCAAGGTGAATTTTGCGACTTCAAAACTGATGCCTCCCATCAATTGGTTGCTCGCCCAAGTGGGAGCTCCGGAGAAGACCTTGGCTCCAGAACCGTCGTCAAGTGCCGCGCCGAAAGGGTACCCATTGATCGTGGATAGGTATGCTCTGCCAACCTGGCGGTCGGCGTCCCAGATGTAGTTGAAGACACACGTTATCTTCTCGGGCGTAGATGTGACGGGGGACTTCTCGGTCCGGGTCAATGTCACCGTCAGTGATTGTGAAGACATGGTGTTCGCTGGAAGTTATGCGTGGAAGGCCAATGAACCTATATAACTTGAAGTCTGGCTTGTTCAGCGACGTTGATATACTGTTGATGAAACAGAACGTAAGGAATGGAATGGGGACAGAGGGTCGTACTTATACCCCATCAACTAGGCTGTAGATTGTCGAGATGGACGTTCGTAGTGGCTTCAGTTTGAGACCCTCTTTGAATGCCCTGTGCCAGCTGAATACTAGTATCGTGTGCTCGCTTAACATGCGGACCCCTGCACACGGCAGCCTCGTGGAACAAATGGGATGCAGAGAGAACACTTCTGGACCATACCTACGGCCGAGGACGAGAGTCGGGCTGGCTGATAACCTCACTTCTCGATATTGAAGCTGATGCAGAGTTCAGCTGGGACGCGGCTTGGTCCAAGGGGCCGAACCATATCGATGCGTGGTTCTGCAGTTGTACTGTGTTGAGGCAAGAGGCGTAAGTCTAGGCTCGGCCGCATGCACACCCCGCAATTCTCGCGGTCCACTAACATGCAGTACGTAAGGTATCTACGGCAATCCCTGACCCAGCCTCCAGACGACCAGCATCGCTTTCGTCCAACCCGGATCTCTTACTGTGAGCCAGGCCAGATATTTCGGCGCAGGCTGACCACAATGGAATACGATCAACAGCTCAACAGTAGGCATACAACTATGTCAAACGTGGGTACAACGAAGTCTCCGATCTGAGCTTTCCAATCTTGAACCATCGGTCTGGGCTTCTTTACTACGTTGCGGCAGCCGGCTGCATATTCTGGTCAAGACTGGACATTGCTCTGCGCCTTAACAGGCCTTCAAAAGATTGGCCCATTCGGCTTTCGTGAGTGAAGCTGAAAGGTCAAGACTCCGGATTGCTTTGTCGACAGTCCGGCCACGGCCATGCCAAATGTTAGGGTTTGATTGAGAGCCTAAGTCGTAAGGCAGAGAACTAAAGTACACAGTGCGCAAAAGGCGCAGATGTAGGCAGTCTAGTGACCGCCTGTGCGACTGCTTTCACCCTTCACTGCCAATGGTGACGGAAAGCATCTGGGGCTGGAATGTGCTCAAAGGATTGCCAGGTTTCACTCGAAATTCCGATCTATGCGTCTGGTATCCAACATTCTTCCCGGAGGGGTTGTCTCAGGCCTAAGTTATATTAACCTTGTGGTAATGTCACCCTTTCCGAGCGCCGACTCACTTTACCTTAGTTATTAAATCGATTCGGTCTACACACAAAACTGCCGCAATTTCCAGTCAAGATTGAAACTTGCCCATAGACAAGGCAAAGCAATCATGTCGGACCAAGACTTACGAGACATGGACAAGACAAACCAGCAATCAAGTGTCGACCCCAATCGACCGAAACACTGAGACAGTTGTGGAATGCAGTACTACTTTGTCGCAGGGCTTCGCCACCATCACAACGAGACGGACTGCTCTTCGGTGCCAGCTCCGGAGACGTTGGATGACGATCGACCTTCAGCGCGCTTTACATCATTCTGTGGACTAACGCTCGATCAAGCACGGCCCGGGCAACTCTCTGAATTTCACGTGCTTGAAGATGACGGCGATCCGGGAACATCAGAGAGCGATGAATGGCAGGCCACGGCAAAGGAGGTTGGAGGACCCGAGGTAGTCTCTTCGCGGAGCTTCTGGCATCACCCTCTGAACTAACGCACCTATAGAAACTACAATCTCTCGTCCAAGTTGGCCTCGCAGCCGTCCGCGTCAGGGTCGGAAATGCCCATCTGCCGAGCTCTGATGCAGAAACCATCGAGTTATCCGGTTTTCGCCTATCTCGTGACCTGGTCGTTACTTGCGCTCACTTTTCGAACTGGAAGCTCGCTGAAAACAATGTCCAATCCTTCCTGAACGGGGCAAATAGAGTTTGCGAAGCGATTCAGGCGATCTGGGTCGGAGGAAAAGGTAACTTCTCGTCCGCAATGTCTACGCCATATACACACAACTGACTATGCCCAGGTCAGAGAAACCGCTTTACTCTCCGCCTTTGGGCAATCCACAAAGAGTGGGACAGCGCCGTTTTTCGTATCCCACATTGGCCGGCGAAGGACAGTAAGAACTATGTTGTCCAGAAAGACGATGTGAACTTGGTCACTCCGGAGGAACGTCGCAACCTAATTGGCGCTCCACGGGTGCAATGCTGGTCAACTGGGTATAACAGTGCTGTCAATATGGTCGAATTTCGACAACGTTTCGAGGCGTTCTTAAGGCGTCACGGCGACGAGAAGACGAAGATTGTTCAAGATTACGTAAGTTATGATATACCATCTCTAAACTTCCTATCTGACTATGTCCCGACAGAAATTCGACGATGCCAACCCACCTGGGTCGGGCTTCCTTATACCAGACATGAGGACTGTCAGCTTCGGCACAAATATCGAACACCCGAGTTGTGCCAAAGACCACCAGGAGTGCGTTGAACTGAGTGCATGGTACGGGCGATCCGGTTCAATGGTTTGCACTGAGAAAGACGGAAGATCGACCATCATAGGCATTAGTAAGTTACTCTCCCGTTGCAAAGGCGAAGCACACATCTGACACAGGAGTTCACCAGTCCAAGGAGGTGAAGATGTCTCTGATTGCAACCTCATCTTGCTTTTCAGCACCGAAATGACGGAATGGTGGAATGCCGCTACCGATCTGGGGGAGAGTTCAGATCCACAGGCGCTCGCCAGGCGAGTTGTCATGGCTTGATCGTGTCTATCAGAGAATCAACGGGATTTCTTGCGTTGCTTTCGGTCGGCTTTTTCAGAGGCTTGGGGGTTTCGCTGGCCTGCTTGAAGTGTCCCAACACGGGTGTGCATGATGCTTTTCTTTTGCTAGGTATCTAGCTAGCTGGGAAAGAATCGGCACCGGTAGTCCTTCCACAGGCGATATACCCCTTCTGACCTAATTCTAACTACTCGGTCACCTTCTCATCATCCGGGACTAGTCTTATAATCTTGTGCTTCCCTCTTAGGAAAGGTATCGGACGTATCTCCAGTACCTGTAGTTGCGTTCATGGTTGATCGCAGCCTCGCCAAGCAATGACATCAATGTCCAGGGAATTATTTTGGACAAATCTCTGGCCGTTGTTTTGCGACACTTCAACCCATGGACGGAGCCTGTCTCGATCTGACAGTGTGTCTGCGGCGATGTCGAAAGAAGCCTGCGGAATAGCGAAGTGTTGGTGATCTTGATCCTGGGTTGGAAATGTTCTCAAGAGGGGCCGGCGTACGAATTCTACGAAACTGCACCCGAGCTACGAGGATCGCATCAACTTCAGCAGCCCGCGCAGTCCCCAAACGATTCTCGTCGTCCGCCACCCTCATTGGCAATGGCACACCTCACACAGCCCATCCCCTGGCAGGGGTTGCCTCACAGCTTGACCACGTTGCCCCGCGCTTCGAGATAGACCCGGACAACATCAAGATCCTCGACTCTCCTACCGCTTTCTACGAGACGCTGAAGGTATTGAGTATCGGAGAATGACAAGAGACGAATATCCCGCTAAGGCTTTTCGCAGGCTAAAATTCGAGGGGCGAAAACGAGGATATACCTGTCCACATTATACATTGGAAAGACGGAGCATGAACTGATTGATACCCTAAGGGAAGCTCTCGAGGCCAATCCCAACCTTGAGCTCTCCATCCTGACAGACGCGCTTCGAGGCACCAGGGAAGACCCTGATCCATCATGCGGGACTCTGCTTGCTCCGTTGATCTCTCAGTTCGGCGACAGAGTTAGGATTTCAATGTTCCACACTCCGAATCTGAATGGGTGGAAGAAGAAGCATATGCCGAAGCGTATCAATGAGGGGTGGGGTCTGCAGCATATGAAGCTCTATGGATTCGACGACGAGATCATGTTATCAGGGTAAGGTCTCTTCCATTGCCCGAGAGAGAGCAGCAAAACCGACTGAGAATTCCAGGGCGAATTTGTCCAACGACTACTTCACGAATCGATTGGACAGATACCACATCTTCAAATCCAAAGAGCTTACAGACTTCTACGGTGCAGTCCATGAAGCAGTCTGCGATCTGTCTTATACCCTTGTCCCCACGGACGAACGTCCCGGCGGGTTTGAGCTGGTCAGCCCTCATGAACGTGGCTTTCCAGATCCGCTCTGGCACACGAAGAGATACAAGGCATATGCAAAACACACCCTCGAGCCACTCATCCACAAGAAGGCGAGACAGAAAATGTTCCCTGTCCCATTTACGAAGGAGAAGACATTCGTCTATCCCTTGGCACAGTTTGATGTCTTGCTCGGCCAGCCCAAAAACATCGCCTTTCTCGACTATGAATTCGCAACATACACCTCGACCGAGAAACCCGCGATAACGCGATTATTGACTAACCTCGCCGAAGACGAACGCCTGCACAAGTCCCGATGGACCTTCACAGCAGGATACTTTAACATAGACCCAGATATATGCAAACTCCTGATTGCGGCAGCACCAGAACCAGGCGTCTTGGTCCCCGGCGCCAAAGCATTTGAACAGGCGTGCACGGTGATCACTGCATCACCCTGGGCCAACGGCTTCTACGGCAGCCCGGGCGTAAGCGGTATGCTACCAGCAGCATATACTCTGCTCTCACGCCGCTTTCTCCGCACCGTCGCGAATGCAGGCAAGGAGCACCAGATCCAACTGAAAGAGTGGCGGAAAGGCACCGTCGGCGAACCAGGCGGCATGACGTACCATGCTAAAGGCCTCTGGGTGACGCTTCCTCCTCAACCTGGTCCAGACTCGACTCTTGTCGATGAAGCAGGGCCCAGCGTCACCATCGTGGGCAGCAGCAATTACACCAAACGAAGTTACAGTCTCGATTTGGAGATCGGCGCGATGGTCGTCACGGGCGATGACCGCCTAAAGGCCAGATTGAGGAAAGAGACGGAAAACCTCGAGGCAGATGCGACAGTTGCGACGCAAGATACTTTGGCGCGAATCGATCGAAGAGTCGGTCTGAAGGTCAGACTTGCCCTGTGGTTGGTCGAAGCACTGGGTGGTGCACTTTGACAGCTTGGCCATTGTCCTTACCGTTTGTTTTGTCACGAGGACGTCTTTCGCCTGAGTATTGGCGAGTTCTAGAACCAGCACAGCCGACCCCAAAGGCAGGTCATATGATGCTGTTGCTAACGCGAGGATCGCGCTGGAGGCCGACAAGGCTTCTCGAGCCTTCTTTCCAACAGGAATTGGTGCATCTGGAGTCATTGGAAAGACGCTTTTCCAGGACGCCGAAGCTATTGAGGCACATCGGGGCGGATATCTGCCATTCGTCACGACGGACAATCTTCCCCGTCAATGTGGGGGCTGCCGTGATGAACTTGCTGGGTCTTCGTCTGTCCCCGAGACTGTCTGGGTGTACGATAGTAGTAGTATTGTACCACAAATATAATGTTAGAGTATAGAATATGGACAACTCAGCTCAACCTTTCATTGGGAAGCACCCAATCACTATTCCCTAGCTCACGTATCAAGGTCCACCCCGGTGATGAGGAGGGCAGTACAAAAAGAAACAAGACCTGGCTGTGCGAAGTGCGATCGATTTGAGGCAGAGGGCATCGAACAGCGTTGCTCGCATTGTCCGACGCATAGCGGCAAGAAGAAAAGAAACTCATCATGCGGAAAAAGAGGAGCTGAATGGGAAATATTACTACTGGTAGTATTCACATGCCAAACGAGTCGAGTCGCTCCCCTTCACCGCTGTCAACAAAAAGACGTTGGGAAAATCTTCTGGGAAACATTTTTGGATTCTTTTTTCTGGTCGGTAAAACTTTTCGCTCCGTACTGTTCGCCATATCACAATGCAGCGTTCATGCACGGCCTGGGCTTTGCGACGCGAGAGAGGGGGAAAGAAAGACAGGACGAGATACGGGAAGAATATCACAATCCAGAATCAGGAAGCGAGGGGGAAAAGGGCGGTATATACACCGCCACCCGGGGTTGGGGAGATGATGGAGGGTGGCAAGGGTGCTTGTATGGCGTCGCTTGGTGTTGTGGACAGGCAGTAGGCCAGAAATTGCAGGGCTAGGCGTGGCTTAAGGTGACTTAGAACTACAGTACGGATACCGTAGAGCCATCAGGACAAGTACTTGATCAAGGTAAAAAGTCTGGAGGTGTATACCAAGCTCAGTGTTGCAACCACAAGCAAGGTACGGAGTTCTGCACGGCACGGCAAGTTTTGCGGATCGGCTAGAGAAAACTTCAACAAAACACTTGTAGAGATTGACATTGACATTGGCACCATGCCACAGTAGACAGCGCGGGAAGTGTTGAACGATGGATGCTACCTCGAACCACAAGGGAAGTAGTCCTACGGTTCATGGAAGAAAGAAATTTACTCGAAGTGTCTGGGGTCCAAGGGCTTTGGTTACGGGTTCGGAAGAGGTGGGTGGGTGGCATGCAATGCAGGCAGCTACTCGTAGCGACGTCCTTGAGATCCGCCCAGGAACGGGAGTGAGAGTGAGATTCGGTATACTTACACAGGATGCTGCTTGCATCGCGACGACCACCAGCGAGTCGGGAGGTGCAAGGGAAAAAGGTCTCTTACTGATGATAGCGTAAGATCGAGTGCCAACCGACTGGCGGTAAAGCAGGTTTGCGCTTCGGCAGTAGGAAACTGCAAGTGGTAGCCGTGCATGTTGAATGAGCGCGTGCTTTGGATGGCAAGTTGTCAACGACTGTCCAACACTCGAGCAAGCGCTGTATACAGCGGAGTCGAAATTTTTTCGGAGGCGGCTCGTAGCCAAAAGAACAGCACCTGAGATCGACACCCGTGGTGGAGAGTCTCCAGCGGTCAAGCCAGCGTCGGGCCGCGGCGCCACTGCTTCAAGCCCATGTGCAGAGGATCCAGAATGTACAGAGTAGTGGATGAAGAAAGATGCTTGATGCTCACCAGTGACCACTATGGGGTTCTCTTCTGTCGTGGCAGTCTTAGTGCAACCTGGACAATAGTATCGGCGGCAATATGATTCGCAAAAAGAAGTCCAACATACTTGCCGACCTGAATGGTCGTGGCTTGCCTCGACTGCTGGCGATCATATGCGGTCAGGGACATTTGGCTGCGAGATGAGTGCTTGTCTCACTTTCAGTGAAAGTTCTTCCCAGCCTCCAAGAACCTTCACAACTAACAGTCCCGAATCAGCGTGGATGAAGAGGATCAATGAGGAAAAATTTGTTGTTGCGCTTATGCAGGTTCTGCATACCTAGGTATACAATGGCCCGTAGGCTGCATTAGGCTCGCCTCCAAAGCACACTCCTACAATGCCATTTTGGCCACTGAAAGAGGCCACCTGGAGGCCAGATGGAAATTGCCCTTCTTTTCACCGACATTCAGGCAAGAGACTAGAGTGTCGAATAGTAGTATGTCGACAGACCATGTTGTTGATAGTAGCATGAAGCTGAGGGTAAATTGCAGCACCGGTTATCTACCCACACTACCACAGTACGGAGTATACAGTAGTCAATTGATGAGATACGAGACCTGTTGAACAGAGCGTCCGTCAGCGTCTTTTGACAGCAGGATTCTCCCGAAACATCAACAACTTGTCTCACGTTGGATTCTCGAAACCGCCAAGTGTCAAAGCCCTTGAAGGCTTTAGGGTGATTGCGAATTTATCCGAGATGATGCCTTCGAGCCATGGGCCGTCATGGGCCAATCCCTGGCTTATCATTCACGTGGTCTTCTTGACTTGTCTCTCGCATGTTTGTTAATCGTGGTCTACCAACAAAACTTGGACTTCGGTTCGGGATAAGAGTCGCTGATCTGATAAACAACCGGGTTCTGACAGGCTTAGCTGGAGTGCCAATTCAGGATACGAGATCGTCAGAACTCCTTGGAAGTGGATAGAAGATCATCAAAACAAGTGTCTCCTTTGCTCGTGCTTTGATGTCCTGGTGCCCAGTGGCTTCGTGTCAAAGCCTCGAAAAGACACCTCAGCTTAGGTCACATGATCCGGCAAGCTCCAGCTGGGGAATCGAAGTCTGTGGGTGCCTGTCCAACATTACGAGGTACGGGGTTACGCGTATCATAGGGGTGGTCAGAGATGACTTGTGCAGGTAGGCCTTATGGTTGAGCAAATTCTTGAGCTTCCACGAGCTTCCCACATCGACATCTGAAACTCACTGGTGGCGACACCAGCCGATGAACTCCTGGATGGTCAAACCGCCAATTTTTTGCGGGGTAAGTGTCACAGAGGGACTTGCCGGGTCGCGCGGATGTTTGTGAGGGTTGACTCACTCAACGAGAAGGATCGATAATCAGATCATTGAGCAGGGTGGCCGGTAAGATGTTACCTGCTCCTATACAGTACACCAATTGCCGCCTTCAAAACACGAGGACACCCTCGACAAAGCCGGAGGAGCCGTCGGAAGGGTAAGGCAGTGGGCAGACGGAAACCATGATTGTACGCGGAGATAGTATCCCGAAGAAACGGCTGGAATAAAGCCAGCTTATGAACAATGCACTCGCCAATAATACTTGTCCGGGTCTCAGGGACGACGACGACGACGAAAGGGATGTCTCGGGTCAAAGGTGGACATGTTGTTCGTCACTGTCTTGAGTGAATTGTAGCAAAAGTGTCCTCTTCTTGCCATGCTTTGGGATGACATTGTTTTTCGAAGAATGTATTGCGTGTTGTTGCGGGCCGGTCTGGAGGCGGCGTGACGCAGACAAAGCTCCTGATGGCCTTCAGCTGTGGCGTGACAACCATTGGTTGAAGGCCTTCTGCGTCGGCGTCGGCCAGGCTGAAGACTTTGGCCAAGCACAATACGCCGAAAGCGGGTAGAGACGTCGCCATCTGACGAGTCCCTTCCGTTGAGTCCAGCGTGTTCCAGTTCACTCGATGGGAGCAAGCAGCAAGCAGTGCCTTTGACTTGACGAACAAAGCAGCAGTCACCCAGTAGCAGTGGCATCCCTCTACGCCCACCGTGATTCAAGCGTAGACTTCAGCACTGAGAAGATGTGATCACGCGCTAGTAGGAGATTGCTTGGATGCGCTCGTGCAGACAAGCCATGGACCGATGAGGCATAGCAGCTGCAGTAGTCGTCAATAACAGGCGCAGGCACCGCTATCCACTCACTCACAGGTGCTCACCCACTCACCCTACAGTGCCGTGAGTGCCCACAGTGCCCTTCTACTCGTTACTGTGGGGGCCACTCTTCATTGCTGTTCGATCGTCTTCGATGCTGCCAACTGCCGCCCTTTGTCCTTGGCTGTCCCTTGTTGTCTGCTGCTGCCCTGCTGCCCTGCTTGTTGGCCGGCCCCAGAATGAGAGTTCCCATGGTTCCATCCAGACACTCGACGACCCAATAACTCACAGCCCACCAAGCCTAGCACAGACACCGACTCTTCCTGCCAGTCACCGCCACTCAGACAGCTGTCTCCCCATCTGCTCTTCATATCTCATTCATCATCTCTCAGACCTTGTTTACTCTCCTTACCTGACCCTCATCTCAGCTCGAAACCCCTCTGCAATGTAAAAGGATACGCCCTCGACGAGTGTTCGTTTCTCTCTACACCTCAAGTAATAACACCTGGCCGTGTCCTTCTCTCACACCTTTACCGTCTCGACGACGACCGTTCCTTGCAGCATTCCTCGTTGTCACCCGGCGACCCCCGCTGATCTCTCTGAACCTCCCCCGCCCCCAGTACCTACAGCATTGGACTCGACCACGTTCAACGCAATTCCTATAATCCTTCTATACCTCTGAGCCGTTGGTGGCTGTCAAGATCCCAAGAGACCATTGGACATTCTCGCTGTCGAGTCTCGCCGTCAACCTCGGCCTGAATTGTTGGACCTTTGTTGGTGGTGTCATTGGACAAGTCATACACCCACCACAACAACAAAGGAGGAACTTCTTTGACAACAATACACACCCACTGATCATTCCACTGTCAAGTGAAAGCATACTCGGTGGCAAGAGTGTACGGTTGCCTATTGTCCATTAGGCATCGTTGATCTCCACAGGCCTGACAACACCTTCATTCTCCTGCCTTCAGCTTCGCCTACTTGACGACTTCTCTCTTATCCCTTCATAACGATACCTACACTCTTTTTGGCCTCCTTGCCGGAACCAGTCCTGATCTCCTCGACTATGACTCAATAACTCTACGCTCCCTACGCCTGTTGCTTGTTCGACTGAACAACGAGCCTCGAGGCTCTGCGTCATCGTTCACAACCAATTTCCTTTTGTTCCTAACGCTATCGACGACCCTTATCTATTCTATGAGCCTCTGATCACACACGACGACTAGGAGTTCCGCGGTGTTGCTTTCTCTCTCTCTCACATGACACGGATGGTTGAAGCTGTGAACTTCTACGGCGGATCTATGCTTGGTGTCCTGGTCTCGTTACTCGACCTTGTCTTCTACAATTGAGCACAGCTGCTCACGACATATCCTCATACCTGTTCATACTCTCTTGTACAGACTTCAACTGGACTATATCTCTCGTCTCTATTCGGAACTCAAAAGTTCTTGTCATTTGGGCCAGCAGAAGGAAAGGCTGTTGGGTCGCCTGAAGGGGTCTGTACACGTCACCCCACCTACAAGGCCAGCCATGGAGTGCATGAAAGATGGTTTCCGCAAGGATCAGATTCTCGATGGAAGATTCCGTACCATTGCCCCTCTCAATCACGGGTCCTTTGGGATGGTCTTCCTGGCGGAGGATACTCACACTGGAGAAGAAGTGGCCATTAAATGCTTGACGAAGCCCACCGTTGCCAATCAAACATCCTCCGCATTGACTCCCGATGAGGGTGCGGAAGAACTGGCGTGCCATGCAATTCTCAAACATCATCCTCACTTGGTCAACCTCATTCACCACTTCGACACGGAAGCCCATACCTACCTGGTCTTGGAATACTGTGCTCAAGGCGACCTGTACGAGGCCATTCGACTTGACCGTGGACCTCTGCAGACTGAACATGTTCGACGCTTCATGTTGCAGCTCATCAGTGCGGTGCAACACATGCACGCCAATGGGTTGTATCATCGAGACATCAAACCGGAGAACATCTTTCTCACTGAGGACGGCTCAATGAAGCTTGGTGACTTTGGCTTGGCCACCAGAAGCCTTTGGTCCTACGAGTCTAGCGTTGGAAGTGACCGATACATGGCACCGGAACAGTATGATCCTACCAACATTGGTTACTCTCCAGCAAAGGCCGACATCTGGTCCATTGGTATCTGCCTGCTCAATGTCTTGTTCGCCAGAAACCCCTTTGTGGTGCCTACCGAATCTGATGTGCTCTTTGCCGACTATACTCGAGATCGTCAATCTTTATTCGACATTTTCCCCAGCATGTCACAGGATACGTTTGACATCTTGTCGATTGCTATGGCCTTGGACCCTGCAAAGCGCGACCTCGGTGCTCTGAAACAAGCCATCCTCCGTGCAGTGACTTTCACCACCGACGACGAGTCCTTTGATGAATTCTGCGCCGAAGAGCGCGATGTGGTACGTGCAAGCGCCAATCGCGAACCACTACGCACTCCTTCGATCCAGAGCCCTCACATGGATGGCGAGTCGTTCCCTTGGGCCAAGGCGTTGCACTCTCCCAACCGAAAGCAGCAGCAACTGGCCTCAATTCCGGATACGTACGAAGAGGATATGTTCTCTGACAAGGGCCTCAAACTTGGTGAATCATGGTACTCTGGTCTTAACAACACCCCTTCATTGGCATCGGTTCTCGATTCGGCATATGGCTCCTTCAAGTCACTGGCCATCAAGCGTCCGAGTCATCGTAACCCACCTCGACCCGACCCTGTTCCGATCCCGAACTCCCTGCCCTCTCGTCCATCTCGACCTATCCCTACCATGTCATCAGTCTTTGGGAAGAAGGATGATACTGTGGCCAAGAGTTGGAGCGACATGTTTGAAGAAGATGAGGAAGAGTCGGAGCGTGAGGTGGAGTTGACGTTGAGACGTGGACAAAACAGTCGAAGCTGGAGTGAAGACAGCCACAAGCCGTTGCCTGTTCCTCATGGTGTTCTCACCGAATCCAGGTCATCCAGCAACGCACGCCGTAGTCGGACGCCCAAGCCTCTCTCCCCGATCAAGACGACCCACGGCTCCAAGGAGAACGATCCCTTTGCGTGGCGTGTCCGCACCCCTCGACAATCTCCCAACCATGTAGCCGCCGACAAGTGGGCTGCACTGGGCAACAAGAGGCGTGGCTTCCAGTCCGAGTCTGACAACAACACCCAGCCTTGGAGCAGCAAGAAACGATCTTTTACTACAGGGTCTCGCAAAAGACCAATATCGGGTCTTGGATTCGATCATCAAACTTGTCATGGACGTGATAGCCGAAACAAGGCACGTCCGGCGTACTTGAATCAGGATTGGCGTCAGGCCAAGGTGGTCGACTCATCGACGGATGAAGATGAGCATGAGTGGGTTGGAGGTTGGCATAACTTCCATTTGTGATTCTATGAGCATTACCTGTTTGCTGAGCTTTTGCTGAACTTTGTGTGGACCGGTCGACATGATTCAAAGGGGATTTACTGGGCTTGTTTTTGTTGGTGGTTGTGGAAAAAGAAAACCCAAAAACACCACGTCTTTGCACATACTCCGAAACTTCTACCCTCGCTTTTGTCTGGATTGGGACCTTGACACTGATGACTTTTATGGGATCTGCCCTGCTTGAGACGAGGTGTCAACGGAGTGTACCAACAGTGTTTTCATCAGAAACTGGGGACAAAGGCATTGGGGTTACCGTTGGGTGAATGGAGTATGTTGTGCTCGAAAACCGTTTTCTACATTTCTACATCAACAAGGACAGCATTATAGGATTAGGATTGGGGGTTTCGTTGAAGATTCGGCGGGTTCACCACTTCGAGGTTTGGAGAAAGCGACAAAAAAGAGGCTGCGCTCTGCTGAATTCACATCAATTCTCCTGGAGATGGATGACTTGCTTTTTGAGCTTGTCACCCAGCGGCGACAAAGTAGCTAGATTGATTACTTTATAATGCCAGCCAAAGACAAAGACCTGTTTGGCATGGACATGTTTTGAGAATGGAGAATCTTAACCCTCTCACTCATCTTACCTTCATCTTACCGCCCCCTGGTGCCGTTCTCGTAATCCTGATCAACACCATGCCTGGATTGGAAGTCTACCGCCGAGACCATAGTATACCACACCTAGGTCCGTACTTGTTGTACTATGGTAAGATTGGGCCTTTCGCCGAGGCATAAGTCCAACCCCAGATCCCTAAGCCGAGTACGTGATTCCCCGCAAGCATGTCCATCGACCAGCAATAGCCGAGGCTGACTTTTGTTGATACACTCTGCCTGTGCCTGTCCCTCTGCCTCTGCCACTGCCACTTGAACACGTCTTGTCAACACCTGTCAGGTCCGAATATTGCAGGTCGATAAATACTAGTAAAGTGATTGTACTACACGATGCCAGCCTCCGCGTCCGAGAACATCCCACCGATCGCCCAACCATTTGTGTCGGACCGGGCGAAGAAGCTTTTGGATGTGGTATGTACGGCCGTGTATAATAAGGGCGTGGTGGGACTGATGTGGAGGTGTGTACTGTAATGGGATGGTTGACTGATGTGATTTCGTGTAACAGGTCGAGAAATTCGTCGACGAAGAATGTATCCCCGCGGACACGGTGTACACGTCGCAGATCGGGGTCGGCGACGCGCGATGGCAGGGCCATCCTAGCATCATGGACGATTTGAAGCGGAAGGCTCGCGGGCTGGGCCTGTGGAACATGTTCTTGCCCAAGAACCATTTCAAGGATGGGCCGCAGTTTACGAACGTCGAGTACGGCTTGATGGCCGAGCAGTTGGGGAAGAGTATTACTGCTAGCGAGGTACGCTGTGCTGTGCTTGTTCACGACTTGTCACTTCCTTTCCCTTTCTCTTGTCTTGCTTTTCTGTTTGGGAGTGTGTTTTGGTGGCACACCTACGGTTGATCGGTTGGTGTTGATCTCGAGTCTGATCTGATATCTGCAGGCCTGCAACTGCGCCGCCCCCGACACGGGCAACATGGAAGTCATTGCACGCTACGGCACGCCGGCCCAAAAGGACCGCTGGCTCAGGCCTCTTCTCGCCGGTGAGATTCGCTCGGGCTTCCTGATGACGGAGCCCGACATCGCGTCTTCCGACGGCTCCAACATCCAACTCCGCATGGACCGGCGGGGCGACGAGTACATCCTGAACGGGAGCAAATGGTGGTCCTCGGGCTCCGGCGACGACCGCTGCAAAATCTTCATTGTCATGGGCAAGACCGACCCATCCCACCCGGACAAGTACAAGCAACAAAGCATGTTGCTCGTGCCTGCCGACACGCCGGGAATTACCGTGCACCGCATGCTCAGCGTGTACGGGTACGACGACGCGCCGCACGGTCACGGACACATCACGTTCAAGGACGTGCGAGTGCGCGCGGACGAAGCCATTATCCTGGGCGAGGGCAGAGGTAACGAAATCATGCAAGGACGTTTGGGCCCGGGAAGGATCCACCACGCCATGCGTGCCATCGGAGCCAGCGAAAAGGCTTTGGAGTGGCTGATCAACCGGTTGAATGACGAGCGGAAAATCCCCTTTGGCAAACCCCTGTCCGAACAAGGCGTTTTGCTCGAATGGGTGGCCAAGGCCCGGATCGAAATCGACGCGTGCAGAATGATTGTGCTCAACGCGGCGATTAAGATCGATCAGAAAGACGCAAAGTATGCGCTCAAGGAGATCGCCCAGGCTAAAGTTAAAGTGCCCAATGTCGCGCTCGAGGTCATCGATCGCGCCGTGCAGGCGTACGGGGCCATGGGCGTGTGTCAGGACACGCCGCTCGCGTATATGTGGGCGCATCTGCGGACGCTCCGAATCGCAGATGGGCCGGATGAAGGTACGTACATCCTTAAAAGGCTTCTAACCACCTACTAGTAACTCAGAACGTGTCTGGGAATAACTTATGGGTTACGGTTTACGGGTTTTTGAGTTGTGGTACAGTCGAGCTAACCGTGGACTTTTCTGTGCAGCGCATCTTCAACAACTCGGCAAGCGAGAGAATCGGTCGAGAAAGGATGAGATCAAGGCGAAACTGGCCAGGCAGCAGGCCAAGACGGAGCAGTTGTTCAGCGAGATGGGATTGCAGAAGCAGGAACTGGGAGCGGCCAAGTTCAGGGCCAAGAGTAGATTGTAGGCATGACACTGATGACACGTACGGTTGGCTATACTAGTCCATCTATGTTGCATCTGTGTTGAGCTGGAATAGAGGTTCTAGTCACTCGGACTTGTTCATTCCCTCCCTTGTCGATCTCCGCGCTGGTGGTGATGGTGGTTTTGTCTGGTCTGGTCCAATCCGGTCCAATCTGGTCTGGTCAAGACCGAAAGTCAATCCGTGAGGGGAGTACGGAGTATTTTGAATGTGATTCCCTACAACGAAGACCAGCACTATGTCGAGCGAGAAGAGAGGGGAGAGGAGGAGAGGAGGGCATGCCCTGAGCAAGACAAAAGAGTACGCAGTAGGTCGAAGTCATCATACGGAGTACAACCGGGAAAAATTTCATTCATTCGTGATCATCAAAACTCCCGTCACTCTACTACTCGTAAGAGCGGCACCCGTTGCTGGCTGATCAAACAGGTAAGGGTACCTATAGAGGTAAGGTATGTGATTACTAGGACGCCAAGGCATGTATGTAAAGACATGCCTCCTGGTGGCATCGCATCCGTGGTAATGTGACGCCCCTGACGCTACCTTAGTAACGAGTATATATACTCCGTACGTAGTAGTCTGACATCTCCCCCTCGAGATACGGAGTATTATTATACTATGTAATCCCCACAAGACCCTTACGTTTCATTATATGTAGTAGATATAGAGCCGACAGCCGGATCAAGTAGGTGAAAATAACTACTCCCGTATCTCCGTATATACGGATGATGACGGTAATATATATAAAAACATGGCGGCAATTACGGAGTACGGAGAGTCCCAATCCCAATCCCCAATCCCAATCCCAATCCCCAATCCCAATCCCAATCCCCAATCCCAATCCCCAATCCCAATCCTAATCCCCAGTCTACCTCTATATCTACCTCCACCTCTACCTCTATTTACCTCTCTCCATCACGGATCAGGGTGAAATACTCGCTATGACTATGCCGATACTAAGATCTATTCGATCACCAAGGTACGGAGTACGGTCTTGTAAAATCCTTGTTCTTTAAGGACCTCTCTAGGAAATCTAGGGGCGGATTCTTCAGTCCTCAGTCTTCAGTCCTCAGTCCTCAGTCTTCAGTCCTCAGTCCTCAGTCCTCAGTCCTCAGTCCTCAGTCCTCAGTCCTCAGTCCTCAGTCCTCAATCTTCACTCTTCACTCTTCACTCTTTACTCCTCACTCTTCACTCTTCACTCTCGGCTTATGACAAGAAAAGTGAGAATGGCAACAATCATGATTCATTGCTATTCCCTGCCATACCAACACTCCGTATGGTATGGCTAGTCTTACTCTGCTTCCTCGCAACTAGATCCCGGTGTCTATCTGATGTCCATCAAGGTACATCCCACAATTATTTGCACTCGACTCCTGTCTTGCCTTGGCTTGACAGCTCTCTGTCTCTATGTGCTCACTTGGCAATTGTTGGTCGCCGATTGTTGATTGTCATTGCGCTGCTGATCAGTCACTATCACTCAGCACCAACGCATCATCAGCACTTCCTCCAGGCGCACTGCTCGCCGCTCGACTCATTTCCGGATTCGTCAATGGCGTCTCTCCTTCATCCGGATACTCATAACTACTACCATCATCGTAGTCATAGCCCCCTTCCTCTTCTCCGTCTCCGTCTCCGTCTCCATCTTCGTCGTATTCATCTTCATATCCTTCTCTCTCACGCTCCGACTCGTCTTCCTCGTCCTCTTCGAGCTCCTCTCCATCGCCATCACCATCGCCATTGACGTAATCCCCAGAGTAATATTGTCCACTCGGCTCGTCCTCGTCGTAGATTGCTTCTTCTTCATCCTCATCTTCCACTTCCGCATCATCTTCATCCTGCTCAACACCTTGCAATAGTTCATATGGATTCTGTGCCACCTGTCTAGGTACCACTTTCGAGCTTTGCGGTGCAGCAACCTGCTGCGCTGACTTTGGTCGTTTCACCGCATACCCCGTCCTATTGACGCGATACCTCTCATCGTCAAGTGCTGAATCGACATCCACGTCATCATGCGACCGCTTTCGGGCCGGACTGCTGGTCTGGCTTTCGCCACCGCTGTATCGCAGGGCACTTCTCTTCGACATGGCCACGGGAACATACTCGGAACTAGGGCGCAGAGGCTTAGTAGCCAACCCATGAGCGCCAGTCTGTCTGATGCGCCGCTCTGTCCTCGACATGCTGAACTCGGACTTCGTCTCGGCGGGCAGGTACTCATACCCGTTAGCCCTAGCCAGGCCAGCCGCTGATGGAGTAAGGCTTTCCCGACGACTACTCTGACTTCGTCTGAACTCCTCTTCGTGCTCGATTTCTTTCTCGAGTTCACCGGCCTGCTGTTTAAACCATTCCTCTTGCTCTTTCATAGCTTCACGTGCTTCTCGGATTTGTCGGAGGAAGTCGTCCTCCACAGGACGTTTCGTTGGCGTTTGGCGTGGTGTTTCTTCAATTGGAGAGATTGACGCGGCAGGCTTCTGCTCCACGGGCAATGGTGAGAGAGCGGTCGGAGAACTCTGGACTGATGATGTAGGCATTCCTGGTCGTTTCCTTGCTCTTGCCATAACACTTCGTCTTTCATCCTCTTCTCGTCGCTTCCGAAGCGCCAGTGTCTCCTTGGTATCAGGCACAATCGGTGTGTCTGGATCCAGCCCCAGCGCCTTGAGACGGAAATAGTCGGTATGAGTATTATCTGTCTTCTGCTCCACAGTGGACTTTCGCAGATCTTGAGTGCTCGTGGAGCGACCCATCACAGCCTTACCAGAGAATATGGAAACATGTGGTGCTCGTGTCGTTGATGCTCGAAAACTTGGAACTGGTGGCCTGCCACCCATAACAGAACTAGACGGTTCGGAAGAAGTGCTCATCGTCTTTGATCGCTTATGCCCAGACAATCGAGGAGTGCCATTCGTTGTCATGACGCTCTCTTTCATATTCTGTTCAGAGAAACTCTTTCTCTTCCGACCAACAATCTGACTGATGGCGAATTCATCTTGTTTTTCTTTCAGTTGCTTTGCCTCAGCTGCCTTTTGAACTTCCTGTCGAAGGCGCTTTGTTTCTTGAGCAGCCAGCAAAATCTCTTGCAGCTCTTCCTCACTTCTTTTCTTCTTGGATTGTTCAGCCCTCATCGTTTCTGCGATGAGTTTTCGTCGAATCCTAGCTCGGCGGTTGAGATTGTTCTTCCACGCTCGTGAGCGCCAAATGAGGCCAAATTTTCGTGCTAGAATCCGTTCACGGATGGAAGCTACACAACTTGGTTAGTCTTAAGCCAAAACGTGAAATTGATCTGGTACTCACCGACAGCCGCGTCATGGACCTCTAGGCGGTGTTGATTGAGCGCGGTCCGGACGAGATCTGGAATTGTGTATTCAATGTATTTCCTGATCAGTCCATCTTGTCTTGTAAGGGCAATGCTGGCAACATCCCGTGCTAGTCGCTCACGGTCTTCGGTGGTGAAGGCTGGTTTAGTAGGAGGTGGAGGTGGAGAGTGAAGTGGACTTGGACTCTGTTGAGATGGCTGCGTGGCAGGTGGTAGTGATAGAGACTGTGTCGTAGAGGGTAATTTTGATGGAAATAGTTCTGGTTTGGGGGTCAGTTGAGTGGAGGAGGGAGTTGTCGAAGGTTGGAAAGGAGGAAATTTGAATCCTTCTGAAGGTACTTTCGGTTTATCCTCAGCTGCACTAGGCGGCTGAGGCGGGAAGATGGTCGATGTCGATGATAAAGCCGCAGGAGTTGATGTTGGTGCGGAGGAGAATCCACCTGTGGAAGCGGTGAATGATGGCAGAGGTGTTTGTTGTTGTGAGGGTGTGGTAGGCTGCTGTGATGATTGTGTCGAAAAAGTGAATGCCGGTGCAGACGCAGGAAATGAGGAAGTCGGTGGATTTGCAGACGCTTGTGCCTGAGGTGCCTGCTCCGATGGTTTTGCAGGTTGCGTAGAGGGTTGAGAGAAGCTCGGAAATTGAAACGATGGTGCTGAAGGACTCTTCGTGGAATCTGCGCATTCGTAAATCGTTAGCCGCTACGCTCAGTCTAACACGCCAGAATTGCTACAGCATTGCAGGACCGCCTGCCACACCAAATCACAAGGACTTTTTAAAGACATACCTTCAGGCCGTCCAGCAGCCGCAGCAAACCCTGTCGGGGGAAGCGGTTTCTGCCCAAAGACTGGCGGAATCGTCGATGTCGTTGATACTGGCGTTGCTGTCGGAGGAGCTGATATCTCTACAGGTGTTGAAGTTGGCTTTCCGAAACCGAAGCCTGGAAATGTAGGTTGGGCAGCTTGAGCGACAGGTAGGGCAGATTTCTGAGTATGGGGGGCCTCTGCTTCATTCTCCGTTGCTGCACTAGAGACACCGAAGCGTCCAAAACCGAACGGCGTTTCTTTCTGCGCTTGCTGCTGCTGACTTGAAGCAGGCTTGCCAAACGGCGAATCCGCAGGAACCGGCAATGACCCAAAGCTACCAAACCCGGAGCTACCAAATCCTGATCCGCCAAACCCAGGAGATGGCTGTCCAAACGTCGATGTCGATGTCGATGTCGGTTGGCCAAATGCCGATTTCTCCGCCGCTTTGCCAGTGCCAGGGCTCTGTCCAAACTTTGGCGTGAACGTCGAGGCTTCCGGGTTCATTGGGGAGCCGAAGATCGAGGAGTTCCCAGATTGTGGTCGGTCTTGAGGCACAAACATGCTCTGATCATCGTCCTTGACTTCATTTTGTTGGCTGTCTGATTCTTCGTCTGCAGACTCGACCCATCCCTCTCGGATTGCTTCAGCGACAGTCGCCCCGTTGATGACAGAGGTGAGCGTTCGGCGGTATCGCTTCTTCTCGACATATGTATGCGAGAACGATTGTCGATTCGGTATTAGAGATTCTACGCAGGTATCAGAACAAGTTCTCGACCGGTATATGTGGGGAAATGGAAGTACGCACGATCGAGATAGTGAGCAGCATTCGCCGTAGCATCGAGGTAGTCGTCTCCGTATTCATCCTTGGCAAAATACAGCTCAAATGCAGCGCAGAATTCTTTGGTCTCTTCTTCCGTGTCGAAGCCCAGGAAGGCGGTGACTTCACTCAAACTCCAGTCCCTGGACTTTGCTTGTTGAGCTGCAGGGGCACTTTTGCATGATCTCCACAGAGCATCCAGAGCCGCAAATCGGACATGGGCAAAGTATATCTCCGCCACACACGCCATGATATATGGCACGGCCTTGGAGGATAGAACGTGCCAAAAGCTGCCCGTGTTGCTCTGAGCAATGGCGAAAGGCTCCATTGGCCGCAGGGGACCCTGGTCGAAAATGGAATTACCGCCAGCTTGGTAGAGTTTGAGCGCTGTTTGTACTCTCATATCCTTGAGCAGATTGCTCGGCCAGGCCTGCATGCGGTCTTCCAGGTCCGGATGCTGTGACTGGAATTCGAAGATGATGCAGTAGGCTCTGAACTCGGCCTCGTTTGGAAAGTCGACGCGCTCTCGATTGTCGTCGTAGTAGTACAGCAGCGAAAGGAGAGTGTTGTTGAGTTGCTCTCGCTCCTGATGGGCATCAAAATTCTCGCCATCCCAAAGATTATCCGGATTCGACAGTTGGTGAAGGGAGAGGATGTGGAATCGGGCAATTCGTTCGTAGCATTCGACAGCAACCTTGACATCTTCGATATTCGTGACCTGCTGGATGGAGAAGTCATTCCGAATGCCTCGTGTGCGATCCCAGACGAATTTGTGGATGGTCGCAAGTCTTTCGTCTCCACCAATGACCTTATCGAGCAGGTAATCCAGCGTCCTCTTCAGTGTCGCCGGGGTTCTTATATCGGAGGGCAGTTGCTCATCGTATCCAGCAGCAGATCGTCGAAATCGCTTGACCATGCGCTCCTCGGAAGGAATGTCTTTGCCGGTATCGTCATTTCGAACCTGCTCCACCATCAGCAGCACTCTCTTACACCCCAACCACTACCATGCGCACCTTCTCCGCTTTATCAACCATGTTCTGCACAATGCGCTCCACTCTTTCAAATTCGGGACACATCACTGTACATGTGCCGACCGGTGTAATGGCTTTGTCCAAGCTTGTCTTCTTCTCGGGATCCGCGAGGAATCCATCACGAATGGCCTTTGTACGTTCATCTTCTCGTTTTGTCTTCAGCTATATGTGGAATTCGCACGTTAGACACCCTACAGACCAAGTCGCAGTCAGCTTGAGGCAGGGGTAGGACCGGCACGCACCTCTTGGTATCTGGCGTAGGCAGTGTTCATGAAATCGCGATGGTTTGTAGGCGCAGGCGCAGGCGCAGGCGAAGACGTTCGTGAACCTGATGGTGTCGAATCTTGAGATCTCGGTGTGTTGAATGTTTGCGACAAGAACCCGCGTCCACGTCCCCGTCCTCGAACATTTGGTGTGAAAGGCGCCGAGCTTGACCCTCCCCGACCTGTGCCACCCTTAGTATTCCTTTGTCCCAGATTGTCTTCCAAAAGACGGTGTCTATAACGAGCTCACCTCTTGTCGGAGTCGTGGTGCCATTGTCAGACCCTCTCTTGACCGTTCCCGCTCTCAGTCTTTGTAACAGTCCATCACCACTAGTTGCAGAGGCCGTGGCGCTCGGTCCGCCTCTCCCTCTTCCCCGTCCTGCTGGTGCTGACTTGGGCTGACCGCGAGGTCCACCGCGACCGCGAGGAGGTATTGACTGAGTTGCTCGTCCGACCCTCGTCGAATTGCCACCGCGTTGACCGCGAATGGACGGCGCAGACATTGGCGCGGTTGAAATCGATCAACATCGGAGTGCTGTCATATCATGGTTTCCGAGAGATCGCCTCGAAATACTCGTGCGGTATGATTGGAAGGGTTGGTGAATCGGAATTTGATGGTGTCGTGTGATAATGCTGTCTGTGCGGTGGTGGAAAGTCATAGGAAGAAGACGCGATGCTTGAATCCGAAATGCCTGCGAACAAAAGGTGAATGAATTCATGCATGGCCTTTTTTACTCCGCAAGCAGAGCTCGGCCAATGATGGGCCATAATGGCATCTACTGGCCGACGCATCTTTAGGCGGTATGACCGCGCCCTTAGCGCCGAGAACGCCTCCACGCGTAGGCACTCCCGGGCAAGCCTAACAGCTTAGCCTAGCAGCCAATATATTAGTATGCCTAGGGCCTTGTCTGGCCGCCTCACTAGCCCTCATGCACATAACACGTCGAACTTCCTCCGTACCAACCTTAGAAGTTACTTCCCTAGCGCAATCCAACTACTCACAGAGTTACTCGGTACATCATTTCACATCCAGTGACATCCTCATCGAGGACATTTCGATCACGCGAATAATTCATTTGACAAATCATCTATCAAACAGCCCGGGACTAGATCCAGCGCTCGGATCAACCAAGTTTATCAGACATTTCACGCCTGGTCAAACACGACATGGCACCCTCCCGAAAACAAACATCGCCCACAAAGACCTTTCCTTGCTGCTCGCACGTCCCTTGATATGGATACTCATGCTGGGGATATCTCGAACAACTGACTGGGTGCCACTCAATCATCATTAGCACTCCGAACTTTTCTGGTAGACCGGTTTTCATAAAACAACGATTGTTGGATATCTGCTTGCTGCCGACAAAGATCGTAAAAAAGGCAACCTGACCCGAGATATAAACCTCAAAGCGCCCAAAAGGAAATTCGTGAAACCTGGCAGATTGGAGCAGCCGATGGTGAAGCAGCAGGCTTAAACTCGAGAAGTGGCAAAGCATAAATGATTGTGAGAATGAGCAAGCGCCGACCGAGATTCGCCGCAAGGTCGAACGATGCGACATATACCATCTCCCGACCAGTGCGGCGAAGAATTACGGATCCCTGACAGAAAGGGCGCAATCGCCCCCCTGCAATGATTCCTTCTTCGGTGAGTGGGCTTTCATAGAAGCGTCCCTATCCAAGCAGGACAAAGCAGTGGGCATTTGGACACGATAGTAAGGTTGGTCTTTCTTGGAGGATCGACAATCTCTAGCTGAGTGTCTCGTCGGCCTACTGGAAGTGAGAAGGCTGCCGGCGTTCGATACACCCTATAGCTCCGGCGCAAACAGCTTTGGGCTCATAATGCGTAGAACTCTGCCGGTGTCATCTCCATCTTCACGTCGACTTCCGGCATCATGCCCTGTTGATACGGGTCCATGATCCTTAAAGGCAAGGCAAATTGGGGAGCGCCGTCGAAGCTTGGATACTGTGACGGGTCGATCAAAGGGCCGCGGGCGCACATTCTGTTCTGGGCCTCTTCCGCTGCCTGCCCGAAATACGAAAGCGCCGATTCTTGTGGCTGAGTGACCATGTGTGGGTGGAAGCCAAACACATGCTCTGGAGGCTCTGGTCCCATGTTAGGCATCATTCCCATCCAGGCTTGGGTATTAGGTGGCCGAGGGCATGCCTCTGCATATGAGAACATGTCAAGCATGTTCGTGGCTCCCATCTGATTTTCATAGTCGCACCCAAAAGCCTTCGGAGGCAGTTGTTGCACCATCATGGGCACCATTGGCGACATGTCTGTTGTGGCATGGACACTAGCTCTTCGCTCATTCATCAAGTTGTCCGGTGGCCTGTTGTCAGCTTGACTTTCAGGCTTAATCATGCCCACAGGCAGCCGGTATGGAAGCTCCAGTACCTGTCGGGGACCGGCGGACAAAGCCGAGCGACCTGCGCGGACTGGTGGCCTAGATGACCGTCGACCTTTTGGTTGACGTGTACTAGAGCTCTCAACAACCCCTGTGGCTCGCCTTCTATGCATCCGCGGCTTGGCCTCAGCATATGACTGATCCGTGGGAGAGCCTTGCGACGAGGAGTTCGGTGTGAAGACGACTGCACCACTGTGTTCTTCCTCCTCCTCAGACTCGTGGCCAGGGTTCGCGCGCTGAGAGGCACCTCGCACAGAGAGAGTCTGTTCGGGCGGCTCGTCGTCGGAGTCGTTGGACCAGAGTCTTGCGCCACTGGTGTAGTCGTTGAGAAAGACCAGGGCGTCGCCATCTACTGTGGTCAGATGGGCAGACACAGTCAATGTATCAGCTTGCTTACCTATTTCTCCAGCTTCATACTGTTCCATCAGATCTCGCGCTCTGCAGACGTGCTCGATGACCTCCCAGACACCTTCTTTCACGTTCGAGTCGGACCTCTTGGATTCGAGACATTTCAAAAGATTGGCAGCTGTTACAAACTGCTTGTTATGCGGATCTGGTGGATTTGTGATGACCTCGAGCGGAGTAGACATGAGAAGATGGACCAGGAGGCTAGTTCGGTCTTTGAGTCGTTAGTGGACAGCCGACCTCAAGGTGAATATCGGATCTTACCATCACGGCCTATATGATCTGGCTCACGATGTATGACGTCTAGTTCACGATCAGACTTGGAGGGAGCTCTCTAGCGGATCAACTTGAAAACTTACTGAGTGGCCAATATGGCGGCCGTGTCCGCTCCGGATCTTTGCTCTCACTGCGTGGCACGCCGCCATTATAGGGGTGGGTAGATTGCTGCAACTGTCAGCGTTTGCTAACTAAGCGGTACATCCTTGTTGACTGCCTACCTTCCGGGGGTGAATCCTCTTGATCCAGACTTTGGCAATGATTCGGCATGCCACCTGCTGCATAGCGACAAATGCTTCTTTGAACCAGCCCTCGAGCCTGTCGCGATCGTCCACTCTGATTTGGAGCGCTGGCGCTTCATTGACTACCCTCAGTCTACGTTCACTTCGCGCAGGCCGGAAATTGCCTGATTCTCTGCCACTCGTCGTGCCAGAGCGATGGCGCTTCACTGGCCGCTGAAACGGGTAAGATATAGAAGCGGTGGGCACGGGGTTATCCAGCGCAACGATGGACTTCTTTCCTGTCGAGGACCGGGTACCCATCGAGTCCGAAGCCCCTATATTGGTCAGTACCCGCATGAGCCTCGAAGTGATCCACCTACTCGCCGGTATGGGCAGGGTGCAATCTCTCATATAATGAGCAAAGTTCTCGGCTGCATCCCCGAGGATGGAAAGACTCGAGTGCCTCAAGTTTTCGGACACAATGATCTCGGGCACTCCATACTCGCCAGGGAAGAGGCCGATAAAATTATCACAGCCTTCGACGAGCTTCTTGATCTGGTTCTGCATCCTCGTCAGCTTGGACGATACCGGAAATACCAGGAAAGCTATGGGCTCACAACTATGCATGTCTGCTTGGCTTCTCTCAGGCGCATGGGAAAGTCAGATGGCCCAGAAACGTCTTCTAACTTTGTTGGGAAAGAGCTTGGAGATGTGATGGTGTTTGGATCGCCGGCCATCTTTGTCCGGGAAACACCAAACCCCTACCAGAGGAATGGCAAGGTGGTCTGAAGGAACCGTCTGCACAGAATCAAATGCCGCGGGTGACTTCTGTGATGTATACCGTGTTGGATGCTTGTGAATGTGGAGAGCAGGTGCCGAAGGGATGGGAGACCAAGTAGAGGCCTAGGGCATGAATTAGCGCTCATGACAGCTGCATGCACGGTCTTTCCAAGTGCGGCGCGACGAGAGAAAACGAGAGCTGGCCGGTCGACACCTTGCTGGGCGGTGAAGAATGACCAGGTCTTCTGGAAGACGAGGGAGGTCCAGTATGAGCAAATCGACGATAAACATCTGCCGAAAACAAACATCATTGAGGCAGGGTCTGAGCCTTAGTGAGCCCTAGGTTAAGGTGGCCCCTAGGCGCGCTCGGCATGCCCCGGCAGCCTAGGGAAGCTCTAGTTGGCCTCCAAGTTAGAAGCCTCCACTAGCTCCAGAGCTTCCCCTGCTCGTACTTTTAGCCTGACGGCTGGGTACGCCAAATCCGCTGATCCGTAACGCCAAAGATAACGACATTTGCCAAAAACAGCTCCTTCATTTGGAAAGGATATTGAGAGGGATTCATCTGTACTGACCTTCTTTTGCTAGGACTTGTCTCAATGGAGAAACCGCAGAGAGCCCGTGAAGCGAGCGATCCTCGCCTGTTGTATTCTCTGTTTGAAAACGTTGAGCGATCTGGAATGCTGGATGGTCGTGTCAAGGTCGGTTGATGCCGCCACCGACAAGGCAAAACAGAACCACACCCAAAAACAGCAAAAACAAAGACAATGCCGGCCAGTCAGAACGGTTGGGGTCTCTTCTTCTGCTAAGCAGCCATCTTGCAGCAGCCGCGGTGTGCTTGTCGTCTTCTGCGAATATGTACCGTCAGGCGGTGGAGGAGACGAGGGCTTCTTTTGTAGATTCTCGCGAGGGCGTCAATGTATCATCTGCTTCTGAGAAAGTTGAAAGGAGGACCTAACGGCAAGAAGGGAGGAGTGAGTAGCACTTAAAAAAAATATTAGAGAGGTGACCTGAGATGCTTCGTGCTGGCTATTGGTTCCACGTTGGGTTTTGTCTGTGTTTGATCTGCGAGAGCGTTGTATCCAAAGGCCGCGCCGATGATGTGGGGATGAGTAGAAGTGGACAGATGAGGTACCAGTATATAGTGAGGGAAGGAGGAGAAGCAGTCCGTCGGGGGACTCAGATGAAAGAAGTAGATGGGGGTTGCCAACCGGACGATGCTTCAAGCGGCCAAACAGCCACCAGAGCACCAGAGCACGAGCATGGTGTGGCAACATGGGCGTCGACAGTCGCAGAGAGTATGCAATTGATCAGCCTGCTCAACTTTTGGCGACACTAGCTGCCATGGTGACATACTGTATTAGCTTGTGTTCAACCTGCGACCGCTTTAGTTGGTCACTCGGTGTTTCTTTGTAGTTTGACATTCACAGGAGGCGTCGATCTGCCCATTGTAGCACCAACTATGTGGATGCATGGCGTCAGTCAAGAACCAGATTCTGGAGTAGAGAGGCCCAGTTCCTAGAGGCCCGTTCATCTCAGGACCGGGGCTAGCCTGCCCTACCCTTTGCTTGCTCATCTGGACTGTGATGCCGATCTCGAAATCTCCGATGGCCACATAGATGGCAGGATCGAGTTCGGCATAAAGGAAGCTGCCGGGCAAGGATGTTAGACAAGGAGGGTACCAATCACAATCCTTGAAGAAGGGTGGTGCTCTTGGGGAAGCAACAGTGCAGCTCCCGGAATGTGGCCAGCCAGCAGCTTCTGCGCGGTGGTTGGGCGATCTCTGTTGCACCCCCCTGCTGCTTTCCGTTTTGTGTCACTATGCAGAGAGCGCCTCCGCTTGCCTGCTAAGCTACGTCGAAGGGTATGGCTGCTACTGCGCCGCTAACCGCATTTGATTCCTCGTCCTGGTTGTCGTAATGATTGCTTCATGGTTTGATCTCTATAAGCCGAAAAGGTGTTATCTTAGGCCCGACAATGTAACATCTGGCCTCGTTAAAGGAGAAATGCTTGCTGAAGTTCGAGAAAAGAAAGGGCGATCTCTGCGCGGGCAGGTCACGAAGTATGTGGTCGCGAAACAACATTGATTGGGTTCCCGGCTCGAGTTCCCCTGATTCAGCCAACAGTAGGTAGACAGGACCACGAGATTGTATCTGATGCTTTTAGGGCTTGGAGTCATGTGGATGTGCGGCTTTTTCCTACCATCACACTCGGAACCAAAGTGACAAGGGAGTCAAACCGGTTTCTCGTTGCATCCAACCCTGAAGCAAACATCGGGAATGAGGCCGTCCGGGTTGAATGTCGTCCCTTTCACGATCGGCGGTTCCTCCCAATGCCAGATTCGGGCCGCGACCATTCGCGAAGAGGAGGAAAGCAAGTCGGCAGGCAAGGGGCGCTCCTTTCCAGGCCGTTTGCTTGTAATTGGTCAGGAAAGGCCTTCCCCAGCCTGTCGGCTGTCCTTATGCTTTGCGCCACATTTGGTCAAGGATCTCAAAACCAAGCTTGACCTGATCCCTCTAACAACGTGCAGACATGGGTGAGACGTTTAGCTTGATACCATAGTATGCACTTGGCCCCATCGGGTCAGAGAACACCGTAGTAATGGCTTGATAAGTGACTCTCTCCGGTACTTTCGACCGCGCGCTATGCTCGAGGGGGGCTGAAACCGGCCGTGAGAGTCACTTGTAAGCCCCGGGTGGGTAAATCAGGGTCCCTTCCGCCAGCCACTGAAATCTCCCATGGCTTCTCAGTACTCGGTACTCCGTAGTCATCACGAACTTTCTGTTTGCTCCTCTCTCATGGCGTACAGCCTTTGCGCGCAGAATCAAATGAGTTTCAGCTATGGTGGGTCGAAACCAACGGGATTTTCACTAAGCTTAGACCGGTGGGCTAATGCACGAATGCGACCTTCCCCACAAAATCGATGAGCATCGAGGGGCCAGAATCATGCCTGGGGTGCTATCACACGGACGGATGTTGAGCATTGCGATCCCGTCATCAGTCGCCGTTCGCAGCAAGCGGACTGCACCCCTGCTATCTGACAGCATATTCGTAGGTCGTCATAGATTTCCAGCCTGAATGTGACAACACCTCAGCATGGAGCGAGCCTGCCGTAGACACGCCAATGGTGATTCAATCGAGTAAGGACGGGCTCCGAGACCCGGCGGGAGCGGCAAGACACCGCAGGTAAGGTCCCATGCTATCGTGGCGAAAAAGTGTGTCGCACAGAACAGCAAGCTCTGTGCACTCCTTGCGCGATCCTGTAACGACAAGCCATCTGCAACGTCCGAGAAGTAACCCTTCCCTTTGCAGAACAGCTTTATTCTCACATCAAAGAACATGGCATACGAATCAGTCGCGAAAGATGTTTGGGGGGTAGGAATCTAATTCCGAATAGGCAAGCCTTGAATGCAACTCCTAAAAAGCACGAGGGGCGTCTGTGCCCCAGCTTTCCGCAACTCTGGGGCAATAATGTCGACTGGTGGTGATAAGCTGTGCTCCTGATGCGCTTGCTGATTCGTATCAGCGCATGTCACCCCTCCCTGGTATTTGAAAATCCACGGATGGTTCCACCGTGCGACCGTCTTTTGGATCATGTGCACATGCGACTAGTAACAGGTACAGCGAACACTGAGCAAAGCGAAAGCTTCCGGAAAGTATCTGTACCAAAATGTCGGATGATCCGTACCTAGAGTATTGAGGAGTCCTGGTTGGACTTGGACGTGTCGTGCCGCTGGATGCCAGTGTCCAAAGGTCTTGTGCAGTGTACGGTGCATGATGCAATATTTCCTTTGAGAGGGCATCTAAGTTGGATCGACAGGCAAAAGCATCACGCTCCAAATTTGTTCCGCATGACCAGGGCAAGGCCGGTCGATGGATTGTTGCACACAGGTGCTGGCTAGTTCCTGCAAACATCGTGCTGTTGCATCCACTATATCCACTTGAATTGCCATCAGCCTCGGGGTCCCCGTATTGTTAGAGCGCGTTGCAGGCTGTGCTCCTTCCGGCTTTCGGGTCATGCTCAGAAACACTGCTTTCAGAGCTGCAGGCCTTTGAAGACTGCTCGATAGCTTGATCAGAGTGAAAGGCGTTGAGTAGATCTCCGAGTTATCCACAAGATCGATTTCATTCGATCGATCCGAACCTTGGAAGACTACCGTCCTGTGCACCCCGTCCCGTCCTGCCATGGTTTCGCAAATCGTACCGGTGCAATGGCACGGATCATGAAACCCCTGTCTCGACCGGAAGCCAGAGCGACTAGTGCTGGTTGGGATCAGCTGTGCCGTTGCCGAACCCGTCAAGCAACCCAGCTTCGCGAACTAGTTCGTAGAACAAGCCCCTTTGCCTGATCAGCTCCTCTGGTGTGTCAAACTCGGCCACTCGCCCCTGTTGCAACACTACAATTCGATCCGAGTCTAAGATCGTGTTGATGCGATGCGCAATCGTGATGATGGTGCGATTCTCGAATATGTTGCTGCGAAGAGTGGCTTGCAGCATCTTGTCAGTCTCTACATCTACTGCAGCTGTTGCTTCGTCGAGGACCAGGATGTTGCTGGGAGTCAGTAAAGCACGCGCCAGAGAGACAAGTTGACGTTGTCCTTGGCTTAGGTTGGACCCTATATCCACAGATGTCCATGGTCAGTCACAATTGGCCGGGCATTCTAGTGGGCCAAGGAGCTGAGAAAGTTACTCACCAGCTTCGTGGACTGCTGCATCCAATTGTCCAGGCAGACCCGAAACGTAGTCCTTCAAGCGAGCATGTTCAAGCACGCTCCACAATTCGGTGTCGTCGTGGACGTGCCGGGGGTCCAGATTGTCGCGAACGGTTCCTTCAAAAAGTGCGGCATCTTGTGGTATGATGGCGAGGCGTCTGCGCAGATCCAACAAGCCAATAGTAGAGGTATTAAGGCCATCGATACTACAGGATATGGATTAGCCTAGAGTCGGCCTCCATAAACATCGGAGGGCTTCCACGTACCTGATGTGGCCAGATATAGGCTCGATTATCCGAAATAGCGCTAAAGTCAAGGAACTCTTCCCTGCTCCAGTGCGTCCTACGACGCCAATCTTTTCTCGTGCTTTGATGCTCAGATTGATATCCCTTAACACAGGATCCAGGCCTTCCCGATATCTGGTTGAATAATCCTTGAAGGTGATTTGACCGTGAGCTGGCCACCCGATACTGGGTCGGCTCTTGAACATGACATCTGGCGCTTCGCTAGGCAGATTCGCATACTCGAGCACGCGCTCCACAGACACGATGTTGGTTTCAACTTCCACCGTCTGACGGACGATCCAGTTCAGGGACTGTGTAATTTGCAGTGCATATGACATCTAAAATTATCAGCTAGAGCCGGATTTTGGGAACCCCAATGAATGGTTACTTACCGCGAGGCCCACCATGCCAGCGGAGAGCCCACCTCCAGTCGTGACGGAAATGATGGCAAAAATGGCAGCAGCAAGGATAATGACGGAGCCGAGGAACTCCAAACGAACTGCGAGCCACCTATTGGCGCTAATTGAGGGGAAATATGCCCGTAAGTTTGCATCCATGCGCCACTCGTTCTCGATTGTGAACCGCTTTTGTTGGCGATACGCACGAATTGTCGACACTCCACCAAGCGATTCCTGAAAATGTGCGTAGATCGGGCTGCGGCTGACGCTGTCGAGTCGTTTCAGTTCTCGAGAAGTCCGGAGGTAGTACCTCTGGTAGATGATGTATACAGCGCCCAGTGGCACCACAAGAACTAAGAATATCGGGGTCGAGGCAGCGATGACACCGAGTGTGAAAAGCGCCCTGCTGGTATTGACGAAGAGCTTGAATCGTTAGCCAATTGCTATCAGCGAGTTGTTTGATGGGCTTTACCATGTTGAAAGTTCGCGCAATGACTTCATCGACCCGGTAAATGTCACTATTATCGTCAGCATGAGCGATAACACCAGACAGCTTCACATTGCACACCTGGAGAAACGGTTGAGAACACGGCCAACAGGAGTTGTGTCGAAGAAACTCATGGGCGAACGGAATATGGCGTATGCCATTCGATCATGTAATTTTCTGGAAGCCTGCAGAAGGTAAGTTCAATCTTCCCTGTCTTTCTGGGAAATGCATACCTCTATCGAACAGAAAATCCAGAGAAGCAGAGTCTGACTGCTGTCAGTCATTGTGTTACAAGCAGAGAAGACACGTACCTGAATAACAACGAGAGCTGAACCACCGATGCCGAACGCAAAGTAGATGCCAATGTATTTCCCCACCGCTGGATTAGCACCATACCTCTCGTTGATTTCGGACCAACGCTTCAGCCAAAAGCTACCTCCCACCTGGGCGGTTTGAGCAGCAAGAAGAGCGAGGAAGTAAAAGCAGACGGCAACGAGATTGCTCTCCTTGGCGTAGCTAGTATAGACTGACCACTTGACCTTGCCTTGTTCTGATGTTTCTTTGGTTTGTTTGGATTTTAGACCGCCCTCTTCATCCGTCATGCGACCCATGGGGCCATGGAAACTGGCCGTCGATGCACGTCGCAGTGTGTTGAAGCTCGATTTCCGCGCTGTCGATGGTCCCATTGGGCCGGGACGAATCGGCGCGAGACCACCGACCTCTTGACGGGCTTCCTCGGCCTCCTCGGCGTCGAATTCATCTTGCATTCCATTGCCAACAACTGTGGTAGATTCATCGGATTCCATTCCCTCGATGCTCGGGCTTCTCTCGCCTTCTGATTCCGGGTCTTCTTCACTCGTGGTGGTCTTGATCAAGTTGGCCACCTCTCCTCTCATGGCGATCAATTGCTGGTAGGTGCCTTTCTCCACCATGGAACCGTCACGGATGAGATACATATAATCAGCCTCTTTGAGAACGGGAATGGAATTCGTAGCCAAAATTCGGGTTTTCCCGCTCAAGAGACCATTGGTACCGAGTACGTTGTTGATCAGATGTCGCCCGACGTGTTGGTCTACCGCTGACAGAACATCGTCAAGTAGATAGACGTCCGCTCTAGCATAGACCGCTCGTGCTAAGGCCAATCGAGCCTTTTGGCCACCGGACAACGATATTCCTCGCTCGCCAACCTCGGTTGAATCGCCATCGGGCAATTGTCGGAAGTCGTCGACGAGAGCACAGGCATTAACGGTTTGATTGTAGAAATGAGGGTCCCACCTATGGCCAAAGATGATGTTCTCTTTGACACTCGCATTCATAATCCAAGCCGACTGGGCTGCATAAGCGATGCGACCTCGAACAACAGCGTCGCCACTGATTTTCCAGAGATCTCCGAGGAGCGCTTGCAGCAGTGAAGATTTGCCAGCACCAACGCGTCCAACCACACAAGTAAGTTCTCCCTTATTGGCATTGAAGTTGATATTGCGCAGGACGGTTCTGTCCTCGTTTTTATTCCAAGTGAAACTGGCGTCGTGAACCGTAACCGAGGGCTCTCCCGACTCCTTCGGTGGTTCGTCGATGAATCTGACCGCGTCCTCTTGAAGCTCATCCGCCGTGAAGAAATCGGTTAGTCTCTTCACGGCCACGGTTGCTTCGATAATACTTGTGATAACCATTGGAAGGACGGTGAGAGGAAATGTCAACAAGTTGAACAGGGTCAACGCAGGGAAGACGAGGTCCGTAGTGAGCGGTTTATCGTTGACCAACACAAAAACCGCGAAGGTCGAACAAGAAACGAAAAATGGCGTGGATGACCAGGTGAAGGTCGAGAAAGCCTGTGCTGCCCCAATCTTGCGTAGGTTGTTCAGTTCAAGATCGTTGCGCACATGGCTCAGTTTTTCCATGAAAGCGGAACCCCAGGCGTACAGCTTGATGCTCTTCATGTTGTTGAGAATTTCAGTCATTAAGCGGGAGCGCCGATCTTTGTACTTCATCTGGGAAAGCTGGAGCTTTTTCATGAATCTTGCAATAAAACCATTGACGGGAATCATGATCACCATTGCGGCTACACCAGCAAAGCAAGATACCCCCACCAATTGATAGAGAGACAGCATGCAAAGGGTGATTTGGAATGGCGCCGACCATAATTGTTGGCCCCACTGTGCTAGATCAGCCAGACGTTGTTGATCGACGCTCATGTAGGTGACGATATCGCCTGTGGACTTTGTCGCGCGGGATTCATTTGACAACCGAAGGGATTTTCCGTAGATCATGGCAGTCAGGGACGCCTTGACTCTCATGCCGGTCTCGAAGGCACGTTGAAAGTATTGATGCAGAGCAGCTGTCTGGCAGACGGATGTTGCGAACATGGCCAATGCAATGGCTACACCGCGGATGGCGGGCTGGGGTTCTCGTCCTGGACGATAAGAATCCACGAAGCGAATGAGAAGTCGGAGCAATTGAGGTTGGACGAACGCAAGCGTGTCGCTGATGGTCTTGATAAACGCGCCGCGTATATAGGGCCCTCCGAACGCCCTACCCAGAGCTATCCACAAGTTCGGCTTCTTCTTTTCGAGTTCGATTTCCCACGCCTTCTGCAGAAGATCCCCCGTGACTTTCGTACTATCCCGAGGGCGCAAATTCCACAGGTCATCTTGAGTCAGGAAGTTCTTGTAGCCGAACTTCATCAATGGGGTCATCCAATCAAAGGTAATGATGGAGAAGACGTCCGCGTACTCGTACGGGCACTCGTCCTCGGCTCCCAACGCATCGTAGGCACTTTGTTTCTTGGGCACAAAGTATTCCAACACAAACTCCACTATTGCCAGACCAAGAGTGACATTAAAGGTAATGAAATAAGGTAGTCGTGCTTTGTGGGCATCCCTTGCGACCAGAGAGCGCAGTTTGACAGCATATGCCAATATGAAGAAGACCCAGTAGAACAGGACAACGCCATTAGGGTTCCGCGACCTCCAGTGTTCGTAATACTGTACAGTGAATATAACAGCGAGTGACGCAATCGTAGCAATCGAGGTGTAGAATCTTATGTCTTGAAACCATATTCCGGGCAGTTGTCGGATCTGAAGGGCGGCTTGGAGGGCAACGGTTAGGATAACGGTGCCGAGGACAGATCTGCGTCACGCCATTAGACACACTCTGAAGGGGAACCCGCTTTGAACTTACAGTTTTGCGTAAAAATGCCAATTCTTTGGGACATCTTGAGCAATGCGTTTTTTGAACAGGTACCAGATTGCACCTGCGCCGAACAGCACACCCCAAGCAGCAACACCCAAGATCCAGACATCAAGAAAACACGGAGTAAAATCCCATCTCAGAGAGCTGACAGGACCCCAGCCTTCCTGATCACCACACAGAGGTTGTTGAGCAAAAGCAGCTGGCGGAGCTGGTCGTGACGGAATGCGGCCACCGGAAGCAGTCAATACAGACTGCTCTTGCACAAACCCCCTCATCTACTGTGGCCAATTCTGCACGGGGGGGGTGTCGATGGCAGATGTGGCTTTAGGTAGATGCAAAAACTGAGGCTGAAGGCAGTTGGAGGGAATATTTCAACTTGACCGCGTGGGTAGGCGGCATTAACGCAGGATGCAGCAGAGGCCGGGCCGACCACCACAGTATGGCCTGCAGTATGATGCGCACTCTTCAGAGGCTTAGTCATAAATCCAGCAAATCGGACTTAGGTACGGAGTAGTGGGCGGTGTGTTCTTCACCGAGGACGGAGACGGAAAAACTATAATCCGTCAATCAATCAGAGCCAATAAGAGTCAATGCAGTAAGCAGCCTTTGTTTGACAAAAAGGCTCTCGTGTTCGACCTCGTCGAGTCGACAGTCACTCGGGTTACGAACAAACCCGTTTATTCGATTTCTAATCTGTGGAGAACAAAGAACAATGAGCCACCATCACTCCATGGTGTTCCCGTGTTGAGGAATGAGATATCGTAGGGGTCTTCATACTCGATCGTCCCTGGCGAGAAATCCATGGGCACCAGGCTGCGGTAAATCGGCTGCGCGGGCCCTTTTGCCAATGCCCATAAACGGCATACTCCGTTCGAGCTATTGGACCTTGAAATCCATACCACATTGGGAGTGCCACAGGTCCCTGAGTGCCTGGATCAGTGGATGCCATGCCCGGCGGAGCCTTTCGGTTGTCCTCTGCCGGTTGCAATAACGCCCATTCAGCCTCATCCCTTCGAGCTCCAGCCCCAGGGCCTATGCACAGCCGGCTCTTCTATCACACTTGCGGTCAAAGCGGTCAGAGACGCCTCGACGCCTCCGTTATCTCTGAAGTTCTGGACTTCCCCAGTGCCTGTCTGTGCACGGGTCTTTATGCTACGAGGTTCCCCGAATTGCTGAAAGCAGCTCACAAAGAAATTGTGTAAAAGATAATGGCGGCCTCTTATCGTCTCGCTCTTCTCGACTCGAGATGCGCTTCGACCTGTGTCACTGTCTCAAGCTTACCTTTTATCTGCTGCTTCCATATCACTCGAGAACCCGTTTGTCAGTTTTTCTTCCTCCCCAGGAGAGCCTTTCGCTGGCCGCCCAGTCTCCGTCTCTCCGGCCCCGACTTGTCTTATCTCAGTCGTGGCCTGCACGCGAGCCAACACTTGCTTCGCTCCTTAGCCCAAATCCGCCGAACTAGGCTCTGACCGGCAAACACTTTCCCTCTTACCGCCAGTTCGTGTGACCACCCCCAGCTCGACGATGCCATTATCACCACTGCGATAGGACCAACCGTGGACCGCCAGTTCCTGGTCTAATGTCTCACATGCAGGACACGCTGAGACGGTGGCCTAATAATTGTTCCTCGTTCCAATTCCAAGCCTTGTGCATTGCGACGCTAGCATCCCATATATCTGCTGGACCCTGAATCTGCTTCCTTCTCCACACTCTCCCATTTCCCCCCAGCCTTGTTTCTTGATACGGCGGAAACATGTTCCGTCAGGCATCTGGTCGAGAAGGACATCCCTTCAGGGCTCAGGTCAAGGACGAAGATGGGAATGGCTGTACCAGTGGCAGCCATCACACAAGGCACTCACATACAGCACCAGACCAGCCCGACAAACAACAACAGAATGGATCTGCCTCAAAATCAGACATCAACATCCAAGCCGATCCTACCGGGAATGATCCCACACCTCCCGAAGGAGGCTTACAGCTGGGAGGAGGCCAGACCATCAAGCTCATGCTCGTGCCGGACAAGACTCCAGCACCAGCTCCGCCTCCCAAGAAGAAAGAGAAACCTCATCCCCAGGCCAAGATGACCAAGTTTTGGGACAACTTCAACCCAGAATATCAAGGCAAAGTCACTCGGGTTCTGCCCGAGCGTATGACCGACAAGAGTCCGTCCCTGGCAAAATTGGTCGGCGAGATAGCCCATCGAGCGACCAACTCTTACGAACACGCCAAGGAGAATTGTATCCAAGACGTCAAAAGGATCATCAAAGAATGCCGTGACTCCAACCAGAAATACACGGATCCTCACTTCGATCTTGAAAGAGATTTGAAGATCACCAGAAGCCGAGACTGTCTGGATGGACTAATGGTCGACCCAAGCGACAAGGAATTCCCAGCCGACGTGAAGCGTGTTACCGTGAGTTCTTTCTCATCAGAAGCAATTATCAGCTAACTTACCGACTCTTCAGGACATCTTTGACGAGCCAAGGTTCTACGTGGACGGTGTGTCGTACGACGACATCCTGCAAGGCTCCGTAGGCGACTGCTGGTTCTTAGCCGCCATTTCTGCTCTGGGTTGCAACCAGGAATTCATTGACCGCGTTTGCGTGATCCAGGACCAAGCCGTGGGCGTCTATGGATTCGTCTTCCACCGAGACGGTGAATGGCACCAATGTATCATTGACGACAAACTGTATCTCCGAGCCCCCAACTACGACGAGAGCGGAGACGTTGTCCTCGGCCAATACGGCGTGCGCCGCAGCAACCAAGAAGACCAGTACCAGGAGCTTTTCCAACGGGGCTCACAAGCACTATACTTCGCCCAATGCCGTGACCAAAACGAGACTTGGGTCAGTCTTTTGGAAAAGGCCTACGCCAAGGCACACGGCGACTACGCCTCCATCTCCGGCGGGCAGACCGGTGAAGCGATCGAAGACTTGACCGGCGGTGTCACCACCGAGATTTATACCACCAACATCCTCGACCCGGACTCCTTCTGGACCAATGAGCTGTCGCGCTGCGGCAAAACGGCCGACTTCGTCTTTTCCTGCGCCGCGGCGCGCTGGCGCGAGTGGCGGCCCTACCACGTCGCGAACGAGAAAATCCGCGAAGAACGCCGCTCCGGCATCGTCAGCCAACACGCCTATGCCGTCTTGGACACCTACGAAGGCCACGGCCAACGGCTGGTCAAGATCCGCAACCCCTGGGGCCGCAAAGAGTGGACAGGCGCCTGGTCCGACGGCTCGAAGGAGTGGACGGCCGAGTGGCTCTCGCGCTTGGACCACCAATTCGGCGACGACGGGATCTTCTGGATGCAATATAGAGACATGCTGAGCAAGTACAAGTACATCGACCGCACGCGCATCTTTGGCCCCGAATGGCACGTCGCCCAACAGTGGATGTCCGTCCAAGTTCCGTGGTCCACATTGGACTACCAAACCAACTATTTTTCTCTGGACGTGCCAGAAGACACCGAGGCCGTGATCGTCATGTCCCAGCTGGACGATCGGTACTTCAAAGGTCTGCAAGGCAAGTATAATTTCACCTTGCAATTCCGCGTACAGAAGGACTCGGACGACGACGAGGAGTATCTCGCGCGGAGTAAGTTGAACTACGAGCTCGTCAGGTCTGTCAACGTCGAAGTCCACCTCGCAAAGGGCACGTACTCGGTTCTAGTAAAAGTCGAAGCTGTGTCCACGAGTCGCGACGACGTCGAGAAGGTCATCCGCAACAATATCCATCGACGCGATAAGATCACTCAAATCGGCAAACTATATGACCTGGCACACCAGAAGGGCCAATTGCCCGGGATGTCGTCGACTGGGACCTCGCTGTCGCCATCAGGCGCGAGCACCCCAGCGGCTGGTTATGCCAAGGCACCCGAGCCAGCGGCGCCGTCTGGCGGAAACGACGAATCAAAAGACGAAGAAGAGGCTGAGAAGGATCCGCATAGAAATCCGTGGAATGCCAGTTGCGTGGTCGGATTGCGTGTATACAGCAAACATCCTGACCTCTCACTGAAAGTGGTTATCCCGTCGAAAGAGGAAATCGGCGAGAACAAGCCGACGCTCGATCGGGACGATGTGGCCAAGAGTGCACTCGACGAGGTACAGGCTGCGGCGGAGAAAGTTGAGGAGTCGATCAAGGGGGATGATGCGGCGGACAAGGTTGAGGAGTCGGTCAAGGGGAATGATGATGATGATGCCGATGCTCACGACGCTGCTGCAACAAACTCGAACAAGAAGACGGCTTGTGGAAAGAAAGTGAAGCTTGTGGTTGAGAGCGATCAGGAAAATGAAGACTCCTCCTCCTCCTCTTCCGACGACGAGAGCGCTGCATCCTATGATGATTGAGCTGGGCCAAGTTGCATTTTGTTCGCACGCAAAAGAGGGTTGACGCTGCATGAGGATCATGCCGCCCACTCAAATGAATGGCGAATACTGCGCACAGGACCAGCTCAGCTCTCTTGACAGGTGGCGAGGCATGCGGCGGAATGGCACAGAATGCGTGGAGACGAGGTCAACCGTTCAAGTTTTTCCTTTCGTGAATATTCTCATGCATTTTGGGTCAAGGTTACAAGGACAATGGCAAGGGCAATGGCGCAACTTTGCGGCATTGTTGTCGGTTAGCGAGGCGCCTGGGCTGGACTGGCATGGCGCGTGTCGGGTTTGGGTTATTAATATACTGTATGCATTGCATTGCATCTCCTTTTCTTGCCTCATGGACATGGACTTGAATAGTGTTAGGTCTTGAAATCGTCTATACCTAACTTAGTTCAAATCTAGCATCGTTCCAAAAGAAATCAATGTTCAAAGAGCTCGCATTGTAATTCGTTCCTATCGCCACTGTATCACACCCCTACTGTGTGACAAGTTCATCAGAAACCCCAGGTACTAGTATTTGCACCCATCCATCTCAGTTAGACCTTAAGTTACATCCAAAATACTTACGCCATTTCCTGTCCCTGCACTCGTCGCACTCTGCGCCCTACTCCTCCCACCGGTCCCGTCAGTAGTCTTGATACTCGCGACCTCGGCGCCTTCAAGCAATTCCTGATCGCGCTTGCCCAACTCCGTGCCCTCGTCGTCATCTTCCTCATCCTCGTCCCTGTACGGTACGCGCTGCTGTCCACCTTCGCGCGCATTCCGCTCAAACTCTTTCTGCGCCTCATCCATGCGCTTCCGCATCTCCGCCGCCATCCTCATCCCGTCATTCACGATATTGTCCAACACACCTCGAAGCCCACGTGAGCCCGGCTCTACCACACCACCGGCCCGTCCGACGTCAATGACCGTCTTGTTCGAGCCACCGTTGATCAAGTTCTTCACCGGCGTGCCGAGGTTGGTGAACGTGGTCAGATTACCCGACAACGTGCTCGAGGGCAATGACAGCGTGCTCGCATTCGGTGAGTCGCTGAGACGGAAAGACTGAGGGAAGAATGTCTCGAAAAACTGCTCGAGTAATTCGTCGGCGAGAATGACCATGCGGAAGGTAGGAAGTGTGATGTGTAGAGGTTTGTTCGGGTCCAGGGCGAGATTATGTGAAGCAGCCCGAGACGCGGAGCTCGTACGTTTATCTTGCATTGCGCCCAGGTGAGCTGGCGAGCCTGGAGGTGTGATGTCTGACAAGGGATCTTTCACTGTCGGTCGGGGTGACATGACTGTCTTGTGATGGAGATCCGCTTCTGAGAGATCCAAGAGGTCTTCTGGGTCTGTAGTGGTGATGCTAGTCGCCTCCAATTTCGACTTCGCTTCCTCCACCCCTTCGTCAGGGTCGGCGTACTCGAAACATCTTCTGATGAAGGCGCTGACGCTGCCCAGGAATCTCTCGTTGATGCTTTGTTTCAGCGCACCGGTCGATTCCGTCGCTGAAAGCGGAGACGTTACACCGCTCGAGTCCGTAGGAACGATAGCTCCGTCAAAGCCTCGCCGGGAAAGGAATAAGAGAGATTCAGACATCCTGAGAATCCCTTCACGATCCACTTTACCCGTGGCGTCATCATCAAAAAGGTCGAAGAAAAGGCTCATCGAATTCATGATATCTGTGGTGCCTTTGAACTGAGCCAGGCCACGGACAAGCTGCTGGAGTGTCATAGCGCCCTGCTGAGATTCATCCCATTTTCCATATAATCGCTGCATGAAGTCGTGGTCTGCTGGTTCAGGAGCCGAACCCCATTGCGAAAACGTCTTGCTGCGCTTTCGTTGGCTCATATTCGGGTTGCTGATCTCTTTTGCGGGCGATGTAGGGGAGTCGCTCGCCGCCCATCTAGCAGTATGCGCCAGAAACTCTCTGAACGCATCATAATCCATGGTCTGTAACGGCGAAGCGTTGCGGCCAGGCCCAGGTTCGTCCTGATTATACGATGAGTGATGCATCCACAGCCCTGGGCGGACTTTATAATGCTCTTGTTTCCTTTTCTCTTCTTCTCGCGCTTTGTCACGAGCATGTCGCTCAGACAAAACCCCGAAGAAGCGGTCATAGATTGCGCTCAGATCTTCAGCGCTCAGCTTCTTGCTTTCAGGCCCAAGGTTCCGAATCGACGTCCGCTTCGCGAACGTAGCCAGACCCTCCTTGACACCGTCGATATGCTTCTCGCGCAGTTCTTCGACACTAGCATGAGTGATGGCGGCGAATTCTTTGAACGCAGTGACCATCAATTCTTGGAATTTGCTGATGGCCCTCAGCTTTTCGTTCTCCGAGTGCGGATGAGCCGACTCATCGAGTCGTGAAAAGTAATTCTTCAATATTGAAATAAAGGAGCCATCGTCGTTGACGTCAAGCAACTCTTCTCCGTTGATCCGGAGAATTGCCAATCCGATCTGGAACAATACTTTTGGGCCCTCCAAGAAGAAAACATCCAGGACTCTGAAAGCAAACACAAGCGGCATTGAATTGATGTATAACGACAGAAACCACGGAAGTGACACGACGGAGAGGTTGACATCGGATTTGACCAAATGTTCCCAGAGGACGGGCATTGTCCGTTCCACGAGATTCTCAAAGACACGCTGATCGAGAAGCGTGCCGTACATGTCTTTCGAGTAGTATCCAGGCAGTAGTCGGTCACAAAGCGTGCCCAGAGTGAAAAAGGCTTGAGCCTCGGACTGGTAGATGAGTAATGCGGCCACGACTATATTCATAGCCTGACAATAGCCGACTTCTTCGTTGGTCCAGCTGTACGCTGTAAGTACTCGTCTGAGCCGGCCAATGCCCTCTTCACTTTGGAAACCAGGATACTCCGGCAGGCTTCGATTGAGATCCTTCTCGATCTCGTCAATAGCCAAAGACTCTTTGCCGGTGAATTTGGCGAGGGTCTTTTCGTAGAGGTTGGGATTTCTCAGTCTCGTATAGAACGATCCGGAGCTGATCTCCCATATCTCCCCTCTCAGCCGGTTTGGCAGACCAACACGAATGAGCTTGTGGAACGTCGGTTGTCTGACGATTGTCGCATTCCGGCCATTTTCCCTCATGTACTCACCCCATAGTCTGATCTTGCTCCTGTCTCTAAGTTTTCTCGCATCTCCTGGATACCTGAAGAGGATCCCTAGCCCAGTATCAGGCGGATCCGGTGCTTGCCGGCCGTCCTCTTTGGCCTTGATCCGGACGGGATCCAAGAGATATTCTGAGTAGCACTGGACTACCACAGCCCGCAGAGTGTCCACTTCCTTCATTCCCTCTCTTAATCCTTTCTTCAAGCCATCGCAAAACCGTTCACAGGCCGTACGACTGCCATCGAGGGTTATGATGAGCTTCCGCGGAAGAGGTAAGGGGGCTTTGGGCTTTTCGGACAACGGTTTCTGGATGGATTCGAAGGTGGTGAGAGCGAGACAGAATTTGTCTTGATTACTGTTCAGTCTCTCGACTCTTCGTATCGAGGAGAGTGGAAGGGTGAAGCCATGGCCGCCGGGCCCCGCGCCTTGCGTCGGACCTGTGAAGGAAGTGGATGAGGAGTGACTCGCGGTTGGGAGGAAACTCGTGCGGATGGTCGAGAAGCATAGAAAGTGTTCACTCAAGTGCAACTCTCCCATATACTTATTGCCATTGTCTCTTGACTTCTCCCCGGACGTTATAGGGCCTGCGACTGAGGACGAGGGGAGCGGGAGGAATAGTTCCGCGCTTATTTCGTGCAGGGGATTTTGACCCGCGGGGAGTCTGAACTGCTCGCGAAAGAGAGAGGCTTTCGAAGGACGTTTATCATTGTTCGCGGAGAGAGGAGACTGGTCGATGAACTTCTGGACGAAGGAGCTCAACATCGCGTTGAAGGGGGCATTTGGCGGTTAGTGTTGCTGGATTCGGTGGTCTTACTGCCAGTCCTTGACGGCGACCGTCAAAACTTGTAGATCATATTGGAGGTCAGGAAGATGCTGTAAGCGAACTATCGACTGAGAGTGCTTGGACAGACATACGAATGTCCGGTCGATGTCACAGCAACGCATCTCACGTCCAAGGCACCAAGGAGGGCCGAGGACGCTGGGGCCAAAACCACCTCGCGGAGCCTTGGCGTCTCGTTCCGAGGTAGGTGGGTGGACATTCTTCAGCCTCACCAGCCTTATGAGACACTTATTACTCCGTACAGGATGTTGTCTAGCTAGGTATTGATCCATGTCTGTCAGAAGGGGTGGAATCAATACTAGAGTACTATGATAATAGTACAGAGGTAGTACAAATCAGATGTTCTTTCAAAGCAATCAATATCCAACGTCTCTTGATAGAATGTTATCAGATTCTGGTATCTTCATCCCACCGCCTGCATCAGACATAACAATAAAAGGATAGTTTGCCTATCCGATATGGCATCCAGGCCAACGTCGTTCAATCATACCTTCTCCATCCCTTCATCCACATCTCATGCAGACTGAAACAGGGCGCCAGTATCATTAGTGATGAGCAGCGCCAAACCTACCAGAGCTCCCATGTAGACAAGATGCGCCCTACTCCATCTCAGTAGTCAACAGCAGCTCAACAATGACGTGGCTCTTTTCATGCTCCGGGTGCTGGAGCGCGAGCTTGGGCATCCGAGGTGCATTTCCAAAGTTCTTGAGTCCCAGCCCATTGATTCCACCTCCTAACGCAGCCTGCGTCTGACTTTGAGCACCTCCAGATCCGCCACCGCCGTCATCAAGCAGTTTGATATCCTTTCCAACGATAACCTGCTTGAGTCTGCCGTTCTGTGCGTCTCGTATTTCAACAAAGTCATCATCGACCAGTAACAAGTATTGCGCATATAGACACGCCGATTTGGCTCGACCCACAAACTCCATCACAACTCCGCGCGATATATCGCCATGCTTGTTGACATACACGGCACATTCTTCAAACGTGACCAAGAATTCAGCTTCCCCGAGTCTGAACATACCCAAGGGTTTTAGGTCTTTGATACGGCTTGCGATTGAGGTCAGATGAGCTTGGGTGTCGGGCTGTTCACTTCTCAAGTTTGGTACACTCCATGTCTGCTTCTTTTCCAAGGTCAAGACTTCCACGCCTCTCGCTGTCGATATGGCAAGGCTAGATTGGAACAGATTGAGACTATAGCACTCGGCAGGGATGTAGAACTCATCATACTCTCGGAAGAATTCTGTTTGGCCTCGCCGTGATGCCGAGGGCAAGAAGCGCGATCGGCTCGTTGTGCTCTTTTGTAGGACAGGCTCGAGTACCTTGAAGGTGGAGGCAATGCCGTCGCGTTTCTTGTAGAACACCAAAGTCCTTTCCTTCATTCTCCCGGACACAAAGAAGCCGACATCTTTAGAGCCAGACAGCTTCTGAGGCGCTTTGCGACTCGAGGCATCATTTTGTGTCACTGGTACTCCAGAAGGCGGACAGATGACGTCCAGGTGATAGGCAATCAAAGCTTTGTCCGATATCAGCAAGAACAGATTGAACTCCTCGAGCACCGCGATCTGAGTCACGCGCTGCATTTGGATGGCCTGGAGTAAGTTAGTGGGACGATCACTTAGTCAGACATCGAACTCACCCTGATCCATCCCCGAGAGTTTTGATACTCGGAGATGTAGACACCATAGTCAGTTCCAACAGCGCACATGAGTCTGCCATAAGGTTGATTGAAGACGGTTGCACAGTTCACCTGTGCTCTGCAGACGGGTGCTGGCCGGCCTTGTCCTTCGAATTTCTTTTCAGACTCTTGAATGGCTCTATCCAGTGGTGTACCACGGATCATGAACCGCTTCCCAGGATAAGAAAGCCCTTCGTAACCAAAAGCGGTATCTGCCAGGACTCGAAGCTTGAATGGCTCCGCGTTCTGAGAAAACAAAGCTTCAGCATGCCTTGTCTTAGCTTGAATAATGGCCTCACACCAATCTTGTCGGTTCTGGGCAGTAGGGGCATATAGCGTGTATGTCTCTGTCTTGCCGAGATGCTTGATGCGGAAAGGATACATAATCTTTTCCTCTTTCGAGCTTCCGGAGTCCAATGTCGTTATTGGCACCATTGATTGACTGGTATTCCCAGACCCTATCGAGAGGTTCGTGTTCTGGTGGCTTAAAGTACCTGGCCCGCCACTGGAGGACGACTGTGCCCGATTTAGTCGATTGTCAGGCGGTGGCTGCCCCCGAGGCACGACAGTAGTGGTCACGGCGCCAATACCTTTGACAGATGACTTGACCACAGCAGGATCTGTTGCACTCTCCAAGACGAGCAAGTCCATCGGTATAGGTACTTTTGACACATCATAGTAGCCTTCTTTGCGGTCACGGCTGAGTGGTTTTGCAAGCACCAGGTAATGGTCGAAGAGAATGGCATGTGTATCGACCCATTGAAAGCCCTTACCACCAGCGCGTTGCAACTCACCACGGAATATAATCTCCCGGCCCAGGTGGTCCAGATTGAGCTCAACCTCCTTCTCCATGGGCGGTCGCAACCTTAGTTTGGTCTGCATTTCAATCAATTCCATCTTTTTCGTCATTTCGGCAAACTTCGAGTCACACTCAAAAGTGGCCGCACGGATCTCGTCAAGCGCAAAGGCAAGGTTATTCTTCTCTTCGGATTCCTTCACCATGTTCTTCTGAACAGTCGATAACAGCAGACTGTAGCGTTGCAACCTCGTGATGGGAGCTTTGAGATAGTTATCCCAACCCAAACGGTTTGAACGTTTATCTTCTCGGGCTTGATCCAGAAAACTCTTGAAGTGAATATTTCGTTCCGCCTCTCGGCGCATTAGATAGTCCGCTCGGGGAAAGTTGGATGCGTATTCGACATAGACCGGCCGAGCCTTTCTGATCCATTCGCGGAAGATGTCGCTGAAGCCGACGATCCAAGGTCCCTGCTCAGTCTGCCTATATTTGAGTTGGCCCAAAAGATAATCTTGATTGACTTTCTTGACCTTGTCAACACCACCAAAGGCTTCTTTGAGGAAGCCAGGCAGTTTCTTGGTGGGTATAATGGGAGGCTGTGCAGCGGAGAGCCTGTCTCGATAGAGTACCCTCAGCACGTCCAACTGGCTGATGTAGAGGTCTTCGCTTGTGACGACCTCGTGCAGCACATTCTGGCGCTCGATTTCCTTCTTCTCGTGGGTCTCAATGTCTTCCTTTTTGAGTTTGTAGTACGTCGCCCAGTCCTCAGATTTCTTCTCTTCGGGCAAGGTGTCGAGATCAACCTTTCTGAGGGTCCTCGTGCAATGGTACGAATAGCACCGTCCCTTGCCTTGCGATACATGCAGCTTCGTAGAGTAGCATCCAGAGCCCGTCAGTTGATAAAGAACGCCTGACAAGTGTCCAGGCCCGAATTTGACCCATTCTTCCTCTCTGACCAGAGCGTTGGCGGCTAGCATCTCCCTGACCACCCTATCTCCCAGGGCTTCAGCCTCAGTGACGTACATTGTCGGCACTTTATGCATGAAAAGCGCGACAATGCCCTCGGCAATGTGGTGCTCTTTCAGATCGACTTCTTCTTCCGCGAGTTCTCGAATCCACTCCAAGATAGAACTCAATGCCCATGGTTCGGAACATTTCTTGAATTGATCAGCCGTCAGCTTGGCAGGATTGTACCTTTTTTTGGGTATTGCCGGCAGATCAAGCGCCACAGCAGATTGTGGGCTGGCAATATCGTAGAGATCTGACGAGGGTCGTCCTTGCTGTCGCAACAGCTTCTGGCGGTCGGCATCTGTCTTTGATCGGCTCGGATAGTCTACGCGAGGAGCACTTCGCGTGCTGGACAAGGAAGTCGACCGAGGTACGGTGGTCGGACTGAGCAAGGTGTTGGAATAGGCATCTGGAGCTGCAGGAAAGCTTTGTCGGTTGGTATCACTGTACTGCGAAAACCGGCTTTGTTGAGTATAGGTGCCGGCAGGCATCAGATGGGGTAATCGACCGGGATCCGAGTGTGATGGAGGTGGAGGCAGTGGCCGTTGCTGGCTCATACCAGGATGGAAAAACAAATCCGGTATGGAGTCTCGAGAAGGGCTTGTGTCCCCCGATCTTCCCCCAACATCAGAATCTAGGAACACGCCTTCATCACCATCTTCATAACTTAGCCGCCTAGGGTGTGGACTCGGTTCTGTAAGACCGCCTGTCCCGCCGGTGTCTACGCGAGCCACATTTGGAGTGATAGGGTATGAATGCATTGTGTCAATGGGAGGTAGCGATTCGTATCCGCTTGCTTGAGACTCCCGGCCTTCAGAGGACACACCAGAACTTCGGACCGAACTCATGCGTGTATTCAATCGGCTGTAAAGCTCTGTTTGGGGCATTGAAGCTGCAGCAGCGTAGTTTGATACGGTGGCCTCGCCGTAGGAAAGGTCAGGTGCATAACCTCCGCCAGCTGAACTGAGGTCATACCCAGTGTAGTCGCTGTCGCTGCTGTGTTCTTGGGAGGACAGTCTAGGAGTGGTTTCCTCCGGAAGAGGCTGACTGGGAAAGAGAGTCGCCGAGCCACTCCGCCGACGAGCATCCTCGGCTCTCTCTTGTGCATCCAGTGCTTGCATAGCGGCAAGGCCAGCTGCCGCTTCAGCATCGCTGTCGTCGGTGAATGCGCCATAATTGATGAAGGTGTCTCCAGTCGAGGCAATAGTGCCATTAAGATGGGTGGGTACCTCATCTGGTGAAAGAGGAGGCTGGGGAGAAGGCTGCTGCTGGAACAAACCATCCGCTGCCTCACCTCTAGAGTTGCGGAACCTTTGGTCGCTGGCAGACCTGCTATGTAGGGAGCTACCTCCTATCGCCTCGTCCAGGTGGTGCATCAAGTCGTCGTAGCCTGCTGATGCCGAGCTACGCGTAGCGTGCTGCGTACCACCGGGCGTGAAATAGTCGTTATCAGACTCGGATTCCGAGGGTACTCCGGGAAGAGATCTTCCTTGAGGGTGCCGATTAAGGGTGCCGGTTCGCTGGGGAGAAGCATTCGAAGGGTTTCTGCTGGGAGGCGTCGGGATTGACGGTTGTGGCGACACCGACTGATTGCTTATGCGGCTCGCAAAGGACGAGTTCCGGTTGATATCGGGAGACGAGTAAGCAGTAAGTGTGGGGTTTTGGTACGGGGCCGATATGCCAGAACCATACGACAATCTTTCCTCTTGTATGCTCGTCGATCGTGAATGTCGCCTCTCCAGCAGCGACGAGTTGTGTGGTGGTGGAACTGGCGCCGGCGGAGAATATGCTGATTGACTGTGTCCAGTGGAGGAGGAACTGGGGTGACGGGCAGGGTACGGCTGGGAGACGTCGCGCTCATAAGCATTATAAGCTGGAGTGTTTTGATAAGCTGGTTGATCAGGACGAGGTGGAGGTGGAGGAGGCTGAGAAGCGGAATAGTTGACTTGAGAATTGGCATCGTAGTAACCGTAGCTGTTGTACACGGAGGCTCGACGATTGAGGTTCTGATCTCCGTAGGCGGCAGGGACATATGGCTGGTATGCGCTGTTAGGGTAAGAAGCAGCTGCTGGAGAGGCGTACGCTTGAGTAGTGTATGCAGGCTGTTGGTGTTGCTGCTGGTACTGGGCAGGGTTGTAGGATTGGTGGGCGGGCAGCCCGGGCTGCGGGTGTTGATGTTGATATCCACCCAGTGCCGTATGCTGCGTATTTGTCCTGAACGGTGTCGTGGCCGGGCCGTAGGCATTGGCAGACTGTGTTCTATTCATCTGTGGATTTGCTCCGGCTGGCCCAGCGTAGGACTGATATCCCTGAGCACCCCGCTGTTGTGGCTGATCCTCGCCAAACAGCCTCTCGTCATCTCCAGCATCAAAACTCGACGTGCGCTCCAAGGGCCGTGAGGGATATAGAGGCTGCGAGCCATAGGGGACATTTTGACTGGACGAAGGGTGATTGTTTGGAGGGTAGTAAGGCTGTCCATTCTGATAGCTGGCCATTGTCAGCGGTGGAGCAGCGTAGGACTGTCGCGACAAGGAGGGGAGAAATCAGCGCAGGCTTGGATCGTGAAGTCGCTGCGCATGTTCGACGCTTCGAGGAAGGCTACAAAGGCACCCCGACAGCACCAGTCACTCGGCCACGATGACGTTGGGCTGGTTGCGTAGGCTCATCTGTGGTGACGGCGGTGCGATCGCAAGGCAACCTCGAAGGCAGAAAGGGTTCGGCTCAGGTACGCATGAATGTGAGGGTGAGCGTCAAGATGCACGGATAAAGCTGAACAGTTCAATAGCCATGTCGACCAGTGGAGGAATAGGCGAAGATGGATCGTTGGCAACAGACAAGGACAATTGTCGCAGGCCGTGAGTGCAGTCAGCGAGACAGATGGGATGGTCTACGGAGGAGAATGACAACGTCGGGCAATAAGGCTGCCGAGCATACCTAAAAGGTACCTAGGTAGGTTCCTGGTAGCCTTTGGTAAGGAGGTAGTCTTGTACTTGGTGGCACAGCACAATAATCATCCAGCTCCAGTAGCCTTAAATTAGGCATCACGGCTCTGCCCTACGAATTGACCCACGCCAAAACTTCCTTCAACAATACCTCGTAGGACCCAAAATACATCCGTTTGCTCTCGCGTGCTCTGGCATTTAGAAGTATATCAGAGCCTATGGCCCCCACGGAGGTGACTTCAGCCAATCCCAGAGTACTGCAGTTTCAAAAGCCATTCATCCAAAGCTTCAGTGTCAAGTCTAGCAGGCGTCAAGTCTAGCAGGCGTCAAGTCTAGCAGGCGTCAAGTCTAGCAGGCGTCAAGTCTAGCAGGCGTCAAGTCTAGCAGG